CCCTCGCTTTGCTGTTGAATTGCTCTCTTTTAATTCAGCTTTTGCTCAGCGCTGACATTTGTCCTCTTTCATTTCAGAAACCTCGCTATGAGAGCTAATCATTTCATATTTTGTTGAACATGTATGTTTCTGCTGGGCTGGTGTGTGTCTGCGTCTGTGTGTGTGTGTGTGTGTCGCCTTTCAGTTCTGCCAGGTGGCTTGTGGTCAAAAGCACAAAGTGATACTCTGTGTGTGTGTGTGTGTGTGTGTGTGTGTGTGTGTGTGTGTGTGTGTGTGTGTGTGTGTGTGTGTGTGTGTAGCAGAGAGCTCCATACACAGAGCTTCGACTCTGTGAAGCTTAAAGAAGCTGCTACTCGATGTGACGCCACAGGGCACAGACACTTTGGAGCTTCCTCAAACCGCTTCTTTAAATACATCATATCAGTGGCCTCTCACACCTGACATCATCTGTTAGGCTCATAGGACTGAATGGCAGACTCTTCCTTTACCTTATACATTACACATCACACCACTTCACTTCAGATGATTGAAAGGAAAGGGAACTAGAAATTAAATTATAAATATGGAGGTGAAAGGAATCACAGGAGAGGTGGAGATCTATAACCTGAGTACCTGTCTCCATAGCTGCAGTTAAAGAAGACAGTCAATAATTCCTGCTTCTGTTTTTCTGCTGTAATGTTATTCATCACTCTAAATGCAAATCTAGTTAAAGAGAAATAAACCTTTCTTTTAAAAAAAAAAGGTTTTCTTTGCAAGTGTGTGAATCCAAGACGCCTTGTGATTCATAGCCTCACTTCTAATGGCATCTGGCAGCGATGCGGCTCATTGTCATGCATCCTGTGGTGCTATCTGCCTGTGGTCCGCATGCAGTGCTCACTTATGTGCACTACACAAAGCCTGTACTGCATGAGGAGAGGCTCAAAATGAAAAGCCCTTGGGCGTATTTCAACAGAATACATATAAAAAAGGAAGTATGGGCTATTTCACTTACAGGAGTTATGGTTAAATCTGTATCAAATGCCTATTAAACTCTCTAATATATTACAGTTATGTGTTACAGAGGTGATAAAAGGTGACGACATGTGTAGTGGCTGAGATATTCCAGTGTTATTGCAGATTTTATTGGAGTTGTTGTTATAAATTTGTGATAATGAGGACAGAGCAGCTAATTGGTATTAGCAAATGTCCTCTCTTTGTTACATAAATTATATACAGTGCAGGGATGAACATTTACGTAGTAATTAGTGTAAAATATTAGCATTGTTATAATGTAACTGTATCTGAAAGGCTCATTAAATAGAGAATGTATGAATTGTAAAATATATAAATATTAACACACTCATATGTTTTTTTTAAATTGCACTCTGTTATGTGCATTATGTTGTTGCATTTATTTATTTATGTGCATTTTTAATAGACTCTATGAAACATAGAAGCAGCCTCAGTTATGCCCCTCACTGGTTTCTGAACCCAGCAATGGTGATCTGAGCCCTCACTCGACTCAACCTTACAGTCAGTATGAGGCAGAGTTTGACTGTCACGATATCAGATTTTCACCTCGTGGTTATCATGGCCATAAAATATCACTAATAATGATACTTAAGGAGTATTTAAGGAAGAATTAAAACGACAATTAGTCATGTTGAGAAAAGGTAGGAGAAGGGTGGAGCAACATATCGCTTGAAAAACTTAACCAGTACACACTTACTACCTTACATGTCCTCATCCATTTCTAATGATGTTTGTATTTAAGAATTATCTGCATCAACAGTCTAGTGACCAAAAACTTCCTTTGAGCAGACACTGTAAAAACTGTTTTCATTCTTTAACATTATGATTTTCTTTAATTGTGTTAAGGTTGTTTTCTTCCTGCATGGTTGAATTATGTTTTAATTTGGAGTAAACTCTTTCTTAAGTTATGGATCATAACTTAAGAAACTGAAGGAAAACTCTTAAATGAACAGTTAGGAAGTAGAAATGTACCAGAAGAGGCTCCAGCTTTGACGTTGTTTTTGGATTTGGATAAATCTGTTGGATTTATCTGTTTTTTAAAAGTCTGCAATCATCTCTCAAAGGGCTACTACAGGTCGTTTGATAGCAGTCTGCTGCTGCCTCCTTGTCTATCATTGAAAGTCAATACTGGTGTATTGCAACAGTCCTTGCTGTTATATTTAACATTCCACAGCCCGCTGTATTTTCCTTTAAATCGCCTGATAACTAATTTTCCTTTTCTTTGACTCTCGAGCTGCTGGAATAAACACCTCCTTTAAAGGATCAATAAGTTAAACCCTTCACGTGAGCTATCTTTACTCTGACTGCTTTAGACATGAGAAAAAAAATACACATCCTTTAGTTTTGCCATCACAGAGTGTGCAGGCGAAAGTCTGTCAGCCTGTGTGAAAATGACATTTCTTTTGTTTTTTAGAAATCTAATTAAAAGTCTGTGATGTAAAGGCTTCTCCTGCAGGCTTCGCTCTTATTTAATCAGGCTCTGTGACAAAAGGCCCACAGATATTTACTGCTACAGTCTGGATGAGAAGCTGCAGACGGAGGGGAGGTTTACAAACCGACACTCAGGCTCTTAACAAACACTTGTGCTGCTTGGCAGTGAGCCCTTTTTTTCTCAGGAGGGAGCAGTGAGGGGTTGGTGCCTTGCTTAAGGGCATGTTGAAGAAGCAAAGAGCATTTATTCAGCCTGTTTTATTTATTTTATATTTTTTCTGTTTGTTTTATTCATTGAATTTCTAAAGCATATCCCCCTGCATGTCATTTTGCTGATATGAATTGTAAAATTATTCATTTTCCTACTGTAAGAAATGGTTGATACACTTGCAGCCACTGTTGGTCAAACACTCAGGGAAACGTTCAGATCTTTGAGTTTGACTTTGCGTTTCATCACACAGAGTTTCAACCTTTTCAATCACATGTAGATGACTCAATAATTGCAACACTTTGAAGCAGGGTTTAACTATTGTTTGATGTGCTTCACTGCTCACCCTTCAACGTTTTATTCTCTTTTTTAGGCATTCTCGATTTTTATTTTCACAACATGTTTACAGCTGTAGTAAATATCTCCCTATTCATTCAGGAAAGCCTCTTGATGTTTGACACCACATTTCCACTGCAGATCTCAACAACATAATAACAAAGACAGAGCTGACGCACAAATAATCAAAATATCATTTAATCTGGAGAACAAGCCTGTAATTTGGAGAATCATGGCTGTCTGGATGAGAACTGCCATTTTCTTAACTCTTGACTGCTTTTAGACCTTTAAGAATAAACATATTGACAGGATTTGTTCCTCAGAATATATCTAAAATATAGCAGGATCATCCTATATTCTGGATTTACAAATTAATGGCCAATATTTGTTTCTTATCTGTCGTAATTTATCAATAAAGTCAGTGTACCCCACATACCTGAGGCTTGCTGTCATCCAGCGCTATACTGTCAGGGAGGATTGAAGGCGATGAAACATGGGGAGTCCAACACCATCCATCTAACAGACAGCAGGTTATTTTAATAGTATAACAGTGATGATACCACATGTGAGTCTATTTAAATGTGACCATTAACGTTTTGAAACCTATTAATCATGTTTGTTTTGTTTGTTTTGATCAGCCCCTCCAGAAAGTTCTTTCAGCTCCGTGTTGCTTCACTCATTCATAATATGTGATACATGATGTCTAACTGCCTCATGTTGCCAAGCAAATGCAAACTTAGGCTCAAAAAGTTGTTTTTTTACATCACCACAAGTTCATTCGAGTAATATGTTGAAACTGTCTGTTATTGAATGGAAATGCTGGAGGCGACTTTGAGCAAAAAGCCTTTCAGAGGCTTTTGTGTACCAACAGGTGATTTTATTATAAGCAGTATATTTAGCTTTGTATCCTCATAGTTGAATTTTCTTCCTAGCATTGATGTAAGAGCCCTCTAAAATATAAAAGACTATTGTCTGAAATGGAAATCACCTCTTATCTTCTTTGCTGGCAGAGATGTTGGTCTTCTTTTTCCAGATGGAAAATTAAATATCTTTCCTCTCGCCCTCGCTGCCTGGCTTAACTCAGTTATGGATCACAGAGTTCCGCTTCAGGCTGCATAAAGCAGGGTCATCATGAAAAGAACATGAGCCCTTGAAACCTTGAAACAAATGTTCAGATTTCATTAAATCCTCTCTTGTTTTTACAAGATCTGACCGTAAAAACCCTCCCTGAACATTACACTTCCCTGACTAATCCCTGGATCATGTTAATCTACATTTAAAATGATCAGCAGGTGTACAGGATCGTTTGCATTTCAGCCTGATGTGGTTTGGTTTTGTGAAGCAGGAATCTCGAAGTGTCCTTTTTAAAGTAGGTGCCCTGTGGAAACCCAGGTATGAGTTACACATGCTGTGGATGGACAGGGTTTTGCAGATGCCTTGCAGACATGTCTAGTCTCCACACACACTGGCCCGGCTTCCATGAGATACCATAGTCTGGCTGGCGCCACCGTCTCCAGCTGAGCCAAACAAGATGAGCTGGCTCGCTCTTCCACACACTCGGAGGTGTCTCTTGTCTCGTATTTACAGCCCCTTTAACCCTCCTCTCCTCTCACCAGAAAGCATTACATCATTGACCCCAATTCAGACCATGGCCAAGGCATTTCACCACCCTTTACTGTCAGGGGAATTTGCACCTGACTTGATCTATGCAGGATCTTTAGGCAGAGAAGAATGAGAGATTCTCAGAGTATTTGTTGTGGATTTGTTTGTGCATAATTTGGCATATCATGACAGGCGGTAACAGCTGCTAAAGTATGCCATGCACTCTGACGGAAGCCCTGATGATGAAACCAGGGTGGCCTGATTTATTAGTACACAAGCATCTGCAGGGGAGTCACAGGAAGTACTTCCATAAGGTTTTTCTTGGGACCTGACATGAGAGGAACGAAGACCTCTTGAAAAAAAAAACAAAAAAAAAACGCCCCTAGCCCATCTTTGCAAGTGGGCGGAGGGTCTAAAATAAAATCAGCTGTCACTGTGTGCTCGTTGGACAGAAGTGAACACATTGCGCTGGAGCTGGTCTCCAACACTGACTGGGATTTGCTTTCGGCTTGGAACGACCCTGCAGGCCGGGGGTGCTGTGGCCTTTGTGTGGGATTTCTACCTGCTGAGCTCGTATTTTCATAATTCATAACACACCTGGTAGGTGATCGGCATTTCAAGAGTGGTGTTTGTGTCTTTGAGTCAACAGTTTAGTGAAAATATTGGAATGAACTTGACTGTATGGATCCAGTGTTTATAATTATAGTTCTGCTTTTAACAAAGTGGGATCCATCTCTTTGAGGTCTGCATCCGGAAACATAAAAGGCTCACGCTAAATTTATGATTATGTTCCAGTACAAAAAAACTAAATGTCTATTTTGTTTCCAACCTGCTGGGAACTTGGCTGTGATTCAGGTCCAAAATTAAATCTATATATATACATTTATTTCTGGCTTGAAGAGAGGTAAGATTGATCCAGTTAACAGACTGACTGAGCTGCTGAACTGTGTACCTGTAGGTGCTCTGTAAACCCACTCCCACGTGGAATCAGGATTACTGAGGAGTTTTCTTTAATTACAGCACAACTGCTTCATAAATGCAGCCTATATGGGAAAAAAAAGACTTGACCTAAAGCTTCCACCTATATTTCACTGAGGAACACGACCCTGCATGGTTAAGTTTAAAATAGGAGTGATTTATTTTAGTGAGTACATGGCGCCGGGATTACTTCACTTTCTTGTTATTTGAGCTCTGAGCTGGACCTGACGTGTCATGAGATAGCCTCTGACTGTTGACAGATTCAACCTGTAGTTCTTACAGCAATAATTTACTGTCTCTTCATCTTCACCCTTAACTAGGAAACTAGGGAACTCTGCTGTTCTGAGTTTTTCCTCAACAAAGTTTTACAGAGAACATGAAGGAAATGGCCTCAGTATCGTAAATGGTTTCCCTTAACGGAGATGTGTAATGGCTGTTCCTTATTCGTCTTTAATGGACTGATAGGTTTACATAAACATGCCCTCCATTCCTTCATGTCCAAAATAGATCATCCGGGGGAGTCTGTGAAGCTACAAATCAAAAACGACAGGAAAAGTATGCCAATTAAAAGCAGGTCATCAAAGTGCAATGCTCTAAAAGTCGGTATCAGATGTTTGTTCCTAAAAATTTAGAAGTTAGCACAACAACCTTAGCCTATCAAGCTCAAAACTAGCTATTGGAAAGGTATTTTAAAAAAGGTGTATTCCTACTAACATAATTACTGCTAAATGATACAAAAGGTGCTCAATGTATCCCATCCAGCACTTTTGCTGACAGCATCATAAATATACACCCAGCCTAAAGTCGTTCCAATTTATCCCAAAATGAGGTAGGGTATAAAAAAAAACAGTTTCAGCACGCCATTAGTCTTCAGAGTAATACTTTTCAAACATAAAAAACAGCCTGGATTCATATTTCAAACTATAAATTGTATCAGCACATTTATATCTAAAAGAAACTGGGGTGTGAATACTTTGAATTCACAAACACGCACACACAAATGTTGAGTCAGCTGCAGGCTGGATGTGGAGTCTGCAGATGTGAAGAGTTTTATGAGTTTAAGATCTCAGTGAGTGTCTCTTTTTAATGCACTGCAACACTCTGCTAGCTTAAGTGTGATGTTGCTCTGAGTCTGAGTGACTCCAGACAGAAACATAATTTATATCCTGAAAGTTAAAAAGTAGAAATTTTATTACCATAACACACATTTTCCTTGTTAGTGTATTCATTCACTACAGGAGGATAGTTGAATATGCCATCATTGACAAAATATGAGTGATATTGCAAACAAGAAGTAACCTTTACGGGATGTAAGTTGTCTTTTGAAAGATTTCAGTATGTTTGTTTTATTCCTAGTATACAAAAAATAGCAACAAACTTTGGCCTAAGGAACCATTTGCAGGAGTCTAAGGGAAACCTTGTAAGAATGGAGGACTAATTTCACCATAAACCCAGAGTTTAGTTTCAGTTGTCTCTCAGTGTTTCTACTCATATTATTACACAACAACTGTTGCTCCTGAAAACTGCTTCTTCTATGAATTTCAGTTGAAAATATTGTGTGTGCTCATGCATATTCACAATAAACCATGTTGTTAGCAATGTTAAGGGACGTGTTAATCCAGTCGTCTAATAGTATCTTCCTTTAGCTAACCAATAATAAAGCTTTGAAAACGAACAAGCACAGATCTGACAGCAGCAGCAGCTCTTTAATTACATTTGTGTACACCAGTCTAAGGTGAAAATCATTTCCTTTAACTGCTTTGTTTTTTTTTGGCTATGTGTGCCTTAGCTGCTGGCAGTGCAGGTTTAACCAGGGCAGGACTTCCTGAAAGAGATTTAACCCAGAGGAACCGGATTCACTCTGTGGACTCAGAGGTCATCCCACTGACCAACTGTGAGGCCATGTACCAGGCAGCTGTCTCCAAGCGAGCAGACACCACCATCCCCAGCGGGGTACTATAGCTCATGCATGGACATGCAGTCCATCTTAAATGCACCACTCAACTGCTTACTAGTCCTCCATGCATTAAGAAGAGTATTAACACCATAAGACGTCTGCTTCTGATGGCTTTGGTTTTCTTGCTTTATTGAAGGACGCTTCTAGCTTCTAGCTTCTAGCTTCTGCAGAAACCCTGAAAATGTTTCTCCGTAGTTTGGCTGCACTGAGCAGGTTTTTGTCACCATCATTGTTGGTGTTGTAATGCAGTATTAGTGGAGGTGATGACAGTTTTGAAGTTGGGGGAAGGGGGTCAGCAGTCTTGCATTTACATGATTATAAATAGAAGGGAAACATGAGACTCCCTTCAACAGGGCAGAAAATAGAGGAAGGTTGCAGGAAATGTGAAATATTTCTGGCTTTACTTTTAAAGGGCTTTAACATTTGAAGCTATTACATAAACAGGCTGTTATGTGTGTTTGTGTATGTGTGCTTAGAAAAAGAGGGAGCAAACGGCGTAGCGCATTAGCCTGACAGCAGCCCACCCTGCATGCATACCAGACAGAGGAGCCCTATTAAGCATCAGTTTGATTTCAGGTCGTGCCAAAGAGGAAGCAGCTAATGATATTTCCTGCTTCATTAGGTCATGGAGGAGTCGGAGGTCTGTTCCCTGCCTGGGGGACTTGCCAGTGTGAGGAAGCAATTTGAGACCCAGGAAACTGCAACTTCACATAATGTAACCCAGTTCCACTTTCATCACAGGACCGTGCAGGTATACATGTTGAACACACTCAACTCGAGGGGCATGTTGGGCTTTCAGCTGGATTCCCTGCAAGTAAAATATATGTTAGATATTAACTCAGAGGGTTTTACCACATCGTATCAAACCAATACAGGAGCAAAGTGAGTAGGTTAACACATCTTATTCGCCTTCCTCGAAACAGCTTTCATGAAAGCACTCATACTGAAGTTCCATTCCATTCAGACAGAAACTTTGCTAAGCAACAGGAAAGAATGTCTTATTTCGTAGTTTTCAACGTGAACAGCTTGACATGTTCTTTGTCATCTTGCCTCCATCTGCGATTAGTCATTTCAAACTGCAGAGAGCAATCTGTTAGAGCATCTTCTCTACGTGCTACTCAGTTGTGTACTATTAAGCTTTGACTGGTGGAGTAGAGTGAGCTCGAATTTATGTGTCTGACAAGCAGGGCAAAGTGATGAAATGGGACAAAAAGAGTTATCTGTATTCATGCTTGCTACGTGTTGGGGGGAAAAAAAACACACTTTTTCAGCTGTGTCTGACAACCACTGTCACTTCTTCACAGGAAATGTCAAACTCAGAGGTGATGGTGTCAGGCAGCAGCAGGCAGGTCCTCCCAGGCAGTCAGCAGCTCAATGTCAACCAAGAAACCATGGTACGTTTTTGTCTCTGTGCTCCTGCAGGGGGGTGAAAATGCTTTGCTAATGAGCTAAACACAGCGATTGCCTTCTCGCTTAAAAACTGAGACAGATTGCAATTATTCAAATTTGTGAAACAAAAGTATCTTAACTTTGTTTTAATATATTCATGTTTGATATTTGTGAAATTTCTTTGTCTTTTCAAAATGATATTAGATGTTATACGGCAACAGTAACCTGGAATCCACTTTTGAAAACCATCAAAATGAAACAGGTGAGTTTGGGGTTGGATATATTTGGTTGTTTAAGGCTTTTATGAAGACATTCCTCTATACTTGTGTCTGTGTTAACATTTAGAAGAGGAGTTTCCCAGGTATACTACCAAAGAACTGAGGGATCGCTTTGAAAGAACGATAGAGGAGGCGGCTCCCCAGAAACCAGTCAAGGTGAGCATTTCTACGTCAGGGAAAGTGTCAAAACCTGAGGAGAAGGAATACTCAATTTACAATATTTAAACTGGTTATAAATCAAATTATAAAGATATTTACTTAGTTGTAATCCTTCAGATTTTTGCCCTTTTTGATTTGGCCTCTATTTCGGTTATTTACATACCACAGCGAAGGATGCCTCAGTCTATTGCTCAGGCATACAACAGAGAACACATTTGTGTAATTACGGTACTCTGCATTCAGAGAAAAACTTAAATCAAGTAAAATTGTAGCAAAAATGTTAAATCCCAAGTTAATTTCATGCTGCAAGTAGTCTTAACACTCAGCAGGTGAGCATTGGGCTATTAGACACTTCACAGAGAAGGTGGAGATGTGCATTTCTAATATTTAACAGCAGGAAGATTTTTAGCAGGATATGAAACATTTTTTGAGTGAAAAAACCAGCAGCAACAATATTGGTGATTTGTAAAGAGTGGTTTTTAAAGCTTCAAACCTCTGCAAAGGTAGGAGTCAGACAGATTGCAGCAGTAGGTTTGACATTTTACAGATCCAGAAGAAGTCAGTCACTTGGCTATTAAAGACAGCAGGTAGAGATTTAAGATGTCTATTAGATGTCAATAAATTCAGTCTACAACCACTGAGTTAAGTTGAGATGCTGCATTTGAAGGTTAAATAGTGAACAGGGTGCCTGATAGTCGTGGAAAAACATAAAAAAGAAAGTGTTGAGGTTGAGAACCATGTGTATTCGCTCCAGGGAATCCTTCCTTAGATGAAAGGTGATCAATTTTGGGGTTTAAAGCCATGAAAATCTTAAGGATTACAGCTGAAGCTCATTTTAGCGGCACCCTGATTTGTGGGCTGCAAAGAGAAAGAAACTCTCTACTCTTTGTGATCTGATTTTTACAGTGTATCCTCAATTGTCACAACAAGGGTAGATGTGTGTTTAGCTCTATAATGTGGTGGATTTTGAATTATTTACCCACAAATACCCTCTCTGTCCCTTGACAAGATTGAGCGTGACATCAATCGATCTAAGTGGTCCTCAAATGTGACACAAAACAACACAGTGACTAGTGAGATGTATGAAGCATCCACTGCCGAGGCAGCAAACAATACATCGGCTGCAGTGATGGATTATGAGGACTTTCCGCCCCCGCCAGCTGAGGATTCTGACTATCTTCCACCCCCGCCTCCAGACTTACTACAAATGCCATCAGAGAGTCAAAATGTGCCAGCCTGCAATTACTCACCTGAGCCTCCAGAACCAGTGAACCTCTCCAAACACCCACTCAACAAAGAGGCTTACTTCAAACAGAGGAGTATGTATGAGCTCAAACGCCTCTACAAGCACATTCATCCTGAGGTTCGAAAGAATATTGAGAAGGAGTTCTGCGGTGATTATAATGAAAGTGAGAACAACCATGTAGAGGGCCAAGAGTACATGTACGAGGATGAAGGTGGTAGTCCAGATGATGAGGAAGAGTATGGAGAATGGGAAGAGATCCTACCAGGGGATGTGCAGTCCATGCGTTGGATGTTTGAGAATAAGCCACTGGACACTATTAAAGATGAAGCTCTGGATGAGGACGATGAAGAGAACAAAATAAGTCAACAGGAGATGATTCTTGGGAAAGATGTGAGACGAACAGCTTGGATGTTTGAGACCAAGCCCATGGATGAGCTGAGCTCCAACAATATCCACTCAACTGAATATAAAAACAAATTCAACAAGTGTGAGAAAGGAGATGTTCGTGCTGCAGCGTGGCTGTTTGAAACCCAGACCATGGACACTCTGAATAAAATGCACAAGGACGAGGACTTAACCAAAGAGATTGTGTTCACAGAGGAGGATGGAAATGCCACCATTTACATGATTGACAATAAGTACATGGAAAGCCTTGGACACACGGAGACAATTGACGAGAGCAAACTGCTGAGTCTGCGGTCAGTGTTAGAGGAAATTAGTGGAGACGTGAAAACTGTTACCAGCACTTTTGACACTCAGTTTAAATGCATTATTATGGGACAATCAAGCCAAATGCTGGAAATTAAGTCTGTGCGTAAAATCGAGACGGAATTGGAGAACTCCATCGCGTCACGTTGGCTTTTTGACACCCAACCCCTGGACATGGCAAACAGACAACCTTCATCTCTGAAGCTCGTGTGCAGTCTTTCCATGGAGGACAGCAATAAAGGAGACTGGGGCAGGTGGTTGTTTGAGATAAAAACCCTGAATTCTCTCAATGAGTGGACGAGCTCCAAAATAGAGAATAAAGAGATCATCGGAGCTGATGTACGCAAACACTGTTTAACATTTGAAACCCAGCCAATGGATTCATTGAAGGACGACTCCAACGCAAGAGCCCAGTCCCTTGAAGAAATTATTGTGGGTAATGTTAGATCTGCTCGCAATTTCTTTGAAAGCAGCCCTCAAGCTGTGAGAAAGACTGGGCCTGAGGTCGGGAAACTTCAAAAGGCAACAGTGGATGAGGAAATGAAAGGTGACGTGAGACACCAAAAGTGGCGCTTTGAGAGCCAACCTCTAGAGCATATAAGAGAGGAGAAGAAAGAGGTGACTCGCACTGTGAATATTGAAAACGACCTCACACAGGAGGATGGCGTAAGCTGCAGGGCAGATGTTCGCAAGAACTGCTGGGTATTTGAAACTCAGCCAATGGACACTTTAAAAGATGATTCAAATGCAAAGCCACCGACAAAAGAGGAAATTATTGCAGGTAATGTGAGATCAGCCAGACATTATTTCGAGACAGTTCCATCTGAGGAGCTGAAGGAGCTCGCAGAGGTGGGAAAACTGAAAAAAATGGCAGCACTTGATGAGGAAAAGGGCGACGTGAGACATCAGAAATGGAGATTTGAAAGCCAACCCCTTGAGCACATTAGGGAAGAAAAGAAAGAAGTCGTTCGAACCATCGACATGGAAGAAATTGACAAAGTGGATGTTTCAAACTACAAGCAAATCTTTGAGAGCTCAGAATGTAACTGGAGGGATGACTCTCAAAAGATTCTAATCGAGGGTGTGACATCAGGCTCTGTGAAATCAAACAAAAACCTGTTTGAGTCGACTCCTATGTACGCCATGCAGGACAGCTCAGGGCACTTCCATGAGGTGAAAACAGTGCGGCGTGAAGAGATCGTGAAAGGAGATGTAACAATGTGCAAGTGGATGTTTGAAACACGGCCAATCGACCAGTTTGATGAAACTATTGAAAACTTCCAAATTATCAAAGGTATCTCCAAACAAGAGTTAGAGTCCGGAGATGTCAAAACTGCAAAGTGGTTGTTTGAAACCCAACCTCTTGATGCTATCAAGTATTTCAGTAATATTGAAGATGAGGAAGTTGTAGCAACAAGTTCAAATCAAGAAATCATGAAGGGTGATGTTAAAACCTGCAAGTGGCTATTTGAGACTAAACCGATGGACATCCTGTACGAAAGAGTCGAGTTAAAGGGTGAGAATGAATCTGAACATGTGCAGAAGGGAGATGTGAAAACCTGCACATGGCTGTTTGAGACACAAGCTCTTGATACCATCCATGATGAGACAGAGACCATTCTGAAAACAAGCACTGTGAACCAAGAGGACATCAGAGGGAAAGATGTCCGAATGGCATGTTTTCTCTTTGAGACGGAGAAACTGGAGAACCTCACTGGGGAGGAGGAGGACTCTTACAAGCGTGTCACTGAGATAGACATCGCATCTGGGGATGTGTCGAGGATGAAGTACATTTTTGAGAATCAAACTTCTGATATCATGACTTCTACATCTGATGAAGTCAGGCAAAAGCTCAAGAGAGTTCAGACTGCGGATATTCAAAAAGGAAACGTTGTGAGCTGCAAATGGCTCTTTGAAAACCAATCAATAGATACCATACATGACAGTGAAGAGGGAACAGTGGGCGGCCGCACAGTTCATGATGTGCAAGGAGGAGACGTTGACAAGAGCCGTTTTATTTTTGAAACCTACTCTTTGGATAAGATTCAGGAGGCATCCTCAGAGACGAACGCAGAGTTGACAAAGAGGCAGAAAATCATCAGAGATGAGGATGAGAAGGGGGACGTGAGAAATTACACTATGATGTTTGAAAATCAGCCCCTTTACGCCATCCAGGATAAAGAGGGCCTTTATCACGAGGTCACCACCGTTACCAGCGAAGAGGTTACGAGAGGAGATGTTGTCGGCACACGGTGGTTGTTTGAAACAAAGCCCCTTGATGCTATCAAGGACACAGACGAGGTTTATATAATCAAATCTGTCACACAACAGGATGTGCAGAAAGGAGATGTCACCTCTGCCAAGTGGAGATTTGAGACACAGCCTCTTGATGGGATTGCTGAGGAAAGGAAAGCTTTGGTAAGAACTGTGGATGATATCCAAGGAGGCAATGTTAGGATGAACAAAGATCGTTTTGAGTCTGACGCTCTGTCTCAACAATCTGTCAGAACGGTTAATGTAAGCGAAATACAAAAAGGCGACGTCAGGACTGCAAAATGGAGATTCGAAACCCAGTCAATGGACAAAATAAGAAGCATGAGCTCTGAAAATCTCATTGAAACAGTGAAAAAGGAGGAGGTCGCAAAGGGAGATGTTAAACATTCAGTGTGGCTCTTTGAGGAAAACCCGCTTGACCATATCAAAGAGGTAGATGAGGAGGAAGATCATCCAGCTGTCACGAAAGAGGAGATCTCCAAAGCGGATGTAAAGACAACGACTTGGCTCTTTGAGACAACTCCGTTTGACAACTTTAATGAGACAAAAATGGAGAAGGCAGAAATTGTGGGAAAGAGCATCAAGGGAACTCTTGAAGAGCTTTACAGTCAGGAAATGGTGAAGTCAAAGGGAATTCTCATTGAAGCAGATGAAATTGGAGATGTTAGGATGGCAAAGTACCAGCTGATGAATAAGCATTCACCAGAAATTCAGCGAGAGGAAATCATCAGGGGGGATCTGCAGACGATAATGATGAACCTCCTGAACAGGCAGGAAAGAGAAGAGCGGCAGGTTGTTATAGATTCAGAAGAGAAAGGAAACATCAGTTCAACAGTGCAGCAACTATTCAACCAAGAGAGGGACAGCAGTGTTGAGAGAGAGGAAATAATACGTGGCGATATTCAGGAAGCTATATCCAACCTTTTGAACGGAGGCAAATTGGCTAAACATGGAATACTCATCCAGGAGGACGAGAAAGGAGATGTGCAGATGACAATATACTCACTCCTCAATAAACAAGACGATTCAAGTGTTGAAAAAGAGGACGTTATCAGAGGGGATATAAAGAGTGCTCTTCAAAAACTGGCAAGCGCAGACATGACGGATCAGGCAGTGAGGATAAAGGTAGACGACACAGAAAAGGGAAATGTCAACTTCTACTCCACATGCATTGAATCTGGGGCTCTAGATTATCTTAAACATCTTCATTTAGAACCTGATGAGGCTCAATCTGACACAGCAGAAAAGGAGAAGATCGTCGGGGGCGACATTAAGGGCACCAAGCGCATCCTCAGTAGCAATCGAACACAAGTTGAGCGTACAGTTGAGGATGTCATACCAGGAGATGTTCACAACGCCGTGAAGGTTTTCATGTCTGAACCGAGTGTCTCATTGGAAAAACTCCAAAAGGAAGAGATAGTCAAAGGTGATTTAAGAGCCGCTTTGAACTCATTGTCCGTCTCAGCAAATCAGTCTGTTGTTGTGGAGAAAGAGGAGGTGGTGAAAGGTAACATACCCAAAGCCCTGCGCTGTCTGGAGAGGGCTCAAAAATGGTACAAGGAGGTCGAGAAGCCAGATATCATACCAGGAAATATCAGAGGTGCGCTGAGATCTCTTGAGAAATCAGCTGCACCCAGAGTTGAAGCTGTTGTCGATGATTTAGTTCCTGGAGATGTGAAGGCCACTCTTAAATCACTGGAGCTGGCCAAGCAAGCAGTGAAGGAAGTCGAAAAGGAAGAAATCGTGAGGGGGGATATTCGTATAGCAAAGCAAAGTCTTCAAGATGCCTCCAGTGAGAGGAAAATCAGTCAGCAGGGAGCAGATGTCCAAGGAGATGTCAGAGGAACAATTCAGCTCTTCATGGATCCTCCATCTTCACCAAGGATGCAAAGGAGCCCGAGTGTGGAGGGTGAGGTAAAAGGTGATGTCAAGATGTCAATTAGGTCACTGTATGAGACACAGGAACAAACTCAGCTGGAGAAGGAAGAGGTGATTAAGGGCGATGTTAAAGGCACTATTAAATCATTGCTGGAAACAGCACAGCGTGAAGCTCCTAAAGTCAGACTCGGAGCATACAGAAGAGTCAAAGTCAAGCAGAGCCCTCCGGTTAAAAACCTAAAGACTGATGCTCAACGAAACATACAAAAGATAAAGACTGCCAGTGTGGTTGAAACAGCACAAGAAAATCACTCTGAAATTGAAACAGTCAAAACAAAATCCAGTTTTGTGCAGCAGTCGGTCCAAAAAACAACAAAAACTGTGGTGGAGCATAAAACCATTACCCAAAACCACGGCATCAAGACCTTAAAGACGGAGTTCCGTAATCTCAAATCCAATCCAAAGGCAATGATCAAAGCCGATAAAACCAAGGTGAAAACGGATGTCATCGTGCTGAAACCAAAAGCACCAGAGCCTGATCTGCCTCTTCCACCACCACCTCCTCCAATGGTGGACACAGACCTCCCCCCGCCCCCTCCTCCCACCTCTGTTGATTCTGACATGGATCACCTTCCTCCTCCACCACCTCCTCTCACCAGTGAACCAGATGTCCTTCCTCCTCCTCCATCTCCACAGGAACTGGAAAGTTTGCCAGCACATGCAGTTCATGCTTCACCTGCCAAAGCCAAAAAGATGACCGTGAAAAAAGTGAAAGCTCCCGCTGTGCACCAGGTCTCCAAATTGAAGCAGAAAGCGGAGTTAAGCAAAACAAAAGAGGTGGAGGTTAAAACAGAAAAGGTGGTGGAAATAAGTCAAAACCAGTCCAAAACAACCACACAAACATCCAAAATGGTCTCACATGATATCCCACCCCCACCTGCATCACCCCAACCGCTAAAGAAAGTTTACATCTCTCCTGTGAGGTTCACCCCTCCGCCCTCTCCTCCACCTTTCATGAGAGGCCAAATGAGTAAATTTAGCACCCCGCTAATCAAAGCAGAAGAAAAATTCCGGAAGCTGAGGGAGGAAAACACACCCCCAACCTCTCCATCACCCACTTTGATCCATGACTCAGTTACAGCTGCCCTTGAAGTGCTTTCCAGCAAAGACGCAGAGCAGTTAAATAACAACACAACGCAAATCAAACAGCAGAAAGCTGAAAATATGCAGCTGAGTGTTCATCCAGATTCCAGCTCAGGCGCGCTATCTAAGGAAAGTGTGGTCTCGAATACCATGCAGAGCAATTTCAGCACAAGTCATGGGAAAGTTGTCTCAGATTCTAGGAGTTTATCCTCTACTAAACAGCAAATAGTCTCTAATGAGACTTCTAAGGTTGTCTCCTTTCAGAAGACTTCGTCCGTCTCATCTGTCAGACAGCAAACGCACACAACCTCGCAGAAAACGGTTTCTGTTTCCTCCACCAAGTCTGCTCAGTCTGTCACGGCTGAGAAAACTCAGGGTTTGATTACTGATGTAGCAAGAATAGAGAACATGGTGGCTGATAGACAGACGGATCCTAAAAACCAGAACACAGAGGCCATGGTCAAATCTGAGGAGATAAAGGAGAGTAAAAAACGTGTTGATAAAGCCTCAGCTAAAATGCTCAAATCTGGACCTGCTGTCACTTCTGAGGAGAATGTTAAAGATAAAAGTGTTAAAGAGGCCAAAACAGCACAACATGATAACAAAAAGAAAACTGATCACTCTCCTCCAAAGAACAAAGAGAAAGTGTCTGATCAACCAGTACAGACAGAAAAGGCGGCTTCAAACACTAATGGAAAAAATGGCAAACTGAACCAAAAGGTGAAAAAGAACAATAAACAGGAAAAGCAAGCTGAGGTGAAAACTTCCAACGAGGCAGAGAAAACCGGTGTTTCACAAGAAATCAAGGTGGAAGTGAAGGAAGCTAATGAGGTGAAAGTGATCAGTGAACCTAAAGAAGTGAAGGCTGAGGTGAAGCAGGAGATTACAAAAGTCACTCCTCCTCTCGCTGCTGCCTCCATGTCTACTGTTACTGTGAGCGTAACTGACAGTCAACCAGAAACTGCTGCTCCAGTGAAGAAGAAAAAGAAGTCCAAAAAGTCAAGACAGCAACATGTAGAAGTTATAGAAACTAAGACTGAGTTACCTGAAAAAGTGAACCAAACTCAGGTGTCAATTGCGACCACCCAAATTCAAAAGAGTGTCAAAGAAGAGAAAATTCAGGTGGTTACTGTGGGCAGCAAAGATGATCAGATCTCACAGCAGCAAAAAGCAGTTCAGAAGAATGAAAAGGGGTCTCAAAAGAAAAAGGGAGTGACAGCAATTCAGCAGAGCACAGAGAAACCATCAGAAGAAAGCAGGGATATCCCAATTATAGTGACAGGGAAGTCCAACAAAAATGAGCTGGTTAAGTCCACAGAGGAGGCTCAGACGGGGGACAGCCAAGTGTTCATCTCTCACATCACACAGACACAAAAAGTTTCAGGAAAGACTCATTCTAAAATCGTAAGCGCTCAGTTTGATACAGATCCAAATTGGCTCACAAGTCGGGGAGAAGACAACGAGACAATGGAGAAGCATGAATGTGAGCCGGTGTCTGAGAAATCTGTTTCTGGCAGTGCAACACCAAGAATTTCTAAGATCAGCATCGGTTCTGCCAAAATTGAGAGCCAAACGCAGAAAAGGACCTCCCATGAGAGGAGGAAAGAAGAAGTGGGTCAGTCCAAGTTTGTTGACCTTCGGGCTCCCTCCCCGTTGCTGAGGATGCGTTCCCCTTCACCAACTTTTATCACCATCGAATCCACACGAAGAACTGACTCACCCCAGAGAGTCACACCATCACCTACCCTGCTGCACAGGCCACCAACACCTCCAACACCACCGCCACGCAGGTGTGAGACCCCGACATCACGTCTAACCAGAATCACACCTTCTCCAACTTTTGACCGAGCGGAAAATTTGCCTCGACTCAAAGACGCAACTGCAAAGCTGTCTCGTGGTGTAACCCCGCCACCCCTGCTTCCTCAACAAATCTCAGAGAGGAAATCAGAGATTATAGAATCACCAGCATCATTCCAGAGGCAAATTAAAATCGATTCACAACTTTTGGAGACTTCAGGGACATTGATTACCACAGAGAAATCCAAAAAGAGTTCATCTGGTGAGGCTCAGGGAGCTGATGTGAATTTGGCTCACAAAGATAATACAGAAAATAAGTCAGAGGATTTGACTGGAAACGAAATACAAAGTCAGCCTGAGAGCCATATGCTAGAGTGGCAGAATGAACCAGATGTCGGTGGAGATTCAGACAGCTCAGAGCCATCAACAGCATCTTTCAAAGAAAAGAGAAACTTTTTTGAAGTGGCTCAAAGGGCAGAAATTAATAAGACCTATATGCGAAAGGAGCCCATTGACATCCCTGAACGGCTGGGCCCAGACACAGAGGAGTATGAGGAAGAAAATAAGAACAAAGAAAAGGATGAGCTTCCCAGGGCCGACATGTCTAGTCTTGTAAACAAATTTCAGTCACCTGAAGAGAGATCATATATCAAAAAAGAGCTTATCCCACTGGCAGAGCGGCTTCACAATGATGCCGAGAGCACTGAAGAGACAATAGACATCCTGGAACAGGAAATGCCAACTTTTGACATCCATGCCATTAAAAATGTTTTTGAACTGGGTGAGCAAAGTCCCTCGATCGGAGAGGAGAAAAAGGATCAGGAGGAGCCTGTGTCAAGCCTGAGTGAAACAACGGCAGACACTTCAAAGAGTGAAAGTCCTCAGGAGACAAAGGGGGGCTCACTACACGGCACCCTCCTCCCCCTGTTAAAACCTGATCTGGAAACTGTGCCAGCAGAGCCAGCAGGCTTCTCTGAAACAAAATCAATCACAGAACACTTTGCAGACGTTGATGAGTTTGGTAACAAGGTCACTGGAACAAGGACAGCTGTCACCAAGCACTCAGAGAGTGTGTCAACTGAACACACTCCCTTTTCCTACGCTGATGCTGTGAAAAGAAAAGCTGCGGCGGCGGCGAGGAGAACAGAAACCTATGATGAAGAAGCTACTGAGAGGCTGCTGAGAAACTTCCACAAGACCTGGACTGAGAGTGAGTCAGTTTTCAAGAGTCTCGGCTACACTGTTTCCGAGGAGACGACATCGCAAGTTGTGTCGCAGCAGACAAAGACCGTCTCATCTGGTAAAGACCTGAGCAGCATGACACAGCAGACACAGATGGCATGGACTGTGGGTGGTTTGGTTTACTTGTTCTGTTCACGAGCAGTTTTTAAAACAAGTAGACTGTATGAACTGTGTGAAAGCAGCGAGCTAAATGCTTACACTGGCATGTTGATCTGTAACGGGAAGGCCAATTATTAAGGTGTGTTAGCATGATAACAGTTTGGTACCACGGTTAATACTGGAGGGCATGTAAGGGTTCAAATTTGGTTGAGCCAGTTGAACAAGTGGGAAAAAGTCCACGATAACACAGTGTCATCCTCTCTGTGAGGACGAGAGTTCACCAGGTTTCATTCAAAATTTTCAACTGTTTTTCTGAACAGCTTATTCAGGGTTTTTTGGTGAAGACCTAAGTGGTGGATCTTTCTATGGAGCAACAACGCTGGCATGACTAATTACTGGGTTTAAGTTGGATTGGGTTTTTAGTCTTGAGTACTTGATATGATGTGCACTTCTGTATTAAGTTCATTTTTGATACAGGAAATCACTGTTGAAGTCCTCTATTATTTCACTGTTTTTTTCTGCAGCTTTCAATCAAAGCTGATGAAGACCATGAGCTTTGATGGATGGTTGAATGGTGTTATATTTTAAGCCCACATCAAACCTGGAACAGAGATAATGATACAGTCTCCCACTCCCTTATGACCAACCTCTTTGAAGACTATTTAACCAGTTTTGTATAGCAGCCAAAGGCTGGTGTGGTTTAAACCGGTCAAACTGCTCCCTGTGAGCAGCATTTCTATCTCCCCATAAGGCTGTCCATGAGCTGTCACAGTAAAGCAAGCTTTTCATTTACCTTTCCAGCAGTACAGTTAAAGTAGAAGCAGTCTGACAGTTTGCACTGAACCAGATAATAGCCTGTTGTTTGTTTTCACAAACACTGACAAAGTGCAGTTTAAAGTTGTTTAGATATCTGTGCATGGATGTTTGCAGAAAGAATTACATGTAAACCCACAATATGCCGAATCGTTCCCTACCATGGACACTGTATATGTTTTATTCAGCCAAATGAGCATGCATGATAAATAGGGTATGGTACTGCTTTGTGCTGATGCATGTGTTGTTGCATGGTAAGGCGTCTCAAAGGAAATGCCCTTTAAATAAAAGAAAAATCTAACTATTTGCATTTTATCGCTTCTCTCTCCTTAACAGGTTCGAGTTCCCAAGTCGGAGCTCTGCACGGTTTGCCGGAGGAGAGCTTATCCGATGGATGCTGTGATAGTGGACAAAAAAAAATACCATAAATCCTGTTTCTACTGTGAGCACTGCAGAAATAAATTAAGGTAACTATGGCATACCTTAATAAATGGTCACGATGGATAACATGGGAGCCATTAAAGGTCTCATTAATCTCCTAAATGCGTTTGCATTAGAGTAGCAGTATAAGTGTCAGGAGTGTACAGAATAGCTAACTGCTTAATGATTTGACTGCTAAGCATTATATTCTTTTCTCTTCCAGTTTAGGAAATTATGTCTCTCTCCATGGACACTTCTACTGTCTACCCCACTACAAACAACTTCTAAAGTCCCAAGGAAACTACGATAATGGATTTGGGCAGAAACCTCCTGCAGGAAGTTTTGTACCTATCCCCTCAGACGAATGGAGATATTCCATAAGCAGCCTAAATTCAATAGATAAAACACACTTTAGTGACAAAGAAATAACAAAATCCTATCATGAAAGCAAACCGCTCTTCAGCAGAATTTCTGTAGTTTGGCCCCCACAGGCTGATCCTCCTAAGAAAGCATTTAAAATAGAGGAAGACATTCAGCTAACTAAACCCCAGTGGCCTCCAACTGACAGCTCCCCAAAGTCAGCCCAACACCAACACAGAAAGGCTGTTCCCAGAAGTGTCCTTTGAAATTGAGTCCCCCTACCACGTTTTAGTCAAATAACTCCAAAGAAGGAACACAAAAGAAAGGATGATGAGAAAGGACTGTCCTGGCGGTACTGCTACAGGAAGTGTTTGATTAAAGGTCATACAGTCAAGTGAGTTAAAAAGGAACATGTAAGGTGAGGATGTGGAAGAAAACTGTGTATATACTTGTAAATGGTTTGTACGGGTGAAGGAAGGCTGTAAGTGTGATAGTAAGTGGAACAGAGATACTGTAGGTGAGGAAAAGGTTTAGAAAGTGGACATTAGGACATGTGCATTTCATGTGTATTTGATATATATATTTGATCTCTGCAGACATCCAGCAGTCACAGTGACATGTTAGTTTAAAGAGTTAAAACAGAGACGGTTAGTTAATCTCTGTGTTAGTTTTAATTAACCTTTAGATTTTGAGTTTGGTTGTAGGTGTAGCTGAATATCTTTCCCTCAAAAATCACACTGCTGTTAAAAATAACACACTTCAGTCAATTAGTGCTACTTTCATACACAACTGCCCCGCGTCTTTTCACCCCCTTTGTTTGATTCATACTTGTGTACTTTCTTCTTCAGGTTTACTACATTTTTTATGCTGGTCCATGGAATATGTTAATGTTTTCAGTCTCTAGACTTAGCTGTTGTAATATCATCAGGGCTCTTAACAAATTGACATTTTTGCATTTTTTAGCACCTGCTGTGCAGACAACTAAAATGTCTGGGACTATATTATTTATAATATTGAAAGTATATAATATGAAGAAGTGAATTGGTTATAATCATGTTTGTTTTGGACATTTGTATCCTATTTTGAACAGCAAATATTTTTGAATAAAGATTTTATTTTATAGATTAGACAGATATACCTTTCTTTGTACAAGAAAATTCCTGATCTTGTCACACTGTCAGGCTGGTTCACTTTATTGCTGATCTAAGGGCAATAAAATAATGATTTTCATTGTGTTGGGTGTCTCTTTGAAAGTCTCGCGCTTACTTCAACCTTAATTGACTCCAAACTGCTCAAGGAAATACTCGCTCAGATGTTTGTCTGGATGGAAACAGGAAACAAAAGCAGGTCAGCGGATTTTTTACACCGTTGGAATAATCTCCTTGAGAAGATAACCCCACCCTCGACAGGATTTTGAAGCTCAAACCGGAGGTGTGCCTGCAGTAGACTGGAAAACTGTTTCCATGTGAGGAAAAATTAGAAATAGATCACTTAAAAAGGACCCACTGAGGAAAAGCTTCAACACATGCTGCATGATAAGAGCAACACGTCTTAAATGAATTTTACAGCTGGTCTAAAATAAGCTCATGACCAAATGTGGTTCCTCATCCTCTTACTGCTCCTCACTGTGGACGTGTACAAGATTAGCATACCTTTAATCGCCTATAAAACTGCAAGACATGAGTATGTTTTTAATCTATCTTAAAGGTGGATTTCTTTGTTTGTGTGTATTAACAGTGAATGGAGGCACCAAACAGAGTTTTAAACACATCACTGACCAGGTTACTGTGCTTTATGTAGTTTATTTAGCAGCTACATACTGAGTTTACATTTGCAGGTGTGTCCTACATATGATCCCCTGTCTGCCTTCACTAATTATTTAATCAACTAACACTTAAATAACATGCAGATGTTATCAATAATGTGTTTATTTTTTTATTTTTGTAAAGTCACACAACAGAGCAGCATCCTTTAAACTCATTATCTATTGAGACTTAAAAAAAAATATGTCCTAAGCTACTATGTACAGATGTACCGATATAAAAAAAAAAGATGTGCTACAGTGAAAAGCAAAATATGCTAATAGCAGCCAGTGTACACAGCCAAACAGCTGATTTAAAAGGTACAGTGTGTAGGGATAGGAAAATGAGAATCAAAATTATTAAAATGCTCATGGATCTAATCTCTGGATTTCTCTTAATGTTAGGACATCTCTCTCTCTCTCTCTCTCTGTCTCCCTCTCTCTCTCTCCAAAAGAAAAAAATAAAACCAATCTTTTTAATCTGGCTTTCCATTCAGAGAGATTTAATGATTTTGGCCAAAATATGTATGGATTTTTCGATAGATCAATTATTATTTTGGTAGTCAGTTTTGTTTTATTGATCTTAAACTTACTTTATTGATCCTTTACTTTTAATGACTTCTATTTATTCTTTTTTTTTTATATAACTCCTTTCTGTTGCATTATGTTATGAATGAAAGGTGTAATATAAATAAAGTTGATTTTTAGTTATTATATGCTTATTTAAACATACTTGTTCTTGTAAATGCTACACCCTACACCTTTAACCAAAGCTCTTCTGTAGAAGCTGTTTTTTAGTTTTGTCAAAATCCTATTTATAAGCAAGCAAATAAAAGTCTCAGTTATTATTATTAAATGTACGGACCAAAAATATATGATTTAAAAGTAATTAACTTGGTTGTTTACTTTGATTTGTAGACTCAGATACACCTGTCTAGACCAGTGGTTCTCAAGTCCAGTTCTCGAGGCCCACTGTCCTGCATGTTTTGGGTGGTTCCCTGCTCCAACACACCTGATTCAAATGATTAGCTCGTTATTAAGCCATTACGGAGCTTGATAACGAGCTGATCATTTGAATCAGGTGTGTTGGAGCAGGGAAACATCCAAAACATGCAGGACAGTGGGCCTCGAGAACTGAACTTGAGAACTACTGGTCCAGAGGATGTTATGGGTGGAGTCGCAATCCTTTTAGGAAAGCCAGCACAGGTGTGCTTGTCGGTCTTTGTTTGATTCAGGTTGAGATGAGCGGCACGAAAAGCTCTATGGAACCTGCAATCAGCCAAATAAATGGAAAGCTACAGACCTGTGAGTACTGGAGTAATTTTATGAATGAAGATGGACACGCGTCAGTACAACTGTGGTGCTCGTCTCATCCAAGTGACTTTAAAAACTATTAAGGTCCTTACACACCGGGGCCGACGCAAATATAGAACGCGAAATTAGGAAATATTCTGAGGTGAATTTTGACGCGCCTGACTACACACATTAAGAAAGAAGACTGACACATCACCAGCGTGACTGTTTTCAGTTCTTATTAGACACTAGTGTTGAGATGGCTGTCTGTCATGATAGCATGTACTGAGTCAGGGCCAGTACCAGATAAGCACATTAAACTATAATCCAAAAACGTAAGGTAACAACCAAGACCTAATGGTGCTGTGACAGCAACGCGATTGAGTTTGAGACAGTGAAAATACATATAGTATGTTGTATCTGAACAGGTTAGCTTACGAGCTAAAATTACTTAGCACAGATGAAAGTTAAAACAAAGACGTTCAGCACACTGTTAAGGCACACAAACTATCGTCATATGAGAGATCAGACGCTATGACTCTCCACAAGTTGTCCTTCAGGTCGTTATCTTTGTCATATTTGTGTCTTTTATCAAAAAGCACTCTGTTCTCCGACACGTAAACAATCAGCCGGTCAGCCATGTTGAACCAGACGTTGCAACAACACGCAATCTGATTGGTCAGAGGTGGACACACAGTATGAGAAACTTTAATGAAAAAATTAATGCCGCAATATCGCAGGATGGGAAAACGTCCCTGATGTGAACGCTTGTATTGACAGGATATGGGTTTGAAATAAAAATATTGACGGCCAAAATAATCACACAGAAAAAACGGTCCCAGTGTGAAAGGACCTTTGGAGAGGAATCTGCCACTACACCTTCTTTTGGCTAAGATGGGCTAATGCCACCCCAGTTCCCCTTTTGGCACACCTCTGCCTACTTTTTTTTTTTTTAATCCCCTGCCTTAACGGATGTATGGCTGCAGGCTAAAACATAAGCTTCTATTCTTTAGGATAATTTAAACATTACTAAAATAAGGCAACATTTGTACATACTTACTTACTTAGCTCATTAAAACCTTCTGGGCGTGAATACTTTCTAAATGAGTATGTTTAGTCTCCCCGATGAGGGGACGGTTCCCCTGACTTGCTGTGAAATTCTCCCACAGCGTCAATCTACCTTGCTACTCCTGTATAAGCGCGCTCTGCACTTTCTCCCCCTGAGCGGATTGGTAAAGGATCTATCGGATTACACTCTGATTGGTGGAGTCAGGCTCGTCAGGCGGTACGTCAGCTTCGTTCACTACCATCATGTTTTCCCCTCTTGGTCAAAAAACAGTGCTTGAGAATGCTGGAGCAAAGCAGCCGCGTATCATCAGGACCACAAGTCTGAGTGGGATGGAGGCACTGAGAGAGGTAAGCACAACAAGGACGCTTTTTTTCCTCAGACATGGCGCGGGCAGTGCAGGTGGATCTTGTAGTCCCCCTGTGGGATGCGGTTGAATCTACTTTTTCTTATTCCTGCAATGTTGGTGAATTCGCCTCACCGCAGGATATAATCCGTCCTTCCTTGTTCCCGTGCGCTCATCCGCGTGTTTCAGGCTGTCCCGGGCATTGAGGGGCTCTGATCTTTGGTTCAGTCCTTTGCAGTTTTGCTCGCCTGGGTCCATAGTGATGCAGCTACTTTGGCTCAGTCCCTGTTGGGCACACACTGATCTCCGTCCCGTTTCACACAGGCTGTCCCCTTTGCACTTAGATATGCGTAGGATGTCCAGGACGATGGGAGGTGCAGGTGGACAAGTTCCACAGTAACCTATCAAACTTTAAACTGACCTAACCTATTTGTCTTTATTTTGGCTTGTGATTATACCCTCGTCGCTGCCTTGCAGGATACCTGAGCCTCTCAAAGAAGGAATTTAATTTAAAAAGCTGCATATTATTTGATTTACAGATTCTTTCACTTGAAAAATCTTGTTACAGATAATTGAAGTGTCCATATACTATATATAGAGTCCAGTTGTGTTGTCTAATTAAATTATGATTATTTATAATGGGAATGGTGCTCAGCCTGAGTCAGACTTGGACTGCAGCCTTAGCCCTCTAAAAAATTAAAGTGTACACAGAGAATCTCCAGCCATTTGAAGAAGTTATGAATCATCCTGAGAGAGCAGAGCAACATGTTTTAATTTGTTTGGTTTGTAAGCCTCAATATTTGTTGTGATCTGACTCATATTAAAATATATATTTGCACTGTAACAAACCCTCTCAGTCAAATACATGTATTCAGAAATTGATTTCAGCTGCTTTCAGGTGCTGGTTATTCTTGCTTTTATTATCTGTCTTGAGGATTCTCTGTTTCTGACTCTAGCGTTTCTGTTTTACTTCATACGTTGTAGAGAAATTACATTTTCAGATAAAAAAAAATCAGAAGAGCTTTTTAAGTTCAAAGTCAAGAGTCGGCAGGCTCTCAGGAGGAGCTGTGCCTATTCTCGTTGCCATTACTGGGACATTTTAGATCGTTATCTGGATCAAACACTAATCCTCTTTCTCCTTCAGCCACATCATGGTTTCCATTGCATGTCCATCTGCTGGTACTGTAAGTGTATTTCCTGCCAAGCTTCCTGTGTGTTTAGGACCAATCTTCTTGTTTGTGTTGTTCAGTGCGGAGCTTGTGCTCAAACTATGAGGACACGTCTGAGTGTATGCCCTGCTAACAGTGACGGCTCGCACTAATCACACTCCTGCAAGGTGTAATTAGTCTCCGCCGTCTAAAGCTTTAATCCTGGGTTTAAGTGGACTGTATCTTTGCCTCGTCAGTATAGCCTCCAGCATAACACTAGGCTTAGATTCTGTGTTTGGTAACATGTTGTCAGTGGGTTTTCTATTTAGGATTCATTATCATATTTGACTCTTGCTGTGTGTGTGGCACAAATGGAGGGGGATTTTCTCAATTTAATTCTTTACTATTGGTGCATCTATTTCAGATAATAAAGATAACATTGATTATTGGCTATTAAATCTTAGTTTTCCTGATCTGAATATGTCAAACATTCAGTGACATCTCTTCTGTGTGTTTGCAAGTCTTACACATGATTCTGCATTTAGTTATGGTTATCAAATGAAGACAATGGCACCAAATTTACTCATCCATAACAGCCAGGCATACTCAGGCTAATAATAGGTTCACATGTGCACAGCTTCTTTCCCTGCTGTGCTTCTGCCAGCTTTTTTCTCTTTCCTAAAAACACAGCTTGACACATTATTTACCGAGAAATGAGCAACATCTCCCGACCTATTTGAGAATGGCAAAAGGCCAGTGTGAATGGCAATGACTCCCATAGAACTTATCCACCACTCTCCTCCCTCGCTCACATCGCACAGCAGCTTCTTTCCTGCCACTTTATGAAGTCAGTAATTAGAGGAGACGGCTGCAAGGAATAAGAGAAGTTTCGTATTAGGATGCAAAGTGGTAATTACTTTCTTTTTATAACAAAAGCTTAATAAGATTCAGCTGCTTTAGTTTGAAGTGTGTTTGACAGCACTGTGACAACCAGGAAGAAGACAGCTGAAAGGTCCAACATAGACACAGGTGCTTGTATGTGTCCAATTAAACATCAGACAGCAGAAAATCTGTCTGAAAACTTGGTTTGGTGAGTGAAGTTTGTGCTTTGCTGGTTTTAAGTATTTTCCTCCCAGATCAAACAAGTTAGGTTTGCATTTCTTGAACTTTCTGCCTCTTTTGAAAACATCCAGTTAAAGGTACATGACCTTTTTTCCCCGGCAAAAGTACGCGTTGATTAGCCATGACTGTAGGGTAAAGAGTATTGACCAGACACATGAAACACTGTTAGGAACTTCAGGTGACCTTTATGGAGATTATAACACTTTGATGATACCTCCCTTAAATAATGATGCTCTTGCTTCTGTGCCTCTTAGCAATTTTAGAAAGAGTTGAAAATATTACTACACAAACGTAATAATTCAAATTGGTGAGATGACAAATAAATCAATACCGCTTTTAAAACAGCATTGGATGTATGGATTCCCTCATTGTTGTCATTACATCTATTACAAGTGACGAATGAAAATGAAACTAATGCAAAAGTGCAAAAACTGCAGTTCCTCATGCATCCACTTGAGCTCCAGCAAAAGCTGAGGAACCCTCATAAACACTTGTAATAAATTCTCATTTTACACCAGAAATAAACATATTAACAACCATTTAGCTTATTTCTAGGTTGACCAAAAGTTAGATTAAGTTCGCATATCCGGTCCAGAGACTACCGCCACTGGGCCTCAGAACCTCGTTTTGAAAACTGCCAAATTCTGTCAGTCCTAGAACATCTATATTTTTAACAGTCTGTGGTCTCTTCAGCCTGTAACTGAATTTAATTATACAGAAACGGCAGCAGCAGATGAAGATTTATCAGTTAAGGATGTACCCATAGAAGATACCTGGGTGGCCTGCCAAAGTATGTTAGCTGAATCCTTTAAGCATTATCCAAAAATCCCTCCTGTGAATGAACTCGTGGACCATCTCTCTCCTTCCTTACTCCTTGTCCTTATTTTGGCAGAACTGATTCCACACTTGTGTCAAACAAACTGATCATCATCTTGCAGCAGTTTCACACACTGTAATGCACATTTGCCTTATTAATTCTATATTTTCATCTGCAGTTATTTCATGATGAATTGTACGCTCATCGTATCATAGCATTCCTAAGTTGTTATGGTCTTGTATCCCATAATCCCCAGCTCTAATGCTCATTGAGTGGCACAGGAGTAAATGACTCAAGAGTTAACAGCGGCTTTCCCCATTAGGACGGATATGAATCATACAGAATATACATTAAGAATTATGCTCCACAGGGGGAAAGGGTGGCACTGCTAGTTTTATGACTGTGGTTGATGATTCTCAGTTGTAGGCTGTATTTGTATTCTTTACCTGCTGAGTGTTGAATTTGTCATATTTGGTCATTGAAATGTAAATGTCTTTATAGTTTCTCTTTTTTCCACATCATATATAGAGGTCAGAGGAATTGTCCCAACAGTAATATTTTGTTGTCCTGACCTGTACTCATCAATTATAGTACCTTTAGCTCCAAATATTGATGAATTTTTGCAGTGCTTTGCTCAGAATACCCTCTGATTTGACCTTGACTTTATGACCCCACATGGTGGTGCTACTGACAGAAACACTGCATGAAACATTTCAATGGAATATTGTAAATTTGAGTTTATCAGATATTGTAATTATATGATCCTCTTCAATTTTATGATGCACCACACATTTGCCCCATATTATCATTATCAGAGCAGTGTATCTGGTATACAGCCTATCAAGCTGTGCTGAATTCCTATTGCATCAAAAACAAAGATCAAAAAACTGCTTTTACTTTCAAATTTCTTAAAATTTACGCCCACTGTCTAAGCCCTGAACATTTGGTTAACAACCGATCAGGAAAACAGTAAATCACTTTAACTCAAAACTGGAAAAAACATTTTGTTAGCCTGAAAGTAAAGCGAAGACAGCATATCAAATAATCAAACTTTCATTGTTTAATTAAACTTTTATGCTCATGTTAAATTTGATGCCAGCGAAATGTTAAAAAGGGGTCAGAGTAGTGATGATAAAACCATGGAGAAAGTTGTGTCAAGTGAAAAAAAAAAAATTAGAGGAAATGCTTTTCATTATATCTACAGGAATTTATCACTGTTTCGTAACATGACTGTTTATACCAGAGAGACTGAGTCTTTCAGAAGTGAAGACAGGAAAAGAGAGCCTGCAAGAGCAAATAGTTCATCTATTTTAAAATCATTATCCTCAGAGTAAAAATCCCAAAATTAGGGGATTTCACCATCCATCATAAAAAGTTTCAGAGACTCTGAGGAAATGTCACCACAAAAGGGATAAGATCCAAAATCAATGCTTGAGTGACACTATCTTTTCACCCTCAAGCATGAAAAACAGACATGACTCTATTGTTAAGATCACTGCATGGGTTTAAAATCACTTCTAAAAAACTCTGAACACAGTTAGTCTAACAAATGCAGGTCAAAACTTTACCATGCAAAGATGAAACCATGTAAATACAAAATCCAGAGATGTTGCTGGTTTCTCTGGACTAGAGCTCACTTGAGATGGACTGAGGTGAAGGAAAGAAATGCCCTGTGGTCTGACCAATTCAAATCTGACAGTATTTTTGGAAATCATTGACAATTAATCCTTATAGATGGATCACTGATGGTATAACATAGTGCTGGACGATAATTCGATAACAATATATATCGATCGATAGACGTGTGGTGCGATAGAAAAAAAACGGGTCGATAAAAAGTTCGATAGAAAAACACAGTTTCCCTTTCTTTTTCATCATAGCCTATCATGTAGCTTTTACGACAGTCATTACTTCCTCCCAACCAATCACAAACGCAGACCCAGGTACGCTACGGCACCAAGCCCAGCCCCTCTCAAACCACAACAGACAGCACGTGTATTAGAAAAAATGATACAGCAAGGAGAAGCGGAGGACACTGTCCCGAAAAAAGGTTTCAGTAGTTCACCAGCATGGCAATGTTTTGGTTTTTAGAAGTCTGACAAAAAGCGAACAGCGGTCGTTTGCAAAATTTGCAGAGAATTAGTAAAAACCAAGTCTGGTAACACAACCAACTTGTTTTACCATCTAAACCGATCGCACCCGCAGGGGTACGAGCTGTGTCGGCCGCGCCGCGGCTCCACGTTATCGTCGGAGGAATCCTCTGGAACCGCTGCCAGCACCAGCACAAAGCAAGTGAAGCAGACCAAACTGGACTTCGTTTCTTGCCAAAACTACGACAAAGCGTCCAAGCGGCATAAGGACATCACCCATGCAGTAACATGCTCCATAGCGAGGGACATACTACCAATAACTACCGCTGAAAAGCCTGGCTTCGACCAGCTTCTAGCCACTCTCGACCCGCGATATGAAGTGCCCGGCCGCAAGTATTTCTCAAACACAGCGCTTCAGGCATGAAAATGGGTCAGGGGTTGAAAAGGTGAGAAGGGTGCGGAGGAAATACGTTCAAATGAGCTCATGTTTTACAAAGACGCGAGTATTTGGATCATGGCTACTAGCAGGGGGTGCATTCGGCAGGGGTGCATTCTACGACACAACACCGGCGTGGATAAGTCCTGCTTCTCGTGCTTAGTTTGTGTATTAAGTCAATCACATGATAATCAAAAAAAATAAATCTCCCGACCCCGGGAGAAATATTTCAGTGTTCAGACACCAGGCTGTGGGCAGTTTCCCACACAGTTAAAACTGGTAGTATGCTATTCCCACCTAAAGCTATTCTGTTTATTTATATATTTGTTTGTTTTGTTTATTTTCATCAAAACACTATTTAAATATTTATTTATCAGATTTTCTGGTCACTTTAGTCTTTATGTTTGTCAGTATTTACTGACGTCACTCAGGCCACTTAAGTTGATTTCTTTTTTTTTTTTAGTTCTTTTTTAAAAAACTTTCAGTTGTGGTAAAATAAAAAAGGTGGTTGAATAAAGGTTTGAATTTGAATTCAGTGCTTGTGTGTTCTTTATTAAAAGTAGGTCATTAAGCAATAGCATAAAACATCCAGGGCTGCAATTAAAATATATGTTAAATAATTATAATAATTATATCGATAATTATCGATATCGATCAATATGATTTATTTTTTATCGATATGCTTTTTTTCTATATCGTCCAGGCCTAGTATAACATATCAGTGCATATGTACTCATGGCATCCTATTTCTCAGTTTCAACATTCAATATGTTGTCTCGAAACCATTTAAACCTAAGAAGAGGCTCAAGTAGTCTGTAAATGATCAAATTCTGTTGTTATCAATATTTTACACAGCATTCCATTTTTTGGGAGCTGCAGTTGTTCTCCATTATCAGTGTGTGCTTTACTCTCAACACTTTATAAAACAGTGATGAGCCCAATGTAAGAGCAACATTATCAACGATCCGAGGATGTAGAGACAGATATTGATTATCAGATAGAGGGATGCTGCAGAAAGAGAATAAGCAGCAATAGGCACAATAAGACCACAGTTTGGAGTGTGTTAGTCTGAAATATTTGGAACTTAATACCTTTATAAAACATTGGCATGAAGGTCATTGGGTTAGGCTGATCTGAGGCTGCTTGGAGGAGGATGTAAGGTAGAAGGAAGGAGAGAAAAGAGACATTTGTTTGCACAAGGACAAGGGAGAGGACAAAGGGGAAGTGGGCAGGAGAGTAGTGACTGAACGGGTCAGGGTATAAGAAAACAGAAGGATGAAGGGCGAGAGTGAAAGAAATGAAAGACTGAATATAAGCCAAGGTGAGGACAGTGTCCTGTTACAACATGATGTGTTACGTCCAAAAAGAGGGGCAGACATTTCTGTGCAGTTTTGGATCCTGTCTGGATGAAAAGTATGGGAGTTGTTTACTACAAGAGAGATCTTCAGTGCTTCCCCTCTTGGGAAAATAACCAAATGGTTCAGAAGTGATGATTAGACCGCTTTTGCTTCAAATTATCAGTTGGCATTAAAACCGAAGTTTAGCATTTGCTGAGTTTTGAAGAAACCCCAGGCGATTTCCGCCCTACTTCCTATCCACACAGCCAACCTAAACAGGCCTTCCAGTTAAGAAGAAACATTTCCAGAGTTGGCTCTCAAACTGCTGGTCTGTCCAGTGGAGTAGTTCTCTATATTGTAGTAGATTTAATTTAGTGTTTAAAAATTCCCTTGTTTGTTGTGTAGCAAAAAAATGTTTGTTACCTCAGGGACTCAGCAGCTAAACATGTCTGCACAGTTTTTAACAAAGCAAGTGGAGTCTCATAGCTGCATGGCGGTTTCCTCTTATAGAAGTTTGCATCTTCCTTGCATATCAGTGTCTGTATAGTCAGTGTGTACGCAAATGTGTGGGTGCTTCTGTGTGTCTGTGCATCTGAATATGTTCCCAGCTTTAATCATTGTGATCCTCCTACATGCATGCTGTAATTACTTTTTGTATTAAATCTTGTAACGACACTCCGGAGCGCTGTCTCAGCTGTAGTTTTCTGATAATTATTCATGGGATTTTTCTCACTTAGGAGACTGTAGTTAAACTGTCCAAAAACATAACAGAGTTGAGATAAGAAAAAGATACAATCTGGGCTAAGATTCTGTACATTTTGTCTTTGCAGGCCTTTATTTTTTCAGTGCTTAAACAGGTTTACAGTAAAAAAAAAAGACAGCATGCTCTTCTCTTCTGCTGCTTAGTAATGAAAAATATCCTATTTTAAAAAAGGCCTTAAAAACATATTTAGTGTAGTGGTGGGAAAATTTGGGTTGTCTAATTACTGTTTGCAGTTTTGCTCTATCGCATGTGTACGTACAGTACTATTATGTCCTTCTGCTAAATGTATTCCAATATTGACAGAATAATTTGAGAGCTGACGTGGATAAGCATCATCTTCCCACAGACCGGGGGCCGCGCTCGTATCTGTGCCACCTGTTTCATGGGGAAAAAAAGACTGAAACTGAAGAAATGTATCTTACTGAGGCACAGAGGAACAATTCCAGCCCATGACTGTTTTTTGGCCGCCTTATCAGAGGAATGAGTCTGAACAGGGCGCCTGTTGAAGTTTGATTTTGATTTCCCCGGTGACTGGGCAGACCGAGCCATTTTTTTTATTTCTGAGACAAAATGGACCCCTAGAAAAGCTCTGCTGAAGACCAGACTTTGGTAACCCTTGTGGTAGTGCTTAAGACACTGTTTTTGTTGAGTCTCTAAACCTGAAGTTGGAACTCGAGTCTTCAGTGTTCAAGTGCCAGTCAACCAAAGTTATGATTTTATTTCAAACTGTCATATTCATACAGATTTTTCTCTCTTTTTTTGGAACACATCATGATACCATATAGTCTACTTTTGCCTCATTTTCTTGTAACCGACCCAACCCTGAATACCTCACATTGAAATAGTGTGTCACTTGGTTAGTCAGCTAAATAGCCTCTATCCTGCTGATGTCTACATGGATTTGGACACTGAATTCAACCCTGGATAATGGTTTTTAAACTGAAGGGACTTGCTCTTTAGTCTGGCTGTGTTTACCCTGGCTGCTTTGGGTGAAGAGGAGGATGGCAGCCCTGCGGCAGCTGCAGCCGGTGTTGACAAAGTTTTTTCAAGTCACAGACAGTCAAAGCTTCTGCATTTTGGCTTGATTTCGTGATTTCGTGCGCAGTGCTCGTCTGCTTGGTGATGGAAGTTATGTTCCCCCCCTTGTAAGAAATTATTTTGCAGCATAAATCTGCATTTCACTTCGTCCACGTCTTCATCTTTGATTTAATGTTGACACACTTTGGACTTCTTTGCATGTTCAACAACTTACCACTTATTCCTTTGTTTTAAACCTATTTACTGTTCAGAAACTTAATTAGACAGTCTGTCAACGTGCGTCTATCATTGATATGATTAAGATCACACAACTGTACTCAAAGTATAGCATTACTCATGGGACCCTCAAGACCCGACAGCAGACTTGATATGCTCAAAGGTTATTCACCTTAGATTTCTGCAGCCTAAAGGGACCAAATACAGATGGAGTATTTTGGCTGAGCAGGAGCAGGGGTCAGCTGACACTGTTAGCGAATACAGTCAACACTCTCAGTGAATCTGAATGAAATGAACTGTGTTGTTATTGCTCGAAAGAGGGAGTCCTCTCATCGCTGCTGCCATCTGCTATTACTGCAGGGAAATCCAACAACAACCCGGAATCCTGTTCAGACGTTCTGCTATAGGAGAAGAACTTGAACCAAGTCCAGCTGCCCCTTTGGATTTAGCCTTGGATTAATTTAGATGATACCTGGACAGACTGCAGCACCCATCTTTCATTCATTGAGGCAACAGACTTGAAAATGGATAATTTATAGCCTCAATCTAAATAAGATAAATGTGTGTGACATGAACATTTAAAATAAGAGCAGTTAGATTAAAAAAAATTAAAGCTGCAAGAAAGGCTGTATCTCTCTTTTTAATGGAACTCTATGGAAATTGATCCTCATTTGGGACCAGCCCCAAGTGGCCATCTAAGAAATTGCAGTTTTTGAACTTGCCATTGGCTGTTGGGTAAATGACATCATTCATACATCACAGGAGCAGTTTCAGCGTCTTGTCCAAGGACAGTTCAACATGTAAAAGAGGGCAAACAACCAACTTTCTGAATGAAAAATAACCTTCTACCATTTTCTATCATGATGGGAAGATGACAGAACCGGACATACAGCATCTATAAATCAGCTGTTGTGTGTTTAAAGATTACGTTTAATATTTTGCAGCATGGTCACTCTTCCAATGGGTCGTATGGAGTTATTTTTGTATTGTGCTTTTTCTTTAAAAGTAAAGTGTTAGTCAAAGCGTTGTGGAGAAGCAGAGCTGTTTCTAGTTTTAATTACTTAAAATTGGTTTAGCAGCCACAGTTGATTTGCTGGACTGCTCTTAGTGAGTGTGTCAGGGTACACTTGGCTTCCTGCTGAGTTGTACAAAACATTTTTGAGTGACTACTTCAAGAATAATTCAGGGTTACATTTATGCTAATTTTCACACCACGTCTAATATTAAATGAATGTTTGTAGAAGGAGGAGTCAGTCAGTCTATCAATGGTAATGATTTTCCACTTTTCCACGCCTGCTTCTATTTTTGGCCCGCTGACTCTGCTTGTGCATGTCTTCAGTATCATGCAGTGGTATTTTCTGTGTTCTCCTGTAACAGAGCTGTGCTGTGATCCTCTGACATGTGTGCTCTCTGGCTGATTGTCCGTCTCAGTCAACTGAGCAACTCCATAGTCTTTAACAGACTCCAAGCTGCAGGCCCAAATCTGATTTATTTTCCTCACGCTTCCACGGTTCTGAAAGTCTGAGAAACAGACTTGTACATTCTGAGGTAACAAATTGCTCTCTGGGTGGAAAAATAGGCCACTGCAAAAAAAAAAAAAAAGGAAAAAAGCGTAAATAGCAAAAGTTTTCTCTGTATACAAACAACAACAAAAACCCTAAAAGGCATCAGGCTGTTGTTTGGAAATGAGTTCCTTGAATGAATTGAATGTGACACAGATCTTTTCTTGCTGAGGAGTTCTTGTGGTGTCATGTCTGAATGTCTCGCGCAGGATCCTCAGACTTATGTTTAAAATGGGTAGTATATGTCTGTTGGCAGTGTGTGCCCTCAACCTAAACTACAATCTCTCTCTTCGGCTTGGATCTTTATTTAACTAAAGACAAATAAGATACATAACAACCCTGCAAATAGTTTATTTAAGCTGCAGTTTACAGTGCACTAAGACTCGGAGTTGGTGTTTAAGTGAAGCAAAACACACATGGTTTTGTGTTTTTTAGAGCTTATCAAGCTTATCAGTGGAGCTGTAAGAATTAGGGGTTGGAAAAAATCGATGCAGCATAGTATCGCGATATTTTGTCTAGTGTTATATCGTATCGTCTCATTTACCAAGTATCAATTTTTCAAATGAATTGCTAATATGAAGTCAAATCTATGATAATGGAAACATAAAATCAGCTGTTTGTCCAGTGAGGTTGGCAGAGGTGACATTATTGAGCAGGAGAATGTTCGTGCAACAAATATATACATAAGGTTTGCAAGATGTGCTTCATGAAAATAAAACACAGCATAAATAAGACAAACATAGAGAAAAGACAAATGCTAAATAAGCTAAAAACAGTTTTTAAAAAATGTTTATATCGCAGTATATTGTATCGCAATTCTCACTGTATTGCCAAATGTCAAAAATCACAATAATATCGTATCGTGGCCCAAGTATCGTGATAATATTGTATTGTGGAGCCACTAGTGATTCCCACCACTAGTAAGAATGACAGAGAAATTGTATAAGGGAAATGAGGAAATAATTCAGCAGTTTTTTTAACAATTTCAATTTATAAACTGTACCTTACAATATGCACCATATATTCTATAAAGGAAAATCACGCTTACTATCTTGGGTAACATTTGTACACTAAAAGGTGCACATGATGCATCTAATCAAAGTTACATGCATTAAGTTTTAATAAGCGAAAGGACACAAGGAAAATTTTGGCTAGCTGCCATGTGTGATTTGTGAAGTTCAGGGGAAAATCATTTCACTGTGTGAGTAAAACGTCAAATATCTTTGTATGACAACAAATCTGAAGAACACATTCAATTTCAAATAGACTCAACTGTCGCTATTTTATGGTGGCAGAAAAGGTGTGGGACAACTTTCACGACCAGGCAACAGTAAAATGCTGTCAGTGGACACAGGCCCTATTTGTGGATAAAGATATGAACTCTTCGATCCAAACATATATCCAAGAATGTCTTTTGCAGTGCTAACCTGTTGGGTTATTGACAGCTAGATTACGCTCTGCAGTCTCTTCTCCTTCTGCTGCAGATACTTTGCGTCAAGATAATTTTATTTTTGTTTTTACAACAGTTGGATGAAGTCAAGTCTGGAGATTTGTGAAAAAATAAAAAAGTGTGAACAGTTGAAGTGTGAAAATCGCAGGTATTTAATAAGGGCAAATTATAAAACAGGTGCAAACTTGGTTGGTAATTGGTCATCTTTCATACAAATTACACACACTACTACATACCACAGACACAGCAACAAGGCGTAACTCCACAGCTAAAAAGTTAGCATTATTAATGTTCATTTAAGGCACAGCCATAAGTTTGTGGACTAAAAGGATCCACGTAGAGAGGCCCATCATGCACTGTTAGCTCAAAGTGACAAGGATCTGTCAAGTCCTTTTTCTTGGCCCCAAGTCAAGGGCATCCGAGTCTTTCAAAACAGTCATTTGCATTGAAAAGATGGAGCTGGTGCCTTGCTTTATTCATATTAATAGCTGATGTCATGCAGACAAAGAGGGCTGCACATAATTACAGATCCCAGCCTCTGTCAGACAGAGAATAAGAGAGTTCTGATGGTAGTAAAAAGTCAATTAATTTTCTTTGTGTCTGTGTGCTGCAGTTTGCTGTGTGGTTCAGTGTACGTAACAATGTTAGTGTCAACATTATAAAGCTCCTGCGTTGTGCCTCTGACTCCCTGTCACTTGATCCAGGGCAGTTACCACAGAAAATGAGCCGTGGTTCCTCAGATCTCAGTGTTACTCACTCCCCTCTGTTGGGGCATAGAGCAGCAGGACAGTCTGTGAAGGTGACACTGTACCAGCACCTTCCACAAAGCAATGCACAGCCGGCCTGGAATTGATATTCCTCAAAATCCCCAGCCAATTACTGAAGTGGAGCCTTGGTGAAGGCTGCAGAAAATGTATGAGGCTGAGCTCAGGAGGACGGCGAGTACTCCAGGCTGCTACATACAGTATGATGTGCCTTAAAAACAAAAAAATCTGACTTGTTTTGTAGTTGTACAAGTGTATGAGTGTCCAGAAACTTCGAGTCCTAAAGCACTGGAGCTGCCACTGAAATAGCAACCTGAAAAGAGCTTTTAGTTGAAGTTTAGGGTTTAATAGAAGCATTTTAGCCTAAGGAATAGAAGAAACCCGGCCATTAGATAACTCCCTGGAGCTTTCCTCGAGCACTTTTCATCTGTTATTCTGGCTTGCCCGTGGAGAGCTCTAGGGAAATTGGTTTTGTACTTCTTTTGCTTCGACTTAAAAAAGCGTTTTGACAACTCAGCTGGTGTAGATCAGACCTATTCAACTGAAGAACTGTAGGTTAAATTAGCACCTTAACACCCTATGTATAGCTTTTACATCACTATGAATAAATCACATTTAGGAAGGTGATTATACACCACCTTGATTTAACATATTTACAAAGCTTATATTCCTTAGACTGCGCACGGCACCTTTAAAGTCCCACTCCAATGTTTTTTTTTACTACTTGAAGTGTTCTCAGTGGTCTTTAAATTTTGATTACAAGGTTTTGAGCCAAAATTGTGTTACCTGTGTCATTTTCGAGAGCTTTTTTCTGCAGAGCTCCAGTAGCTCATTAGAAATTTGCCTCAGTCGCGTGGCTGAGACAGCGCTGCTCTGCTCGCTCGTCTTCATGCTAGCTTGTGGCCTAATATTGCCAGTGCAGCAGAAGTGGCAGGTAACATAGGAGCTATTCAGCTCTTGGACACTACTGTCTTTAGGGACATGATGAAAGTTAATATCATAATGAGCTTTCTTACCAGTAATGCAAACGCTTGTTCCATGATCATCCTCTCTACTTCTCCGAGTCTGGCCTGCATAGCAGGGCTTCGGGGGCGGAGCACAGATTTGTGACGCAGGAAATCGCAGTGAATCTGAGATTCACAGCGATTTGAATGTAGAAATACTCAGAAATGCCATTTTGCACTTATTTTTTTCACAATATGCCCTGTAGCATCAGAAAAGTGTCATATGAACATATAAAAAAAAAAAGAAAAACATGATTTTCATTGGAGTGGGTCTTTAAAACATTCAAACACAAAGCACCAGAGCTCAGATGTAGAAATTCAAACAGTCCCTCGGTAGATAATCCTATTTACCCTCTTGGACTAGGTGGTGTCCATTCAACGTGGTCGGTACAGTTACCAGTGTGGTTTAGCTGAAAGAGGAAATAGCTCTCCAGTAAGACGGGCCTAATGAGAAATCTTAATTTGTGGGCCATCTAAAGGATTGCATTGTCATGTCTGAGAAATATCACATGTCCTCTCTTCTGCTCCCTGAGGCTCTAGTGTGAAAGAGGGAAAAAGAAACTTAGCTGAACCGAGTAAGACCAACCGTGTGAAACTACTATCATGCAAATTTAGGCGCTTGTGTTTTATTCATTAGTCAGTCAGCCATTGTATCAATCTGTTATGAAAAAAGCTCTGAAGAAGATTTCACCCATAGATGATGAGTTGGGAAAATGGTTTCAGCGGTCTATTTGCAGCAATATCAGCCTGTGATTTAATACTTGTCTGGAAGACAATTGAAAGTGGAATTGGGGTAATAGCCACCATGACTGAGAGTAAAAAATTTACCAGAGTGATGCAGCTCTCTTTTCTGACTATAGGGGGTTTGAAAATATCTTCTATAAACAGTAAAGTTTCAGAGTCAATCTAGCTCTGCAGCTATTGAGGGGCTGTGATTGCTGTAACAGCTCGGGGTGTTGTAAAGAAAGCCGTTCCTACAGGCCAGTCATTTAGAGCAGACGGAGAAAAAATAACTCTGACAGATCAAAGCAGTCTTCATTAACATATTCAGCACATTAAAATCTAATGGGGAAAAAAATGCCAAAGTCTGAGGCCACAGGAGGAAATTGTCTTAAAAGCTATTTGACAGGAAAACACTGAAGAGGCTGAAGTCAGAAACTGAGGAATAACACGTTACTTCTCTAACTGGTATCTGCTACACAGACATGGAGTGGGAAATACTCTCATAGTACTTCAAAAATGGTGTCTCAAAACATGTACTTCATTATAAAAAGCACATTTAATATTACAATTATACAAGTCTGCATACATTCATATTTTGTCTTGAAGATTAACTCTCATAGACTGTATATACCATGGACAACTTGGTTCAGCCTTCCGCCAGTATACAGATTTGAACCTGAAAAGCTCTTGGTATTTCCGCGATTTTTCTCCACTTCCTGAAACCAACATTGTGCACTAGCGTTGTACGCACTCCACCACTTGTGCAGTAGCATTGTACGCATTCGGCGGGAGAGTCGCTGTGATGACGCTCGGCTCAAACAGCGTATCCCCCGGTTGAACTATGCAATCTTTGTACGCCCATCAGATGTATCAAATGTCAATCATAGAAAACATGAACCCACTAATAACTTTTAAAAATGGAGCTGTACAGAAAAAAGAGGACTTTAGCACAAACCAGTCTTACAGTAACTACATGTCAACATCACAAGCAGGGGGGAGAAAAAATTATATTCTCTGTAATAAATTTCTGAAGGTTGTTCACAGCTCCATAGGGATTGCTGGAGGAGTTGGGATTTATGACCTATACTGCAGCCTGTCACCAGTGGGTGCTGTTTTCGGAGTAGCTTCACCCAGCGAGGAGGCAGACGGTGTCGATTCTATATACAGTCTATGTTAACGCTCCAAAAGTGAGCCAGTCTGGGACGCAACCTAGCTTAGCTTTCTTGGTGCAGGAATAACGAGGACAAACTCACTGTCCAACAGCTTCAAAGATAGGTAGTACCAAAATGACGTGAATGTTGCTAGCTAGCAATAGCAGAAAAGAAGTAGTTCGCCTGTATGCATGCTGGGAAAGTGGGTACTTGAAATGTGGCGAAGTTAGTAACTTTCTGATAACGTGACAGATGTGCTGGGTGCTCAGCCTCTTGCTAGCTCTTTTATTTAAGCAAAGTACTCTTTTGTGTTTCTGTTATAAACCTCTCCATCCTGATTTCCCTGAGGCTTGTTTGCAAAAACTGTTTTGAGACAGATAAGTCTTTTGTGTTGTTTTATCCGAATGGATGCAAATATTTTGCTAAAGACTTGAATTTGAATATTAACTTTAGTTTGTTGAAGCATTTTACAGAAACTTTGGCTTAGTTTGCCTCAAGAAACAAACAGATCCGAGCGCCAGTGTCATTATTTTGTATTTGTAACGTGCTAAAGCTTTTTAATATTAGCCAACTGGTTTTTAATGTTGAAATATTTGTTTTGAAAAGCTGGAGTGGTGTTTCCTCTGTCTGTAAGTTAATGTGCTGAATGATGCTAAACTAAACAGAGTATACACAGAGTAGGAAGCTGGTACTTTAAACAGGCCAGGCAGAAGAGTGACTGTAAAACAGAGGAAGAGGTTTTATGGTCCAGGCTAGTCTGCAAGAGGGGGCCAGTTCAAGTTGAGGAATTATTCCAGCGAGGGGGTTTAATTCAAAAAGAGATTCATAGGCATAATATAATTCCAGGGGTCTCTGGTGTTCCTCATGTCCCTATAGTCAGATAAATCATATTCATCTGTGAGTCTCTGTTTGATCTTAAAAAAAAAAACCTTCAGTGAGAGACTGAAGATCCTTTTTTATTTTGTTTATTTTGTTTTTGTTTGCTGTCACAGACTCAATCACCAGCTCCCGCTTTGGTCTCAACCACAGAGGTCAGCAGGCCATTTCATTTTAAATCTGAGTGAAACCCTCAACAGAATACAAACGGTCTGTCTTTAAACGCCTGCTAACAAAACCCTGCTGCGTAGAGTTAACCCTCCTAATTGTAGATTACAGGTTTTGGTGGGGGGCATTTTCTTCTGATAAGCAGACTAAAACAGCTGAAGCATCAAGAATTTTTTTTTCCTATTTACATTTTTAACATCCAATTCACAGTAAATTAGAAAATGTAAAGTCATGTTTTTCTTCATGTGTTGTTTGTCCTGCTGTTTTTCTGTCTTTGTAGAGACAGACGGGGAGAGAAGCTGCAGTGAAAGGTTTGATTGAAAATTGATTTTTCACTTCATTTGATATGTCTACCAGAGCTCGGTTACTTACTCTTATCCACATGGAGGTCGATCCCGGTGCATCCAGCCCATTGTCTACTTTAGTGTCTGAATTAGATCTGTGGGAAACGCTGGACACTCAATCCCAGCCGTTACAGCAGATTGTATGTGTATGCTGTCTCCCTAAATCTAGGGTCTGCGTTTGATACAAACAACACTTAAGGAAGTTGTTACTGAAGTGCACTTTATAATGGCTGTCTAAAATAGTAGTAAAGATCACTTTAAAGGTACAGTACGTAATATTTAGCTGCATTTGGTAGAGCAGACTTTGTAGAAATTAAATATCATGTCACTGTCTTTCTAGTTACACACAGGTTTGCATATTCAGTGAGTATAGCTGCACAAAATGCTCCTGTTGGAAGAAGAATAGAGAGTTGTTGTTTTACATTGTATTAGTGGAAGTATCTGATGTTAAAACTTGACAAATGGAGGATCAAACTTGTGCATCAGTGGAGCCTCTTAACCTTGAAGACCTGTGTCATTTCATCGAAGAAGGGGTGAGCAAAGGAGCACTTCAACAATATGGACTTATAGATATTGCCAAACATTACTGTTTATACCATAGACTGTATATACTATTGACAAACTGGTTCCACCGTCCATCATTATACACATTTGAAGCCGAATTGGCCTTGGTGTTTCTGGGATTTTCTCCACTTCCTGGAACCCCCACTTGCACAGCAGCATTGGATGCACTCGACAGGAGAGTCGCCGAGAGTCGTTGTGATGACGCTCGGCTCAAACAGTGAATCCCCTGGGTGAGCTACGCAATCTTCGTACGCCCATCAGATGTATCAAGTGTCAATCATAGAAAATATGAACCCCTAATAACTTTTAAAAACGGAGCGGCACAGAAAAAAAGAGGACTTTAGCACAAACCAGTCTTACAGTAACTATATGTCAACATTGCAAGCAGGGGGGAGAAAAATGTATATTCTGTGTAATAAATTGTTAAAGTTTATCCAGCTCCATAGGGATTGCTGAAGGAAGCAGGATTTATGACCTATACTGCAGCCTGACACCAGAGGGTGCTGTTCTCACGGAGACTTCACCCAGTGAGGAGGCAGACGGTGTCCATTCTATATACAGTCTATGATTTATACACACTATACCTTCAAGAAATTTCCATAAGGCTCAGTTGACAAGTCAAAAATACTCTGTACCTTTTGTCAATGTAATATTTTGAGTTGGCGCTACCTCTGGGCGAAGCATCTAGGTGCAGCTAAACTAGCTAACATCAGTGGGCTACCACAGCGCAGAAGTAGGCAGGTCAATATTGTGAAAGACTTTGGTCAAAGGGACGTCCTCAGGTTGGTCATACACCTTACCATGTTGGGAAACAATAGGCTCATACATATAAAAACAGAGAGAGCAACTGCTGCCATATTAACCAGGGATCATTGTGCATCAGTGGGTTATTGAGGTTATCTTGGAATAACAACTGTGACTGGGGATTTCATCCATACATGTCTGTTTTTTTCTTAATGTCTAACAGTGTAATACTTGAAAGAAATATTAAAAATGAATGGTGTGCTACACAGAATGAACCCTTTTAAGCTGTCTCCTGTTTTAATGTCAAAGTGCCCGACCGCACTGTCATAGCAATGCAGCATTTGTTTGAATATTTAATCTATAAAGTTATCTATAAAGGACAAATTTTGCTACATTCATTTGATTCCTTATTCAGGACATGAGGCTAGAATTGCTTTGCATTGTTATTATGGACTTTCAGAAATGTAAAATAATGAAATTTTAAAGATGTGATATTTTTCAATAATTAAAGAATCATCTTTTGATGGCCCACTCTGTGTACGTTGTAAGAACAAGGCATTGTTGAGCTGTAAGAGCTTAAAAATAGCTTATTAAAAGAAAATGTCAATTCCTAGCATCTGAGCCTTGATAAAAGCCCTGTTTATTTTTTCAATCTGTGCCTCCCTTATAGATATACATTATTGAAACATCCTGGACTTATGGCAGCAAAATGCAACATTAGCTGCACCTTGTTTTATAGCCTGTTTTCTTGTCCTTAACTCAGAACAGCACAGTGTTGCTGAATTTTTCTTTTCTTTTTTTTTTTTTTATATTAGCATGTCAGAACACATTTTATCACTGTGAAGACAAGCCCAATGAGCAGGGTGTACATGCATAATGTTCCTAGTAGTTTCACACCACTGTTTCTGGTGAGCGTCCTCTCTCTAATGATGTCTGACAGGGACAGGCTGAAAGAGAAAGGTTAATCACTCTGTGTCCAAGCACTCAAAGACACAAACTCTTACTGCGGTGCTGTCCTTTTGTATTCTGGGGCAGACGCCTGGCTCCTTGTTCTTTTCTGTAATTGCTCAGCAGAAGCGCAATGTTTCTGAACCAAATCAAAATAAAGTGTATTTTTGTGTTGGTAATGGCCTCAGCACCAAAGGTTTTCACTCTGAAGGATGTCAAGTAGTCCGCATGCTCACTAAGTCACGTTAACAAGGGCTGTGTCTGCTGACTGATGAATAATTCCATATCATATTTGATTCCGCATTAATTCTGGAGCTATAAATGTCACAAATGCTGCTCAACACCAGTTGACAAATCTAAAAAGTATGGTACCGATTAATAAAACCACCTGGCAACAAAAGCGTTCAGTAAGATATGATGTCCTGTAAATCAAACAAGGCCATTAAAACACCATTTGTTGATTACCAGTTTGTTGAATTTTCATCAGTCAAAATGATTCTACCCAATGTGTCTTAGGGTTGCACTACAATGCACAAATCATGTTTACTCTCCCAAGTGCAATGACTTACAAAAAAAGTGAGATTGAAAAGGTAAAGCACCACTTTTTGCTTTAGGTGTTAGAAAAAATGCTTTTAAAGATTTCCTGTGAGCTGCAATGTTTTTCATTCTTTTTCAAAATGATTGCAGGAAATGATACAGACACCTCATACATCTCTGTAGAAGTTTCACAACAACTATCGTAAGTATCAGAAAAGTCAAACTTAAATTAAACATCCCCGATACGGAATATTCTTGCTGTTATGAGGCTCACTGCAATCCATCAAAGACATAAAATAAAGCTGTAACATTTATAAAATGAGTTTCAACTGCCTGCATCTCAGCATGTGCTGTATAACCAATAATACCGCTGTTTGATTTATTACAATCGTATTAAGTCTGTCATGGGACCATTAGTCATATTTGAACAGGAAACAACAAGCATGCACTGAAAAAGAGGTGAAAATCAAAACTCACTTTGCTAATTCATTTAGATTGGTTGAATTAAGGGCAAAGATTGTAGTTTCAAATGTTTGTTCACTTTTTTTCTCTTAAATCTGCTGTGAGGAGATTTTTACTTAAAAGAAAAACCTACTGAAATCAACACTGGGGTCTGCAGATGCAGACAAGAGCTTCAGAAAGAAGCCTTGCTACTTCTTTATAGTTAATTTAAATGCCTGTCAAGTCTGTTCAAAAATGGGAGGAAGAGTGTAAAATGTAAGACAGTCTTTGTAAGTGGATTACTTGTCTCTCTAGGTGCCTCATGATTTCCATGAGGATGTGAAAACACTGCTCAGAGTGCAATTGCAACATTAGGTGAACACGTGCAAGACAAATTAGTACAAAAAAACAGATGTAATATGCTATAATAAGTTCAATTTTCATATTTGCAGACAGGGAGTTGTAAGTTCATTCCAATCCTGTGCTGTTGTTCTTGTGCTTTAAGAGTTAACATTGGAGCATTACTTTAGTGGTGCAGAGAAACTCTCTAAATTCGAGCTTGCTGTTCTTTATTCTAACCAAATCATCATATTTGCCATTGTGTGTCCAAGCCCCATAATAGAGAGTCTAATTCCACTGTGTGGCCCCTAATCCTCACTGTGCAGCTGCAAACACGTTGTTTTTAAAGCTGATTCTGACTCTCTCAGAGTCCCTGAAGGTAACATTATCTCAGCTGTCCCCAGATCAGTCATGCTTCTCTCTTTTTTTATTAATGATTTTTCTTGTTTTTCTCAGATTTTCTCCTTATCTTCCTCACAGAGCGTTAGATGAACAGATCACATACATGTCCCCCTGGCACAAACTTGTGATTTGGACACAAATTAATCAAACTGATTTGATGTGACTCTCTGCAGCTGTTCAGTGCAGAGTTTGTTTTCCTATTCTCAGATTCAAGGCACACAGGGCACTTGCCTTTTTCATAGGCTTGTTTTGAGTCTGCTTTTGTCTTAATTGCAGTTTGGCCTCAAACAAAACAAAGGAAAAATCTCACCCAAAATAGAAGCTGCATTTTGGAGTTCATCCTCTTTCTTCTTACTTTCTCATGTTTGGCATTCAGGAAAACAGTTGGAGTTAGGAGAGGGAGAGGGAAGTGTCTATTTACTAAAAGTGGAGTTGGTTTTAAGAATCAGCACCAGAAAACGGTCTGATCTTGGTGATAAAAGCACTAGAAAATCTCACACTGCAGTATCAACGAATGAGTCATATCAGCCATTGATTCCCAACAGACTACACACATTAGAAAACCTTAAATCTGCGTCTGTGTTTTCATTCACAGGGTGAACCCTGTCAAATGTTTTCTACAGCCTCTTCTGCGTCTAATTCTGCAGATCTATTTCACTCATCTGACTGTCAGCAGTATTTCTATCTCTACAAAGATTCACCCTTTTGTACTTTTATCAGATTTGGATGCATGGTTTTACAATAGTAACTCACCCAGGATGACTTTTATCGCTCACATCTGAGAAATCTTAAAATCCCAAGAGGCTGAAGTCATGGTCAGGGATTAAGTGCTAACAAAACTGCATTACTGCAGGATGGTTTTACATGCAAGTAAAACTCATACTCTACTGTTTGGCTCAGTAATCTGCAACAAGATTGATAAGTGGGGAAGTTAAACCTGACAGCTCCATCTGCCTCCTGATTGTTTTTGGCATGTTTAATAGACTCTAACACAGTACGCGACCCATTTACAGAGAAAAGATCCAACAAAGATAACGCAAGAGGAAAATCCTGCAATATGTAAGAGCATTTGCTCTGTTGGTAGACTGTTATTTTATCACTTACTGCTCGTCTGTTCTGATAATGACAGAAAAACATGCTGCATTTTTGCTCTTTTTATCAGACCATCTTCACTCTGCTCTTTTTCTCTGTTGGTGTAGGGATTAAATTATTGTCATAAGTCTCCCTTCTTGCTTTAAGCTCTGCAGTCACTGAAACTTGATGTGTTGCTTGGAGGTTTGGGAGACAACATTTACATCCTGGTGACTTCATGGCCAAAAGGAAAGTACTGACATTTTGAAAAGTATGTCTGCTCTTTCTTGCCTCCAGTCAGATGAACAGATTGGTGCCTCTTTGCACACTTAAAGCAGCAGTATTCAAAATGAACCTACACATCAAAAAAGCCTCCTGCCTCTCACTCTGCTAAGCCCCTCCCACCAAAGCAGGCACACGAACTGCTGAACTTCTTTCTTAACCCATCTGCTGGTTAATTAATCTATTTGTACAATTCACAAGTTATATAACAGTTTTGATGTATGTTGGTCCAAAGCAGAACTGTTAGGTTGCCTGGCAACCAGTGAAAACTCACAGCAACCACTGAAAAGAACCAAAAAATGAAAGCATGGCAGGTGGTCCTCACATAGTAGCAGTTTTTACAGATTAGAAGTCACTTTAAAACACTGTCTGCTACCTCCTCTGGTTTTGTGCAGCAGTATAGAGGAGCATGCTGATTGTAATGTTTTAAACTTGTTAAAAAAAAGTAGTGGAAAAACTTTTATTCAAGCATTTAAACTACCAAAAGAGAAGTTTTAATGAAGAGGATCTTCTCTTGATGTGGAAATCAGCATATATGTCATCATATTAATTAGGGGTGGGAATCACCAGTGGCCCCACGATACCATATTATTGCGGTTTTTAACATTTTGCAATACAGTTAGTTTGCGATACAATATATTGCGATTTGTATAATTTTTTGAACTGTTTGGCTAGTTTAGCATTTGTCTTTCCTTTATGTTTGTCTTATTTACACTGTATTTTATTTTCATGCAGCACATCTTGCAAACCTTTTATATTTTTGTTGTACTAACTTTCACCTGCTCTATGATGTCACCTCTGCCAACCTCACTGGACAAACACTGGACCCCAAATGTAAATGCAGAGGAATGACATGAAAAAGCAATCAAGGCTTAGCTTCAAACAAAAGCAGAAAAACTTGATTGAAACTGAAACCAGCTGTTAAAAAAGCACATTGAAAATATTGTTTTTAAGAGGTCATTAAATAAATTGCACAGCAGCGAGTGTAGCAAAATTTTTGACAAACTTTCTTAGTAGACTATGCTTGAAAAAGTGGAAAAAGAGTCAGTTCTCAAAAACAAGTGCCAGCTCGTGCAGGGCTGAAAACAATCTGTACCCACTTACTCTCAATTTTCGTGAATATCCATCATACTCTGCTCTCAACTCAGCAGCAGAAGCCCCCATGGTTTTAAAACTGAAATAACAATAAACCAACCAAATCCCCAAATGAATGAGAAACCTAATGATCCATGATCTTTGTTTTCATGTTCATATTACCAGCTTTGTGTAAATCTCTAATTTGGACCAGTGTGTCCTAAATTTCTCTCAAGCCATGAAGCCAGATTTCACATTTTGGAAACAGCACACACAGCAACTTTTCATCACAATCAGTTGGATGTCATCCAAATGATGCAGCATATGCCAGGTCTCACAGGCAGCATGTCTCCAGAGGATCTTAAATTATCTGTGCTTGGTAGGTTTGAATTCTAGTTGTTCCTGAGAGTAACCTTAGATTTGCAGCCAAACAGCCAAAAAGGAAACAAATGGAACGGTGCATTTTTGAGTAGAAGTGATCTTTCACGTGCTCTGGAAAAACAACACAAAGCCATGTAGAAAATCAGACTGTGTCCTTGCAGAGAAAGGAGATATTGTGCAGATTTCTTTGGAGGCATGCCTAATTGTCCCATAGTTAAGATTCTCAGACTGATCCACCACAACTTACCAGGATACAAAGCTAAGCCTCTTATTTACTCTTAGGTGCAGACAAACCAGCAGCATTTTCTTTCATCCTGACATAAAACCATGTTGCTGCGTACCTGAAGCATTGGCATTTGATGAATGGCAGGCTGCTGTTGTGCTCTGCATGTTATTCCTCTTGGCTGTTGTTCTGTTGCCTCCCCCTTTCTGAAAAATATGATTTTTTTCACCCTGCTGTGATGGATATAGATTTTCTCTGTTGAGGCAGATACCTGATTTTTGAACCTTTCACACAGACATCTCTGGTTTGTTTATCTAAAGGAGGGTGTGAACATCGGAGGAATATTTGACATTTTGGGAAATACACTAACCTGCTTTCTCAGAGAGTTGTTGTTACTGCCACCAAATGTCAAAAGCCAACTGATTTATTATGAATCGACAGCCTGGGATAAAAGTAAATGAGGCCAGGATAGGAGTTAACCGGTGAACAAATTAGCTCAAATTCCAAACTCAAGGCTCCCATAAGGAGTTTTTAATGGGTAATGACACAGACTGAAACACAAATCACCAATTTTAATGCTTGTGAAAGCTGCAAGAGGGCATGAATGCTTAAAAATCGGTTAGAGTATGAAATCTGGTAATATGCCTGTAAGATTATTGCTCTGCAGCTTGTTTCTTCAAAAAGTTGAAAAATGTAGAGATTAAAACAACTTAAAATCAAAAAGACAAAACTATTTAAAATCAAAAGACAAAACATTTTAAAATCAAAAAGATAAAACAATTTAAAATCAAAAAGACAAAACTATTTAAAATCAAAAAGACATAAAACAATTTAAAATCAACAAGACACAAAACTATTTAAAATCAAAGACATAAAATGATTTTAAATCAACAAGACACAAAACTATTTAAAATCAAAGACATAAAATGATTTTAAATAAAAACAAAATGATTTCAAATCAAAAAGACATAAAACGATTTTAAATCAATAAAACAAACAGATACATATATACATTAGAGGTAAACAAACAACAGGAAAAAACCTATTGTAGATTGATTTTTTAGTCAGAAATTTCAAATATGTTGTTGCATTTGCTCTTTAAATTTTTTATGAGCAGTATCTGAGTTTGCTTTTTTTTTCCAACTGCTGTCCAAAATCTTACCACAATTCATTTACTATAATTGACAAAAAGCAACCAAATTTTTCATGTTCAAATTAAACAAGTGCAGGTGAGACCGGCTCAAAGTTACAGCAAGAATCAATATGCCAAAAGAAAGGTCTTCTATACCTCATTTAGTTCTTTTTGACAGCTGTACAGTGGAGATGTTTTCCAACAACTTCGATTCTGAATATATTAAGGCAGAGTTTGGCAGAAGTATGCATAAATATGGGGATGGCTGACTTGACTGACGGATCAGCGTGCTCTAGGTCTGTGGCCTCAGCTCCACCTCTCCAAGTTGATTGAGTTGTCAGAGGTCAGCCGAAGTTTGCATTCAAAATAAGGCAACAGTCATCTTTGAGCCTGAGGAAATTCAGCATCGTCATGGAGACTACGTCAACACTGGTATGAGTAATTCTTCTCCCAAATTATCAGAGCATTAGCAAAATAACAAAAAAATAGATAATAAAAGAAGCAGATTCCCTTCCAGTATTTGCTAATGCATTTTAATATGTGATTTCACCCTGTAGACAATTGCCATGCATATTCTAGATGACTGTTTTTCTTCATCTCAGTTCCTTGAAAGTGCACATTTAGTGCTGTGCCTCTTGGTGGTAGTTCAAAGTCTGCAGTCATCACAGAAAGGGCATCCAGAGGTCCTGCCCTTAGAGGCCTTTCACACAATTTAATGTTGATGGGTTTCTGGAGCAGCTGTTGGCTCAGCGCAAAAACATTTTTATTTTTTTTCTGCATGATTCCATGTCCTTGGTGTCGTTTACCACAGCCAGAAATGTGGTATTATGGTAATTTACTTTCTCTATTTGCACACCACTTAGCAGTCTGAGGTTCCGAGCCAAAAAGTGTTAGTAGAAGCATATTATGACTGTATGTAGTTTTGACTTTAAGTAAAATAAGCACAATCTCTAACAGACAGATATCAAAGCGACAGAAGGTTTATTTATAGACACATCAGCAAACGCAGAGAAGCAGGAGAGTGGCCGTGGTCTGGTCCCTGGTTCTGTCTGTTTGCATTTGATTTGAAACCCTTTGTGCACAATTATACTTTGATATTTCAGGTGGAAGGGAATGAAACACAACACAGGGATTTGGTGCAACATTTACCATGTCTGTTCCCACTTTCTCTTCCATTCATCATCTCAGGCTTCTGTGCTCATTGAACTGAACACATGGCCTTGAACAACACTTCAGATGGTGCGAGCTCTTTCTCTGATGTTGTGGACATGAATCACTTTGGCGCTGCTTCGTGGAGAATAAAGAGAGTATTGATTTTGCTTTATGTTGTGTAGCTTTCTGTGGATCTTTTCATGACAGAGGGGACAAACTACATTTTATTGATACCAACAGAAATCAAAAATCAAGTGCGTTATGTAATTCATCTGCATGGAGTGTACTTGTGAATAAGAGGGTTGAATGTCTATTATATTCTTGATGCTGCAGGGTGCTGTCTGTGTGTGTACCAACCAGAAGCTTGAAGTGCATGTGCATATTTGGTGCAGGGCTGGGATTACAATCTCTGTCATAGTGCTGCAGTCATTTCCTGATAGAGAAGATGTGTTTTGTCAAGAACTGCTGCTGAACAGTATTGTGTGTCTGTTTCAAAGAAACCATGTGATCTAAATATATTTTAAACACGTGCAGTACATCAGGGATGCTCTGACACCATTTTTCCTCAGGATACTAATTTGCATGTTTAGACGTTTGCGTCAGTCTCCAGTGTTGAAAAATGAGGCCAGTGTAAAAATGTTATCAACTGTAGTTCCTCTAGTCTCCACTTGAAGTTAGCTCCCATTGACACCCATGTAAATAACTGCAAAGTTAATGTTTTCAAAGCAATCTAATTGTTGTTTTTTCAAGCCCCTGGTAACGAACAGCCAAACAGAGTGGAATACCTGCTGTTGTGCATTGCGATGTATGTGTGCGCGATAATCACATTGCAGAGCCTGCGATGTTGAGAGGCAAAAGAACTGCCAGCAGTCAATCAAAATCATAGAGGAGGAAACTGCGCCCCTGCACATGGAGTGAGTCGCTGGCGCTACCGGTGTTTTACCGAGAATTGCATACCCACCAAGAGTTACTTACGGAACATTACTCATCCCTGTTTAGCCCCACAAATAAGAATTGTATGGGTTTTCAATTGTACCTTTTCGTGGACCACTGTACGATAAGCGTTTTGCAAGGTGCATGCAACATCAGTTATCTGGAATTATTTCGGTGAAGGATGATGTCAACCAAAATTATGTTCTGTATCGGCAGTGCCTTTTATCTGTTGCCACAGTAATGTCCCAACACAAAAAAAGCAAACTAAAAATATCTCTGAGACTGACAGAAGCCATTCTACGAGGACTGGGTGATTATTTGATCGTGATCAATGATCGTGATAAAATTTTCTCTATCAAACATAGCGGAAATGTGCACCACAACAGCCAATCAGAGGCGAGCTTTCCCTGCTCACTTCTGTAAGTTACCGGAGAAATAAACAATGACCTAACGTGGAGCTAGACACGGAGCTGAGGGCAGCAAAATAGATGTCAGCTATGACTTTGATTCATCCTCTTAAAGTGTTATTGTAGAGAAGTTATTCAACGTGACGTTGAGTAATTAAGTTGATGTTTAAAAACCAGCAACACAACAAATCTGTTTAAACATTTAAAGAAGTTCTTCCCGAGTGATTATGCGGAAAGCATGAAAATGTGAGCGGAGTCTGCACAGCCTGTCACTGCTGACGGCACAAGTAGCAGTAGCAGTTTAGCTACAACTAGCGGTGCAGCCACCAGACCAAAGCAATTAATCTTATCATCTACATTTACACCATCTAATGTTTACATTTTAAGGTGTCTTCATTATCCCTGAGGGGGGATTTGTTTATTTTGGGTCTTGCATATTTGCAAAAATTCTCAGGACTGTAAACTAGCTCACTGTATTATTTAGTATTTATCTACATTTGTTGTACTGTTGAGTTAAAATGTTTTTTATATTTTTCTAAGTGTATCCTATTCTTTGTTATTTACTTTGTATGTTAATAAAATGTTGAACTAATCTGTATTTTCTTTAGTTTTTAGTACAGATGTTTTAAAACTGGCAGTTTAAAAAAAAATTATGATAATAATCGAGATCGGACGATACGACAAAATATATCATGATCATTTTTTTTGCGAAATCGCCCAGGCCTACATTCTACTAACATTTACAAAAAGAGGTGCAGTTTAATTGTCCACAAGACATCAGCAGTGCAGCATAGCATGAAGTGCTATTCAGGTCATCTGGGGAAAATTCCTGTATTTTTTAATATCGCAATTTATATCGCAGGGTTGAAAAAATTTGCAATGTCAGTTTTTTCCAATATCGTGCAGCCTGAGTCCATACAGTATGCAGTGTTAGCATTCTGAGAACCACTTTGATACTGGTGTGATCAAAAGTCAGTGGTGGAAAAATACTAGTTAATCACATTTGCTGGCAAAGACTAACACTGCCATTTTTTTGTCATTGGGATGGTGCAATTTAGTAGAGGTGGGAATCACGAATTGCCCCACAATACGATATTATCACGATACTTTGGCCACGATTCGATATTATCACAGTTGTAAACATTTTGAGATACATTGAGTATTGCAGTACCATTTATTGTGATTTGTACAGTTTTTGCTTAGCTGATGTAGCATTTGTCTTTTCCTTATCTTTGTCTTATTGATGCATATTTTATTTTCATGTTGGAAATCTTGGAAACCTCAAGTGTCGTGTGCATCTCATTTGTGCCCTGCTTGCATTACTAATGTAGGTGCTGCTATATTTGTTGTACTAACTTTTTTCTGCTCGATGATGTCACTTCTGCCAACCTCACTGGACAAACAGTTGATTTTATTTTTCTATTGTTATAGATTGACTTCATATCAGCAATTACTTAAAAAAATCAATACTTGGTTAATGAGACGATACGATATATTGCCTGACAAAATATCGCGATACTATGCTGTATCGATTTTTTCTCCCACTCCAACAATTTAGTATACTTCAACACAGTGCATGAAAGAGCTTTCATACCAGGCTAAAACATGGGAAGAACACACAAAATTTATACTTGCAGGTGATTTTATTCCAGTCAATCATGTCTGCTAGAGATGACCTGTATAGACAAAGTTGTACGAACTCACACTCAGATTTTTGATTTTGGGGTTGTAGAGATGCCATTCAGCAGGTTTCTTGTTACTCTTATGCTGTCATGTCAGGTTGTATGGGGATGGTGCTCCATCAGCCTAATAAGAGTCCATTTTTGTTGGGCGTGTTGGTTCCAGTCATCAGAAGGGTGGATATGATAGAGATGCTGTTTTGAAGCAGGCTAGCATTTTGAGAACAGCATTTCGAGACAGGCTGGTCCTCTGCTATCTTTTTTTATCCTCTACCTGTAATGGGAGCCCTCCAGCTGCACAGGATGCTTCCCATCATCCTTCCTTGTTTTCGCTCTTGCTTAGTCTCTCAAATGGGTCTGCTGGCTCACTGCTCAATGCAAGCACACAGCCAGGCTTCACAGTGTGTCTGATCAAAGATACAAAACATACATGTGTGAAATCCTCTGAACTCAATGGCTGATTTAGAAAGAGACTAAATTTTCTTCTTTATTTGATTATCAATGTAGACAAAAGATTTAAGTGTGCGGCGGAGTGACTCACAGTGGACGTGTGTAATAGTGTTTGCCTCGCAGCGTTAACTTGTTTCATAAATTATCCACAGCACCATACTGATGAAAAAGGGGGCTCGGAGCTAGGAGAAGTAGGTTTTACTACTGGGATTGGCAAAGGAAGCAGGCTATTCCTTTCAGTTCTATGTGTTGACTCTGCATCCCGACATATTGAAAGTGAATGCATATTTTATGACAGAGCTGTTGGAGTGAGGGGGAGAGAGGAACACACACACGCAGACACACACACACCCACAGAGCGACGTTATCATGAGAGAAAGTTGTGTGTTTCATTTGGCGTGGTGTGTGGGTGTGTTTGATAGCAAAACACTTATGTGTGGCCTGTGTGGGCCTGCGGTGTGACATCTAATTCTTTGTGCATTTCTGCGTTAGGTTTCTGCCACAGCTGTGTGGTCAACAACATGTGTCACAGTCAAGTGCTTTGTAAGAGGTTGTGTGATCCACTTCACACTGCATGAGGCTGAAGAAGCAGAGGATAATAGGATTCAGACAGAGGTGTCTTCGGGGTTGACAGGAGTGCTGCAGCCTGTTAGATTATGCGATGGAAATGCCAGATTCCCCTGCATAATGATTCATCATTAATGCCGAAAGGAAAGGCTGTGGCAGGGAGGGTCAGACAAAGTTATTTACATTAACTGTGAGCATGCATTCGGAGAAGGAGAGGGGAAAATCTTTAGAGCACATTAATGGTGTGCAGAGATGAGCAACACTGTGCAATGTAAGCTTAATCACTTCCTGTCGCATGTGCAGGTCCCTCAGCTGCTTTTTCTACACTGACAAGTTAATGCCTGGCTTCATAAATGGCCCATTTACAGACCCCTATTAACCCGGAGGTGAAACTCTCATTAGGGGAATATATGGTTTACCAATCTGCACAGTCAACCAAATAAATTACATTTTTCATTTACCACTCCCAGTAACCAGCTTATAAAAGGATCCACGGTCAGCCAGGGAGGGTATGGCTTTTATTTGTACTGAAGTTAAGCTCCTCACTCACTCTGTTAAATGAGTGAACACTTGTTATAAAATTAGCAATATGAGATTCACTTTAAATGATTTTTTTGTCCTCTAAAAATGCTCAAAGCATGCTAGTCCCCCTATTTAGACGTCATACTAAGACAGCCTCTGTGCTATTTATGCCCACTTTATTATTCCATTCAAGTAAGCAGATCTTTTAATATATCTTTCTAGCAGATGACTGTCAGCTGGACAGCTTGGGTTCATACTCCATGTCGTGAGACATCGGCCATGTGGAAGAGGGTTTGGAGAAATCACTGCCAGCTCCAGAGTTGATGGTCTGTGGCTGATTCTCCCATATGGGCCTTTCAGGGGTCCAGTAGAAAAGCACATGGATCGTTTTGCCACCTGAGCTGAGCTCATACAGGTCGCTCAGCATTTCAGCAGCCATCTGGACTAATGACCCACCAACTCAGAGAGCAGTTAAATGAAGGAGTTTCTTGAACAAATGCCATATTATGTATTTAGCCTCCAGTTTTAGGGGCAAAATATAAGCACCATATGGTAGAGGGATTTATCTCTGCAGGTCAGGTCAAACTGAAACTGTTACATCCTGGCTTTGCTGAAGGGTAAATAAAGCTTTACGTTCTGTGTTGAGATTTATCAGTTTAGCCTACAAGTAAAATGGTTTAAAACCATCAGGGCGTCCAGCAATGGGAGATAGCATTAACTCAAGTGGAGCTCAAAGGATTACAAACAGATGAGTATCAGCTGCTTCATTCATGATTTTAACTGAATGGGTGTGTTGCTACTAGCTGAAATGTCATGTCCAATGGTATCCATTATAATGCACAGCTGTAAGTGATTATATGTAAAAAGTGGATGCCAACCTCCGTTTTTTGCCTTTTCAAATTCTCAAGCTGATGTTGATGTTGGTTTTAATGAGCCAGAAATAACTGTGTTTGGATGAGAGGGTGCAGCTAAGCTGTATTCATCTCAGGTCAGAGGAAACATAAGTCAAGCTGGGTACAGTCAGGGACAGGATCAATGTCTGCTAATTAGTGCTCACATAAACACAAGATCATTTTACAATTACACCAAATAAATAAGAAAAATTCACGGCAGACTTCACTGATGGCCTGTTAGTGCAATAAACTCTAAAGTTAGACAGATTATGTCACTGGTAAAGTCAAGTTCACTGACAGAAATTAGCTGAGTAAAACTGCCACTAGCTGAAGGGAAAAAATACAACTATTTGTTCCTGGATGTAAAATCTTTTAGCTAGTTGCAGCATAAAATTTTGAATTTGAGCAACCGTTTAAAGTTAGACGAGTCTGAAAACTTGCACTTAAGTGAGAAATACTGTGGTTGTAGTTGATTGTTGTAGTTGACAAATTTCCCAAGGGGGACAACGAAGCATGTTGTATCATATCGGAGCTTATCATGTCTTATTGTGTCCAAAGCACATACGTAAGACAGAAATCATCCATCAGTAATGTTATGTGTCTTTCATTGAATAATTTGACCAAAGTATTGATGTGTGTTGATTGAGGATGGATTAGTTCTGAGAGCAGAACTAATCCATCCTCTGTAGATCAGTAGCAGAGTCAATAATCTCCTAATCAGTGGGTCAGCCAGGTTCAATCCCAGGGCTGTCCACATGCCGCAGTGTCCTTGGGCAAGACACTTGACCCTACTTGACCCTACTTGGCTGAGCCCAGTGGTGTGTGAATAGAATAAGTCCAAAACCGATGGGCTCTATACACAGCAGCCTCTGCCATCAGTGTGTGAATGAGGTGTGAATGTTGCGTGATGTAAAAGTGCTTTGAGTGGACCAGAGAAAGCTCTGTATGAACACAGTCCATTTGACAGCGATTGCTGTTGTTTTTTGGATCTCTTTCACAAAGTTGAGCCCTCCCCTGAAATCTAACCTCCTAGTGCTCGTATACATAAGACTGCAACGACTGCTGCTACTGGTGCCTCTGCCACTACTTTTGTCAATGGTTTAATAAGACACTGTGAGCCTTATTTTGCCTCAGACTGATGTCATACTGCAGCCTTGGGAGATTCAAGTGCCAGCCTTGCAGCAGTGTAGGCTGGTGCTGGATCTCTCTATCGTTATACGTCTCCTTTTTGGTGCAACAGCATTTGTCCATGACTAATTCTATACAACAGGGTGGTGCTGGTGCATTTGGACAAGTTCACAACTTACTCCTGCTGCATACTCCAGTGCTCACACTGCAGCACATCAGAAATACCTGCTGCTTTTCAATATACCTCCATCTTTAATATTCAGGTGGAGTTTCGGGAAACTTGTGACCATCCAGTATCTGTATCTCAGCCTTGGTTTATGGGTTGTGAGATCAGATAATGCTGTAGCCCCTTAAACACAGAGCCAAATATATTTGAGATAAACTGGTTAAAGATTTGTTGTCAGACTTTACATCATGTTGATTTGGAGTACACGTCTTCATTAGGAGAGGATGTTTGTACCAATAACAGTAAAATTCAGGTAGGTATTAATCGTTTGTCATTATGTTACACTATTTCTGTATCTATTCAGTCTCTGTCTCAGTCACTGAAAGCAAAATTTTAAAATACTTCTGATCCATGTTGGCCTCTGTACTCCTCAGCTCATTGTATCTCTCCACATATTCAGCATCTCATGAAGACTACTTGGCGTATGCGCACTAACAGTATGGAGAAAAACATTCATTTTCCACGCTCTGCATGACCTCCTTGCTCCCCACTAGCATGCACCAAACTCTGAAAAAAAGCACTCCAGTGTATACTAAAGACCCAGACTCTTCAGTTGAAAATAGTAACATGCTTTTGTCAAACACAGTAATTTAAATATTGGGTGCAAAATGGCTTGCATGCAGTAATAAGAGCTGAGGGCAGTTTCAAGACAACATTTTAGCTAATTAGCAGCACAAATTTTATGAAAAGTTTTTTTTGTTTGTTTTACATGCAGAGGGCTGGCAGACTGTACAAAAATAGCAAGCAGCAGGAACCCTTCCTCGAAATGTCGACTAATATTTTCCCTGTAATGCCACCCTGCTGTGACATGGTGGTGTTGTTGGCAGGCAAACCTTTTTAAAGCTCCAGTGAAAAGATTTTTGACACTTATAAAATAGACCAACATTTACATATATACTTTTTCAGTGATATAAAAAAAATACCAGCCAAACCATCAGCAACAAGATTGACAATTAAAAATGAAATGAAACAATTGGTTGTTAAAAGTTTGCATGTAGAAGGCTAGTGGAAAAAAGTGGAATCAACAGGGGGCGCCAAAAGTGACACAAAGTGAAAGTTCCTCACAGGAGCTTTAAAAATGTTGTAAATGAAGTAAACAAAATTTAATGCTCTGTTCTTGCATATCTTTAATAATAAAGACTGTCACTTTAGTTGTAATTAAGGTGACCAGAAGACACAGAAATAGAGAAAAAAAAATGTTTTTTGTAATTTTGTAGTGTAGCAAATAAAAAAAAGTCATCTGACAGCTTCAAACTTACTTCTTCTCCTACAACTTGAGGCCAAATAACTTTCTCAGGCCTGAGTTGGAGTTTATGTTGCAAAATGGCATGCGATATAAAGAGAGGTCGCTGCGTGGCTGATCTACAGTGAGATTTAACTCTGTCACATTTTATTTGCACAGTGGAAACAATCAGTTTATCAATAATTGTGAGTATGTCTTAATCTGCAGCCATCCCAGAGGTTTTATCCTGACAGATGCCTTATTTTAGAGATTAGAGTTTGTCAAGTGTGAGGACTGCAGCTTGATTAAGTTGTTTACCCCAAATGTATCTTCTTGTTCAGCTCTTGTGTTTTTCATGCTTTTATCTCATCAGTCCATCGTAAAAGAAAAGTGAAAAAGTTCCTGTCTCAAGGTAAAGTTATACCAGAAAAACAAGCTTCTTTGGTAGAGAGGTGCTAAAGTTTGATCATATTATTATATTCTCAGACAGTCGTTTCTGTATCTTGTTTACATTTGTTTCAATAAATCTAAAATGAAATATATCTTGATTTAATCATGTGCAGACAAGTTCCCAACTGCCACCAAAACAAATTTGTTTATCGAGCACTTGCGAGACCTTTTTTTCCCCCACGCACAAGATGTTGTTTATTTTGTGATTTAGTAACACACATCCAAAATGATAGATTCCACCATGCTCTTTATTCACCATCTGTGATGATCATGATCTTGAGAGGAAGACTCTTCAGCACCTTTTGCTTGGTCTGTTGATGCCAGACATGCAGTGACAGGCACCACAGAAGTGACCCATGATTCATCTCCCTTCCATCTAGCAGTAATTATCGCTGCCACGGCCGCTGCATCCTATGTCATCATCCCCCAAGATGTTGTAAATGAAACTCAATGGACGTTCGGTGACATGAAAGCCTGATCTGTTTCCTCCTGTAGGGTTATTTCACATGCTGGTGAAAATATGAGGCTTTTAATGTAAATTTATAACATCAGAGGAGAGAGAACTACCTTTAGGTTTTTAGGTTTTTAGATATTTGCTCTACATGCTGAAATGAGGTGATTAAGGCGATAATGGGGATCTGTGGCCGCTCTGATATTGAAACATCCTTCCTCTCGGCTCTGCTTTCAATATTTCATACTGCACTATGTTACACTTTTTTTTAGTTTCTTGTTCAATTCAGCTTTGACATTTTCATTCTGGATGTAATCCATCTCATATCTTGAAAGCAGACTTTCTTTTCGTGCAACAGGAACATGTTAAGATTGCATAATGACAGCTGGATCTCTCATGTGGTACGCCAGAGCTGCACTCGTTTGCCCAGAGGCTGTTGGCACTCGTGATGATTACAAAAGTTATAATCCGTACATGAGTGATTATCCCAGGACACTTACAGAGGAGGTCTAGACCATACTCTTGTGTATTTTGGGGTGGAACTAAAAATCCAGTCTCTGCAACATTACGCATACCATCTGCCTCAACTAGTAAGGATGAAAAATGGGATAGCAGGACAGAAAGAAAGAGATGGATAGATGAACAGACGGATGGACGAGGAGCTGGCAGCCCATTAAAATGATCTACTGGAGCTAATTTTTTAACAAACTTTTGGAAAGATATGGTCAGGAGTAACTAATATGAGTTAATGAGACATGAATACGCATTCATGTCTCATGAGGATGCATCAGAGCAGGCTTTGTCAAGTCCTCTGGCAGCCGGAGCCTATAGCAGCCATACACTGTATATACTATGGACAACTTGGCGCCGCCTTACGCCATTATATGAATTTGAAGCTGAATTGCTCTCAGTATTTCCGGGATTTTCTCCACTTCCTGGAACCACCACTGGTGCTGTAGCGTTGTACACATTTGGCGGTAGAGTCGCTGTGATGGCGCTCGGCTCAACCAGCGTATCCCCTAGGTGAGCTACGCAATCTTCATACGCCCATGGGCTTGTCAAGCGTCAATCGTAGAAAACACGAATTCCCTAAACCAGTCTTACAGTAACTACATGTCAACATCGCAACCAGGGGGGAGAAAAATGTATATTCTGCGTAATAAATTTCCAAAGTTTGTCCACAACTCCATAGGGATTGCTAGAGGAGGCAGGATTTATGACCCATACTGCAGCCCGTCACCAGAGGGTGCTGTTATTGCAGTGGCTTCACCCAGCAAGGAGGCAGACAGCGTCCTATCTATATACAGTCTATAATGGCAGCCTATAGTAGGGTACCTGGGGGCCCAAGTCAGACACAACTATGAGCTGTATCAAAACTGTGAATGTTTATAGCTTACTGTTAAAAGTGGAGAAGGTAACTTGGTTGGTGGATGATTCTTAAGGGGGTTGGGCCTTATCATTGAAAGCTCTATCTCCCATACGATTCTGAGACACGTAACGCACCACAAGCATCCTTAAAGAGCCGTGCTGAAAGGATGGTGACATAGAAGGATTTTAACTTCTGATTTTTAGAGAGACACTGCAGAGAAGCTTATATGGAAGCTAACATGGGCTTTTCCTCAGTTCTTGTTGGTGTCTGTGCTTCACTCTTTTGGACCTGCTGAAAAGTCTTATGAGACTTATTAGAGCAAGAAACAATCAAGGAGAGGCAGGAGGAATACCTGTTTTGACGAACAGGGCTAATCAAGAAGTTCACTTGTTGGAGTGTAATATCATCTTAGCCAAACTTTCACACTCCTTATTGATTTTCAGTCACTGCGTTCATGAATTCAGCTGACCTGCAGATGATGAGCATCAGGCTGTAGCTACAAGCTCTATTCAGACGGTATCTGCGTTATCCAGGGACACTCCGGTGTCAAAGAGCATCTATTCTTACAGCTTCTGTGGGAAATGTGCCACACAAACAAGCTAATTTAGCTCTGAGTGTTTTGTGAAACCACTTTCGAAACACTGCCTTTCTCATGGGTTTGTGGAAGTGAGTTTGGGAACTTCGATTTCGAGTAAAGTGGACAGCCACACATCTAAGGCCTCAGCAGTATGTTGGGCTTTTTAAAGAGTTTCTGCTCTTTATCGCCATAAACATAACTATTGTTATTTTTTTAGATAATCTACAATTTTATATTTTCACATAACCAGAAAAATGTTGCTTTTCATCCGTGGGTATATTTAAAGCTCATTTAGCCCCTGAAAGAGATAGGCCTCCTACAGATCCCCGATGCGTACTTTGCATTTTTGTCTTTATTGGAACGTCAGTGTTTCCTACGCTGTTCTCTACATCTTCATGATGAGGAGGGAAAACACTTTGAAATAGGTCAGCAGGGAGAGCAATCAGCCGCAGCACCATCTGTCCCCCTAATGACTACCTGGTTGCTCTGTGATGTGACACGCTTGGCTGGAGAGGCTCTGTTGCAGACATCCTCTCATTAAATCTCTGCATTTCAGCCCATCTCTGCAAAAATGATGACACATGATCAGGCCTGTTTCCTGCCTAAACACAAGACGATATTCCTTCTATGTAGCCTCATTAGTGTGGGAAGAGGAGGAGAAAAGCAGGTATGATTGTATTTCATTGTAACACACTCAAAGTGAACATGAAGTATACAAGCATCATGTTCTGAAATTGTCTGAGAAAACTGGAATACAGCGTTGCACTGTTGTCCCGTAACTCTGATAATAAAAAGTGTTTGCTGTGGCAGAGTAATGATCTACTTCAAGATTTTATAATCCTCTGATCAACTGACTGTAGGAACTGGCCGGGAGGAGGATTCCCATAAACTCATCTTTAAACAAACTCATTTGAATAAAGTGTAACTTCCTCGTGCACTTTCAAGATGTTTTTGAAGAAAGACAAGGCCAAGCTTCACGTGCTCAAAAACAGAGTTTGTGAATGTCTCTTGGATGAATAATCCCTCTTTATTATGTGGAAAAAATCCCGGTGTAGTGCCCTTTAAGCTGTCTCACAGGCTACACGAAGGTTTGGCAGAGATCCACCTTAATGCATCAGGACTTCCTGCCAGCGTCTGGCTCCAGCTGGTGCCCTTTTAACTTCTTCACCCTTGCCCCCTCACACAGCCTGAGATCAGCACTGGCTTTTAACATGTGCACCTGTAAGCTTATAGACAGAATTTTGATGAAAGATTCTTGAAGAAAAGGGCATCTAAACTGCCTGTAAACCATATAAAATACAGTGTGTTTAAAAACATGCACTGTGTTAGAACCAGAGTCACCTCTCCAGGCCCATCTCATGTTTCTTTTCTCTTTTATTAAAGGCATTTATCATGTAGTTTACACTCTTCTCTGGTGACTGAGTGGAACTTGGATGTTTTCATTTTTTTCCACTTGCCTCACAACTTGATTTGTAGCTTACTTTCAAAACCAGACAAATTCAGTAATTCATGAATGCCTTCTCACAGCTCAATTAATAAAACATCTAAAGTAAGTTATATATAGAGAGAAAATTCTTATTGTTCATGTTTGCAGGGTTTCAAGGCCTCTGCTTTTAGTCTCCATTGCCATGGCAATTTTGTACCTCAGTGTTATTTTTCTAGTCTGCTCTAGAGATCCAGATACAAAGCAGATCCCTGTTAGTGCTCGGTGCTTTACTGTTACCAGACCTCGCAGTGATGGACAATCACATTCCTGGGACTGACAGCAGCTGCAAGATCACCAGGGATACAGACAGGCAGGAGAGATGGAAGATGACTGTGCCAGTTATAGCATATACACTATTCCTCTGTTCACAGAAAAAGCCACACTCAGGATGGGGGCTTTTTGGTCAATACATCAAATTGTCCCTGCTAAATCAAACTAAAACCTGGTTAACAAAAGTTTGATTTTATTAGTATTTGAGCCTCCAGCCCTGAGCATGAGAGGAGAGGGAAATTGCTGCCAAGTGAGAACAGCTAATTCAAAGGCTGGGTTATGAATAGTTAATCAGAATATCTCAAAGTCTTGCCCATTAATCCTTGTTTACGTCAACTGCCTGACCAGCAGTGTGCGACTGCCTGTCCACACACATTAATCATGTCGGTGCTGACACAGGACTGGGTGGGTGAGTTGGTGGGTAGGTAGGAGTGGCTGTCAGTCTCTTTCAAAGCCAGAAAGTCCATTTTAATGACCAGTATGTAAACAATACTTTCCCCTCCGACAGAAGAAAACTATCAGCGAATAATTCAGCTGTTGTTGGAGGATATGTCAGCGCTCACTTAAACCTGATGATGCCTCGTAGCCTCTGTGCTGGGGCCAATACTCGAGGAGCCCAAGATCCTATTCATCCCCTGGCTGTGCACTAATGCTAAAAAATCCCGGGCACTCTCCGTAACATTGAACACATCACTCAAGTTCTGCTTATTTGACATTTGAAAACTGATCTTAAATGTGCAGTTGGCATTTAGTCCGAGATAATCCTCTTCATAATAATGTCAAGCTGGAAGCCTTGAAAATCCCTGTCTGGTTCCTTATTTTGCGTATTTCGAGCGTGGGGTAAATGCTTAATCTTAATAAAAAGGTGTCAGTCATGCCTGGAATGTACTACATAGGCTTAAAAAAAATCATTCTTTCTTGAGTCTTGCTCTGTAGTCTGCTAGGTAAAGGAAAATTTCCAATAATTCTTCATATTATTGTGGCTAAAACAAATCAGTACCAACTACTCTGTGGTTTGTCAAAAATGTATGCTTTTAAGGTGAAACAATTTCTTTAAACTCGTGTCATTTTTTCTTTTTTGACAAAAACAGCCGTCAGTGGAGAAGAAGGTATAAAGCTCTTACAACAAAAGAAACACTTCTTGTTTGATGTGTAAAAGAAATCGTGTTAGATCATTCAGGGTGTCAATCGAAATTACGTCATGGTCGCCGATCCCCTCCCTCCACATCCAGGAGGTGTGCAAAGCAGAAGCAAATGACAACGCCCCACATAGTAGCCGACGTGAGCCTCTGTGAGTTCTCATTTTTGTTGTTATTAAGTTTGTTTTTGTTTTTTTCACTTCAGTGAAAATGACTGTTATTTAAATTTGACCGTTAGTGCCTAATGTGATACATTACACAAGAATAGTGGAAATTGCATCACTTTTATGTAGCCCATCTTTTGAAATAAGATTAACTGTACAAAATGTAATGAATAAAACCATTGATCATAGACTACACTAGCCTAAAAATGGCGTAGGCCTCTGTACTGTAAGAAAAAGAAACACAATCAAGAACCTCAAATCAAATGGAATTGTGACCCTAAAATCAAAAATTAAATCAAATCGAGGATTTGTAGAATCGTGACACCCCTATAGATCATCATTTCAAACCTGTCCTTTCCTTAAATATGTATGGCTTGTTACTGAAGCTGTTGTAATGCTGTGGAGTTTATAGAAACCAAGAACAATCAGTCATAATTCAGCCATGTCAGATTGTAATAAGCTTTATTACTTAGAGGTATTCACTTATTTCTGCGGTTGAATTCAGTTCAAAGCCAAGTCGAATAAATCTGTTGACCGGCCATCTGTGTGACAGGATCAGAGCCTTTTCAGTGTGCAGGACGCGGCCTTAAACACTTTGATGACCAATTATCTTAATGGAGTCTCTTTAGAGAGGTGATTTGTGAAGTTAAAAGAGTTCCCTGCACATTTTCAAAACAGTTTCAGAGATTTAATGCCAGAGAAGAGTGATGGCTTTCCCGTCCATCTTTCTCCTTCTGCCTCTGGGTTTAAGAAGGATCAGGGGTTCGACTCACATTGCTGTTTTGGTCACTGTCGCGTGCAGTTTAATTTGGTGTTCTGGTCTCCATAATGAGGGTCCTTTATAATGTATTAGCAGAGGAAAGATAAAGCAACAGGACAGGATCCTTACAGAGAGCACAGGACGAATTAAGCAGCATGATTTAAATATTCCACTTTTTAACAGACAGACTGGTGAGGCAAATGTTTATTTTCTCGCTCATTTAAGATTTTTATTTTTTTGCAAAGACTCAAAACAACTTTTATCACCTCTTTCAAATTTGCACCCTGCAAATTCTTAAAAACTTGTCGAAAGCTCTGCCTCGTAATTTCTCACAGTTGCTTGTTCATACATGTCTCTCACAGTGTGAAGTCTTTGTTATTGAATGAGGTGGATGTTGTTGCTGAAAATGAGTCTCTGGAGGCAGGACATGATATCAATAGCATGCTGTAAAAGCCGCTGTGATATGTTTACAGCATAATTGCTTTTGAAGCAACAGAGACCTTCACTATGATGACAGTTTTCTGCATCTATCTCATTTAGACGCCATCCTGTTTCTTCTTTTTGAACCTTGGATCTTTTCATTCATCCTCGACGCCCCCACACCAAATCACTCGCAGTAAATTTGACTGAACATTTCCTACTGCGTCCTCATATCCTCTCCTCCCCTGACTTCATGCTGAAACTTGACTTCAGGGCAGAAAAAATGTCTCGATATGTTGGGGTGAAAATGTCATCTGGTTGCTTTTAACACATGCAGCTCATCCTGAAAACTTCAGAGAAGGTTTTAGAAGTTTTGTGCATGTGTGAATAAGGCCTATGATAGAATTCAGGAAAGGATTTCTCAAAACTCTTGAATATCATCAGTTAATATTTTACAGTACGACAGATTTAGCCCACATTTAAGATCAGAAATAATTCACTTGTATATTTTAAACCCTTGGCCGTCTTGCATGACGAAAAAAAAAACACTAAATAAAAAAAGCTGCACTGACACTTGTGAGGAACATAATGACTTTCCCTGCAAAATACATTTCAGTTTACTATCAGGTGTCTCCTCTTCCTGTAGTGTTAAAGATTGTTTGTCGGAAACAAGTCTGGTCCAAACAGAAACAAACACCACAGGAAACTGCAAATGAAAAATCAGGCCTTTGACTCATGTCTGTGTGTGAAAAATCAAACGTCGTCATGACTGTGGAAGAAGGCGTGAAGCAAAACAACAAAGAAGTTATTTTTTTATGATTCTGTGCAAGTTGGTCACATTTTCCAATCTGCATCTGTCAGATTAATTAATATACTGTGTTGTATCCACACTGGTGATCCTGTTGCTCATAATTGCACCATCATAGAGCAGCTATGGATTAATTTCCAGCACTTGCCAGTCAAAAGGTTTAATTAGCAGCAGCTGAACACATGCATTAACCACCTGCTGTTTCCAGTCGTACAGAAACAGGCAGTTAGATATTAGCTTACAGAGCAGTTCTGTGATTTATGCAGGGCTGTGGACCCCACAGATGCACCGTGTCATACAGCTTTTAATCCACATGTGTAATCCACTCCATTATTTATAGATTTGTATTGGATAAAATGAATCTGGATAACATTCAGATGGGCTGCTGTAAATGGACAGATGAGTTTTGGTTCATGACTTGTACGGTTGTCAGAGAAGAGTGGTTTCCCTCCTCTGACTTCAGTTTGTAGTTCATTGAAAAAATCTGGTTGGTGGTAAATAAAACCTGGCGGGAAGTTGTGCTCTTCATTACCTTTGTGTTGCCCTTTACTGGCATCAAGGTGAGCCTTTTCGTTCTGTGTGCAGCCTGAGACACAGCTTCACTTTGGAGATGGGAACAAAGAAAATGGACACCGGGCAGCATCTGTTCAGGGAGAGAGAATACTGGCATCATCCCAGCAGGACCCTAGATTCCTGTTTGTCTGCAGCTCAGCTTTGAAGTCCTCCACCTTTCCTGCAACATCTGACGGCAGAAGGGTGCCAAAAGTCCCAACTGTAGTAATCAATAGTGAATCTTTGGCTCTGCTTGTTATCCCTCTTTCAGGTTCCTGAGTTTCTATCACAGGTCCTCTGGCACTGACCTCCAATCTGCCCGTCATCTTTCAGAACCTGGAAAGCTGGAAATGAAGCTTAGGGTTTTAGCAACAGCTAATGATTTATTTACAGCATCTGCTGTGCTTTGGCCTAAAGATAGCAACAACAGTTTTGGTCTGCCAGTGTCTGAAGGTTGGTTCCCTTTAAAATCTACATCTTCTGGATGGTTAATAAGAACAGCAGAGTCCCAGGGGTGAAATCTGCCTGAAGACAAAATGATGCTAATGAACAATCAAATACTTATGAACAAGGTGTTAATTCTTATTTATACTCATCATAAAACAACCTCTACAACGCACAGGAACTGCTGTAGAGGAGCAGTGATACAGTTTCTACTCTCACATTTAGATTTAGAAGCTTCTCTCTAAAAGCATGATGTCCAGGATGGACAGCATAAACACAGAAATAAAGCCATGGATACATTAGAAATTGTGTATCTGGATAGGTTAATAAAGCAAAAGCACCCAGTAAGAAAGCTTGTGGCTCTTTGCATATGTGCTTTAAAATATGTTTTAGCTCACAAGAGATATTTATTTCAGGCTTAGCTGGTTGAGAATTGCTGAAAATTCCCAGAGTTGTCTGAAATTTCCATGAAATTGTCCAAGCATTTCCAGAAATTTTCAAACAAACCTTTATAAGGTGTATTTTTTGGGGGGTATATACTAAGTAAGAGACTGTCTTAATTAACAATCATCCGGTCAGAGAACTGGTGATCACCTGAAGCTAAATGAGTTACAAAACATACAGGAAATGACATCATACCCCATCAAACTGTCAACATTCATATGACCCCATCCAGTCAGAGACACGCCAAGAAAAATGTATAGGATGGTAAGAAAATACAAGTGTTTAAATAAAAATTCAAATTATACAAATATACATAGCAAACTCTTAAAATTAAAGAAAATAATGACATATGTTTAAAAAAAAAAAAAAATTGGTGCCAATTTTACATTGAAAATTTTTGTTCCTGATTATCCAAGTATCAAGTCTCCAGATTTGAGGCTGGCCTCGTACACAGATGGGACTTAAGTGACACCACTCTGGCTCTGTTAAACCTCTGTGTTAAAAAAATATATATTCCTGCATACACAACTGCACAAAATATTTCCACAACCACAAAACTTCTTCATACAGTTAAATACGATTTCACAAGCTCAAATCTTTATGACCTTATCCACCCACATAGAGAGATAATTAAATTCAGAGGTTGCATTGAATTGACTTGATGCTTTAGTTATGAAGTGATTCTGTTCTCTTTAGTTTCTTATAAGTTTTTTGTGCCCTTAGTTAGTAGGGAAACAAATTTATTGAAGTTTTTACTTCTACATACTACATCCTATGTGAATAAAAGCACATTTTTTTAACATGGTAGTGTCCGACCAGCTGTTGGGAAACAATCTCCCTGTAGTTTTTTTGTGTGACACGAGCCTAATTCAGTGTAATGGTGCGTGTAACTCTTTTTCTGTCTGTGTCAGTCTGCAGTCGCACTTTGTAAAACCAATCCTGTGTGAAACTTGAATTCTGTACACAGCTGAAAGCACCCACCCGTTCACTAAAGCAGCTGTGTGTTTAGAGATATATGGCATTTATTAACTAAAATTAGTACTCTCTCTGGCAGTGGCAGCACTCGGGGGAAATCCTCCCTCTCAGTGGAGTTCAGTTTCTGCGATGCCAGTTTAGAAATCTGTCATTCAGCTTTATGTAGCTTTACTCATTTTATTACCAGTGTGTATTTTCCTCAGTGTTTAGCTTGCTTATGTAGCAGCAGAATACTGTTCTAGATAGATTAGATAAATCTGACTGTAAATACTTTTCCCCCTTACTTCTTTTGTAAAATAATCATAATTTATGTATTTTTTGACAGTGATGCATCATTTATTTCTGGGAGGGCTTTGTTGGGTCAATAAAGTTGACAGCCTGTGAAAGGGATCAGATTTCATACTTGTAGTTTTGAAATATCTCACCTTATTCAATGGATACTAACAGGGATTTCACAGCTACTGCTGTATATACACTTCATTGACATTCATTTGCACGGGCTAAACCATAAGACACTTTTTTCCAGCTATGTACAGCAATAAAAAGTCTGCATATTAGGGCTGTCATCTTGAGTATGGTAATAGGGATGCAGTTAAGGTCTGAAATTAACATGTCATTTTTTATAACTGTGTGCTATTTTGTCCCTTTTGGCACACCATAGTTAAGGTGCTGTAGTATCTCCTCGCTGCTTCCTGCTGCCATGATTGAAAATAATAACTGTGCTTTCAACGCTCTCTCATAGGAAATATCACACAGATCAGTTGATGAGTCAAAAGTATTACAACCTATTTGTCACAATGAATCAAAATGTCACATATGTACTTAAAGTTTAAGTTTACATCTGCTCTTAGTTAGACCGATTTCTAAATGTAACTGAAATACCAAAGCTGGCAGAGCATGTTTTTTAAGAAACGTGTTGAAACCAAATCAAAGAAGTTAACGCCAGTACTTGCTAGATGTCTGTCATCTAACCGTAGGCCAATAAACACTGTGATGGAAACAAGTCCGAGGGTTGTCCAACGTGCCGGCATGTGACAACCAGTCAAACACGACTGCGGTCCTGGGGGTGAACAGTTTAGTTTTTTGGTGAACCAGAGCAGAGTTTTTGGAATAACACATCTAAAAATCTGGATCATAAAGAACATTTCATTGCAGTCATGTGATTTACAGATTAAGACATGAATGAGAGCTGCTATACATTTTTTATTTCAGGATAAACCTCTTAAGATACAGCATCTCATTTTTGAAGGGCATACAAAGATGGCGACCAGAACAGCACAGTACAAGACAAAGTATACAACAGTGGTGGCAGCTCAGACTTTAGACTACTTTGAACTAGATGTTTGCAAGTTAAAAAAGGAGCAAAATGTCTCTTGTTATTGACTAAGAAACTGAAAAATTATTACATTTTAAATAGGGGAATAGAAATGCTACAAGTTGCGATTAACTTTTGAAATTCGGCTGTTGATAGAGACTTTACCAAAGTGAATATTTGAACATCTTTGCTAAATGTGTAGGCTAACAAAGTGCTGCAGATGAAACTTGTGAAAACTCAAAGTTTACCCCACGCAGACTTCTCTGAAATTTAGATGTTGAGTTTGACCTCTGCTTTGCAAGGACAAATATTTGAAAGCAGAAGTCTTTCTGGTGGAAAAGGAGTACAGCGGTAAATTTAAGAAAGATAGATCATTTATTATTTCTAGATTGATGGTGCTTCATGGCAAGAGTCAAAGTCTTTACTTTGAGGGTAAAAAAAATCACAGAAATTGCCATTCAAAGGATTTATTACATTTAATATCACTGTCATGGTGTGAAAGGTTTCTTATACCGTTTATAAAGCAAGCTTATGTTCTGTCAGCTGTGTTTTCACTATAAGGGAGATTATTATAAATCCTGTTTATTTCATTCCAGCAGTGTCTGTTTCTATTTCAAAATGACACTTTTCATCATAAAGCCTCTGTCCTCTTGTCATAACAATCATTGTGAGGCCTGTTCTGTGATTAGCCGTCCCGTCAGTCTTAATTAGTTGCCATTCAGCAATTGACGCTGGTAAACAAAAACTGACCAAAATTTGGCTTATTTTTAGCAAAAGTTGATACATGAGGTTTATGTTACATTGAGCGCTGTAGGTAACCAAGGCAACAGGGTAAAACTGTCTAACAATAGCAAAGGATGGTAGGACTATCAAAGCGGAAAATAAAACCTGAAGTAAAAGTCACAACAGTGGAGTAGAAGGTAAATTTAATGGTAGGGTTGTTGTCAACAGCAGTGCAGCATTACTGAGAAGAGTTGTGTTTTCTGTGTTTAAAACAAATCAAACAGAGCATTGTGATCCCTTTGAAATAGACAGGCTGGTAAAAAGCTTTACACTTGTTCAGGAGATCTGCCACTACAACTGAAGTTTTCCATCTATTATGAGCAGCAGAAACATGCCTCATAAATAACGACAGGTGCGGGTAGCTACTGTGAAAAACAGATTTTAATGACTGCTGAAATGTTCACGCAGATACTCCTTTATTGTCTGAGGTCAGTCAAATAACAGTTTCAGGCTTGTAAGCGTTCAACAACTCTCAGCAATTTTCACGTCATGTTTCCTTCAGGAAGCAGTTCTGTCAACAGTGTGCCAAACATCATCCTTTTTTTGTGAGCATGGAAAAACAACGCAAAAAACAAATTAGAAATAAAAAATCAGAGGAGAAGAGGGATCAAAATGAGGAATTCAGCCTGTATAATGCTATCTTTATTTCAAAGCAAAGGGTGTATCTAAACAGTGTAGATATTCTGTCAGTGAGAAACTATAATTAAAGGAAATATAATTAAAAGTAAGTACTTTTCTCTGTCTAAAAAAAGTGTTGTCATCTTAATTGATTAATATCTTTGGCAGAGTCTCTCCATTCCTCCTCTGTTTGAAACGTTTAATCCAATCTGGCCACCTATTTGCGTTGATACATTGTTATTGGAAAACACTTTAGAAAGCTGTCTTTAGTTGGTAAGAGGACCATAAATCAAAACATATTTCTGTGTCCGGAGGAGAGCATGAGAGCCCGTTTTAGAAACCAGTCCACAAGAGCAGTCAAAACAGAGGCCTGGAGAAAGAGCTGTCATGTCCTGATGAATGGATGTCTTCTGTGTTGTGCTCCCTATACCAGTTAACCTCGTGTTATGTAATAAATCATGCTAAATTGGGTATCTCTTGGTAGTAGAGGCTAATTATTTCTTCATTTCTTCATTTCTATCTTCTCCCTGTTGTGCTTCTTGCATCCTGAGGGCTCAGTGCTCTGTGTGTCCCTCCCATAAATAGACAGTTTTATATGGTGCCGTTCTCTGCCAGTCACCAGCCCAATCTGGGCACACGGAACGGGAGGTTTAATGGCAGACTCTTATATGACATCCGCCATTATGGAGACTGATTGGACTAACAGCTCAGCAAAACTCTGACAGGCTGGCTCTGCTTCATGCTACAGTAACAGTGGACACATCTCTGCCTACACATATCAAAAGTTAACCTGCAGAACTTTTTATCAAATGACAAAAATTTCAGGGAAGTACCTTAACTCTTGGTAACTCAACTGATATTCTTGATGTGCTTTTAAAAGATTATTGTTGTATTGATAAGAAAGCAGGAGAAAAAAGTGCCCTCTCAGTGCTGAAATATTCTGTAAAATACTCAAAACCCAACAAAATTAATGGTAAACAAAATGCGATGAGCTTTAAAGGGGCTGCACATGAGCTCCAAACTAATGGATGAAGTCAGTATGCCAGCATGCTCAAAGAGGCTAAATGAATATAGTTTTATTTGACATAAACTGTTGAGTGATGTGTGTGCAAGCCATGTGGTTTTCAAACACAACAAGCAGGCTGTATATGACTGGTGGTAAGTCTGTTTAAAAACAATGCCTGAAAACTGTAGCCTCAGAAAGACATGTATCACTAGTGTCTCCTCCACCATTGTTTTGAAGAAGTTGACAGTGTCGTGTCGGTCTTTGTATGCAAGGAAACATTTTGGGCTCTATTTTCATGCCTCGCCGGAGTCGTGGAGCAGGCACGGCGTAAGTCAAGTCTGCCGCGCCAACAAGGCGTTCTCAAGCACAATTTGGTATTTTGGTGAGCAGCGCAGCCCGGCATAAGTATCCCCCCTCCCTAACTCAGCCCTCCCATCGGCGTGAGTCATAGAGAGGGAGGGGATAAGGCATGGAGTGGGTTTAACACAGCGAAGACCTGTTTTCGCCAATCAGGACAGCTCCTCTCCTCACCTTTAAATACGCCACCGGCGAGGTGTATTACAATTTTTGTGAAGTAGTCAAAGAGATCAAGAGATGTCTAAAGACAGTAATGCCACACGATGGCAACAGAAGGCAGCTCCTTAACAAGTGTTGCTGTAAGCGCTGCAGAGGGCGTCCTCCACACTGTCTCATATAAGCACAGTTGGATTTGGTGTGTGTAATGTTGGACCCACTGGTAAGACAAACACCCTTTTCCACAAATAAAGACACATACACAAAGTTGCATATATTTAAACCTCACGTGACAAAGGTGGGTTGAGCGCACAGATCACAACATAAACTCCAATAATGGCATTAAAATCGGAACCATCTGTGCGTAAAGGACACATCGTGCTCCGTGGCCTGGCTCTTTCTTTCATAGATGTTGGCATATAAAATTAATTTGGCTCACAAAACTGAATTTAATAATATTCATTGAGACTTAAAGTAAAAAACTGATCTGATCTCTGAAACAAATCATCTGTTCAGCTGCCGCAGCAGCAGCTGCAGCAGGACGGGGAGAGGACACGTAGACATGTCCAGGTTGAGCTGCACGAGAAATAAGAGGAAGAGGAAGAAAGAAAAGGAGGGAGACGAATTACATATCTTGTTCACTTCATCATGTGTGTCTATTTACTAGATATTTTATTTAATTTAATGCGGTTTCAGCTGTGTTGATTCGGTCAGGTTGAGTGTCCAAACGCATGCGAAACACACTCATCAGATCAGATATAGATTTGAATATATCTATATAGATCTAAATGTATGTGCTGACTCAGATTATTAGTTGTTGTTGATTATTTATTGCACTGAAATGTGCCTGACAGTGTGGAAACCTGCCGGTGAGGCATCAGTTACGCCGCCGGTCTACCAAAATACCAGCTGCGCTCTGCCTGCGCTGAAAGCTGACCAGGTTTGAATCGGCGAGCTTTCAGCGCACTTTATACGCCGCCGGCGAGCACGAAAATGTCACTGCGCCAACTGATTCTGTCGACACCTCCCCCTGCTGCATCACCACACCCAGCTTGGTGGACCTTGGTTCGCCTTAGTCTGTGGAAATAACAAACTGGCTGTACGCCGGGCTCCGCCAGACAAAAATACCAGTGCGCAGGGTCCACCACCCTCCGACGTGTCGTCGGCGGGCACAAATATAGAGCCCTTTGTGTGGAGAGGAACCTTTGTAAAACACTGCTGTGGAAATAAACAGTAATCCCCCATGTCTGTTAGCTTTTATTTATCTCTATTAACAGACTTCCCAAGTAACTGTAGCTTACTGTCTCACAAACGTTGTCATCCCTCCAACTCCTTTCTGGTTTCCAAGTTTCCAGTCAATATATGCAGTGGTTACACTCGGAAAAGTCTTGGCTGGATGTCGTTTATTTCTAACTGCTGCGTAAAAGTGATTAAAGTTGGCTGTCCCAAAGTCAATATCTGTGTCAGAGGAACCCCAAAGAGTTCCCAGACTGTAATCTTTTCTGTGCATCATCAAAGTCTTCACTACAAAATTTCTATGTTTCTTTGAAAAGGGGATATTATGCTTTTTTTTACGGACCCTATACTTCCTTTCTGATATCTCTTTAATAGCTTTACATGATTTTCAGATTTAAAAAAGCCTAAACTTTTTCTTGATAGCAGACGATTTGGAACTTTGCATACATCTAGTATGGACACCAAACATGGGAACTTTGTAGCTTAATTGTAAATGTGGAAAAGTATAAGACTACTTCTTTAAAAAGTACAATCTTCATAATTAGAATAACTGGTCCACTGACAGTACAGCCGCTCCTATGTAGTCTTTAGCTATTGAAAGAGAAATATTAAAGGGATTTAGAGTTAGACACCCTGTCGAAAGATGAATGTGGTCGACTGCTTGCTTCTCTAGTCATACCAGCTTTAGAAACGACCATACGATAGCAATACACAGCGGTCTGAGGAGCCATCAACAAAACTCAGCCGAAATGCCACTCTATAGCCACAAATAATGCTCAGAACAGCACCTAACTTTATCAACAGTACATATAAGGTTCTAGCCACAGCACTAGCCACCAAACATCTTTTTAACTTTCCCTAATTTCTTTAGCAAAGAGACCAAACACAACTCACCTACTCTCTTCTAGCAGCTGCTTGTTTGTAGCGAGACCTCTGGCTAGTCCTTCATTGACTGCAGCGGGGCGACACAGCTCAATGAAGAACATTTATAATAATTTCTTTATCATTTCCTTGGAATATTAATCACCATATTAATCATTTTGCACTGCAGACGCGGTAGTTCCTCTGCATTTGTGTCTCGGTCTGATAGCTTTTTCATGAAGAAATGATCAATGATCAGCTATAGAGTGGTGTTTTGGTTGAGGTTTGTTTATGGCTCCTCAGACTGCTGTGTATTGGTATTGTGTGGCCGTTACTAAAGTTTGTAAAACCAGAGAAGCAAGCGGTCGGCAACATTCATCTCTTGAGGGGGTGTCTAACTTGGTGTAACGATGTGTTTGACCCTAAATTAATTTTATGCCGGAATATCCCTTTAAGTCCAACTAGCTGACAAGTCAAGGAGAGGCAACACTCAAACAAGCCAACAGCTCTAAACGCAGAGTCTGAAGGTAGGATGGTGTCACATTGGTTTGCTGAGTTTCATTGTGACCAGGTGAGAGTATGTGACACCCCGGATCTGTCACTGCTATGTTTTTAGCTGTGTAAGTACATGATCCATCCCTGTTCACGAAGAATAGAAAACAAGACTCTATGTCATTCTTTTCACCTCATTTTTGTGTACTCACAGACCAGCTTGTGCTCAGTCTGAACTAATTAAAAGCACACATTCAGAAGCGACGCTACTTCTTCTGCATCAGAGCAGACTGAGCGGTGTAGTTAATCTTTCGGAGTGCGCGCGCATGAAAGAGAGTCAGACAAGCTTGGAAATGTTTGTTCTGAAAAGCCACTGAGGGTTACGTTTTACAGACTGGCAGCTAAATGAACTGTCACGTAAACATTGCCTCAGCTCTGTCTCATAAATATTTTGCTTCAGTCTGGAAAGTGAGATTTCAGAGTGACAATGTGGGACACAGTGGCTGCTTGCTACCAGCTGGCCCTGTTAGTGTTCAATTAAATGTGTGTTTATGTTCATGTGTTGTTTCTGCTCTCTCAAAGTTATTAACCTCAGAGCAAACAGTCTGTGCATGTTCTTCCTTTTCTGACCCTCCTCTCTCGTGATGTCTGAAAATATTGGCGTTTCGGTGTATTTCTTCTGTTGTTTCAGGGAATGATTGTTTGTTTGTCAAAATCCCATAAGAGCCAACAGTAATTTCACAAGAGGAGAAGTCTGATTTTATGAGCAAATACTCTCAACTATTGAGTTTCTCTAAACTCCAGAGGAAAGGCGTTCGGTACACAATATAGTGAGGAATAACAGAATTTGTAGGGCATTTTCAGGCCAATAAACTGCTTTACTGTGTATCCAATATGATAGCAAATAAACAGTGTCCACTGAGGAAGATATCAAGATATATTTCTTACAGTCCAAGACATAAGAGGCCAATGCATCAGATTTTTTTTCACAGAGGAAAGCATTGTCTTCAAAGCATCTTTTGTACTTATAGGCAAGCCCCTCAATCAACACACCTTAGTGTACAATATGGTATATATGGGTATATGGACTGTCAGGTAATCGCAGTCCTTTTCTAAAATAGACTTCAAATCACATCATCACAGCTATATTTCAGAGTAGCACCAGCTTTGATGATGGAAATACAGAGCCATACTGCACCATGCCCATTTTCCTGTGAGTACATTCAGATTTGCCTCATCTGAATAAAAAGGAAAAGTCACAGAGAGCTTCAAAGGAAGTCATTGGTGATCTTCCTGCCATATGTATGCTGCTGTAGCTGCTCAGCCACCTGCGCTGAAGCACAAACAAATGCCATTTCTGTGTCGGCGCTGCAGAGTAACCTCTCAGAAATACAGACGTGCCAATTTTCTGTCAGCTGAGTGAAAGGCAGTGCAACATTAAAAAAATCACCTTAGGGAGACGCTTATCAAGGTACAGTGTTTCCTTTGTGCCACCATATCACGCTGTCATGCTCAGAGCTGCAAAACCCTGCAGCTCTTTTTAGCCACTCAACAAGAGAGCATGTTCAGAGTTTTATAAAGATATATTCTGCTCTTGGGTTGAGTTTAAAGGGCATTTGTCAGCTCTTTTGAAATGTCAGCCAGTGCAGCAGGATCAGGCTGTGAATGTGAAAATCATGTCACATCTTTTGTCAGGTTTGAATTTCATGATGAAGATTTTATTGATGGTTTTATTTGATCTGTCTTTCTCACACTGAACTGAAAGCAGCTGTAGGTGGTATTTTGTGACTGGGTATCAAACTGTTGCATGAAACAATGTGGAAGTCTAGAGTGGTCACCTGTAATCATGAACATACCAACATAAATCTTATACCTTTGCTACTTTTCTCATCAAAATGAAGCTTTAAACTGGGCCTTACGTTGTTGACCCACAACCTTGGATATCTCTTTGCAGCAGAAGGTTGCTGTTTTTTTTTTTCCCAGTAAAGAAATAAAAATTTATACCCTCCTTGTACACAACTGTTAGCAGCCAGCTCATGAAAACATAAAGCAGTCAGAGCCTGAGAGCCTCTGGAGTGGGTTGAGACTAAAGCAGCTGAAGCAAACTGATTATGGGGCTGATGTTGAAATTGTAAGGCTAAAAATAGATCTTTTCACTGTTATATAAAAGATTTTAGTGTTTGAGCTTACGTCTCTGCTTTGTTATACGACCTCACAAGAGATTTAAAAAAAACTGTATTGTTATTTCATCCCATTAACACTCTGCTGACAGCTGTTTTACAAGCGATGCTATACCACTCCATCATATTGTGGTACACACAGACTGAATGGACAACCTTACTCCGCCTCCCATCATTGTATGAATTGGAGGCCAAAAACTCCTGGTGCCTCTGAGAATTTTCTCCATTTCCTGAAACCGTCATTCGCACAGTAGCATGAGAAATATTTTTTTGTATTTCATTTGTAAAGTTTGTCCACAGCACTATTCATTTTGCTGGAGGAGGCGATGTTTATGACCTAAACTGCAACCAGTCACCAGGGGGTGCTGTTCTCACAGAGGCTTTACCCAGCAAGGAGGCATATGACGTCCTGTCTGTATACAGTCTATGAGTACACACAGTAGTTAAAGCAACCTAATGATAAGTTATCGTATAGATCTCATACTCTTTTTCTTTTAAAACCAAGTGTTTTGATTTCTCTAATTTTCTCTCCTGTTACACTTGAAGTGACATTTTTATGCCAGATTTGTACTTTTTGTTGATCTCTTTGTTGAACTTGACATGTGTGAGTGCATTTTCAGACAAAAGAAAATCTTGTTTATAACCTGTTCAAAATTACTTACAGGTGCTTTAAAAATAATCTTCATACTTTTTACACAAACGCATCATTAAGTTTAGTTTTGATCAATAATAATGCATCAGATTTCATATAGCGCTTTATCAGAGACCCTCAAAGCGCTTTACATTGGATACATCATTCATTCGCTCACACAGTCACACTTTGGTGGTGGTGGAAACATGGCTGCCATTCTGCGCCTACGGCCGCTCCGACCACCATCACACAACACTCACAATCATACACCAGTGGAGGACACACACTGGGAGCAAGGTGGGTTAAGTGTCTTGCCCAAGGACACAACAGACAGACTTGGATTAGGGGGGAATCGAACCGCCAACCTTCCGGTCATTGGACGACCGCTCTACCTCCTGAGCTACTGCCGCTTTTCTTATCCTTTGCCTTATTATTGTAGTATTATTATCCTGCATCTACCTTTGTCTGTTGTTGTAATAGAGTTTGCAGTTAGTCTTTGTATCAGACACTCAGTTGTAATGGTTTATAATTGAACTCAAACAGAGAGTGATATTTTGATGATGAGCCATTTTTGTGCAGCAGCCGAACCTCCAACCCCCTTTGTAATTAACGAGACATTGATTTTTTTCATGAGTCCTCTCTGTCTTTTAGTCAGTAAATGTAACCTAAGAAAGAGTCATCATGATTTTTAAACCAATAATCCTGGACAACAAGTTTACTAAATCAAGTTTCTCCTCAGGGTTTACATAGTAGCTCATGTTTTAATAGTACTTTCCATATTAAAAAGATTCCTGGACACTTGATGTTCTCTGGATGGACTTGTTGCTGTAGTAACAGGCAGCAGAGGCGCCTGATCTTATTTCTTCATTCCTTTTTTTGGCTTTGTTTGGTGTGATCGAAGAACAGTGATGATTTCTCTGCTAATTTTTTACAAACATCCCTTTTTGGAGATACAGAGACCATGAATGTTCATTCATGTGTGTTTTCTCTTTCTCTTTCTTTCAGATTTAAATGGAGAAGCTGCAGCATCATCACCCACACGAACTGGACCTCTGTAGGATTGTTAAGTGTTTTGCATTAAAACACAAACAGCACCACTTCTCCCTGAGTAATTCATAACTGACACTTAATGTCAGACTGCCCGCTGCAGCAGCTTCATGCTGCGTCGCTGGCTGGAACTCTGCTAATGGAAAGAAAGCATTGTAGGATCCTGCTTTCCAAAAACACCTAAATGCAGCATAATGCCTTCAAAAGTGTCATGTTTATACTTCCTGACAGTGGTTTGCTGGGCCAGTGCTCTGTGGTACCTGAGCATATCTCGCCCGACGACCAATTATGTCGGCCACATGTCTGTGCCTATACGTAAGACAGTGAAACCCCCCAAAAACATCACCTTCAACAACATACGCACCCGCCCCCTTAACCCACATGCCTTTGAGTTTGTCATCAGTGAAGCCAAGAAGTGTGAAAGCGTCACGCCCTTCCTGATCATTCTCATCAGCACTACGCACAAGGAGTTTGACGCCCGGCAGGCCATCAGGGAGACCTGGGGAGATGAGAGCACCTTCACTGACATCCGCATCCTCACCATCTTTCTACTGGGCAAGAACACAGACCCCGTCCTCAACCAGATGGTGGAGCAGGAGAGCCAAATCTTTCATGATATTGTGGTGGAGGACTTTATAGATTCCTACCACAACCTCACCTTGAAGACCATGATGGGGATGCGCTGGGTGGCGACTTTCTGCCCTAAGGCGCAGTACATAATGAAAACAGACAGCGACATCTTTGTCAACATGGACAATCTGATCTTCAAGCTCCTGAAACCCACCACCAAGCCGAGAAGGAGGTATTTCACCGGCTATGTCATAAATGGTGGTCCTATTAGGGACATGCGCAGTAAGTGGTACATGTCAAGGGACTTGTATCCTGAGAGCAGATACCCGCCTTTCTGCTCGGGCACAGGTTATGTGTTCTCAGCAGACGTAGCGGAACTCATCTATAAGACTTCTTTACACACAAGACTGTTGCACCTGGAGGACGTTTATGTAGGACTGTGTTTGCGTAAGCTAGGTATACACCCATATCAGAACAGCGGGTTTAATCACTGGAAGATGGCCTACAGTCTGTGCAGGTACAGACGAGTTATCACTGTGCACCAGATCTCCCCGGAGGAGATGCACCGCATCTGGAATGACATGTCCAGCAAGAAGCACTTGAGATGTTAAAGAGGATGAAAGGACCTCCACACAAAAAAAACTTGGAACTCTTTTCTTTTTGCCTTTTCTCTCCTTTAAAATGTCACTTCACTCAGTAATGTAAAACATCGAGGGCTGTTGTAAGTCGCTCATTCACGTTGACTTTAACTGAAGATGCATGACACGTCTCTGCTTCCTCCGTTTGAACAAAAGTGAAGCCAAAATTGTGCTGATTATCTAGCTCCAGGGAAGTTATAGCCTGAGCAGTAGATATCAGCAGGTGAAGCTGCAGCAGGATTGCAGACTGTGCAAAACATGGACATAGCCTTGTTACCCATTGGTTTCCAAATAATTTACCAGCTAATCTAGAAACTGTCAAAAAGCTTTAGTTCTTTATAGGTGCTGATAAACAGCTACAGTGTGCCTACCTGTAAATCCTGGCACATGCTTCAAGATGATAAAAATCTGAAATGATTTTGAAAATGTGAGAGACTTTCACAGGATGAAGAGTAATGACAGATTTAGCAGTTTAATTTTCATAGTGCGTGGACTGCGAAGAGATGACCTACAATAGACCCAACTCACTAACAGATCCCATTTTTCATCAACCAGAGTCCATACTGTCAAAGTGGAAATCTTACATGAATCTCTTGCAATCAAATGTGACTTAGAAAGAAAAAACATGACAGATGACTGGTTGGTTGTCAAGCTGAACGTTGATAGCTCTGTCTTTGTGCATGGTTGTTTATTTTATGAGAGGCATTGTACAAACACTCGTCAACATCAACCTGACCTCCTTTTCTTACCTCCTTGTTTATGTGTCACATGTTGTTACCAAGACTGCATTTGTTGTGCCTTCTTCTTTAGTCAGCTTGCTCCCTGATTGGCTGTCATTCAACATAGAGCGCCCCTTCAAATCGGTGTATCTGATTATAAATATTAAACAATTTCAATTTTTAAATCAGGGCAAGTAGAACCACTCCCAGCACACCGCACATCACAGGGCAAGATAATCTTTTTAACTGTCAGGAAATTGGGTCTTTGTTGACATTACTCAGATGGAAGGAGAGCCGTCCTAAATCGTCCTGGTTATTCTCTTGTTTCTCTGTCGCATAAATCAAGTCTTGTGCCTCAGTTTATGCACAAATCCCAGCCTTAACATAGTCAAACCAGACGAGTTTAAAAAATGTACACCCTGGTTTCATCCAAGTATAAAAGTTAAGTGTAGAGACCAAATTTTACTCCCATTTGTCTCTGTTATGATTTAACTGCTGATTTTGCATTTCTGTTTCAAAACCCATACGTTGACATTTGTTCAAAACACTGTGACAAACCATGTGGCAAATGTTATAAAGGTTGGTGCAGTCCTCGGAAAGGACAGTCTCAAGTCTTTGTAAGCAGGTTAGAAGACAGAAGTGTCTCTGTTTATAATGGTTACCCCTGCTCACCTCCAGGGCATCAGAGAGGTTTTGGCTTCACTTTTGGGGAGCTGTCGGGCCATGCATCATTTATACGCTCTATGCTATTTTATGACAGCTGTTTCATGAACTTTCAGCCTTCTTCTGTCTCGGCTGATCACACCTCACGATTGTTAATGCCTGCATGAGGCTTGTAAAGCGTGTATTCTCATGCATCGTTTCAATGTGGTGTTTCTGAAGCTCATTTTTCCTCAAGGACTCCACTACAGGCAGCATAAAGTCAATCAACGTTACATATTGTATATCATAACATGTGGCCTAACAGGTTAAATTGATTTTAGTTCGAGCCCTCTCAATGAAACCTTTTGTCCTGTTTAAGTGTCCTTGAGCAAGACACAGACTCTGTTCCAGCTGCTGACTCAGCACCCTGATTTCCCACAGGAGTGCAAGCCTGAGGGAAATTTCTGTGCTGTAATCGATAAAGTATTAAATTGCAGTAAAATATCTATAATAGTATACAGTCAAGGAAGCGTTATTTACAAAAGAAACAAGTGTTCTTGAGAGGAGAAAATCTTCTGTTATCAACCCAAGCAGCCTCTCTGCAGTGATAACATTAAATCAAGGCTCAAGCTGCTCCTCTTTAATTATATTTATCACAAACACAGTCAGATATGAAGCTGAAGATAAGCTGCAGTTCTCCAGCATTAGTCACAATAAAGCTGCAGAACTGAATTTGCTGGATGATCATGTTTTCTTACAAATTTGCCTCATGTTTGTGTTTACAATACATTTCACCGCCTCTGAATAATTTTTAAAGATGCATTTTGTTTTAATCTCCCATTTTTGACATTTTTGTTACTGGAGGTAAATGTGTTTCTAAGCTACCAGCTCCTCATTACTCCAGCTGCTGCTCTCGTTTTTCATGTAGGCAGTAAGTCTATTTCAGATCATCAACTCCTCCACACATCAGAAAAACACAGCATCACAACCTGTGAGTATGAGTTTTACCGTAGCTAAGATCATTACAGACTGGATGTATTAGCATATGTAACTTGCATATCGGTGATTATTGAAGCACTGCTACTGACATCGTGAGGAAATCATCGTGTCTCAGAAAAATGTGGCTTTCATGGCCAAATGTTTTCTTTTTTCTGAAGTTTTGTAGTATTATGAGCTAATGTGACATTTACTGTGAAAGCATCTATCCCTCCAGGGGTTGTTGTTATATACTGTATGTTTTTTATATTAAAGAACAAATACTTGAATAATTAAAGTTATATAACTGCCTTTACTTGTTGCATGTTGTGAGTTCTTTAAAATAGACTTCCAGGATTGGTATACTGAAGGTTTCTTCCTCACTGTAGACACAGGTATAAGAAATAGCATTATAAAAGTTAGGGGCACCTTATGTCCTGGTTTAAAGGGATACATCAATTTCTGTCTCGGCTTGAGATAAGAAAACTCTTCATAATGAGCACAATTTATTTAACAGAGCTGAACACAGGAGTTATAGAGTCCACAGGAGGCAGCCCCACTAGCCTCCAGTCCTCTTTGCAGGTTAAACTCCACACACCTGTGCAGCTTACATGTTGCCCCAGCTGAGAGGTTATGCAGTGTTTTGACCTGACACAGCCTCCATTTTCTAGATCAAAATGCTGGGAATCTGGGTCGTCCAATAAAATGCCGTCTTTCTTTAGTGCATTTGACACCCAGGTGGTGGTGCAGTAGCTGTAACGTTAAGGTAGTGCCCATTAATCCTCAAATACTACTGTACACATGAAATAAACTGTTATTTTAATCTACATTGTCAAACATTATTAGTGAATACCAAGTTAAACCAAAGCTGCCATACCTTTATGTACACACTATGGAGCAACATGTTTAATAATTCTCATTTTAATGTGTCCTTGCACGGTTTAAACATCACAGTGACCTTATTCTTCACATTATTTCTATTTTACAACCTCTATGCACAACTTTGATAGCATTTTTTTATCAGTTAAATGTGTCATTCCATTATTACAAAATCCTACTTTCAAAACTATCCATGTGAGAGAAAAACACTGATTTCTTTTTAATAAGAATAAATCACCTATTGGCTGTTATTACAAAAGCAGTTTTTAAAAATGAATAAACAGTCTTTGTGTATGAGTGCTTTACCCTGTGTTAATTGTTGGGGCAATTTTGTGCTGTTGGCCTTGATGAATAAAGATGATTAGTCTACGGTGCCCCGGACACTTTTACAGCTGTGAGTTATTATTTGTGCCTACCATATTTTAAGTTATGGTATAATGTTTGCATGCCAAAAGTAAAAAACACCACACCTCCTTTAAATAATAGCAAGTCTTTATTGTTGCTCTTCATCAGAAATTTGACATCAGCTGATTACAGAGGGAACGGGAGATAATATGCTGAAATGGTTCACATACTGTACATAAAAAAACACAATAAATTACTTCATAATAGAGAATTTAATAGAGGTTAATTTTTACCCATCTCAATACTTGAAAATATTCGAGAGCTACTGGACTTGTTTGGACAAACAGATGGCTCGTCACTCTTTCAGTAGTTGCCTTTTGGTTTCATCCTCAGATGCATTGTCGTACAGTACATTTTAGAAACTCTATATTCTTGTGGAAACAATAGATTTTGTAGTGCAGTAGAACAGAGCGAGAAAACGAAACTGTTGTGGGTTTTGTGTATTAATCTGGCATCTGAATACAACAAGAGCGGTTTACAGGGTTACAGGTTCTGTTATGTTTGATTATTGTCTCCTGGGGGGCTAAGCATCTGCTCGCAGTGCGCACACGCTCAGCCCAAAAGTGCATTGCAGCTTTAACATATATAATTTGTGTCATTGCTGGAGTAATACATTTTGTGAAATGGTCTTCGGCGGGCTCTGCTCTTTGTGTGGTCTCGCTCGTTCGCTACTTTCTTAGGCACAGAAAAATGAACAAGGCACCTCTAACTTTTTGAAGCATTAGCACTGTCGAGAGCAGCAAATAATACACAGTAGCATCCAGGTCTCTTTTTTTTCTGCACAATCAAGCTAATGGTCCCCTTCTGGTCAATGTCAAATAGGTCTTGAGACAGAACTTCTTCTTTTAGACATTCATTATGTTGTAATGGAAGTGTGCTTTTTACCCATAACTTAAGTACATCTTACATTCTGGCAAAGACCTCAGGGAAACATCACAAATGAGTGATTTTGTGAGACATTGTTTTCACTGTGGCAACAAAACAGAAGAACTTCTCATTTCATAAATAATAAGGATTTGGTGACAGGAAAGTAAAATTTGGAAAAGGTAAAGTGTAAAAACAAAATTGAAGAATCAGAAAAAAATAAATAAAACATTCAAAGCTACATCGTAATCTCCTCATGTCTCCACCTGAGTACATCTTTAGGTTCCTGGGCTGTATCCTGATCCCTGTTTGTGCGCTGGGCGGTGGAATGTTGGTAAGGTCAGAGGTCAGGGGGGGCAGTGAGCATTATGGGGGTGGAGGCAGGGCGGTGGCAGGGCCTGGCATCAGCGGAAGTGAGAGGGAGTGAAGACGGAGGCGGAGTGAGGTGTTTTTTTTTTTACCAAGAGTGTTGGGGAAGAAGCTGCAGGAAGTGTCGCTGTGTTCCTCTGTCTGTCTGTCTGCCCTGAACTGTCTCTCTCTCTGTCTCTCTCTGTCTCTCTCTCCCACATCTCACCTGCTTTAGGCGTGAAGGGAACATCAGCTAACACTCAGCTGTGCAAAGCCGATCAGCTTCACCTCGTCAGGGATCTCCGCGTCGTCGCAGCAGGAAGCCTGCGTAAAAGAGGGAGACGTTAAGAGGGTCAAAGGGGCTGTTTCACATCCTGACACTCTTGATTTAACAACACTGCTAATCCTGCTCAAATCTGTGGAGCAGCTGTAGTATAGCACACCAGATTAATCAGGGGATTGAAATTACTGCAAGCGAGTCAGCTGGTTATTTGACAAAATGATTGAATGTTTCTCTCTAACTTTTGCATCTAATTAAAAAAACTCTGAGAGCAGTTTGAGCGTTTAACTGACTCTAACAGCTGCCTGTGTAACCATGGTGACAAAAGTCTTTCCCCTGCCATAAGAATCTGCAGTTGTTAAATGTATGTATAAATCACAGCATTGCACAGAAATCCTCTGACAGAGTTACTGTAGTTTATTTGAGGGTTTTGAATTAAGTGATTAATTCCTGCTTAAACTGAATAAAGTAGGTGTTACATTTGCAAATCTGTGTTTTTCTCTGCATCTGTGATTCATAGGTTGGTGTAGGAATAAAGTAACTCTTTTTGTTTTACTGTGTTTGACATTTCTCTGAACTTTCCATCTTTGAAAAATGACAGCTGGTCAGATAACAATAAGAAGCAGTATTTTTAAGACCTTAAATCACCCGCTTCATGTTCAGGGGGTGTAGTTCTCAGAGTGATCTATATGAGTCCAGCCTGAAACACTTTACAGCATGTCACCTCCACTCTCTCTTCTTAGTTCCCCTCTCTGTCCAATAGTCTGTCTCCACATAAAGGCATAAAAAGTCAAATAGTACATCAGGAAGTTAACAAAATAAAAGTGTCTAATAGCCTCTCAGGTGATCACCAAATCAGTAACTCACTCAGCAAAAAGAGGTGCGCTTGTGTAGAGATTCAACATACTCTAGAGCAGTGGTTCTCAAGTCCAGTCCTCGAGGCCAACTGTCCTCCATGTTTTGGATGTTTCCCTGCTCCAACACACCTGATTCAAATGATCAGCTCGTTATTAAGCCATTACAGAGCTTGATAACGAGCTGATCATTTGAATCAGGTGTGTTGAAGCAGGGAAACATCTGAAACATGCAGGACAGTGGTCCTCGAGGACTGGACTTGAGAACCACTGCTCTAGAATACCACTGCTTTCATACATGTAGACATGCTGTCTCTTATTGTTTGACTGATGCTGTTTATCTTGTGCGTATTGTCTCCTTTATTCCAATTTGACAAACACCATGATTTAAATGTCACTTTGCAGTTATTCCTTTATGTCATTTCTTGAAAAGGTTTTAAAAAACTGATTGATGGGTTTAATTTTTGTTTTAATTTTAAGTCTCAGGAAAAGCTTTCTCAAAAAATCATCTCACTGCTACCCATGATGTACAGTACATTAATGCTAGCTTGCAGTTATGGGAAGTCAATGTGTGAGTTTCATGAGTTACTGTAAATGCAAATCAATATTAATCATAAGACAGCCCACTCTGTTACGAGTACAGGACATCATTTGTGAAATAAAGAAGCCCTCTAAGTGGTTTATGGGAACTCTAAATATATCCCGCTGACAGAATGTTACCCAGCTATTTCTTTTTTATATTTTAGAGGAAATGATATTGAAATTTTAGGCCATAGTTAAAAATGTAACTGTCAACACATCCAGTCATCTTGAGACTGAGTCGCACAGCTTTGCTGGGGCTCTATGATAATCACTGAAAAGTAAAATAAAATGAATGTAAATTGGCAGTGAAGGGAGAGAACTGCTTCCCTCGGTTTGAAATAGTACTTAAGAGAGCAACATTAACCTTTTAAAAGACTGCAAATGTTAATAATAAATGTTACTCCACAAGGTTTATAAAATTGAACTCAGCCAAAATGACACAGAGATTATAACAACACAGACTGGAAAACAGTGTCTGAATGTGAATGAGACACATCTGGCCAACATCCAATCTGTTTAATAAGGTCAGTATGTGCACCTTGTCTGCTTCTGTTTATCAGCTCAGAGCTGGAATATTATACAGCTGGACTGAATGTGAAAATAAAACAAATTTGGGGATCAATGGATTGAAAGCCAGGCCTTATCAGCCAGCATCTGTTACCAGTCTCTCTACACCTGCACCCGAATAAGGATACAGCCCTGCAACCACATTACAGACTCTGGTGAAAGGAAGAGACAGATGTGGCACCAAACATATATCTAACCCCAATTTTCTGTCTGCTTGGGATGCTAGTCACACAGGTATATATTTATATTTATATTGCATTTGGATTTCCCCGTAAGTCCGGAGGTCCGGGCGCTCAGCAGTTTTCTGATGAACATGGAGGGAGTGTTACAAAAATTGGTTTCTCTTTTAGGCGGCCCGTCCAACCTCCTGTTCTGTTCAGTCATGAAGTGCCTCCCTCACCACCAAGTGTTCTGAACTGCCCCCTGTGGTGAAGGTGATTATTCCTACTCCCTGTGCTTTGTGTTGTCCCACTCATAACTCTTGGTATGGCGACTCACAGTGAGCATTTCACACGGGCAGCAGTGGAGCACAGATAACATAAGGAAATGGAACTACGCCCGTATATATCTGCATGTTGAGTCCAGCCCTGCCTCACCCTGACTCTCCAGAGACTGCTCCACCTGCAACGCTCACTAGCTGCTGATAAAGCAAACATAACAAAAAGGTCACTTTGTGAAGCACAGTGACCCAAAGAACAGATGTTGTTTACCCACAACTACAGAAAGGTCCATTCATTTACATATTCTCTGTCCAATGCAGAAGGACTGGCATCATTTCTTCCAACAAATGTCACCGTTTCTCTCAAAGTCAAACAAAGGGGACCTCTGAAAGTGACACATATGCGACCCTTAACTCCAAAGTAAATACTTCATACTACAGCTGTTTTTCAAAGATGAGATGATGCACAGGTAAACTCCAGTCACTGTCATGTTTTTTTACAAGTGCCTGCCCAGCAGACAGCTGCCTTTGATTAAAAAAAATAAGTTTGACCTCTAAGACATTTTTTTTCATGCCGGAGAAAAAAGGAGGCCGCCAAGTAAACAAAATTAAATGTTGGAAATATTCAGTGATGGCAGGTGGTCGATAACCTGAGGCGAAAAAAAGGATCACAGACTTTCTGTGTTTTTTTTTGTTGACGCCATGGCCAACAAAAGGAAACGAGTTGACTGGTTTTACAAAAAAGCTGTTTGAAAAAATATTTTTGGTTTTTGAGTATTCAACAATTTCATAAAAAATATCAGATCATTTTCCTTTTTATTTGTAAGACATTTATGGTGCAATATGGGTAATGTGCAATTCTGTTATGTGCTCCTCTGATGTCTGTTTTCACTTGTTTTTGATTAAGGATACTAATGTAAAGGTCGATAATCAAGTATATGCTGCACTTTAGTCCAAGAAATAGTTCCTTAAAGAGGCAGCTAACTGTGCTGTATTATACTATATTGTACTGTTTCTTATTGTGTCTCATCATGGCATATTTAATAGTATTGAATTGTTTAGTATTACACCGTATTGTATCATATTGTAACATAACATGTCGTAACATATCTTATCTTATCATGTTATGCTGTATTATATAGAATCACTCCATAGCACATCATATCATATTGTATTGTATCTTGTCAGACTGTATCTTATGGTTCTGTATTGTATCATATTGTTTTGTGTTATATTGTATGGTGTTGTATTGCACCATTTCTTCATAAATGTATTGTGGCTACACAGATTAAACATCTGATATGCAAACATACAAAATAGCATTATTGTCACTAATTCTTTAATTGTGATGTTCTTTTTAAACGACTCATTCATCCTATCCTTGATGAATACAAATCATCAGCTTTAAAAAAGCTCAATAGAGTGAAAAGCTTGAATAATTGGGTTTGGATGACAATGATGCATTCGTGCTCAGTTTGCTCAAATTAAATTATGAAATCAAATCATTTTTTTTAACTAACTATGTAATGTAGAAATTTCATAAATAAAAAGAAGTATAATGAATTTTAGGGAACTCTTCGATCTGATTTGATCTCACACAGACTTTTAGTTAAAATCATCTTTTCAAACTTGGATTATGAATGATATGAACCAAACAGAGTGCACTTTTTCAGGCTCTTCTTCCACCTATGTAACAAGAAATATAAGCAGTGAGACTAAAAGACCGTGAAGAAAAACCTCCTGTCAGGAAAAAAGACAATAAGACCGAGAGTGCAGGTTCTGAGGTAAAGAATTGAGTTTGTCGATTTTTGGGCATTGTGTGTCAGTGTGAGACTCAACACAGTCTATTAGTAATCTAGTCTGCTGTATCCTTCACTGACAAAACATTCCTCCAACGCTGGAGCTGTGTGTTTATTTCTCACTGACCCTTTCATCAATAAGCTGTTTACAGCCAGAGATTGTCAGCAAGGAAAAAGTCACAGGGGTGTCATCACTCATCAATCATGTGGACACTCACCAGCTTAAAGGTCAACACTTTGTAGGTAGTTGGGTCATCTACAATCTTCTGAAGGTTAGCAGCAACTGTAATGTAGAGGACATACAGCAAGCATGATGTTCAAGTAATAGAGCATTGGAGAGCATGAAAATAAATCTCACATGAAAAATAAAGTTTTTTAGACCATTACTGCAACTGCCAGTTAAAATATAGAGAAGATATTTAATATTTTTAATATTAGATATCATTTTGACAGAAAGACTGGGGTTCTGGTCAGGTTTTTTAGGGGGGGTTTGGGGGATCAGATTTAAAGTCTATCTCTGACAACAGTATTTTGACTAAATATGTATATTACTGAGGTGATTAGTCATGTAACATGGACACTGATGGGTATGAAGACCACACCAACACAATTTACCAGATTGAAGAAGTGGAAAATTACCAATAACAACGTCGTGCCCGTGGACCAGGCCAGCAGAGAACAGTTCCTGGGAAACGCCATCAGCTGTGTCTTATGGGAGAACAATATGAGAAACAGTGGGCATGTAACACTCTACTTAGCGGGTAATTGTATTAAATGTTAAATTGGACACTGTCAGGAGCACAAACACAGCCGTCTGCTGACATGCACACAGAGCAATCTACAGATCCTGAAGATGGTTTCACATTTCAAATCCATACGAGCAGAGTTCTTACCTCTCCCTGGAGTGAATTCAAACCGGATGTCATTCAGCTCCTTCTTGGAGTTCCTGTGGGGAGAGAGGATAGAGTGAGGGGAAGCATGAGCAGCATCTGAAATGTCAGATTTAGATTAGCTGTAGCTCTGACTTGTGACAGCTTCTGTAGGTCCAGAAAGAGCCGTGTATACAAATAAAATGATTGATGTGAACAAGGAAAAGGAATGACAAGATGGACAGGCAGTGCAGCTGACATGCAACAGGACCATATTATTGAGTTTGTCATCCTCGGATGACTACAAGTACAATATTGTTGCAACAAGCTGTCACAACAGCATTGACGTACCTTAAATTTCTGCTTTTGTTCTGCTGTCACCGACAAAAACATCTCTCTATGTAGCTGCCAAAGATCCATGAGCTACTCATTAAATCTAACGGCGGGACATTTAGAGCCTGACAAGAGTGCTCACATGGAGAACCATCACGGCTTTTTACTCAAAACATCTAAAACCTGAGAGGGAACTATAACAGTCAAGAGTGGCCAAGTGACCGAACTAGTTAAAAAGATCTGACAAAAGCTTTATGGAGAGGATGAACCCAGGTATGACAGATAAAGTGAGCCGATACTTTTGACCTGCATTCTGTCTAACGACCAGCAGAGGGAGACTACAGTGTTTTCAAAACAAAGTCTAGTCTAGTATGTGTTAGATTAAAATGACCTTACACTTTATATGATTTCCAGCCCAAAATAATCATAGACTATCATTTCATTGTGGTTTACTGATCTGAGACTGATTCAATATACATAGACATATTGAAAGTATTATGATCCAAGTATCAAAATGTTTCCAGCAGATACTAATTTTAAAAACCACATAAGGATACAATATTGAAACTGTAGGTTAAAGCACAAACACAAATTTACAGCTAATTAAACATGAAAACCAGACTGTTCCTGATTTAAATCTACTATAAGGATTTTTTTTTACTGCCTATCTTCAGTAATGCCTTTTTTAGATCTTTAAAAGCAACCAGATCATCAGCACCAGAAGTGACAGTTTCTATATTGTGATTTTTTTTAAGCAGAAGGGTAAAAGGGACTTTGGGCCCCCCCTTGGAACTGTATTTCCAAGTAGGATTTGTGGTTACGGATATGAAATTATGCATCTTTGTCTCGCTGAATTATGTTTCCATTTTCACATGTATCATCTCCCTACTGCTATCTCTGATACGATCAGGACTGCAGCTGAAATATTTTTATAAAACTATCTTACACGCCACAAGAACAATCAGAGAAAAAAATTGGTGACAGGGAATAAACTTTTTTTTTTTTACAACTACAGGACTACAGGATTACAGAAGTCTGCTATCTGAGTGTGTGTGTACCTGTGATTCAAGATAAAACATGGCTGAACAGGATCTGAGTGTTCACACGGTGCTATAGAGTGACTAGGAAGACGTAAAAAGAAAAACCAGCAGGTATGCATCAGTTTTCTTTTGCATGTTTTTTAAATGCACCCCCCCAGCAGCTACGCAGCATCAACCTGCATTCATTTGCATCTCTTGCATAAAGAACAAGCCTTTGAAATGTGTGACAGTGCAGACGCCAGTCTCTGAAAATAGCAGGACGTCTCAGTCCCACCCAAAGTGCAGTGAGAGGAGATTAATTTGGTTTGTAGTCTCGTTAAATAAATCTCACAGCCAGACCACAGCACCTCATTTCAAATGAGATTAGAGACATAATTCATCACACACAACCAGGGACATATCTGCTATGAGTTTTTTAGGAGAAAGTCTGGACTAAACAGTGGGAGGGTGGATTTACTATCAGCTGAGCTGTGAGCCAACTTGACTTTTTTAATTTTAGAGAGTTACGGTTGAAAGAAAAAATAAACAGAGTGAAAACTCTGGTGGAACAGATGGACGTAAACAACATCTCCACTCCCAAAAGAGGAAGCAGAGGGTGCAGACTGCCAAGGCAAGGTAACATGTATGTCAGAGGATCATAACATAAAGCCCTGCACAAATAAATCAGTCCCTCTCTGCAGAAAACCAAGAGTTCAGAAAGTAGTCTGTCAGACATGCACACACGTTCTGGATTAGACACGTACAGCAGACTGAACACTGCCATGACATGTGAGAGTTTGAATACCAGGCTGGAGATTTATTTCCTCCACAGTTCAACAGCAGTAAAATTAGCGATTCATCCGGCGAGCCCATTTTTATTTTTGTCACCTTGTTAACCGACTTGCATACCAAGATGACTGTGTAATCCCTCTGGGAAATAGCATGTTTATGACACAGTGCTTTCTTTAACAAAGGTACAGTGAAATTCACAAACTCATTTCCACCATCTATTAGTGAAGCCAGTTTTTCTAACATATGAAATTACCGTATACTGCAGAGAAATCTTTCAAAATGCCTCTGCGTTTATAGAAAACATGGGTGTCGGTGAGCACATTATGGGCCCTGCAGTGGTGGCTGTCAGGTGACTGATCATGGAGCCAAGAGGAATTTTTAGGTGAGAAAAATGTAGATCTATCACTAATGTGCAGCAGCATACCTTAATGCCAAAGCCAACAAGTAGATTCCATTCTGTGTTGGGACTGTATTTCTTACCCAGGAAAGGGGCAATACGTTACAACTGTTATGTTTCACATGTACAATCCACTCTTAAGACTTTAAAACTTAAAAGTTCATATCCTAATAGCAAATCATGGCTGGAATTGTATTAATAGGAAATAAAACAGTCAACCAAATTTATCTCATTGTAAAAAAAAAAAAAAAAACAGGTCTTGTAAAAGTGTCAACTCTTTCTTCTAATAACCCGCAAAAATGTTATGATTTTCAAGAACCACCCCTGAAAGGACAGTGGTATGAGTTTACATCAATTACAGGAAAGAGTTCAGATTTTAGACTCTTGATGGATTCGTTCAGAGTAATTTACTGCCGGCCTCTTTCTGTCAACGAAAGAAGATCAGATACTGCATTACAACGGTCTGAAGGCCAACACCAGTTGAAAACCATCGAGAGTGAGAGTCTAAGGCCATTAATGACCCATTAAGGAATAACTAAAAAACAGACAGCGTAGCATCAAGATGTTACCATAAGTTTAGGATTGTGAATGACACCGCAGCCAAATCCACAATCTGAGACTTCTTCCTAAACTGTTTCAGAGGCTACCCAGACAATTCTATCAACTTCTCTTTACCCCTAATAGGGAAGAACAGACCAAAATGTCACCTCTGCTCTGAACTGCTCGGTAAAATCAATCTGCCTCTGTGCTATTTAAGCTATTTAAGCTCCAGTGACATTGCACCAACATTATGCAAGCCTGAACTTCCCCCTTCAAGCTGCTGACAAAGTTATTCTCAGGACACCGCTGTGCTTTTGTAAAAGAAAAAAAAAACAGAGATTGAGAGAGATCCAAACAAAATGTTGACTAAAATCCAATCATGCTGCTGCTTTTCCCTCCTCTCTGCCACTGAGGGGATCATATTTCCATAAACTCTCTCTAATGGGCTGAACTGCCTTATTAGTTTAGAGAGCAGAGCAATTAACTGTTTTTTTGTTTTTTTTTTGTCTCTCCAAGGCAATTTTTTTCATTTCTGTTGGATTTTTTTTCATACATATTTAGGGACCTTTTTTTGAAACAATAAATAATGTTTTTTTAATAGCATATTATTTATTTTACACAGGGGTATTGTATAAACCATAAACCTGAAAGAGAGGGGGGAAAACTCTACTCTGCACATACTGAGCTCCCCTGAAATAGCTTGTATGTTTTACACTGACATTCCAGGTACATCTTTCATTCAATAAAGAAGCACAGTCTGTTTCCATAAATAAATATCTTGCTCTGTTCACCAGGACTCGGAAACAGATCCAAAGAAAACCCAAAATATAATAAAGACTCTCATCTTCACACATACCCCCCGTGATGACTATACCAGGCAAATCCTCCTCACTATCTAAATAAGGTCAACTGCAAGTAGCTCAGAATCTGCTGCTCCCTAAACTCTGCCGTCTCTAATCCAGCAAAACATCTGCTCACCATGTGAAAGAATTAGCAGTTTTAAAGAACAGAGGATTCATGTTAAAAGAGCTTTTAAAATGTTAGTTTCTTTGTTAATTTAGGAAAAGTAAAATGTACTAAAGTCCCATCTGTAAAACTTCTCTCATGTTAGCTGTAGTGCATATCTTAGTAATCCACCAGGTCAGCGTACGTGATCAACTAAGAGACCTTTTTTCAAAAACAAAAGTATCATCAAGCTTCATTGACTTGGATCTTAGATGGATACTATCACCTCTAACACTGAATACTTAAGCAGACTAACCAAAGATATGACCTGACAGCTGACTGCCGGGATCACAGTGAACACAGTAAACACATTTCTTGGAAGAAATTGATTCAATCGCTGTACGACTCCACTGTGATGTTTTTAAGAAGAAAGCTCAGATCTCGACAGGATAACAGTCTTTTATAGTTCATGAAAACTGAAACGAATACATGTTTTATTCTTCAAAAGGCTTTAAACTCCACACGTTGAGAAAACACTATTAGGTTTTACACCAAAAAACAAAAACAAACCCAACTTTTCAACCGTGCCAATTTATTTTCATCACCAGGTCAGGACAACGACTGGTCATCAGACACTAAAAAGCCGGCCATCTCGTCTTACATCCTCTCAAATATTTTTGGTTTGTAACCAGAGAATGAAATAGCTTTTCTGTGCTGTGCTGTGCTGGATGCCTGGGGAGGGACCTTCAGATGTCTGTTCCACTAAGACTCGGCTCTGTGACCGGCTCATCAGGGAGCTACAGGCAGACCTTCAAATGTCCAAATATGCTCCATGGTCTGTCTGAGGCTGCACCCCTCAAAATGCACACTGTCTTTCTCTGTTGGTGTGTCTGCCTACCACATAACACCAAGAGGGATTTAATTTGGATTTTAAGGTTGGCTTTGTTTTCTGTCATTTACATGTTCAAGTCAAAGAGCACTAAATTAAGACTTTTTTCCTATCTATGTCATGGGGCTGAGTCGAAAGCCATTTTTCCATCAAAATATACCCAACAGCAGAGAGCACAGGGCACAATGAAAGCATTGGAGCAGATTGTGGAGCACAGCCAGAGAAGCAATAGAGTGTGACGCTCTCCTCCATAAGATACAGCCACTCAGACTACAGCGAGATGAAGGGATCCAGAGAAATGAGAGATCCTCTCTACAGAGGGCCGTGATTATTGTGTCTATGAAGAGCTGCAGCATCTACAAACATCCCTCAGCCTTTGAAAACTGACACAGGCTATCCCTCTTTAACAAATGTCATTAAACTATAAGACAATAAAAGGCCTTCTGTCCTTTTCCATTAAAAAAAACATATTAGTGGTCCATTTGATCAAGACTCATTTACATCTTCCTCTAGAAGAATTCCAGTAATAAGAGACATGCACTAACTGATTGGGATTGTGTTTCCCTGTTTATTTCTATGTATCATATTGTATCCTGTCTTATTTAATTGTATCCTATCATGTTGTATTATATCAAAATGTACCAGACTGAATCATTCTGCACCATACCATACCATACCATACCATAAGGAACTCCTGAACCATAATGTACCATTTTGTTTTCATATATCATGAAACTGTTTCATATTTGATCATATCATACCACGTTGTATTGAATCGCATTGAATCCCATCTTATCATGTCGTATCATATCGTAATGTATCCTATTGTATCAAATAGTTTCACATTATGTCATATCATATCATATATCATGTCATATCTCATCATATTATGTCATATTAAATCATATATCATATCATATTATATTGTATTATATTGTATTATATGGTACTGCTTTGTAATGTACGATAGTAGATCTTAATGTGTTGTATCCTATCTTAATGTAATGTATCATATCATATCATATATCATATCATATCATATCATATCATATATCTTATCATATCATATTGTATTATTTTGTATTTTACTGTATTGCTTTGTAATGTACAACAGTAGATCTTAATGTATTGTATCCTATCTTATTGTAATGTATCATATCATACTGTGTCATTCTGGACTGAATCATTGTGCACTGCACTGTTCGAAACTATAATGTTAGAGTGCCACATTGTGTCGTAGCATGTTACATTGCATCTTGTCAGGATTATCAATTTTAAGGCAGTTCCTGATGAATATAAGAAAAGAGTCAAAAACATGATTCAAAAACAGTCCTACCTTAGCCTTAGTACCATATTCACAGCCCCTGGAATGTAGGTTGAATCCTCATATGGTTCAACCTGTGGGAAGAGAAACCTCTGAAGCTGAGGAAGCTTGTACTGCAGGGCCACATTTTCAGGCACAACAACTTCAATTTGAAGTAGTGCAACTTACAGCGATTGTGCAATAGTGTGCTGCAATGACTGCAAACTCATAAAATATGGTTTCTAAAAAGCGTCTTTCATTCAGCTCAGCTGTAGGGGCAGGTGTATGGGAAAAGAGCAGGGAACAATACATCAAGATAGTATAGCGTGCAAAGAAATATTGTCATTATCACTCCTTCATTACAAATAGGCTCTTTGTATGTCAAAGAATGGATATTAAAGGATAAGAGATGACTGCTGAGTATCTGTCAAAGCTAATCCCTTACTGTAGCACAGCACTACACCACAGACTGCTGCGGCTCATTTTCAAAATGACAATAGCCTCAGAAAATGGGGTGCAGTGGCACTGAGCCTTTTGATGGGTTACACCCAAGCACTGAGCTGGCACTGTCAGGCAGACAGCCATTTACCGTGAGTTATTACAGCTGAGAGCATCCCTACAGGAGACACACATTCACACATTCGCACAGGCAGACACACACCAACACACGTTAAGCATAGATGTAGACAGGCACGCATAGATAATGAGAGCGGCATCAAGGTCATTGAATCATGAGAAATTAGCGCTGATGCAGAATCCCTCACCTGGGGATGCTGAATAGACAAGCCTTCAATGGGGACATTGTTGGCATTCTCCTCATTCTAGGAGGAACAGAGTGAGAGGCAGAATGGTGCTAATGTTATTGCATCCTCTGAAAATATCAAACCACAACTCATCTTATAGAGACAACAAAGGAGCGCAAATTAAAGACAATCAATGAGAGGGAATTTGCTGACAGTCTTTAAACTGCTGTTTGGCTGCTTCTCATTAAACTCTACAAAACATGTGTAGACATAAACTGATTGAGTTCAGGATTTTAACACAAGTGTTTAACCAAATCAGGAAATATAACTGCATTTGCAAAAATGCCTTTCAGCCATGTTATGGAATTATACAGCAGCAAACAAGATTAGGCATATTTATCTCTGTCAGAAAGATGCTTATGATTGGAACTGCATTTTGATAGCGGTGTATGAGAGGAGCAGCTAACTTACATCTTTGGTCTCATCTCTGACCCTTCGTGACTGGAGGGAAAAATCAAACACACATTGACATGTTTTTGTTAATAGATACACAGAAATAATAATTCCTGCTTTTTCAGTTTCTCAAACAGTTAAAAACTTGAGATTAAAAAACATGGTCTTTTGCTGTCTTCATAGACTGTATTACTGTTTCTCCATCTGCCTGTACAAACAAACAATACACACTGATGAGAAAAAGTAACAAGCCCCAAATCAGGGACAGGGAACTTAAAAAACACATACTGTAAAAATACAATCTGCAACAGCTTACTTCCTAAATCATGACTTTTGGTCGCGTATTAGTTATTGCATCATACATTAAAGCGGGGTATCTTTATCAAAGGGCTCTTTGATCATAGCTGTCTACTTCTTCCTGCCTCAAATCCTTGCAGCTATCTTCCAGCTCATTACAGCAACCTCGAGACAGTCTCTCTCAGAGATAAACCATCTGCTACCCAAAAAGAAAAGCTCAGTGACCAAGGGAGGCAGGAAAGAACAGGGTCAGAGACGGAGGGTAAGGTGCATAAAGATTTGATTTACAGGTGAGACATGACATGCATTAATAATGACCAATATTACCGTGAGACTGTGTAGTTTCCTAAGATTACAAATTTAGAAATACTCTTCAAGAAGCTACTGTAGTGAAGAAACTGTTCCTGAAGCGTTTTACAGTAAATACAAAAACAATAAACTCTGCAGTGGCTGGTCTTCTTGGCATCTCACCTACCCTGCCTTGATTTACCGCCGCCTTGCCCTCTTCACTGCCTTCATCCAGCTCATCATCGCTCCACTCCCAGTCTCCATCCTCTGTCTTGTGCAAGTGACCACTGGAGCCTGGGACTCTCCTCACCTGAACCATGACGACACAGACACAGCACACTTCATGTGATAGACATCACTCATCCTTCTTCACACGGACTCCTACATTAGATTATGGTTTACCTGTGATTCATGAAGGTTTTTGAGGCCTTTAAATTTGTCAGAAACTATCAATCTCAGCTTCAACTGTGATATTTAAACAAAGTACACAAGGCAAATTCAAGTTATAGGGCTAGTTACATATGTTGGAAGAAGTAGCTTTCTGCTGAATTTGGAGATTCCACCTAGTTATAAAACAGACTGAGGTTAATATTGATGCATTTCTATGATATATCAAAGCAAACAACACCATAAGAAAAAAAATCTGATTATTGTATACTGTTGTTTTTAATGCCTGAAACTGCAGGGTAGGTGTCAGACCAGACAAATGCCGAAACAGCATTTATTTACATTTTCCACAGACGGTGAGTTATATACTGACAGCTGAGAGAAAGCAGAATGAGACTTTTTGTCACACAACATTACACAAGACGAGATCTGCAAACAGATGAGACATAATTCTGTGACCACAACATGTGCCAAAGCTGACACGGATCGCAAGTTCCTTAAGTTCCTCTTAGCGAGCTTTAAAGTTACATATGACTGGCAAAAAATAGTTCCCAATTATCAATCAATCAATCAATCAATCAATCAATCAATCAATCAATCAAATTTTATTTATATAGCGCCAATTATTATTATTGATGCAGTTATTATCTAGTTATACAAGACAAATTTGCCACACCTGTGTGGTATGATTACATACTGGCAGATAGAGACGATGAGACAAGCTGCATTGTGTGTCACAGTGCAGGTATGTGTGGGGAAGAGACATGAAGGGGAGCAAGATGAGCACATTATAGAGTTAAAAGTGATTTAAAACACTAAAAAAGCTGGAGTATAGGCCAACTACAATTGTATTATTACCTATAAAATACGGAAGCATGTATTTCCGCTAATTTATCATTATATTTCTTTGTCAGTACTGCCACAGATACTCCTTGATTCTGTAGCACTGCACAGCAAAATCATATAGATTTCAATAGGCACTGATATCAAAATACCTCTTGCTTCATTTAACCACCACTTGAGCATTCATTTATTAAGAATGTACTTTACTGCAGATACAAATATGAGGAAAAGCAACGCATGACTAGACTAGCAGTGTCTGGTTGCACATCAGAGCACACAAAACAGTAAGTCACCAAAAGCAGGCTGATGCAAATTCCCCAGCATCAGACAAGGTCAGCGTTACAGAGAGAGACTCCCCCCTCTGATGGTGTCTGTTTTTTTTTTTTTAAGACCCTGACATAAAACTTCAGCAACAAGACTCCCTCTGTTCTGCTCTGGTTCTTTGGAGGAAATGGACACAGATCAGTGGACTCAGTGAGTGCGCACTCTCACCTCAGTGACATTCATACAAAACAAAACCACACACAACAATATGCATCTGGCGGAATGCTCTTACAGTACATGTTTTAATACATATATGAACAGAGTCACATTATGTGAGCAGAAAAACAAAGAGCTGGTTAAAACCCTGGTGTAAGAATGTGCAGCTGGTATTGTGCAATCTTAAATCAGGCTTTGGAGAGCATCCATGAACTCATTAGGTATTCATTCATCATCCCTGTACTGGACCACACCACAATATCAGTGTTTTTCTCACTTTCTAGTTTTCACACTCTAGAGAATCAATAAGTCAAGCTCATATCAACTATATGCTACAAATGTCTTATCTTACAACAACACACCTCCACTGAATGTAAATCGAAAGCTCTATTGTGAGTATCAGGGCGCCCTCTGCTGGTCACCCATCTGATATGTACCCACATTCAGTGTTCTGTACTGTACTAAAAGTGATCTTTTTCACTATCATGTTTTCAGGATGCAAAAAAGCCTACATGAGCATTTTTTATGATTCTCTCAGGGGTATTTTTTTCTTAAGTCCTCCCATCCTTGAGTTCAGGAAACTTTTCTCCTTCCTTTCATTAGATGTTCATTTAAAATTACTTCGCTGGTGACAGCTGACCGGACTATCTGCCATCTCCTTTTCATTCACTGTTCTCAAGGGGAGGAAAGGTCCCATTTAAAGCCCATTTAGAGAGTAAGGTTTCCGCCTGACTTTAAGTCTCCTAAACCCCCATGGTGCTTGTTTCCTGGGAATCGAGTTGCGAGTGTTTACCATGACCACAGAAAACTGCACAGGGCTAAAAAGTACAGAAACAGAACACAGAGGAGCAAAGTGCGAATAGGGTCGTAGAGAGTTCAGACAAGACTGAACGAGAGTGAGACTTCGTTGGTTTTCTTATAAAAAGATCAAAAAGCTCCAGGCAGGACATTCATGCTGCAGGATTGCTTGTCCGTGTAATACTGATATGATGATTGCTGAATGTCAAATGTAAATGAGCCCGAAGGTCAAATCAGCAAAAAATAACAAGGGCAAAGATTCTCTGGCACATAAATTTCAACAAGAGGAGCAGTCACTTGTATTATATAACTGTAGACATATTGTGCAGTTTACCTATCCAACTGTATTAAATACACTCCACACATACAAACTCTTTAAAATTTTGTGTATCTATGAATTAATATTTGCAGTGTCAATACTTCAGATTAGATTTTGCATGCCTAGTTTAAAACAGTCTCAACTTTTTATTGGAGAAAGATGTGGTTTCAATGTGTTGCATTCACAAACTTACTGTAGCAACTCCGCCTGACTGTTTTTAATTCATTGTAATGACAGCTAGGCGTCTGTGTTTGACTTATTAACTCTCAAAATCCTCCACAACATCATGCTCCCTCTTTATTGACACTCCGCTCTGTCTGTGCATAATGTTAACGTCACGCACACATGAGCTCCACTATCCACTATGCCCTACATTTACTCCCAACCAGTCAGTGAATTTCCACCCCTCCACCCCAGCTGGGCCACTCTGCCTCCCGGCGATGGCCCTCTGTTCCCGTTTCTGTCCTCGCCATCCAACCTGATTGTTATGTGAAACCAATATCAACTGTGCCTGAAAACTGCACTTCCACTTCCTAAACTGTAACCAGTGAGCAACTAAATGAGCAAAATGAACAGTAATGTCCTCCTTTTTTTATCTGTTAACAATTGATCTAATCCAATCTGACTTAATGTGCCACGTGCAGACAGCTGACACAGTACACTCGTGCATCAATGCAGTCTGCCTGTGCGCTGGACCGGCCCATATTTTTACATAATCTTCACAACAGTTCAGGCATGAAGCGTTTGAGGTGCTTAAGAGAGTCAAAGTGCGTAACTTGTGTTGACTGTAAATGCGAAGCTCTGGTGGAGTGAGAGACTTCAGTCGATCCCAGCACTCTGCCATAATTTCTTCATGTTTAGTCAATAGCTGAGCTATTTTACAGGGAATGTTTGTGTAAACATACCTTCTTCGCTCTCTGGGAAATCTTTGGTGCACGACTCAAAAGCTTTTCAACCAAATACTCTCTGTTCTGCAAGATAAGATTTAAAATAGAATCAAAATATCATTAAAGCAAGACGAGAATCACAATCCAATCATGAGTCACAGAAATGCAGAGTAACATTTTGAGATGCAAGAAGTGAAAATGAGGGCAGAAAATACTGAAAGGTTCAGAACGTTTGAAGTTATGTGTTAACCGAGCCATTTTTCAAATTGGAGCAATATTATGAGCCTCTGGAGCTCTGGCACATCATACAAATGTAGCTATGAGTCAATGCAGATTATCACGTCATTTGCAGTGCAGATACTGAGCTCAGATCAGCTCTTTAACCATTATGTTAAAGTAGTGATGTAACCCTATTGGTAACTACAAAGTGTCCGTAACATAAACAGACATCATTACAGAAGATGTAACTCAAAAAAGATTCAACATAAGTTCAAAACATTAATACTACAACCAAATAAAGATGGAGAGTCACATGCTCAGAATAAAGCAAATACCTTGGCCTTTTGGAAGAATTTACATTTTAAAAGCTCTGCAGCTGTAGGCCTGAAATAAAAAAAAGTACATTTGTTTAAAATACATCACGAAACAGCACAACTTCAATTGAAATGACTAAACCGCATCATTACTCTCGGAAATACTTGGGGGATATGATGCTTACCTTTTGGCAGGATCCTTCTGAAGGCACATAGTTATTAGCTTTCTGAATGATTTGCCATACTTTTTTAGCACTTCTTTGTCCTCTACTCCCGTCTCTAGAGTTGGTGGATCATTCTGTAGGGTAAGCATTAAAACCTAAAGGGAAATAAAACGGAGAAAAAAGTCAAAACCGCCTTTACAATTCAGCAGAAAGCAGATGGGGAAAAGAAACTCAAAGCAGGAAACTGTTTGAAGACACACACTTTTATGGACAGTAAAACTCTGGCTTCTAACAGATAAAAAAAAAAGTTCCCTGTTTACCAATCAGTTGGTTTCCTAATCAAAGCAAAGCACGGGGTCAAAAATAATGCCTCAGCATGTGTTTTTTTTTCCCTTCTCACTAATGATGAAACTTTACAGAAATACTCTGGTTCAGGAGGAAGTCAAAGGCTAAAAGTTTGAAAGTTTGTGTGTGACTCTTTCCTTTTGCTTTGAAAGAGTTGCTAAAAGCTGTAAGAATAGCTGTGATTAGTGTTGTACCGGTTCAAAGTTGTCGACGAACAGCCTTAAAAGCCAGAGGACCTACCTTCATAGGGGGGTAGCGGTGATATGGGGCCGATCCTGTAGCTAACTCTATGGCTGTAATTCCAAAACTCCATATATCTGCTTTGAAATCATAGCCTCGAACCTGTGGGTGTGAAATAACAGCTTTTTGTACTGTCATGACTCCGAAGGATAACATGACAAAAATAAATCTGTTTATGGTGATGGATTAATACAAAGATTAACAGGAGCAGATGTTAAAATTAATTCAGGATTAAATTTAATAAACTTGGTGTTCCAAGCAGCTGCAGCCTTCGTGCAAAGATGGACTTACTTGCTCCATCACTTCTGGCGCCATCCAGCATGGCGTGCCCACAAAGGTTTTTCGTACTTTGTTTCTTGTCATATCCCCTCCTGTGGCTAGGAATGCACTCACACCGAAATCTATAAAGTTAGAAGCAAAACACAAACATCTTTTCAAGTAAGCCTTTTTAAAGTACAGTAAGTAGAAATAGAAATACGCAGCAATTTCTAGCAGTAAGATTCTTGGATTAAAACACCCCTTGCCCACCCTTCCCCTCGCTCCTTTGATACTGCTCTGAGTCTACATTTGTCAAGTTTTACCATCAGAAACTTCTTTTAATAGAAATTTGTTTGAGCACAGCAACAACTGTCTTTATCTTCTTCCTCCTCCATCAGGTGCATCTGGTTGAACCCATTGTAGAATGCTGTCTGAATGTTGTCAGATACAACACACTGTTCCTTTAAAAACTTCAGAGTTAAACCAACCTTCTGACAGATCAAAAACTGTGGGGACAATTGTGAATATTTGGCCAAGAGGGAGGTTTCTAACTTGCTGCATTTTTCTCCATTCAAAGCTTCCGGCTTAGGAAATACAAACGGTCTCAGGTTAATTCAGCTACAACACAGTAGATTAAACGTACATTATCCTCTTAATGCACTCGCTCAATCTGTTCTTTCATTAAGCCATTCAGTTTCATTAGAGCAAAGATAAGTGGTTGACTGTCTTCACTGTATTTTCAGCCCACCTGCGATCTGAACAGATCCATCTTCTCCAAGTAGTATGTTCCCAGCTTTCACATCCCTGAGGTCACAAATAACAAACACAGTCAAACAACAAAGTCATGTGGGGCAGCATTGATTCTTCCGTCCATAAATGAGTCCAGCAGACCACCACCATCTGGCACCCTGCCCAAGGGGCTGACAGGGATTTAAACCCGCCTCCCAGCGACCTTGAAAACCTGAACACAACTAATATACAGCTCATGAATAAAGTTACATAACGATTTTTATCTCCATTTCCTGAAGCAACTTATGATTTAACTCCCCAAACAGCCCTTAAAAGGCCTTGTTCATGCAATTGATACAAACCGCACACTTCAGAAAAAGTAATCAGCAAGTCCAAGTGTTTAAAGTATTACCTGTGAATCTGTCCATTTCTGTGCAGATAGTCCAGCCCCTCTAGGACTTCTTTTAGAATAGTAGCAATAATAGGCTCATCTAGCGCTCGATTTTTGTCATCTTCTTTGTCTGTGTGCTTTATTATATCCAGCATGGAGCCTAAAAAGACACAGCAGAGTTACTTTTAAATACATTTTTCACATACTAATGAGGAGCACAGAAGAGCAGCAGCGTTCCACACAGAGGCATCACACGATCAATATTTGAGACACATCATTTCAGTGTTTGTTAATTGCTTATTACCCTCAAAAGAGTTGAACAGAGCCGGCAGTACATTAGAGTCCCTTAGTTCAGTGACAAGGTAATAGATGTAAAGGATGTGCAAAGGGACATCATCGGACCACAGGTGTTATTTATCATCGGTGTGCAGCTGCTTCTGTATTGTGTAATAGACCTGCCCAATAATACTGTGCTGAAATGCATAATGACGGTTTTATTGCTACAGCCGCTTAAATAATATGATGGTTATTAATGTAATCAATAGAAAAATAGTAAAATAGTAAAAAACACATATTAATACTAGATCATTATGTATCTCAAGATGCCTACTAGTAAATCCAGCTTCATGTATATTGGACAAATTAATTCCTGGGACTGTCACTTGTCCTCAGTACAACCCAGGTACCTCACATCATCACAACTTCTCAGCACTCGTGTACCAAAAAAAACAAAGAAGGTAGAATTTCAGTACATGAAGCTCACCTCCACTCAGAAGCTTCATGACTAACCAAAGTTCATCCTTCACCACAAAGGAGGTATAGTAGGTGACAACATTGGGATGGTTGCACTGGCTCATCGCTTGGATTTCTTTCTATTGAGAGAGAGAAACAACAAGTAAGACAACTTAAACTGCTATTCAATAAACTGCGTTTGTATTTACTCTGTAATAATCTTTCACAAAGTGTAGTAAAATCACAATATTATTAAAACTGCCTGGTACATTATTGAAAATCAGTAGGCTCCTCCAGAGCGCATAGTTTAATATGACTCAAAGGGAAATTACAAGTACAGCACTACAGATACTGCTACAAAATAACTCTGTGAACGCTGAGCAAAATAAGCCCATATTTATTGTTCTCACCAATAGCTCATCCATGCTGGTCTGGCATTTCTCCAGGTTTATTCTCTTTATGGCGACGCGCTCCTGTCTGGGGGTACAGAGGGCTGCCTGCACCACAGCTGTGGCCCCGCTGCCTGGAATCACAGCCATAACAGAGAAATGACAAAGTGCACAGGAGCAGAGAGGGACACACACAGACAGAAAAAAAAACTCTTCATGGGGTCACGGTATGCATCTGCTCCTTAGTTTTTGTGTTTGTTGTGATATTCACCCTCTGTGTCTGCTGGCTGAAACATTAGACACACACAATAACACAAACTGACTTTGAGAACAGCCTCTTTTTTTATTCTTTTCCACCAGCGTGATGTGTTGTTTACTCGGCTCATTACAAATCAAGCCACCCTGGAGTAGTGAATTTGTTCACACCTAGAAGCTGTGACACACAGCATACTGTTGGCCAACTGCTAGCAGCAGATAAGTTGAAAGAGAAAACGAAAGATATGTGACTGTTCGCTATTTGATTACACGAACAGAGAGGGGGGTCTCCCTTACTCATCACAGTCAGTAGCTAACAGCTGTGGTGCTATTTCTTATCAGTGATGATACGACTTGTCAGCTCATCTGCGCAGTGCATGCACTTGCCAAAAATATTTCAGCAACTTCCTTTGGTTCTTTTTCACTCCATTAGAGGTTTTTATTATTGTCACTTTCAGTCCTATTTCTAAAGATAAATGTTGGGAGCACTGAAACTGAATACTGAGCATAATTTCACAGTTTCAGAGTTATGAAAAGTCTACAAAAAACTACAGAGTTAGAGGAGCTGAAGTCCTTAAGGTCAAAACAGGTACACACAATTTTCTTCAAGCAAAGGAAAAATCCTATATGAAGCCTAGACATTTCAGTTTTCTATTATATAGATAAATACAAATATATAAAGATATAGATATATAGATATATGTAAACAATAGCTTGTTGAGAGACAACCAACAGTAGCTATATGGCCTGTTTGATGGTAATTAACATTAAAGGCACATTTTTATGGAAATTTGCATTTTTGTAAAAGTAAAAAAAGAGGAATAAATGGAAAAGAAAGAAAAAGAAAGAAGAAAAAATATTGATGGCCCCTTCTTTGAAATGTCATTGACTGAATTATTAAGCATTATTCCTATCTATAGAACTAGTAGTAAATGCTCTGATAGTAAAGTTGTACTAATGTTAAAATGAACAGTTTAGGGCTCTCTGACCTCAGCTGCTATATAATTGAGAATAGACCACTGTGCGTAACATTTGTGTTGCATTATTATGATTTTTAAGTTTGAGTCACATTTTCAATTCTGACATTTTATTATGTTTACATACCAACATGGATGACTTGACTGACAAGGAGCCGGTTTACATGGCAACTGTGATTTTATTGACGGTTAATAGGCTGGGCACGTGCACAGCTGTAGTAAGACTGTAATTACCGGAGGAGCAAATAAACTCGTACTTCAGGAAAGTGACATTTACACCGTAACCATAGGTTGTAACCTGCTTCGTTTGAGTCACAGAAAGAGACCGGTAGTTTCCCTAAATGTGCCACTCAACATCCGCATTGCCAAACGTTGCAGGAGGCAGGCTACTGAATAAGAAAAAGCCGGTAGGCCTTCATCGTCATTCACTGATCCTAACCCTCCACCGCATGCCTCTTCATGTTAATATGTAGCGGTCATCACATCTCCGGCTACTAACCTATGACTTCCTGCAGCTCGTACGACTCCCTGGTAATTGGCCAGCTGGTTGTCAGCGCTGGTTGCGGGTGGTGGACCGGAGCCGCAGATTCGCCTTGATCCGCCATGATGATGAAGATGATGATTCTGCGCTAGTTAGCAGCCTCTCTAACAGACAGACAGACTCCGAGACAAGAGAGAGGGAGAGGGAGAGAGTGAGTGAGTGAGAGGGAGAGTCAAATGTGACCTCTCCTCTCCTCAGTACAAGTGTCAGCTGGCGGCTGAAGCAGAGCAACTACCGCGAGCGATGAGCACAACCCGGAAAATAACGGACCGCACTCAGGCGCGCGCGCACTAGGCTACTCAGACGCGCACGCGACCATTCGCTCCACTGACATGCTGCTCTACTGCACGAGGGTTCATGAACACAGGAAGACATTCATTTAAACCACTATGATTATCTTTAGAGGTCTACCGTGCGGCAAACTTCAGCTGTTTAAACCACCAGTATCTATTATTTTAAGCCGTATATTAACAAAAGTGTTATTTCTTAAATTCTGTCTCTATTCTTAATGTTTACTGTCTTGTAAGACGACTTGGCAGCTGCTTTGTGTGAGACAGGAACACGTAGGCTGAGTGTGACGATTTCACATGTCACATGCAGCAGCCTCAAATGAAAGTGACACTGTTAACTGTGGACACTAGGGGGTGCCATCACATCTTGAAAATCGTGTAATGTGAGGCTGCTCAGCATTGCGCCATACGGATATGAATTTGTAAAAGTTAGACTCGTTAATTTTAGTTTATTTTTAGTCTTTATTATCGGTTAAAAAGCTAATGCCATTTTTGATTTATTTCAGATAAAATATCTCCAGGTAATTTAGATGGATCTATCAGGATCTTGGTCAAAGTTTTCACCCTGATCTTTATTTTGATGAATGAGGACAAATAATAGTGTTTTTCAACTAGTGTGACGTGGCATTCTAGTGTGCCATGACCGATTTCATCTAATTTATTCTTTATTTCATTCCTTTAAAAATAAAAAGAAATAATATAATTTAAATACAAACGTTCTCCTATCTAGAATGAAAGGGAGCAGAAAGAAGACTAATCTTATTTTATCTGCCCCTTTAGCCCCAGAAATCAATTTACAAAGAACAAACTTAAAATAATAAAATAAAATAAAATAAAATAAAGCAACAACAGTATAAACAAAATACAACAAAAAATATATAATAAAATATATTATAGCTGCTGGCCACCACAGACAGTCATATACCATTTAGTTCCCAAGTTACAATTCAATTAATGCTACTCAAACAACAACAAAATTTCAATGGTATGACAATCAGATATAACTAACATATTTTCTTATATTTCCTTAACATACTGGCTTTAATTAATCTTTTAAATGTAATGTTTGACTTGGATTAGATAGTCAGGTGTACCCTGAGAAATTATCCAATTTCACTTTATTGGTCTTTTTAAAAAAAAACTTATCATCTGCAAATAATATGCAATTCTCAAGTGTCTGTGCTGTAATCTACAGCCCCAGGTTTCGCACATGGTGTGTATGAATAAACTGAGAGACTATATTGTCACCGTATAAACTGTATTTGGGGCTACCAAGTGTCATTTGGTAACATGTTGGTTGGTGGTGTGCCTCTTGATTTTTTTTTTATTAAAAAATGTACCATGGCTCGAAAAAGGTTGAAAATACTGAAATAATACATGGTAGAGCGTGATACATTCACTTTAAAAATCTGCTCTTTTGTTCTGAGTTGAAAAGATAATTATTTTAAAATCACGAGATTTTTTCTAAACAATACTTTCTGCTTTTTTTTTCTGAATTCACGGATAAAACTGAGCAATATTTCCCCATAGAAACTCTAATTATTCTCAGAAAATCACCCCTTACATCCAGAAACAAGGCAGATTATTTTATTTATTTTTTCTACTTGATAAATAATAATCTTTGTTTGTGCAGCCCTGATTATTATATACACTATTTTTCTAATGTGTGAAAGAAGCAACTGTTATGAACTCAAGCAGGGAGAGGGAGAAATACTGAGGGTTATTGATAAATAAAAATGTCATATGCAAGCAAGTTTACCATTACTTATTATTGCACAGGTGTCAAACTCAAGGCCCGGGGGCCAAATCTGGCCCGTGGAACAATTATATCTGGCCCACGAGATCATATCATATTTGTATTATTATTGACCCACCAATATGAAGTCTGCTGAGTTCCTCCAGTATAATAATGTAAACTTTAGCACCATTATTTAAAATGTTCTTGATAAGCCATTAAAATCTGGACAATTAAAGAGTAAGGAAGATTGGATAAATAGTCAAGAATGTGGGGGAAAATATTTGGTGTTTATTTCATGTTTTCAATTTTGCATTTCAGAATTACAAGTCAAACATGATTGGATTTTTTATTTCATGCTTTGATTTGTTCAACTCAGTATTCAGATTTTTAAGTCATATTTTGACCTTTCTTAACCTGATTTTAACGTTCTCCTCGTGTATTTGCTCTTTAAAAGCATTATTTTCTATTTTTGATATCATGCTCTGATCTTTTGAACTAATAAATAAAAATAGAATATATATATATATATATATATATTTTAGTTTCTATCTCAGATTGCCTTTAAACTTATATTTTATGAATTTCCAAATTATTTATAATCATAGCTGTTTTTGTTACATATTTTTTGAAAAGGAGGTTGACAGTTTTGGTGGAATGTTGACCCTGTTTGGCCCTCAGGTTAGACCTAAATCCAGATTATGGCCCTGGCTGTGGTTGAGTTTGACACCCCTGTACTATTGTATCCATCTGACAGTAGAGGGCGTTGTTTGTCAATCTTTCGGTAAAGTAAAAGCTACTGCTACAGTGTTGCGTTAAAAGATACCTTAAAAAATTAACCTTAATGAAAAATTAGCCTTTGAATCTTGGTAATATTTATACAGTAAAGGCATATTCCTCCTTGGTTGGCATAATATTGTAATATACAGAAAAAATACCAGCAAATATGATGAAAACAAACGAAATAAACAAAAGCGAAACAACATCCAGTCTGTTCAAATAACTGAATGGGAGGATCTGTTACATGAAACGCTTTTGTGAAGGTGTGACACAGAAAGGGGTTTACCTTGGTTACGCCGTGGTACCGCTGCTGTAACGTACACTGACTGTATTACATGACATTTCAACGCACCAATCAGTCGCGCAGGAGCTGATTGAGTCTACTTCCCTACACTGGAATAGCTGAGGGGAAACGGACGGACGGAGATCTCGCACGGATATCTCATCATCAACCGAGTGTGCACGCTCAGATCGCCTGTGAGAGACCTCCGGGACACAACGGCGACATCGACTTCTCTTCCGACCCGGTCTCAGCGTCTGCTGCAGGGAGATGGCCGGTATCTTGGCGTGGTTTTGGAACGAGAGGTTCTGGCTGCCTCATAATGTAACCTGGGCTGACTTAAAAAACACAGATGAGGCTACGTTCCCGCAAGCCGAGGATCTGTATCTGGCGTGTCCTTTAGCATTCTGCATCTTTATGATCCGGCTGGTTTTCGAAAGGTGGGTTTAAAGCGCACGCTATGATCCAGGTGGCTGTGATCGGGGTTTAATGTCGATGAAGTAGTGTGTCTGTGAGTGATGCAGCACGCCGCGCTGTCCATGTTCGTCAGCCTGTTACCTAAACAATGGCATCTTATCGGGTTAGCCCACAAATCACCGGGGTTGATCATCCTTCTTTCTGCAGGCCTGCAGCATTGCCCTCTGTCTGCATCTGATGCATCTGTCAGTGCTCTCACAGTGCAGACAAGTTGCCATACCTGCTGACATCCAGCTACACTTAGTTTTTTTAGATCAAACCTGTATTTTTGCACAAATACAATGGTCTTTGACTTATGCACTTTATTGTCTCTAGCTATCACGTGGATGCTAAAATTTGCTGTGTTGACTTTGCTGTTTGAGAAAGCATTATCAGTGAGGCAGGAGATCATCATGGTCTGTATTGCCTATTGTGCACATGTGTGTCAGGAGTCTCTTTAAGGAGAAGTGAGTGGGGCGTTAAATTTTCTCACTAAACCCCTTACTAAAGGGCTGTGTTAACACAAAATGATAAATGATGGTTATGATAATGAATAATAAAGTGAATAGGAGATAGGAAATTAACAGCTCTGTGTTAAATAATTAAAAACTGCATCAATCCCAGGTTGTTTACTTACATATCAGAGCATATTTTCCATGTTGAATTATAGATTTTAAATGATTTGCCCTATGATGTTAGGATCTGCATGTATGCCACATGACTAATACAGTGATTAAGAATATAAAAATAGACAAAAATATTTACATCGCTGCACCTTTTTTTGAGTAAATGCCTAAGTGTGATTAATGTAACACTTTATCTGCAAGTATGAAGATGCATATGCTTCTTTTACTGATGGATGGTTTAAGATTAACCTTTTTCTTTTGGTTACTATTGAATAAAATGTCTTTATATTTGCCTCAAAGTGTGTTATAATATTTTGATTGTAGGTTTATTGCCAGACCATGTGCCATAGGCCTGAAGATCCAAGCCAATGGGCCTCAGAAAGCTCAGCCAAACGCCATTCTGGAGAAGGTTTTCACCGCTATTACCAAGGTGCCGCATGCTTTCTCTTTATTGTGTTTTAGCATTGTGTTTCGTCCCATGATATTTCTGACACAAAGAAAGCCGGATCAAATAATTAAAGAGTGTCTATTTTGTCTCGCCAGCACCCAGATGAGAAGAGGTTGGAGGGCCTGTCCAAGCAGTTGGACTGGGACGTGCGGACCATCCAGCGCTGGTTCAGACAACGCCGCAACCAGGAGAAGCCGAGCACTCTTGCCCGATTCTGTGAAAGCATGTAAGGCGAATCTCTTAAAACACCACACCATATGGCACACCTAGATCTGCCGCCAGTCATTTCTTTGCTTCTAAAAACATTAAAGTTATTATACTATTGGCATCACAGCTGTCGGCAATGCTGATTTGCATAGGCTTCACTGCATCACCACTCATCAATTACACCCCTGTGACTGCGGTAAGAGCAGGTGTGATGTTCACAGCGATTGAATACTTAATCAGACCAAGTTTCGTGTTTCTGTAACATCATTTACATATAGTATGCAAAGCTCCTGCCACTTTTGAAAGGCACAAAATCACAAAGAGGTGTTTCAATGATAGGTTCATGGTGGCAGTAATGTGAAAGGTGATATTTAGGGCTTAATTTGTAGCTGTGAATGTGGGGTACATTAAGGTTTTAGGTGCTCAATCAGTTGGATCAAGAAATGTGTAAAAATGATGAAAATGTGCAGATAATACCCCAGTGCCAGGACTGATGCTTAAGAAGATACTTTCATGAATATTCTACGGACATAATTCCCAAAGCTGATATTAAAATTTACATGACAATATGCCGCAATAAGATTTTTACAGTGAATTTAAAATTGGTTCCAATGGACAGGTCCCAAACTAAGTATTGTTAAACTAACATCACATTTGCTGGGAAATAAAACACATATGGTTGGTGTATGACTTTACCATGTTATAATACAGCAAAAAGAGGTAATAATTAGCATTTAAGACACTGGGGCCCCTGAACACTGTATGATAAATGGCGTAAATGATAAATCTAAAACAAAATCTGCTCAATTTATGCCTACCTTTCCCTTCTATATTAATCTACTTAATGTTTTAGATTAAAGTGCTTGTCTGCTCTATGAAAAAGGTGCTGTGACGGTGTTAAACTGCTGTATAAATGTGACATGGCTTATGAAGACTGGTACATGAATGCTGGTAACGCTGCTGTGTGATAATAGTCCAATGAGATCTGGTATGAACACAAGCCCACTCAGGCTATAATAGAGAACTGGCTAAACTGCAAGTGGAGCATTTGCCATCAGGGAGAATGTAGTTACTTAGCAGTGTGATGTTAAAGGCCAACAAGCGAGCGTGGCTGTCAGAGCGGAGTCATGTCTGACACCAGGGGAGCCAATCTGGCAGTTTGAGACACAGGGAACCTCACATAGTCTGATCCGCCCAGGGCTGCTGTTCACTCAAGAGAACACTGCTGGACAGTCAGATCGCCGGACTCCTGTTACTGCCTAAGCAAGGAAATTAAAGAGTAAAATTACTTTATTAAACACCACCAAAAAAAAGTCACATCAAAGTTGTTGTCTGCATGCAACAAATAACACTGCAGATGACACTGAGCTTTGCAACAGTTTGGCCAGGTTGTTTTTCTCGGTTGCTTACAATGCAATTCTCCAAATAGGCCCGGCTTCAGTCCTTCCAGCAGTGATTGTGCTCTAATTAGGCCCTCATGCACAGCTGTTGCAGACTGATAGCATTCTTTGTCTCCCTGTTGTCAGGATGGCTGATCTGTTGTCTATTCTTTTCATTATGCAAACAGGGAGTATGTAGCAGACACATTTAGTCTGGAAATAATGAAGACTCTGCATGCAGTTTGTTGACGAGCTTTTGTTGCTGCATCTATTTTTTCTACAGTATGCTGCGTAGAAAAGAGCTGGTCCAACAAGTTCAAGAATTGACCTTTTGTTGCAAGAAGCCTTTATGATTTCTCATTGTTTCATCAAGCAGTGCAGGAAAGTTTTTATGTCAGGGGTTTTATTAGATCTGTGCTAAACATCAGTGTCATATAAACAGTGCTGTTTTATGACAGAGACAAATGTTAATTTATAATTTCAAAAAATGAATAAAAAAACATTATGAGACTGAAAGACAAACTAGGATGAGCATTTTTCTGTCTGTGTAGTTTTAGCCGAGTCCCCCCTCTCAGCAGTGGTTACAGCTGACTGAGGAATGAGCACGCTTTGATGTCCTCGGTAGCCTCTGTTGTCTGATCTCATCTCCCTCCATCCAGTTTCCTCTCTGTTTTACGTGAGAATAAAGACATTTTCATGATTGGAAAAATACAGTTTACACAAAAGTAGAGACAGAGGCTCTGCTGTGACGTATTATAAACCAAAGTCACTATATTTATCCTGTTATAGGCTTGTTTTTCTCAGGCTTCAGTTAATAGGATGGTGTAGTTTTATGTGCTGAAATGAAATAATTTTAAGGAATAGTTTTACCTTTTAAGCCCTACATGTTATTATACATACAGATCCAAATGTGAAAAGTTTACAGAGGATAAACAGCCAGAATTAAATCTGTATGAAAAACATGATGCTATCGCTGCAGAGTGGTTAGCTTAACTTTATAAAGAGCCTTGATATGGGTAATCAGCCAGCCTAGCTCTGGAAAGAATTAAAACATGTACCTAATAGCATCTTGAAAACGTACTAACACTGTAAAGCTCACTATAGCCTGGGCTGTTTTGTTGTAAGGCACATTGGCTTTTCACTGTGATATATCACTGTGATATAGCCATGCAGCTAGCTAAGACTTCTGGTAGCCACCGCAAAAAGGCAAGAAAAATTCCCCTATAACCCATAAACATATCCTTATGATATGCCTGACTTAAAGTGAGGATTATATGAGCAAGATGAAAAAGTTGATTTAATTTTTTTGCCTACCTTTTCCAGATTTTTTATCTCTAGGCTACTCTAATCAGATGCCAGCAGGGGCAACATTTCCTGAATAGTCGCAGGAATTTTCTGTTTTCCGTCATGCTCAAAGATGCATCCAAGAGTATCCCCCACAGTTCTTTTTCAAACTTTTGGCTGTTTTTGAGTTGGGTGGTCACTACAACTACACTTTATCTTTTTTTTTTTGCCATATTTTCAACAACAAAAAAATAAGAATTTTTTTTAATGGGATCTAATTCTCACAGCTGTAGTCTATTTTTTTACATTCTTCTACATTTTTATCTCAAAATTATGCTTGTTGTAGATTCTTAAGGAAAAAAACTTGAAATTTCACCTCTTGAGAAATATTGTACAAATAACAAATAAGGGTACAGATATTCAGATCACGGTTTTCCCATTAGGTGATTTGTAGGTCTAAGTTTCATTCTTGTCAATCAGCACAACTTCCTTGTTGTCGCAGCAGTACAGTAAAACAAACATGGCTATCAACAAGCTTCAAATGAAGGTGTTTTCAAATTATGCAGAGTCATCAAAATAAATAAGATAATCATGCAAAAGAGGAAGGACAAGCGATCACATCCTGATGAGCGATAGAGGTGTTACTCCTGTTTTAGCAGCAAAAAGGGAATATATGAACAGGATTTGATCAAAGCTGGAGCTTCATGACTAATTGTTATATTGAACCATCTCAATGCAAACAGTTGCAGCCAGCTGGCACTCGCGTTGCCCACCTGGAGAAGTGACGGAGTGGAATTAAATGAGCCAGTATGACCTGCTTTTCATCACTTTCCCCACAGTCAAGTACTACCCTGAGAATAAAGACAGGCTTATTACTGACTTTTTGATCAAATCTGTCCCTGAACAATGCTTTGTCTAAACAGAAACACTTTGATTTAATAGTGATCAGTCTCAGTTTAAAACCCACCATGTCTTAGGAAAAGGATTATGATTGATTCACTAATACACATGTAAATCTGGAAAAACAGGAGTTCCTTGCCACTGTTTTACTAAAACCTTGTCTTTTTGTGATAATCCACAAATTCAGATTTTCTTTTTTATAGAATAAGTTCATCATTGAAATGTAATCATACAAACCAACAGCTGTAACCCAGGACTAATTAGGTTTGAGTGTAATTGGCTGATTGCTACGATATAATGTGCCATAAATAAACAGCAGCTCTTGGGTAATTAAATGTTGGATTTTTTTTCTTTCCAACCAATAATCACCATCATCATGCACATGAGAGAGACGGCGCCTCACAATGACACGACAACCATCTGTGACTGACTTAGGACTAAAGAAACTGTCCACAGGAAGTAGTTGTGAGTCACTATGGTTGTGCATATATAGCAGAGACACAATGGTACTTGAGAAAGACTCTTGCAGGCTTGATAAACTGGTTGCCATGCAACAGTCTTTGTCTGCCAGGTAGACTCGTCCAGCTTGTTATTACGATACCACAGGTCAAGCACAGAAGGCAAATCATGGCATCCTCAGGCTGCATGTTACCATAGCGGTAGTTTCCTGGCATTGATTAGAGTCTTAATGATGATGATCTTGAACAAACATTTACACCGAAGCACTAACTCTCAGAAAGTATGATATTGATTTATCCTGGTTTCTTTTGTTGTGTTATGGGGTGGCGACCGTCAGAGTTATTTGATTTGAGGTCAACCGGAACAAACGCACACAGTGACTTTTGAAGACTGCAGACTTCATCTCACACGCTGACACGCTTCTGTCACAGCAGCTGGGTCATCATTTGGTGTTTTCTCTCATATGAAAAAAACAAACTCTCTGCTCCTCTTCTGTTTGGTTTGCTTTACCTTGTGAGTTACTGCATATCTCAGCGTATTTACGAGTTTAGCTTTGAGAGAAAAAATCATTTACTCTAATTGGCGCTAAACATCTGAAATGCCTTGACAACCCAATTACACACACCAGGGGGTCTTTCGTTCAAGTCCTGCAGATAAATTAGGTTCCCTTCAACAGTTTTGTCTGATGCAACTTCCAGAGTTCAGCTGTAAGGGGTCTTACAAGTTGCCCAGTCTTAAATCCTTCATCCCAGTTGCTGACGGTTATGAGCTGGTATATATATCCTGTATATATGCTCATCTCCCCACTCAGCAAAGCTTTGATCACTCCAGTGTCAGCTAAGGCAGTTCTCGGCCTCTAAGCTCAGGCCTCATGATCACTCACCCCTCCCTTGTGAAGTTACTTTAAGTTATGTGCGGAGTTATATAAAGCAGAGAGTATGTTTGAGACCTCACCAGTGAGGGGTCAGCAAAGTCCTGTTTTCAGTAATTCATTCTGTGTGGCAGATAAAGGGACATAACTGAACATCACACACCTTTGACATGCCTTATAACAGGCCGGGTGATGTGCCAGAAAGTGCTGCTACCTAAAAGTAAATTGAGTGTACAAGATAAGTTATATTAACTACATTTTAGTGTGATGCAGCTGGTTAAATCTCGGAATAGTTTTAGCAGTTTGAAGCACTGTGCTCTGTTTTTTTCTTTTATATTTACTGACTGTATTCCTAATTGCAGTTTACAACAGCATGGCTTTGAGAATATGCGGAAATGAGAAGATAATGATGTTAAACAAACACGCTGCACAGCTAAGGGCTACTGTTTTTCACACTGACAGTTTCGAGGCAGGGGTCCTCCACACTTAGCCTCCAGCAAACTTAACACCAACACTGTTTCATGGCTCTTTACTTCCATTTTATTTTAAAAACACAGAATTAAAATTATAAAGGAATTAAAGCTCTGTTGCCTCGTCTCATCTTCATCTGCATATTCACAAACTGTCTTTATTTGTGTCTTCCAGGTGGAGGTTCACTTTCTATCTGTACATATTTACCTATGGAGTTCGCTTTCTCAAAAAGGTAAGTTTTTGTGAACCATGAACATTCAGACATCCGCCTCATGTAAGAGCTTCTAGTATGAACATAAGTCTGTATGAGTCATTGAGGTCAGAGTCTATTTTCCACCACATGTCTAGCATGGAAATCCTGTGGCTTTCTGAATATGTTGGTGCCGAGTCATGAGACGGGGTGAGTCAAATGGATGTTTTGGTGCAGGGGACCAATTTTATAAAGGAGGATTGTTGGAGTGCACAGAACAAAATGTTTTCATTAATAATGGATCTTACAAGGAGCTTTAAAGGGAAGGGGGAGCAACTGACAAATAAAAACACTCCCAATACTAAATAACACTTTCATTTAAGTATGCATTAGTAAAGAAAGGAGGAGATGCTCAGCAGTGAGAAAAGGGGCACCAGCTGGTTTTTTATAAAGGCATTTTCTGCCGTGGAGGAAAGCCTGGACGGCATGATTTACCCTCTCCAAGAGAGCCTCAGAAAGCACTTAGTCATGCTACTCAAATCATATCATATTTAATATTTTTCATCCTCATGAATGAAGTTTTGTGACTCATAGTTCAGAATTATTTCAGTGTTAACTCTCATTTTTTTTCTGAAATCATTAGAGGAATGGTTCAGTAGTGGGGTTGTATAAGGCACTTGTCAGTGTAAGTGTATTTCCCACAGGTCGCAGCCCTGTTGTTGAGCACCTGGCTGATGAGCTGATACTAACAGCTACTGACAGGATCATCTGTGTTATGAAATTAAGATAGTTTGATGAAAGTCTGGCCCAAACATGGAAGTTGGTGCTGCCATATTTAGACTTTCTCAACACTTTTCAGCTCTATTTTCAGACACAACACACGTGTTGGTGTCAGACGGTGTTCCTCATACAGCCCCTCATAATAACACACCTTTAATCTTTTCAGTGTTGGATACACTGGATTTTTTGTGACATTGATTCTAGAAATTTTGGCAAAATAGAGTTAGCATGCTGTGAAGATGGCTCATGATGGGCATATACTGTGTGTTCATAAAATAAAATTATAGCACATGGTTTTTGTTGCTACAACACCAACTTCTTAAATGATCCATTCATTTTAACTCGAATCTGAAAAAGCATGCTAGTTATCATGAAGAAGTTTTCATTAAAAAAAAAACTCAGGGCGTATAAGTGGGCGCATTCAGAGCATTTCAGTTTTTCCAGTAAAACTTGCTCTCTTTTAAGAAAGTTTGAAATACCAACAGCTGTCAGGATCTTTGCAAACTTCAATAAGCAGCACTAGTGAGTGTTTAGAAAATAATCACTTTGTCCATCCCTGAAAAGAAGTATGTGATCATAGTTGATGAGCAGATTTTATGTATTCATTAGAAAGAAGAGATTATTTGTATAAACAACAGAGCAGTGGTTGTGCTAGCAAAGTAGGAAAAATCTCCCAAGTTGCATGACAAAGCACTTTGTGAAAATAGTTCATTCCTTGGCACTCCTGGCTGCAGGCTTCAGTCTCAGTGGGATTTATTAATAGAGCAGCAGGTCTGGAGAGGAGTGCGGGAGACTTAAACTCAGTTACAGTGATGGGTCACTGGTTTGCTCATAACACATTCTTATGTATCACAGCTACCCTTTCATTTGCCTGGCTGATGCCGTGATGTGATTACTCATATGAGGATGAAACCCCTCTGGTTCATTTTTATATGAAAGTACGCGCCCTAACAGCTCTTATAACATCCCCCAGTATTTTAGAAACCACTCTGGTTTTACTCTGAATCCATTAGGCAGATATTCATTGTAGAGAGGTTTTATTGATATTCATGCCTCAGATCTTAAATGACAAGGAAAGGTTGAAATGAACTCCAGCTGTATGTGTGGGAACGGCCTAACATGGCATCAATTTTGCAGTTAATGGCGTCTGCACTTTCTTGAATTTATGGAAAGAGTTTAAGCCCATTAGTGTAAATATCTCATCTTCATTGAATTTTGATAAGATACGATATACACTCACCGGCCACTTTATTAGGTACACCATGCTAGTAACGGGTTGGACCCCCTTTTGCCTTCAGAACTGCCTCAATTCTTCGTGGCATAGATTCAACAAGGTGCTGGAAGCATTCCTCAGAGAGCTTGGTCCATATTGACATGATGGCATCACACAGTTGCCGCAGATTTGTCGGCTGCACATCCATGATGCGAATCTCCCGTTCCACCACATCCCAAAGATGCTCTATTGGATTGAGATCTGGTGACTGTGGAGGCCATTTGAGTACAGTGAACTCATTGTCATGTTCAAGAAACCAGTCTGAGATGATTCCAGCTTTATGACATGGCGCATTATCCTGCTGAAAGTAGCCATCAGAAGTTGGGTACATTGTGGTCATAAAGGGATGGACATGGTCAGCAACAAAACTCAGGTAGGCTGTGGCGTTGCAATGATGCTCAATTGGTACCAAGGGGCCCAAAGAGTGCCAAGAAAATATTCCCCACACCATGACACCACCACCACCAGCCTGAACCGTTGATACAAGGCAGGATGGATCCATGCTTTCATGTTGTTGACGCCAAATTCTGACCCTACCATCCGAATGTCGCAGCAGAAATCGAGACTCATCAGACCAGGCAACGTTTTTCCAATCTTCTATTGTCCAATTTCGATGAGCTTGTGCAAATTGTAGCCTCAGTTTCCTGTTCTTAGCTGAAAGGAGTGGCACCCGGCGTGGTCTTCTGCTGCTGTAGCTCATCTGCCTCAAAGTTCGACGTACTGTGCGTTCAGAGATGCTCTTCTGCCTACCTTGGTTGTAAAGGGTGGTTATTTGAGTCACTGTTGCCTTTCTATCAGCTCGAACCAGTCTGGCCATTCTCCTCTGACCTCTGGCATCAACAAGGCATTTCCGCCCACAGAACTGCCGCTCACTGGATATTTTTTCTTTTTCGGACCATTCTCTGTAAACCCTAGAGATGGTTGTGCGTGAAAATCCCAGTAGATCAGCAGTTTCTGAAATACTCAGACCAGCCCTTCTGGCACCAACAACCATGCCACGTTCAAAGTCACTCAAATCACCTTTCTTCCCCATACTGATGCTCGGTTTGAACTGCAGGAGATTGTCTTGACCATGTCTACATGCCTAAATGCACTAAGTTGCCGCCATGTGATTGGCTGATTAGAAATTAAGTGTTAACGAGCAGTTGGACAGGTGTACCTAATAAAGTGGCCGGTGAGTGTATATGATACTTTTTCAGAGGAGGAGCAGTAAAAAGACTCATTTCAAGCATGATTCTTCACAGTATACTCTTAAAAGCAATATTTCAACCCCAGTTTCTCGCTCAGAGGGTAAAAGAGATTTATTTTATCTTGTGTCTCTATAATCTTTTGTTTTATTAACTCTACTCTGTTATTTCATGCAGACCCCATGGCTTTGGAACACTAAAGAGTGCTGGTACAACTACCCCTACCAGGTAAAATTACATCCACCTAATAACTAATAATACCAAAACTCACACCTCCGATTAACTCATTTCAACATTATTGCTATTTATGTTCATGCAGCCGCTGACCGTGGACATCCATTATTACTACATCCTGGAGCTGTCTTTCTACCTGTCCCTGCTTTTTTCCCAGTTCACAGACATCAGAAGGAAGGTAAGAATGACTGCAAGACACATGGCATGCATCTAAAGTGAGATAAATGATTGCTTATCTATAAAACTGGCACCTGGCATATTCAGTTTTTTTGTGTAATAAAACCAGCACATTTGGATCCGTTTGAGTCATTTTTAAACTCATTGTCATAGAATTGTTTATGGTAGCTGCTATATATCCATTTGTTTTCACCATGATTCTGTTATATAAGTTTCAGAATATTTGCTTTCCGCCTCACAAATGTGTAAAAGCACAAATGACCTCAAAGCTGAAAAAAGTTACCAAAACTTTTTTGAGGTCTCCTGCAACTGCTTTTTTTTGCTGCTTTTTTTTCTTATCTGCATTTGAGTGATAAAGTCAGCAAATATTTCCCTTTTATTTCCTGTTACACCATGCTATCAGATAAGGCTTCATTTTTTGATGCACATTTCAAACAGTAATTTTTGCTGGTGGGGACAGCATCAGAGCTAGATTTGATTTACAAAAAAATACTTCATATATAACACTCAAGGTTTTAAATACTTAATAAAAAGTATTGAAATGCCCTTTAGGTGAAGTTCAGTGGTTGTTGTGTGTACAACAGAGTTCACTGATGAGTTTGTACAAACACTTCTTCTGAGCCAGCCAACCCTCAACCCACTGTCTTTTACTTTTCATCATGATGGTTCCTCTTTTTTATCCATTTGCATGCCTTCCAGCCATGATCTCACTTCAGTCCATCTCCAGCTCTCCCCTCCCCACCACACACTGCAGTCAAAGCAGCCTCCCATGATGCCATGCTGTGTATGCCTTCACTCTGTCATCTCTTTGTTGACTATTGGCATGTTGTCTGTTTTTTGTTTCTCCTTTCAGTTTTTTCATGCACAGCACTTCACTGAGGAGGCCCTCTGCATCCCCTGCCAATTCCAGTATGTTCTCCCTGCACACTCTTTGCCTTGCTTTCATTCTGTATCTTGCATCATTATGCCATTCCTCTTCATCCTCCTCTTCATTCTGTCACCACTTTGGACTGGGTCTGGGTGCTTTGAGCTTAAACATGAGGCCATAACACAGTCGTAACATCCCAAACACCAACTCAATCAATCAAAAATTTTTCAAATCAGGACATTAACACCCAAAAAACTAACATTTCTATTCTAGATGTCATGAGGATTAAAGCTCCTGTAAGGAGTTTTTTAGCAGGTTGTGAATTAATGTCCTTATACACTGGGAACGATGCGAATATAGAGCGCGAAATTACGAAATATTCAGAGGCGAATTTTGACGCGCCTGACTATACACATCAAGCCTGATGCGATTTTGCGACTTTCCGGGGGGGAAAACGACACATCCTGGGTGGAAGCGAGAAGACTGACACAACAGCAGACTGACTATTTTTCAGTTCTGATTAGACACTAGTGTTGAGATGGCTGTCTGTCATGATAGCATGTACTGAGTCGGGGCCAATACCAGATAAGCACATTAAACTATAATCCATAAACGTAAGGTAACAAGCGAGACCTAATGGTGCTGTGACAGCAACGCGATTGAGTTTGAGACAGTGAAAATACTTGTGGTATGTTGTATCTGAACAGGTTAGCTTACGAGCTCAAGTTACTTGGCACAGATGAAAGTAAAAACAAAGACGTTTAGCAAACTGTTAAAGCACACAAACCATCGTCATATGAGAAATCCAACACTACGACTCTCCACAAGTTGTCCTTCAGGTCATTATTTTTATAATGTTTGTGTCTTTTATCAAAAAGCACTCCGTTCTCCGACACGTAAACAATCAGCCGGTCAGCCATGTTGGATATACCGGTGAATCTGACGTCGCAACAACACGAAATCTGATTAGTCAGAAGTGGACACACAGTATGCGAAACTTTAGAAAAATCGACCATGAACGCTTGTATTGACAGGATACGGGTTTGAAAAAAAATATTGACCCCAGAAATAATCGCACGACAAAAACGGTCCCAGTGTGAAAGGACCTTTAGACTGAAACTGAAGTGAAAGAATTAAAATGCTCCGCTTTGACTGCTTTGTATTTTTTATTCTTGCTGCTGTTTTTTTTTTTATTATTATTTTCCCCGCATTTATGTGATTTATGCATAACGATCCTCCTTCATTTAAAAGTTTAAGACAATACCAGACACCAGCACAAGCAGTTACAATATATTTTAACCACACAGTTCTCACAGCACTCAGTGTTCATGACTCGGACACTGAGGGCGTACTCGATCTGTTTGTTTGTGTAGCGCATGGTTAGTCATTGTCTTGTCACAACTTTTTTATATCTTGCCAATAGCCGCGCAAATCACAGTGGCACATGACAAATGTGGCTCACTAAAACAGAGGTTTAGTTTTGAAAGACGCATGCAATCATGACGTGACTGTAACTCAGGCATTTTGAGGTCAAGAAAATCCAAACATGCAGTGCTTTTTGTGCCTGTTTTGGAAAGGAGAACTGTTTTTGGGAGAGTGTTAAGTTTTTAAAGGTTTAAAAAAATTGAGAAACTGCACAAAAAGATCACAGCAAGTATGTTCCTCTTACTTTATCACATATCTGTACTGCACTATGTGCTCTGGGTATGAGCTGCATTCATTCAAATAGCCTCAAGGCAGTTTTGGTTAGTTGTTTCATGTTTCCTTGGCAACTGTCTCCCCAGGATTTCCTGCTCATGTTCCTGCACCATGTGGCAACAATCTCTCTCATCACCTTTTCCTATGTGAACAACATGGCACGAGTGGGGACCCTGGTCATGTGTCTCCACGATGCAGCCGATGTGCTGATAGAGGTGAGAGAATTAAAGGCTGGGCATGGACAGATGGGTGGCTGGAGGCAGAGTTGGTAGGATGTGTGGGTGTAGTGTTTGAAGTTAACATCTTAAGCTTCAGTATACATTATTATTCAGATTAAACTGCGGTATTATATTATTGTGTGGGACTGAATTTCAGAGGGACAATGCATGCTAAACTCATCCCTAGGGGCTATAATACAAAACAGTTAGAGTCAGAGATATTTCAGCATTTGTTTATATGATGAATAAATTGTTTTTCTTCTTTTCTTCCAAGGCTGCCAAGATGGCCAACTATGCCAAATGTCAGATACTCTGCAACCTCCTGTTTGCAATGTTTGCAATTCTCTTCATAAGTTCCAGGCTGGGAGTTTACCCTGTCTGGTAGGTCTTGTATTCTGTGCTCCTCATTACAGCAGTGTTAGCTGAATGTTTGCATTCAGTACAGTGTAAAAAAAACATCGCTGGAGAGGCCAGAACAGCTGTGCACATTTCAACATACCATCCCTGAAAATACGTCAGTGTCACGAGGATCTCAGAGCTTTTTTTTCTTCTTGCCTAGTTTTCAGTTCAGCAACATCTCTGAATTTTGTTGCTAAGGAATAGTTACTATGGATACAGCAGCTTTTACCTCTCAAAGAAAGCCAAACAAATGAGAAGCTGATCATTATTTCTTTCACTTAATCATTCAACGAGTTTCAGCTGATTGTGAAACCTTAATGGGCTTTCTGCTCATAAGCATCTTTTTATCATATTTGTGTTGTTCCTTTTTGTTGTTTTGATTAATGCTGCATTTATTCAGCATCTCAATTTTCACAGAGAAAAAAAAGCATTATTCAAATGAAATCCTTGCTGCTTTGTTTTACAAGCACATTTAAAATTCAAATTACAGTGGATAGTTAATGCCAATTATAACCGGCTGTTCTGATGATATTTGCAGTAACCACAAATCAATTTTGGACTCCAGACGTGTGCACAGCACTCATCTTGCAGTCATCAGCAGTGCTGTTATCACACCTTTTCCCAGTGAAGGGAGACATGATTTAGTTTTCAAGTCAGGTATCTGCAGTTTTCTGCACTTCTGTTAGATACTGTCCTTTCTATATTAGCTCCAAGATGCTATTTTAGGAACCTAGAGTCAAGTATAACGCTGTTAGTCTCACCAGTGCTGCTCTGAAACAAGCGTTTTTTAAATACAAGAGGATCTTTGCTTTGTCTGTGCAACATTTACAGACCATCAGCTTTTTCTCCACACTGTAATACAGTAAGCCTACATTTCATTTTAGTCATCCCCCACCATCCACACTGTAAAGTTGTCATTACTGTAAAGCTGTTGCCATGGCTTCAGTATCTGGAGGATGATTCACAGACAGACATTTGCAAGAATTGGCTCAGGGATAAATTTAACACTGATCCTTGAAATTTTGTTTGCATGACATGTTAAGCTTTGCACTGCTTTTTTTTCCATCCTCATCAACAGTTCCTTTTAATCATACTAAGACTTATATCCTCACATAACTGAACCATAAACAAGCCCCCTGTTTGTGCTGCAAACATATCTTCAAAAGACAAAGTGCTGGACCTGAGCTAACCTGGGATCTGCTCTCTATCCTCCGTCATGCTTTGTTGCACCGCTACTTCTCACCACATTTGTAACTCCGCTCACAAACACAGGTGTTTTCAATGTGTTTTTGTACTGAAACACATCAAGCTGATTATCTCCCTCCTCTTTTGTTGCTGTTCTAGGATTTTGAATACAACCTTATTTGAGAGTTGGGAGATTGTCGGGCCCTATCCTTCCTGGTGGGTCTTCAACCTGCTTCTGATCCTGCTGCAGCTCCTTCACTCCTTCTGGTCTTACCTGATAGTGAGAACAGCATGCCGAGCCATCTCCAAAGGAAAAGTGAGTCACTGCACACTGCTTCCCTGTCTGCAAAATCCTGCCTGTTATAGCTCTGCTTGCATAATGATGTGTTTTGTTGCTGGTACATGCATAAATGCTGTGTAATGTTTTCTAAAGCCAGACTTTGACTTTCCCTGTGTTTTCTCTTTTCTTACCTGCAACCTCCAAGGTGGGAAAATGGAATCCCTTACATGTAAGTAGCCTCAAACTATCATGAATTCATTCCTAACTAGAAAAGCACTCGGAGAGCACAGACCTCCGCCAAGCAGCTCATGTCCCCCCTTATATTGTGATTCACACCAAAACTTTTAGTGTTACGTGTCTTTTATTAACTTTTATTTGTGTTTAAACTAGTGTGTTCACTGTTCATAATGTTCCTAAAACAAGAAATGCCCTGACCCGAATTCGAACCCAGGACCTTCTGGCTGTGAGGCGACAGTGCTAACCACTACACCACTGTGCCACCCATTGGTTATCTTTCAGCATTGAAAATTCCAACGGCACCCTTATTTTTGTGTGTTCTGGATCACAGTATCCGGAATTTTGTCTGGATCAGGATCAACCTTTGACACCTCATAAAACTCATTGAGATCCTTTTGTGTAATTTTTTACTAATAATTCTCCATTTTTATGGAGTTAAATGCAAAAAATTCCAAAATTCACAAATCTCACAATGATAAAGAATCCTTCAAAAAATTCCTGGATCCAGAAGGCAATCCAGATCACCACCAAAATTTAGTGGGATCCTCCTGGGGCTGAGACGCACCTCTGACATTTTAAGATAAGATGGGAGCATGTCTATAAGCAGGTACAGCTGCAGCTAAATCTGCTGTGTGATTCCCTCCTGATTTCCACAGAGCCTCTATACAAGGTTTACACTTGTGCTCTGATTTAAAGCTCCTGTGAGGAGTTTTTAGCTGGTTATAAAACAGGCCGCAGTTTTATAGTGATGCCTCTTTATGACCTCCAAAAGCAAACAAGACTATGAACACTGAGATCGACTATTCTCATACAAGTATTTTTAATGTCTGACACTGCTGCAGCAGGGTTGGTGTCAGACGAAGAAATAGACCGCAGGGTGCAAAAACACCCTCTTTGGTTTATATTTTTAACAGTTTTTTATGACTGGTTAGTTTGACTTTTGAAAGAAAGCAGTCAAACTGTATTTAAACACGTGCAAAATTGAAAAAAAGAGATAAGTAATTGCTTTTCCACATATCAACACAAATTAAAACTTCCTTGGTCTGGTCTGCTTGTTATGACATTCCTTTTAGCTTTAGCTTTACTCATATTTTTGTCCAAATGTTAGCCAAATGTAAAAGTCTTGTCATTTCAGATCAATCTAAAACTTTGCTTGTTGAATTATATGGTTCAGTTCTTTTCAGGAACAGCACAGATTCAGAGTCTTTAGCCAAAAGCTTATTTTGTTTGTGTTATTCTCATGCAGGTTGACTTATTGACACATGGACAATGTTTTTAATCAAATACTAACATGCCAGCAATTGACGCTTCTTGTTAAGAATAAAGAGGATTCACGTGGTCAAGATTCTCAAATCTGGGGATTTGTGGATTAAATACTTGATTTCATTAATAGTTTAAGACTGTTAGGACAAAACAAGGTCAGACTCTTGGAAAAATGCCCGAGCACATCTTTTTTTTTCCTGAAGGCCTTGATGGTTAAGCTGTCAGTGAAAAATAATTGCATGAATTATTAGTAGTCAAAATAATCATGAGCTGAAGGTAAAATAATCCCATTTTTGAGTGATCCCCATCTTTCATGTTTGCGAATACATTTTACAGCTTTTACAGCGTGTTGCCTCATATTGATCCAGCAGAGCACCTCCTGGTTGGACTTGCAGGAGCCCATTTGTACCACCGCCACGCATGGCTGCCGCAGATAATGACACAGATAAGAATATTAATGAGAAAAATTTCATCTCCACTCATCCCTCTTACTTCTGCAGGTGTCTAAGGACGATCGCAGCGACATAGAGTCAAGCTCCGATGAGGATGACAGCCCCCCACCCAATCAGAAACATCACAACAGCACCACCAACGGGACCAACAAAAACCACGGGACCAACGGCTACCTGACAGGAGCACTGTACCCCGACGAACACTGACTGAGCTGATATCACAACACTGGAGCCATGCTAAAGACACCATCCATCATTCTGTATGTGTGTGTGTGTGTGTGTGTGTGTGTGTGTGTGTGTGTGTGTGTGTGTGTGTGTGTGTATGCTTGTGTGTGTGTGTGTTTGACATGAACAACACCGCCTGTCTGGTACTGGAAGTTCTTGATAAATTTGTGTGAATGCAGTTTTGTTATCAGTTTTATTCTCTACTGATTTCCTTGCGCAATTTATTCTCTTCATCTATATTATATTTGCATCAAGCTGCACTCAGTGAAATATCAGAGCACTCCTATTGGTACCGTTCACTCTGTTTTACCCAACGAATGACAGCATTTCATCTTACGGTGTAAGCATGCTACTCTAACATACAGTAGTCTGGCAAACTGGGGGTGACTTTTATTTCTTATGTTTGTGTCTCTTTGTGTTATTTATTTTTTATGTGTTCGCTAAGGCTAGTGGGACATCTGCTCTATTTTGATGTCAGGGTTAAAGGTTAAATCATCTCCATCACACACAATACAGCTGTTTTTTTTTACACACCATAACAATGAGTATTAGCAGGATGCTAAAGACCTGGGTTTACGATTAATGCTACACCCCCAAAGAAATGCCAAAATGTGCAAAGTTTACTCACATTTCTGAATACATCCTCCACTCAAACTGTATATGAGATGTCAATAACAGTATTATGTGTGTGCATCAGATATGGCTACATGCTGTATTCCCTATTAAAGCATTTTGTTAAGTATTCTGGTACATTTCTGGAAGGCATTTCATTCAAGTCCATTTGTCCACTTGTGAGGCGGACATGAGTTGTTTGAATTATTCAATAAAAAAACATGAAGATTGCAAATACATGCTGGTCTATTTAATTAGCACCATCAGTCTGGGAATAACAAAAACAAACAGGGAAATTAATTTGATCGATTTATTAAAAATGAAGGACAGAGACAAACTATGAAGACGAAGGAGAAGGATTTGCAGCAGAGGGACCAAACTCAGACGATTCTGCTTCAAGGACTATAACCTCTCTAACCACGGCTTTTTGAGTGGTGTTTTGAAATATTTTTTTAACTTTGATAGACAAGAAAGCTGAAGAGAGACAGGAAATATAGAGAGTGGAGGGAGACATGTAGCAAAGGGTCTGTGCAACTAGGACCACAGCCTCTGCATATAAGGGCCTCCTGGTCCACGAAAATGAATCTATCAAGATGTAGGATTAATGTGTTTGCAAATTTTGAATGAATTTGTTTTCCACCATTAGTTACAACAAGATACGCAGTAACTATTCTTCCTGGGGTCTTATTTTTACATTTTACATTTTGAACTTAGACATATACTTACAGACATTACACTTACAAAACACTCATACTACACTTCATTCATACAGTAGCTCTTATTCTCTCTTGATTGCGAATACACTGAGACCAGTCAGGTCTTAGATATGAAAAGGAAGAGAAATCTGCCAAACTCTGACGCTTCTTGCTGCTCTGTTAAACATTTTAGCACCTCTCAGATTTTTAGCTTTGGTTCTCAGCCCCACAGCCATAATCTTGTAGATCTTGCTCGTGGCTTCTCTGGCGCCACTTTCATCTAATAGACAAACTAAGTCCAAACAAAAAGACTGTTGGACTCTTTGTCACCTGATCATGGGTGTTTGCTCTGTTCAGTATTCAACAACCAGGTTTTACAACAGCAACCAATGATCCTGCTGTTGTCAAACTTAAAATCTGTTAAAACTGCACCAACATCTATCACTGGATGACAGATAAGGGCATGAAGGGCTCTTGTTTTGTGTTTATATTTTCTTCTTTCTTTAGATTTTTGGCAGAGCGACTCGCCATGCCACCCGAGTTTACATTTGAATTTTCGTTCTTTTCCCTCCTCCAACTGGAATTTTCCTTTCAATATTTCACCGACACTCGTTCAGGTGATTTCCGCATGAGAGAGTCTGGGAGGAGAGTGGTCAAAGTTCTGCGTTCAAAGTCAACAAACAGCCACAGTCTGAAGATGAAGGACCCTATCAGCACCTGCTCTGTGAGTATTTCCTTTACAAGAGACGCTTCAGTCTTTCCTTTGTAGGAGCATGTGGGGTAAAAATAAGAATAAAATGTATTTTATTCTTGTACCTCTTTTGTGTTTGTTCAAACTGCTCTTAAAATCAGGGAACAAATGAAGCCTTATTATATGTCTTTCAGTACAACGAGCTGTATCAAAATGTAAAACGGTTCTCAAAAACTGGGGAGTACTTCTGCAAAGAACTGATGATGGTGTTTCAGCAAAGGTAGGCTCCCTCACGCTCTGGGCTTTAGGCTTCAGTTTTAATGGAGAAAGCAGTTACTGTTTGACTCAGTTACTGTCTCCTTTCCTGTTTTAGGGCTGAGCTTGAACTGACGTACTCTAAAGGACTTCGAAAGCTTGCAGGCAAACTCATCAGGGCCTCTAAAGAAATGTCAAAAAAGTAAGGCACACAGTGTCAGGTATTTATGATTTTTTTATATGTGTTTTGGGTTAAACATGATCTCTTACTACGGACTAACTGCCAGAGTATAAAAATACTGGTGTGATGGGAAACAAGCTCCCGGCAAGTTCGACATGATCTAAACATTGGCAGGTGTTTGGCTAGAAAGCCTACAGCTCTAACCTTTTCATGCCGGCTCCCCCACTCAGTTCCACCTACAGCGCCTGGTGTCATGTGTCAGATGAGATGTACTCCAGAGCAGACGCCCACAGGTAGTTTTCAACCTGAGTTCAACTCTCCTGCCTGATCAAACATTAAACATGTTTGGATTTACAGTTCAATGTGGTTTGCTTGTTCTCGCTGTAGATCTTTGGGAAATGCATTTCAGCAGGAGGCCATTCTGGAAATCCGACAAGTCTTAGATGAGCACACAAAGAGGAAGAGGCCTGTATGAAATTAATTCTTGATCTTGTATCATAAACAATATCAGTGTGGTGTGTTTCATAGCTGTAAGGTGTATCTCACCTTGTTATGCTCTGATAGCTTGACAACGCCATTGATAGAAATGGAAAACTTCTTGGGGTCAACTGGAGTGAGCAACTTAAGGTAAGACAGCTCTTACTACCAGCTAAAGCATCAATCTCTTTATTTTAAAGCCTTTACAGTGTGTTCAATGCATTACAAACACCTGCAGAAAACATCACAGTGAGTCGTCTCTGTATAACTGTTAACAAAGGCTTTGTCTGCATGCATGCTGTGACTCACTGTCTGACACCTACCCCCTCCAGTTTCAAGTATCAGAAATAGCTCAACACAAACCATCATTTTATCTCTGATGGTCTGGTTTGTTTTTCTGTGTCAAATGGGGTCATCAGTATTACTTTTAAACTGTTTGATAACCTGCTAAAATCCCCTCACAAGAGCTTTAAAATGGACTAATTTTTAGTGTCTGAAATATGGGATGTTTCAACGCGACTCATCTTTAGGAAGTTCAAATTTCCATTCAAATTTTCAAAAACTGAGTATTTTATGCAGCTGTACATGGAAACTCAGAGTGAACACACGCAGGTGAAAAATGTCAAATTGATTTGCTAAGTGATAGCAGAGCTAGCACCACCAGCCTTTGCTATAACTACTATTTCATCACAAACTGAAAGTAAAGATCATTTATATTTATTTACTGTCCCTAAACTGTGAATTCAATCCAGAAACATTGTCATCAATTGTTTCAGTAGGTACTGTGCATCTAATGAACTACAAGACCAACCATTACCACAGAGTCTGTATAACTCTCGTTCATGAGAGAAAACAAAGCCAAGTGGAGTGCTAATCCTTCAGTCTACCTGTGTGTTTGTTCAACAAAAAATACATTAATATAGATTCTTGTATTTCCTTTTCTAAACAGATAAAGAAGAAACTAGTGGGACTAACGAGAGAGCACGAGGCTCTGTTCAACTTTGTTGAGAACAACAAACACATTTGCACTGAAAAAGAAAAACAAAAGGTAAAAAGGAGAAGACTAAAGCAGCTTTTTCACCACTAAATACAGGTTGTTTTTAATCATCTTGGACTTAATTCCTGTTGGAAGAGCTGCTATCACATTAATTAGAGAAATGTTCCTCTTGTACTTCACTTACAGATGCTGAACAGGCTGACTAAGTCAGCAGAGATGCAGGCGCGGGTGGATGAGGAGTACTTCAGTATCAACATGGAGGGTCATCAAATGAGACTCAAGTGGGAAAACACTCTGAAAAACTGCTACCAGGTGTGGAAAAAAGGAATCCCTAATTTTCATAGCTGGGTCTCTTATGCAGAGGGGCTTTTTTGGGTGAACGGGTGGGTGCAGTGTCTTTACTCAAGGACCCCTCATTTGTGATAAGAGTCGAACCAGTGGGCTTGTGGTTGCCAAAAATGCTCAACGAGTACAGGGTCAGTCTGACACCAAAGATGAGTGCTGTAATTTTGAGTAGCAAATTACCACTGTCCACCCAGGGTCCTTCTCTGACATGAGGTGTTTCATGCTGTATTTTCTGTTAACAGTGTGCACAAATAAGAACAAAATTGGTGACTTGGTCAAACCCTACATCTTTTGCCACTGTGTAACCTTTACTTTTTTTTAATGTCTGTATTTTCAATGTAGGACACCACAGATTAAAAAAAAAAAAACAGTGCAACTCTCCACCATTTCTTTTTTCCAGATCATACAGGAGATGGAAAAACAACGCATTGAGGTCCTCTGCAACATTTTGAGCAGATACAATCTCTATATGTCCAGCTTTGGGCAGACTCTCAAACATGTAAGACATTCTGACCTTCTTTACTCTGCATGGATGTCCTAAAACTCCCTGATGACTCAAATAGATATACTTGTATCCGTTTCAGGGACAGCGACAGATCGAGCAGGCGGCCCAAAGGGTGGACATGGATGGAGACATTCAAACCCTGATGGATGAAAACAACATCAAAGATGTGGACAGCAAAGCAGAGTTTTTGATGGCTGATTATTTTGTAAGTCTGCTCAGTCTGTTGAATTTTAATGAGAAGTCTGTCTGAGGGCCACGGACCCACTCAGTGAGTCACCCATTCAAAGGCAAACTCAGTCATCACTGCATGGGGGCTCTGTTGGATTGGAGAGTCCAGGTCACAGAAGTGACATTTTGAAGCAGGATGTAAAATCAAGGCTGGGTGTGCTTTAATGTGTAATTGTTGTGCTACAAGTAGTTTTGAACTGATTACTGGTGATACTTGGGTCTCCTTTAAAACGGGGGGGGGTGTTTACATGAGTCAATCATAACTTGCTGTATGTTAAGCTATTTTGACATTTAAGCTAAACACACTCCCCGCCACATATTCTATCTAAACTGGCATGTCTCTGAGTCAAAACTTTGTTTTTCGCTGGAAAGAATTGTAGTTCAGTCAGTTTACAATTTCATAGTGATAAAGTTGTAGTGGCATGAGTGGATGAGTGTCACATTTAGTGTGAAATTGTTCCAGTGGTTTGCCTGAGGACTTGAGGAGCTACAGCCATTTATTTTGTAATTCTTAGTAATAACTGAGATTTAATTTCAGACGGAAAAAATGAAATCATTTCAACAGAAATCTTCAGTTTTAATGTTTATTTTGACCTAAACTAATAGAATTACTGTGTATCTGCAGTGTTGAACAGCTAGTCAAAGGCTATCGATACATACATGCACTGTATGTGTATGTATTGGAGACTATCAAAGTGACTTATGTCTGTTGTTGCTTCTTGAACCAGGAGGAGGACAGCAAATCCTTCATGAGCAGAGAAAGAAGAAAAGAGGCCATCAAACAGAAACTCCAGCGTCTGGAGGACAGTATTGCAAAAACACAGAGAGACCGTGAAGGTGGGTTCTGAGCATCTTTTCCCTGAAAATAACGCATCAGCATAACAAAGGATAATCTGAATGGGGCAGAAGTAAAATGTCTATTGGTATAACTGTGTTTGATAATGGATTTAAAGGTATTTGCTTTGTTAGTTTTGGTGTCACCTTGGACATTTTTTTTGCAGGAATTGAAAAACTGATGAAAACATACTCAGAGAATCCGTCTTTTTCAAACCAGAAGAACCTTGAGGAAACAGAGCAGCAGCTGGATGAGGTAAATAGAGAGTGCAGTGTGTATAGAGCGGATGGGTAGATAGTGGTTTGTACAAATGAATATTTACTTGGAACAGATTGTAGATTAGATTATCTCAAGTGTTTACTAATGTCAACTTATTTCCCGAAGAGTACTCTTAAAATGGATCTCCTGGAGGCCACCCACTACAAACTCTCTTTGTCTCTGTGTGAGTTGGAGGGAAAACCCAAGTCCCTTCACCGGTTTAAAGACAGCATTGTGAAATGGAAAGATAAGGTAAGACTATTACTGTCAGCTTCTATGTCATTTTGAGGATAATGGGTATTTTGTGGAGGATTAGTCACCTGTAGGTTGTTACACTGAGGGTTTGAGTGCCAAACAAATACCAGGAAAGGGGAAAAGGAAAGGTTGACCTCAACATTATTGTATTTCAGCCAAGTACTGAGAGCCCAGTAACTGGAGCCAAAGGGGAAAACTAAAAGGTTAAAGCAGTGCCTATGTTGGACTTTCCCTTAGATTAAAATGTGTGTGTATATGTCTCTCTTTAAAACTTTTGGTGTACATATGTAAAACTGTAGAGTGTCTCAGTGTTTACCAGCATGAACATCTTTCATCATTAAAAATGTGGTCCCCAGTAGGTTTCAAAGCTGGATGTTGTGTTAATTACGCTAAAGTGACTGTTCACACTAAATCAGTGAATCCGTAGGATATATTAGGACTCTTAATTTTCTGCATTTTGTTTGCAGTCACTTAGGAGTGACTATAAATTGTGATTCGTTTAATAAAACAGTAAATATCATCACTAATTTCAAAGTTAAAAGTTAAATATCTCCTTGACTTTAAAAATTATATTGGCCTATATTTCAACTTGACATCAACTCCCTTAAGTGCTAATTTTGACTTTATAAAAACATGAACCCAATCTCAGTTGCATCATCCATTGGTTTCTGAAAAAAAAAAAAAAAAAAACAACTGCTGACATATTGGAGACAGTGACTCCAACTCTGCTGATGTAGTTACTTAGATAGGTTGAACTCAAATTACCCAGCTGCCTGGCAAACAGCTACAACACACCCACCTGTCAGTAGGATCAGCCACACCCCTGATTACACAGAACTCTTTTATAGAAAAAATATACACCCCCTGTAAAGCTGTAATTAAGGAAATGAAGCATGTAGACCAGGCTGCCATCATGTTTAATTATGCTCATATCAGCCTTGATCAGGCGTCATTGGCTTTTGGAGCAAGAAACAGATGAACACACTGTGGGTGTTGGCTTCATTTTTCAACACTAGATGTTTCCATTTGGTTTTGGCTGATTTGTTATTGTGATCCCGATAAAAAAGTGAGGTGTTGAGATTAAACCGGTGCCTTGGCATCTTTACAAAGTGTGAATGATGAAATTTAGACATGAATGGTTGTTACCAAGCCATCAAATCTTCATCCGTGCACCCCTTCAAAATTTCAGTTTGAGAGACTGATTTCTAATAAAACGTGGATTAACATGACACAAACCTCTGTTCTATCTAAGGACTGTGAGCACAGTGTGGTCCAGCTGACTCGTCCAGTCAAACTGAGGAGAACCCCGTTCAGATCCCGTCAGTCACTGAGAGCTTCCATCATTTACAAAGGACCTGTCGAGTTTTTGACACAGAAGTCTGCAGAGGCTCAACCAAGTCCTACGGAGCAGGTCTCTCCTACAACCACTACATATGAACCTGTGTTTGCGGAGTGTGACAGCACTGTCAACGGGGGCACGCCTCAAACTGATGATGACAAAGAACAAGGTAAGAAGTCCCTAGATAATCTAAATTTATTGATTCATTTCAATAACAGGCATTTGGCTTTATCAAAGTGAACCAAAATAACGATCAATATCAACATTTAACAGGTCAAATAACACCAGAAATGAGCAGTTTGGGAAAATGCAAAGCCCTCTATGACTTTATGCCTGAACAAGAAGATGAACTGACTTTAAAAGAAGGTAGGTGACAACCCAACTAGTGATTATCTGAACAGTTGTTTTATCATACAATCCTAAAGACTCTTGTTTGTTTTACAGGAGATCTTCTGGATATCTATGGAAAGGAAGAGAATGGTTGGTGGTTTGGACAACTAAACGGGAAAACAGGACATTTCCCGTCAACCTATGTGGAGGAGCTGCCTGTGCTGAGCGAAATCAAATCCTCTGATGCCTGATTGTTTACTCAAGAAGTGCAAAAATAAACACAAAATTCACCTGGGATCAAAGAGACAAACTCCTGCAGCAAAAGATTGAGTGGAAGTGACTGGAAAATTGTGTTTGTACTGGTTATTGATCTGCACATACTGCCAACATACCAGGTCACATCACTGTTTGCTCTTCGGTTATTTTGTGATACTGCTTCAATTCAGACTTGATGTCAATTTTTATACTCAAATCCCTGTTTTCTCATTATTTATTTCACACTTTGTACAAACAAACTCAAGGGAGTTTTAAATAAATATGTATTAAAACTAAACTCTACTCTATAAGATTAAGTAATTAAGAGACACAATAAATGATTCATGTTTACATTATAATGGCTGAGTAGTCACTTCATTTCTAAGTGGAGAACAATCTGCAAAACTAGATAAATTTCTATACATTTTTATGGATTAAAAGACTCAGAAGACCTCTTACCACTTCCACTAAAACACAAGATCTCTCTTGGACAAGCTTCAGGGTTCGAGTCACTGCCAAATAAGTTTTAAGTCAAATTTAATATGATGCTCAGACACAAATGAGACAACACACATGCATACATATTTACAAACATACATTAGTATTTATGAAGCAAAAAAGCCCAGATTTTGCTATTCAGGGTTTGTCATCACTGAGAGTACTCCAATGAGCTTTAAAATGTCCACTGTATTCTGATCTGTATTCTGATCGTCTCCTCCCATCCATCCATCCTCAGCAGCGTGCCTTTGCGATAAACTCCCTCCTGATGTTTGCCAAGAATGCAGGTAAGTTATTGGTCTCCTGAAGGCGACTTTCCAGGACTGGCAAACTCTCCAGGGCAGGATCACTCGACACAACTGTAGAAGTTAAAGACTTCCATAAATATCCCCAAAGTTTTGATCGTCGATTTTGCAGAATAAACCGCGCTCTCATTTTTAGTGACCACTTTCCAACACGTTTTCCTTGAAAATTTTAGCTGGTGTGATAGAAATACATCATACCCTGCACCATTAATACTGAAAATGTAAAAAATTCAAGAGAAATACACATTTCTATAATACTTCACAGTCCAGTGCTGTTCAGACTTGCACTTTGGGGTGAAATAACCCTCATTTGTCTTGCCCTTTCACTGCAGCGCTGCATCAACAATTGATCAAAGTTATCGAACAAAAAATAACAATGGAGGAAAACCATATTTCACACTATGATGGTTGAGGATGAAATTGGACACCATAGTTAGTGTTGAGATGGCTGTGCGTATCAACAGCCAGTGACTCTTACCGTTTTATCACAGCATACTTTAACCTCTGTACTAGTTATAGTGAGTCTTAAGTGGGAGGACTATAATATACAAGTTATGCAGTTCTTGTCATGAGATGTGGTCCATTTTACACAAACACTGCAGTACTAAAGTTGGAGAGGCGGTGCTAGCAAAGAAAAAAAAAACAGAAAAATTTCCCAGTAATGTTTGATTGACACAATCACAACTTGCTGAACTGAATATAGACTAAACTCAACATTTTTTTCCAATGACCAGTTCAACTTCTCTTACATAACCTTTAATGGGAATGTTCAGACCAGTGTGTATGAAGGAAAATAAGCAGACTAATATTTGTTAACTGTTGTTGCTGTGATTCGAAATGTTCAGTTTAATGTGAATTATTAGTAGGTTGAATTATTCACACTAAACAGAAGTGCTCGATTTAAAGGTTGTTTCATAAGTGGGCTAATACTAACTTGAGTTTTTAATTGAAATCATTAGTTTCATATACAGTGGGTCGATGGTGCAAGTAGCCGGGTTAGAATCCATTGCCGTAGTTACCCCTTCAACCATGAAATCAGGGGAGCTGGTTTGTTTTTTTGTTCATCTGTGCATAGATAATTTCAAAATCAATTAATTATTTTAAAATTAATATTTTGAGTCAATTTGGTTAAGACTTAAGTCAGTAGTTAGGTAATAAGCAGGATGATGCCCGATTAATGGGTAGTTTATTAGAATCCCTTAAGGATAAGATAAGACCCCATTCCCTTTCTCCATGCATTATCTCGTACAACTTACTCTGGTATGATCCGTCTGCTTTGATCCCCATCGTGACAACATAGGCGCTGTCCTGATTTGAAGGGTTGATGTTCCGGAAAACAAACTGCAACTTTTCACCTACACAAAGACGACAAATACATGTACAGCTAAATTAAAACAAGATCAGTGTTTACATGAGTCAATCTACTTCCGCTGTTTGATAAATTGGTTTTGCCCTGCTTTGCATATTTAACAATACTCCTAATTCAGTAATAACATTAGTGTTTTATTTTACTGGAAAGGTACTGGGAAAAACAACTAGAGTTGTGGCCCTTTCAGGAGGTACTAGATGATCAAGAGGCAGAAAGATGCATGTTGTGAAATCTCTGTCTTGATCATCATTAAACTATCAAAGTATCACAAAAGACCAGATTTAAGAGAAATACTGGGCACTGATGTAGTGATGTTTGTTTGTCTTACCTTTAACCAATTGTGTTTTGCCAAGGATTGTTCGGATCTCCATCCCTAAATGTTCCTGAAAGACCAGTCTGGCTTTCCCAAGATTCCTCAGTCTGTCTTTGTTTGCTTTGTTTTGAGACTCAATTACTGAAAGGGGAACAAGGAGAAAGGGTTGAATTACTTAGATTGTGCTGCACCACAGTTCTTTATAACGTTTATGTGATCTCCACAGGTGTTTTCTGTTATTGTTCCCACTTACACTCTTTTCTCTTGGCATATTCTTCTTCCAGTTTCTGTAGCTTATGGATAGTATCCTCTTTTTGCATCTCCTTCTGCTGAATCTCAGACTTCACCTCAGAAATGGCTTGCTGTTTCTCTTTCAGTACCGCATTTTTCTGTTCCAAGTCTGAGGACAAAAAAGTATGCTTTCATTAAACTATGAAGCCTCATGTCACAGTGGAATAGAGCGAATTATTGAAAACTCAAAACTGTGGCCAAAACCAAAAACTTCAGTCCACAAAAAATTACAAACATTGGGCACAACTGAACATACATCAACTCACCTTTTTTGAAAGTCTGGATCGTCTCAAACAGCATCTTATCATCCTTGCATTTCTTTGAACACGAATCTCCACCAGAGACAAAAAAAGAGTTTTTCTATCAGTTTAAACAACTTCAGGAGTGATACTTCGGACCTACAGCATGATAAATACTGCCAAAGCACAGCCCCACAAATCTGAGCCAAGTAATCTTTTTAACAAGAAACCTACACACTCGTTATACTGAAGCTGTCTCGCTAATATTTAATACAAGTGTAGAATCATATACGAAATAGTTGTGTGGTTGTCTTCTATATGTATTTTTACACACTTGTACTAGTGTCAAAGCAACAAATACTTGGGATCCCATAAAGTACCAGTGTGTTTCAAACATACCATGTGCAGACTTCACAAACTGTCGATGAGACTGGCACAGCTCCGTTGTTGCATCAATTATTTCACTGAAAGTATGGAGCTGTTTGTTGTGGATCTCCTCCATAGCACTAGTGAATCTCTCACTCATATTTGGATCAGTAATGGACTCCATGGTGTCAAGTTCTCTAACAAGCTGGGATAGAAACAACAGAAAGAACATACATTTCACCTTGTATCGTTTCTTAAAATGACCTTTCACATATTCTTCGATGGCTTAAATGGAATTTGATAATACAAAGATTAAAGATGTAGACACAGGCTAACTGCTGTAATCTGAAACGGTGTAAAAATATTACAATATTCTATGTTTAACTGTCTATAGACATTGGGTTTTATGAGATTAAATCACAGGTGTCAAACTCAAGGCCAGGGGGCCAAATCTGCCCTTTGGAACAATTATATCTGGCCCACGAGATCATATCATATTTTTATCATTACTGGCCCACCAGTATGAGGTCTGCAGATTTCCTCCAGAATTATAATGTAAACTTTAGCACCATTATTTAAAATGTCCTTAATAAACCGTGAAAATCTGGGAAAGTAAAGAGTAAGGAAGATTTGATAAAGAGTCAAGAATGTGGGGGAAAAAAAATTGTTTTATTGATATTTCCAATTTTGCATCTCAAGATTACAACTCAAACATGATTTTACTTTTCATTTTGTGCTTTGATTTTTTTCAACTCAGTATTTAGATTTATTTCATTTTAATCCTTTAGATTCCAATTTAAATTTTAACTCATACTTTGACTTTAAACTCTTGATTTCAAAATGATCTTATATTTTAACCTTTCAAACTTATGATTTCAAATTTCTCCTCAGGTATTTGCTCATTAAAAACATTATTTTTCTGTTTTAAATATCGTGTTCTGATCTTTTGAACTAACCTATTGGATAATTTTAAATCTCAGATTGCCTTTAAATTGATCTTTTTTACTTTTTGAAATTTTCAAGTGGTTTATAATCATCACTGATTTTGTTATATATTTTGAAAAGGAGGCTGAAAGTTTGGGTTAAATGTTGACCCTGTTGGGCCCTCAGGTTAGACTTAAATCCAGATTTTGGCCCTTGCTGTGGTTGAGTTTGACACCCCTGAGTTAAATGAACTTTAGACCCCCCTTACGGGGTATATATGATATGTAGAGATCTAGAAGTCCTTCACCCAGAAAATTTTACTTCAAAACAACATTTCCTGCCCTGTGGTGAAATCTTATGCACAAGTTTATGGCTTTTCTGCATTAATCTCTGATTTTTACTCACTTTTTCCTCAATAAATTTTGATACGCAGTAAAACTCTACGCATGATGCTTGAAATAAGATATAGTGAGATCCAAACCTAACCTCTTTTGCATTTGGCACCCATTCACATCAAGGAGTTAATTTGCCAGAATTCACTTACAGACCACCGCTTTAAAAATACAGGCAACTGGACTGTTGCCTGGACTACACAGTCCAGTTGCCTGTTTTTAAGTCTTCAAGATAACCATGACCTGGATGAATGAGAATCTACATGGACATTTTAAAAATACAGTTTATTTGTAATATTGTTTCAGCTAAATAGATAGATATTATTTCATTAGTAAACAAAGCCACTTGGATCCAATTCCCATGTTTTTTCTGTATGTTCATACTATAAGGCAGCAAAATGAAGAGTTAAGATTCAGAGACACAGACACAGCACCTCTAGTTCCCATGGTAACTTGCTGGAGCCCATTAAAATGTCCTCACTGTTAGACTAAGACATAAAAACAAACGAGAGTGGTATTCTGTCGGCTAACAGACCTTTGGAGCGTGCAATAAATGTGAAATCTCAAAACATTTAATCATGACATGACATCCCTGACCTTTGCGTAACTCTTTATCTCATTATTAATTGAATAATCATAGAGTAAAAACTTTTACCTCACCATGGTCGATGGAGTAAATAAAATGTATGGATGCATGACCACTCTAGGCTTCCGTACATCCAACAAGACAATTCTAAATATATACTTTTACTACGCAAAAAGCACCCTGTGTAATGGAGAACATATGTGAATTCATGCTATCATTTTTAAATGATGTAAGGCTTAACTGATTAATACACCAAGTCGGGAAAACAACTGTGTTCTTTCAGCAACGACAGCAGGCTAGCACTGAATGACAATAGCTATCACAAACGCACTAGGATTTGGCATTAAGTTCGGAAAAGGAGAAAAGACTAATATTCACACGTCAGATATAACCTTGAATTAAATAAGTGACTAATATATGTGAATAAAATACTCACAGTATATCGTGTTCAGCTGTTGGTTTACTCTTTTTGTCCAACTAAAGTAGCCGTTATTTTCAAATCTCCGCGGTCTGGATGCAGGAAGAAGGCGGGGACTAAAATCCGGATATGACGTAAGACAAGCTTCTTCCGCTTAAACATATTTTTAAATTTTAATGTAACATGAGTTATTCTATATAAAACATGATGTATTGCAGTGGGATTGACATTGTATTTCATAATCAGTTTTTAAATGTAACCCTCTAATTTCTTAATATTTTTCTGCCTTTATTGCTACCACCTTGTGGTGAATCTGTGGCGGTCCAGTGCTCCAAAATTTACATCAAAAATACTGCTGTCTTTATCTTGTAGAAGCAAATTCTTCCTGAAAGCCACCATTCCTCTAAAGCAAAAAGAAAGCTTTGTCATTGTGGGTTCACAGGATGATTTTATGCCAGATGGACTGTGTTTTACCAGTGATATGGGAAGCCTATTTTGTTGCTATGTTTACTGTGAATGAGAATATTAATGAGGCTGAAGGGATGCAAGGGATTGTGCAGAGCACTATCTCAGTTAATGTGTACCATAGTTAATCTGTAACGACTGCAAAAGCAATGGTCTGTAAAACATCTAATGGATACACAGTCAGGGTGTAAACAGTTTTTGTTAGATCTCTTAAAAAAATGCTGAGCTCTCATGAGTTAGGAACACATCATTTTACTCCAGGTGGGATCAACCTGAAGATCCGTCTGTTGTTGCCATGGTGCCTTTAAATTATTTCAGAGGCCAGGCTAAGATATAAAGCTATCTTCTGTGTGGAGGTGGTCCATGGTGCTTTGACTGGTGCAGAAGAAGCTGCTCTGGCACACGGGCACACAGCAAGGAGACATCAAATGGACTTTGTGCACAGCAGTGGGGTGCTGGTTATACAGCACCTCCAGAGCAACTACAGTGAATGTCAGGACTTCCTTAACTTCATGTCGACTGTAGGAGACCCTCGCAACATTTTTTTGGTCTATTTCCCCCTTTGGTTTCATCTCAGCCACAATGTGGGCATCAAGATGATATGGGTAGCAGTTATTGGAGACTGGTTTAATCTTGTTTTTAAATGGTAAGTACATCTTAAAGTTTAACATTAAGTTTAAGTTAAAATTTAAGAGCATCTTTTATTCATAGATTTTAAACTGAGACACATTTTACAGGATTCTGTTTGGCCATAGACCTTATTGGTGGATACAAGAAACTCACTTGTACCACAACAGTTCATTCCCACATTTGGAGCAGTTCCACAGCACATGTGAAACCGGGCCAGGTAAACAGCGTGTTTGGAAAATAAGAAGTTAATGGAGCACTAGCTTGCATTGCCAAACTGTGTTTTTCCTATGTCTTTATGCAGGAAATCCATCTGGTCATGCCATGGGCTCATCATGTGTGTGGTATGTTATGGTCACCTCTGCTCTCAGCTTCAGCAGGCCGTCCTCCTCTGAGTCTTCAGCGCAGAGCTATCAAAGGTGGTTTTCATCTCCTATCCTTACAGCACATTTTTCATCTGTGGTTTTCTATTTCTGGTCCAGTCAAAACACTTTTTAACTTACAGGTTTCGTCTGCTGAAGTCTTGTTTGTGGACGGCCTTTTGGGTCATTCAGATAAGTGTTTGTATCTCCAGGGTTTTTATTGCAACACATTTCCCACATCAGGTTATCCTCGGTGTGTTAGCAGGTGAGTTTTATCTGAATTAAAATGAAAACCCTTTCTGCTGCCCTGTCTGTCTTTGATTATTGGAGTGTTTTTTTTCTATAATGTACAGGTATGCTGGTTGCTGAGGTGTTCAACCACATCCCCTCTGTCTACAATGCAAGTCTGAAAGCATACCTCCGCACCAATGTTTTCCTTTTTTGTTTTGCTGTTGGCTTTTATCTCCTCCTTAAATCCATGGATGTCAATCTCATGTGGTCTGTTACCAAAGCCAAAAAGTGGTGCGCTAACCCTGATTGGATCCATCTCGACACCACACCTTTTGCTGGTTTGGTGAGGAACTTGGGATCCTTGTTTGGTCTGGGCCTCGCAGTGAACTCTCAGATGTTCATTCAGAGCTGTAAGGGAAAAAATTCCCACAATACCAGGTTTAAACTCATGTGTGTGGCAGCAACTCTCACCTCTCTGCAGCTGTATGACTTTATCAAAATGCCTACTCACACTGAGTTTCTGTTTTACATTTTATTTTTTTGTAAAAGTGCCTCAGTTCCTCTCTGTGTGGTTGCTGTGATTCCATACTCTGTGCACTTGTTGACTGGAGATGAAAGCAGGAAGCTAGTCTAAAATGTGACCTTTATAATACTCTCCCCACCTGTGCTGTATCATCAGAGTATCTCAAAAGGGTTGATACATACATATACCTAAAGTGTATAAACATTCAAAAAATTTCAGACTGTTAATTACAGTTAGCACTGATACTCCATTACATGAAGTAAGATGATACTTTGTTTGAACAGAAATACATTTTTATGTGGTTTGTCTTTATGTTTTTGTTAGGGTTTGTTTTATTTGTGCAGTTGTACATCTGTATGAATGTCAATTAAAAGCAGCATTGACATGATATGAAAAGTTGTAAATAAAACTGATGAGCTTATTAATTTGGATCTCACTATTTCTTATTTCAAGCATCATTTTTAGAGTTTTATTGCGTTTCGCACAGATATTAATTATGCAGAAGCAGGTAGTCTCAAGGATAGCTGTTGACAACTCATGTTCAACACTTTTTTTTAAAGGTGGCTTAAAGTACACATTAAATTCTAAAATTTGAATTATAATAGAAACATTTTTTAATGGGTCATTCCTTACCTTTAACATATCCTTTAAAGACAGGGGTGTTTTCTTTTTACCATGTCCAGCTTTACCATGAGTCAGAATGGTAACCTAACACTTAAGAACATATGGAGGGATTTTCTGACTATACACATTAAAAAAGAAACAAAACTCTGATAGCAATTTACCAGACACTTGGGGTTTCTCACACAATCGAATAACACAAATCAGAACACCAAAACATTAACAAAAAAAACAAACAAAAAAAAGGATGCAGGGGCTCTGCATAACAGAGTTAGTTAACATCTAATCAGAGGTGTAAAAGCCATGCTGAATTGCCTAGACAGAATAGTTACAAGAAGCATCAAGGTCAGCAGCAGAACCTGGAGGGTGGGGGTAGGTCGTGGATACCTGTCTGCTCTGAAATCAAAGAGTGTGATTGCCTCTTTGCCTTGTCAGAGCTCTGTAAAAAATATTTAGAGGGGTCAGGAGGGAAAAAGTTTTTTTAGAGGCTTTTTTTGATTAATTTCACAAGTTTCATAACTCTTTAAGATGAGGGATCCAAATCAAAATGTTACTCAACAATCAAGTTGACAAAACATGCTCATGGCTCAGAATTAAAGGCTGGAACTTTTTGCAAATCAAATCCTTTCAGATGGCTCAACAATTTGCCTCTCCATAAAGTTTGGCAAAATTCCTTATAAATTGGAAAACTGAGTTAAAGAGGAGTTTTTTAGGATTAAGATGGAAATAAAGTATTATATTGTATGGTAGATGAAGGTGAATTTTCAAGAACTTAAAGAGAGATGCCAGCGATGATCTAATTTGCTCTTATAACAAAAGCAGTGTGAAGGCTTTGAATGGGGTTTCAGTCATTAATAACACCTCTTCTGAGTGCTAACTAGTTTTAAATGCTTAAAACACTTGACACTCCTCCCAAAAGTTCTCTTCAAACCGCTCCATGATTTTAATGTTTTTATTTCTAAAGGTAAAGCCACTGAAAATTCGACCTTCCTGTAAAGACTTGGAAATATGGATAAACAACAAACTGTTATTTAATCTACATATCACCACTCTGGACAAAAAGTTCATGGTGAAGATTGTTATCTGAGTCAAATCCTGTTTTACTCCCAGTGTTGAGGAAAATCATGTGACGGCTACATTGCTGCCTGTGGACTGATGTGGTTTTACATGGCTCACTCAATGCAAAGGCACATGGATGGACTTGTTGGATTTGTTTTTAATGTTATGGTCTGTCTGACTGTATTCTTTCATAATCGTCTGCATTTCCAAACACCCACTAAATCTTTCTGAGTTTGTCTCCTGCTCACCTCTAAATCCTGCTCTGTTTGAATTACATAATCTCTGGAGGGGTCACTAAGTTTCTTCAGGTGAATTCAGATATTAATCAGGTAGATGAGGTAGAACAGGGAGTCTGATGTAACTAGATTAAACAGATTAGTTAAACTCCCTCACTATAACCCATTTCCACATCTTGCCTGTGGTTGCCTGGCAACTATTGGCACCTGGGGCCTGGCACTAGATGATGTAACTGACCTAAGTGCAGAGGCTACCTGTTTATCCAGGCTTGAAGCAGCATTTGTGTTTGTGTGGGGTGCTTAATTATGCTTGGGTACTGAATGAACATATAATATGTAACTGCTCAGCAGCCCCACCACTCTTGAAGTTCCCAAACTTTGGTGTGATATTTAGAAAAAAAGACATGCAAAGAAAACAGGGGAGAATTTTTGGAAAATAAAAATTGAAAAACCTGAAATTTTGACATTTTAATTTCATATATTATTGAAAAAATTGTTGTTTTTTTCGAAGTGTCTTTAAATTTTCTTATGAAGCATGCAATCACTTCTTATAGACAGTTGTCTCAAGTGTATCCAGAAGTTTTGGAGCTTCCCCTAGTGACTAGCTGTGGTACAGTTCTTGACCCCGGCTTCTTCATTCAAACAGAGGCACTTGTGTCTTAAACATCCATTTAATTGACATAGTTTGTTCTTGTCATTGTGATATCAGTAAAAATTGTTGTTTTCTTGATTAAGTTTGACTTTAAAAAGGGGTTTCATATAAGAAATATGATTGATTAGCAGCTCTGTGGACAAACTACTGACACCGTAGCATTTTCTTCCAGATCAACAGACTGAAGCAGAACAAGAAATGAAAAGATGAGAACCTTAATATAAAGTGTTTCTCAGAATTCATGTGAAAACACTGTTTATTACATTTTTAGATTTGATATGCTGCCATTTGGAAAGGAACAACTGTGTTGTCATTTAGAAAATATGGTGTCATTGGCCTCATGAGCACTGTTGACAATGTGATGTCACTGCGAAATGCCGTTAATAATCCATTAATCATCTGAGTCTTGTTTGTTAAAGAGATTGAAAAATAACAATCCAATAAAAAGAAATCAGAGTTATTATGATTTATTGGAAGGAGTCTGAAGTATAAAAATTGTTCTTAACTACATGGTATTCAAGCTCCTCAGATGACGCAGACCTTATCAGTCTGCTAACCCTCCTGCCCAACCCAGAAGATTAGAACTGTAGCAAAGTTGAAATCATAAACACTGAGCTGGATAGTGTTGGATGCTGTTACACCATTGAAACATGTTAATAAAGAAGATTTAAATGGTTATTATTGAAAAGAAAAAAAAAAACATCTGCAGAAATTCTTAATATGAATGCACAGATAATACTGAACCTACAGCCAACCCCTGGATGAGTATAATCATGGAAGTGTATCAGATATACTGAAAACTTGCTGCTGATCACCTCTTCTTCCCAATATTTCATCTTTCTGTTCAGCTATTCTAATCTAATAAAAGCAAATGACCTTAAAAGATAAAACACTCAAAACCATGAGTCACAAACCCTTGGCTCTAATTTTAACCAAGGTTTAAAACCCTTTCACCATGAAAGCATCATGACTCTGTCTGCAGCTGGTGACATTTTGTTTTTCTTCCCTTGCCTGTCACACAGCCTGAGTCATTCACCATTAGGACTTTCATGTTTATTTTCTTTCAAGTACAGTCTACCAAACAGGTTTATACTGTGAGAGCGAAACTAAATGTTCACTACATGAGGCTAAATTTTAATCCAATGATGCAAAAAGAAACGTATCAAAAATGTATATAAAATCATTAAACTAAACATCTCTCATAAGTAGTTAATATACAATAAATAGTTCATCATCCACACTATTAAAAATAAACAATACATTGACTAAAATTGATTGTTCTTTGAAGCAGTCCTGCATATGCCAAAGAATTAAATATGTTCTGTGATTTATGAACAATCTCTTTTGTCAGAAATAAAGTACAAAAAGCTCTGCACATCATTTCGTCATGTTCATGTGGCTGCAGCAGCTAGCTGATAGGGGCGCCTGTTGTGACCAGTTTGTAATAGGCCCCTCTCTTGGCCATGAGTGTATCATGTGTGCCTTGTTCTATTACAACCCCGTGAGACATCACTGCGATGATGTCCGCGGTTTGAATGGTGGACAGCCGGTGAGCGATGACGATGCAGGTTCGGCCTTTTCTTGCCTCATCCAGCGCTGACTGGACAGTCTGAATTCAAAACAGAAATCAGAAATTTGGAGGTTCTCTATCTAATGTGCATGTGGATATGAATCTTGTTAAAGAATGAACTAATAGATAAGAAATAATGTCAATCCATTTTTGTGGTTATTAGAAATGTGTTACCTTTTCACTCTCTGTGTCCAGGGCAGAGGTAGCTTCATCAAGGAGCAGGATCTTTGGGTTCCTGACGATGGCCCGGGCGATGGCAATACGCTGTTTTTGTCCTCTTGACAGCTGGGAGCCCTGGGCGCCAACCTGGGTCTCATATTTCTTAAAGAGTTTTGAAAATTAACAGTGAAGAACGGAAAGAGTTGAGTATAGGAAATGAAGACTTAGAAAAGTCTTTGATTCAAGGTTCACTGATTCCCAACAATACCTACTTTACTTCTTGTTTAGAGTAAAAAGTGTATCTTAAATACAAAGTAAATATCAGAACTAATGTATACTGTTTATCTGTTATGGTTTCCACTCACATCCGGCAGTGTCATCACAAAGTCATGAAGGAAGGCCTTCTTCGAAGCCTCCATGATCTCCTCCATGCTGACAGTACGAGTGTTATCTCCATACTGAATATTCTCTGCTATGCTGCAGTCAAACAACACCGGCTCCTGGGACACAATCCCGATCTGAGCTCTCAGGAAGGGCACATTAACCCTGTGAGATGAGTGACCATCTATCAACTGGAAAAGACAGATAACACAGTTAGGACAGGCCCTGGAATAGCTTGAAGTCATTTTGGGAGCAGTAAAATCAATGTCTGAATCTGTCCACGTACCACTTCGCCATCATCAGGGTCGTAAAACCTCTCCAGCAGTTGAACACTGGTGCTTTTCCCACAGCCACTGCTCCCAACAAATGCCAAAGTCTGACCAGGTTTCACTGACACAACCAGGCCCTTCAACACCTGGATATCTGGACGAGTGGGGTAGGTGAACTTGCAGTCTATGAACTCTATTTCTCCTTTAAATGATTCCTGAAGAGGGATAATGATGATTAACCATTTAAAAGTAACATGTTCATACAATCACATCTTATTAGGTATGATTTTGATTGTTCAACAAAAACACAAACCCATTTCTCTCCATCTGTCTTGCTGATGCTGATTTTAGGAACTCGGTCTATGAGTTTGAAAAACTGTGAAGCAGCAGTTTTGGCTTTGGCGTAATCTGGAGTAAAGGATGAAGCTCTGCCCAGTGCTGTCCCGCTGATAACAACTGCAGAAATAACCCTAGGGAAACACCAGATTAACTTTGGTCATCACAATACAAATTAGATTTTAAAAAAAGGATCAGAATAAAGAATTTTATTCAAATAACTGGCTTCACCAACCTAAATACTATCACGTACTGCAAACCCTCAGCGCTAACCAGATAGCCTCCATATCTGAAGGATGCAGCATATGCCATGAAGATAACACACTGGGCGAAACCAAAACAAAGGCCATAAATGTTGGCTCTCTTCCTGGCTGATTTGTAGGGGAGCTCGAGTTTTTGCTCATATGAATCCACGAATGAGCTCTCTTTGGCCAAGCCAGCGATGGTCCTGATGTTGGCAAGAGCCTCACTGGATACCTGAGGGACACAGTAGGATCTTAAACGATAGCCTTTGTATTTATATATGTTGTATTTGTATTTTCCTGTAGATATCACATTCGTCATGATAGGAGGTTGCGACTGTGACTCCTTAACGGGGTCACACCATCATAGTGTCTGTTCAGAGAACCTGCAGAGGTGTTAGACCTCTGTTACTATATGTACTGTGTTATGCAACCAAATAACATATCAGCATTCAGCCACTCCTGAGACACAGGACATCATAACAGCATTTAAGTTTCTTACCCTGAAGAGGAAATATCTGCCATCTGATTGAGAAGCAAATGTCCGGAGGAGCTTACCTGACCTGCTGCCTCCATGGAGTTTTTATCTTCAGTCGCAAAGCCTGTCAGCATTTTGGCTTGGAAAACCCCGGACAGGCCGATGAGTGGCAGGAAGCATAATATTACCAAAGTTAACTTCCAACTGAAGTAGAAAGCAATGATGAAAGATGCTCCAATGTTGGTAAGTGAGTTGACGATCATGCCAATCTGGGATCCAGTTGCCTGACAAATAATTCATAATTACAAATTATGTTATTTTGTGTAATAAAGTGTAAAAAAAAAAGTTTAAACAGACCTATGGATCGGCTACTCACCCCCTGCACCATGGATGCATCAGTGGCCAGCCGGGTAGTCAGAGCTCCAGGACTGTTCATGGCGTTATCAAACCATCCAATCTCCTGATTTAGCATGGCCTGGAAACCCACTTTCCTCAGGCGTCGAGTCAGCAGCTCTCCAGATTTGGCAAAAGCATAACCCTGGAGGTTAAATCAGAGTCAATCCATGAATGTATAAAGCTGGATTGTCTGTAGATCACAATTATCTCACAAATCAGGATGCAAACCTGTAAGAACTGGGAGAAGACACTCATCACAGCCACAACGCAGAACAGAATACAAATCCCGTTGATCTGTGCCCTCTGCTCATCCAAGTCACGAATGGCAAACGTCTACGAAAACAAGCATTTTGGAGATTACTCTTTTATTAAAATGTAAATCCAACTCCAGCAGTGGCAGCATATATGAGAAACAAATCACTGACCCCAAGTATCTGGCTGAACAGGACAGCATAGATAGGATTGACAGAGCCATTGACAGCTGCTCCCAGTGACCCCAGCAGCATGTAGGGCCATTCTGGCTGGTTGTATTTGAGGATACGAGCTACTGGGGCTGGCTCTACCTCTTCCTCTACACTTTCCTCATAAGTCGGTGTTTCTGGTGTGATCATTATGTTTGAAAGGATCTTGAGGCTGCTTGATGATAAAGTGCTCTGAGATCTCAGTCGAAGGCTCCTATGGGAGTTACATTGAAAGCATCAAGTGAATTCAAAGCGGTGCATTAGTATTAATTCCTATACTTGCTATTGTTTTCTGAGGAGGTCTTTTTGATTCAGAAAATACCTTTTACTGGATCTGTGGCTTTCACTCCTTGCTCTCATACTAAAGTCATCAAGAGTTTCACTGATTTCATCTAGCAGGAAAAATAACATCGATACAGCTTCAGTGCAGGTATTAAGCCAACTTGTGGCCTTTAAAGGGACAGTATGTAATTTCTATAGGAATCAAGTAATTTTAATAAGATTTCTAAAAAATGGACCAAAACATTCTGAAGCATATTTTGAATCCTACCATTAGTTGTGTTGGATGTGTCTTGGTTCTGCAGGGTGACCAGGGTGAAGTAGACACCTTCTCTCTCCAACAGCTCACTGTGTGTTCCCCTCTCCACAGCCTGTCCGTGCTCAAACCCAATGATTACATCAGCATTTCTGATCGTTGAAAGACGGTGAGCTATGGAAATTGTTGTCCTGCCCATCCGCACCTGAACATATAGTAATACAACAGTGTTACTCTGCGACATCTGTTGCTCAGCTTCATTATGAAAGTGATCTCAGTCATGATGTCATTAGTCAGAGAGAGGCCTACCTGATCCAGAGCCTGCTGCACTACAGCCTCACTCTCATTGTCCAGCGCAGACGTGGCCATGTCCAACAGCAGAATCTTTGGGTTTCGTACCAGAGCTCGAGCGATAGCAATCCTCTGTTTCTGTCCCCCACTCATCTGACCTCCACCTTCTCCAACCAGAGTATCAAATTTCTAGCAGAACAGAAGCGGTGCATTAAATACTGACCCACAATGAATCATAATTTCACAGTCGAATGCACCTTTATGCTTTTGTCTTTTATCTCATTATGTCTAAACATACCTGTGGTAGATCCATGATGAAATTGTAGGCATTAGCCTGCTTTGTTGCCTGGATGATGTCCTCCATTGTTACTCCAGGGCGACCAAAGCGGATGTTTTCTGCGATGGTTGTAGAGAAAAGCACTGGCTCCTGCTCCACTATTCCAATGAGAGATCGGAGCCACTGGATGTTGAGAGTACGAATGTCATGGCCATCCAGAGTCACCTGAGAGAAACAAAAGTATAAATAACAATGAAGTGAAGACTCCGAAGTCTTCAGTCCTGTCTGCAGCTTAGGCCGTTACCATTCCTCCTTTTGGGTCATAAAATCTTTGGATGAGCTGAATCGTGGTGCTTTTTCCGGATCCGCTCGGTCCGACAAAAGCAGTGGTTTCTCCAGCTTTGACTTCCATGCTGAGGTCATCTAAAATCTGAAAAAGTAGCAAAAGAAGAGATGAATATCAAGAACTGGGACACTAACACAAAGTAATGCTGCCTTGTTGTAGAAATGCACCTTGACGTCAGGCCGTGATGGGTAGAAGAAAGAGACATTATGAAACTCAATGTCACCTTTTACTGTCTCCAATTTGTGACCTTCTTCAGAGAAACAATCAATTTCTGGCTCCTGTTAATATAACAGCACAGACCTTTATTTTACCAGGAACAATTTATTCCTACAATAAACTGTTTTAAAGTTGGACTGTGTTTGCATTCTGGTTTTACCCGGTCAATTGTGTCAAAGATGGTCTTTGCTGCAGCACGACCTGAAGCAAAGGCCTCCAGACAGGGCGAGGCCTGGCCCAGGTTCATCGCTGCCATCAGGACTCCAAAGAATACCTGAAAATAAAACACAGCTGTTGTCTTTGAGTAATATACAGTGTGGTTAATTAAACATAAGGAACATAACTTACCTGAATGAGAGTACCAGGAGACAGCTCTTGTGTGTCTATGACCAACTTAGATCCATACCAAAAGGCCAAGGCGAAACAAAGGAAAATGATGCACCACAGGTATCCTTGAAAAACCCCAATGATTGCACCTTTTTTCACACCCCAGGTCTGAGCCTCTGCAAGGTTTTTGTCATATCTGTATAGAATTGATGTTTCATGAGTATCTGCATCACAGAAAATCTTCTTATGATCTTAAAGAGTGAAAGGTTACCTCTCAGCTTCTTTTTCCTCCCCACCGAAGGCTGCAACAGTCCGGATGGATGACAGGACCTCATCTGCCACTGCGCCTGCCTTTGCATACGCCTTCAGCTCTCGTCCAGTCAGCCTGGCCACAGCCTAAAAAACACCCATTTAAGGACAGATTTGGACAGAGGAGAACTATGCAGTCCTTCAGTCCTGCAGCAGAGATGGCAAACTTAAAAAATACAGCTTTCTGATCAAAAACATCATCTTTTTTTAACTTTATTTGTCTAGTATGCCACTCACAATAAATCTTCAGCATGGAGCGCTTGTTAAATCCATACCTACTGCACTCAGGTATAAAAAATAACTGCATATAAATAATCATTTTTCCACCTTCTGTACTAAGTTTTGATTTCATACTATAAGTGTTAAATGACCATGTCCTCAGGAGGTTTAAGTAGCAGTTGAAAATCTCAGTTTGACAACATTAAGCAGCTCACCATGGCCATCAGCCCAGCAGCTATACCAATCAGAGGGCTCACAGCGATGACCACCAGAGTCAGCTTCCAGCCGCCGATGAACCCAACCATGAAGCCAAACACAAACGTGGAAATCCTCTCGATGAAGATGGACACTTGGTCAGCGATAGCGTTGTTGATCTTGTTGATGTCACTGTAGAGGAGTAGAAACACTCAGGCGCTGATAACACTAATAACAGCCTGATGTGCAGATAAAGAGGCTCCACTCACTCTGATATCCTCGTGTTCAGTTCACCAACAGAGTTACAGTCAAACCACCCGATCTCCATCCGCATGACTTTTCTAAAGTAAGTCTTTCTTATTCTGTGAATTTGTCGAGCAGCTGCTGACACCCAAAGGGCGATCTACAGTGTCAAAAACAGTTAAGAGTCATTTGTTTTAGTTAACATGCAGAAGGATTTGAAATTAAATCTGAATACTTACCTGAAAATAACTAACAACCAGGACTCCTAGTCCTATTCCAATATAGTAATATGCAAACATGGTCATCTGTGCTTCAATATCCACCCTGCAGAGAGAATAAAGTGAGAAACTTTTCTCTGTTTTGATCATTCTCACTGATTCCAAATAAAAGACCTACCCACAATCCACCGTTCTGTTTTCATGTGTTTCATATACAGAGCCATTCTTCCAGTAGATGGTATTATTGATGCATGTCTTGTTTGGGTCTTTCAGTTCTTGAACCTCCAGCTCATAAGCCACAAACGTGTTCGTCATCATGCCGTACACCAGGAGCATGAGAGGTGAAGCTGCACCGTGGATGAGGGCGCACAAACCTCCTACTACCATCATCACCACATCTTTGCAAGTGGCAAAACGAAACTGCAAAAAGGAAATGAGAGGATTGTGAAGATGCTTCAATAGAGGAAGATTTTATTTCATTACGAATCAAAGCCAAGAAAGGATATTTACCAACTGGAAGCATCCCACACTGGGTACTTTTTCTGTTTTCTTCTCATCTCTATAAAATAAAATATATATAACATATCCATAGTAAGGGGTTACTTTAATACATATGATCAGAACTCTATATTGTAATTTAAAACAATGATGGAAATTTCTGTTTTGCAAAACAGACTTACCCACTCTCAATGTCTGCAGAATGAAAAAGAAAGTAAAGGGATAGTTTTATTATTTGGAGAGTTTGGGATTTTTTTATGTCAATTCCTACTCTTATACTTTCTTTTATTAGTGAATCAAAGACCACTCACCTTTTCTATCCTCTGCAACTTTTAATGATTTTTTCATGTTTGCTGCCCTGCCCTAATCAGGCGTGTCCTCTCAAAGCACTGTGGATTTAAAAAAATATGATGAAAATCATTCATACTTCAAAATCGAATACAACTTAAAAAAACAAAAAAAAAAGTTTTTTGTCCAAACATGTGTATCAAGAAAGTTGAAGCTAGAGAATTTAAATGTCTCTTATTTCTTTGGATCATAAACATGCTGCTTGAAAATTGTATAAAATACTGGTACCATGATCTTTTTGAGGAACGTTATTGTATTAAGCTAATCTTATCTTGCTGTTAAGAAAAAGACCTTCATAGAAAACAACAGATTTTAACAAGATAATCTGACACCCTGCTTGGATTTTACACAATGTAACAGTATTTGTGGAAGAAAATGAAAACTCACTGTACCTCTGTGTGTCTGCTTTCCTCAGGAATCCACCTGCATCACCGAGGCTCATCAGAGTAAAATCCTATCTCAACTATAATATTTCTACACAACCCCTGCCTCTCCTTGTCATTATCTTTGCCTCCATTAGAGTGATAAGGTCTGTGTCAGCAGTACGACCTTTTCTGAACTGCCTTTGTACAGCAAAATTTAATCACTAAACCAAAGTGTTCATTAACCAATTTTAGTTAAACCTCTGTGTCTACAGTAGGTCATAGGACAAACTAATTTCTTACTGTGAAATTTTAAAACATTGTTTGGTACAGAAACTTTTGAGTTTGCTGCTTATAATGATGATTGTAAATTGGGTTAAATGACCGCAAGGCCATTCTTCATGGTCACATACTGATCCTTTATGCACAAGCCAATAGGAATTGAAAATTAGGCCCTTATCTGTGATTAGGTATCAGTGGAAAGGGGTCATAAAAAATTCAATTGACAACAAACGTTGAGTGTTTTTTTTTTTTTACAATACTTTTACCATACTCTCACTGTTCCGTGGGAAAAGATTTTATCCACGTTTAACAACAATTAGTATTAACAATTAAATGAATACAGTTTTTAAAAGCATCACACACTTAAATATACTGAATACACACATACTGAAAACATGTTGTAGCATTTGTAAGTCATCAGTCATTAATTTCCACCCACCACTGTAACATTTCAACTTTGTGATGTATAATTATTTGTAGACTTAAACTCAATGAAAACTTAATGTAAGTTTTCTGTTTATTTAATGAGTAAATGGAAATAGATTCATGGTGATTAAGCAGAAGGGTCAATGCCCGTTAGGACAAAGAAAAGAGGGCCTGGGTACAGAGTCTGCTCCTTTTTACAACTGCTTATTATTCACAACACAGGTGATTGATAATATCACAGGAAGGAGGGAGTGCTAAAACCCCAGTGGGATAAAAAAACAAACTAATCCGTGCAATCTTTCTCACAGAGATTAAGCTTTTCTTGGCAAGTAATCACAACTACTGTGTAAAAATAGGTCTACACAGCAATTGCAGAAAGTAGAAACAAAAAAAGAATACAGGCTAACTAAATTACCTGTATGCCTTCACATTGGTTTGCTTGTAATTAGTTCACACAATGCTCATTATATTATTACCCAAAAAGCTAACTGTTCAAAAGTTTGGGATGGAAATGCTTCGGCTATAAAGGGTTATATAGCCTATCATTCTTGTTTCAAGGCACAGGACTACATGGAAAGAGGCTCCACCCAGCAGCATGCTAGCTTAGCAAAAACTTAGTTTTGGGTCAGCAAAAACACTGCAAATAAGCAGACCTGCTTGTGTTGATAATATATCTGTGGGCTTATTGGCAAGACTGAAAATTGGTCTGAAAAAAGCACATTCGCAGAATTTATTGATCCATGTATTTGATTGGAATTGTTTATCGTCTATTGTTTGTCTGTCCTCCTGTGAAACTTTTAGTGCAGTTGTCTTGGCCAGGACTTTCTTGGAAATTAGATTTATCTAAATGGAAATATTTTCAATAAATTGAGGTTAAATTAACTAGATTATCATGTTAACAAATATTTCTGAAAAATTGTGGCTAAATTAACTAAATTATCATGTTAACTTTAATCTCTTCAGTGAGGCCGAGGACTGATGGGCTTCAGAGCTCCATTCAGTTAGCCTGTAAAGCAATCAAAGATTAACTTTGTCAGAACCGCAGGGTTTTTTTGTTTTGTTTTCTTTACTTTCCTCAATGTACTTTTAAATCGTCATTATTAAAACACAAAAATCAGACAAAAATTGTATTAAAAAATGAAAAAGGAAAATGATTCTCATGAAGCTGCCATGAAACACAGCCACTAAAGAAGAGCATCACCTTGTGGCCTCTTTATGTCATTACAGTAAGTGTTGTCTCTTACGCATTAGGTCCTCTCTGGGTCAAGTCAGCTCCAAAACAGGTCCTGGTTGTCCCTGAATTCTAGTTACTGTAATGCTTTAATGGTCAACCCATGTGGACTGTCTAGTTATTGTCCCATCTAGAGCTACTTTCTGGGGTTATTTGACAATAAGCCTTATTCATTTGCGCAGGTTCACATGTATCATTTGTTGCTACATCCCTCAACTCAAAATGTCACTGTAACTCAATTTTTCAATAGAATGTTTAATAAAACAAAAATGAAACCAAGGTGGCCATTATCACAGAAAAACAGAGTCAGTAAAAAGTATGGATGCATGTCCTCACAAGGCTTCCGTATTAAGAAAAAAAAAAACAGCATTATTACTCCTAAATGAATATCACATCATAACAGGTCACTTTGCACAAACCATGGTTAAGACAGTTTTTATGTTTTGTACATTTTCCAACATTTTCTTTAAGTAAAAATTCCAGCCTGTTAAATCTATGTTTATGAAATAATGGTGAAACATACCCATATTAAGAAAAGAATAAGAAGTAAAGCGTTATTTATGTCTGCTAAGGGAAGTGTTAATGCTAATAAATCTGTTTTTGTTTTACAGTCGTCTATCTGTATAGTACTCCAGCAGGTGGCGCTGTGTACAACCTGTATTCGTGGAAGAGGCTGCAGAGGGGGGCGGCGCCCGACTGCACCGGAAGTCTCAATATAAATTAACTTAAATCCAGTAGAAAAAAATCAACTTTTTCGGCGTTTCTGCAGCGTGAGCTTCACACCTCGCTGCTTTTCTCTTCTACACGGATTCATGCTTTGGAGAAAAATACACGTATGTTTAATTTTCTTGTGCACTTTTTAAAGTGATGTTCAACCAGGTAAAGCTGGATCTTATTGTGTGCAGCGTTGATGTGAACCCGACTTACACGACAGATTTAGAGAAGGAACCAACCGTACATGTTAGGCAAAGAGACGGCCTTTACAGGGAAACATAAAACTCTTTTTAGGACCAGTTTGTGTTTATTTTGCAGTCGAGCGCTAAAAACTTGTGTCAGTCCAGAACTTGGCCGCTTCCTGATGTTTTAGGGAAAGTGAAGCAGCAGAAAGTTTGTCCAGGTAGATTCAGATATTCGAGTTTCTCTCAGGTTTCAACATCAACACAAGTAAGAGTCGTTTTAGCCTGCTTTTGCTCAACTCAACTCAGCAAATATATATTTTAAACTTTAATTTTCTCATGTTTCTCAAAGTTGAAATTTGAAGTTAAATTAGATTTTTTACTCTTTCCTGGCAGGATGTGTAAAGACATGTAAATTTTGAATATTGTTAGACATATTTTTAGAATGAAAAATTAATCTTTGAGAGGCACCTTCTATGATTGTGCATAGATCAGACAAGGTGGGGCACAGGGGAGTCCATCAGCTTCTCTGTGAGGCATGTAATGCAAAGGGAAAATTACAGCGCTGACTACAAAGTCATTCCTTAAAAATGCAATTTCATGTTGAACCATGCATGAGAATTCTTTAAAGGCGCTGGAATGAAAAACAAAAACAGGGGCAAGTTTCACCTTGTTTCAGTTCAATGTTTGAACCTTTATTCCTGTAGATCTGTTGGCTTCAGGTTCTCTGGTATTTTATGGCTAAGAGGTGTTGTGAATATTTTTTCATAGTGGACTGAACTTATTTGCAAAGGAGGCACTTATCTGTTCTTCTGTAATGCTTTTAAATTACCTTGAAACTTTTTAGCTCCTGTCTGTTTTGGAGGAAACGGCTTATTAAGAGAGTGTTTATTTCTTTTTCCACAGAGAAATGTTCCTGTATATCCTGGGACTGGTGCTGCTCTGGTTCATCTACCGCTGGTACAAGGAGGGCCAAAGAGTTACAAACGTAGAAGATAAATATGTCTACATCACCGGCTGCGACACTGGCTTTGGTAATCTCCTCGCCAAGCATCTAGACAAGCTGGGGTTCTGCGTGATTGCGGGCTGTTACACTGAAAAAGGTGAAGATGAGCTAAAGAAGACTGCCTCTGACAGACTGTCAACCATCCACCTGGATGTCACAGACTCTGAAAGTGTTGCCAAGGTAGCAGCTTTCATCAAAACTCTGGTCGGACAAAAATGTGAGTGGATTTGATCATTTTATTGGCTTACTTAAATTCTGTTTCATGACCCGTCTGTTGCAAACTGTATGTTTAAACTTGGTCATGTGAGCTGTGTTTGTCTTGTCACGTTTTAGCTTCTGGTGGGTCAGTAGTCTATTTCAGCATAAATTTGGGAAGGGAGAAACAGGTTTTGCAGCCCTGGTCAGGGTAATGTAATCCTATGCAGACACAATCTGCTGTGTCATGGTTCAACTAAACAAAAGCGAGAAAGAAAAAAAAAACTTGAGAAGAGCACAAAGTTTTGCATAAACTAACACCCCCAGAATACTCACACTTATGACGCATATAGTAAGGAACAATTGCACGTTAAAACATGCAACATGCTTAACAAAACAGCCATTCAGTCTGTACAAAGGATGATGGGTTGGTCACAATGTGCTGTCACTACACCATCATACCTTTTGAGGTTAATCCTGACGCAGAAAGTACATTCACACAATCACAATAATCAGAAAACAGGGAATGTTCAGTTAGTGGTAATAATCTACTTTCATGTGTTTACATGCAAAAAAAACCTGTTCACATGATCCTGTAACTGAATTTCTTTCCACAAGGACAAGATGTGAAGTTTTTAGATTTCATGTCTTGTCACAGCCACTCAGGGTTTCATCATCAGCTGTTTATTGTGCTGTCACCCTCTGCGTTATCTCCATGAGCAGAAATCAAAAAACTTCTATAAGCAGGCATCTGATTTTGGTCGCAGCTCCTGTTTCCTCCATTCCTACCTGAACTCTGTGCTTGCTGGATACAGAGTCAGAGGAACGACTGGTGGGAAAGAGTTGTGCTAAAGGAATTATTAGATAACATGAACGAGAGACAAGTTCAGTGTTTGCCACTTCTGTTTGTCTTTTTTTACTAATTTGCAGGTGAGATACAACAAAAGAAATGGATTATTGGGTGAAAAACTATGAGTGTTTATCTGAACTTTAAAAAATCAATCATGGTCGTTATCAGGACTACAGGTTATGCTGTTATGTTATGTGATGACTTGAGTAATCAGATGACTTTAAAAATCAGAAAAATGAGTGTGTGAATATATATACTGTACAGGCCAAAAGTTTGGACACACCTCCTCATTCAATGTCTTTTCTTTATTTTTCGTATGACTATTTAAATAGTAGATTATCACTAAAGGCATCAAAACTATGAATGAACACATGTGGAATTTTGTACTTATAAAAAAAGTGTGAAATAATTGAAAACATGTTTTCTATTCTAGTTTCTTTAAAATAGCCACCCTTTGCTCTTGATGACAGAAGAACTTAGTGACTGACTCTTTCAGTCACGAAGTAACCCTGACGAGGCACACCTGAGAAGTAAAAACCATTTCAGGTGACTACCTCATGAAGCTCATTGAGAGAACAGCAAAAGTTTGCAGCGCTATCAAAAAAGCAAAGGGTGGCTACTTTGAGGAATCTATAATATAATACATGTTTTCAGTTATTTCACACTTTTTTCTTACGCACATAATTCCACGTGTTCATACATATTTTTGATGCCTTCACTGAGAATCTACAATTTAAATAGTAATGAGAATAAAGAAAATACATTGAATGACAAGGTGTGTCCAAACTTTTGGCTTGTACTGTGTATATATAAACCATAGACTGTATATAGAACGGACACAATCTGCCTCCTCGTTGGGTGAAACCATTGTGAGAACAGCACCCTCTGGTGACGGGCTGCAGTATAGGTCATAAAGCCCGCCCCCTCTAGCAATCCCTAAGGAGCTGTGGACAAACTTTACAAATTTATTACACAGAATATACATTTTTCTCTTGCTTGGTTGCGATGTTGACATGTAGTTACTGTAAGACTGGTTTGTGCTCAAGTCCTCTTTTTTTCTGTGCATCGCCATTTTTAAAAGTTATTAGGGGGTTCATGTTTTCTATGAATCCCAGAAATACCAAGAGCAACTTGGCTTCAAATTTGTATAATGACAGAGGGCGGAGTCAAATTGTCCATAGTATATACAGTCTATGATATAAACTTACTGTGTATGTCAGAGTTTAAAGTCAGTTCAACAGTTGGCTTATTTGACTCAATAAGTGACAGACTACTGGGAAGTTCAATAGATATCATTTCCCATTTTCACTTCATCTTTTAACACGACCAACAGTTAACATCAACAGCCATTTGCTAAGCAGCTGCTTTAATGGTTCCCATTTTCCTCACAATTCTGCAGGAAAAGTGAGAAATAGAGAACAGAATAATCGCCATGAAACAGTGCTGTTTACTGTGCTGTAAAACAAGTCTGTTGCACAATTAAGTGTACAGTTAAACAGTTAAAATGTTGAGTGCACTGTAAAAATAATTCTTGCACGTTGCATTTGTGATGCACAGCAATCTAATGTTGCACATTCAAAAGTAAATACGGCAGTGAAATAGGACATAAATTGCAGATTTTGTCCAGAGACTACACCCAACAGTCAAGTTTACTGTTCAACAATAAAAGTAAAAAAATGCTAATCTCTCTGAATGTCTTATTTTGTATTGTGTTATTGTTGTATTCATGTTTTCACAGACCTGTGGGCTGTCGTGAATAATGCTGGAGTTGGTTTCCCATCTGGTCCCAATGACTGGCTCACCATAGATGATCACAAATCCATGCTGGCCGTCAATCTTGTGGGCCTCATTGATGTAACACTGAGCGTCCTGCCTCTCATTAAGAAGGCCAGAGGCAGAGTGGTGAACGTGGCCAGTGTGTTTGGGCGGATCAGCATGTTTGGTGGACCGTACTGCGTGTCCAAATATGGAGTGGAGGCCTTTTCTGACAGTCTGCGGTAAGAGAAAACTCGGTTTTCCATCAATGCATTGGGATTTTCACAAGTGTGTATTTGACTTCAGTCACCTCCTGTATGTGTTTTTCAGTTTGGACATGGCGCATTTTGGAGTGAAGGTGTCCTGCATCGAGCCTGGCTTCTTCCGAACAGGTTTGACTGATAAAGAGTATGTCAATAACAGCATCACTAAAATTTGGGAGAGACTACCTCAGGATGTGAAGGACGACTATGGAACTCCCTTCTACAAGACATGTAAGTTACTGCAACTTTTTGGATAAGCATTACAAGAACAATGATGAACTCTGTCTGCTTAATTTGTTCAGTTGCCATCAGTAGAGAGCTAAATCTGTGTGTCTGGAATTATTTGTTTTTTGAGTGAGACATTTGAATACAGTATGCAGTATAAATAAAACTGTGTTATGTGGAAATTCAGAATCAGATCAATAATGTAAAAAAAGAGGTTGCAGTAGAGGTTACAGAGTGCATAAGGAAAACATCCCTGAACAATCAATAACATTTAAAATTCAACTCCACAGGGGATGTTAGGACAATCCAGAGATTTAAACCATTGGGTTTTTGTCAATTTATATTTCAGGTGCACTATATAAATAAGTGAGGTTTCATCTTTGTAATAATGTCATTTTAATGTTACCAAGAGACACCTGAGTTAGCAAAACAACAACAACCATGCTGCACACTTCAAGTCCCACAACTTTATTAGTAACTTTTTTGTCTTGTTTGCAGTTTTATTTGATGCAAGAACAGTTTCTTCAATGCCATTAACAAACAAGTCTTCACTGGAGAGTAGAGGAGAGTTCATGATAACATGCAAGAAAGGTCAAAGGGCTGGGTTCCATACTTATTTCCCTGAAACCCAATTTTTCTGGTTAATCTTAGCACCGTTGTAGTCACTCAATTTTGTGTTCTGATCCAAGTAAACTTTGTCTGTAGTCCGTACCCATATTTAGCACCAACATATAAAGCTCTTTCTAGGAAACTTTACAAGTTCAAATAAGAAACGTACAGGCTTTTTAAAAGTCAACAAATGTCTTCTCTTTAAGCTATGGACATGTGTGAACTGCGGATTAAACAGCTGGCTGACGGGGACCTGATGAAGGTGGTCAGGAGTATGGAGCACGCCATCTCTGCCGTTCACCCTCGGGTTCGCTACTCTGTGGGATGGGACGCCAAGTTCCTCTGGCTTCCTCTGTCCTACATGCCCACCTGGATCTGTGACGGATTGATACTTAGAGGTGGTGCAAAACCAAAAGTATCTGTATTGTAGTTTCTGTGTAGTTAGGGTTGAGCATAAATGGCACTTACCTCAATATATATTTTGTTAAAACTATGACAGTTTCTTAGCATTACTAAAACAATAATAAATCCGTATTTCTGTATAATAAAGCCTGTTTGCCTCTTAATTGTGCCTGTAAAAACTCCAGCAGACAGTTCCAAGTCTGTCTTCTTTATTATAACACATTTATGAAGTTATAGGTCACCGCAGAGCTGAGACAAATGTCTGCTTCATATTGGTCACGTGATCTGACTACAGCCCTCACTTCTTTTGCTCATTATGGACTTTGGCTCCATTCTTCAAGTTTAAAATAACTCTTAAGATTATTAGTTTACTCATGATATTAAAAATGGTGTAATGTTTGAATGGTCTGTCAGTTAACTGAGCTGTAATTCCCCCAAACCCTTGACTTTAGATGTAAGTGGACTTTTAGGTAAAGTTATCAAAACCAGAGGTCATGTTATCTCATTTTGTATGTTACACAATCCCCATGCTAGTGAAACATTCAGCCTACTAGTTATACACAACATGGACCTTGACTCTGTATGCAGACACTGACCTATTGTGACACCATAACACAACTTAACGGAAAGCTTTTAGTGTAGAGAGGATTGTGACTTCAGTAAGGTAACCCACACACACTGATGAGAACAGAAACATTTTCATCTGAAGACTTGCAGTCATGGTATGTTTGCCTCTCTTATTCATATTGTGTGTCTGTTTTTAATTTAATTTGATGCTCATTTAGAACACATGCATAGCCACCATTACTTGTGATGTTAGTGACTTCAAAATGCATAATTAATTGAATTAATAGGAAGCATCTTTAAGATGTTTTTTTTACTTAAAACATCAGTTTTAGCTTGTGTCATTTCGTGAAAAGTTTAGTGTTTTTTTTCCCCATTAATAGAGTAAATTCTAACAAAATCTTGATTTTAGCTCAGCAGAAATAATTGCACTTAGTTATTTTTATTCAAAAGTTAATCTTTGTTTACACAAATTGATATTGGTGAAAGAACAGTTACATACTGCCTGTCATAACAACACAACTGGCCCTTATGCAAGAAATTGATCTTTTGAAGTTAGCTTTCGTGTAGTTGACCGAGTTGTATGTAAGTAACCGACCTTGGACCGTTACTGAATTAACTACTCCTAGGGAGTTTAATATTCAACAAATACTATTAAAGCTGATTCTTGTAGCCTTGGTTTTAAAATGTTTAAAAAAACGTACATTCATGACCTTATCTAAATAATGTATCACGAAATGTGTTGTGAAAAACCTCAAGGTTAGCCTTTATCGAGGGAACTTACTGTTAGCATACCAGGTTAATATTATTCATTAGATTTAGATAAAGGCCCAACCAAGCCTAGCAGTTTTTGTTTTATCATTATCACCAAACAGGCTGTTATATTTATATTCTTTATTATAGATTTAAAATTGTTCAACGATATAAACAAAAAAGAAAGGACTCCAAGCCCCTTTAACCCAGATATCGGAAGTGTTATGTGGGGTTTGTAGCTGTTGTTACCTTATTAATCCACTAGAGGGCGTTCAACCTTAAAAATAGCTCCAAAGTGCTACTGCAAAGAGTTATCAATAAAAAAGTGAGCCTAAGAGAAGAATGAAAGCCCTGAACAAGAACATTCACCCTGTTCATTTACAAGTAAATATGCCGTTCACCCAAACCCAATAACATAAAATAAATAAAGGGACTAGTTGGGGCCTGTAAGTGGGAGGCAGAGTCCTACTATATTATGGTACCAATCGAACCTAAATCACAGTGTCTAATCTCCAGTAAAAAAAAAAAAAGGAGTTGAAAGATAAGAAACTGGAAAATCAGCCCTTATAGATTTATTAAAATAAAGAATATTATGCATGATTGTGATGCATTTTTAGCTTGTTTACTCCCCATGCAGAAATTTGGCAATTTGGTATTGTCATTTCTAATCTAGTGTAATATTTAATGAGAAATCAAACTGGAGTATTATAATGGGAAAATGAATTTCACACATGAGATAATTTGTTTGTTTAACTTCATTGCACCTTAAACAGGAAATTAAACCATCTGTAAGGGGTAGAAGGAAAAAGGAGCCCTACTCATAGTTTGATAACTTAAAGTGATGAGTTCACGTATCAGAATCAAAAAAATTAAAATGTTTTTGTTAAATTTCATAGTCTGGTTTAATTTTTGCACGGAGTGTTGTCTGGCAAATGTGGTGGAAAGAAAATGTGTTCATGTTTCTTCTTTAGGTGTCAACTGAGAGTCTAACAACATATCTGTCAGAGGTAAGCTTATTTAACCATCAACATAAATATTTCCCACTGTTTTCTGCCTGATATTTAGACAAAACAAAAGAAAGTAATGAAAGCTGATTTTTCTCCCTCGTGTGTTTCAGGTGATCCTCTCACACCTGGCCCTGTCCTGTGCTTTACTTCTGGCTGCTCTTGCTTTAGTCCGCCGGTTCATCAGAGAGTCTTACAGGATCGATGGCCTCAGACAGAAACATGTGTTCATCACAGGCTGTGACAGTGGCTTTGGGAACCTCCTGGCCAGACAGCTGGATGAAAAAGGGATCCAAGTCATCGCTGCATGTCTCACTGAGAAAGGTGCAGCAGATCTAACTGCGGCGGCCTCCTCCAGAATGAAGACCCTCCTTCTGGATGTTACAGACAGCGCGAGCATCAGGAGGGCGGTGGAGTTTGTGAGCAAAGAGGTCGGAGAGCGAGGTGAGGGGCACACATGCACACACAGATAGGGGTGCCAGTCAGAGTGAGGCACTGGAGGAGATAAAACACAACCTGGAGCATCACATCATCAACTCATCCTCCTCCTACTGCAAGTCCTTACCTCATAGGCAGAGTTTTACCAAGCGGGAGGAAAGTTAAGCTTCTTGACACATAAATCTGAACTACAGATTGATATAAAGTTGGTCCTGACCAGGGTATAAACTTTTAAGTCACTTTAGTATTTGTTTCTATGAGCTTGCTTGGACTTAAATATACAGAATGTACCATTTTCTACATTGTGCCTGAACAGATATTATTTCTTACACTTTATTGAAGTATAGCAGGAGTTGTTTTGGTGTCTGCACAGGCAAAATAAAGATATTTGAACAATATTTAGGGTAAGATTTGCTCTCTGAAGTTTAAATGAAAAGGACTGGGATATTTAATGTTTTCCTCAAGGGGTTACTGCAAACTTGTGGTTCAACATTACACACACACACACACACACACACACACACACATATCTGACTATGTTATGACGGGATTCTGTCTACCACGATAAGTGCCATAAACGTCACCCAGACTAACTGTTGTGTGAACTATCATTTGTGTAACATGTAACCATGGTTACATAAAGTGTGGGCAAGTGTGAGGGCTTATCAGAACTTAAAGATAAGTAAGTTCAAGCTTCTCCAATGAGCTTTTCTTTGTCAGACATAAGACAATAAATCTCAGGGTTTGGATAGTTGATGCAGAAAAGAGGAGATTTTATTATTGGAAATTCTCTATAAAGCAAAAATCTGAAATCATAAATTGAGTCAGTAATGTAAAAAGACTGAATTGCGGTCCTAATCTAATTACAGTCAGCCAGAGTTTATCAAACCCCCTGTATCAAAAAATACCTGATTATCCTGGGATGTAATACCATTATCAGCCTGTATTTATCATGTCATTTGTCTCGTCTCATGTCCAGGTCTGTGGGGTCTGGTGAATAACGCTGGCAGGTCCATACCCATCGGCCCTACAGAGTGGATGCAGATCGAGGATTTCACAAAGGTGCTGGATGTGAATCTGAATGGAGTCATTGACGTGACTCTTCAGTTTCTGCCCCTCCTGAAAAAAGCTCAGGGAAGGGTGGTGAACGTGGCGAGCATCTTTGGGAGACTGTCTCTCACTGGTGGAGGATACTGTCTGTCCAAATGGGGAGTGGAGGCCTTCTCCGACTCCCTCAGGTAGCCCCAGGGTTTATCACACACAGTAAACAGACATTAATAAGAAATATAGAGAGGTGGAGAGATCGAAGAAGGATACAAGTTAAAACAAATCAAGGTCAAAACCCTCCTCTGTCTGTGTTTTTGACACATGTGGGAAAGCATGCATCCTCTTTATATCACAGATTACATTCAAGAAATGTTCAAGTCAGTCATGTAAATGAAAGTAAAATCAGCTGGACTCTGTTTTCATGTGTTTGTTGTAAGATAACTGATCACTGTATCACAAACAGTTTTTGTTAGGATGAGAAGGTTTGAGAGAACTATGATAGTCATTGTTAGGACTTTAACATCTCATAGACATCTAAAAATATATTGCCAGCATGATGGAAACTCATTTTTCAGACAGAACAATTACAAGAGATGAATTAGAAGAGTTGATTTAATGTTTTACTTCTTTACAGGTTGGATATGAAACAGTTTGGGGTCAAAGTGAGCATGATCGAGCCTGGTTTCTTCAAGACAGCTGTGACACAGAGGGATCTTATTGAAGCTGACCTGAAGAGGCTGTGGACCCGCCTCCCTCAAGATGTCAAAGACTCCTACGGGGCGACATTCTTGGATGAATGTAAGTGGAGGCGTTGCATCCTGCCAGATCAAATGAAGAGTTTTACATAACCCCCTGTCTCCCTTTTTGTCTCCTTCAGATTTAAAAGCCCAGGACTTCTCTTTGGGCATCCTGTGCAGTCCAGATCTGTCAAAGGTGACCCGGTGCATGCAGCATGCGCTGACTGCTCAATTCCCACGCATACGCTACAGTGCAGGCTGGGATGCCAAGTTGTTTTGGATTCCTCTGTCTTACATGCCTTCATTTGTGTCTGACTTTGTGGTCAGTGTGCTGCTACCTTCACCTAAGGATGAAAGAAAAATCAAGTAGAGGCTGAACTATATTGAGGGACGATACGGTAAAAAGAAGCGACAAGACTGTGTTACAAAATATGAAATTTATTCATTCATGTCTCAGCAGCAGCAATTTAAAACCATACGGGCATCTTGTGGATGATCACAGATACAGTTTTAATTTGTCCTCATTATGATACAAAATAAATCATCCTGTTATAAATTTAAAAAACATCTGTCCACATCTGCATCCTCAGGTCATGTGGTGCTAATCAACGGCATAAAAGTTCATTTCCATGCTACAAACATGGGCACGTTCAAGTATTACTCCAAACTGTTTGGCCAGAGTCCAATATTATTATTAAAAATGATCATGTTGATTCGAAGTCATGAAGTCTGGGGTACATAAGGTAGGAATGATGATTGTGTTGAACCTGCTTGTCTATTCGTCCTGGAGCAGATATCCTTAAAAAAATGAACACGAGAGGTTTAAACCCAATTTGTTTGTGTTGTTTTCAGTGTCCAGCCCTGAAATGAGGTATATAAACTTCAAAGATGAATAAATCCATCTTCAGTTTTGTTCAGTGGCAATAAAAATATCTCCGCTAAATAACTTTTGATCATATAAGTACTGTACATTCAGAATGCAGCTTTGTTTATGTCTGTTATTGTGTTATAAGCTCTATCTCAGAGATATTTTCTGACAAAATCTTCCTGTTCAAATTTACAAATATACAGCTTATTTATTAACATTTCTATCAGCAGCTTCAGTGCAAAGATATACATATTGTACACCAAAATAAAGAAAAACATGAACACAAGAATTGGCATAAGAAATATCAGAAGGCATAGTCACACAAGACTTCTTTTTTCTTCATTCTATAGAAATGTGTCTCTCTCCTACAACAATCTTAATTTTGTACACAGGCTGCATAAAAAAATAAATTCTGTGCAAAGCGTATTTCTTTTTTAAATTTCACATCTGAGAGAGACGGGGGTTATACATCGCTATCCTCTTTCACAAGGTTGGCTGTGTCTTTGAACGTGTCCTCCGTTGGTGAATAGGTGCTGGGGCGATTTTTCTTCAGAGGTTTGGCAGGGGGCACAAACGGAGAGGGCTCAGAGGCTGAGGGGTCTCCACCATCGACAGGCTTCTCATCCTTCATCTGCAGAGCAATATTTACAGCTGGTTTAATATCCTCTTTAATGTAGTTTTTTTTCACTGTCAGGATTGAGCTCAAACTTACCTCTGAATATGAAGGGTTATCAAATGTGGTGCTTGGCTTTAATTTCCTCTTGAATAAGCTCCACCTGGACTCCTGTGAACAAACACAAACAATGATGTGGCATCATGTCACATCACATGTTGATCCATCTGCTTGTGTTTTATATGCACATATAAGAGACTCACCTGCACATGCTTGGTGCTTGCAGAGGATGTGTTAACGACACCTGCACTCTGATCAACTCGATACGCCGGGTTCACAAAGTTGTTCTCTAACTGGTCACCACTCACATTAACAGTTACCTGCAGAGAGGCGAGTTATTATATCATGGTGCATCAGCCTCAGATTTATGCCTCACTTACAGGGATATTCCAGCATAAAATTAAGTTAGGGTCAAACACACCATAACAACAAGTTAGACGCCTCCTCGAGAGATGAATGTTGTCGACTGCTTGCTTCTCTATTTATACAACTTTAGTAACGACAGCACGGCAGCAATACACTGCGGTCTATGGACCCACGCACACACCTCAAGCAAAAAGCCACTCTATAGCCACAAATAATGCTCAGAACAGCACCTAACTTCATCAACAGTACATATAGGGTCCCAGCCACAGCACTAGCCACCAAACATCTTTTTAGCTTTGCCTAATTTCTTTAGCAAGGGGACTAAACACAACTTACCCACTCTCTTCCAGCAGCTGCTTGTTTGTAGCGAGACCTCAGGCTAGTCCTTCATTGACTACAGCAGGGTGACGCAGCTCAAGGAAGAACATTTATGATCATTTCTTTATCATTTCCCTGAAGTAATAATTATCATATTAATCATTTTGCACTACAGACATGGTAGTTCTTCTGCCTTAGTGTCTCCGTCTGATTGCATTCCAAGAGGAAATGATCATAAATTTTCTTCCTTGAGCTGCGTCACCCTGCTGCAGTCAATGGATTCGCCCGAGGTCTCCACACAAACAAGCGGCTGCCGGAAGAGAGTAGGTGAGTTGTGTTTAGCGTCTTTGCTAAAGAAATCAGGCAAAGCTAAAAAGATGTTTGATGACTAGAACTATGGCTGGGACCCTATATGTACTGTTGATGAAGTTAGGTAATGTTCTGAGCATTATTTGTGGTTACAGAGTGGCATTTTGGTTGAGCACGTGGCTCTGTGTATTGCTATCATGCGGTTGTTACTAAAGTTGATATAACTAGAGAAGCAAGTGGTCGGCAACATTCATCTCTAAACAGGGTGTCTAACTCGGAGTTACAGTGTTTTTGACCCTAAATTAATTTTACGCCAGAATATCCCTTTAAAGGGGGTTTTGATCAAATGTAACATGCAGTTTCATAAACTCTCTAATAACATCTGACTTGATGCCAGTTTTTTCTTTTATCGTCAGAAATCCAAACTATTAAACTGTTATTTGTTTAGCAGACGATTTCTTGGCTTTATTTTGATTCGAGTTGTTCAAATAGTATTTTTATGAGAAGCCATGGTCACAAACCGCGTTACCTTTTGCATTGTGATGATATATAAATACAATTGAAGTATGAAATACAAAATAAGTCCATTTCATTGTATCTGTTTTGTGTGTGTGTGTGTGTGTGTGTGTGTGTGTGTGTGTGTGTGTGTGTGTGTGTGTGTGTGTGTGTGTGTGTGTGTTAATAACATTCAAAGAAGGTGTTTTTGTCCTCTTATTATAATTGTACATCTAAAGGGTACAGATGTAAAAACCTGAACTCATTAGTTTGTTCATACCTGTGTCGCATGAATGACTGCAGCATCACCAGAAACAGGAGCAGTGGCATATAAAGGGTTCTCAAATGTGATTGGCTGCCTCCCAGCTTCAGCCGCAAAATTTTCATCCTGAAGGAAGACAATATTGATAAGACTGCTATTTTTAAAACAGGTTCAAAATGCAACTATCTACTATTTTAAACACTGTCAACATAAAGCAGCCCCACTGCCATAATAGAAACTGTTAATGAAACTGTTAATGAGTGCTTCACATAGCTCTGGTTCTCTAAGTCAGAAATGCTGACAGCACACTAGGGAGAGCATTAACTGCTGATAATCATCCTTGCAGCACTCACCATCTGCATGGCTGTGTCAATGAATGACACTCCGATACGTGATGGTCCCAGATCAACGTTATCACCTGAGCGAAATGTCACCCCGTTTCCAGTGTCAGCGAACTTCACCAGGCTGCTGAGGCTGGACAGAAACAACACAGTACAGTTTGAACTCTGATCTTAATTCTTCATTGTGGTTACTTGCAGTTAAAAAAGGGAATGAAAGCTGGGATACCTGGGAAGTTTAGGCATGGAGGGGATAAAGGATCCTGTCCGTTTATAGTTGAGAAAAACCCCGACAGCCAGAGCTCCAGTTATGATGATTATGATGACCGCTAGTAGAACGGCCACAGCTGAGGACAGAGAGGAGAATAAGAAGGTAAATGCTCATGAGATGCTTGCAATAAAGTTCTACTCATAAAACTCCTCTAGTAGCAAAATCATGCTGACTGGTCAGATGGTCCATTAGTCTGCAAGACCATTACAGAGGTTGAACAGTGATCAATTGAAATATAACAGGGTTATCTATTAAGGGAATGTGTAATGATTCTGGGTGGTCGTTTTAAAAACTGCTGATCAAGCTGTTTTGTTGAAGTCGTTTTTAATAAAGATAAGCAGGAAGTGTGACTTCATCATGTTTGGCCCTGATCTGCTCTAATAAAGCCAACGTATCAGGCCCATTACTGTGCAACAGCTCCCACATGGTGAGCAGTGTGAGGGGAGAATTTGTTTTGTCAGCACTTCAAACCAAAGGAAAGAAAAGTAAAGGAAATGGAAATGGAAATGCGCTGATATCAAAACAGCATAAAAACAAGTAAATGTCAGATCCTTTGATTTGCTGTACCTGTTCCTGCTGGAGCTCCTCTGGACTTGCCCACCTCACAGTAGCTGCCCGTGTAACCATAAGGACATCTGCAGGAGGTTGTGAAGGGAAATAAAGTGCATTTGAAAAAAAAAGCACACATATCCAGCCAAACATATGAGTACTGGAGAGTCAGTCAATCCCTGCAGCAAATGACCCGTCTAAACTCACTTGCACTTTGGCAATCCAGCTTCATCAGTGTAGCACGTCCCACCATTCATGCATCTACATGCAAGGGGCATTGCAACAGGAGCCTCAATGGCTGCAGGAGTTAAAGCCAGGCAAACATAAAATCAACAACAAGAACAACAAACCAGGAACACAACAGATTTTCATCGAACCAGGAGCAGTGATGCACGTGAGGACTGGGTTTATAAATGCAGCATGACATGCACCCATACAACCAACACAGAGGTGCAGGTAACACATGTACAGACTCAGGCGCTCTGATTACCTGCGTCACATTTACTGGAGTCAAACTCCACAGCAGACGAGCCTTGTGGACAGGTGCAGGTGTACCCTCCAGGCCGCAGGAGACAGAGGTGACTGCACACGTCCTTACAAGGGTTTGGTACTGAGGAGACAATCAGACATTATTATCAGAGAGAAGACACTCCTTTCTGATAAACTCAGAGCACATTTTATTACATTTTACCCCCTCGACAAAGCTGATCTGAAACTATTGTGTGTAAGTAATACTCTAACATATAAAGCATAACTATACAACATACTCTCACACACACATGAATCCCTCTTGGTTCTGACCTGTCTGGTTGTGCCGGTGCTCCTGGTATATTCGAACTTGAGTCAGCCACGGGTTGATGGTCAGAACTCTGACTTTATTCCCTTTCCCAAACTTGTTAGTCTTCCAAACTTCACCTTTGTCCTTAGTTGTCCAGTACACATGCCCCTCAAACACATCCACACTGAAGGGGTGTCCGATGTCTGAAACAAAGGAAATCCTAATCACTTTCCCTGTTATTATAAAATGACATTTGTCTAATTAATAATACAAATAAAACTTTCTAAACTTGTTGTGCTCTGACCCCCTGATATGACGATCTTTCTGTCTGTGCCGTCAGGCTTCATGGACTCAATGATGTTCTCTTTGGAGTCACACCAGTAGATCCTGTTTCCATTCAGATAGTCCACAGCCAGACCTGTAGGCCAGCCCAGGTCCTCCTCCTTCACCAGCACCTCTCTGTGCTGACCGTCCATCCAGGCTGATTCTATCCTCGGTTTCCTGCCCCAATCTGACCAGTACATCATTCTGCCAACAGAGAAGTAATCACAGGGAAATGAAAAACATCTACAAAGAAGCTGGAGCCTCAAATATTTAGAAATATGGATCTTCATCTTCCTACCCGAGTGATGGATTAACAACAATCGCAGCAGGCTGATCGAGGTCAGTGTGGATCAGCCACTTTCTATACCGCCCATCTAGTTTGGCCACTTCTACTCGATTGGTGCCTGAATCTGTCCAGTAAATGTGCCTGTAAGAGACGATCAAATTTATACCGAGTGGCTGGCTAAAATTCTGAGCAGCATCTCTGATATTTTGGTTACATGTTTGGTTAATTACCCGCCAACCCAGTCTAACGCAATGCCATCAGGATTAGAGATGTATCTGAGGTTCAGATCCGCCTCTTTTACTGGGTTGTTGCCGTAATCGTCAAACGTTGTCATATAGGCACGTTTGATGGATCCAAACTGAGACCCTCGACCCAGAACCGTCCAGTAAACAATACCTGCAGCACAAAAGGATGAAGGAAGTCTAAACTTGAAGCTCTACTCAAGTGTCTATTTTAAAACAAGCATCAGGGCGACTTTGAAATGTCTAATCTTACTGAGTCCTTCTCCCTCTGGATCCCACAGGTAGTCCAAGGCTTGAATATGCTCAGCGTTGTCCACGTAGTCCGAATACTGCTCAGAGGACAGGTTGAAACGGCGGATTCGAACATTGTCTGGCAAAAGCAGCACTGGTGGATTTCCTTCACAGAAATGAGGATTGGTGAGTGAAATCAGCACAAAAGTGTAAAAGGAAACTTCTGTGTGCTTAAACTGAGCTCTTACCCTGGGCAGCACACTCGGTCCCATGTGGTTCACCAAACGAGGTGAAACCCTCAGCACAAAAACACTCATAGCTGCCCTTTGTGTTTTTGCACTCTTGAGGACATGTGCCATAAACCTCACATTCATTTAGGTCTGTTTTTAAAAAGGAGAAGAAAAATGAATTCAGTGTCAGTTTTTACAAAGACTGAGTCCACAAATGAAAACCTGATGTGTCCTTTACCTTCACAGGTGTGTTTTTCTGTGGGTCTGGGCTTGTAACCGGGCCTGCATGAGCAGAGTATCCCTCCTGACGTCAGGTCAGTGCAGTTGTGTTCACAGATGTTGTCACTGCATGTGTGCCCACTGCCATGGTCTAAGAGGACAAAAACACACTTTGGGTCTGAGTGACTTGAGGTTTACATGGTTTAAAGCGGTCATGATGTATGCATGTGCGGCAAAGTGTCCCCTTTTTATGCAATTACATGTCAGTGCAAAGAGTCTTATTTGACAAACACAAAACACTATGAGCCACACAGAGTTAATACTATGTAATCCCACTGCATTTTTAGTGACCATGAAAACAACTACACATTTATGTGACAGAAGAAGAAGCCGACTCTCTGTGAAGTCTACAATACTATTTTGACAAGAACCCTTTTATCGCTCATTTTCTAAAAGTATCTAACACAGGATGGAGATGCTACTGCTATTTCATGAGGGCAAGATGCTTTACCTTTCCCTGCAAAGAAGAAATTACGTCCAGACCGTATCTGATATTTCCTTTTTTTTAACTCTCTTATTTACAATGAACAGTTAAAAAGCTGAGCTTTTCTCAGCTTACTGTGGATATAAGTGAACTTTTACCATATCTTTGTGTGCAGAGATCTGTATTATCAGCCGCAACATAGGAGCAAACTGTGTGGTGCTGTTTGCACTTTGACATTTTTGTGAAAAAAGACGTAAAGACAGATAATTCTCTTCAATTTGCCCCTGAAAATCAAAGCTGACACTCATGGAGAACACTGAAAAGCATCTACAGTTTTAGGAATCAAGGATAATAAAATATATTAAGTAGTTTCGTTGCAGTCACATTATGGACATAGAAGTGGTCATGAATTACTTGAAAGCTTATTAATTGTGATTTAGCCAAAACCTTAACTTCTTTTCAGACCACTATTTGATATAATAGAATCATTAAAATTGTGTTTACCTGAAATACATTATGTGGGTTGTTGATCACTTATTTCATGGTAGTTTAACACAAAACACCACTACAGAGGCAGCTATGGAGTCAAAGACAAATTTCCCTAAGGAGACTATTAATTGTATCATAACGTATTGTATAGTATAGTATTGTATCGTATCGTATCTTATCGCATCCTATCATATCATATTGTATCGTATTGTATAATATCTTGTCATGCTGAACTGTGTTATATCTTGTCTAACCCTGTCGAATGGTACAATAATTTTAATAACTGTCTTAAAACGTCACTAAGATACTTTTTACTTCTAAATTTATAAACACATTATTTTTTCTGTTAATGAACTCACGGCAGCCGAGCTCATCTGACTGATCGCCGCAGTCATCGTAATCATCACAGGCGTACTGCAAAGGGATGCATTGACCGTTACTGCATTTGTACTCCTCATCTGAACAGGGACCATGAGTCGGGTTCTGACCTGAATCGAGAGAAAGATTTGAAATCATTTAATGTAGTAGACACATGCTGTTAAGTTGTGGAAATAAAACAAGAACATAACACAAGCTTTAGTCACTATTAGCTAGTATGAATAGTGGCTACTACAACAATAATTCTTACAGTTTTCCTGTCTCTCATCTGAACCATCACCACAGTCATCCACAGAGTTACACAGCTCGTGGCTGTAGATGCAGCGGTTGTTGTCACAGCGGAAACGGAAAGGTGTCTCACACTGGATTTCCACTGCGGATGAACAGGAAGACAATCACATAATATTGATTTATAGCAGGATAATTTGACAGAAATCAAACAGGCTTTGGATTCTTTTGTGTGATGGACTTTAACTTGTGTTAAAACTTTGCTTCTTACAGCAGAGGTGAAGCTCCTCGTCTGAATTATCTCCACAGTCGTTGTCTCCATCACATTTCCAGTGCGGCTGGACACAAACATGGTTCTTACACTCGAACAGAAAGGGGGGGCAGTATGTGCCGTTGGGAAAGCGGGTTGCTAAAAGTCAATGAATATGCAACCAGTTAAAAAATGGACCCATTTATATGAGCTATGCTTTTCCTCTTACTGAGACTCCCTCCTTGTGTTTGAGAGTGTTACCGGACACTTACGACAAGATATCTCATCTGTGTAGTCCAGACAGTCCGGGTTGCCATCACATTTGAAACGCTCAGCAATACAGTGTCCACTGGTGCACTGGAAGTAACCGGGGTGGCAAGTCCGCAGCTCTGCAACAAAATGAAAGCAACACAAAATGCAGTTTTACTTCCAATAACAGTAAAAAAAAGAGAGAGAAATACACAAAGTAAGATAAAACACTAAGTATACTTTTCCTTTTTCCACACAACAAGATTTTCTTTCATCTCATGTGTCTCAACATCAAGTAATGCTAACAGCTGTAGAGAGTCTTGGAGAAAGACGCAGAGTGCAGCCCCGTGAATAAACTATTTTTGAATAGATGACTGGAGGTGGTCCTGTCTGTCTACTCTATGCCTCAATACTTGAAGTTTTATTGCTTCTTTGTTTAGTGCAGCCCTTCGTTACTCACAAACAGCCGGCCAACAAAGAGCCTCCACTCACCACAGTCCCTTTCATCCGAGTTGTCCTCACAGTCGTTGTCATGGTCACAGACCCAACGGTCAGGAATGCAGCGTAGATTATCACAACGAAACTCACTCTCGGTGCACGCGCGTGGAGCTGAGGAGAAAACACAAAAACAAAACTTATTGAGCAGATTTTCAAGCAAGAATTCACTCATCTATGGGACGTCTGAAGCTCTTGTTTCTTGATACAGATTTTACACCTGGTCTTACGTTCCTACAGCTGTTATTTTCTGTCCTATTGTGACATAAATATCTAACATCAGCAGCTGTTACTCTGCAGTGAGCTCATAAGTTCAATGTGGAGAAATGAGGTGAAGCGGTACCACCATGATTTAACCACAGTCACTATTTGAGGAGCTACATTATCATTATTAACGGGCATGTTTTAAGACATGTTTAAATTCTCCAGGGCAAAGGGTGACAGACTCCTTCACTCCCTCCAGCTGAGATGCTGAGGACAGCCTGTTTCTTAAGCAGCCGATAAGACTTCTTCTGTCAGCGCTGCACCGGAGGCTAGAGTGTTACAAAATCTCCCTGCAGCTTGATAAAATCATTGCAGGACTATCTGTTGCCATCAACACTCCTGTTTCATTTTGACCATTAACAAGAGCCCCAAAGTAAACCCACTTAGAGACACTCGATGGTGTCAAAACAGTGCGCCCAGGTATCATTGTTCACACTCTCCTTGGATAAAGAAGATAAAAACTCTCAGTGTGAAGAGCACTCACTTCATTAGGACATGCTTAGAGCTCTTTACAATCTTTGAAAGTTTTTCTAAGACATTTGGTAAAATGGTGAAGCCCTCTCCACTCATTTCACTGTTTGGTGCGACCCCAATGAGCAGTCCTCTCAGCAGGTTTGAAAGCAGCATGTTCTCATCAAGAGCCAGGAAAACAAATTCTGATTCTGTTTAATTCTGTTTAAATAGATAGACTCTCTACCACGTCTCTACTCCTGTGTTATTTCTGTGTTGGATGTCTGGCTGTTATGGGTATATGTGTGAGTCTGGTGGATGGACGGGTGGATGGGTTCTTGAGTTGCTGACATTGACTCAGATATATTGTTAAAAAAGAAACACTAAAAAGACCTTACTAAAAATAAAGGAGCACTCACTGCAGCTGCGTTCATCAGAGTTGTCCCCGCAGTCATCGTCTCCGTCACAGCTCCATCTCAGCGGGATGCAGCGGTGGTTGTCACACCGGAAGTCACCACTGGGATCACAAGTCAGTTCATCTAAGGAAAGACGGTAAATAAGGTTGGTTAATGAAGCTCGTGTTTCCACCCTGCTCTACCAAAGGGAGTCTGAAGAGAACTCTTCTTCTCAGATTACTTTCTTTTCAACTTTTAAAACTTTCTAAGGATCCCTGGACCCCAGGTGTGATTTCCAGCAGTTCAAATATAGTGCGACACAACCTGAATATGTTGTAGGGAAAATCAAAGTCAAAGTCAAAGTCAGCTTTATTGTCAAATATGCTATACGACAGCATACAGCATACATGAAATTACAGTCCTCTCGGACCCGCAGTGCAAATAAAGACAGATAGAAAAATAAAAAAGGTAATAAGTTAACAAACTTACACTAAATATATATGTACAATAAAATACCAATGTATGTATTGAATAACTGCTTTAAATTTCTTAGATGCATTTGTTTTGCATGAATTTGTGCCAATGTTGTCATGGCAACATGAATATGACAAAATAAGTTTCCCTTGCCTCCTTTTTGTAGAAGATTTACATGTAAAGAAAATGTGAATGTTTTAAGGAAATAAAAGTGAGAAAAAGAGGGAGGAGGTGAATACCATTTATTAACTGCTTATTAGCTCAGTCTGACTAAAACGGGACGTCCTGCACATGTGCCTGGTTAATAACAGGCTTTAATATGAAACTGGATGAACTGAGTTTAGAACTAGTATCTGTGTATAAATTCAGCATTTTATTATAACGCTATCAATTACAGGAATTATAATAAGCTTCACACACATCTGTGAAATAAACTGTGAATGACATGATTTACAGTATAAACTGTGAAACTAACCAAGTGGAAATGTTTAAGCTTGTAAGTGATGATAAAAACGTCAGTTTGAAACAGAAAGGCATCTTCTTATTTAATGAAAGTGGTCGTAAAGGGAGGAGAGCAGCTTGCCTCGGACCTATTACCAGTGTGTTTCTGTTAAGGATAAGACTAAAAGAGATGAGAGGCACAGACGGGTGAGAAGTGGAGGAGAACTGCTCTGAGCCGTCTCCACCACACAGTGCTGGGGGTCAAAGATAGCGCAGCGTGAGCGAGTCCTGCCCTCCTAGCCCTCCACCTGGCCCATCTGCTACATTCTTACAGGAAGATTAGCACGGATCTCCCGTCCTGCGCGGGCATGGCACTAATGGAGCGAGGGCCTCCGATAAGAGACGGGAGGGCCGCGGTGAGTGTGTTTGGATCGTAGCGAAGTACAAAGAGGCTTGTGTGAACCCTGCCCCCACGCAAGGACAGAGCAACAACATGCTCACATAGACACATGTATGTAGAGCCATACCACTGGACAGCTCATAAATCTGTGGTGCTTTAAGGGAGAGGCAAATGGTGGGGGAGGGTGAGTGGTGAGACCCTCTCCATCAGTACCTCCCACTATCTGACTGGGTAACGTTTTACAGAAGGCTGAGGTGTTGGCTAATTGCCCTTCACTCACTCCATGAACATTTAACCTTGTTTCCATGCCTTACATTTTTGAAATCTTCAAAGATTTCTCAAACCATCTCACTGTAGGCCTGTAAGTGGGACTGTGATCTGGTGACAACATGTACCTCCAGGTGGAAGGGTGACCTTCCCGGACATTCAGGTGGAGTCAGCAGTTACCTATAGACTACCTCCAGCTTAGACCTTCTTAGTTGGGGGAGGCATTGTTTACAGTCCAGTTACCAACTTAAGAAGCAACAGATCAGATGTAAAGTGCAATTTACCCCTGAAGATGAGTTTGCATGTCTTTTTATTTCAAATTCATGGAGTGTAGGAGAGACAGGACAGAGCTTAAATCGTTTGTTTTGACAAATCACATGAAGTCAGGAAAACTTTATATAAATGCACCTCTTATCATGCATCATTAGCACATTCATAAAGCCTTATAAATGCTTCTATAAGGCTTTATAAAAACCCTTATGAGTTATTATAAGCATTCATAACAGCTTATAGCAATATGTATGAAGTGTAGTATAGATTAGGGGAAGACATACAGCAAAGGGTCAAGGCAGGGAGTCGCACCAGTGACTGGCTGCAGTGATGAGGACTATTATTGTTAAATGTGGGGCACTCAAACTACCAGGCTATCAGTGCCCCCTGCATTATGTTCTCAACAATTATATGATCTTATAACACATATATAAGGACTTAGAAGTATTTTGTGGCTGTGAGAAAAGTGTCCAGCAAAAAATACTTACAACAATAATAATATACAACAATAATAATTCATCTTGTTTTTCCTTTAGATTAAGGAATATGCATACACATGGCTTGAAGCTGTCATAAATGGTTATTATACTCATAAGTGTTGTTATAAGGCCTTACAGTTGCATTCTTAAGGGTTTATAAATGTGCTAATAATGCATTATAAGAGAAAAAGTGTTATCAGGAAATCTGATTGCTAGCAACAGAATTTCTGTTTAGTTAAAATGTTGATGTCGAGTTGACTGTCTGCCGTACATGCGTTTGGATACCTGTCTATAGAGATGAATAAATGAGCTCCAGGAGGGATGAAGTGTCTGAATTCTGCCTGCACTCTGGATCTAAGTCTCTGAGTCATAGCTCTAATGTGAAGAGGACCTGTGTTTAGTCACAGAGGTGATTGTATCAGACTTACCACAGCCCTGCTCATCACTGTTGTCTCTGCAGTCATTCTGGCCGTTGCACACAGACCAAAGCGGCACACAGCGGTAGTTGGTCTTACAGGAAAACTCTGTGTGGTTGTCACATCGATACGCAGGTCCCACTGTGGAGCAAAAACATGATTATGGATTATTTTTACACATTTTTACACGCTGACAGATATCTTTATTACACCAACAGTAATTATACATCAAAGTTGGCTGAAACTCCTTCAAATAAAAACCTGAGCCTGGAATTGACTATTTTAAATAAGAACCAAAAACAAGAAGGAGAGGGAATCGAAACTTACTGCACTCCTCCAGTGGTTCATCAGAGTTGTCGCCACAATCGTCATCTACGTCGCATTTCCAGTTCTGGGGGATGCAGCGTCCATTACGGCACTTGAACTGTCCGGGGCTGCAGGTTCTGGTGGAACAGTGGGCGGGATCCTCATCAGACTGATCTCCACAGTCGTCCTCACCATCGCACTGCCACGTCTCAGGGATACAACGCTTATTTGCACACTGCCACTGGCGGTTTTCACACTGGTGTGTAGCTGGAGGAGGACAAATCAATTAGCTGACAGAAACAAATCAAATGAGGAAGCTACAAGAAATCAACCTACCACAAAGCACAGGGTCTTCATCGGAGCCATCATGGCAGTCCTGGTTGCTGTTGCACAGGAAGTGAGGACTGGTGCAGTTCCCATCATTGCACTGGAACTGGCCGAGCCTGCAGTGACGAGCTGGGCAGGTGGAGGGCTCGTCTGAACCATCTCTGCAATCCCTCTGACCATCACATTTCCACCAGATAGGTATGCATCTATTGAATCAGAGGTTTTTCAGTTTCCAGAATACAAAATATCTTTGACTAGAACAACACACAAGCTCTGTAAAAGGCTGCACAACTGTGGGTGGACTTGAAATTTAAATGTGACAAGTATAAAACACAAATTTGGTCATTCAAAAACAAGATTTTTGTCTTTATCTAACCCAATCTATACAATCTGTGGGAACATTTTGTGCAAACAGCCAGAGGTTTTGTTAAAACTCAACTGCATTTTCTTAAACCACTATCAGCAGGGGGCACTGTCTCCTTGTGCAAAGAGTTCAAACACATGTTGACTGCATAATACAACTTTTCAAAATATAGCTGTTGGATTAAGTTTGTGAGCATTCTGCATTATTATTGCAGAAAAAAAAGTATAAAAACACACAGATCAAATGCATACTTAAAGAATCACAAGCCTTTTTGTGGATGAAATGATTGATCAAATATGGACAATATTTGCATGAAACAATAAAAGGAAATGCTGACAAACCGTTCATTGTTGGCACATCTGTACTGGGTGCTGGTGCACATGGGAAGGCATCGGCTAACACCTCCTAATTGGACAGTCAGGAAATGATCGGGGCACTCACAGGTATGTTCCCGCCCCCCATGACGAATGAGGCACAGGTGAGAACATCCTCCATTGTTTACAGCACAGGGATTGTTTACTGCAGGAAGAAGGCCCACCATTAGCAATCTCAGAGACAGATCAGGTATTGTGCAGCCTGGTGTTTAGTATTGTATTCAAATGGACTTTCAGTGTGTGGAGAAATGACTGTTTCGTGAACAAAAGCTTTGTGGAAATCTGCACACACTCACCGATAGGCTGCCTGTAAGGATGACACACATGAATGTCAAACGGTCTGTGAGTGGTGTTAACCAGGAGCTGACGATTTGAGCCGTCAAATTTGTCGCCTCTCTCCACTGAGCGTGTGTTCCAGTCAGTCCAGTAAACTGTGTCTTCAAACACAGTCAGGGCAAAAGGATGAGGCAGATTTCCATCATACACTGTATGTCTGTGTCGACCATCCAAGTCTGAATATCTGGAGGAGAAACACAATCCAAAGGGGTTACAACAGTTCCTCTGTATTTACTCGAGGCAAAGCCGACATGATCATCTCCAGGTGAATGGGCTTACTCTATATAGCTGAGATGAGCATCAGACCAGTAGAGTTTGTCATTTGTGTAGTCGATGGTGATTCCATTGGGCCACTCGATCTTTGTGGTAACAACTGTTGTTTTGTTGGTTCCATCCATCCCGACACGACCAATAAAGGCTTTGTCTCCCCAGTCTGTCCAATACACATATCTGACAACAGAGAAGGAAGATAATCAAGAGGAGAATCAATACTTGTTTTTTCCTTTTCAGCAAATCTGATCTCAGCTGAAGTAAGAGCAAGTCTGACACTAAATTATTAAGACAGCACTGAGGTACATAATATTACTTTAGAGTGCATTTTGATGAGTTTTGCTCAATTTGGGAGAAAACATTGCAAGGAATCCTGGCAACAATTACACTTCAAAACAGGTTTTTGATTAAAGTTTAGAAAAAGTTGACAAAAGTGAAGATTGAAGTGTAAATTCTGATGTGTATGTGATTAATAACTTCCTGGGCAGAGCTGAGAATCAATGGTAACATTTATCCAATCACTAAAAGATGAATAAATCCATTTAACTGTAAAAACTGCAGTGTTTTGTTATATATAAAAGACGTTATAAGCAGTTAGTAAATTATTTAGAGTGAAACAAAGTCCACCCTGAAAAGCTTTGTGTTCCAATTATTCTCATACTCATACAAAAAAAGTGTTTTTTTTTTTTTTAATTACACTCATATTACACAGAAAGCATTGCCAACAAAATTCAATTAAATGAGATAGAATTAAAAAAAAATCAAAGTATAAAAGAGTAAAAAATCTGCACATATATTTGTTTGTTTGCAATTCATTGACCTGCAGTTTCTTTAACCATACATCCTGAAAAGACAACAATGCCACAAGTCTGCAGGGATTTTAGCAGCTGAGCAGCACAGACCCATATTACTCACCCATATTTGGGATGCAGCACAATGGCCCTGGGGTTTTCAAAGCAGTAGGTGTTGTTTGGGTCCACACAGTGCTCGGCCAGCTTCTTCACAAACCGACCATCCAGCTCCGACACTTTGAGACAGTCCAAGAAGCTGTCAGCCCAGTAGAGCTTTCTCGCTACCCAATCGACTGCAAGGCCCTCTCCATGTAAAACTCCATTTACCACCACCTCTCTGTTACTCCCATTGAAGGACATCCTCTCAATCACTCTGCGGCTCACGTCAATCCAATAAAGACGCTTGTCGACACGATCAAAGTCCATGGCAACAACACTGGTCAAGCCTTGGAGGATCAGAGAGTAAGCCTCTCCGTCTGTTGACAGGTTCCTCAGGTAATAGCGGTTGCTGAAGATGAGGTAGGGAGTGATGTTGCTGTTTTGGCGGCAGCTGCGGCCGTCTGGCTCTCTGAGGAATCCCGGCGCACATTTACACATGTAGGAGCCAACAGTGTTCTCACAAATCTGGCTGCATACACTGGGGGTCTCCACACACTCGTTGACGTCGTCACATGTTGTACCATCAGACATGAGGCGGTAACCGGGGTGACAGGTGCAGATGAAGCTAGTGGGTGTGTCAGTGCAGTTATGATCACAGTGGTGGACTGATGGGTCTGTGCATTCATTCACACCTGCCATCAGAGAAGCAAATCACTGACTAAGTTATTTATGTCATCAAAAAAAGCACTGTATTAGAGTTTTAACTACAGTATTCATGGGATAATTCCCTGCTCCACACTCACCACATCCTTTCTCGTCACTGTTATCGGAGCAGTCGTCACTCCTGTCGCACACCTGGCTTTGAGGGATACAGTGCCCATTGTCACACCTGAACTCTCCAGGGGGGCAGGTAGGTGCTGGTGTGTGGCACATGTGCTCCAGCTCATCAGACTCATCCCCACAGTCATTATCTCCATCGCAGACAAAGTCGTGGGATATGCAGCGTCCGTTCTGGCAGGTGAACTGGTGCTGCTGGCATGGCTGGTAGGTACAGCCCTGCTCGTCGCTGCCGTCCCCGCAGTCGTTTCGCCGATCACACCTGATTTTAAAAAGCAGGGTAGAAAAAGTAAACCCTCACGTCATGCAGGCAGACGGCAGATCTAATGTTTGCTTTTCTCACCTGTAGGCACTACGGATGCAGAGGCCGTTGTTACAGGTGAACTCATTGATGCCACAGGATCTCCTTGTGCAGTTCTGATGCTCATCTAACGCATCTGCACAGTCTGCGTCTCCATCACAAACCCAGTCACGTGGGATACATTTCCGCTGTGGCGGTTGATTATTCGCACAGGTGAATTCAGAGCTTGAACATGTGCGATTGGCTGGAAAGTGACAGAGTAAAGCAGAGGGGTTTACAAACATTAAATAATGACCCAGTGTCAACCTGCATTTTTGGCAGTCCGTACATTCCAAACTCTATTTCCAAACATGCAGCCGTGACTTCAAATTCTTTATCCATCTAACGTGATTGATGCACATTGTTTGAAGTGAGTCCCCTACAGAGGCTCAGGCTGTGCTGAAGTCTTTAGCTTCAGGCACCTTATTGTTGGAGCACACATTGGTGAGACATAAAAGTCTTGATCCACCCTGAGCCAGGAAGCCAGAGAAAGGAGACATGCACAAAGTAACGAGTGAGGCAGGAGAAATCAGGAATGTCAGCTCCTTGGGATGGAGACCTTCTACAGGAGACTAAGATGCCAGGCACTGACTGCCAGTGTCTCCCACACAACACTCCCCCAGTGGTGTGTATCCTAATCCATCAGCGTCCTGAATAACGATAGGATGAGGGAAGCAGGAGGGGGGCCAAGTGGAGGAGTGATGGGAAACAAGAGGATGGGCTTTGAGGGGAGGAGATGCAGCAGAGGATGAGGAAGAGGACAAAGAGAGAGGAGACTCAGAAAAAGGAGAGCTCAAAAGGTTATGAGGGGACACATACCACAGTTATGCCTCTGGTCTTCGTCGCTCATGTCCCCACAGTCATTGTCCCCATCACAGATCCAGGATGAGGCAATGCACCTGCCGTCATCACAGCGAAACTGCTCAGAGTTGCAGGTTCTGGCCAGTGTGGCTGAAGGGACAATACATAAGACATTAAACTGTTGAGAAATCAGTACAACACTTAGTCTTAGTCAGGCTCACTTTGTCTGATTATCATGTTTTTTCTAACAGCGTTCCCATTTCTTGAGTGCCAATTATTTCTGGTACTTTCCTGCTGCTTTCCCTCTAATAACCAAGGCACAGTACAACACAGGCAAAGCTTTCAAAAATAGTCATGGCAACTCCCCATTCCCATGCATGGTGAGCTGTCTAAACAAAAGCCAAAGTGAGGCTCTGTAACCCCTGATGGACAAAGGGAGGGGGAGGTGCTGTTTGTCGGAGGACACTGAGGGGCGTCAGCACAGAGGAATGCAGCACACAATAGGAGGCCTGACTGACCACATCGTCAACAAAGAAATACACCACTGACTCGTACTTTCTGCAACATCACTCACACACTCTCACATCAGCACACAGATGAAGATCGGGGCAGACAGACACAAATACACAATACCCAAGCAGCTGATTATAGGGCGAGGGAAGGCGCACAAAGCCAGGGGGTTATTTATTAGGGGGTGAGAAAGTTGTGCGGCACTCACTGCAGGAGAGGGGTTCGTCAGAGCCGTCAGCGCAGTCGGCCCCTCCGTCACAGTACCAGTGGGCGGGGATGCAGCGACCGCTTGAGCAACGGAACTCACTCTGGGAGCATGTGGATGTAGCTGCAGAGAGGATAGAAAACAGGCATGAAATCAGACGCAGGACTTGACAATGTCAGATTCTTAACATGCTGATGATGTGCCGGGAAATAGTCTTGTGACTCTGTTTTGACTGGGAAATCCTCTTTCTTATAACTCAGAGTGAAATCCTTTTTATCTCCATTAAGCAGACTTGAGATTTGTAGAAGTTGTTGTGATCCACTGTGGCTTAAACCACAAATGGGGCAATTTTTTAAATCTTTAAATCCAAATGTGAGAGGAAATGAGTGTTTGATTTTAGAAGTTACATCTCAAAAATAGAAATTCACGAAGACTGTGACTAAAACCACATACTAGCAAAGTATATACTGCATACTCAAACAGTATGGACTGCATACATCCCAGCTTGACAGTTAATATATTGTCAATAAAAACTCCAGTAATTCATGTATCTTGACTAAGCTAACATGCTTGTATTTGTATTTGGAATTTAAGAAGAGTATTCTTGACTTAAGCATTAGATATAGTACTAAGTAGAATCTATTTTAACCACATAGGAGACATCTTTACACTTGTACACTGCTTTTTGCTGGCTGCGATTTATCTTAGGGGAATCGATTGAGCCAGTTCTGGCAAATTCATCATTAAACCCAGAAATGTCTCACATACAAAAATTACATACTAAAAATTGGAACGTACTTTATTCTATGTGTGACACCAAATATAGATTTGTACACATAATAATGTGCAGTTTAAGATCTAGCCTTTTTTTCAGTGTGTATTCCTTTTTTTGTAACTGCTCCATATTTTCTGTCTGGTGTGTCTATTTGTATTAAGTTTGTATCTCTGGAACTCACTGTGAAATCTGTTTAAAAAAACAACACAGACAAATTGATAATCTTCTGCCCAAACCTAATTTACCCTCAAAGAGAACAAAATAGATCTAACATAATCTAATATCCTGATACTACCCATGTGACACATCTATAAATTACAATCATGCAATAAGATAAGATAAGAAATACTTAAATGTCCACTTCACTGTAGGTGTACACACACTATAAATCAACCACAGTTCGTACATCCTACATACTCTTTATTCAGAATCTTAACAGGCATGGCAGAAGTGAACAGTTCAGCTGGTTTGAGGGACTTGAATCTCCTACAACAAAGTAAAAGCTGCAACTTTATAGCGTAGATAATTAAAAACTAAAGGGTGGAGTTTTGTTGTTCTGAACTCACCACAGTGTGTGGGACTCTCGTCACTCATATCCCCACAGTCGTTGTCTCCATCACACAGGTAAGAGCGTGGGATACAGATGTTGGTGGACTGGCATTTGGTGTGCTCTGGCTGGCAGGTTCGTTCAGCTGTGATGATAGTAAAGTTGGATGTGTTTAAGAAACTTTTTGATTCACTTATTTAAATCTTCTGTTTTGTTCTTATGAGATACTCACGGCAGTTCTGCTCATCAGAAGTCCCGTTGTCGTAGCAGTTGTTAATGCCATTGCAAACATAGTCCTTTGCGATACAGCGGCCATTGTTGCAGCTGAACTCTGTGTTGGGGTCACACGGTCTGAACAGACAGCTCACTTCATCGCTATTGTCCCCACAGTCATCGTAGTGGTCACAGCGGTAGTGGTAGGGCACACAACGGCCGTTGCCACAAGTAAACACAGTGGGCTCACAGGTGTGGAAGGCTGTCGGTCAGATTAGAGAATAGTTCAGAGCTTTGCACAGGAGAAAAGAGGCTGATAGGCAGTGGAGGGTCATTTTACCTGACAGGGCAATAAAGGATGAGAGCAGCTGTGGGACTGCATGCAAAGATACGAGGGAATAGATTCACTTGTTAGAGTTAATTTCAGATCATACTTTTGGATTAGATGCATGTTAATGGAAAAACAGTGAAAGCATACACACCGACAAAGTTGAAGTCAGGTTTAGGTCCTTTAAAAGACATTTGTTTGAGCAGAAATACAGAGAGAGTTAGATTAGAAAGAGAGAATTGCATTTTATGAAGCAGAGGTGAGAGTTTTTGAAAGTCTCATGCAGGAAGGGATGTGAGTAAATAAACCAAAGAGAAAGAAAGGGAGATGACACTATGGGACTGATTAGATTTTTTTACAACATAACCCTACCACAGACTCTTTCCAGCTCATCGCTGCCGTCTCCACAGTCATTGTCATTGTCACACTTCCACTGAGCTCGAATACAGCGGCCATTCATACAGGTGAACTGGCCTGGCTGGCAGCGAGTCCCATTATCAGGGATACAGTGCTTGTTGTCGGCCAGGTACCAGCGGCCCTCAGAGGGACACTGACATTCAGCTCCATTGGGTCCTTAAAAAACAAAATTAGATCAAAATGACAAATAATTATCAGGAGGTTTTGATTACCGTTCTATATAAAATAAAGTGACATTATGAAGGTGTCTGTACCTGGTGTACAGATGTGGCTGCAGCCCCCATTAAACTGCTGACAGGGGCTGTCACACTGCTGCTGCTTTCTGGCAGCCAGAACGTGGATGTCCATCGGCCTGGATGGTAGGTTTTGAATCATGATCCTCTGGTCGGAGCCGTCATGCTTGTTAGCACGATAAATGCTGCGTGTGTTCCAGTCTGTCCAGTAGATGAACTGGCCAAACATGCTCATAGCAAAGGGGTAGATGGCTGTGCTGACGATGACTTCTCGATTCGCCCCCGTGAGAGAGGATCGCTCAATCTTCTGTCTGATGGCAGAGCAAAATAATGAGAACAGCAGAGGCATAATAACATGAGAGGCGTGACCTATTTTGTATTTTAACCATGGATTATTTCACATCTTACAAGCTGGCATCTGCCCAGTACAGTCTTTGTTCTTCGTAGTCCAGGGTCAGTCCGTTCGGCCACACCAGACTGCTGTTCACAATATCCGTCCTGAAGTTCCCTCCTAAGGTGGCTCGCTCGATTTTAGCATGGGTTCCCCAGTCTGTCCAGTACATGTATCTATGAAACAAGTCAAGATCATGATTTTCAATCTTATTTACCCTAATGAGCATGAAACTGTAAATTGTTCCAGCTTACCCTCTGCAGGGGTCCAACATGATGGCCCTTGGCCTGGTCACGTGAGCAATAACAGTCCTTTGAGAACCATCCACAGACATGGAGCTGATGCTCTGGTTCACATAGTCACTGTAATAAATTCTTTTGTTTATCCAATCAAATGCAATGCCATCAGGAGCCCCTAGATCTGTCCAAACACATGAACCAAAGAAGCATCAGTAACATCACTGGAGTAAAATCAAACATCCATATAATACCTCGAATAGGGGTGGGAGGAAATCGATCCTGCATAGTATCGCGATATTTTGTCTGGTGATATATCATATCGTCTCATTTAACAAGTATCCATTTTTCAAATTAATTGCTAATATGAAGTCAAATCTATGATAATGGAGAAATAAAATTAACTGTTTGTCCAGTGAGGTTGGCAGAGGTGACATCATAGAGCAGGAGAAAGTTAGTGCGACAAATGGTTTGCAAGATGTGATCCATGAAAATAAAATACAGCGTAAATAATACACACATAAAGGGAAGACAAATGCTAAATTAGCCAAACAGTTGAAAAAAAATATATAAATCACAATATATTGTATCGCAATGCTCACTGTATTGCAAAATGTTAAAAATTGCATTAATATCGTATTGTGGCCCGAGTATCGTGATAATATCATATCGTGGGGCCACTCGTGATTCCCACCCCTAACCTCGAATTTAAGTTTGTGCTGTAGTGAGAGATCGAAACATACCATAAGCCACCACTATAGGCGCTGCAGTAGGAGAAGACAGGCTGATGTAGCTGATTTTGCTCGCTCCTGCACCTGAGCTCTGTGTGAAGTAAATCCTCCTGTCTGTTAGATCAAAATCCAGAGCCACAGATGTACGCGGCACGTTGACCACTGGGAAGGGTAATGCATGGTCTTCAGGATCCAGTCGCAGGCTGCGCACAGTGCTCTCTGTCGTGTAGATGAGATAGTCATCTCTTGACACCACACAGCTCTGGTTATCTGCTGCAAGATTCCCAAATGCACAGCTGCATTTCTTCTCCCGATTGTTTATGATGGATGCAGGGAGGGCAAAGCAGAAGTGGGCACAGCCTCCATTAGCCTCCAAGCAAGGATTGTAGTTCAGCTCCTGGGCAGTGAGAGGCTGGGTGCGCTGATCAAAGATGGTGACATCTCTCAGCATGTTGATGTTGTCTCTGATGACAGCAGGCTGCTCGGAGCTGCCAGGCTCTTTGCTCGCCTGAAACACCTTCTTGAGGTTTCTGTCCACCCAAATGATGCTGCTCTCAAACACAGTGATCCCATATGGAGTTGGATAGCGGCTGCCATACCTGACGATTTCTGTCTCTCCTCCTTGGGGGTTGACACGTGCAATCATATCCAAGGAGTCATCCACCCAGTAGATGTAGCCAGTTTGCCAATCCACAGCAAGACCTCTTGGTGTAATGATCCCAGATGACACTAAAACTGTGCGATTAGTTCCGTCCAAGAGAGCTCGCTCAATTTTGGGGTTTTGGCCATAATCAGCCCAGAACAGGTATCTGTTTCTGGGGTCTACAACAATGTGGCGTGGCATGTCCACCTGGGTCTTCAGTAGCACTCTGCGAAATGTGGTGTTCAGACGGAGAACCTCCACATAGGTCTCAGTCAGGAAGGCGTTGGTGAAATACAAGTTCCCTGAAGAAACAATACAAGTGTCAAGGTACTGACCTCTCAGTTTGATGAATTTAGCACTCTAATGAAGCTCCTTAGATTTTTACTATATGAGGGGGACTGCTGCCTGAGACCAGAGCCACCCAGACTGGTACCTCTAGTTTTTTTTTTCACATTTACAGAGATTTAGAGTCCAGGGTTTTACTATCAGATAAACCTGAACCCGGAGTTCTTTAGGAAAAAAAGACTCATAGTAGATGCAACATCAGCAAAGTGAAAGAATTCAAGCCATGGGAGTTGCCTTTCGTCAACTTTTCAAGAAGACTGTGATTAAGCATCATCTAATGCAATGACATACCTGCAACCCAGTCCACAGCAATCCCTCGTATCCCGTTGCGCCCTATTCCAGATGTTACTAAACTACGTAATCCTGAGCCATCTGGCTTGATCCGTCTGACCCCATTCTGTGATGCTACTGTGCTGCTGAAGTCACACCAGTAGATGAAACCTGAGGCCATGTGTACATCAATGTGTAAAGCATTACGGCCTGCAGGAGGAGAAGAGAGTCGAGGTTAGAGCTGTAACTCCAGACACATTAACCTCATTATAAAGCCTTGATTATGATCTTTCTGTCAGCCTCTTATCATTACACAGACTTCTTCTGATCTTAAATTATCTTCATATTCTCTGATTAAGTCATTCCTAAAAAAGATAAAAGTTATATGTGATTAATGAGGATCACTGACCTCTTCCAGCTACAGGCACCATGGCCTCTGAGTGATCTGCCCCTTCCAGACTGAAGCCTTTGACTGCAGACAGAGTGGAGATAACCACGTAGGACTGGTAGGGAGTACAGGTCCTGTTGTCAGCACTGAGTTTGAAACCTGTGGCACATGCACAGGCAAAGAGACCCTGCGGTCGAGGCAGGCAGAGCTGCTCACACACGGCAACATTGTTGGTACAGCCATTGGATGTTCCTGCTGAGGCTGAGTTTGGAGACAGAATAAAGTCAGCAAAAACAACAACAATGGCACCAAAACAGCAAACATTCAGAGAGGAAGAAGAGGATGATGTTTCACTCACTCTCACGGTAATGCACTTTCAGGACTCTCAGCCCAGACACGTTGTCTCGCAGCACAAGCCTGTTGGCACCTGTGGATTTGTCCACACGCTCTATGACCTCAAAGTCTCGGTCGGTGAAGTAGAGGTAGTTTTGGTGGACGGCCACACCCCAGGGGTGAGACAGGCCTGTCACTATGGTGATGCGGTTACTTCCATCTGGATCGCCACGCTCAATCTGTGGAGATCCACAGTTAGTCATATGTGTTAGTTGATTTTTGTAATGACCATTGTTTCAGTTTCATGTTTCGAATCATTTTATCTTTGTCAGAAACTAAATATATGACACCCACTGTTCCCGTGCTTGTAACAGCCCAGTACAGCTTGTTGTCCTGGATGTCCACAGTGAGAAACTCGATGTGATCAAGGTTGTTTGTGAACAAGATGACGGGGTTTAAGCCGTCCATGTCTGCAGATGCCACCTTGGCAGGGATGCCGCTCTCTGTTCCCTGGTCAGTCCAGTAGAGTTTTCTTTAAAAACAAAAAGAGTCAGTGCTTGCGCTCCAGATATTCTAAATGTAGTCATGGATCTTTGTCCTTATTACTTTCCAATAATCTAGCATTCAAATTATTCTTAAAAAAACTAGATAAGAATTATGTGAAGAAAAAAAATCAATCTCCAAAAAGGACATTTCTCAGAAATATAGGTCATTAATCTTGACTTGGCTGGAAGTGAAAACCTATTACTCATTAAGTGATACCTGAGGTTACACATGAAGAAGTCATGTTAACAAAATCAGAGTTTAAAGTATTTTTATATTAGAAAGGATAACTCAGAATTGTGTCTGTAATTTCTCGAGTAAACTGCGTTTGCACACTGTTGGGATTTGAGTGTGCTGCAGGGTATTCAGTAACACGAGTTGAGTTCTCTCTAGAGGCAGAGCAGAAGGCGATGAGGAGGCTGTTAGAGCTCAGTAGCTGTGGGGATGAGGGGCTGTGCCAGCACTGTGTTAAATGGGGCTTACCCACGTGCTGGGTCCACTGCAATGCCAACAGGACTCCCAGCACCAGTTGGAGAGCCGTTATTTGTGATCAGAGTTTTCCGGTACTGAACCTCCCCTCTCAGCTTCAGAACCTGTCCAAACACAAAGTCAAAATGGAGAAACACATGTACTGTGTAGCTGTGGAGTCATGTTGCCTTTTGTCTGTTTTCCTATTGCTGATGCAGTCAGTTCAATATTTCTTTAAGATAAAAGACAACGATGATAAAAATACAACCTAGACAAAGTCTTACCTCAATAGACTGTGTGGCTGGATTGGTGTAGTACAGGTTTTCTGTCATCCAGTCCAAGGCCAGGCCAACAGGGGAGCCGAGGATGGCTGCAGGGGCAAACTCTGTCCTATTGGTACCATCTGACTTGACCCTGTGGATCTCACCCTGGTGAATAAAGGAAGGTAGATTCATCTTAAGCACTGCTCAATGTTCATATGATTGATAATTACTTTAACCAAAAATAGGGGCCTCAACATGAGTTACAAGTGACTGATGTAGTGTACTAAGACCTTAAGAATTAAAACACAGTCTTTGGACCGCACTTTACCGGATGCTCCACCCAGTAGATGGTTTGTTCATTGTCATCGAAGTCAACATCATAGCCGTTCTGAAGCCCAGCTACAGGGACCATAGCATCATTACTCCTGTCCTCCGGGTTCAGTGAAATGCCATAGATGATGCTGTCTCTCACAACCACCAGGAAAGGATCCTCGCCTACAAGTAAAGCAGCGGTCAGTGAACAGGTTCGAGGAGAACATATCCAATCTGCTCCTCTACAGTAAACAGTAAACTAAGCCCCTGCAGCACTCATTTTAAACAGAGCTGGGAAAGCTTCATTGTGATGATAGATTTAGCTCTTTAATCTCTTCTTTTAGTGGGTAAAACTTGGTGCATAACAGGAACCCTTATCTATCAGTGTGCTATCTAGTAAGAGGACTGACTGGTGAAAGTTGTTTCCACAATCTGATTTGCTTTGTCGTCGGAGATTAGAATCGATGAATGGTTGCGGGGCATTTTCATTCTTGGGTAATCGTTGGCCTCAGGGGAAGACTGTGCTCTGCCTGGCCCGAGAAGGTTGAAACCTGAGATGAGTTAAGCTGTTGACCCAAGGAGGACTTTGAATTAAAGGTCCCTTGTCCTCTAAGACCTTGAAAGATATGCTTGTATGTTTCTAAATATTTATGACCTGGAACAGAAGTTTACAAGGGGTTCTAATGGGACACTGTTGACAAGGACCGGGATTGATTTTCATACTAGTTGGCGTTTTCAAAGATGTCTCATCTTACAATCACTGACAAGTTTTCAAATATATACCAAAAAACACGTCAGGTTTGCTTTTTTAAATGATGCCTGGAGAGTAAATCAACTTATCAGCTGCATCTGGCCTGACTTCCTTTTTCATCAGACTGAGTGACGAGTGTTCCCCTCCATTTGGCACAGACACATACCTCTGTTGCAGGTGATTTGGTCGTCTGCCAGTGTCCAGCCTGAGGGGCAGGCGCATGAGTAGTGCCTCGGTCCCACAGCAGAGAGCAGGCAGATATGAGTGCAGGGACTCCTCAAGCAGTGATTCTCACCTGAAATACGAGACCACACGTGCAAAACAGCAAAGAGTCAACAGAGTTAACTTCATAGGCTCTGAAGAATCTTTGTGAAATGTTTTGTTTGCATGCTGCACATTTACTATCAGTATGAAATAGCATACTTCAGAAATCAGCTACAGCAGGCTACATGGGTTATCTTTGTCATACCTGCTGGCTGCCTGGCTGGGTGTGCTGCCACTAGACCCATGGGCTGAGGGAGGTTGAACAGCATCACTGTCTGGTTCTCCCCATGCCATTTATGGGCTCGCATCACACGGTTGATGTATCTGTCGGTCCAATACACAAAATCCTCAAAAATGGTAATTGCGTGGGGGTGTTGCAGTACCTTTTCACAGAGAGTAGCACAAGAAAAAAAAGTGTCTTACACATTCTATGAGAGGAAAATAAAAGTTTTCTTTCTTTTTAGATTTCAACAAAAATATGAGCTTCAGAGATGATTCAGAAAATGCGTTTTCCTTCAATCAGACTCACCAGGTCACTTGCCAGAACTTGCTTCCTGTTGTTGCCATCATAATCACAATAGTCAATAAAATCCAAGTAGGCATCAGCAAAGTACAACAAATTGTTTGGGTAGTCGATTGTAAGACCATTGGGCCAGTAAAGTTTGTCGCTTATGATGACAGTCCTCAATTTCCCATCCATGCTGGCCTTCTCTATGCGGGGGTTTCTCCCCCAGTCGGTCCAAAACATCAGGTGAGCACTGCAAAACAAATGTGTGTCGTTTAAAACCAAGCAGAGACCACGACATTGCAAGTCATGCATATTTGTTTCCCTGTACGGAACCAACCTATCTCTTGGGTCCAGCACCAGGCCTCTGGGGTTGGTTACATTTTCACTGAGCAACACAGTGCGGTGAGTGCCATCAAGTTTGGACACCTCAATTGTCTCCAAAACATAGTCAGTCCAGTAGAGGTTCCTCCCCACCCAGTCCACAGCCAGGCTCTCTGTTACAGTCACTCCACTGTCAAACACCTGTCCACAAAGCAGTTACTCTGAGTTTAACATGTTCATGGGAAAATAGAAGCTGAATATTAGGGGTGGGAGAAAAAATCGAGTATCGCGATATTTTGTCTGGTGATACATCGTATCGTCTCATTGACCAAGTATGGATTTTTCAAATGAATTGCTAATATGAAGTCAAATCTATGATAATGGAAAAATAAAATCAACTGTTTGTCCAGTGAGGTTGACAGAGGGGACATTATAGAGCAGGAGAAAGTTAGTACAACAAATATATATGTAAGGTTTGCAAGATGAGCTATATGAAAATAAAATACAGTGTTAATACAAAGGAAAACACAAAGGAAAGCCAAATGCTAAATTAGCTAAACAGTTGAAAAAATGTATAAATCGCAATAAATTGAATCGCAAACTTACTGAATTGCAAGCTGTTAAAAATTGCAATAATATCGTATCATGACCCAAGTATCTTGATAATATCGTATCGTGGGGCCACTAGTGATTCCCACCCCTACTGAATATCAAATTGGGGTTATACAATAAGTTTCAGTGTAAAATGCAAGTGATGATTATAAGAATACACTCCACTCACCACAGTTCTGTCACTGCCATTTTTGTTAGCGCTCCAGATCCTGTCCTGGCTTGTATCGGACCAGTACACACGCTCAGCGACTGAATCAAAATCCAAGGCCACAATGTTGCGACCATCTCGAACAAGAGAGCGGACCACATTGGGCTGAGCAGTTATCTCATCTTGCACAATCTGATTTCGGCTGGCCACGAGCAAGAACGCCTGACGAGAATCTACAAACAGACATCAAAGCTGTGTCATCTTATTTCTCATGTCCATTCTCATGCTAATAAAATCACTAGTCAGTTTTGCATGTCTACCAAAACTCTACACCAGGACTGATAAAAACACCCTGCTCGAATAGCCATCCATGGGGAATGCACTTTTGTGCAAATAATGACCTATTGTACTGCAAAGCCTTTCAGCGGGTTATCTGTGTGGAAGAGGAGCTCATGTCAGGCACGCTTCCCATAAACAGCCCTTTGTTGGTGATTATGTCCTAATTACGCCAATGATGGCCAGTGAGTGACATATATGTTATTTGTCTTATCTGCAGAAATCAGAGCAGCATGGAGAGACAAGGGAGAAGAAAGACATTGTGTCAGCCTTGCAGTCTTGGGGCCGAGCTCCCTCTTTATCATTACTCATTCCTGCCCTGCACAGCAGAGTAAACTGAGATATGTGCTGTATAGGCTTATCATCTTGACAATTTAATTACTGCGGGACAGATTATTGGCTTATATCCTATTTTACTGCATTATGAAATTATAGGTTGTTTGTGTCCAGGGGAGCATTAAGCTCCAATCACAGCAGATTTAAGACAAATCCCTCCTCACCTGAGGTCTTGCAGGTACGCTGGTCTGCCTCCAGTGAGTAGCCATCTTGGCAGTGGCAGCGGAAAGAGCCCCTCTCATTAAAGCAGTGCTGGCTGCATTGTCCTGGGGGGCTGCATTCATCTATATCCTCACATGTTTTCGAGTCATTACTAAGTTGGTAACCCATAGGACATGTGCACTGGGCCCCAAACGGACCTTGAATGCAACCGTGGGTGCAGCCAGCATTGTTGTCAGAGCAGCTTTCCTGATCTGAGAGGATGGAGGGAAAGCACAAATTAAAACATGAAAATGGAGATGAAAATCACTCTGTCAGATAATCTAACTCATATGCACTCTCTTTTGGTCATTTGTGAATAAGAAAGCTCCATCTACTTAACTTTAAGAGCTATTTCACAACATTTGTTGGAATAGTAAACACACTCACTCTACTGACAACATTTTCCTTTGATTAAGTTTTCGAAAAAGTCTGCTTTTTTATTGAGAATGAATCAAATCTACTTGCAGCATTTCTAGCAATGATTGAGAGTTTGTTCCTACCTGGTAAAGGCTCGTCTGAAAGTAGTGAGAAAGGCAAGAAAGGAAAATCACAGATAATTTTTAGGTTAATACAGCTCAAATCACACACATGCATGATTTCAACACAAAATTCCAAAGACAACATTTGACAACCAGCACAAAAATGAAAGAAGCCCTTTCTGTTTACAGAGCACAAGCTTCTTAAGAATGTAAATGCCAATAAAATCAGACGAGAGTATGATCCTGTTTGTCATGGGGTATGAAATTTAATTAAAGTTTGGGAGGCCAGTCGACTCAGAAATGTAATAAAACAATCAAGACTCTCAGATGGACAAAGAACGTGTTCAAACCTGACAAAGAAAGCAAAGATCAGACTTACTGCAGAGAGGAGATTCGTCAGCACCATTGGGGCAGTCAGGAGTGTTGTCACACACAGATGTGATGTTGATGCACACGCTGTGGCCGGGGCACTGCCATTGCCAGCTCGGACATCGGAAAGGCGGCGTGGGACAGTCTCTTTCATCACTCATGTCCCTGCAGTCATTATCCCCGTCGCAGAGCCAGCTGCGCAGCACACAGTTCCCGTTGTCACAGCGGAAGAGTGAGGAGGGGCAGGTGCGAGGTGGGCAGGCGTGGTGTTCATCGCTGCCATCCTCACAGTCTGGATGTCCGTCACACTCCCACGTAGACGGGACACAGCTTCCATCTGACTGACACTGGAACTCATTCTCATGGTGGCACATCCCAGGCGGCCTTGTAGCTGAAAGAAGAACAAAAACAACACAGTCAACTAATAGACCTAATAGACCATGGAAGATTGACTCATGCATGTGCGACATAACAACTGACTAAAAGTGATGTTTCAAATACTTACGACAGCCTCGCTCATCTGAGCGATCACTGCAATCATAGACTCCATCGCAGCGGTAGTACGAGTTGATACACTGGTGACCACTGGAGCACTTGAACTCATTGGCAGTGCAGTTATACACTGAAAAAATCCAGTGGAGTATGTTAAACCTTGAATTCAATATTTCTAAGGATTTGTATATAAATAAACTGCATGACGTTTAGCAAATGCTTGTTGAATTTTAAAGAGCATTTTCAGCAAAGATCTAATTCACCACATCTTTAAGTTACTAGCCTGGCTTAAGTACATTAACAGCTGGGTTATAAGAAGGCCAGTATTAAATCTGATCACAGATCTGAACAGCAACATATTGAAAGTCCTATAATAAGGAGATATAAACTGCATGTCCAAAAAAAGCTGCAATCCAGAAAGGTATTTACCACATCCCTGCTCATCTGCCCCGTCCACACAGTCCCTGTCACCATCACAAACATAGTTTGGATCAATGCAGCGGTGGTCTGGACACTGAAACTGCCCTGGATGGCAAGTGTTTCCAAGATCTGTCACCAAAGAAATGCAAAGTTAGACCACGAGCTAACCTTTAAGCCTTCCTTCTCTTCTCTGTAAATGACTAATAATCTTATATTTGAAGCTTTTAGCACAGGTTTATGTATCCTAACAGTAAAAAGTGTGTGTTACATTTCTTAGGAGCACATTCGTCACAGTCTTTTCACACATGAGGTTTGGTTTACGCTTTCTGTAAAAACTGTGTGATCTTAACTATACAGTGGCTCAATATCCTCAGTCATTATGGTGAATGCCCTGTTTTGTTCGCCCTCTTTTTGTGTGAAGAAATATCAAACCATCCCATGAACTCCAATCTCACAGTCCCTTTAAGGATACTTACGGCAGTCGGCTTCATCTGAACTGTCCCCACAGTCATTATCAGTGTCACAGCGCCAAGTATGTGGGATGCAGCGGTTGTTGGCACAGGTAAACTGATTGGCAGGGCACGTTCCAGGGCCCCGTGTGGGGCAGTTGAACTCATCGCTGTTATCAAAACAATCATTTTGGCCGTCACAGCGCCATCCTACCGGCACACAGCGCTTATTGGCACAAGTGAATGCAGAGGGAGAGCAAGTAGTGTCTGAAAAAAGAGAGGATGGTTTCACTTTCTTATGAATTTAATTAGACCAAATAACTTGTACTAAACAGTGTTATACTAGGTTCAGACCGGGGCAATGGCAGTAACAGGATTGAGAAAACAAAACTTTACTGTTAATTCCACAGTTAACTTCGTCACTGTTGTCATGGCAGTCATCAACACCATCGCATCTGTAGCTGTTTGGGACACATTTGCCGTTGCTACAGGAGAAGGAGTTGGCACCGCACTGCAGCGTCGGGGGCTCGTTGGAAGCGTCTTCCACACATGTCTGCTGGTTGGGCAGCAGCTTCATGCCATACGGACAGCCGCACACCCTCTGAGAGTCAGGGGCTGGAAAGCAGAAGTGGCTGCAGTCTCCATTTGGATTTGTCTGCCTGTTGCAGAGGTTGGAACCTGAGAAGGAGAATGGAGAGTAATTATCAGGATTATGACTGACAAGTGGGAGTCCCAGCTATGCAAGAAAAGATGTGAATAAAGCTACTGACCGATCTGAGAGTTGGAGTTGAAAGACTTGACATGCATGATGTGGCTGATTCCCCTTCTGATTACGACCATCTCCCCTCCGTCAGTCTTGCGCACACGTACAATACCACCCAGACGCCAGTCAGTAAAGTATGCATGGCCTTTGAGGCACAAGAGCAACAGAGCATAACCTGAGTCACTCTATCTTTCATCTCCTCATAGTATCAGTAATTTCTCTTTTGACATGACCATCATTAAGACAAGAATGACTAATAAGGTCCAGGTAAAAAACACTCAAACAAGCTCCTTCTTACTTCAAATGAATTTGACTTTCCTTGACTGAAACTTGGTGGGCAGGTAGACATTCATACAATCTTACCTTCAAAAATGGTGAGACCAAATGGATGGGAGATCTGAGCAATGCGGTCCAAAGAAACCCTGTTTTGTCCATTAAAACTGCTGTGCTCAATTTTGTCAAAGAAGGCATCCACCCAGTACAGACGCATCGCGCTGGATGGAGATAAAGACACGAAACAGGAAAATACAAACAGTCACAAACAGCTGTTAGGAAATTACAGGAAAAACGTACCGCTGTAGAAACTGTAGTCCAAGGATATACGGTTCAAAGTTACATCAAAATAATAAAGCAGGTGAAATTGTGTATTTTTTTTACAGCCATGTAGCTATAAAGATGTGTGACTCACCTCCAGTCTATAGCCAGTCCATTAGGCCAGCCAAGAGTTGTGTTAACTATGGACTGGGCATGTGACCCATCACCCCAAGCCCTCATGATCTTCGCTGGCCGGTACCAGTCAGTCCAAAATATATATCTGTTAATATAAAATAAGTGAGTGTCAACATCCTTTTCTGTCAGAAACTGTGCCTACTTCATGAAATACACAGTATTCAGGTGACAAAAGCCTATATTAGACGTCCTGTTTTAAGATTTTGGACAATTTCACATTGTAAAGCTTTTCTGTGTAAGCCGTGTAACTCCCTAGCGGTCTCTACAATACTGCCCTTCACGCTGAGCTAATCTCATCTGCTGGAAACAGAGGCCTTATGACTTTGAGGTAATTGGGAATAACAGCTAGTTCAAAATAAAGGTTATTTTCTATCAGGAGGGGATTGAGTACATTGTATTTTAATTATCATACATGATCAAAAAAAGATGCTTATTTAGTTTAGGCAGCTCATCATATGTGGGAAGAAGGAGCATTACCCTCCATAATCATGTATTTCTGCAAAATCTGAATCAATCTCAAAGCTTAACAGTGAAAGCTTCTTGATACAGCATGTGTTTTTAACTGAAGCAGAGGAATAAAACATCTACTATCCCTTTTCATTTGATTTACCCAATGAGTGGATGCACCACAATGGCCCTGGGGTTGTTGAGGTTTTGAATAATGGCTCTCCTGGACTTATCAGCGAGCTTCATGACGGATATGCTCCTGTATCGCGGGTCAGTCCAATAGAGGTTCTTTGAAATCCAGTCGTAAGCCAGGTCCTCCACTCCATCCACTCTATTGGCTGCCAGTACCTCCCTGCCTGTGCAGATCAAAGCAGTCAGACCCTCGTTTTACACGGAGATGAAAGAGGAACACATTTAAATAAATAGGCTGTCAGCTTCTATTTTCCCCATGTGGGCCTGACAGAAAAAACTAGAGCAGCTCCAAAAACAACATCACTGATCAGAGCAGAGGTGTTTCTTCTTTTGTGCAGTCTGACTGCTTGTGGATTATCACATTCATATCGACTTTTCTCAGCCTGAGTAGTAGTTTCAAGACTAATTATTGCTTCTACTTGGGAAAACAGTCTGGATTTGTCTTTCTTACTCATTTTCAAGTAATTAATTTTAGATATGAGTTGTTTATATGATCTTTTTTTTCACTGTTCATACTCCTGTCCACTCCCTCCCCCATAGTACCAGCCAGCCCCATCAGTCACTCCCGTAACTCCCTGTATTAGCCTGCCTGAATCACATGGTAGAGCTCTCTGCGAGGAAAGAAGTTATCCAAGGATGTAAGCGCAGAGAAAACACCGGAAAACATATTAGCTGCGAGTACTTTTCCTACTCTACTTATCTTGGATAATTATGCTATTCTTATGATATAACGTACATTTTTATAAGATTATTCTCTACAAATTCATCAAGAGCAACAGGAGAAATTCTCACCAGTCCCATCCACTTTTTGTTTGTAGATTATGTCTTTGGCTGTGTCTGAGAAGAAGATAGCATCATCTTCAGCACTAAAATCCACCCCAACGAAGTAAGAGGGTGATCCAGTAACAGGCAGGATGATGTCTTCCTGAGAGGACAGATTGAAGGGGATCCCTCTCACGGCTAGCTGGCTAGAGAACAGCAGGAACTGCCTGACAGCTAAGGATAGCAAACCAGACAATCATTTATGCTGAAGCCTCACAAATACATCATTACAAAAAAGAAGAACACAAACTTAGAAACAAGAAAACAGAAACTTTTACACACTTTTAACTTGGGAATGTGCAGAGATTTGTTTGGGAAAAATCAAACATTAACAGTTACGGGAGGTAAGACACTCTCTTACCATAACACCGCTTGCCATCAGCATGTAGATCATAGCCCATGCGACATTTGCACCGGTAACCTAATCCTCCGTTATCACTCCTGTGACTCAGAACACAGATCTGTTCACATCCACCTCTGTCAACACTACAGGGGTTTGACACTGCAAACAAAAACAAAAACAACCCCGGTAACTGGAGAGGAAATATGTAAAGAATTATGGATTTTAAGCTGCTTTAACTGCACCTATTTATGGCTTTCCCTTCACTAACTCTAGCAGTCACATGTTGGAAAATCTGGGTAAACTCATATTATACCGTACAGTAAACAATAAGAATGGAGAGTTACATCAGGACCAATTGAAGGTGACAAACTTAGCTCATTGAAGGGCTTACCATATGGCTGCTGCAGCTGATGTATTACTGCAACCCCATGAGGAGTCTGAGGTGTACTGTAAACAACCTGAGGATTGCTTTCAGTGAACTTGTTGGCTTTCATCACAGCCATCTTGGTCCAGTCGGTGTAATATATATTGTGCTCAAACAGGCTGATTCCAAATGGATGTGGGATCAGAGAACCTCCATGGATCACCGTTTTTCTGTTAAAAATGTGAAGAGCTGATTTATTACAAAACAAATGTAATTTTTAACCATCAGAGTTCATTAAGATGAGCCTTTATATGAGTTTATGGTCAAAGCTGTGTTACTGTTTTAAAGATAAAACATATTTACCTGTGAAGTCCATCATATGTTGCAGTTTCAATGTAATCATAGCGACTGTCGACCCAGTAGACACGCTGGGCCTCTATATCCAGTGTGATACCAGCTGGCCAGCCCAGCTTTGATCGGACGATCCCGTAACGGTTGGTTCCATCCATGTATGCTCGTTCTAAGGCAGGCTGTCCATTCAGAGCCTCCCAATCTGAGAAGAACATATACCTGTGAAAGGAGGTTAAATATTTAATTCTGCATATTTAATTCACCAAGTGGAAAGCTTGGGTAAGAAAAAAGAGCAAAATTCTGCTGTGGCTTGTTATCTAAACACCCTGTAGCATGTTAAAGTATCCATGTGAAAATGCCTGGTCTTACAGTTTTACCAAACAATTCTCAGCCGAGTGCAAAGAGCGGTTTTGGTCCTAATTAATTCATATAAATTTGACTGAGGGTGAATTATTCATCAGTTCAACTGATATGAGGATATCAAGGCTAAGGGTTCGGCATAGATTTGCATAATCAGGGGCCTGATTTATAGGACCCACCATGTGGCTGTTTGACAGGAGGCTTAAGACTCGCCTTGACTCCGCCTTTTTTGTGTGTCTCTGAGCTGACTGACAGTTAGATTGGGTCAGAACTTAGTGGCATTACTCTTCAGAAACCAATGTCACTGAGATGACATTCATGTTTTCTACGGTCTATGGTTATCAACACAGAGACCCACAAGTTTAGAGAGGACACTTCTCTCCTTTTAATTACTCTTAGTATCTGCAAAGTTACATTTTGAGCCCAAATGGGCGATTGTGAATCTCAGCAGAGAGCTTTACATTAATTTATACGAAAAGAAAATTTGCTACAGCCACATGGCTCTCCTCCCCCCTTGAGCTATACTATTGGATTACAATGAGGGTCATCACTTACATTGCTCCTCACTAATCCACCCAGGACAATCTGCTAATCTCACACACACACCCCATTATTCCACTCCACTGGAGCACGACACTTACTGTATGTGGGGTTTGGGAACAGGTGGATGGATGAATGAATGTAGATTGGGAGATGTGCTTACCCGACAGTGGGGTCCACCGCCAGCCCTCTAGGGTTTCCCAGGTTTTCAGTGATGAGTGTGACCCGGTTACTCCCATCAAAGTCCACCATGTCAATCCTGTTGACGCTGGCCTCCACCACATACAGTTTATTGTTCACCCAGTCCACCGCTAAGTTTTCAGGGTAGTCAACTGATACATTTAAAACCACCTGCATGTTGGAGCCGTCCATATCAACAGAAAACACCTGCACACAAAAGACACCATTGTTGACACGACATTAGCCAAAGATGATCACTACCATAGTGGAGCGTACTGAAGACAAGTCTACCAGAATCACAGCTAGATCCAATAATACATGGCTTTAAAGCATGAGCTATTAAATCAAAAGTCCTCTTACAGATTCAGATCAGCTCTTGAATATTTTGGGCTTTAGTCTAAGTCCGACCAAATCTGTCATTTTTAAAGCTTAAAAGTAAAAGTGAAAACAATGACGGTATATTAAAGGTACTTGCTTCCACATGAGCAAATTTAAAGATAGAGACTAAGTAAGAAAGATGTAAGTAGATAACAAACTAAATGAAAACATTTAGTAAGAAAGCCAGTAAATTGGTTTTCAGAGCCTGACACTCCCTCAGTACTGCTGTAACACCAAACTCTTAGACTGGAAGCCCTGTCTCCAGGCAGCTGTTTAGGGGGTTCCTGCTCTGAGCAGCATTGCTTCTTAAGAGACAAGATCCATTTTCATCTGACCTGTTTAAAGAGAAACCGAAGATGTGGAAATAGCCTGGTAGTTTAACCTTTCTGGTTGCATTCACATGCCCTGTTTGTGCCTTCCCTACTTTTAATCGGCTGCTCAGTCTTAGAAAAGTCTAAGCCTTTGGCCCAGTGGCTATAGTTCAAAACATTGAAGGGGTGAACAAAGACTTTCTTGCCGGCCAAAGAATGCATAAAGATGGACAGTAGCACTGAAAACAAATCCAGCATGATTACCTCCAACATGATCAAGTTACAAAAATTGCACCGTGGTATGTGAACATCATACCTGCCTATCAGAGGGGTTTCAAGATTAGACCATTTGGATTCCATTCCTCGTCTACTTCCCTTCATTATTACCCAGCCGCAAAGGAGCCAACAGCCATCCCATTATTATAGTATCAACAGAGCTGATATTTTAAAGGATAACAAAAAGAAATTCACTTGGGCGAGCTCTAGCGTAGTATTTCTAATCTGCCCTTACCCCAGCAAAACGAAACATTTGATTGGATTTCATTGGAGCGTTGACTGTAGAAATTAAATCCAAAATTATACCTTATTCTGAATGGTATCAGTCCAAAAGATCCTGTTGAGGCTGTAATGGAAGTCCACTCCCACTGCGACCCCTCTGTTACGTGACTGGACCAACGTGCGCATACTGTTGCCATGGATGTCACCGATGAGCAGGTCTCTGCCATTGGAAAATATCAAGGATGGGGCTCCAGCTGCAGAGGATACAAACAACAACTAGTGACCAAACAGCATGAGGTGTCTGAAAAGTTTAGTCAGTTTTGTTGAGCTGAAATACCGGTGGAAATTTACAGAAAGAAAACCCCTGACTCAGACTAATGAAGGAAGCGCTCTTTCCAGCCACTATTATTACACACTCTTTTCACCAAAGCTAAAGGCAGAGAGGTCAGCCTCTCAGTCAACACTCTTTCTAGGTTCCACAAAAGAGAGAGATTAACTAAAACAACCTTTGGTACGCAACAATGCACAAGAAAGGAGCGCAGACGGTCAGTAAAGCAGCCGCGGTGCCTGGCAAACAGGAAAGAAGGCCATGCTAATGAACCTCATTCGGTTCAATCATTCACACATTCGACATCCGGGCAGGACATATGTAAGACAATCTTTAGAAATGAAGAAGTAGGAAATGACCCTCACTTGAGATGTCAGCTCTGCAGTATCTGTGCTGCTCCAGGACGTAACCCTCTCGACAGCTGCAGCGATGGGATCCTATGCGGTCTTCACACAGCTGGTCACACACGCCCCACATGGAACAGTCGTCAAAGTCTTCAGCATGAAATCAAAACCGCAGAAGACGAGGATTACACACTGATTAGTTTCACTCAAGCCGAATTATAATTCTGACACTTCTGAAAGACAACAGGAAAATACTAAAAATGAGATGTAATTAAAAATAATGATAATGCCAACCTTTTGGGCTCTCAGGTGTAAATAACAGTAAGCTAACAATGTCAAAGTCATGACAGTAACTTTAAAAGCGAGTGTGCTCAGATCAGAATTTCCCCTAAAGACATGTCCAGAAAAAAAAGGTCATTTCTTGATTTATTACCTCCCTGTTTCCCTGCCCACAAACTTTACAGAAGAAATGTTTGGGCTCTCGCTGGAACAATAAAATCGTTGTTATTTTCACTTCATTTGCGTCTTGTTTTGCGTCTTTCTCACAGTATCTTGTGATTGAATGTCTGTGCTTTCTGATCTAATCTAACTCTAAGTAGATGCTTTAATTTCAAATGGGCACACACTGAACATTCAAACCCATCCTTCGAATCTCCCAAAGTCTCCATCACAGGGAAAACATGGCTTAACCAACCTATACATGAGCGGCTGTTGTTGCTGCTGACGATGTATCCAGACGGACAGGAACAGACCCCTCCGTCCGGGGAAGCATGACAGCGATGCTCACAGCTCAGAGAGGCACATCTCAAGATGCCTGAAAAACACAGACACCAGATTGGGGAGTTGCTGAATTCAACATTAAACATGAATTTTCTGATGCCAGCTTGATAGCAGCTATGTAGGTATTTACTGCAATTGTGTCCAGCAGTGGTGTTGGTTTCATCCTCTCCCTCGGGACAGTGAGGTGTCCCATCACACAGCTGATCCATGGGGATACACAGGCCAGAGGACGGACAGGGCCATTCTCCCGGATAACACTCCCTTGGTACATTATCTGAAGACAAAACAGTTTTGACATTTGTATTCTGTACTAAAACGGGGAAACAACATCAGAAAGTTTTATTTGAGTTCATTTAAAGACATTCAGTGTGTGAGGCTGTACCAAGAACAGAGAGTCTCCAGAGGTATGCAGTGCCAATCTAAAGAGAATTGTGACTAAGACTTTATTGTCAGGGAAATGACTGTCACTTTAAATCAATGCAGGGGAGTGGAGCTTTGAGGGGGTCACATGGGGGCTCAGAGGACTTCTGCAGCCCATCCTCTAAAAACACACACTCTTCACAGCCGTGTGTAGGAATTCTAAAGCCCTTTGGGGGGGCTGCGCAATCTTGTGCCACAAAGAGCCATTTGAACAACACACTTAAAGGAGCACAGGCATAGCGTCTTGCTAGCACGAACCAACCATGGAGACTGGACATGAATCAGGATCACACAGAGAGCTTGAGCTGTTAACCACTTCTTGTGTTTCCTAGCCAGCTCAATTTCTAAGTTTTTGAGTTCCTAAAAGAAAAGAGAAGTAGATTCACAGCAAATTGTTGATAAAGTTTAATTCCTACCACAGCCTTTTTCATCTGCATTGTCCTCACAGTCATCCTCTCCATCACAAACCCAGACTTGGTGGATACAGCGGCCACTAGGGCATGTGAAGTAATTCCCTCTACATGTGGGATACGCTGCAAGAAAAATGGTGAATATTAGCAGACATAAAAGTTAGAGCTATTTAGTGAAGAATAAGAAGACAGGCAAAGACTACATACTGCAGTTTAGCTCGTCACTTCTGTCTCCACAATCATCATCGTGGTCACAGACGTAGCGTTGAGGAACACACACCCCGTTGTGGCACTGAAACAGGCCCGTATTGCAATGCTGTGCTAAAGAAAACACAACAGGAAGAGAAAAGAAGGTTTGATGGACACAGATTTTGGCTGTTGATGGTTTTGCTTTCTTGTTATTTCGCTGCAGTTCTTAGAGAGCTAAACAACAACTCCCTATTGTATCATTAACTACTCAAATTTACTGGCTTCTTACTGCAATTCGCTTCATCAGACCCATCCCGGCAGTCAAGTACATGGTCACATCGCTGGGTCCGGTTGTAGCACGCCCCATTAGCACACCTCAGCTCTGTACACTCAGGATAATCTGAAAGATTAAGTCATCATCAGGGCAATGCTATTCATTCTAATCAACCTGACAGCTGTGTTCCTTTGAGCCTCGAAAACGTGAAAAAGCTTGGCGAATGGCAGGATAAGAGACAAAAACTTAATGCCCCCACCATAACAACAGCAGTCGTCACAGCATTCTTTATGCAATTGTGAGATTACCACAGTGTGTAGCGCTGTGAGTCTACCATGTCGGCACAATAATGGCATAGCAGCTGAACTTCAGCTTGACTAATCCACCAAGGAATCTGCAATCAACCTCTGACAACAAGAAGCATATTGTGGCCTATTCTGTCAGTCAACGAGCCTCTTAATCTTAACAAATTGATTAAAATGCCACAGGAGCCCGAGATCAAAAAAAAAAAGGAAACCACCCTGAAGAAGACTTACGGCAGGCCCTCTCATCAGACCCATCCGAGCAGTCAGCCACACGGTCACATCGGTATTCTCCAGGGATGCATGCCCCGGTACTGCAGCTGAACTGGCCACTGGTGCATGTCCTTCCAGCTGGAGAAAGATTGGAGAATGAGTGAGCGTTGTGAAGAAAGGTTTCATTCACTAACAGTGTTTCTGATACAGTATGCATGTGATATTTCTGCACTGTAGATGTAAGCTCCTGGATCTGATCTAATTCTCTTCCCTCAAAACCTTTGGCAACTCAACAGTAAAGATCTTAATACTCAAAGTCACAAAACTTGATTCAAAGCATGTTTAAGCCATTACGATAGCTCTCCTTGATTGGAAATTTTTGTTTTAACTTAAGTAGCATGACACACTCAAGTGTCAATACAGTAGTTGAGGTATATCTTTAACATTTTACGAGATTAAACATGCAAACCACAACCGGAATAAAGTCCGTCTTTTCTATTTGCTTCACTTTCCCCGCAATTAAATGCACCAGAGGCTCAAACGAACTAATAAATTAGTTCAACGTAAACTTACGGCAGTGTTGCCTCTCATCTGAGCCATCTTCACAGTCCTCCTCATCATCACACACCCAAGACTCAGGAATGCACTCTCCATCGCTCAAACACTGGAAGTGATGGTTGTCACACGTTACCTGAGCTGTGGAAATATAGAGCAGTTTGTTATTGACAGCAGTCATCTGTAAACATAAAATATATATATATATATATATATATATATATATATACACACACACACACACACACACACACACACACACACACATATATATATATATATATATATATATATATATACAAATATGACTTTGGTTCAACTTTGAGTCACTTGGTGTTACTACAGACTTATGATGCCCTGAGCCTTTAATCAGTTATTACTTTCAGATCCAGAATTATATAAAAAAACAAAGATTCAAATTGTCTATTAGGGTTGAAAGCAGCACTGAACAGGCCCGTGCAGCTTTGTGAATGTTGTGGATGTGGAAAAGCAGGGGTTTTGGTGCATTGCAGTGTAGGGCTGGGCGATATGGCCTCTAATCAATTTCAGTATATATTGAGCAGTTCATCTTGATAACGATAAATGGACGATAACTACTCCATAAGCTGCCCACCCCCTTAACTTCCTCTACTTTAGCCTCTGCTCCAGCCACTACAACTTTGGAACTGTCCTCCATCTCCTCACCTGTCTTTTCCCTCTTTGTTACAGACTGGATGGGATGAAGTCATGTCTGTGACGTAGGACATCATCTTAAAAGGACATGAGACCATAACCTACCTACGCACGTCCAAAACCAACTTTTATTTATTTATCTATTTGACACCAAATACACTGATATGGGCAAAATGACATTGGTTATTCTCATAAATTATGGTATCAGTAAATTTTCGGTTTATTGCCCAGCCCTTTTGTGGTGTGTGTGTGCGGTGGGGGAGTTGGTGCATGTTGAGAGAAACAACAGATCAGGCCAGATGAATTTTCAATGAAGCGCAAGTCAGGGTGTGAAGAAGCTCAGACTGTGCTCAGACATTTTGAGTTCTTCATTAAAAAAGGTCCCAACTATCTCAGCGTGACATTAGGAGTAACTTACGGCAGTTGTGCTCATCAGAGTCATCCACACAGTCTGATGTGCCGTCACAGTGCCATCCACCTGGTATACATCGTCCTGTCCCACAGCGGAACTGCCCCAACTCACATCCTGCACAGAAATCACATTTCACCTGTGATCTATTTCCTTCAAGAAGAAACTGAATAAACCGATATAACTGTATGATTTATCCCTTTATATCTTGTGGTAATGACACTTATCATAGCACAGAGTGCATATAAAACAAATCACAATTTCCTGTCACTTCATTTAGCTGGGATGCTCATACTCCCCCAATATGGTATCACTTCACTTTAAACGGACACTTTTATGTTTCAGTTTCTTGGTTATTTACCTCCTACTCTAACAGCTCTTTGTAACTTAGTTGGTCCCAGATTCACTGCTACCAGACTGCCTCTCTTCTTCTCCATGTCATGTTCTGGTTTTCAGTTTTTCCCTGGTTTTGTGTTTCCCTCGAGTGTATTTTCTTTGTGATTTTCCCTTGTGTTTCTGTTCCCTATTGTTTCTGTTCCCCTGTAGTCCAGTCTTGTGAGTTTTCAGTTTGTGTCTGACCCCGGTTCCCTCATGTTCTCAGTGTTTTATTCCTTATATCAGTGTTCAGTGTTTCCTGTTTCATTTTGTGGTATTTATTCCCTGTGTTTCTAGTCTTGTTATACTTCCTCAGCTTTCCCTCCTCTGTGATTGTCTGCACCTGTGTCTTAGTGTCTCACCTGCCTCTCGTTGCTCGTTTCCCTGTGTAAATATAGTCCTTGTCTTCCCTGTTTCTTCATTGGTTCATTGTTTGCTATGTATGAATGTCTGCGTGTGTGTCTCCAGTGTCCTCTGTTGGTTTTTGCCCTTTTGGATTTTTAGTTGGACATTTTTGGAAGGAAGTTTCTGTTCTTTTAGTTATTTTTTCATTAAATCACTTTTGTTCTGCAATTGGATCCTTTTTTTCTTTTTCAATCTTGCCAACGTGACAGTATAGTCAGTTCTACAGTACGCTCCTTGGCTGGATTTCAAGGCACAGCGGTCCAGTAAGGTCCAGACAGTTTTTCTGCCTCACTGCACAGTCAATCTTCTTATTCAGGATTGTAAAGATCTTGACACATTAAAGTTTTTAAAAGTATTGATTGATTTCTTAACACCTAGATCCACTTTTATTTTGTGACAGATCATGGTAGATACTTTCATATCTATGTTAGGTGGGTTCTCCATATAAACTCATAGGTGCTTCTTTCACTCACCTGTGCAGTTTATATGTAGATGTTTTATATTCTACCCTCAAATTTTTCAACACTCTAAACTTAATTTAGAAACAACCCAAAAACAATAAATATGGTGGTAGGGTAGGGGTGCCTTCCACTGATGGAGTATGTTGTTAACAACATTGACAAGCCTCGGAGACAAGCGTGCCAGCCATCTCCCCTCCAACAGTTACACAACCCCTTCCCGCACTCATCACGAGCCTCCTTTTGATGTTCTCACTGAGTGGCATCTGTAGAGATAAGGTACCACCACTGCTCTACCTTCCCTGACGGTTTCCAGGAGAGATTGATTCAGGCAGCATAGTTCAGTGGCAGAGTACTCCATCAGACCTGTCCATATAGGAATGTGCAATTCTGATTGTCTGTCTGACAGCCTGATTTATGGTGCATGCTGTTCCTGTCCAGTCTGAGATGTAATTGGAATAAATAGTGGTACTGGGTGGTACCAAAACCATTTCAACCCAAATTCTTTGTGAGAAGAGCTCAGACGTGGTGATTGGTGGTGCACGCTTGGGGTTGGTTGTCTATCTTCTTCCTGCCTGATCCACTCTGAGAAAACTTCTGAATCAATTAGCTCACTGATATTGCAAACATTACAGACAACTTTCTTGAGGTTAGTTGTCTTTATTTAAAATAATAGAATGTGAATTGTCTTAAATCTACATCAGCAAGTTCCTTTTGAATAAAACATTACCTGTTTATTGAGTCAGAGGTGTATCGTCTCCATTCTTCATGCTATAGGATTATTGTCTGATGTATTAAAAGTCTTTGTGTACTCCCCTTTCAAGGACTTTGACCTCATATATCAACCAGCAAATTAGAAAACTGATTTTAGACCCCTCCTAAAAAAACAAGCTGCATGTTTCATCCCCTTCAGCACTTATCCAGAAGGCTAAAGTTTTTCCTGCTCAGTTTACTAATGATTAAATTGCTCGCTGTCTGCTCAAAGGGGGCCTTTGTTGACAGGCAGTGAACCCTGAGGTTTCAGCATCATCTATTATTGTGAGGCAGAAGGGAGAAGTGTCGCATACTGTCAACACTTGGTGAAAAAAACGGGCTTCATTTATCAAAAACAGGTCATTCCTGACAAAAATGTAAGGTAAAAAATCAAACTACTCATGAATGAATACTGGAATACTTCACTACTGTTCCTACAGGAGCACAAGGTTTCTTATTTTAAGTTTCCTGTCTCTATAGATCAGAAATGTGCAACTACAATGAGCCACACATACTACCTGCCTATACATTTAGACCCAGATTGACAACTTAAAACCGTGTATGCCAAAGAGAAACCAATCTGCTAGGGGCTTTCAAATGCAGCCACTGTTTCCTGACAGTGTTTCCTGACAGTATCACTTCTGGGAAAGGTGACAGACACACTGAAGCTGAACTTTTCAACAGCACTATCTTGTGTGAGGTTTCTTTTTACAGTCTGAAAAGAAAGTCTTTTTGGTGACTTTTTCCTTGGGCCTCTCAATTCTACATCTTAATGCTGGCAAAGCCACGACTTCACTGTGTCAATCCATTAAAGAAAAGGGAAAGGCCAGAGTATACAACACAAATCTTCTCTTCAGAATCTTTAATTGGAGTTAAGTTATTCATGTTTTTGATCGCTTAGTGATTTGGTCTAGTTAAATGTTTTCCTTCCCCTTCTTTTCAAGTTTTGTCTTTTCTAATTAACAACTTAAGCCCACAGCAGGAGACAGCTCCGTACTTTCCATGCAGGAAGATAAGGACGTCCTACTATTGCCCAACAAAGAAGAGCAGTAGAGGAATTTTCATTAGAATGAAGCCCCCTAAATGCTTAAGACCCCACTGCGAATTTACAATGACACAAAAGAGGTGCCAGCAGGGGTGCTAACTCATAACTGAAAGTGTCACCCTTAAAAAGCCAATTTAGAGATGGACAGCAGAAAGCTGAGTACAGTAAGACTTACTTCTTCTTGTGATAAAGTTCAGAAAAAGTGAAAGGTAAGTTCCCCCCTGCAGGCAGCCCATCAAGAAAACACCTGTCCACTACCACTGAAACATCTCTTTCTTGTAACATGGCACGTCTCAAAGATGTCTTCAAGCTTTCATCAATGCCGTCTTGTTTTGGGCCAAGTCCTCTGGACTCACTGAATGTGAGTGGAGAAAAGTAGAGAAAGCGGCTGCTGGCAGCATAAGACGCTGGACCTGTCCATGCTGTCAGAGCGGAGTGCTGCTGCTTATTTCATATGGAAATCAATGCAGCAGAAAGCAGTCAATTGCCAAACAAGTGACTTTGGCTCTTACAGCTACACACAAAACTGTGAAAAAAACAAGGGGACCCTGGCAGTGGCATGGAGGCCAAAGGAGGGAATAAATAGAGTGAGGAGTAAAGCCTAGGTTTGGTTAGAGTTGAGGAATACTGAATATGATTTTTGGTGTGTGCCTTCACAAAAGTGCGAGTACCAGATCAACAAATAGAGATGTCAAAAAAAGTATGAAACTATACGACTCTGCGCATGTCTGAGTCACAGCTTGCCAACTATTTATTGGAACATACACTCCATCCAGAGCGTCTGTAACCTAGACAGAAAGAGCTGCAGGAAAACAAAGGATTTGCTCCTGATTGGTGCCAACTGTGTTCCTGTTTCTAACGCAGTGTAACTGTTGCACAAGGATTTAGGCTCCAGCACCGGAAAAGAGGCCAGCATGCGTGAGGTTTAGAGTGAATTTGCTGGTCAAGATCGTGCGTCTTGAGGAAAGATTTTTAAAAAATAATCTTAATGTAGATTTCAACAAAAATGGGTTATAATTGAAGAATGTGAGCACCACTCCTAAAGAAAACACTAACAGACAACTCGTACTGTAACATAATGCTGGTTCTTACCATTCTGGACCCTGTTTGTAGGACTGGATAATTATTGGTAACACCATTAGGGTTGTTATTGTGCCCTCAACTGGTCATTTAGAATAGACAAGCCAATGATTAATAGAGAAAACAACTAGATTTACAGTCAAAACATGTCTTAACAAGCAAAAATGGCAGAAGATAGTTAACTAAACAGCAGCAAGAAGTCACCTCAGGTTGTCACATTAGCTATTAATGCTGGTGTAAGCATTCTGCAGAAGCATCAAGCTAGAGAGTCTGGATAATGTGTTACAGGGAGAAGAAATGATCAGGCTAAATGATTTTCAGGTCAAGTAAAAGAAAAAGCATATTGTAACAAAGGCACATAAATAAATCTTTAATTACAATCAATCTCACTCAGACAAACTTAAAACCTTTACGAAGCACTTGACTCAACACCCCACTAAAATCAGACTAAAGACACTTTACTCCATTAACTGTGTTTAAGCAGTCGTCCTCCCCGTCCGTTAATCACAACAAATCCAGGCTAATGATCAACGTAAACATGCTGACAGGTCCAACGAGAGCGTGCTGTTTTAGTCAAATCATCATTTTGTTCACCTCAGTTGTCAACAGCAGATGTCAGCTACAACAAGTGACTGCAGTTCAGTGAGGGCAAAGCTGAGTGATTTTTTTTAACACCCCAGTTTCAGTACCAACAATTATACACCTGTCTGAAATACACCTTTGGTATTGATTGTCCTCTTTCTTTTAATGTCAAAATAAATGAATGACAGCTTCAGCCATGACTTCACTCTTGGTGCACTTTTATCTTTGCTTCAAACTGCCCCTAAAGGTAGAAATGGCTCCATTCTGCAGCAGCTGCAGTGTAATTAGTTGCTTGATTCACACTAAGGAGCTTACATACTAAGGGTTGAGCAAAAAGAAAGCAGATTACAATTTGAGAAGTAGGATCTAGCTAGGCTACATACACAACAGACAAACACAAGACTATGGTGTATAAAAAAGCAGCGTCTGGATCTATCTGACTGTCTTCAGTCAGAAAATAAAGTTCTCCCTCGAGCCTGAGTCAAGTTTGAGTCAGTGTTTTGCAGCGTAAAATCTGCTCCACTGAATGAGATTTGTACCAGTAGCTCTCAGTCCTCACAGATTGTCTGTAAGTCACATGCTCTTTTCTGTTACCTAGCAACAGTAAAGCTCAGGCAAAAGTTCCTCAAGAGAACTTCCAATCTGTCTGAGGAAGGCTTTGTGCTCAACCTTTAAAGTAATACTATGTGGTAAAACAATTAGCTCTAGCACAGGAATTACTTTACCAATTGGACACATAAAAACATTTGATGTTTGTGTATTTCTGTTTTAGCACTGGCTTTTGAGAATCATAAACAAACTTAGAACATGTGTTAACCTTTCTATTTCTCATCTTATTGTAATTGTATACACCTTTGTCTAAGCTAAAGTGAAATACAGAAGCTTTTTAATTTGGGAAATGTCCAAATCAGTTGTTGAGTGGTTTGTTTTGATGAGCAGCAAGTGAACTGTGTGAGCCACTAGAAGCACAACAACTCTGCAGGTCCTCAATGAATCACTCAGCTGACAGCCTGTTTCAGCAGAAAAAAAAGTTAAGAGTAAAAAAAAAAATTAAAAAAAAAAACCCACCACTTACCTTCAGAGTGGCACCATCTAACACAGCATATGAAGATGAGAAAGAGTTGAAGCAGCACTGCTCTCCACATCCTGGCTGGTCCGACCAGCTCCGCTGTGCAGATGGAGGAGCTGTAGGGACTAAGGGCTGAGATGCTGTTGCTTTCTTCACTCTGTCTTTCTTGGCCCGCTAGTTGATGAAAGGGGCGTGCACAAAGGCCGGGACAGCCGCTCCCCCAAGCCAGCCTCGGCCCTCCGGATAAGTCCCTCCTGGCCCTGGAATCTGCATAATGCCATGCAGGTCCGACTTGTCCCGAGTGCCAGTGATTTTTCACTCACAGCGGGCCAGCAACCCTGTTTATTTGCTCCACACTGAGGTATTAGTGGGGTTCCTACCAACGTTTGGGAGCATAAAAAAACGAGTTGTGAATTAAAAAAATGTGGAGACAAACCACGAGGCAGCTTTGAATCAAGCATCGTGCAGGCCGTGACGAGTCACGTAATCCCAAAGTCTCTGATTCAAATCCGACTCAGGGACCTTTGCATGTTTACAGAAATTTTCTTGCATCAAACACTTCCAAGCTACAGCAAAGTCTCAGCAAGAAATGAAAGAGTATTAATAGAAATGCAAACAATAACAATGCAAAAGTCGACCAGACTTTATATTTGCTAAAACTCATATGGGCATATTGTACTGGGCACTATTATAACCCCTGGGGCCCTTATACCAATATTTGTTGCAGACTTTTTATGATCCATCGTGATGAAAAATAAATTATTTCTGGACGGCAAGATCTCCAAGCAATAAACAGAAAATCATAAACAATAAATGGCATAACTTGATGCTTCAAAGTGAAACAAAGATAAAGCAGTAAAAAGAGAAAACAGATTTCTCATACACAGTGTACTTTCGAGATGGTTCGTGCATAGTCCGTACTGAACCAACACAGTTTACCAATTACAAGCCCAACAGCTCCACCATGCGGCCGGACAGCAGTACAGCATGGCTCTGCACCTGCTGCTGCTAATATCATGAGGACGCTCAAGGACGGTTGCCATTGGCGACCAAGCAACTGTAACTTTGAGGAGTTTTTCACGAAAAGTACAGCCGAGCCAAGAAGGACGAAAAAAACATACATTACAATAAAACCTCATCGTATCGGGAATTAACCCCACCACCAGCTTCTTATGATGGCAACTCCTCAAAGAAAAGCAGGAAATCTCTTAAAAACGGAGGGCGACTCGACAGAGGTGAGTAAAAGTTAGTGATAAATCTGTGGGCTCAAGCCTGCAACAAGTTAGCCTTACTTATCGGTCTACCAAACAAAACAGCTGATTAAATATAAATGTACAAACCATTTGCGCACTGTCTTGCAACAAATAAATGAAATGTAAAAACATATTAAAGGGATATTCCGGCGTAAAGTTAATTTAGGGTCAAACACACCGTAATACCGAGTTAGACACCCCCTCGAGAGATGAATGTTGTCGACCGCTTGCTTCTCTAGTTATACCAACTTTATTTAGGAACACACGATAGCAATACACAATGGTCTATGGCTCCACACACAAACCTCAACCAAAAAGCCACTCTATAGCCACAAATAATGCTCAGAACAGCACCTTACTTCATCAACAGTACATATAGGGTCCCAGCCATAGCACTAACCACCAAACCTCTTTTTAACTTTGCCTAATTTCTTCAGCAAAGAGACTAAACACAACTCACCTACTCTCTTCCAGCAGCTCCTTGTGAGACCTCAGGCCAGTCCATTACGAACTACAGCGGGGTGACACAGCTCAAGGAAGAGCATTTATGATCTTTACTTTATCATTTCATTGAAGTAATAATCACCATATTAATCATTTTTGCACTGCAGGCGCAGTAGTTCTTCTGCCTTAGTGTCTCGGTCTGATTGCATTTCCATGAAGAAATGATCATACATGTTCTTCCTTGAGCTGCGTCGCGCTGCTGTGGTGACACATGGACTGGCCTGACATCTCGCTACAAACAAGCAGCTGCTGGAAGAGAGTAGGTGAGTCGTGTTCAGTCTCTTTGCTAATGAAATTAGGCAAAGTTAAAAGATGTTTGGTGGCTAGTGCTATGGCTGGGACCCTATATGAACTGTTGATGAAGTTAGGTGCTGTTCTGAGCATTATTTGTGGCGATAGAGTGGCGTTTTGGTTGAGGTTTGTGTATGGCTCCTCAGACCGCTGTGTATTGCTATCGTGCGGTCATTTCAAAAGTTGGTTTAACTAGAGGAGCAAGCGGTCGGCAACATTCATCTCTCGAGGGGGGGTCTAACTTGGTGTTACAGTATGTTTGACCCTAAATTAATTTTACATTTGAATATCCCTTTAAGTTGTTTAAACACTTTGTAATGTCAGTTATGAACACCCCCCCAATTTAGCCCTAGTCCCACACAGCATCATTATGCCATGAAGCTGCAGGTGCCCATTTTTTAACATTGGTCTCTTGCCTGTTTTCAGCACTTGGACGATTTTCAGAGGACACTGGGAAAACTACGAAGCCTCTCCGCAGAAGATTCAACAGAGACTGGGATGCTGCGGTCCAGACTAGATGAACAGTCAAGTCTGATCAGCATGCTGAAGCACAGAGCAGATGAGCTGCTTCTTCGATGTGAAGCCCTTCAAAAAATCAACCAAGAGCTGGAGTGCTGCATGAAAGATTGCCAGACAGAGCTGGAGAACAAAAGGAAGAAGGCAGATCTAACAGAGAAGAGATTTATGGATTTATCAAGCAACAATCAAGCAATTATTACTTTCATGGATGAGTACAAAAAGCAAAACGGCCTTCTGAAGCAGGAAAACAAAAAGCTACAGGCTGAAAATGACACACTCTTCTCTCAGCAGTTACAAGATAAAGACACGCTTGTTCAAAAGCTAATGCAAGATATCAAACTGCTGACAGAGAAACACACAAATAAAGAGAATGAATACCGGTAAGACAATAATTGTGAGTTTAACAGTAAATATTTTTTAACTCCTAAGCAGTATATCCAGTTTAATTACCAACTCACTGACTCCAGTTACAGTTGCATAAGGATTTGCCGTTTGTGTGTTATTCCAAATTTGTTTCAGCTGTTAAACTATTAGTAATGTCACTTAAAGTGCCAGGTTTTAGCATGTTAAAGAAGTTTAGATCCCCCTTTGCAAATTGTAATCAGCGAATGTATGAAAATTTGAATAACCACAGGTCGCAGCCCAAGTTTTCCTTCTTCTGTAGCACTGACAACTTCAATTCTGTAAACTCTATGTTGAAGGGAGAAACTAGCAGAGTGCCAGTCAAATCTCCAAGAACAAGCAAGCCAGCACCAGGCCAAAGAGGCAATGCTACTTGCTCAACTGCATGACGCTCAGCAACAGCAAAGAGACACTGCTGACCAGTGTGAAGGTGAGAAGTCAACAGTTTTCTCTGTTGGACAGTAAAAAATGGCAGATGTTGGTTCATTTCTTCCCTTTTATTATGATTAGACCTCAAGCTGAAGCTACAGAAGACTGAAGAAGAGCTTACTCAGAGAGAAATCCAAATGAAAGAAAGTATAACAAGCCTCAACAAAGAGAAGGACAAATTATTAAACCTGTCCATGGAAAGAGGAAAACTGATACAGGTGATCTAAATCACTGTTCTCTCCAGAATACCAAGCCAAAGCAGATAAACCCTTACTGAGCACCACGATTTGTCTCATGTACAGGAGAAGCAAGAGGAAATCCACCAGCTAGGGTTGAAATTGAAAGAGGAGAAAAAGACCAGGGCCAAAGCAGAGGACAGGTAAGTATACACTATGTACAACTGCTAAGAAAAATGTCCATGAGTATGATCAGTCTGCTTGTATTTGTCTCTGATGCTGCTGCAGGTTTCAGAAGGACGCAGAAACTGTTAATGCAGATTTAAAAGTGAAGTCTCTCCAGTCTGCTCTGAATGAAGCCACAACTAAATACTGCCAGTTCAAAAAAGTTGGTTGAATTTCACAGTAATTGATACTGTATTTGACCCACATACAACTGAAAATATAATGAATATATTTTGTTCTTTTGTTTATTCTAAGGATTTTGAAGCCTACAAGGAGCACAGCAGCAACCTTCTGATACAAGAAAGGGAGTTAAACAAGAAACTTCGCCACTTGACGGGCTAAACTCCAGCATAGTGAGATATTTTTTATGAAAGCAAATATTTTTTATTTAAATGTATCTGCCCTGACCTGCTCACACTCATGTTGATATATCATGACAATGAATATCACTGTTTATTTTAATCTTTAATATTTTCCCTCTGAGAGAAATAAATTCACAATAACATACTTTACATGAGGTTAGAAGTACCACACATAGAAAATTCACTGTACAAACATTTATGTTGTAAAATCTTAGAAAGAAATCACTTAAGAGTGTTCTTCTGCAAGTTTCTCAGCTTTTTGGACAACTTCTTCAATTGGACCCACCATGTAAAAAGCTTGTTCTGGCAGGGCATCATATTCACCTGGAACACAGAAAAGTATATTTTAATGCCCACAAGGCTCCTCACATAAGTAATAGTTTTTGTTTTTAAAGTTGGTGCAACACCCTACCTCCCAGAATGCTCTGGAAGCCTTTGATTGTTTCCTTCAGAGGGACCAGTTTCCCCAAGTGACCAGTGAAGACCTCTGCTACCTGGAAGGGCTGTGACAAGAAACGCTGGATCTTACGAGCACGAGCTACAGTTAGCTTGTCTTCCTCGGACAGTTCATCCATACCAAGAATGGCAATGATGTCCTGCAGTGACTTATAGTCCTAAAAAGAGAAGAAAAAAGGGGGAAATTGTGTATTAGTTCAATTTTTAGATTAGTAAAATTGTTGACAGCCACTCCGAATTTGTAAAATCCAACACTAGGCTTGCCTGAAGAATCTTCTGCACACCACGTGCAACATCATAGTGTTCAGACCCCACAATATTAGGGTCCATGATACGAGAGGTGGAATCCAGGGGGTCCACAGCAGGATAGATTCCAAGCTCAGCAATAGCTCTGGACAGCACCGTTGTTGCATCCAAGTGAGCAAAAGTTGTAGCAGGAGCGGGGTCTGTTAAATCATCAGCTGGTACATAGATGGCCTGTAGCAAACAGAGCATGGGTAGTGAGAATAAACTAGAAAAACAAGGCTGTGCTGACTCTGGGATAGGTTATTTTGTCCTCTCACTTGTACTGAGGTGATGGAGCCCTTCTTGGTGGTGGTAATTCTCTCCTGCATTGTCCCCATATCAGTGGCCAGGGTGGGCTGGTAACCCACAGCAGAGGGGATACGACCTAACAAAGCAGACACCTGAAAGATAACAAAACCCAGACATAAGAGCAGAAAAAGCATTATTTTGTACATGTTAATGAACAATGACAAAATCTACTGCTCACTTCAGATCCAGCTTGGGTAAACCTGAAGATGTTGTCAATAAAAAGAAGTACATCCTGGCCCTCCTGATCACGGAAGTATTCAGCAACAGTCAAACCAGTTAGAGCGACTCTGGCACGGGCACCTGGAGGCTCATTCATTTGGCCGTACACCAGAGCTACCTAAAAAATCCAGACAAGGATGATTTCTTTGCACTAAATTTATCAACACAGTTCAAATCATTAAAAAGGCAAAGAGAGTCTACTTTTGTTTTTAAAACCAAGTAGGTCATTTTGGGTGTTACCTTTGAGGTGGTGTCTTTAAGGTTAATGACGCCAGACTCAATCATTTCATGGTACAAGTCATTTCCTTCACGGGTTCGCTCGCCCACTCCAGCAAACACTGAGTAACCACCATGAGCCTTGGCCACATTATTGATCAGCTCCATAATCAACACAGTCTTGCCAACACCAGCACCGCCAAACAGGCCTAAAAGAACGCAACGATTAATTTCAAAGCAATTGCTAATGCCGAATATCATGAAATCTAAGGTGTCACACAGTCCACCAACCAATCTTTCCGCCCTTAGCGTAGGGTGCCAGCAGATCTACCACTTTGATACCAGTGACCAGGATCTCCTGCTCCACACTCATGTCTGTGAACTCAGGGGCTTCAGCGTGGATAGGAGCAGTCCTGCAAGACAATAAATATACTGCTTAGACAGCGACATGCTTGGGATTATTTTTCTTACTGTAAACAAATTCTATAGAGAGCCAGGGTAGTCAATTGTAACTGTACATTTTATTCTATTTTCTGAAAACAGCACAATGTTTTGTTTTTTTTCATGTTGATATCAGTCATGAGCCAAGATTTGTTGACATGAAGAAAAACATAACCGAAGCATGATGATCATCTCCTTCACACTCACTGTTTGGTGCTGATTGGACCCCTCTCATCAATGGGCTCTCCAATGACATTCATGATCCTACCCAGGGTCTCAGGGCCCACAGGGATCCTGATAGGAGCTCTAGTGTCCAGAACCTGCTGACCCCGGACCAACCCCTCTGTGCCATCCATAGCGATAGTCCGGACTGTGTTTTCACCTGAGAAGACAACAAAGACACTGTTAGTAGGTTTTTTAAAGACATCCAAACATTATTTCATCAACAGTGTTTGTACATTAGTATCATTTAAGCAAACTTGCCCAGATGCTGTGCCACCTCAAGCACCAGCCGGCTCTCCCGGCCCAGCACCTCCAGTGCATTGAGGATAGGAGGAAGGCCTTCATCGAACTGGACATCAACAACAGCACCAATAACAGCGACTATGCGGCCATTGGCCAGGCCTGCCTTAGCAGCTGGGGCAGCATAACTCCTGCCTGCAAGGACAGAGACAGAGAAAGGACAATGACAGAAATAGATTTGTGAGTTAAGTTGTCTTTGACATACCGAAACACCAACTGGATTTAAAATTCAAAACATCTTAAACAGATAAAAACAGGGATCAAAATATACATAGATTTATCAGCTTTGAATGCAACGTGAGCTCAAGTTATCACAGTTATACAGATATTTTTTCTAATGCTCTGCTTAAAGATAGCATTGCTGATATTTTGTTGCTACTTGCTCGCTGGTTAAAAGTTCTTTCAGGAGGTGTGTGAGGGACACTGACTTGCACTAAGGTACTTGGAAAGGTCATTCACTGACACAATGGTTCAAGACATGATTTAAGCTCCGGGATATGATCAAAGTATCAAGTGCACAAGTTTCTGTTTATCTCTTGTTTTAACTGCTTTCAGAGAATAGGGGCATACTTATGGCAAATGAATGGGGAAACTTAATGCTTATTTCGGGGCCTGAATCACACAGCATGTATATGTTTAAGTAACAACATGCAAAGACTAACATTAAACGCTGACAGTCGGTGTTTCCACTTACTCAGTGACAGAGCTGCATGTGTGCCGCTGATAGTGTTTAAAGAGTTGATCCCGGGCTTCACAGCCTTCAGTGCCCCGCTGCAGCTCCGTCCCACGGCACCCAACATGGTTAAGATGGCTGAAGGTGAGGGCACACAGACGGCTACAAGTGGGATTGTACTTCGAGGGTAAACGAGCCGGTTTGAGCATGCGTAATCTGTCGTGTTGCCGTCCTATTATTTACCGATAGAGGGCGACAAAAAACCTTCACATTGTGGGATGTCCTCGTTGCACTGTTGCTGCTGCCTCCTAGAGCTTGATGATGATATTACAATTGAATATTAAGATTTGCTTGGCGTGAATGTGGTCAAATTATCGCTATAGATGTACAGATTTACAGAGATATATTCAATTATATGGCAAAATTATCATTTGGTGATGTCACTGTTCATTTTACAAACTGTGGATTGCACAGCCTACTTTTATAGTTTTTAACTATTTTTAACTAACCCTAACTCTCTTTTGTTGAAGTATTGAGATTTTATAAATTGGCAGTATTATTCCTTTATTTAGTTTTACAATGAAACCTAATTTGACTGATGTAATAAGAAAAACATAACAGTAGGTAGATATGAAAAGCAGCAATGATTCGTCTGTCATTGGGCAAGTTGGTTTTATTTTGTAAGGTATTTCAGCATTTCTTGAGGCTCAAGGTTTGTTTAACCTCAATCCTAAAGAAACATGATATTTCACATGTCCAATCAGATAATGTAACATTACTTAGCAATGTATTTTTCTAACATTCTTTGTAAAATTATGACCTGCAGTATTAAATCTGAAATAGAAAGAACTATGATTTGATGTTTATTTTATTAGAACTTTCTACAATCAAACTGGTATTTTATCACCTTTTTCAGATATTCACTTCTGCACACAGTATATCATCAATAAATACATTGTTTTACAGCATTTCAAGCCTGAACAAACTTTTTCCTGTTTGATAAAGATAAGACAGTGAGGGATTCCCCTGTCAAAAATACCCTTTAGTAGAACATTCAGCTGGAGTAAAGGCATATTATTCAATCTCTTCTAATCTCATTTACACATTAGACCTTCATATAGCCTTCATCTTGATCTCTTTGTATCTCAGGTTTAAATTTTTCCACTGGCTAATTCGCTCAAAGCTTTTGTAATCTCCGGTGGTCTCTCTTAATAGTAGGCATAACAAATACACTCTGTCAACGAGGAGGATACATGAAAGACACCCGATCTATACAGTTGTTTTCACAACCAACAAATGTAACTGCAGCATAAAGTGACTCAATGAAAGGTTGTCAGTCATCATAGGCCAAAGTGATGAAATGGATTTTGCCATTTAGCCATCATTCAGTGCAACATTCCTTTGTGTCAGAAAGCCTCCTCTAATTACTGCTAGCCTGGAGCTTTACAATACAAAGACTCCGCACCTTGAACACAGCGGGCAGAAAGCTCCATGAACCCTCAGCCAGTGTCTGAACAACTCCAGGAGGAGCATGTTAAAAGGTCACCTCCGCTGGTCAGGACTCTGGTCATCCTCCTGAGTCAGGAAGGTGAAGTAACACCCACTGCTTCCAGTTATGCATTTTCTAAAAGATATATTGCATGTCACTCACTTAGCTGTTGTAATCCCCTTAACGTTAGAGAATAGTAAAATGACAGAAGTCTAAACCCAGAGCACTAACAGCACGTGAGGTTACTGCAAGGCTATTACTCCACATATGAAGTGATCTGTCCTTAGACATGTCCTATATTCACACTGAAATACAGGATGGTTCATATTACACAACTTTATCCTGTTTGAGGAGGTATTTTTGAAGAAACATTTAGGGTTCACCTTGAAAACTTGAACTTAAGATTTGATTTGGAGAGGGATTTTACATGCATGAAAAGGTTACCAGAAACCTCTGTTAACTCGATAAACATTGGTTGATTTTTAGAGACTGGTCTTGTCCAGATTTCTGTTCAGAAACGATTTCAACTTACAATTTCCCAAGTAAGACATAACAGAATCTCATAACTTCTTAGTTTATGGTAGTTTATTGATAAAGGTAGAAAATCTGACACTTCACCTTCAACCCTTTTCCTCGGGCATGGCCGTTATGGTCATTCCAAAGTCCAGGACAGAGACCAAAGGTGAGCAGGCCTTTGCCATTAGGGCCTCTAAATCTAAAACCCCCACTACCTGTGGAATTTATGCTGGTATCAATGCCACTTTATGTCACCTCTTTAAAAAGTCTGTTTTATTGTTGCAACTTTGTCTGAATGCTGTCTGGGTCTGAAACATCTAATTTGTAGTGAGACATTTTTCTGCAAGCTCTTCTCAAAATTTTTCAGACATTATTTACCAGTTTTTAAACAGTGACTTCACAAAAATGCTTATTTTTAGAGCTTATAATAGATATTTCATTAAATCATAGAAAAACATTGAAGAAATAAACTTTTATACTGCTATATGAAGTTTGTAAAGATCTTAACGTATCTATAGGATTCTGTATCCTTTAATAAAACAAGACAAAGTAGACTTACAGCATATTAAGTTTAAGCAATTGAAAGGTGAATTACCCTCTTTGTTCACATCTTCATTTATTGTATTGCCGTGATTAAAATACATTACATACATACACATCTGCAAGAAGTTCCTATACTGCAAACAATCCTAGAAGCCTTCCCTACCCTGAGGGCAGAGCGGGAGGCTTGGCAGGGCTCCATAGGATTTGGTCTGCCTCCTTATAAAAGAGGAGTGTCTCAGGGTCTTTCACTCTCTGCTCCTCAGGATGGCTGACACTGCTGCTCCTTCTGCTGCTGCACAATCAATGAGTTAACAGGAGCTGATCGAGCCCCTGCTCCTGTGCCGCCTCTACTCCTGCTAACATTTTAACAAGTCTTTATTTCAGGTGGCACAGATTTGCAAAACAGAAGTTCCAGTCTTTCTAGAAGAGTTTGGACTGTGAGTTGATACTTTATAATAATAGTCTTTATTTTTAAACCAAACAATGCAAAGGAATTAAGTTTAAGTTAATTCATAGGTACAAAAATTGTTTCACTTTTGTTTGAAATAGAAAATATGGAAAGTAACTCTGCTCCTTTTTGCATTTTTTTCTCTTAGCTGGTACAAAGATGTCCCCCTCCTTGACATCAGTGCTGCTGGTCACAGCACTGACCTGTGTGTGGGCCCAAGGCTTTTATGAAGAGCGGAAATCTACCAAGAGAACCAGGGGCAAACCTCTCGCTGCAAATATTCATGATGGGCAAGGTAAGAAATTTTAATGCAAATTAAAATGTAGGAACTTTTATTACCAATATCATAAAGAGTTTGTGCATCTTTTTTTTTAATTCAGCACCAAGATATATAAGCTTGATGTTTATGTATCTCATCTTGCGCTATGATTTAAAGAAACGTAGGATGAATTAGTTTCTTGTTTTTAAAGCATGTCGTTTTGTCAGAAATTATCCTTTAATTTGACCTTTGTGCATTCAGCCATCCTAGATGAGGACTGCGGTTTGGAGCTCTCCTTTCTGTTGGACAGTTCTGAGAGCGCCAAAGACAATCATGAGCAGGAGAAGCAGTTTGCAATGAATGTAGTAGATAGACTCCAAGGGGTCCAACTGCAGACCGGCCGCAGCATGAGCTTGAGGGTGGCTCTCCTGCAGTATAGCAGCCATGTCATCACAGAGCAAACCTTCAGAGAATGGAGGGGCAGCGACAACTTCAAAACCCGTATTGCTCCCATCATTTACATCGGGCATGGCACCTACACCACCTACGCCATCACCAACATGACCAAGATCTACCTGGAGGAATCCAGCCCTGGCAGCATCAAAATAGCCATTCTGCTCACAGATGGTGTTTCCCACCCAAGGAATCCTGATATTTTCTCCGCTGTTGCTGACGCCAAGAACCAGGGGATCAAGTTCTTCACTTTGGGCATCACCCGAGCAGCCAATGAGCCAGCCAATGTCGCCCAACTCCGGCTCCTCGCCAGCTCCCCAGCCTCCCACTTCCTCCATAATCTACAGGATGAAGACATTGTTGAAAAAGTCGTCACTGAGATTGTGAGTATAATGCCTCGTCTTTCAGCACTGAGAAGAATAGCGATATATTTGCTTTGAATGAGCATCTTTTCAGGGATGACACATGGACAGGCTTGTTCAGGTTCTGCTGCAGAGATGGAATGAGGACAATGCTCTGGAGAAACAAATGAAAGAATGTGTGACAGCTCTGGATTTGAAGCTTTTTACGGAGCTTTAGGAAAATACCATCTGACATCTGCATGAGCATATCCTAGTATGTCCAGAAGCCTCAGACTGCATTCCTTTATGAAGGAACAACTAGGATTACAGCCTCTTGACAGATACAAATAACTTGCATTCAGCCATTTATGATAACTTAAGTCCTCTATTGCTCTTGAAGAAGGAGAAGTAGTTTTGTTCATGTGAATTATTTGCAACACACAAAGCAATCAGCTGAGTTTAGAGAGTAATTTTGCCACATTTTCAATTTTGCCTGATAATAATTTGTGTTTGTTCTCTTTGCAGATTGGCTTAGCTGATGAAGGAGTAAGTATTTTTACGGCTCTAACAACTCTCACAGAATTGTCTGATGTTAGTTTATGTGTAATGAGGTAAAGGTGCCTCTTTTGACAGTATAGAATTACATCCATGACAGTTAAGAAACCTTGTCTTTTTTTTCTAAGTGCCCTCTGGCTCAGCGGTGTGCCTGTGAGAAAGGAGAGAGGGGGCCGAGCGGTCCTTCGGTGAGTACTTAGCCTCAAAGTTTCCCAAAATAAATCCCACAACTGAGGAGCAATTTTCCTTTGAAGTGTCAAGAGTTGGTTTGTCAAATGCACAGATTCCTAAAATGTAAACATGATCCTGATATTTGAGGAATGGTAATTGTGCAGTTTTGAACAATCAGGGTAATTATTTGCGTTTTCTCCCCTCAAGTTTAGCCTGCGGGGCATTTGCACAAGTAGAGTAAGTAGATAGGTGGTCCTGTTCCACATTCTGAATGAAAATCTATGGCAACAGGACTAGAAGTGTAGACTATAGACTGCTAACCCTTTGAGAAATATGTTTGTTGCTGCTCTTCGTCCCCGGTCTCAGGCAGTTATTTTGCATTTTTCATGTATCATTCAATGTCCCCCATGGAAACCAGAGGCACCACATTTAGAGCCCAGCTGCCTATAAAACTGGACCTTTGACCACCATAAATCTTACCTGCAGCCTTCTCTGTAATGTTACAGGGATAGAGAAACCAGCTTTCTGATACCAGATAATATACCTCAATTTTCAGGCATTAAAAGGTGATCCCACTCGCTTGAGACACCCGGCCATAAATTTCCTGAAAAAAAAAAAAAGAAAACAAAAAACAGACAGCTTTAGGTGATGTCAAGCTTTTCAAACAAGCGTCTAGATAATCATGTTGCTGACAGACAGCTGCATGGTCATTATCCAGGTGCTTTCTCCTCAGAGAGATTCTTTAAATTCTTACACTCAGACGAAGAGGCTCTCATAATTGCTCTCATTAGTTTAATGGTCACAAAGAAGCGATTTCTGGTGGATAGTAGCAGACACATGCTGTCCAGGTGCAGCTCAAGACAATGACCCCTGACCCTCTATACAAGACACCTCATGTCCCACAGTTGCTTCAAGTGTCATCTAACCTTCGCATCGACACAAATTCAAATATCAACTAGGTAACATTTCCCTCTCCTCAAATGCTAGCTTAAAGAGGATAAAAGATATTAGTGTGAACCAGGAGGACAGTACAATTTAAATGAAATAAATTTGTCAAATCTTAACCCTACCTCTGTTTCATTCTTCAGGGGAAGAAAGGTCGGCCTGGAGATGATGGAGCCCCAGGGTTTAAAGGGCAAAAGGTATGTGCTCTTTGACGGACATAGACAATACAGATGTCTTAGCTGAGGGGTTCTTTTGCAAGTTTTTATACCAATTAAAGTTCATAAATTGCATAATTACCCACATATATAAAAAATCTGGATAGCTAATATGAGTAAGAATTTTATTTATACAAAAATAAAAAAACTCTCTACATAAAAGGTTTACATTTCTTTAAGCAAACTTGTGTAATGTAGTACTTTTTAGATTTCTGTTTCATACAAACTTCTGCTATCACTCTTAACTTTTCCTTCTTTTATTTATTTAATACTTAATTTAATACTTGGCCAACTTTTATTCTATGTATACTCTGTTGTAGGCTTTATTTAAGGACTCTATTTTAAATTTCACCATCACATTAAAAATACAAAGCAGTACTTTGCCTTTAAAACCAGGAATCATCATTAGATTATTTAATAATAGTTGCGTTCAGGGACATGATCCTTCCTCACAATCTGATTGACCACATCTGATGCCATCCCCAAAATCCCAATCTGTGATTAGCTAATTTCCTTGTCAGAGGTGGTACCTGTCAGAATGAACTATTTTGACTGTGTTGCAACAGTCCTTAAATTTTTAATGCAGCACTTTTCTTATATTGACACTTTAAGTTGTTAAAAAATACTTGTTATATGTATTTCATGTATTTCAACACACATGAGAGGAACTAGTCTGGAAACAATTTCAACAACCTCTTGCACACTGCATAACTTTTATAAATAAACGTATTGTCAATGTTTTGATTAAAAAAAATTATAGCTTTTAAATATATTTTTAGCAGTTAGGTTTAGGTTAGATTGCAATTTTTTTAGGTACTTGAAGATCTGTATGCTGCCACTCTATTGTTTTACTCTTTAAGTTAAAAAATATACACAGAAATGTAAAATCAGCATGATACTGTGTTTAAATGTTAGGAATTATCATAGATATGATTAGTGGAGACAGAAATGGTAAATAAGTTATGTTTATTTATGTGTGTCTTTGTGCATGTATATATATCATGCCACCCCTGTGTGAGTGAGCGCTCTTGTTGGGCCACCTCGCTCTAAAGTCTGATACATGTCCCTGGTGATGTGGCTGTTTCCTTCATTTAAGTCATTCACTGGTCGTCTTCCCTCACTGACTGGATTTAGGGTTAAGTGGTTTCATAGTTTCCACAAGAACAGAGTTTTGTTGCTTTTATTAATACCGTTGACCACTTCCATGCATCTAAGCTCACAGTGATCTAGTATTCACTGTTGGAGAGTATGTTTCAGAGTTCACTGTAACACCACTCTTTGCAAGGTGACTCTATTTACCTTAGTGTTTGAGGCTGCACAAAATCTCTAAACAGTTCATGGTTTATATGTCAATGTGCCCTACTCCCACTGCTAGTTATATTTATTGTTCTATATCTATAGTATTAATTTAAAAAAATCCCTTTAAATTTGAGATTTAGTTGCTTGATTTATATGATAGTAATGACAAAATACCATGTATTCTAATTTATCTCATGTTTTGGGTCTGAACATATTTAAAATAAACTGAGAGGAAGATTCTGGATTTAACATTTCTTTGCTTTTGTAAAAATTAGTCTTAAGGCTTTTTCATTTTATTAGATGATGTGGGGGGAAGAGGAGGAGTAACATGTACCAGATCATATTGGGACACTCTGTACACAAGGCTCTGGCTCCCCTGACTGAGCCATCATCTCTTTTCTTTCAACTTTTCATATTTACTCCTGCACTGTACAGTAACCTGTATGAAATCTTAGTCACCGGTACGTTTTTGTATTTTCTTCATATCAGGGTGAAGCAGGATTGAGTGGTCTTCCTGGCAGAGAGGGTGCTGAGGTAAAGATGAACCTTGAATAAAGAGAAAAACTTGATTGTCATTTTATTTTGCTTACATGCTACATCTGTTTCATTTGCAGGGAAAACCAGGTTACAAAGGAGAGCGGGTATGTTTTTCATGTCACATTCACAGCAGTGATTACATTATTTTGTGTAAATTCAATTAAATGTACAGTATGTTGTTGTTTTTTACACAGGGGGAGAGGGGTGAGTGTGGCACTCCAGGAATCAAAGGAGACAGGGTATGACAGCACTGTCAACACTGAAAACACTGAATGTTGAGTTGAGTTGTATAGTTTAGATTATCTCTGACCTGATGGGCTCTCTCTGTTGTATGTGATGTGTTTCAGGGCCCTGAAGGTCCAGTTGGAGTGAGGGGACTCAGAGGTCTACAGGTCTGTAATATTTATGTATTTAGACTTTTTTTAATTAAGAAGTCAAAGAGGCACTTTTTGCATAGTCTTGAAATATACAAAACATCATAAAGTAGAAATTATATGAAGAAAACTTTTTTCTGTTTTCTTTTATGCATATCTCTCCTACGCATATCTCTAAACACACACACACACACACACACACCTATTCAAACAACTTATAACTTTGATGCCTCTTGTGTGTTCTTGTCTGTTTAGGGGTTACCTGGACCACAAGGAGACATTGGACCTGAGGGCCTTCTGGGAAAGCAGGTCAGCCCCTTTTAAACAACTTTTACTTCCCTCACAGTGCACATCTGCTGTGACCTTTACATTTCCTTTTATGATTAGTTTAAACAAGAGCTAGGGGCTTTAGTACCGGGGGTCTTACTGCTACACACAGAGGCCTGTTTGTCTGAGTAATAAACCCCTGATGTGAATGCATGGCAATAAGCCAAGTCTTCCCCATCATTATTATTAGTCACCAGCACACGGGTGAGCCATCAGCTAAAACTCCCTCTACAGGCTCTCCTAATGACTTGTATCCTGTGTTTAAATACAGACTAGGGAGTGCCTGCAGCATTGTCTGCTCCTCAAACAAGGCCTGCAGTTAATAACACGTATTCAGACCGCGTGTGTGTTCAGTGTCTCGCCGTGTGACAACATGTAGGAAACATTTGCAAGGATCAACAAGACTTGATACCATGTATGACCTGAGCTGCTAAAAAGATTTTTTTTTTAATTAAATATTGAATTTATATTTTATTGTTTAAGAATAAGTTTAAAAAGGCACCAAACCCCAAATATCCTCAGAAAAGCTGCAGCTTTTCATCGAAGGCTCTGCATTTCTAATTTTTTGTTTGTGATTTGACTTACAATCTAATTTTCCAAAAACTTGTACAATACATAAAATTGTGGTTGTGGTTTGACAATTGCTAAATGATGATAAAATTATGAAATCTGGAAGTGGGATTGTTAAGTATATTGTAAGCTTTAACAGTGAAGTCAATTCATATATTTCTGTTAACTATTGTAACTAACTGTCTCTAAACTGTCTCTGGATTTAATTTCCACTGATCGCTGATGTTTGATGGTTTCCCTTCCTGTGATAACAGGGTGAACGTGGCCCACCTGGTCCACCAGGAATTCAGGGAGAAACTGGCATTGGACTTCCTGGACCAAAAGTAAGTGATGTTGCGATTTTCCTCTGACTTATTTTTTGTTCTTTTTTATTGTTTTCTTCCTACCTGTACACTTTGGGTTCTCATGTTAAATAATGTTGATATTTGAATCTTTAGGGTGACATGGGATTCCAGGGTCGGGCAGGTCCCCCTGGTCCTCCTGGATTGGGTGAACCCGGCCCTCCTGTAAGTGAAAGGAAACAGAGTTGGATCAATTTCAACAACAACAACAACAAAATTGTAATCGTGATCTGATACACTGAAGACTCTAATACACATACTCTAACCTTGGCACTTTTTGGCTGCTTTGTTTGCAGGGGCCTCAAGGACCTCAGGGTGTTCAAGGTGAAAAAGGGCCCCACGGTGAGGGCTTTCCAGGACCAAAGGTATTATTTCAAAGTTCATTAAAAAACAATAGTATCACTGTGCCAATCCAAACCATTTCAATGCCACAGTATCTTTGTTCCAGAAGTTGGCCTGAGGATAAGTGATGAAATAGTTGCAAAAAGATGGCTCACTTTTAAAGTTGTTCTTCTGATACAGATTTCAGTCACAGCTTCCTGCACAGCCAAAAGTGTTTATGCAGTTATGCAGCAATCACAGGCCAATCCAGTATTGCTTGAATGCACAACTAAGGAGAGGCACCGAATTTTATTTAACGGCTGTGACAAGATGATAAGAGAATTTGACACAATTACTCATTGGCCTCCCTAAAATCAGATGGTTTTGCATAAATCATCTTGGAACTCTACCCAACAAAAACAGTGTAGTATTATCAGAGTAATTAAACTGTCAACAGTTAGTGGTTTCTCGTAAATACTGTATATTTTCTTCATGCAGGTGGTTTTAAAGTTGGTTTTAAATACAACTAATATTTTAGGCTGAGAGTCAAATGGGATCTGGAAAAAAAAGCTCACTTAAACATCTTGTTTCTCCTAACTTGTTTATTTACTTTTAAAAAGTGCATTGAACTTGACACCTGCACATCTGATTGTGTCACCATATATCGCATATTCTGGGTTTTTAATAGAAGAACCAGGGTGGATGTTTTAATCTAGTATTTAGCACATATTCAGACTAATGAGAACAAAGGCCACATCATCCCATGCATTGAGAACTTTGCCAGTGTGCTGTTTGGCAAAGCGAATAATCCCAAAAAAATTATTTTATGCACAGGCTGGATTTCTCTGCAAGAAAAGCAGAGTGTAAATTCTAAGAATAATTTCAGCCTGTTCAGGAATAATGTAATTTCTACCGTATTCCAATGATTCATAACCAGCACTTGGTTGATGTTATTTTGGTCAAACAGAGCCTTTACATGTAGATTTATCACAAAAATCAGCTTCAACACTGATTTAAGCGTATCTTCCATAAAATACAGATACAAATATGATCATCTTGGTATTTTTTTTTGGAACGCTTCGATCTGATTGCATGTTTCTGGGTCTCTCTGCAGTCCATGCCCTGTATCTGTCAAACCTGATTTGTCTCTGCTCTAACTCGATGATTGAAAACTCAGGTGTGCCCCTAAGAGTTACTACTTGCTCTGTTGTTCAAGCCTGTTGGAACAGCATTGTGTCTATGATGTAACATTGCACTATGGACTATATATTTAAAAACTCTGTAAATGAGGTAGATGTAATTCAATCAAGGGCAGTTTAAGGATTAAAATGCACAAAATACATAGAAACACAGCCCAGTGTTGTAAGATTTACGCTTTATACCAACAATATAATTGTAAAGTTGTATCAAACCTCTCACACAAGACCTGACTTGCACTGACAATGGGAGGAGAATATTTATGTACCTGTTGAGTTTACCCTACAAAGAAGTACCCTCCAGCTACTACACATCTGTTTGGTTGTGCCAGACCTCTTTGATTTTATCTATTATTCGCCCCTGCTGACTTACAGTACATGTCTTGTGAAATGGGATCAGGTTGCTTTGGTCTGACACAGACACACATAAAGATAGTAAGATCTGATCTACTTTATGTCTCGATTCATTACACTGGATGTTGATTTTGCTGCTTCTATTTGTCACCTCTCCCTTCCATAAATCAGAGGCAGTGGAAAAAGTCCACAATTCCTTTAGTGCCATGAGGACAGAAAAAAAGGGTTCAACAGGAGCCAACATGCTCCCCTTTTTCTTTCCTACTCTCTACAATAATAACAATGCAAACTTGGCTGAGACCCAGTGGAAAGCATCTGTGATGTAACCAATAGAGATGACCTGAATCTGTTCTGCAGGGGGATCGGGGGCTACCTGGACCAAGGGGCCCAAGGGGACAACAAGGAGTTGGAGAAAAGGGAGAAAGGGTAGGTCATAAATTAAGGTGAAATAACAAATCAAAGGAAATATTTTAAATATTGGTTACTGCACTCAGACCCTTTCATTTTCATGTTTTCAGTGACAAGATTTAAGATAAGTTAGTGTTCACTTTCCCACAGCCTCATTACAGTTGTTACTCTGTTATGCTATTAGGACACTTCTAAAAGTTTATTATACACTGGAGGTCATAAATGTTTAATTAATCCACATTGCTTGATTGTGAAGGTAATACACGCAGACGCACATAGCTAAGGGAGTCACTTTTGTGAGACGCTTTTGTGTCAAACTGTTAACATTGTTTTGTTTTTCAGGGGGATTTGGGGCCTCCAGGTCCTCTAGGGCCAACTGGCCCAACAGGAGTGGGCATACAGGGAGAGAAGGTCAGCAAAATGCCCTTATCTATATTTCTACGATGTCACCTGGATCATATAGATGTAAGACCTTCTATACTGAAAGATGACTGATCTTTATTCCTATTTAGGGTGTTGAAGGTCCAAGAGGTCCACCAGGGGTCAGAGGACTTCCAGGAGAGGGATTACCTGGGCCTAAGGTTTGCAAGAACACCAACATATCACAGATGTGGGTCTGATTCAGACTCCAGATCAATCTAGTTTTGCATGATAATGTAGCTGTCTCGTTTCAGCAGTTTTGTTTCATCCATTCACACCACAGTCACACACTGATGGCAGAGGTCACTAGGTAAAGCACCCATCTGTATTACCTAATCCCATTCACACACTGCTGGGCACTGCCAGGAGGAGCAGTTTGGAGTCAAGTGTCCTACCAAGGGACACTTTGACATTTGTACCATGGGACCTGGAATCAAACCCTTGGCCTTCAAATTGAAAGATGACCAAGTCAACCACAGAGCCAAAGCCCAAATCAAGTCGTAGCTGCCAAAGTTGAAAACAGCTCATAACATGGAGCAGAGTTAGGTGATAACCAAATTTAAATGTGCAGGCAAACAACAAACTTCATAACCAGCCTTAAAAAACGCATCCAGAAGTCCTCGTTACTTGTCATATTTTCTATTACGGTTTTTGCCATCATCCTGCCATGTCATTGTTTTTTTTAATTCAATTCTAAGGGAGATCAAGGTCTACCAGGAGAGCAAGGAGCACAAGGAGAGACAGGGATCGGTGAACCAGGTCCTAAGGTAAGACAACATGCCCCAAAATGAAAAATATGAATTAAGTTTCAGGCTATATTGGCATATGGGGAGTGCCAATGTCATCAATCTATCAATGATATAATAATACATTTATTCTGCAATTACAGGGAGAGCCTGGAGCAGCTGGTTTGGGTGGCTTGCCTGGTCTTCCAGGAGAGGATGGAGCTCCAGGGCAGAAGGTGAACTACAATCTTTCATGATGTTACTTTATTTACAAAGAAATCAACTTGATTGCATTCAGAGGTGGTCGTTGCAGCTTAGAGATTAAAAAGTACAGTTTCTATGTGTCCTTCACTTTTTCTCTCTCAGGGGGAGCCTGGTGTACCTGGTTTAAGAGGCTCTGAAGGGGCACAAGGAATTGGCACCCAAGGAGAGAAAGTATGCTCCAGAAATACGTTCTTGTGTTCAGAGTTTATATGACAAGAAATGTCAATCAGATGATATGTGTTGGAATCCCTACCAGGGTGACCAGGGTCTGAGGGGCATCCGTGGATTACATGGACCTCCTGGCGTCCCAGGACCTTCAGGACAGAAGGTAAGCGTGAACACTCCCCTTCCATTTATTCTGTTATGAACATCTCCCTGTTGAAGATTTATGTCACAGTAACATACCCTTTAAACCAAGCCAAAAAACAAGTCTTCCGCAGGATATTGGCAGCTCAAACTCTAACAAAATAAAGACGATCATGAATTGGATCTTAAATCTTTGCCAACTCTCATTTTGCAGGGTGAACGTGGAATACCGGGCCAGCAGGGCATGCCAGGGCAGCCAGGACGCTCCATATCAGGTCCAAAGGTAAATAAATGACAGCTTTTCATCAAACTGTCTCTTGACAAAGATCTTGGCACATGCAAAGACAAGAAGCACGCAGCCGGAAGAAACAGAAACAAGGCGGTGTATCCAGAAAATGTTACTTTAATGTGACTTGTTGTCCTGTCTCCAGGGAGATGTTGGCCCTGCTGGTCCTTCTGGTCCTGTTGGGGAAACAGGCCATGGATTACCTGGTCCAAAGGTAAACTTGGTCTTTTTCTTACAGTTTTACTTCATCCTTTTGGTCCAATCAGCATAATATCGCTGCTTTTCCATCTGTTTATCCTGTAAAACCAGGGGGAGCGTGGTCATCAGGGTTTACCAGGCCCAGCTGGTCCAAAAGGCGAAGGCTTTCCTGGCCCTGTGGTTTGTAAAATCAACATTTTTCTTAATTCCATCACAGGTTACTCTAGTATAGGATGGCAAACTTATCTTTGCATTTTTTAGGGTCCTGTGGGTTTGCAAGGTTTACCAGGGGAGCCAGGCCCAGAGGGAATAGGAATCCCAGGTCCTAAGGTTTGGGTCCATCTGTTTGGATACACATGATTGCTTGTGTGCTAAAAAAAAATGGTCTCTGCATTTCTCTGCATCAGTATATGTAGTGGAAAAAAACTCATTCGGAAGTCTGTATCTGTTTTAGGGTGATGTTGGCTTTCGGGGGTTGCCAGGTTTGCCAGGCCCAGCTGGAGAGGGCTTACAGGGACCACCAGTAAGAAAGACAATGAAACAAACATTCAGTTTTCAATACTGGGACATGGCTAATGATGACACAAATTTATCTTTTGACAAAAGACTGGGTTATTCAGAGGTCTGATTTACTTTAACATTTGTTTCAAGGGTAATACTGGAAGACCAGGACCTCCTGGTCCAACTGGACTTCCAGGAGAAGGCATTCAAGGCCCAAAGGTATAATGTATTTCAGTTTAACAAAATTGGCATTAAAAGACCAAATGTTTAGGATTTGTTTAAAGTGTGGGAATTTCTGTATAATCCAGTGATTCTTATTTCAGGGTGAACCAGGACCTCAGGGTATGACAGGACCCAGAGGGCCTCAGGGGGATGGACTTCCTGGAACCAAGGTGCCTTAACCGCAGTAAATTTTGCTTCTATCTGATTAGTTGGTCTGTGACTGAAGACTGACTCTCCTCTTGTTGCAGGGTGATCGTGGAATACAGGGTGAGAGGGGAATGAAAGGGGCAAAAGGAGACCTTGGCGATCCAGGGGTTCCTGGTGAAGCAGTAAGAAAAACAGAAATTCAAGAATGTCACACTGTCAGTCTGACACTGTCAGACTTCACACAGAAACAGTGATATTTCTTTTTTTATTTTTTCAAATCACAGGGAAGGCCAGGAGTTAAAGGAGAAGCAGGCCTCACAGTGAGTTATTCTGCTTCATTTGTATTTGAAAATTCATTACATTCATATTCAATACATTGTGATTATGTGCTAATGTGACTTTTTTTATTTTCAGAGGGAAGACATCATTAAACTGATCAAAGAAATCTGTGGTAAGAGCTCAGGCTAAGTCAAATACATGTTTAAAACCACTAAGTGTAGAAAAAATAAATGCAGTTTCTGTAAGTTAACCTGATGGTTTCTAACAATGGCACTCAACATGGTAGAAATGTTGACTCAAACCTAAGACCAACAGCTAAATTGGGTGAGGTTCAACCAAGAACCCTAAAGAGGTGAAGCTAAGAAGAACTTAAAGCTTTCTGGCAAACAGCTATAATGAATCCATCTGTCTAACTATTAGGTTATACGTTTGAACATGAGGCCTGATGGGGATTCCTTGACTTTTGCAGTCAGCCTCAAGTGTCCACTCAAGGAACTGCATTTATTTTTCTTTTGTTTTCACTTTTCATCAGCTTTATCTTTCACCACCAGAAGTTGTCACTTGGTATAAACTCTCTTTAGTGCCTGGCACATTCAGAGCATGAATATAGAGCTTAAATTTTTATTATATTGTCTAGTGAATTTTTAAATATGTGAGGAAAGAAATGCACCTTTACACATCAGGTGGAACAACACAGTTTGTTGTTTATCTTCCCCTTTTAGTCCCAGTTTGATCACCATAATCTCTAAAAAATACAATCTGGAGCTCCTGGGAGCTGCTTTTGCTGCTAACTTAACTCGTGGTGCTGGGCAGAAGTTTAGATTTTTAACAACTGGCTCTGACACAGAAATAATAAAAAGAATCACAAAGACACTTAAGACTATTGTGGTGTAAATTTACCACCCCCTGGTGTTAACATTAGACCCAGCAGCAGTGTTTTATCCATTAAAAACAGAGGCCAATAAACACCTGTTGAGAAAATCAAAGTGAAGGGCAGTGATCAAGTACATGCAGTGACATTGTTTTAATTTTTCCAGGATGTGGGGTCAAGTGCAAAGAAAGGCCAATGGAGCTGGTCTTCGTCATTGACAGTTCAGAAAGTGTTGGTCCTGAAAACTTTGAAATCATCAAGGACTTTGTCACCAGGTTGGTAGACCGCACCACAGTTGGACGCAATGCCACCAGAATTGGCCTGGTCCTCTACAGTCTGGATGTCCACTTGGAGTTCAACTTGGTTCGCTACATAAGCAAACAGGACGTCAAGCAGGCAATCAGGAAAATGCCTTACATGGGAGAGGGCACCTACACTGGAACCGCCATCAGGAAAGCCACTCAGGAGGCGTTCTTTAGCGCTCGTCCTGGAGTTAGAAAAGTTGCCATCGTCATCACTGATGGTCAAACAGACAAACGAGAGCCAGTCAAACTCGACTTAGCTGTGAGAGAGGCTCATGCTGCAAACATTGAGATGTATGCCCTGGGGATTGTTAATTCTTCTGATCCAACGCAGGCTGAGTTCCTGCGAGAGCTCAACCTCATCGCCTCTGATCCTGACAGCGAACACATGTACCTCATTGATGACTTCAATACTCTACCAGGTGATCATCTCCATCAAATTTTGTTGATATTGTGTCTAAATCAAAAAGTATCAGTGATCATTTCAACAGAGAGTGCCTCAAGTTAACTGAGTTTTTATTTTTTTTAGCGCTGGAGTCTAAACTGGTCAACCAGTTCTGTGAAGATGAAAATGGAGCCCTTATTTACAACCGTGTTACAAATGGACACTGGAATGGCAATAATGGTCATGGCCATGGTATCAACGGAAACAGTGGAAATGGAGATGCTAAAAATGGTTATGATGTCTATGGCAATAATGGCTATGGTAACAGTGGCTATGGAAACACAGGGGGGGATTACAGTTACCATGAAGAGATCCAGAATCAGAGACGCACCAGCAGCCGAGGCCGTGGAGACACTTTCACACTGCCCATCAGTGCTGACCCTCTGCCTGTCCAGGTCTTAATCAAAAACTTGTCTTATGTTGTTTTCCTTAAATTTTCTACCCTTTGCTATTGATACAGAATTCTCTAGTATTCAGACACATGCTCCTGTTGTTTTCTCCTCTAGGTGTTGGAGGATGATGAGGGTGAAGATTTAGACTTACGAGTGCAATCACGGGGGACTCACACTGTGGCAGTAGTCAACAAAACATTGTCTTCACCTGTGAGAGAAAGCTCCACCTTTAATGTGGTTGTTGTATCATCTTCATCATCTTCTACTTCTTCTACTTCTTCCTCTACCTCACCGGAAACAGCTTCTTCAGCTGTGGGCTCAGTTTCAACCTCAAACACTAATCAGTTGCAGCCCTCAGAGAGTTCAGTGCAGCTTAAAGGTGAGTACTGCACTCCTGCACGACTGGGGTTATTTTGTTATGTCACACAGGGAAAAAAAAACACTTTTAAGTAATAAAACAAACATTATTATATCATAAGTAAAATCTTATTTCGATCCAGTATGATGAGTGTGTAAAATTGCCATTTACTGATAAATATTCTTTGAAACTCTTACACCACCTTACACCCTGTTTCTTAAACAGAGGCCCCTCCTCTTGATCCCCGCTGTCACCTCACCTTGAACCAAGGCACCTGTCGGACCTACATCATCCGCTGGTACTATGACAAACAGGCCAATGCCTGCGCACAGTTTTGGTATGGAGGCTGTGGTGGAAATGACAACAACTTTGAAATAGAGGACGAGTGCAAGAAGACTTGTGTTCTGTTCAGAACAGGTAGGTTTGAAGAACAGAAAATGAGCTCATTATATGTTTATATTTTTCTCTTCTGAATCTAATTTTTGTGTTTTTGTTTCCAGCAGGGTAAATGGAAAGTGAGCCACCAGAAAGTAGAATTTACTCCTCTACAATATGTAGATTTTTAAGGAATGTGATTCAGTCTGTCCTCATAAAAAATTCAGGCACTTTTTGAACACCATACCCACAAACATACTCTTGATGAAATAGCACAATAGCACTGAAAAGTTACGACCAGGCCAATAAAAGATTAAAACCTGTGATATGGTTAACATATTGAATGACTGACTTATGACTAACTTCTCCAAACAAGACGTTATTACCTCAAAGAAATTGTATTGTGCTGATACATGTGGAGAATTATTTTATTCAGGGTTTTGCTTGTTCTCAGTTACAAATAGATCTGTTCTTCGCTTTACATGTACTGAATACATTTCTAGCAAGTCAGCAATAGTAACATGTGTTTAACATTATCGATATGATTTGATGAAATATGCTGGTGCTTTATGTTTGTTCTGTTTGTTGAAATTACAATGTGTCCATGTGGGTTGTAACTGGCAGCTGTAATAGATAGCCATTTATGTCAGTGTAGTGCAGTTCATACATAAACTTGTCTGTTTGGACAATGTCTGTCTTTCTGATACGTGTTTCTGTGTGTTTTTTAATAATAAAATATGAATTAATTGTGTGAGCTTCCTCTCTACTTGTTTATTAAGAAACCCCAATCAACTTTCCATCATCATACTACTTCGTCTTTTGTTTCCTAATATACAGTCAGTTATATTTTCAGTCATATTTTCTTGCTGAAGGTGCCAAATGTTGATAGTTTTTCACTGCACTGGATCCACCTTTCGTCTATGCAAAATTTCCAAAATCCAACCACAAAACGTAGACATTTTTTTCTCTATTGAATTAAAGGTGGGGTAGGCAGCATTTGAGGAAATGCCAGTTTGGGGGAGAAATCTAAAATGTCAACACTACCCCTCCCAACCAGTTTTCCCCTCAGCTCCTCCTCTTCCCTCCCTCTCTGCTCCAGCAAGCCCTGCCCACAAACAAACGCACGTCCTTGCTGGTATAGTTCCAATTAAATTCAGATATAATGCAGATAAATACTTCAGATAATTACTAATGGAGCCCAGTCAATGTGAAAGTAAACAGCATTGGTGCTACTGTAGACGCCAACAGACTATCAGAAAACACAATGTTTGCAGGACTTCTAAAACTAGGATAAAGTGACATAGTCCAGGACCCGAGGTAAACAGTTTAGCGGTGCTAAAACAAGCAGCAGGTCCCGTTTGACAAGAAACACTTCTATTACAGACACTTCGCTTACTTTGCTAAAGCGGTTTACCTGTCCAACACAAAGGTTACAGGGTCTGTAAGATCCCTAAGTGTCCCCCATCACTGTTGACTTGGCTTCTCCATCGTCTGGTCTACCTCCTTTTTAATTGCCCGTTATTCCGCCAGAGTCTCCGGAATTTACTTTTTTTGCTTGTGTTGGTGGTCGTGGCTAAAGGAGGATTCAGGCAATTTTCTGTACTTTCTGTTTGGTTTCTACTGTCAGATATTGTAGCACCTAACCTTGCTTGGGCTCTTGAAGGACATGGGGGAGCAGCATCTGCCCCACAACCAATCAGGATGGGAGAGGCGGGGAATGGCTTTGTTTACAGTCAGAGAGAGCCAGTGCTCTGAAAATTTAAAATGTTGACTACATAGACTTAATATAACACAGCGATATCGTGATATTAACAAATGTCCTCAATGACTAATAGCTATTGAATGACATTAAAAGCTTTTTTGAATATACACCACGAAAAAAGATGCGTCTTTAACGGTTCCTGCCCACCCCCACCTTTAATTGAGTTTAATTTTTTGTCGTATGTCTTCATGTTTGTCCCCTTCACTCGCCGTCGGTTTCCAAGGTGACGCTGACGCTTCAAAGGCTTTTCAGATTAGCCCTTCTGACTATTATGCTAGCTCGTCGACCCACATTTGCTAAAGTCAGTTCAGCCAAGTCGAGTGAGTGATAACTTGTAAACATGGCATCTGTTTTAGATGCTCTCTGGGAGGACAGAGACGTCAGATTTGACATAACAGCACAGTAAGTCGATGTTACTAGTTGGTGATTATTTCATCAGTAGCTACAAAAACCAGTTAGCGTAGTCGTGCTAACTGGCTAACTGAAGATAACGCGAGGAAAAGCAAATGTCCCAAACATGTTTTTTGTTGCCATATTACAATTTTGAAGTGGAAAATGTTGCAGGTTACCTTAATAGTGTCATTGACGTTACTGTCAACAGTTGAGATCGACCTGATCTCTGAGTTCATATTGACGTTTATGATATTCTACAACAGACAGATGAAAACTCGTCCTGGAGAGGTTCTTATTGACTGTCTGGACTCCATAGAGGACACGAAAGGAAACAATGGAGATCGAGGTACATTTGGTTGGCAGTTGTGGATGTTGAAATCAGCAACCTGATTGATATCAGACTACCAGCCTAATAAACGATGGTGTTCCCGTTTTACAGGAAGACTGTTGGTGACAAACCTGAGGATCATCTGGCATTCTTTAGCCCTGCCAAGAGTCAATTTGTGTGAGTATACCTGATTTAAAATAGTCTACATCACTTGATATTTGTTGTAATTTTACTGTGAGCTTATGGAAACTTCACCCTAGTGTTTCTGCCCTATCTCTGTGGTAACATGGCATTTAATCAGCCAGTCAAACGGTTTCTTAAGAATGTCTTCAAAGTATTCAAATTGGAGTTCACAGGGTAACCCACGATGTGATACTACCAAGTTAACAGTATAACCACAATGCAGCAATTCTGCAAACATCAATGAATGGTGAGACATTTTAAAAAAGTATAGTGTCCCATCCCTATCAGCGACTCTGGGGGGAGTCCTGGGGTGGTGATAAAGGAGAGCATATGTATCACTCAATCTGTCTTTTAAAGTTGTGAAAATCTATCCAATCTTACCCACCTAATGCAACTCTGTAATTTCATGCAGCTGTGGGTTACAATTCCATCATAAACATTACAACAAGGACAGCCAACTCAGTGAGTGAACCTTTTCTCGGTATTTTCTTCTTTTGTTTGAATTATGCGTCTGTGACTCTTACATGTTTCCCGTCATATATTCATTTTGTATGTTGTAATAATAGGAACATTTGTTTTATTGCCTAATAACGTTGCAGTATCTTTAGTTTTTTTCCTTTATAATCTTATGGAAGACCAATATTTGCAGCATTTCTCTGACATCCCTTTGAATTAAATGACAAACGAGGTACATAGTAAATGTGATAAAGACGGATAAACATTTTTTACCATTTGTGCAGAAATTGAGAGGCCAAACTGAAGCACTCTACATCTTGACAAAGTCCAACAACACAAGATTTGAGTTCATTTTCACAAATGTGGTCCCCGGAAGTCCAAGGCTTTTTACTTCAGTCATTGCTGTACACAGGTAAAACAATATTAGCAACAAATGTTCAGTTCTCTTGTTATCTTCTACTTGAAATGTATACTATAATATATTTACTATGTTTCAGAGCCTATGAGACCTCCAAAATGTACAGGGACCTGAAACTGCGAGCAGCTCTTATTCAGAATAAACAGCTAAGACTTTTGCCCCGGGAACAGGTGTATGATAAAATAAACGGGGTCTGGAATTTATCCAGTGATCAGGTATCAGTGCATAAAATGTATCTTTTGAATTAGTTTTCTTCATATCTGTATGTAAATTAAAATAACACAGTGTTTTCTCCTTGATTAATCACATTGTCCTTTCTGTAAGGGTAACCTTGGTACCTTCTTCATCACTAATGTGCGGATTGTGTGGCATGCAAATATGAATGAGAGCTTCAACGTCAGCATTCCCTACCTTCAGATTGTAAGTTTAGTCTTTTCCCCCTTCTCCTGTAATTGTATCACCTGTTAATCTCACACTGTCTTCCGTACTTGTAAAGGTAGTTCCATTTAGGTCCCAGATATTTTTGTATCCTCCCACAATACCACTGCTTGTGAACTTGTATGTCTTGTCAAACACATCTTTTTCCCATTTACTTTGACATTGTATGTGACTTCTATTGTGTACCTTTCATTTCCAGTGGTCTATCAGAATAAGAGACTCCAAATTCGGCTTAGCTTTGGTGATTGAGAGTTCACGCCAGGTAAGCTGATCATGAGATCACGATTAAAACCTTGTAACAGAAGTTCTTCTGGATTTGTTGCCTGTTATACACAAACTGTGTCCCCTTGCATTTCAGAGTGGTGGCTATGTACTTGGGTTCAAGATTGACCCTGTGGATAAGCTTCAAGATGCACTTAAGGAAATTAACTCACTACATAAAGTGTACTCTGCCAACCCCATCTTTGGAGTGGACTATGAAATGGAAGAAAAGGTCAGTATCTTTGCACAAAATTGTGACAAACTTCCCCAGTAGCTTTAAAATGAACATTTGAAAAAGGGCTACCTGCTGTATTTTTGACAAACTAGTTGTAAATTGCAAGTCTACATGTCTATTCTTGAATTGTTGAGTTGATTTAACAGCTGATTGTATTTCATCAATTGATTGAATTCTCCATTGTTGCTGGCTTTTTCACTGTTTCAGTTGACCTTGTTGTCACAGTGTTGTTAATCTCTCCTTAAACCCCAGCCCCAGCCGTTGGATGAACTCACAGTGGAGCAGCTTCCTGATGATGTGGAAATTGAGCCAGACGAGCAGACTGATGCATTCACTGTGAGTGTTTCTGTTGGCCCTCTTCACACTCATCAGTCCATTGGGAGCCTGTGGTTTAGCTTTCAGACTCTCAGAATAGCTGCTAGCTAATGGCCTTTAGTTTACTGTACAAACTGGAAATTATGTTGCCTGGTGCTCATCTTTGCCAAAGCTGTCACTACACAACAATAACTTATTACACACAACATGTTCCTGATATTTTTATTTAATGTATGATTTATGTGTGTTTTCTTACTCACAGGCTTACTTTGCAGATGGAAATAAGGTAAAGTATTTTGATCACAGGCAATAATGGTGAAATTATTGCGGTAAAATGGTTGTATATTTTGCTGTGTTATAACAATTTTTGTGTATTTGTTGACTTGTCTTCAAAAGCAACAAGACCGTGAACCAGTTTTCGCTGAGGAGCTGGGTCTCGCTGTTGAAAAACTGAAGGATGGCTTCACACTTCAAGGACTGTGGGAAGTCATGGGTTGAAATATTATGAGACGTGAATGAAATATAACGATGATTAAAGCTGTAGTGTACATATTTATTTATGGTTTAGGTTCAAAGTTGTACAGTTTTCATAAATACTTTTTTCATAAGATGAAAATTGTGTGTTGTTAGGGTTACATACTGTATATGTGATGGCAGGGGTGTGTCTAGACTTTTTTGAAATGGGGTGGCCCAGACTTTTGCAGGGGGTCATGGAGTATGTCTGCATGTGTGGATGAATAGCATATTATCAAAACCATTCATTTTAATTTTTATGTTTCCACCAATCCCATTTATTTTAATCCCTAACACAAAAAGAGGCGGATGTTATACTTGTGAATATACTGTTTAGAGTGGCAACAAATTAATTCTGTCTGAACCCAAAAAAGAAGAGGTATGTCCTAATTAACTATTGAATGCTAAGAAAACTGGATTCAAATGTTAAGCAGCATGTTGTATTCTTAAACTGAATAAACAATGGGCAGTCTCTGTGATGTCAAACACTAGATCTGGAGGGACATTCAGAGCCCAGAGATGGTTGGTGCCATGTTGGAAATATTGACTCATCCTTTACTTTTGATCATCAACCTACTCATTATTTTAAAAAGATACAAAGCGTACAAAGAAGAGAGCTACATACCAAAATCTGATTTTATTACCATGCTGCAAATGTGTTATTTTTGCTCTAGAGTTGAGCATTTTAACATGGGACCTGTAGGCTCCCATGTTTTGCAGTCAGCCCCAGTTAGACTCTTGAAGAACTGCTCTTCCATTGTCTTTATTTTTATCTTTGTCTTTATTTTTCAACACTAGAAGTTGCAGCTTGGTTGCAACACAGCCCAAGACCTGCCTCTTATAAAGTAACATGCCCTTCATAGTTATGTAATGTTCCATGGCACCAGAGGGGTGCCATGGAATCAGACTTCAAGGGGGCCTGTGCCACCCCTGGTCACCTCTATGGACACACCCCTGTTGTTGGTACATTTGTGTAAAACATTTTCATGTACTCAGATGGAAAGACTGTGAAATTTAGTACAGTTTGTATGGTGCAATGCAAATAAATGTAAAATAATAGATAATAAGGAGTGCATTTTTTATAAGGGGGCAGTTCAATGTTGTATTTGATGCATAATTCAAATGTATATGGAAAGAACTCAATGATCTTGGTGTCGACACCCAACTGCTTAGGGCACTGAAGTATTTTAAAAATCTAAAAACAGGACAATCAGTCACCTCCGCAGGCTGCAGCTGTTCACTGACCTCGTCTACTTGTCAGATAAGTCCTCTGTGGATGCCTCACACACAAAGAGTGTATCACTCTGTCATGAAGTGGTCACTACTATCGGTTAATCATGATTCACTTCCTGAAATACACAGATGACTGAAGTAAACAAGTCACGTCTGTGAGGGGAGAGTAAAGTACCGGAACAGACAGGTCTTACTTTGCTTTAAAGTTTTTGATTCTTATTGAACTTTATTTAACCCTATAGAAAGTAAAGATGAAATTACATAAGGGAGATTACAGGTTATTTCTGTGTGGTCGTACAACAATGTTGTTACAAATTGCTATGGTGACAAGGCCCCAGAGTAGTGTTTGCTCTATGACAGCTGTGTGAGCTTCCTGATCTGGCCAACCTGAATTCTTCATGGAGTGGCTGTTTGTCTATATTTAGAGGGACCCGGTTATATTGAAGTCACGGCAGACCTGGCTGCCTATAGTTCTCCGTCTTCACCAGCTATCACACCCTTTCGTTCACATCTTTGCTTCCAGCCAGTCCTCAAAGAATGGATCCCCAGGGTTTGAGAGAAGATCTGCGTCTGTTTCAGACCACTCTGCTTCAGGATGGACTCAAGGAGCTCCTGAATGAGAATAAACTGATCGACTGTATCTTAAAAGTTGGGGACAGAAGCATCCCCTGCCATCGCCTAATTCTGGCAGCTTGTAGTCCTTACTTTCGGGAGCTTTTCTTCTCAGAAGATGGCAAAGAAGTGGAGAAAAAAGAGGTTGTTCTGGAGAACTTGGATCCCACTATTCTGGAGGCCATTGTGAACTACATGTACTCAGCAGAAGTCGACATCAATGACAACAACGTGCAGGACATTTTGGCAGTTTCCAATCGCTTCCAGATTCCATCAGTGTTCACAGTTTGTGTGAACTATCTTCAGAAGAGGCTGTCAAGGAAGAACTGCCTCGCCATCTACAGGCTGGGTTTGATGCTGAACTGTGTCAGGTTGGCAATGGCAGCTCGAGATTGCATTGCAGATCGCTTTGAGACAATAGCCAAGGATGGGGACTTCTTAGAGCTTGCCCCACCTGAGCTCTTTGCAATCATCGGAGCTGATTCTCTGAACGTGGAGAAAGAAGAAGTGGTGTTCGAGGCCCTCATGAAGTGGATCAGGAAGGACAAAGAGAAGCGTGCAAAGTCCTTAGAGGAGGCTTTTGAGTGCATCCGTTTCCGTTTGCTGCCAGAGAAGTACTTCAAGGAGAAGGTGGAGAAGGATGAGCTGATAAAAGCTGATCCAGAGCTTCAGAAGAAAATCAAGATGATAAAGGACGCTTTTGCAGGGAAGCTGCCTGAGAAGAAAAAGGGGAAAGATAATGAGGAAGGAGAGGAGGCAAAGTTACCTGGCTTTCTGAATGATAACCGCAGACATGGCATGTACGCCAAAGACATGGTGCTGATGATCAATGACACCGCTGCTGTGGCCTACGAGGTCCAGGATAACGAATGTTTCCTGGCTGCAATGGCAGAGCAGATCCCCCGAAACCACGTCAGCCTGGTATCAAAGAAGAACAATCTGTATGTGCTGGGGGGGCTGTTTGTCGATGAAGAGGACAAAGAAACCCCTCTGCAATGTTACCTCTACCAGGTATAGAAATTATCTTTACATAGCAGACATGTGGCTGCCTCTAAATGTGGTTCTCGTTCATTTTTCATAATGTGTCTTTCAGTTGGACAGTCTGGCATCTGAGTGGATTGCTCTGCCCCCCATGCCCTCTCCCCGCTGTTTGTTTGCTGTGGGGGAATGTGAAAACCTCATCTTTGCTGTGGCAGGAAAAGATTTACAGTCCAATGACTCTCATGACTCTGTTCTGTGCTATGACACTGAGTAAGTCTGGCATACCGGCCATTTGGAGCTGTATATCTCATTAAAGCTAATTTTTTTTTAGTTTGTGATTCATTCTCAGCAACTTCACCTGCTCTTTTCAGAAAAATGAAGTGGTCTGAATCAAAAAAGCTGCCCCTGAAAATCCATGGCCATTGTGTGGTCTCTGAGAACGGGCTGGTGTACTGCATTGGAGGAAAAACAGATGACAAGTAAGACTCTCATCTGTAAATGTGTTTTATGAGCACAAAATATGATTTTCATTTAATGCTGAGATTGATCTTTTTTTGCCTATAAAGTAAATCAACCAATAAGATGTTTGCATACAACCACAAGAGGTCAGAGTGGAAGGAGGTCGCTTCTATGAAGACGCCCAGGTCCATGTTTGGTGCAGTTATCCACAAAGGGAAGATTATTGTGGCAGGAGGCGTCAATGAAGAAGGCCTCACTGGGTCATGTGAAGCCTATGACTTTGGGACCAACAAGTAAGCTCACACAAATGAAAACATTAACACCCTTGAAAATGTACAAATACAGAACTTTTTTCACATTGACCTCGACCAGTTTCATGCTCCAGCACTAAGAAAATAAATGCAGTGGGATTAGACAGAGGTTTTGTTGCAAATATTGATATGGAATACAGCCAAGCGTACTTTGTTGCAGGTGGTCACCGTTCACAGAGTTCCCACAGGAAAGGAGTTCAGTGAACCTGGTAAGCTGTGGAGGCCTGCTGTATGCTGTGGGGGGCTTTGCCATGGTGGAGAATGAGAACAAAGAGTGTGCACCCAGTGAAATCATCGACATCTGGCAGTATGTGTATCAGTTTGATTTCTAACAAAGTCATCATTCTCCAAGTCTCAGCAGTGTCTAAAAGTAAACTGTCCTTGCTGTTTTACCAGGTATGAAGATGATAAGAAACAGTGGAGTGGCATGATTCGAGAGATGCGATACGCAGCTGGGGCCTCCTGCGTGTCCATGAGGCTGAACGCAGCCAAAATGCCTAAACTGTAACAGTCCTGAGAGATATACTTGAATGTTGTAGCAAAAAATAACATGTAAATGTTTGTTTTTATTGACTCATCTTTTTGCTCATCCCTCAAATGTCCCCTTTGAGTTATGTGTGTCTGAATAAATGTAATCATTTTAGTTTGATTTCATTTCTTGAGTCTTCACCAACTTGACACAAGCAGACACTGTAGATCCCATCCTGTGTTTTTAAATACCAAATGTGTCACTGATGGAGAATATTTGCTATTTTTTCACTCTTGTGATTTATGAAGAGGCATCAGTATCAGTCCCAGTTTGTATCAGAATTATAAAAACTTCTGACGTAGGTTCACTGGTTTTCCTAAGGTGGAGAAAGCCCTCATACATGCACACATTTATTTTGTTACCAGGTAAAGGTGTGCCAAAAAAATGAATGGGTTAGTTCATATGATCTGGAAGTATTGCTTTTCTACCATTACAGCCCGTATTTAGCCGCCTGTTATTTAAATGAAAAACTTCAGTGAGACCAAATAAAAAAAAAAATAAAAAAAAATTACTGTCTTACTGTGAAGTTGTTGCAGGATACTAATCATATACAGGAATAAAATACAAAATTACTTTATATTTTATTCATAGTTTTCATTTTCATACAAAAGCACATCATTCTTCAGCTTCACACAAACAAGGCAGATTCATGTCAACTTACGGACCATTTCATGTACATTAATTAACATTTTTTTAGACTTTTTAGTCTTTTAGCCAAAGAATTCACAAAGCTCAGAGCTGAATGTAACATTCTTCTTGGTTAAGTAAATAAGGCTTTAGGAGAGCTCTCTGAATATTTTCTTCTTTAGATACCCCTTCCAAGCATCCTTTGTTGACAGCTCCATGGAGTTCCACTCAAAGTGAGGAATCTGCAACAACAATGTTTACGGAAAAAAGTGGTCTTGAGTGATTCTTGGTGCATTCAGGTGTAGATGACTGACAGCACAGTATCTCAGAAAAAAAGTTCTGACCTGGACAACTTGGTATCCCAGAATCTCAAGGTGTCTTTTCTTCATCAAGGCTTCACCTCTCATATGGTGACGATTCTTGCAGAACGACCTCGAATCAAGGAAATCCAAGGCAACTCTGAGTGATGCATGGAAGGAAAAATCATCAAACTTATATCATAGCCTGATTATTCATCTTGCAAAGTCATCCCTTACCGCTGAGCTCCAGGCGGCAGCTCATCCCTGTGGCTTTCAGGTGAGTTTGGCTCCCAGTAAAACTTTCCTTCATCTGAGAGCTGCAGAGTGCTCGGCTTGCTGTATGGCACTGGTTGCAGGTTTTTGTCCAGAATGCATTCAAAGTCTGACCAGACAGAAAACACACACACAAAATACACTGTGAAAGTTCCTTACTGTAACTTTAAAACTTGTGTTTGGAATTGAAGAACTGAAATGTATCATGATAAATTAGCTTCATACATAGGACAGTAGTTCTGTGGATATTATGGAAATATACATGAGCTTCTTTGTTGATTTTTAAAGGCAGCTAGCATCCAAAGCATTACACTGCTGCAAGCTACTGGGCTTAAAATGCAGTTGATTTCTCCTGACATCATTAAATGAAATTAAAGTGTTTAAATAGGATCATATCAGGGTTGAGTATGTTGATAGAAAATAACTCAGTGTTGCTCACCTATGGTGTAATAATATGGAGTGACTACTGCCCCACGAACACAGTTGACGCCACCAAGAACTTCACCCAGCATTCTGTGGATTTGCCGTTGCGCAGGAGTGTCACTCCCTAAAAAACATTTAGACCAGCAATTCTCTGAACAGCTTTAAAAACAAACATCTAACCCAGAACATGATTTCTCTGCGCATTTTTCTTACCTCTTTTCCGTAACTGCTGGCAGAAACGCTCATGAAACCAGGGCACTTGAAACTCTGGACACTCGAGACAAACAGCACGATTGAGATCCATGAGACGCCATCTGATTCGCATGTTTAGGGCATTAGACAGCACTGCCGAAAAAAGACAAAATCAACTCTTATGTCATTAAAAAGTGCTCTCATTTTGATTTATTTTTCTACTGCTGGATAAAAGAAGTTAAATTTGAGACTTGACTGCAGCCAGTGTGCCATACTTTCTAGATGTGTGTCCAGCTTTCCCAGAAAGTCAATACTAAAGATCTCTCTGATGAGTTCTTCAGGAAAAGAGTTACCCACTGCAAAAATGTGTGCCAGGGAAACCAGCATTTGTGGGTCAAGGGAACCTACAAACACAGAGAAATGGGTAAGAAACTGCTAGAAACAGAAATCAATGTGTTAACTGAGTAACTTACGTAAATGAGTAGAAGTTATTCGCTGAATACACTTGTCAAAAAGCTCATCTGTTTGTTCAGAATCATAATTGAGCACTGAGAAAGGCAGCAGGATGGCATACATCACAGAGGGCTGGATCTATAAAAACAGAAAAAAAGTTTAGTAAATACAAGTTTACTTATAAATTAACTACGTTAAAATGACTGAACTAAGTATAAATGTCTGTTACCACACCTTGTCAATGTCTTTAATGGCCACATTGGCAATTTGGTCCATTAAAGGAGGGTTCAGGTGGCTCATCCTGAATAAAAATTGGGTTAATTCAGGCAGAACTTTCCAGTTCATCTGGTCCATCATCCTCTTCAGTGTCACCATCGTCTCCTCCATCTGCGTCTCCTCATACCACTCCCCTGACACGTATTTCAGCTCCTCCACTAAGAGGTCAAGCCGGTCGGCCGTCTGCAGCCTCTCGTGCCCGCATCGGTTCATGGTCTGCAGCAGGTGGACAAACTTGCCTGGTGTGTTGTAGATATAGGAGGGTTCATTATGCACCCACTTGGCAACATGCTGAGCAATTTGGTTGAGGTCATTGAGGGTGCACTGCGGCACCAATGCTTCCACCCGGGAGATGATCCCTTCTTCCAGACGCGGACAGGGAAGCATGGAGAGGATACGTGTCAATATGACGGCTTCATGGGGGAGGACACTGCGCTGCAAAAAGCTGCAAGACAAAACTCTCTGAACTTTGTGTTTTTTTCTTTCTTAGTGTACAGAAAAGTTGCCTGTTTTTATCACAGGACTTACTTGACTGCAGCAGCTGTAATTTTGGTTAAGAAATCAGGGTTTTGGTATTTCAACGTGGTGAAGGCTTGGGTGATTTTGACCAACTCCAATGGCCTGTAGATGTGAAGGTTCCTTTGGATAACCGAAGCAATTCTGTGAAGAATGTAATAATATCATATTATAGATATGCAACATGTATTAATAAACATTGATGGAGACTACACAATAAAGCTGAATACATGACAGATTGTTCAATGAAAGTCTAATCATTCTGGTACAACTGGAATAAGTTAATTTTAGGTCCACTTAATTATTATCAAAAAAGGTATTCTTGTTGTCTGAGTCTTCTTACAGCCACAAAATACTGTTCAGAGTTCTTATGAATGTGTCACAGAAAGGTGTAATTGTAAACAACCTCATACAAAAAAATTAAATGTATAAGGCATAATAAACCATATCTTTATACGACATGCTGCTCACTGGTTTTATTATTCCTCATAGGGGTTGTGATAAAGCCTAATAGATGCATTTTAACACTTTATAAATGTGCTTATGCTGCACTAAACAAAGTGGGTTCGTATAAACTGTCTGAACAATGACAGTTATATCATAGCTTTGTAACTATCATAGTTAGGGGGTGGAGGTGAGGGTGGGGATAATCAGTTTTCTGCCTTTCATAACCACACAAAAACTCCTCACAGGAGCTTTACGTAATTCCAGTTATACAGCAGATATGAACTCACTTGTTAACCAAGCTAAGATTCCTGCTTTGAGCCTCCACTAGAGTTTCAGCTATAGCCAGAGCCTGCTGTGCATTGAACTCATCAGCCAACAGGAAGGCTGTGTTCTCCAACCTGTAAAGGATGAAAACACATGAGCGATTCAAGAACAGTTGAATTTCCATGAATAGATCAGCTCTTAAATAAAGTTACAAACCTTTCTCTGATTTTGTCACTGGCCATTGGACCCAGAGCATAAAACAGTAAAGGGAAAGAGAATGGGTCAGGGCAGGAGTCTATCAGCTCTATCAGTCTTTGTTTTGCAGCCAGTCTGAAGGCATAGTTACTGAACTGCAGGGACTGATAAAGCCCCACAATGATGCTGATATCCTCTACATATAACTTAGTGATGTTGCTCAAAATGATCTTGTTGCACTTCTCCAGCAGAGGCCTGTCGTTGTACTTTGTGTTGCGCATGAACTGCAGTACTCTCCGTGCATTGTTATAACATGATTGATCCATGGTGTCCAGCAGAAGATCTGCTCTGGTAATGAAGGCATGATGAAGACGGGGAGACATCAGAGCTGACAAATATATCATCAGCGTGGTTAGGATCCTGGGAAAACATGGCCAGAGAGTAAACACACAACATGCAATTGGGATACTTTAAGTCTTTGATATCTGTTAAAACACAAACCTGGCATCATCGATGGTTGACAACTTCTGATCTACAATATGAGTGATGCGTCCCATCAGAGGGCTGTGATGAAGGTTCTGGTCACTTAGACAGACGGCAAACTTGGAAAGGGTACTCAATGGAAGTCTGCAAGAATTATGAAATCTGTACCAAACTGAATATAGAAATTGATTGACAAGTCAAAAGTAAAAGAATTTCAGGATTTAGCTTTTCAATTGTTAAAATCCTGAGCTTTTCTTTTTTCTTTTATTGTAAATTTACTTCTTTTTTTTTTTCTTTTTTTTTTTTACATTTTTCCCCAGTCATTACATTTTTTTGGTGGTCATTGAAAAATATATCAGCCACATACAGTAAATTCATAGATATGCTGGTTACTTGCAGTCACACATCAGACTTAAGGTCCTTACACACTGGGGCTGACACAAATATAGAATGCGAAATCAGAGGCGAAATCAGAGGGTGGGACCTCCCTTCAACAACCTACAGCGTCCTGGGTGGAAGCAAGAGGACAAAAATGGAGTCTACTTCAACTTCAAGTGATGGCGAATTGGTACTTCTTTTGCTTTCTCAAATGAAAAAGAAACGTAGTACATGGGTGCATCAAATATTACAAAAAAGAAGAGAACTTGGTGAGTTTCACTGGTTGGTTCAGGAGCTGAAACTGTACCACAGTCGCTTCAGAACCTATTTTCAGATGTCCGTTGGACAATTTGAAGTTCTGCTGAAACAATTAGCTCCAAGTTTGAAGAGGCAGAGGACTAGACACTAGTGTTGAGATGGCTGTCTGTCATGATAGCATGTACTGAGTCGGGGCCAGTACCAGATAAGCACATTAAACTAAGGTAACAACCGTTAGCTTATGTTAGCACAGCAGAAAGTTAAAACAAAGACGTTTAGCAAACTGTCAAAGCACACAAACTATCGTCATATGAGTGATCTGACGCTATGACTATTCCCAAGTTGTCCTTCAGGTCGTTATCTTTGTAATGTGTGTGTAAACGATCATAAACAATCAGCCGGTCGGCCATGTTGGATATACCGGTGAATCTGACATCGCAACAACACGCAATCTGATTGGTCAGAAGTGGCCAAACAGTATGCGAAACTTTAGAAAAATCGACCATGATCGGAAAAAATAAATGCCTCAATATCGCAGGACGGGAAAATGTCGCGGATGTGAACTCTTGTATTGACAGGATATGTGTTTGAAAAAAAATATTGACGTCCGAAATAATCGCACAAGAAAACGCTGTGTGTAAGGACTTCAACTCAAAAAATAAACAACTAAGGACAAACAAGGTTAAAAAAAATCATACCTGTCAAGCCTGAGCCATACCTCTGAAACCATTTGTTGAACAAGAGAATCATGTGGCTCCACATTAAATCTAAAAATGTTAAAAATTGAACGATTAGTTATCATGGCAGCATTGTAATGTATTTTAACTGTATGTTTCAAAATCAGTTTACCTCAGGAATCTGTAAAGCATGTCGACCAACATAGCACTGTCCATATAATAAATTTTGTTTTCTGCTAAGACACGAAGAGTCAAAAACTGCGGGTGCTTCTTGGTGAGCTCCAAATTCCTGACCGGTTGTGGTTTTGGTGTCTCAAAATTCCACAGGTGTTTCATAGCCTGGTTGATATGATCCACCGTAAGCTTTGCCTTGTTCTTGCTCACCACATCAAACACCTCATCTTCAGCTTTGCAAACCTTCAGCTGCTCCATAACGTGGTCACTGGTCACTGGTGCCCAATGAAGGAGCCTCCTAAAGTGAGAGTTCACACACCGGAGACGAAGCATCCTCATTGAGTTCTTCAGCTTCAGAAGACAGTCAAGGTCTCTACTGAACTAAGAGTCCACCATTCACCTCTGAGGTCACATACAGAACCTGATGACTAGAGGATAGATGCAACATTGGGACCTGTGTCGACAAGAGACAAAAAAATTACATACATAACCTTTATCACGATGTACAGAGGCGGGTTAAATTGTAAGTTTACACAAAGAGAAAACTCATATAAAGTCATCCTACCATGGCATGCTTACCACAGGTTTCATCTCGCATTAATAAAGCTCCACATAAGGATAAGGATGACATTCTTCTGCAGCACGACGACACCAAAGTTAAGTACGGATTGCCAACACGGTTTTCACGTGGATAGAGAAACAATCGCCTCAATTGATTGATAGCCCTAATTTACCTCTGCTAAGTACATTCTTAGCTTCATTTATGTATTCTAAAGAAATACAAACATAATACAGTTCCACAAATGGAATTATGTCATTAAGCCACGGGCTCAAAGTCAAAATTATCCCCCATGTGTACCGTAATGCTTCACTTCCGTAGCAGGTGACATAATAATACAAGGGTATTTAACACCCTGGAATTTGACTTTCGGGTAGCAAATACTCCACACTCAGGCTCACCATTAATCGAAAAGGTGTTTTTCGTAGTATAATCCCGTACTTGAAGAAATAATAATAAAATGTGTGCGTTCCCTGTAGAGCTAATACTTGGGTTTATAAACTAGGGCCATATACCATTATGGTCACAAATTTACTCTCTATTTCCTTTGAAACCGAAAGAAACGCTTAAATGTGAGGCCTTGCCCATGACACTTAGTCTCTTTTTACTTACTGGTAATAATATCTGGTGAAGTTTTCTGTATACCATTGACACTTGGGTAACATAAGACTGTGAAAACATATGCGCGTCACTGAAGCGTTGTGCCTGACAGAAAAAATTTAGGGTAAAATTTTACCCGTCGTGCTGAGCTGCGAGCCCCGCTGGTTTCACTGGCGCACGCGTCTCGAAATACATTGACGTCCCCGTCGCGCCATCTTTAGAAAACTGAGAGCCCAACACTGAATGAAACTTCATTTTCACTGTCCATGAGGACTGCTTGCTGCATGGAGTGATATCATTACATTTCCAGGTGACGCTATTGTGTAGCGATATTATCGCAGTGATATATTTGTGTCGTTCATTGTCGAAATCGTGTGGTTTTGTGTCGTAGTTGAAGACATATCTCTCAGGTAACCATGCTAATGCTAACACCAGGCCTAACTCTAGATGAATGCTTCGGGTGACCGTGCACCTATTTAAAAGCATAATAAAAAGAATAAGCGACGATAGTAATGTGAGGGAGGGAGTTCTGCACATTTCCAAGTCAAAATGTGCCCTATGTAGTCAGCTGTAGAGATCAAATAAGACTTTGAAAGCGCTATTGTTGAGCTAACTGTAGAGTGCAAGTTAAAAACAATCAAGCCTGCATTTACTGGGTCAGTAACCCTGGTTCGATTTGCGATGATTTGCAGTGACTATGCCGTAATTTTAGTTTGCAGTGAATGGTTTACAGTGGCTAGTTATTTTAAGTAACGCCCTGATAGTAAAACGAGGTGGTTTCGGAGGATTTTATTGCCTAACACAGCAGAGAAAGTACTGTGAGTCTCCAGTCTTGTGTATCTCACCTGTGCTTCTTGCCCTCAGGTGTTTGATCAGCAAAGGTGATCATGGGGATTAAAGCTCAGCGTCCTCGGTGCTTCCTCGACATCGGAATCAGCAATGTTTTTAGTAAGTGAATAACCTTACTGTTCACATTCTCAGGTATTAAACTCATTAGTCTGAGGCTAGAATTGAAGAGATATTCTTGTGTAAGTGTAATCCCTGGTCAAACACACTGTAACACCGAGTTAGACACCCCATTGAGAGATGAATGTTGCCGACTGCTTGCTTCTCTAGTTATGCCAACTTTGGTAACCACTGCACGATAGCAATACACAGCGGTCTGAGGAGCCACACACAAACCTCAACCAAAACGCCACTCTATAGCCACAAATAATACTCAGAACAGCACCTAACTTCATCAACAGTACATATAGGGTCACAGCCATGGTACTAATCACCAAACATCTTTTTAACTTTGCCTGATTTCTTTAGCAAAGAGACTTAACACAACTCACCCACTCTCTTCCAACAGCCGCTTGCTTTTAGCATCCATCACGGACTACAGTGGGGTGACGCAGCTCAAGGAAGAACATTTATGATAATTTCTTCATGGAAATGCAATCAGACCGAGAAGCTAAGGCAGGAGAACTACCGCGTCTGCAGTGCAAAACGATTAATATGGTGATTATTACTTCAAGGAAATGATCATAAATGTTCCTCCTTAAGCTCCGTCACCCTGCAGCAGTCCATAATGGACTGGCCTGAGGTCTCATTACAAACAAGCGGCTGCTGAAGGAAAGTATGTGACTTGTGTTTAGTCTCTTTGCTAAAGAAATTAACCCTATGTACTGTTGATGAAGTTAGTTGCTGTTCTGAGCATTATTTGCGGCTATAGAGTGGCGTTTTGGTTTGTTTATGGCTCCTTAGACCGCTGTGTATTGCTATTATGTGGTTGTTACGGAAGTTGGTATAACTAGAGAAGCCAGCGATCGGCAACATTCATCTCTTGAGGGGGTGTCTAACTCGGTGTAAGGGTGTGTTTGACCCTAAATATCCCTTTAATGTTTCAGGGCAGCCCAGCAATAAGTGGTGTCTTCATCATAGTCAGTTTGAGAAAGGTTTCTTGATGTTGACAGTGATCATATATCTGATAGAGATTTTTTTCACAATGCTCTTTCTTTATAGTTGGCAGAGTTGTGGTGGAGCTGTTTTCAGACATTTGTCCCAAAACATGTGAAAACTTCAGGTGCCTCTGCACAGGTGAATATGGGTTTTTTTTTCCACATGAGTATGACCATAATGTTTTCATGTTTAAGCTCATATTTGTATTTATACACACTGTGGTTTCATAAAGGTGAGAAAGGCGTTGGGAAAGGAACTCAAAAACCTCTTCACTACAAAGGATGTCTGTTCCATCGGATTGTGAAAGACTTCATGATTCAAGGAGGAGACTTTAGTGAAGGTAAGTTACATTATATTGAGAACGGGCTCTTTTAATATGTACACAAAAGGTCCAAATATGGCCTGCTGCAAAAAGATAATGATACAGTTGGCAAAGCTGTCCGTTTTTATCTGGAACTTATAGAGTATGCATAGGCTGGTATGATCTTCTGATGGTATGACTACCTTAAGATAAACTATTACAGTTACATGTAACCCCAGTTTTGTGAGTGCAGCTCTATAATGTGTAATTTTGAAATGTCTTGCACTCTGAGTAAGAGGGCATTTTTCTCCGTTGATCGTTATTATCTTTTTTTATTTTCGAACAACATAAAAATGACTGCATTATGAAGACTAAACAGTTGACCCCACAGTCAACAATAGTATTGTCATGCCAAATATCTGTTGTCTGTAGCTCTACCCTTTGCAAATTTTAATTCTTTCTTTGGGATCGTAGGCAATGGAAGAGGAGGGGAGTCCATCTACGGAGGCTTTTTTGAAGGTAAAGAGGCCACAGTCAAAGCTGTCAGTTGTTATCCACACCGACGTTGGCTTCAAGATGGCAGTACAATCTTCTCCTTTTCCCCCAGATGAAAGCTTTGCCGTCAAACACAACAAGGAGTACCTGCTGTCTATGGCCAACAGGGGCAAAGACACAAATGGATCCCAGTTTTTCATGTAAGCATTGATTCTGTTAATACAACTTATAGCTCGAACTCACCAGAGCTCAATCTGGAGCCAAACCAATAATTATGTGCCCTTCTGTTTTTCTGGGACGGCCTGCTGACACCTCAGAACGACAAAACCCTCACCACATTTAGATGGGTAAGTTCCACTTGAAACATCAATCAATTTTACAGTGGTTTGCTTCATATGTCTCATGCAGCTGTAACTGAAGCTGAATACAATCCTTGATTTCTCAGTGTCCATGTAGTTTTTGGTCATGTGATCTCTGGCCAAGAGGTTGTTCAAACCATGGAGAACCAGAAAGCTGATCCTAATAGCCGACCATATGCTGAAGTGAAAGTGCTGAACTGTGGGGAGCTCATCCCTAAATCCAAAGGTTGGTTTGTGAGAGCCACAAATGTCAAACCTGGGGTTTGCTGATAGTTTTGTATTGTAACAACACAGGCCTTCTAAACAACTTCTGATTCTTTGCAGCAAAGAAAGAAGAGAAAAAGAAGGAGCGAGCTTCTTCCAGTTCCAGCAGTAGCTCCAGCGACTCTGATAGCTCTTCAAAATCCTCCTCTGACTCTGAAGAATCAGAGAAAGAATCAAAGAAGAAGAAGAAGAAGGCCAAAAAGCTCAAAAAGAAACAGAAGAAGAAGGAGAAGAAAAAGTAAATACTTAAATTTCTTCTTCTTTTTTTTTTTTTTTTGCAAACAACACAATCAGTATCTTGTTGTAATTCAAATTCTGAAATGCTCCTTCAGGTCAGAGGCTGAAAGTGCTGAAGAAAAAGAACAAGAAGATTTGGTTACTTCTACAGTACGTCCTGAAGAAATTCCCCCTATCCCAGAAAACCGCTTCCTCATGAGGAGGAGTCCGCAAGCGGCTCAAAAGCCCACAGAGGAGCCTGAGAAGAATGAAAGAAAGAAAGAGGAAAGGCAGAGAGAGAGGTCGGTCTACTTGACTTACAGCCTTTATGACAAACATCCAAATATTAATTCTTCTATGAATTTATGCCTTGTTTTTGTTTTGTTTTTTCTCTTTCGTAAGTGCTGGCATATCGTATAATTCTCAGTCAGCCTATCACAGACGACTATCGATGACTCGATCTGGAAGGAAGATTAAAGGCAGGGGTCCAAGGGTAGGTTCACTGCACCAATGAAGAGAGCTTGGCTGAGATTTTGTCCATACACATAACATTTAATTTCCCCAGGTATAAAGATTTAGTGGGTGATTTTTCAGTCTGTTCAGAATCTGTACAACAGGAGTAACTGATTTTTTTATTTTTTTTTTACCCAGCGATACCGCACTCCGTCACGCTCTCGATCAAGGTCTAGGGATCGTTTTAGGCGCAGTGAAACCCCTCCACATTGGCGTCAGGAGATGCACCGTCAGAGGATGAGGGCGGTCACAGGGGAGCGCTGGATCAAGGGTGACAGGTGAAAACCTTTTTTTTTTTTTTGAAGACCTCTATCTTTGTTTTTGTTTTTTTTTTTCACATTTTTGAGCACTGTGCCTGTTTTAACAAAAGTAATAAATCCTTTCATATAAGCTCAAGATCCTTTCTGTTATTGATTGCCTTGTTTAGTCTATAACATGTCCTTTCATGTTTTGTTTTTTTTATCAGAGGTGACATGAATGAAGCCAAGGATGATGCTGGGAAAGCTCAAAAAAGAGAGAGAAAGACATCCAGCTCTAAACATGGAGATACAGCTGACGGCAAAAAAGACAAGAAGACTCAGTCCCATAGATCCAGAAGTAAGGATGGAGATGCTACGGAGAAGGATGAGAAGCAGAGCAAACACAAGGCAAAGAAAAAGGACAAGTCTCAGAGCCGCAGTAAAAGCAGAGAAAAGAGTAAGCGCTCCAGAAGCAGAGAGAAAGGGCACAAACACAAAAGTGATGACAGAAGAGGCCGCTCGAGGAGCAAAGACAGAAGCACCAATAAGAAAGAGAAGGAGTCCGAACCTGAACACAGTAAAGATAGAGAGAAGGGCAATGAGTTGGAGAAAAAGAATAAAGAAGATGCTAAAGGAAGAAATAGAGAGAGAACCAGGACAAAGTCAAAAAGCAAGGAGAGATCAACCACAAAAGATGGGCACAGGTCTAGTAGCAGGAACAGGAGGTCTAGTAGCAGGAACAGGAGGTCTAGTAGCAGGAGCAGGGACAAAAGTAGACCTGCAGCTTCGAAAGACAAAGAAGAAAAAGGAGAAAAAGACAAAGAAAGAGGCCGAGAGCGCAGCAGGAGCCGAGAGAGGAGGCGCAACAGTGACAGAGAGAATAAGAAGCGAGGATCATCCAGGGATAGGGAACGTCGGACAAGAAGTCCTGACAGGAACAAGCCCAGAGAGTCCCACAGAGGCAGACGCTCCAGAAGCAGGAGCAATAAGAGAAACCGCAGCAAAGACCACTCTACTCATAGGAAGGAAAGAGAGAGAGAGACCAGCAACAGGAGGAGGAGACGTAGCAGCAGCTCTGACAGCGATAGGGACAGGAAGAGCAGGAAGAGTCCAGAAGCCAAACGGGGGAGAGACAGAAGCAAGTCCAAATCAAGGGACAGGAGAAGTCCAGCTAAGCCAAAACCCGACAGTACAAAAGGTAAAGATGACAGAAGCAACAGTAAGAGGAATAAATCGAGCTCCAGCTCAAGCTCTGACAGCGATTGAATTTGTCATAATTGAAGATCATTTGGATGGAGGTTTGAAAATCTTTCCCCATTTTACGCCCAATACACAGATGATATGCAGCTTCAGGTTTCTATCCAGAGTGGTGCTCTCATATCATTCAGCCAGTGGTTCACTCTGAACCTCTGACTATATGAAAAGGTTAAAAACCAACCTCCACCTCCTCCAGCCGTGCAGAAGTGAAGCCAGAAATCCCTGAGCCTAGTTTAATGTTAAAGTCACCCAGTATCCCTCCTGTCAAGACGGAGGAGGCTGAGTTATTGAGCCTTGAACGGTTTGATTTCACTCTTGATGAGCATTCATGTCGACCATCTTTTCAGTCCACGTTACCATTAAATTAGTTCCCCTTGCGTGGAAAAAAAAGATGTGACAAAGAAGTGAAAAGAAAAAGACAAAGATGACAGCTTCACATGAGCTTTGGCTGACATGGACTTCAATTTAGTTTTGAATAGATGCTGTGAAGGGTGTAGATTTTTTTTAACCTTATGAGTGCATTTTACAGCTGATGGGAAGCTGAAGCTGCTCAAACTCTGCGACTGATGGGGAATTGAATGGTTAGTACTGACGGTAAGAACAGGTATTCTCTGAACTGTACATGGAAGGAGGAAGGCAGGTTGAAGTATTTTTATTATTTTGCATTCTTGGGTAAATTATTTTTGACTTTGCAATAGTTTTAATCTCAGACAGTGTATGAAAAGCATATCCAAGATTTTAACGCAAAACAGTTTTTGTCCAGACACTGTCCTCTATAATTTCTTTTAATTCTATATAACACAGCTGGTTTTAAGAATGAGGAGCGCCTACATTCTGAAAATGTTTCTTTCTGGTTTGACTTTCACCATAATTTGAAAGGTATTATTATTTCTTGCATGCTTCTCCCAGTCATTGTTTGATAAAATGTACAACCATGACTTTTTAATTTGTAAATCCACAACCCCTTTCTGTAAACTGTTTGTAACCAGTTTTTGAAATACCTCTGGTTTATTTTGAATGAAAAACATGGAAATGTCATGCTGTAATTATACATACAAAAAAATCCATTGGTATACTTTGTGTTTTGTGCATGTTGGTTACAAGATGGAGTCCATTGAGTTTTGAAAGAATTAAAAGGCTGGACTTTGATTTAAACCAAAATGGGTGAATGATCTGCTCATACTGTCACAGACACACTCTGCTGTTAGTTATCAGCTTTCAGATTTACAGTGATCAACAGTGTTAACATAACAGGAAATACACTCTACTCTATTCCTTTTCATCCAAAGAGGCTTATTTGATGCGGTTTTGGTTTCAGCTTGGTCGGTGTAAGCTGGAGCCCAAATTTTAGCCTGGTTAAGTTCATCAATATATTTTGTTGATAAACAGAAAAATAATCTTCATGTTGAATTTTATATAAGAAAGAAGTACATTGTTGTCAGAGTTCACCCAAAGGATTGAGAACACAGTCAAGTCCACTACAGTCTATGGGCAAAACGTATGAAGGAGGATCCCAACAAAAGTTTGTAAAATACCTGGGGTCCGTTTCACGTAGGTGGTTCAACAAACTCTGAGTTAAATCCTTAACTCTGAGTTGATCTACTCTGAGTTAGGAAACTCTGAGTTTCCGGTTTCCCAATACCTGATTTGAGACGGTTTTAACAACTCCGAGTAGTTTGACCTGGAGTTAAGCAGGTGCACGCCAGACATAAACAGCCAGCATCTGTGGAGCGCAGATTCAATGATCAACCAATGGAAACAGGGAGAAGGAGGGGGCAGCAGCAAGCCAACAGCGAATTACAGCACGTTTTTAAAAGAAAGTGCAATACAGCAGCAGCTGCAAAGGAGAGGGAGAGGGCTTGGGAGGAAATCGCTGCTCGCGTCAATGCGTAACTTTAAATCTAGTCTCGTGCAATCACAATGACAGACTGTTGCAGGGAAACTGCTTGAATCATTTTGATCATGTTTTACATTGTGAAGTAAGTATTAAGTGGCAGTTTGATCCCTTAGAAAATGCTCTTTTCACACTCAAAAATGAATTTTACTCTCTTATGATGTTCCGTTAAATGATTAGGAATATTAAACTAACTCTCATTATGTACATATATTAAACTAACACACACTACACTCAATATTAGACTTTCACTCAGCAAACAGAAAGAGGGAAGATGCCAGAAAAACGGGTGGTGGCCCAGCAGCCCCACCTTTAACGGAGGCAGAGGAGCTCCTCTGCCTCCGTTAAAGGTGGGGCTGCTGGACCACCACCTGTTTTTGTGTTAGTTTAATATTCCTAATCATTTAACGGAACATAAGAGAGTAAAATTCAGTTTTGAGTGTGAAAAGAGCATTTTTTAAGGGATCAAACTGCCACTTAATACTTACTTGACAATGTAAAACATGATCAAAATGAGAAAATGCCGATGTCTCACCTGAAACTCTGGGTTTACTGAGTTAAACCTGCTCCCGAGCAGGTTAGGTTCACGGAGTCTGTTACTGTGGTAACTGACCGCGAGGTTGAGTTACCTCTCTTTGTGAAACAGGTTAGAGTTACCCCTCTCTCCCTGGTTTAACTAACCCTCCTTTGTGAAACGGAAAACTCAGAGTTTCCCTGATTTCAGGGTTAACAAACTCAGAGTTTCCACTAAACCTGCTACGTGAAACGGACCCCTGTTCACAATAGAGTTGAGTACAAAAGAGTAAAAATTCTGCAGAGTGATTATTCCTCTATTAGCCAGAACATTAACACTAACAGAAATCATTGATGTTGAATACCTCACTACAATGGCACCTGTCACTTAGTTGGATATGTTAAGCAGCAGGTAAACGTTGTGTCATTGGAGCTGCAAAAATGGACAAGGGTCAGGGGTGAGCAACTATGGCAACGGCTGAACTGCGATGACTGCACGACTGGGTCATAACATCTGGAAAACTGTAGCTCATGCAGTGTCCTTGGTCTGCAGTAGTCATTGCTAACCTAAAGTTTAAGGGCAGAAAATGCTTGATCTGGAGTCCATGTCATGGTTGGCCAAGACTTGTGCTCCCTGATAAACTATCTCATAATTCTATTTATTATATTTTGGGATATGTGAACATGTTGCTCCTCTATACATGTTTGAAATCAGGCAATAAAATGACATGTCAATAGTGCTCATAACTCCAATTTATTCTTATTCACCACAGTGATGAATTGAGAGGTTCAGAAACGGCTCCTGTTTAGGATGGTAACGTCCGCAGTTCAAAGAATCTTAAAGAAACGATCTAAGAACAAGAGTAACCAGCTGTCAGAGTCCTCTCACCATGTAAATCCCAGTCTCCTCTTTGCATCTTGAATATCTACGGCCTCATGAAGCTTTTTGATGTCCTGAGTAACACCAGACACATACTTCGGCATTTGCACACCAGTGCAGTCCTGAACAAGGTACCTGGGCCTGACTCCACCGTACACAGGACCATGACCTCCTCCAAACCCTTCTCTTGCAGCCTTAACCAGAGGCAGCACATTTCGCTCAGCCGCTGCTGCTTCATTAATGACTTGCAGTGAATATTGCTGAAACTGTCGGTCCTCTTCAGCGATGAGCTCCATCTTCTTTGCCTCAAACTCGAACTCTTCTTTTCTCAACCGCTGATCTTTAGCTTCTCTTTCAGCCTGTATTTGAAAAATAAAAGATAAATGTTTTTGTTTTTTTCTTCAGAGAGGAAAGTCACAAGTATGACAAAGTATTTATAACTATGATGATGTTGTGAAGACAGTTTGTTCATCACCATCTGTGCTGCAATAAAGTCCTTTAATTTTCTTTCATCTTCTCTGATCTTCTGAGCCTTCAGTTGCTGTTTCTCAGAAAATATTCTGTCAGCTTCTTTTTTGGCCTCCAGTCTTTCTCGGGTGATCTGTTCATCCATTTTGTCCCTCTGCTCCTTTTCCTTAATCTAATGAAGTAGTTTGTGTTACAGTTGAGTTAAAATCAAGAATTAAAAAAAGTCTCAGGCATAGCAAGATTACAAAAGGAAAAGACTCTGTAGGTTTGAACCCACAGGTTTTGACTTAAGTGACCCTTATGAAGTTACCGTGAGCTCTCTATGTGCAGCGATGGACTCCAGCATCTTCGTCCTCTTCTCATTCTCTTCTTGCTGCTGTCGGGCTTGTTTCGCCTCCTGCTCAGCCACGGCTTTTGCAATTCTCTCCTCCTCATCTGTGGTTTGCTCCTGCTTTCTGACAGTCAGTTTGTCCATAATTCGCTCTCTGCGTTCCTGAGCCTCACTGAAACATCACAGGTGTGTTTAAGTCCTATTATACTTCTTAGAAACACAGACATATCACAGAGGTCTTAATTTTTTCTTTGCCCTTACTTAAACAATTCTTTTTCTCTGTCTTTCCGCAGCTTTATCATTTTCTGTTTCGCAGCAAGAAACAGGGTCCTTTGCTTGTCTTCAGCTTCTTGTTTTTGTACGTCAGCCGCTCTAATAAGATCTCTGTTTGTGAGATGTTCCTGCAAATACAGAGCTTTTTAGAGTGAATACATGTGCTATGAAAAAAAGCGTGCAATTAATGAACAAGCTGTGCTGCTCAGATGCTACCAGGTGAGCTTGCATCAGGTCTTTCCTCTTCTTTTCTTCTTGTTCTCCCTCCATTCTTTGTTCCAGCAGATAAAGCTCCCGAAGCTGTTGGATTTTCTCTCCTTCCTTCTTGTCCTCCAGCTTCTCTTGCTCTTTGAACAGCTTCTTTTCTTTAATCCTAAAGGGTGGGAAAGATTTCCAAATAAAATGAATTCTCTACACATCTCCTCCAGCTCTTGTTCGATATTAAAATCATGTTTTTATTTTTCTGATGTCAGACTTACTGGTTTTTCAAGTCCTCTACAACAGTCTGTCTTTCGAGGTTTTTTTCAAGTGCTTTCTCCTTCTCTTTTCTCAAAGCCTCAACCTCTCTGGTCTTCTCAATATCAGTGAATTTTTTGTCCACATCTTTGGAGGCACTCTGAATTCTTTGCTTTAACTCGATTTGAGCCTCTCTCTCTTTTAGCACCTCAGTCAGCAAAAGGGCACGCTGCAGAAACAGGTAAAATAAGTCCATAAGGTTTACATCACTGTCACCAATTCATAAATGTGGGTTTGAAGATCCTGAACAGTACTCACATGTAATCCTTTAACTCGGTCAGTTTGATAATACATTTGAGTCTTGGCTTTCTCAATGGCCTCTTTCTTCCTCTGCTCCTGATATTCAGCCTCTTCTTTATCAATCTGTTTCCTTTTTTCTTCCTCAATCTGCTCCCGGATCTTCTTTGCCTCTAGTTTTTTTTGCCTTTGACCCTTTAATGTAAGTCAACACACACTCTGTTAACCCGCACAGTGACCTTCACAGGCACATCTTGATTCTAACAGAAACCCACACCAGGAACACTTACAGCGATGGTATTGGACCACGTTTTCACCACCTCCTTAGACTGCATATGGAGTTTTTCTCTCTGTCTTGCCTCCTCCCTCATTCTGTCTTTCTCTCTATTGACCTGGTTCAATTCATCTTGAATCCTCCGCCATTCACTCTTGGACAGGACAGCAATTTGTTGGAGGTCTGGTGGCTGGATCATTTTGTTGGCATCATCTGCTGAAACCACTATAAAAAAGGAAATTACAAAGACTGCATGACCCAACATTCAACCTTTATTAATATAGTTTTCATAAAGGGATTGATTAATAGTTTTAAACAGTCATTTATTAAGTGCTTCTATCTTGAATTTGACATACCTGGTTTAATCAGTTGAAATATTGAAATTAATATCAGCATTAAAAGACAAGTTAAGGTTATATTATTTATGGTCTTGCCTTACAAAAGTGTTTTTTAGGTGCTCTCGGGCATGTCTATAATAACCAGTACAGATATCCAGATTTTGTACCTTACTGCCACCAAAACACGTTATGTCATAGCTACTAACATATCAAAGGTCTATTTGTGCTTTTTTAATGTTTAGCTTTAGTTTTTGTGTGAAATAATCAGGACAGGAGGCAGATTCTGATTTCTTTGCACAGTAAACTAACTCAGCAGTTTTGAAGCTCTTACCTCTCCTGCTGGAGCCTCTCCGTCGACCGTGTTGAGCAACCGAGGCCATTTGTTTTCTAAAGATGAAATCACACAAAACTATTACTGCCGAGTTAAAAAGAAAATTAAGAAATTAAGTTACCTAGTGAACGTTTAGTTTTTCCAGGCGATTCAAAGCTGTGTTACTGTCGCACTGTTGTGTTGTATCCAGGCAACAGCTGAACCAATCAGAAGCCTTTCCGCTGACGGACGACAGGCGGCGCTGTGTGTTAAAACTTCACCAGTAACACAATGAAACATGACTTGGGTTTTGATCAGAAAAGGAAAAAATAGACAGTCAATTTTAAGACGCCTACCAGAGTGAAATAATGACACTGGAGGGATTGAATTAAATTGGTTGAAAGAATAAAGTATTTAATTTAGCTTTTAAGTTTTAATTAGAGGCTCATGAGTGAAACAATCCTTACATGTAAAGCAACCTCTTTCATAATAATCACAATAACTTCATCAAAAATCCTTTAGCCAACTATCTCACATGTTAATATGTAAACTACATGTTTTGCAATGACAAATATCCACCTCCAAATGAAGAATTATGTCAAATCAATTTATTAATCAAGTAAGTATTACGACAGAAAAATGACAACGGTGTGTTGTTTTTTCTTTGCAAACCCAATCTTACAAAAAATATCAATAAAGATCAATAAATGACAGAAAAGAAAACTGTTGTATATTACTACTAAGAAGTTCAGCTATAAAATATTGCAAAAGAATGGTCAAATATGCAACTTTAAGACCTTCCTCAATCTGAATCTTTTTTAAATCTAGTTTGAAGCTTTTTGAAATTAATCCAGCCAAAGCCTGAAAACTAGATAACTCATTGTGTGACCACAGAAACTTGACAAAATACTTGTTCCTGTTGATTCCCCCTTTGTAATATCAAGAGGAACACAGGCAGGGATACACATTTACAGAACAGATACCAACACACATTAAGACTCAGAAACACATTTGATCTTAATTCTTGTGTGAAAGCAGCTATAATGCACAATTGTGACAGTCATGTCTCACTACTGAGCCTGCTCCTAGCTTAAGAGGGGGCCTGGGGTATCATGTGCTGTGGTGTGGGTCAGGTGATGAACAGCATTTATTTAATTAGGAGTGAAAGAAACGGACTCTCCTGACCTGACCTAGAGTTAGACAAGAGAAAGTATGAACAAAGAAATATGAACATGTTTGACACCTATTTAAACATAAGAGTCTTTAAACCGTTTTTTATTTCAGTAGCTTTCCACAGTCACAGTGAGATAGTGATCACATTTTGCCTAAAGAGACTGCAAAGTATCATATTTTGTCATATATATTTGACTGTACTTGGAATTGTCAGCTTCATAAGTTACGTCCAAAAAATCAAAAGCCAATCATGGGTTCATAATAGATGATAAAGGTTATATGTAAAATAAATAAACATTGAAATAATAATGATAATAATTTAAGTATAAAAGTAATACTTTTTCATGTTGGTGCACATGTAGGTTATGAGAATTAAGAGTGTTCCACTTCAGCCCCAGTTACTGTAAAGGGGTATTTAAGTAGGGGAGAGTGGGGTAACTTGAGCCAAAGTGTAAGTTGAGCCACCCCCTGTTGCTTGGAAATGGTAAAAGAAATTGATCACGTGACCAAATATTTAGGAGATGGGCATCAATTCATGGAGTCTGTGAAGGTTAGAAGCACATGGGTGAAGGGGTTAGACATTTATTTCCAAAAAAAACATTTTTCACTCTTGAAAGTGAATTTAGTCTGTCACAAGTTTTATTAGAATTGTGGTCAGACCAAAAAAAGATCATTCTAAATTTGTTTTATACGTCAATTGTGGTATCTATGAGCTACAACATGAGGTCAAAAACCTATCATAAAAGTCCACCATTTTAGCTTAAAGGACTAATAAAGTCATAATAGTAGTTCTGGGGTAAGTTGAGCCAGTGGCTGTACTGAGAAAGTAAAGAAGTCTGATGAGAGAATCAGAGTTTCAGTTCAGATTGTTAAAATGTGTTACTTTTTCCTTTCAAAAATACAGCTGTGAATGTTCTGAATGACTTAAATACATTCTCATTCTCATGTTAAAATGTCATTTTACAAAACAGCTTTTTAGCAGTTATATGCGATAATAATAAAAATAATTACTGTATCAGTTGAATAGCGTATAATAAACAGTAAAGGGGGGGGGGGGGGGGGGTAGTAGGGATATGGTTCAACTCACCTTGCTCCTATGGTCAATTTGGAGGTAAGTTGACTATAGGAGACAACTTTTTTTGGCATGCTATACTGTATTATCAAGACAGTTCTGTTTACACTCATTCTGATGGTTTGCAGGGATGCACAACATCTTGAAATATATGCAGATACACTTGTTAGAGACAAAACTATGATTGCCTTGATGTAGTGATCCAAAATATGAAAAATGGCTCATCTTACCCCACTCTCCCCTACTTTTGTGTGTAAAACCTTTAGGGTATCTCAGCCTGTTTTATCTCGTTTGACTTAAAGTAAAATTTGCACCATATTAAAAGTGTGACACTCATTTTCACAGTTATGAATGTCTTTTAAAAAAAGTCAAATCAGTCTTTTTTTTTTTTTTTTGCTTCAGTCTGGATGCCTGTCTCTGTGTGACGTCAGAGCAGGAGATGCACGGGGGGCGGGTTTAATGTGAAAGGGGGCTGGCACAGATCCGAGATAACCATTCAAAAGCAACAGAGGGAAATTAACTTACTGTGTTCATCACATCAGCTCACAGAGAAGAAGCATCAGCAGCCGACTAGCAGCAGCAGCACCTCTTGACCACTAAGCTACCAAAATGGCCCCAATCTCTATCAGGACGGTGTTAATCAGTGAAAGCGTGGACCCCCGCTGCAGGGCTATTCTGGAGGAAAATGGCATCCGTGTGACGGAGAAACAGAGCATGAATAAGGATGAACTGCTCGCTGAAATACGGGTAAGGTTGGGACTCAGTATTGCACAGTTTATTGCGCCAGAATCGAGCGTGTTTCGTGTCTTTTACGCAGCAGAAACTTCAGCCGTTGTGTTAGCATCACTGTACAAACTCGTGGGTTTTTTTGCCCTCGGACATGCATTGAGGGAAAAAAGGCACCTGATATTTTTCTTTGGAGGTTAAATAAAGGGTGAATATTTGATTTTAAATACTGTTGCACAATCTTCCTCACAGGGCCGGACACGTTTTGCCGGTGTAAGGTGACAGAATTGATTGTAAGTGTTAGTACCGCCCCTTTGTGAAGCTGATGCAACTCATCCCAGACTTTACCGATTCTCCCATCACTCTGTCTGAGGACCACATACTGCAGGCCTTATGCAGTCTAATGCAGTAGATGTGGGTGAAACAGAGAACTAAATTTCCCTCTGTGAATGCTTGATTTTTCTGATGAGAATTATCAGATTTGTTACACAAAAATTAAATTTGCTGTTGTTTCAGGTCTTAACTCTCTCACTGTGAAGGAAAGTAGCAATGAAAGCACATTTTAAACCAATTGCCCTTCTCAAAGCACTGTAGTATGAGATTTCTGTGACCTTCAGTTAAAAAGAAAAACTATATTTACCTTAAATAGCAATTACCACTACATTAAGCCCTTTTAATTGGGAGGATAGACCATGAAAAACAAGGCTTAACATTGCCTACTTGCATTTTTTTGTCCTCAGCAGGTTTTCATTGTTTACAGGCTCATTGAGGGGGGGATGAATGAGTACAGCAGTTCAATTTCTTGCTGTCAGCACTCTCATTGTCTGATGCCACATAATCTGACCCACTGACACAATCCGTCTCCTCTCACAAACAACAAAGTATCACACCTGAGGTTGGATCACTCAGCCCCAAACAAGATAATGAATCATAAAACAGCACCACTTTGGTTCTGATTTGACCCATGTTAGTGATGCGCTTTCTTAAGAGAAATAAAAAGACATATATAGATAAAACACTATCTAATCAGTGTATATGAGAGGTTATTTATCCATTAGATAGTTTCTATTACTGCAGTTAGTGGGGATATTAACCTTATATAAAAAACAACAACCTAAGATAACCATTAAAACTGCAGCTGGATCTCATTTATGCTACATACAAGATGTCAGATAATAAAGAGCATTATTTTATCCATAGTAATGATCAAATATGGCGTCTGTGTCTGTGCTACCTCTCTCTCATTTATTTGGTTATCTGCCAAAACAAACACCAGCTAAACACACCTCAGTTCACTTCCCTTCACTTACCAACATGAGAGAAAATCAACACATCAGCACACACCCTTGTTACCGCGGTTACTAAATGAGCTCATACAGACAACTAATCACTTGTCACTTATGACACAGGCCTTCAGGATTAATCTGTTGGTTTGAAATGACCATCGAACTACACCAAAGTCTGTCTTAAAAAGGACCTCCTATTTGAGCGGTTATGGGGAAGGGTGGGTGTGGTGGCAACTGCATTCTTCAGTAACATGAATGGACACAAACTTAACTGTGCATTGTGTACTCCATAGCTAAAAATATTTTAGGAAATGATCCAAAAATATGGCAAAACGCTCCCTCAGAAGCCAGGGCAGTCAGACCAGGGGGAAAATCATGAATTAAATGATCACAACATGCCAAATTATACTTGTTGTTTTGCTAAAATTGTCCCAAAACTGCATTAAACAAGGTGCCATAAAGAATACTCTGGCTTTAAGTACAGCTAACCACTATCTTTCTTACCATCCTAGAACTACGATGGCCTTGTTGTAAGATCTGCAACTAAGGTTACAGCTGATGTCATCCATGCTGCTGATAATCTCAAGATTATTGGAAGAGCAGGGACCGGTGTGGACAATGTGGACGTGGATGCGGCTACGAAAAAGGGCATTATTGTCATGAAGTAAGTCTCTGATCATCACAGGAAGTTTGGTTTCACCAGATATCAAGCTGTTTCTTAACTGTGGGTTGTTTCCCCAGCACACCTAGCGGCAACACAATCAGTGCAGCAGAGCTGACATGTACCCTGCTGATGAGCCTGTCAAGGCAAGATGAGTCATGTTTTTTATGGACAGTATGCTCAGTTCTTTGTTTTTTACTGATGTGCTGCTGAAGTGCCACTTTAACAATGGCATTCGTGTTTTTCAGACATGTGCCTCAAGCTGCAATGTCGATGAAACAAGGCAACTGGGATCGCAAAAAGGTCAGCCGAGATTTTATTTTGCTGCTGTGTGCTGTTTGACTGTCTGTGCGCACAAAGCAATTACTGTCGCGTGATTGGCTCCATTGTCCAGCTCTTTGTTGCTGATCAGATGGGACACTTCACAGCTTTTGTGCAGGGTTTTATCTGTGTTTTTGTTTCTAATTTTACAGTTCATGGGTGCAGAGCTGTATGGAAAGGTGCTTGGAATAGTTGGGCTTGGAAGAATTGGAAAGGAGGTTGCTTCAAGAATGCAGTCATTTGGCATGAGGGTAAGTAATTAGACTATATGATAGAAGTGTGCACCCACACATCCAAGTGGTTCATTGCGTCTGTTATATTTGGATCAAACTGATGTTCCCTCTTTTCTCAGACCATCGGCTATGATCCAATCACTCCTACTGAGGTGTCGGCCAGCTGGGGGGTGGAGCAGATGTCTCTGGAGCAGCTGTGGCCTCTGTGTGACTACATCACTGTCCACACGCCCCTGATGCCCTCAACTGTGGGTGAGTTCAGTACAGGTTCTCCTCACTGTACAGATAACTGGATTTATGCCGACAAATGTTGGAATAAAGTGAATCTTTTCTCTGATTTTCATCCCAGGTTTGCTGAATGATGAAACATTTGCTAAATGCAAGAGAGGGGTGAAGGTTGTAAACTGTGCTCGGGGAGGTATCATCGATGAGACAGCTCTCCTAAGAGCTCTGCAGACCGGACAGTGTGGAGGAGCCGGGCTGGACGTCTTTGTTGAGGCAAGAATACTCAACCAAGTCCTCAAGTCGTCATTGTTTTTGCACAATCATTGCATCTTATACAAGACAGTTGCTCTACCTTCCTCATTCAACCATTGACCACATAGATTTGATATTTTTTTACATTTACATTTAAATACATGAGATTATAGCCAGGTGGCTCATTTCCATTCCCTGTCCCATAGACACATTACGCTTGTGTTTCCTTCAGTGCCCTCCTTCTTTGGTAACAGTGCTAAAGTTTTATGTCCCTCATCGTGGTCTGAGTTTCAGGACTGCCTCAAAGCAGATTATATTTTAGCATGAAAGATTTCAAAAAGGGCTAAGGATTATTTGACCCATGAATATACATTTCATTTTTAATACATAAAAAAAAAAAAAATATATATATATATATATATATATATATATATATTATATGAATCTTCAGTTTTATATACTAGTAAAGAGGGTCAGGAAAACAACAACTGTCTCAAGAAAAGACATTAAAAAAACCCTCCTTTTGTAGAGCATAAAAATACAATAAGAGACATCAAGCACCAGCAGTTCAATAAAAGATAAACTGTGGAGGTGTGTTTTTACCAAAGCACATAGACAAATAGAGCATCACTTTGTTTGGATTTGTCAAAATAGAAGAGTTCACAGAGTACAGAGAGGCACTGTATCAAACTCTTTCCATTGGAAATATGTTTGTCATTTCTAGTAACCATGTTTTAAATATTAGATTATGTCTGATCATAGACAGACAACAAGATCAAAAGATGGCACATCCTCATCTTTACAGAAAGTTAAATGTTCTTCTTTGTAGCAACAATGCCATGATATATTATTTAAGGTTGCAAGCAGAGTTATTTGGTACAATATCACAGTCATACATTTTAGAGAAGCACGTGAATTCGCAAAGTTAGTTTAGTTTGGGACAGGACTGAAATAAGTGGCCAAGGGTGCCCTCTGCTGACTTTCACTCCAGTCCAGACAGATTTGGGAAATGGGCAACAAACGAATGTGATCTGATGCAGGAACAGTGAGGCCTATGAAGTACTTTAAACTGAATTAGATGAACATGTGGATTTTGTTAAGTGTAGGTTTCTACATTTATTCAGGAAGTTTGATGGGGCCAGCTGTGGTACATAGTGTTACATATTTCTGACAACCTAGCCTCTAATCTGAAGATAAAAGAAAAAGTGTGTGTCTGGGTGTTTGTCCCTTTCCTTCAACTAAGTGACAGTGGAAACTGTTATTAAATCTAAGGTCTGCTGTAGAAATAATACTACCTTTGTTTTTCCAAAGGAGGAGAGGAGGTATGATTATAGCAAAGAGGAGTACAGTCAGAAATTTCAGGAAAATAAAACCACTTTAAGTTCAAGAACTTACATAGATCCTGTTCTATTAAGAGCAAAGAAAGGGTTGTTGTTCATTCCTTAATGTGAGTTTATACCCTGCTGCAAAGGCACATATGTAGAGGAGTTAGTCTTTCTATGGGTACAGTCCTGGTGAAAGAACAAAAGAGGTTTAACAAAAAAAACCGACAGTAACTTTTGACAATAATTATTTTGCAAACAAAAGCTGTCACTTATATTTTTCTATGTGCACATGTTTGGCATTAGGAGCCTCCTAAGGACCGCTCTCTGGTCGAGCATCCTAATGTCATCAGCTGCCCTCACCTGGGAGCCAGCACCAAGGAGGCTCAGGCTCGATGTGGGGAGGACATCGCTCTACAGATTGTAGACATGGTGAACGGCAAGAAGCTGGTTGGGGCTGTAAGTTCAACTCTGTTGTCTACTTTTTCTTACTTGAAAACTGCTCACCAGGCTTTTAGGTTTACTGCTTTAAGACAACTTTAAGCCATGGAAATCTGTTTTACCGTAACAGATGATGAAGAAGAGCACTTAAACTAAAGTCATAGAGACTGAATACTTTCAAACTCCATGATCACGTTCGGTTCATAGACTCACTCTGTTTCCATGTTTTCTCCTCTCTGTTAGGTGAATGCTCAGGTTTTGGCCAGCGCATTTTCCCCAGAATCTCACCAGCTGATTAAACTTGGTGAGGCTGTGGGAGCCGTGTTGAAGTCGTGCACTTCTACCGAGAAACCGTTCAGTCATGTCCAAATCACAACTCAAGGTAAAGCCACTGGTCTAACCTGTTTTTTCTTCCCGGTAAAGTGAGGAAGAGAGCTGTAGCGCTCTTTCCCCCTCTGCTGGTGAAATTGTGAACCAACCACTCTGGTTGAGTAAGAGAGCCAGTAGTAGTAGGTTTAATGTTGTAAGTTTATGACAGTGCACATTTTACTGTGATTTTTTTAATCAATTTTTTGCCTTGTTAATAGTGTCCGTATACAATTTTCTTCAATCCAGGTGATTGCATGAAGTCCTCCACTGGTTACATGACTAACTCAGTCCTTGTTGGACTCCTGAATCGCAAGTCAGGCTGCTGCCCAAATCTCATCAACGTGCTGAGCCTCGCCAAGGACTCTGGAATCACGGTACAGCGTTGGCTCATTCTGGCAAAACTCTGCATGTAGACACCCAGCTTGTTTCAATAACCTTACCACAATTGCATATATTGAATTTCCAGGTAAACCAGGGCCACTGTGGATCAGACGATGCCACCAGTGGTGTGTGCAAGGTGGAGATCATGTCGAATGGCTGCAGCCATAAAGCCACTGGTTCAGTTCAAGGTGGTGCACCAGTGCTGCTGGAGCTGGGAGGCAGCATGTTCAGACAGCCTGTGTCTCTTACTGGAAACCTGCTTTTCTTTAAGGCCTCTGCAAATCCTCAGCTCCTGTCCTCAGTGGCTGGTGAGAAACTTGAAGATGATTTAAGATTCAAGATATAAATGAATGTTTTATTTTATATACATGTAAAATAGTTTGAAGCAGCTTGGTTTTATTTAAAAAGGGTGAATGAATGATTTTAAAGAAGTTAAAATATTATGGAGTAGCTAATGATACAATTGAAGAAGCTTTTGTAAAATAACTAAGTACAAGCTCTTGTTCTCAAGACTCTCATAACAGCTGTTAATCAGAGTAAATGTCAAGCCTGAAGAAAAGCTGGTGAAAAAGTTACTCAGTCCACAAATAGAAACTAGAACGCTTCTGATGACCCAAAATCTGCCCACAGAGTCTGTCCTTATATGTAGAACAATCGGTCAAAAGCCAATTCAGGTCCTAACCACAATCCCAGTAGCCCGTTGATTGTTGAATTTATTTCAGCCTTTCACCTGTGAGGAGTTTTTTGATTTTAGTACAATACACTGAAAGTCATATTAATTCCCTTTATGATACACAAAAGCAAATCAGATCAGTGACGAGATTAACTAACTAGTACACTGCACTTTTGATGCCTGATAATTTTTTTTTTTTTTGGGGGGGGGTGTCATCAGAGCAGCTAAAGAAACAATCTTCTTTTATATTTTATTCATTAAAATCACAATAAAAGATACACTTGACTGTTGAAAGTCAGCAGGAAGACCTCTCCTAAAATTGTAGAGGACAAGACATGGAACAACTGTTTTGCTTTGCCCACAGGGGGGCACCAACATAGGTGCAAATTGAAAGTTCTTCACAAGAGCTTTTAAGTGTAAAATTTAAACTCCCTTACATTTTTTCACATTATTATGTTATTTTTGAGTCAACTCTTCAAAGGTATAGTATGTCTGCAGTGAAGCAGTGGAACAAAAAGACACTACAGCTGACTTTAAAGCAGCTAAAGGTGATAATTATGGTAAAGGTGGTAAGGCACTCGCTCTTTGCTGGTTTTTTAATTCTTGTTTGTATGAAGGCTGGTGTTGATTTATGACCTCCATGGAATTAGAAGCATTGGTTTTACAGTCACACCTTTTTTTCTGCCTCTGCTTGTTCTTTGTTTAGCATCTCTGGCTTCAGAGGGGGTGGAGATTGAGTCCTTCAGTGCTCCTGCAGACCGTACTGGGGATCTGTGGTACTGTGTGGGGGTCTCCTCCCTCCTGCGTGACCTTGGTGCCTTGAAGTCCCTGGTGAAGGAGGTAGCCCAGGTCACCATCTAGATGAGAGCTATCAAAAGAAAATCTCCACATTCTCAAGAGTGTCTAACATTAATGACCCATCTTGGTCCTTGCGTTTACAACTAACAACTTATTTAGAAGTTGAACTTTTGATAACATTCCAGTGTTTAGGTGGTTTACATGCACTTTGTTTGAGTTGCTCTAAACGAAATGTTTGTTGTGTTCGGTTTGCTTTTTGACTTTTTAAGCAGAGATGTAAAAAATAAATAAAGCACACTTAATGACACTACTGTGAGGGTTTTTTTTTTTTCCAAGTCAGCTGTTTCCTCTCTTGGTCTACTTTCTGCCTCTATAAGTTAATGATGTATTTCACCAAGTTGTTGGTCTATAAAGCAAACCTGTTGAGTTTAAATATAATTGAATACAACTGCTCAATATAATAGCCTAAAAATATACTTTTAAATGATTACAACATAAGTTTTTGTTTCACAGAGGGTTATTTTCAACATTGATCAACTGATTTCTTTTTTGTGTTGTACTCTGAACAGCAGTGGTGAATTTAGAGGTGTCCATGTCTCCCAAAGTCTGGCACCCCAATGGCAACCAATTTTTTTTTTTCCTATCATTAGAAACTTGACTTGCAGGAGGCAGAATTTGTGTTGAAATCAACTTTGGGATGTGTTGCAAGAGGGTTTTCATAGATTTACAAGCAGTTCAACGTGGCACATTCACTTCTGTTGGTATTAAAATCCTCCTTTTGGTTTTTTTAAGTTCTTGAAGTCATAAGCTGAGCAGGTGTAAGTGTTGCCACATTGTTGTGTTATAAATATACACTTGGCTAATGATTGTGATTTGGTGCTATATAAATAAAGATTCATTGAATAAAATTTTAAACACTTTCATGTTAGCATTAATGGAGATGTGATTTATGAAGACATAAGGGGTAAATAATGCTCTTCATTCATGTTAATGCTCATACAGTTAATGCCATCCCTGCAAAAGTCAGTGCCCCAGAGTCTACTCTCCCTCTTTATGACAAAAGATCTAATTAAAAAATAATCAGAACAATAATATTATCCTCCTGGTGATATAACAGCTTATAACTGCTGATTTTCATGCAAACCAACATAGAAAATACAATGCAGCACAAAGTATTACGCCCTGACTACCCCTGACTTTACCAACACCTATTTCTATAATTTTAGGAATACAATTTAAATAATCTTGTATGTAAAATAACTCCTCAAATTAAAAGAAGCGACTTTTTTTTTTACATTTAAACTTTCACTTGGGAGAAAGTCTTAGTAGTAGATTTGTCCATCATTATTCCGTTGATCAAGCCTGATATTTCAGGCCTTGTTTGTTTAACTGTCCTCTGTTTACTTTTAATGTAAGTTGCCTCTAAATATCCACAGACAAACGAACTCATGTGGTCTGAGGTCTTGTGCTGGCATGAATATTGAGCACTGTGTTCTGGTAATCCTTGTAAGGATTAGGTAAAGCCTTGGTCACCCTGGAACTGGGTTCAAAACGCCATGGCAACGACAAGAATAGGGGAAAAACATGAATGGTGAGCATTTAGCTTCATGTTGTGTGGCACCCCAAGGCGATGCTCATTTGGGTAAGATTTGTATTCTGTTGGTGCTGCTGCTCCTCCGGTTGGATACTTGCATGCACCGTCCGTGAATGCACCACGAGACTGTCTGTAGATGGCGTTTATATTTAGACCCGGGGAGAGAGAGTGAAAAAAAAAACAGCGGCGTTGAGGGTGATTCCTCTGAATGGTTGCTTGGTTTTGTCAAGGACCTGCTGCAGGAGAGGAGGAGGAGGGGGATGGCCGATGCGCAGGAATACCAAAATAGGCTTGAGCTGCGTGCGACTGTCCTGCTGGAGCTAAATTAAGGTTCATGTGTTGTGGAGAAGAGCGTTTTGAGAACCTGATGACTGTAGTAGGCACGGGTCATTCATGAAAACAAGGTTAAAGGTAAGCCTTTGGTTTTTCAAGCAGATTAGAGCCTTTTACTTATGAATTAAAGGGGCATTTGCAGTGCAATCAATAAATGGGATGATAACTGGGAACGCGACACCCTGATATTGCTTTGTCTTCCATACTGCAGGTAATTTGAGCTCTAACATGTTTTCATTCCCGCAGATACAATGTCACACAACCACAGTGAGATGTACACATACGACTTCAGTGATGGTGACCATGCAGTAGAGCTCCTGGATTCTCTCAGACATTTCTACATGAATGGCTTCTTCACGGACGTTTCGCTGCAGTGTGGAGACTCCAGCAAGGTTTTCCACTGCCACAAGGCTCTGCTGTCGGCCAGGAGCTCCTATTTTAAAGTCATGTTCACAGCTGACATGAGGGAGAGGTCAAACAGTGTGATAAAGCTGACTGGGGTTGACTGTGTCGTCCTCGAGGTCCTGGTGAACTATGTATACACAGCTCAGGTGTGCATCACTGAAAGCAATGTGCAAAGCCTGCTGGAGGCTGCAGACCTCCTACAGTTCCTCTCTGTGAAACAAGCATGCGAGGAGTTTCTTATTCGCTTGCTAGATTCAGGGAACTGCCTGGGGATGCACGCTTTTGCACAGCTGCATATGTGCACCAGCCTGGAGAGAGAGGCCCGCAGGGTGATGCTGAGCCGGTTCACAGAGCTCATCCTGCAGGAGGAGTTCCTTGAGCTGGATCCTGACAGGATTAGATCAGTGTTGGCAGCTCAGAACCTCACTGTGCAGAGGGATGAGGTGCTAATCGATGCTGTGGCCAAATGGGTTACTCATGACTTGGATAACCGTGTGCACCATGCTGCAGACTTGCTGCGCTGCACTCATCTGGACCTGGATGATATTTACTTCAGGGCTACTTTAGAAGTGCACATGCCAAGCTTGCTGAAAAATGAGGAGAAATTAAAAGCCTTGATCAACCAGGCATTAAGATCCAGTGGCAAGCAGATGTGCAGAAAAATGTCATCCAGCTTGTATGTAATCGGTGGATACTTCTGGCATCCTCTTTGTGAAGTCCACATATGGGATCCTATCAGCAACACCTGGGTGCAAGGGAAAGACATGCCTGACCATGGGAGAGAGAGCTACAGCATTAGTTTATTAGGAGCAAATATCTATGTGACTGGAGGTTACAGGACAAACACTGTGGAGGCTCTGGACACGGTTTCTGTTTACAACTGTGACTATGATGAATGGACTCAGGGTCGTCCTATGATCACAGCTAGATACTACCACTGCTCTGTGGCTTTGCACGGCTGTATTTATGCAATCGGAGGCTACAGAGGAGGAGCCCCAGAGCAGGAGACAGAGTTTTATGATCCTCTGAAAAAGAAATGGTTCCCTGCGGCCAAGTTGATCCAAGGTATGCCAAATATAAAGTGATGAACTGTTAGACTGAAGAGTTGAGAAAGCAAATCTTACTTTTCTTACTTTTCAAGGACTTTTTTATTTGTTTGGAGCACAGTTTCAGGTTCATTCTTTATGATGCGTCCACTGATAAAAGTCAGATTGAAAGCTCTCAAACAGGCCTAATTAAACAGATATACTTGTGATTAGATTGTTTCCTCATCTGCTGTTTCAAGGGTCAAAGTAGATGAATATACCTGTTTGTGTACATGCAGTTTAGAGGACAGTAACACACAACAACATAGGCTTGAGGGGTTTTGACATTTAGATTAGATCAATCACAAAGTCTGCTTATTGTTCTGTTTAAGGGCTTTTCAACAATACAGTCAGTTTGCAAAATCATCTCAGATTCGGCTGAGGTGTCAGAACAAAAACTAAACCAACTGTTGAACCTACTCAGAGAAGCAATGATGCATATTTTATTCATATGTGTAAAAAAAACAAATCCAAAAGCTTCATCACTCAATATTTTGCTTTTAACATAGGATCATATGACTACAAGAATATGGCAGTTGATGTTCATAGTGATAAATCTCCTCTCGGCAGTACTTAAGGTCTTCACATTAGTAATTTGGCTTCTTGAAGCCTCTTGTTTTTGTTTGCTGGTGCACACTTTACTGTTGTAGCTCTTCCCGTTATCATCCACCCTCAGCAGCAAGTCATTTTAACATGTAACCTAAATACACCTCAATCAGGACATACATAAAACATTTTTCCAAATCGAAACTCTTGACTCAATTATAAGAAATATAATCAAAAATACTCACAGTTGAGATCATGTTAGCAGAAAAAAGTTTTTATAAACACAAAACTTTATTCCTCCTTCCTGTTTAAGCGCAATTTCAGATATTAGTTGGTCGTATAGAGGCTTCAGTTTTAATCTCAGTCTTTTTTATATCCAACAACAGCAACAACAAAAACTCCTCACAGGAGGTTTAAATCCTTATAAATGCAAAAGTGACCATTCTCACATTTAATGCCTAAATTATGTTTACATTTACGCTTCTAAAATCTCTCTACGAAGTCATCTTCAACAAATTTCTCCCAATATCTGCAGTGAAATTGTTTCTAGTTGTGATTTCAGTTGTAGATAAAACTTCACAGTCAATTCCCTCTAGGTTGGTTTGTGGGTTTGTTTGCCACAAATGAGTAATAATAAATTTTATGTATTTGAAACATATTTATTTGAACAGAATTCTGTTTTGAATAACAAAAATGTTTATCAAGAATTGGAAAAATTATGTGGATTTCTGAAATCAAAAGTCAAATACACATGAAAGTCAAAAGTCAGGTTATTTCTCTTAGGGAGAGCACCATTGTGGATGTCGGAAGTGACATTCGTGGGTATCAGGAATGTTATTGCGGATATCTAAATTACTGATTTTGACGAGGAAGAGCTGAATGAAAGATATTAGCAGTAAATATCCAGTCTTGCTTCTCAGTGTTAAAATGATTTGTTAAGAGTATCAGACCCAGGCAGCTGGTTACAGCTCCTTCAGAATTGCTGTACTCATTATTACCAACAGCAAAACACGAAAGTGTTTCGCTACTTGGTGCATAAAATGTAGCATCTAGCTCTTGAAGGCAGTGGTTTAAGGCCTAAAACTGGGATAAAAGAGAGTGATGGTCAGAGAAAAAGGTTTAAAACGGCAAAAAAACCTGAGAGCTAACAAGTTTTTCAAACTCTTCAACTTTCAACTCTTCAGCGTTGATATGTTATGAAAAGTAATCGACATTTGTGTGTTTGACCAGTTTACACCTTTGACCTTTGTTTCCTTTGAAGGTGTAGGAAATGCCACTGCTTGTGTAATGGGAGATAAAATCTATGTAACTGGAGGTCACTATGGATACAGAGGAAACTGCACCTATGAAAAAATCCAAGTCTACAGGCCTGATGTGAATGAATGGAGTATCTTTACAATAAGCCCCCATCCAGGTAAGAAAAATAAAGGAAAAAAATAGATAAGAAATATGATAAAACAATATATTCTACTTTATAATCCTCTCTTTTCAGAGTACGGCCTGTGCTCTGTGTCCCTCCATAACAAGCTGTATTTGGTGGGAGGACAGACGACTGTCGCAGACTGCTATGACACAGAGAGCAACGAGTGGAGACCAATGCCAGTGATGAAGGAGCGGAGGATGGAGTGTGGGGCTGTGGTTATAAATGACTGTATTTATGTAACAGGAGGTTATTCCTATTCAAAAGGGACTTATCTGCAGAGTATTGAGAAATACGACCCTCAGCTGGACTCCTGGGAGATTGTGGGGACTCTTCCGAGTCCTGTCAGATCACACGGGAGTGTTTGTGTCTTCAGTGTGTAATATCAAAGTCCTATCAGTACTGTGGTCATTTGTGCCAAACAGATCAAATTATTATAATGTGTCAAAGAGTGGAAATATCAGGTGCACTTCTAGACAAAATGTTGTGTTAGGTAATGTTTTGCTCTGGGTAACAGTGTTTACAGAGCCACACATTTACCAAACTGTGAGCATAAGGAAGAACAAACTTCTGATTAACCTCTCAGGGACTTTAATAAACCAAGGCACTCTAACTAGATTATTTAAGATGAACTTTTGCACTAGGCCTTCACTTGATTTAATTTATCACCAGCTCCATGCTGCAATTTCTGCCCGAAAAAAACAAAAACAAAACAGTGATGTCAAACAGAACTTTATCAAACATTTATTTAATCACATTTAATGGTATCAATCCCACATCTTTGGTTTAACTTGCGACTGTTATATTTTATATTGTATGCCTTCTAACTATGTATTGTTCAGAACTTTTATATTTACAGCCTGTGATTTAAGGCCCTGACTGTTGACTGGATCATGACAGACTTCAGGAAGTAACTGCCAAAAAAAGTGAATGTAAGGCTATTGAATGAATGTCCAATGAATAATCGATGATGTGTGCTTTAAAATTATTTAATAAAACAATGATTTCAGCCAAAACAGAAAATATTTCATAATTTGTTGGTGGGAAATGCGGTATCTGATGTTAAAGAAATGCAATTTAACAACATTTCTGAAGCTCTGCACATTAAATTGATATCAGCATTCAAAGCCAGGCAGAGACTAATGCACGCTTTTATAACCAGCAGGCTTGACTACTGTAATGCTCTTCTCTCTGGTCTACCAGAAAGCACAGTAAACCAGCTACAACGGATCCAAAACTCTGCTGCTAGAGTTTTGACTAGGACCAGAGGAAGAGCTCACATTGCACCCATTTTAAAGTCTTTGCACTGGCTGCCTGTTAGTTTTCGCATTGATTTTAAAATTCTTTTACTAGTTTATAAAGCTGTACATGGCCTGGCACCAGAATACCTTTCAAAGATGATTTCAATTTATGAACCAGGGCGGCCTCTCAGATCCTCTCAATCTTCTCTTTTAGTTGTTCCACAGAGCAGAACAAAAAGATTTGGTGATGCTTCTTTTAGCCGCTATGCTCCAAAACTGTGGAACAAACTTCCAGAGGGTCTGAGACAAGCTGCAAATATTGAAATTTTTAGACGCAACCTAAAAACTCATCTATTTAGCCTGGCTTTTATGTAAAGCTTCATTGTTTTAATTACTATTATAATATATTTATTTTTTTGTATCACTTTTTACCTTATTTTATTAATAAATTCAAGTTCATATTTTATTGTCTGTTTTAGTCTATTTTAATAAGTTTTATTTTTCTTGTCCTGATGTAAAGCACTTTGAGCTGCAATTTCATTTGTATGAACAGTGCTATATAAATTAACTTTGATTGATTGATTTATTTAAAACATACAGAGAATAACCTTTCTTAGTGAAAAATTGTAAAAATATGATTCTTTAAGAGATGTTATTCAAAGATAAAAGTTGTGAAATATATGTAATAAAAATACTGCTACATCATACTTGACAGTTCATGATTCCCTATTATCGCTGCAGTCTGACCATAGAGTGTATATAGGATTTACTGTATGTCTATATAATTCGAGTTCGAGTCTGACCCATTCACTGTATATACTGTCTATATACAGTCTATGGTCTGACCGCTCTCCTGTTGTGTCACAGCGCCACCCCGAGGCTTTGACCAACATGACAGCTATCTCCATGAGGACATTTTATTGAGATTGTGACTGCGAAGAGTCACTATCGCGTTCGTGTTAAACGCATGCTTTCTGGACCTCGCTGTGCTCCGTAGCACGCAGTTGACTCAACAACGTGCAACTAGAGTAGTGAAGACTTTAGGTTTGAACACTTTTTAACAGCAGCAAGTAGAGACTGAACAAAACGTAAGTATCATTTTTCATTGTGCAGTTGAATGGTGTTTGTTATATATAAATTACCTTGTGATTATACTGAGAAATAACCTTATAACCGAGGAAGACACTCTCATCCAACACGTTTCACATCATGCTTTTTTCATGTAATGGAGTTAAGAAGAGTCGAAGTGACTTGTTAAGTATTTAAAACCCGTCCTGAAATGAAAATGTATCGTAATGAATATGCCACACAGAGTAACACACATAATTAGATTGTGACTTTGTGTTTCTTAACGTTAGTGTTTGGACACGGCATGGTAACGTTGCAGCTGCGTGATTACACATGAAGCTAAGCTAGCAGGTTAGCTTTAAGCTAATACCAAAAGCAGCATGACATCAACATAAATGAAAACAAGTTCAAGAAAACCAGCCTGCTGAGTATGATATTTAACATGATTTGCCTCAAAGCGTTGTCTGACTCTGCTTACTCATTCAAGGTATACATCAGATTCATAAATGAATTGGGATTATTTTCGTCTTGCTGTGAAACTGAAGCAAATCAGAAACAGACTTGATACTAAACAGCATAGACGTCCTTTAATTCAATCACAGCTGCTGAAGCTGCTCAATGCAGAGAAAAATCTGGAAAAGAGAGCGAAGGGGTTTCATTAATCTAGACCTCAACACACCCATATCTAAACCTGGCAGTACTTGGCCCTGCAGACAATTGATAAGATATTTAAATACCTACAGCTATAACATCAATGATGGGATTGATTGAGTCTTAATAATTGTGAAAGCTTAATGACCCAATATTTGGGAAGCCAAGGACTGAGAATATTTAGCATTTCTGTTCATTCATCATCTTAACCAATCTGCATTTTGATTTACAATCAACTTTTGTATGTGTTTAATGTTTGGGTTAGTGACTTTCAACAAATACAAAATGACTAAGCTGTATTCTTTAAAAATCAATGAGGTAAATATTCTTGTACTTCAGCATGAAGAGTGTGCATGCTCACAGGTATAGAGGAGCAAAAACTGGGCCATTGTTAAATGCATCAGACTACCTCTGCCTTTAGTCCTGTCTGAATCTAATGCAATGGTGTTTTTTTTTTGTCAGCTAAGCATTTAATAGTGTAATTGTGGTTCTAGTGGGCCTCAAACAAAACATGCATTCATGAAAGTGCCCCCCCCCCCCCCTTCATTTAACAAGAGATGATTGATTGTCTAATCATATTTGTCACTGTTTCCAACACAGAACAGTCATGGCAGAAAATCAATCAGAGATGACTCCGGTCGAGATGAAAGTGGCCCGACAAATCGAGGTAATTCCGGGTTAATGTTTTTTTGTGTTTGTGTGAATCAGTTTCTTTAAATAATGAATAACAATAAAACTAATAATAATAATGATTTCAAATGTTTGTTTTTGTATCCACCTTCAGTACTACTTTGGAGATCACAATCTTCCAAGAGACAAGTTTCTCAAAGAACAACTGCAGCTTGATGATGGCTGGGTGACTTTGGAGACAATGCTGAAATTCAACAGGTTTGTTTGAGCTTCTGCTTCCTGTTATGTTGTTTGACTGTGTTGAGAGTTCCTGCTCATGTTGTAGAGTTTTATTTCATTAATTCATTAAAACTATTCTATGGGTAAACTGAACAGAAATTGGATTGTAAAAACAAGTCTCTGGGATTATCTTTGAAAAAAATCAGACTTTCTCTGTCCACTTGCTGGATGTATGGGTGTACAGGAGGCACCTTTGTGTTTGTTGGAGCAGCTAATGAAAAAGTGTGGGCAGATTTGGGTCTCAACCTGCACACACTTTAACTTAGTCACACACTTGCAGGTTAAAAATAGCAAAAGGCAAAAATTAATGACAGAATAAAAGGTACAGTGAGTAGATGCAAACAAACTTAGCAGTCAGATTCCAGTTGGAAACTCTCGCTCACCCCTCTCATCAGTGAAGCAATGGTGGCCTTCAAGGACAAAAAGCTCTACACACTGCACCTTCAGGAGAGGATGTGAAGCTGAACATTGTTCTATGAGCTGCTAAGAATAGAAAAATAGATTCTTGACTGAGGACGGAGACTGTGATGACTAATCAGGTCATGGCCCATGTATGACTCACAAACAAGCAGAGCAGGATTATCACACGTCCTCACCCCTTTCCTAAAGTGTGCTTTGTCGTCTACATTTAGCGTCAGCATGCACATACAAAACAAAACTCTCTTCTTAACAAAGTATAATTTTCAGGGTAAGTGTTCATTCAGTGCCATCAGACATGGAAACCATCAGCTGCTATGGACAACTTTCTACAATCCAACAAATCTAAATTTCAAAGCTTTAATTTTATTAAGACAAGAATGAAGATGAGTCAGCACTTGTACTTTCTAATTGAGTATAATCTTTGAAAGAGGGACACAAAAGGGATTCAGAGTCTGCTCTTGAAAATTCGTCTCAAAATATGGGCCAGAGGGTGTTAAAAGTATCCCAGCAATTAGTCATTGTGGTGACATAACTGTCCTGACTGTAACTATGACTTCAGGTCCACAGATGTCACTCATGCTTTGCTCTGTGTCACAGCGTTGAGGTGAAAAATGCCTGTTCATGTAGATAACTGGTCATATTATTTACACATTGTCCTGCAGCAGCACTGATCTCTTGGGTTCACATTATTTATTTGCATCTTTTATTTTCTTTCCAGACTTAAGTCTCTGACTACAGAAAGCAGCGTCATCGTTTCAGCTCTTCAGAAATCAAAGACTGGTCTCATGGAAATCAGCGAAGACAAGACTAAAGTCAGGAGGTCCCCAGACAAACCTTTACCCGAAGTGAATGATGAATACAAAGACGCACTCAAGCACAAATCTGTCTACATTGTAAGTTTTTCAGTAGATGGCATACTTGTTCAGAATTTTAGACTAGATTGTTTGACTCACAATAAATTGTTGATTTAGATAAACTCATCTGTTGTAATACAGCAGCCCTGGGGAACAAGTAAATTTGTATTTTGTGTTACTATTGTCCATAACCATAAACAATGTTTTATTTTAAATTATTTCATGCATGCATTCCTTAATAACAAACCGTGTTGTAGTCGAGTCAGACTCCAGTCTCAGTGCCTCAATGTTCAAGTTACAATAGAGTCTGGGTCAGCAAAGATGAATCAGTAGAGCACTCTTTACCTGAGTCCAATTTGAGTCCTCTATTACAATGTTATTCAAGACCAAGAGGGCGTCTCACTCCAAACTGTTTGATATATAAATCTGGGCTGACCATGTGGGACTTTTTGGATGTGTAGAAAACACATTTTAGCTATAGACATTCTTTTCTGACCGAATAGAGATCATGATGGAGAATAGAGCTTGAATCATCGAAGTTACAGAGCTAAGTCTTTATCTGTCTTTTTTTTTTTAAATTATTATTAAGCACACTGAAACTCTGCTGCTGGGCAGATGTACTCATGAACAGTGGTGGGAACACTGTGGGTGTCCGATAAACTCAAAAAACCTGCAACCTAGCTGCTGTATTAGAAGTTTACCTAAAAACATCTTTGACCCAGTGATGGAGTCATTTGAGTTGATAACAGTCACATAGTCAACAATCCAGATGGCCTAACTTTAGTATCTCACATACTTTTGTTGGTGCATCCTGGATTGATGTCTGTCAAGTGCGAGGTTGTCCCTGTCTTACCTCTGGTTTCAATATATGTTGCACAAGTAGCATTGCTCTGTCTGTGATTACTGTCAAATCTCTGCAAACAAAGGGAACCATTTGTAGCACCTCTTTGGGAAGCCTGGTCTGGACTGTAGCTGAGCAAGACTGTATGAGCATGCAGGTGACAACATGCAGCAGCCCCTGCTCTTAACGGAATACATCTTTTAGAGCCTCATATATATTTAAGAAAAGGAAAAAAAAAGTCTCTGTCAGAGCATGAGTCTGATTTCTTTTAGTCTTCCAAGTCCTTATGCAGTCAGTGCTCAAGCCCAGGTACAAGTCTAAATCCTTGTCCAGTACTGCAACACTGCTTATGAGTACATTTCGTGACATTCAGTTTGAATTAGTGCTTTTCGGTCACATTTTTGTAGTTGTCACTTTTCTGTGCTCATGTTTCGGTTTTAACTTTTCCCATCCAGAAAGGTTTTCCCCTTGAAACCACCCTAGATGAGATTCAGGAGTGGCTGAGTGGGAAAGGCAACATAGAGAACATCCAGATGAGGAGAAATCTGCAAAGGCAGTTCAAGGTATGTTTGTATCATGTAACCAACTCCTTTGTTTTTGCACCTTGTTGTGGAAGATTTCATTATTCCATTTCTTTGCAGGGGTCGGTGTTTCTCTACTTTGACACAGAGGAGTCCTCGAAGCAGTTCCTTGAGCGCGAAGACATCAAATCGTACAAAGACAATGAGATGCTTGTGTTAGCAAGGTAAGCCGTGCTTGTTGGGTCCAAGATGTATTTACGCATTAAAACATTTTGAACACTTCTGCATAAAATAATCATCTCATTCCTTTTTTAGGGAAGCCTACCATGCAAAGAAAGCAGAGGAGAGAAAAAACTACAAAGCAGAGACAAAGGCAAAAGCTAAACAGTGAGTACTCAAGCAATACCTATCTGATCTAGAAACATACTGTATACTGTGGAAAATAACTAAGCCTGTTCACATAAAAATCTACAGGGAAAAGGAACAACAGCAGAAAAACGCTGAAGAGAAGGAGATGGTAAGATGTCTTAAGTGCTAACAACCATCTCGCACTGCCGAGATCTTTGAGCACTTAAATAATTCATTTCTTGTTTTGTAGGGTGCGCTCTTAGATGAACAGACTGGTTGCTTGTTGAGGTTTTCAGGAGAGCTTGAAGATGTCTCAAGAGAGGACTTTCATGCATTGTTTACTGGTCACGGGAAGATAAAGTGGGTCGATTTTACCAGAGGGGCCAAAGAGGTAAGCCAGCTCTCTCCCTCTTGAGTTTTGTGCCGAGTGTGAGGAGATGAGGTAGCTGAAATTGTGTTTTTCACTCAACAAGGGAACGCTGCTTTTCGATGGGAACGCAAAAGAAGCATTTGATAAAGCCAAAGAGGCAAACGGAGGGGAATTAAAAATCAAGGAGAGCAGTGTTGAATGGCAAGTGCTGGAGGGAGATGAGGAGAAAGAGGAGATGAAGAAAATAATTGAAGCTCAGCAAGGATCATACAACAGGAACAAAGGCAGAGGTAAGAAGCATTGTGACTTTGCATCTCCTCCAAAAAATAATGTTACATCTCATGGTAAATTTACTTCACATCAAGTTTCCATGCTTCCATGTCTGTCTCTAAAAGGTGGAAGAGGACGAGGAGGTGGCAGAGGACGAGGAGGCCGAAGGGGAAGAGGTGGCAGAGATCAAGGCAGAACACATTTCAAAGGCAAAAAGACAAAGTTTGATAGTGATGATGAGGACGGTAAGTGGAGTGGTTCTAGAGCCTCAAAGTTGTGTTTGGAGTTATTAATCGAAAATGTCATTTAAATAATTATTTTTTTTTCTTTTCCTCAAGAACCTGCAGCCACAAAGAGAGAGCTTGAAGATGCCGATGGTCCTGCAGCAAAGGTCGCCAAAACTGAGAATGGATCTTAGTCAAAAAGTCTCACCCATTTTTTTTTTTTTTTTTTTATAAACCTTTATTATAAACAGTGAAAATGCAGAGGCAACTTAAACCCATTCCAGTGAGAGCGTCAGGCTTTGGAGAACCTTAAGAAGTCCACCTGGATGTCAACCTGAAGAAGATTTAACAAAGATTTTTGTCAGTTTTCTGCTTTTTTTTAAGTCCTTATCAATTGTGCCTCTCTTATCAGTTGTGTATCTGTTTTCCTTTTTAAGATGCTTTTGATTTTATCATCCATCAGAAAAAACTGTCTTTTGACCTTAATTTAATTTCACCTCAACAAATAGCTGTACCATGACAACAGAAATGACTAGAATCTGTGTGCTGTTGTGTTTCCTTCTTGTAGATTATCTCCATTAAATGCTGAGAACATCTACTTTGCTATTTTTTTAAGTTTGCATATGTGAATAGACAATAAAACCATTTCTAAAAATCAAGGATGTATTTGTGAGTGTTATTCATCACACTTTTGACACAAGTGGCCCAGTGTAAACTTACTGATTTCTTCTTGTGAAACTTGTAAGATGCGGGTAGGTCATATCTTAGTTCTGTAATGACAACACAAAGTCAGTCTCTCAATATAACAACAATTAAGATGAGGACTATAAAAACATTTGTTTACCTGCTAATACTTCCATCTTTACCCCCCAATCGTGAGCCTTCTTCTGTATGTGCTGTAATCAGATGAGGGAATACACAAATCTTAGAGAAAGGAGTTTTCTGCTGTAACCTCTTATTTATCCTTCAGGCTCAAAGATTTGACTTGTTCTTGACTGCAGTGCTCCCAACCCTATTATGCTGTTCATATGATGATTTTGAGCAATGAACTTAATTACCTCTCTTGTTGATGTTTTATGCAGTGAATACACTGCAGTCTTTGCCATCGTTAAAGCAGCCCGTAAGAACTTCATGTCCATGCCTCAAAGAAAAGGGGGAAAAAAAAGGTTGACAAATGTTAAAATACACAAAACCTCACAGGTCTGTCAAAAAAACTTAGTTTCTGGGCACTCTACTGTATCCAGCTTGTAAGTACTGCTTAAGTCAAAACCCAACAACCAAAGTGATTCAATAACACATCACTGAGATGCCATTATACAAACAAATTCCATCAAAGTTGAGACACTTAATAAGTTGATTAAAAAGATATTCTAATAATTGTTGGAAATTTGTTTGAATCACTTATATTTAAAGTAGTTCTCAGACAAACAGATCAAATTTTGCAACTGAGCTCTTGACTGCAGTGCTTGCAGCTGAGAGTCAAACAGCTCTTTATTTAGATGAAGCTACTTGGTACAATCAATCAGTGTTTGTCCCATTTATTTGAAATATCTGAAGTCTGCTTATTTACTGGGTACCGTTTCTGTAAATTAATGAAATTATGTGGAATGTATGTTGATATTTGAACATGTGATTATTTCAGAACTACAGCTAAACAGTGGAAATGAATAAGGTCCAGTAATATGCGTATGTTGTTTAAGTATTGTTCTTGTTTTGTTGTTTTGTTTTTGTCTTGTAGACTCCTGTGAGTTGTTGTGGTTATTGATGTTGTCTTGTGTTTGTGGTGTGATGTTTTTTTTTGTTTTTTTGTGACTGTGCACTGCGGTGGAGAGTTAATTGTAAATGTAGACTCCAGGAGGAATAGCGATGGCCTTAGCCAAAGTGAATGGAGATCCAAATAGATGAAATGAAAGCTAATTCTTATTTATCCCCTTCCTTCGCTGGACGGCCTTCACAGTGCTCGCTGTGTTAAGAAGGCTCAGAGCATTGTCAGAGACACTTAACATCCTGGGCACTCCCTGTTTGAACTGCTGCTGTCAGGCAGACGTTACAGAACAATCAGATCCAGAACAAACAGTCTCAAAAACAGTTTCTATCCAACAGCAATAACTACCCTCGATGCCTTATGAATAACCCGCAACACAATATATATATGTAGTGGAATTGTGCAATACAAATTGACGGAATGTATAGTAGATGTGTGTGTGTGTGTTTGTTTTATTATTATTGTAGTATTTATTACAGTGAGTGTGTTTTGTTATTGGAGTATTTATTACTCTAGTGTAAATTATTTTTATTCATGCACTGACCGTCTGACACTTTTAGATTTCGTTGTACTTGTTACAATGACAATGAAGGACTATTCTATTCTATTCTATTCATATGGGAATGATAAGCTGATTTTTATTTTAATGCCATCAACACATTTCAAAAACAGTGGGGCAGGGAGAATAACAATTTGCGCAATAGATTAAAAATCAGAAATGACTGCATGGGATCAAAACCAATTCCAAAAACCACTGACTGAACACACTTCATCAGTGCGTCTATAAATGTGAAAACTGTTCCATGCAATCAAAATCTTTTTTATCGATATTTTATACAGTCAAATGTATTATCAGGGACCTTGGTGGACCCATTGATTGTTTATACTCACCCTGGTTGTGTTTTGTTCCAAATGGGGGGTTCATTATGACTGTGTCAAACTTGTTAGCATAATTTTGGGTCTCTATTGCACAAAGGTCGCACTGTATCAGATCCACATTAGAGATTTCAAAGTCCTCTGCATTTCTTCTGAAAATGTCCAGGGCGTCTCTGTCAATGTCTAAGCCGACACATAAACTACAAAAACAAAGAAAACAGAACCATTAATGAAATAAGGTAAATGGGTAAGCCATCACCCTTCTGTTTTGACATGATTGTTAATAGATCAAACTGTCTAATATGGGCTCTCACCCTGCACCGAGCACAGCTGACCCAATGCTGAGGACCCCACAGCCACAGCCGAGATCTGCCACTAGTTTCCCCTCAATGTCATCAAACGTGTTGTGGATTGTATAAAGCATACATGCTGTGGGAAAGAAAGAAAGTCATTAGAACACAGTGAACCGCCAGTGTATCCTCTTATTAGTGTCTCCTCACCTGCAATGTGTGGACTAGTCGGATATTGCTCAAGAAGAATTTTAGGCTCTTCAAATGCGTCAACTTGCTGCAGGCAACTTTCTAACTCTTTGAGTTTCATATCTAACAACTAAGCAGCTAAATTTTCGTTACCCCTCCCCGAAAACACAACGCTGTATTTCAGGCTGATATCTGCACAAGTGCTTTTGCATGACTTGGGGCTACTTCCGCCAGCCTGTGTGTACCAACCAAAACAACCCGACATTGACTGAGGGCTTGGGAGATTAGTTCCTCCCTCGTCTTTGCTGGATTTTTAAATGGACTATTTTTGAGTGTTAAGGGCAAGTATTAGGTTAAGATAAAATAACGTACACGGGTAAGTAAATAACACGCAAAAAGAAGGGCAGAGCCGAGTCCCAGCTACTTCTACATCAGACCAAATATTTTTTTTTGTGATATAAGATAAATTAAAATAAACTAAATAAAATGAATTAATTGAAACCCACATATATCGTTTACTATCATGGAAATAGAAATAAATTCATTTTTAGATTTTTGTTTTGTTTTGAAAAAGGTATCATTAATTTATCCAATTGTGTGTGCTAAAAATTCAGATTCATGTTTTGTCTGAACTTACAGTGCGTTTGGTGACTAATGTAATGATTAACTTGTGTGGATGGGCGAGTTACCTAGGAACAAAAAAAAACATAACAGCACTCTCACTGGTCGAGTTTGAAACGAGCTGAGCTGAGACAAACACTGTATTTTCGTGACTGAATATTTTTTAAAGGTCTGACTAGCTCTTTAACACGGGTCTAGTTTATTGTCATCGGACTGTGAGTTTTATGCCAAAGTTGAAGATAATCGTTTTAAACCAACGACGCATCGAGTGATATCGCGAGAATTCCCGAGAACATGGAAACAAGACAACAAAAATAAATTTGTGGACAACAAGCCAGAGTGCATGATGGCGGCGTCGCTGCTGCGCCGGGACAAGAAAGCAACTGCCGCCCACTTGAAGGCAGATCTGAACCGGACTGAGAACAGCACGGGGGTCCGACAACTTCAGGAGCTGCTTGATGTTGTGCTAAATCCCGAAAAACCAGCGGCTGACACAGAGGCTTTGGACTGGTGTAAATGTCTGATTGCAGGAGGCGAAGGTTTCGAGGAGTTCTGCAAAACGGTCCGGTCCTATGACAACGCTACCCTGTGCGGCTTGGTCTGGACGGCTAATTTTGTGGCTTACCGATGCCGGACCTGTGGTATCTCCCCGTGTATGTCACTGTGTGCTGAGTGCTTTAATAACGGAGACCACACGGGCCATGATTTCAACATGTTCAGGAGCCAGGCTGGTGGGGCCTGTGACTGTGGAGACAGTAATGTCATGCGAGAGAGTGGGTAAGTCCAAGCTAGCTGGCTATGCTAACCAAAGGGATAGCCAGGTAACGGGTTTGACAGGTCCTCTTGGTGAGAGGGTTAATAAATCTGCGTAATGGATCTCAGCTTCCAGATGATTCTGATTTGGATATGCTTACTGTCAGCTGAAAGCCCTTTTGAATGTTGTGATGCTCCTGTCATGTATTAATAGGAAACCCTTGACTAAGCACCTCTGCTCCGAGGGTGAGCAAGTCATGCTAACCATAACAATCCTCGTACCAACAGCCAGCAGGTGTAACAGGAGGCTTTAAAACATTTATTTATAACACTATTGCATATGTTCCTAATGGAGTGCCACAAGTGAAAAACAATTAGTGCTGTGATGTACAAATCCATCAAATCTCAGTTCTGTTTGTCTCCCATAGGGGAGAGTCGGGTAAGATGAGCCATTCTTCATATTTCAGATCACTACATCAAGACAATCATAGTTTTGTTTCTAGAGTATCTGCATATATTTCAAGATGTTGTGCATCCCTGCATATCAACAGAAGGAGTGTAAACAGAACTGTCCTTATAATATAGCATGCGAAAAAAGTCGTCTCCTATGCGTATGGGGTAAGTTGACCATAGGAGCGGGGTAAGTTAAGTCCCCACTCTCCACCCCAGCCCTCCCTCACCTTCTCTCTCCCTAAATAACAGTCACTTCTTCACATTCATGTGTATTTTTATCTTTATCTATTATTTGCTATTCAACTGGTACAATAATTCTTTTTAATATTATTGCATATAACTGCTAAAAAGCTGTTTTATAAAAAGACATTTAACATGAGAATGCCTTTAAATCATTCAGAACATTCACAGCTGTATTTCTGAAAAGAAAAAGTAACACATTTAAACAATCTGAACTGAAACTCTGATCCTCTCATCAGACTTCTTTACTTTCTCAGTTGAGTCACTGGCTTAACTTACCCCAGAACTACTATTATGACTTTTTTAGTCCTCTAAGCTAAAATGGTGGACTTTTATGCTAGGTTTTTGACCTCATGTTGTAACTCATAGATACCACAATTGATGTATAAAACAAATTTAAAATGATTTTTTTTGGTCTGAACACAATTCTAATAAAACTTATGACAGACTAAATTCACTTTCAAAAGTGAAAAATGTTTTTTTGTAAATAAATGTCTAACCCCTTCACCCATGTGCTTCTAACCATTACAGACTCCATGAACTGATGCCCATCTCCTTAATATTTGGTCCCATAATCAATTTTTTTAACCAATTCCAAGCAACAGGGGGTGGCTCAACTTACCCCACTCTCCCCTACTGAAAATTATATCCCACTTTAATCATAATGACCTGAGCATACTTTTGTCAGAGGTGCACTCAAACCTTGAATACAAATTTATTTTGATACCACATTTAGTCTGAGTCAAGCAGCTTTGTTTGCTGTTGAAAGTGTGGTTTTGTGTGTCATTATTTAGAGGGATTTTACTGCTGACTGATCCATGTCTTACAAATACAGACTAAACTAACATGGGCAAGAGCTGAAGAAGTTGTTGTGTTGCCAAGAATCACACAATAGGTATATATTTATATATATAAAAAAAAAAAAAAACTATAGTTCAGATTTTTATCTTGAAATGCTCATCTAACCTCAGCCATCTTTAGACCCTAAAAGGATGAGATCAGTGACACAAAAATAAATATAGTTTTGCCCAAGATCAGTTGTCAGCTGCAGCAAAACAATTGAGGGGACTTTACCTCAGATACCTTCAGCTTTTGGTGTGACTTGTCAGGATGATTTAAGCTGCTTATGAACTTGGAGAAAATGGATGAATAAGAGAAAAAGGTGATGACTAATTCGATCTTAATTGGAGGTCTGCAGTATCATAGTTTTATTTTCACTGTGTGATTTTTTTTTTTTTTTTTGTGATAGGTTTTGCAGACGGCATCGCTTGAGAACAGGGGAGAACATCCCCTCAATACCTCGAGACCTCCTCTTGATGTCTGAGATGGTTCTTCCTCGCTTTATCCTGTGTATCATACAGTATCTCAGAGACGGATATGTTGAGCCAGGTAGAAAACTTTCAGTCTTTTATTATCAGAGATGATCAGAAGTGCCATATAATCTCACATTGACTTCCCTTTATGTGTTACGTATACTTCTGCTTGCATATCACATGCAAACCAGGTTTTCCTGTGCTAGCAGGATACCAGTGTTATGCAACTGTTTACATCCAGATTTACATGTCGGATGGTGTACATCTCTTATCTCACTTCACCAGACACCTCAACTGAGAGAGATCTACAGAAAGTCCTGCAGCAGCTTGAGCCCCAGATCTCCTTCCTTGAGGAGCTAACGAAAATGGGCGGGGCAATGAGGACTGTACTGACAAAGATCTTAACCAATCAGCAAACATTCAAGGAGTTGAGCATGGGTAAATACCTTCACATTCAGAGCTTGTGTGTTGTTGTTGCCCATATTTGTGTGTTTAGCAGAGATTAAGTCAAATATTTTGATTGAAACATGACACCGCAGAAGTTCATTCATCTCTCTTTCTCTTTTGGTTTTATCCTTCAAGTTTCTGTTCATGTAAAAATATTGTTGTGTTTTCTCTTTTTTAAACATTTTTGCAATTGCATTAAGATTCTTTTTGTCTGCTCATGAGGGGGAGGCAGGGTCTACTTCATTTTCAAATCTATGGACATTTTCAGAACTTGAAATAAAAAGGAAATGTAGAGAAATTACTGGACAAAAGTCTTTTGGTTCTAATTTTTCACCAAGTCAAGCATTTTGAAGCAAACATATTAAAACCAGGTCTCCTACATTTAAAATTCAGGTTGTTTTTTTAAGTCTTAAGATTCTACATCATGGTCATTACATTTTCTGTTTTGCTTCTCTGTTGCAGGCCAAGAAGAAAATGTGTATGCTAAAAAGAACTATGACAAGTATTTGTCAGCCTTGAAGAATTCAGGTCTAGTGTCTATGGAAGAGAAAGCCCAGGGTGCTGCTGCTGCTGATGCTGCTGTAGGTGCAGAAGGAGGTGCAGGAGCAATAGTCCTATTAGGTAAGACTGTCATTACACTGAATATAAAGTGTATTTTTGATCATTGGTCATCTGTTGAAAATAGTTTGCTTTGAGGAGGCTGTGTAACGTCTATGCACTAAGCCTACAGAGAATTACCCATAATCCCACTGGGCTGTATGTTTAAACAGTCTCAAAGAAAATGTACAGTTCTCATTGAAGTACATAAATTTAGCTTCATACATTTAAGGTCACTGAACTTGCTGTCGCCACTTTCTCTTACACGTTTCTCGATGGTCAACTTGATCAATGAGCTGTTAATTTCATTTGTTGATGAGTTGGTTGAGGTTTACACAACAGTGACTGCCCAACAGCAGAGACCTCAGCAACAGAGAAGTCTAATTTTGCATCCATGACAGCTTATGTAACCTATGTTGAGCATTGCTGTTTGAACAGTTTTTCATTGTTGTGTATTACGGGTAGTGGTTCTCAGCCTTTGGGTCTCGACTCCCAGAAGGGCCATGAAATAACTTTAAGAGGTTGCCAGATGGCTGTAGAGAAAATGACATATTAAAAATCAAAGAGCATCGCTGGCTGGGGAGCAGTTTTTTACACTGAATCACCTCCAGAAGAAACGTCATATTATGTCTACAAAGAGTCTCTCAGACTGCCAGTGTGTTGTCTGTGTGACGTTTGGAGCATTAGGGCGCCGGTTTATGCTATAATGTAATCTTACGTACATAATGATCATTCCTCAGACTGATCGGTGTAGCTACACAGGGTTTGCTTCAGGGAGTAGGCTTCAAGAAATGATCTCATTAACACTGGAAACTGGTCCCCAATTGGGATTCATGGTCAAACTGCACAGAGGGAGACAGAGACTGTAACCTGGTGTTCGGCCTTTATAAATAATCCTGTGATGTGTATTATCTGTCTGTCTTCTTCATCTTTTTTTAATACCAAAGGTATGAGAAAGGGTTTAAAGGCCTACAGGCCGATGGTTTTACCAGAAGAGGATGTTATTTTAATTTAAATCAGGTAGCCTACATAATTCATGCAGATAACAAAAAAACTGTATGAGCAAATTGAACGACACAGAGAGAGAGCGAGAGACACAGACTGATGTTATAAAATAATCAACACAGCTTAGCTGTTATCTGTGTGATGAGTGACTGTATTTTTTAATGAAAGTTTATCAGAGATGCAAGCAAAGTAATGGGCAAGGGGCTGTCTCCACCAAATAAATGTTCAGGACAAAATTCCAGAATAAAACACTGCTTTAAACGCAGGCAGTCTCTTCATAGAAAAATACAAAGCGGGTTTGGCAGACTCTGACAGGGTCATTTATGGGGTCAAACTCAAAGGGTTCGTAAGGGATCATAGCTGGTCCATTAAAAGAGTTTCCTCGATATGCCATGAAGATGTTTATGGCCAAAGAAATGTAATGGACAGCTTTGTTATTTACAGATATAGACACATGCATTGAAAAGTGTGGGTTTGCTCTTCCTCCCAGCGACTGGTCAGCAGGAAAACATCACTCCACTCACTCAACACTGCAGACACAGTGAGAGCAGAAACAGTAGTTATAACTAAGACCCCAAAACAAGAGTAGGGCGGGAAATGAGGGCATTTGTTTCACTGAGACACACTGCTATGCTCACAGGGACACTTAACATGACCACAAACAGGCAAACACACACACACACACACACACACACACTCACACACACACACACACACACACACACACACACACACACACACACACACACACACAGAAGATGAGAGGAAATTGAGTTGATTCCTGATTTAAGTCAGGTAATAAGCTGTTTTTTTTTTGCTGTCTGTCTTTCCTTTTGTTGGTTAAACTGTTAACCAACTGATCTGTGAATTCATCCAAACCGAGAGAATGGTGATCCATTGCACCGGCAGTGATGGGCTCTATCTTGGATTGTTTTAATGTGCTAATGTGTACTTTGTCTTGAGATTATACTAATGTTTTTTGTGGCTAAAATTAGTTGTTGGTTTCACAGGAAACTCCTCACCAGGGAGCCCGGATGAGTCTAATAAAGAGGTATGTGCCAACATAGAGAGGAATCACATAGAATCACACACTATCTCAACCATATTTGATATAAAATTGAGTGTATGGTTCAAATGGAATAAATGTATTTTTTTTAATAGAATATATTTTGAACCCTCTTTGTCCTAGCTAAATAAAATGCACACTTTTTATTTCGGTGTGATAGAAGACTGTCGGTGTCTGTTGCATGCAATCTGGCATATGTAAACATTGTTGGCAGGGATCCTCAAGCAGCAGCACTCTGCTTTTTTCTGCCAGTAAGCCACATACTGTAAGGACATTAACACCATATGGCAATATTTACCATGAGGAATGATTGAATGAATAAGAAAACAGCCAAACCCGTATTCAGCACGAATAAAGTAAAGATTACCGACACAAATCCTCCAACAATCTTAAAATCCATGATTTTGTTTGGGTGTTTTACTTAGTTAATTTGTTAAAGATGCTTGGCTAAATCAAAGAACGACCTGATCCTTAAGTGAGTTCATTCTAGTTTGATGTGGCCTGATCTTTCTCATCTTGTGAACTAAAATGTGTGTTTTGGGATTTTCCCCCTCAGGAGGACCAAGATGCAGGGCTGTCTGTCGGACAGAGGAAGAGGGTTAAGCTGAGTAGCAGTACCAAAGGTAGATGTAAAGAAAATGTAATTAAAGAGTGTATCAAACATGTACAGATTTTCTTATAGTGTCCCTTTTCTGCCACCAGACCCGTGTATTATTGAATCACTGAAGCATAAGTGCTTTCTGGAGGAGTTGCTGTTCTGGACAATTAAGTATGAGTTTCCTCAGAAGATGGTTACCTTCTTACTGAACATGTTGCCAGATCAAGATTACAAGGTCAGACTTCCATGTTTTTCTGTGTTTGAAGAGTTTAATTTTGACTTTTCAGTGCATGTGTGAAACAGTGATGTAATACTTCTCCTTACTCCTGGCTCACTGAACAAGGCTGGTCACATGTCTTCGGTTTAGAGAGCACAGATTGGAGCGAGTTAATCACTATTAACAGAGAGCTTAACTGCATATTGTGATTTTCTCCTCCTGTCTTGCAGATCACCTTTACAAAAACTTTTGTTCAGCATTACGCATTCATCATGAAAACGCTGATGAAAAGCCACGAGTCGGACACCATGTCCAACCGCATTGTACATATAAGTGTGCAGCTGTTCAGCAATGAGGAGCTGGCTAGACACGTGACGGAGGAGTGTCAGCTGCTGGATATCATGGTCACTGTCCTCCTCTATATGATGGAAAGTTGCCTTATAAAAAGTGAACTTCATGGTGAGTCTCTGATGATTTAGGATTGTCACTGCTGAAACAGTCTGAGTCTTAAATTTGTGGGTGCAGTTGTTTTCCCCTCTGATTCAAAGTAAGCTTTTAGGTGTGGTACTTATGTGTGCATCATGGTTCTCACTATTTTCCACTCTTTTTTTAATGTCTTCTTAAAAACTAAACACAAAGTGAGCCAAAGTGTCATTTCCTCATGTACATGTCTTTCTTTGTCTTGCCATTTTTTCCTTCAGATGAAGAGAACAGTCGCCATGTTGTGGTGAACTGCAGTGAAGCGCTACTGAAGAACAACACTTACTGGCCATTAGTTAGCGATTTTATCAACATCCTCTCACACCAAAGTGTAGCAAAAAAGTTCCTGGAAGACCACTCATTGTTGATGCTGTGGATGAGCTTTGTGTCATTTTTCCAAGGTGAGTCTTCATGTCACTGCACAGATGATATGCTTGTTAACATAATCTGAACACCCTGTTTGACTCTGCTCCTCGTTCATACATTCTTTTCCCTACCACTGCACAATTTAACACCTGTACATAGAAATTCCACATAGCCAAAAACATCACATGATTTGAAACAGTTGCTCCTGCCAGAGCAGATTTTCCCTCAGACTTTACATCAGCAGTATTCTCAGTCAGACAGGGCGGACCTCTGCTTTCCTTTCCTGATCATAATGCCTCACAGAAAAAGTGAGTCAGGTAGTGTACGACTGAATTAGAATTCACTGCTCCCTTGCCATGTGTACTCCACCACAGCCCTAAAAATAAATCTCACCCTCACAGTGAGTCGGAGTATCCTCTTGCTGATGTCATGTGTGCAGTGTCACTGTTACATTATACACTGCACTGGTTTTGCAGTAATGTTGGTGTATGATCACAGTTTATCTAGCCTTTGTCAATCCCTTTGATTCATAAGAATATAAAGCTCCATGCTTATAAACATACTGTATATAACAATATTTTAAAATGCACATTTGTAAAATCTTGCATTTAGGGTCAAAGAGGTTGAAGTTGCAGCTCTAGATGTGTAAACTCTAATTTTTTATGCTTTTTTCCTGCTGGGATAGGTATGAACCTGAATAAACGGGAGTTGAATGAGCATGTGGAATTTGAGTCTCAGACATACTATGCAGCATTTGCAGCAGAGCTGGAGGCCTGTGCACAGCCAATGTGGGGTCTCCTAACACATTGCAAAGTCAAAGTAAGTCTAATCTGGATTCTTGAACTACGCACATGCAGATCTCTAGCATGCATGTGCCACATACATCTTAAATATGTTTACTTACAGTAAGACCATTTTTGGATTTAAATTTCTATAATGCTGTGTTTTCTATTCATAGGAGACACAAGAATACACTAAAACTGTTGTACGCTACTGCTTGGAGACTCTGCAGATCTGGTTTGATGCCATTGGCTTCATTGATGAGGTGAATTAACAGCCAGACAGGTTTCTTTGCTAGCAGATTCTCTCCTTACGTCGTTTCTCATGACTTAAAATGTTTTTTTTCAGCCTGCTCCAAATCAAGTGACATTTCACCTGCCACTGCATCGCTACTATGCCATGTTCCTCAGCAAGGTAAGTGAGACCTTCTTGTCTCTTTAAGACTTGACTCTTGATCCTAGTCTTGTGTCTTCTATGCCTCTCAACTTGTTTGGTCCTCAGGCTGTGAAGTGCCAAGGCCTGGACCTGGACAGCCTCCTTCCAGACCAAGAAATGCTCATGAAAATCATGGTGCACCCACTCCAAATCCAGGTTTGACTCACAGATACTTATATGTGGTTTTATTTTGTGTTTATATTCCCAACATGTCTGGAGCCACAACTTGACTCACACTTTGCTTTGCATGGTTGTAGGCATGCCTGTCGGAGATTCATAGCAACATGTGGGTCAGGAATGGTCTTCAGATCAAGGGACAGGCCATGACCTATGTGCAGTCACACTTCTGCAACTCCATGATTGACCCAGACGTCTTTCTGCTCCAGGTTTGGATCTCTGCATCACAAACTGGTCTCATGAGAAGTATTGCTCATTTAAAGCATCTGTTTTAACCCCCCAAAAAATATTTCCATAGGTTTGTGCTTCAAGACTAGATCCTGACTACTTCATCTCAAGTGTGTTTGAGAGGTGAGCTCTAAATCCTACACATGCAGTCATATGTTTATTCTCTATATTTTTATACTACAAACAGTCATTTTACTGTTTATGCTGGCTTGTCTTACCCAGATTTAAAGTGGTTGACTTATTGACCATGGCGTCACAACATCAGAACGCTGTGTTAGACTCTGAGCAGGAGAGGCCGATGCTTGAAGGAGCGTTGACCTTCCTGGTCATACTGACAAGTCTCCGCATTCATCTGGGTAAGTGGTTCAACAGAAGAGACACACAGCGTACATACACACACACACACACACACACACACGGACAGACAGACAGACAGAGACTAAGAAAAAAAGAACAGTGTACAGATTGAAAGAAAGAAAGTAAGAAGAAAAGAAAAAACAGCGTGCAGATAGAAAGGAAGAAAGACAGAAAAAATTGCATACAGATAGAGAGAAAGAATGAAAGAATTGCATACAGAAAGAAAGAAAGAGCTTATAATACGTTAAAAAACGGCTTGAGTTCAATTAGCTTGTATATGTGTTTGCTTTTTATTCTTCTTTTCTTTCAACACATTATGTTCAGGAGGAATACACACAGAATCATGATTAGCAGCCACTTAGGTGAATGATGATAAATAAAAATCAATCAGTATGTGAAAACTCTTCGGCATGGCTTATATTTTCTTAATTTTAATTTTTCGCTTGATGAGAGAGACAATGTACTGTCCTTGTGAAACAGCATACTGTATGTCACTCGCTTTGACAGTAAACTGTCGCCAATTCAGAGTATTTCCTGAAATTCTCGGTGCTTTTCTGGTTAATATGTTTACTGTTGATCGTTTTACAAATGACAAAAGTCAAATAAAGGCTCCATATAAATAGTTTTTTTGTAAGGGATAAGGAGGACTGTCCTAAATATGTCTTTGATGAATTGGCTTGCTGATTTTGTCACACTTTACCCATAACAGGCTGACTTTTTTAGTATAAACTACTCACACCTGCTTAATAGTGATGGCAGTCAGAATCCTATAGTGTCATAAAGCACATTTTGCTATAGGCTTAATTCACAAACATCATTTTATCGTGCCATAGATGGCTGAAGTCTATAGAAGTATGGGTGAGGGAGGGTGCAGCAGTGAATCAAGGGCTCATTGCTGAGGGTAGAACCAACAACAAATGCAACAAAGACCATGGCCTCAGTACACTTAAACCTCGAGGCACCCCTGAACTAGGACACTTGAAAGAAACAGTCTGGCTGCTGAAAACATGACCAGCATGATAAAGTTGGTCAGCAGCATTTTTCATGCTCACCACACCTACAAAGAGCTGCAGTCATGCTGGAGAAAAACACCGCCTGAATCCTGTCCAAAAATCTCTGCTACAAATATGCTGACGTTGTTTTCTGTTTGTTATGCAGTTCACTGTATGACATATTAAACATTCAAGCAAAGCAGTGTCAGAATAATTCAGTGGTGACTCTGGTTCTTCACCCCTCCACCGAGCATAGGAAAACTGCATCATCCTTTAGTAGTATTCAATACAGGACTGTAATATCTATCATTATGCATTTACCATCTATTTCTTGCTCTCACTAACAGGAATGACAGATGATGAGATTCTTCGGGCTGAGATGGTGTCCCAGTTGTGTATGAACGACCGTACACACAGCGCCCTGTTAGATCTGGTATCCTTCAATGCTAAAAAAGTGCAGTAAACACAAGTTAATCTCATTTATCGATGGAAATTTTTCCCTTGACAGTGTTTTCCTAGATTCCTGAGAATCCCAACCCAAAGAGTGGCATTGTGCCAGGGAGCTGTAGTTTTGAGAAGATGCTGTCTGATGTGGCGGACTTCAAGGCACCGGTCTTTGAGCCTGGAGGCTCTATGCAGCAGGGAATGTACACACCTAAAGGTACAGCAGGGTTTACAAAGACTTCTATGATTTGCAACATGCTGATGATAGTCATCCAGAATTTGCACAAAACTAAAAAACACAAAGTCATGTCTTTAAAGTATGAATTAAAGTCATTATATATCAGGGCCAGGGGAATTACTTGCCAATGCATTCACACAGCAGGGTTTGTACTGTATTTGTGCAGTGGTATGTATCTCCTGTAAAGGTCAGTATATCATTCTGCTGCCATCTATTGGCCAAGTGTAGTATTTAATGTCATAAGGACTCCTTGCGCTGAGTCTTTGATATCCTCAATATATAGAAGAAATAGTAACAGTGGAAAAATCTGCATTATTTAAAGGAGATAATTTTCACAGTTTAACATGTTATAAGGATGTATTTTTTTACAGCGATTGAAAATATAACACAAGCAAGTATTTTCTCAAAATCGAAAGTATTTCTCCACCATTACCTTAGATAATAAAAAATACAATCTTAACTCTTTTCTGATGAAGTTGGAGGTGTATCACTCATATTGAGTTTTTGTTAGATGGAGTATTGCACATAATAGAAAGAAACTAATACATCACTATCACAACCCCTATAACAGGAAAAAATTAAAATCATGCGATAGATGCTGATTTGTGGATAAAAATGAGTAAAAATGATGAGAAGGAAGCTTTAATATTCTGTAGGCGTTTGGTGCATATTTATAGTATTAGTCCTTAGCTGACCACTTGGGGGCAACCTTACACCACTTTCATAAAAAAAGTAAACTCAAGAGAAGGTGAATCAATGTGACTTTGGACCAGAGATTACAAAACATTTCTCTCCCTTTGTTCTCACAGCCGAGGTGTGGGAAAAGGAGTTTGACCCCATCATGGTCATCCTCAGAACAGTTTACCGCCGTGATGTCCAGTCAGCCATGGACAGATATTCAGCGTTGTAAGTCAATACTGTTGTCTTTGAAATGATCTGTAATTCCTCCTAAAACACGGCCTTTAGATAAATCGTGTATTTTCTTTGCATTTTTAGAGTAACAGATGCGTCCTTCAAGTGTTTGTGCACTCGTGTCCTTGAACAAACTGACCTGCATTAGGCGCACCTCACCTTTCTCACCTGAACATCGGGGCACGTGATGAGATAGGTCAAGTCGATTGGGTGCTGAAGTTGGTGCCAATTAAATAGTTGTCGAGAAAAATCTATAACTCAGTCTAAATCCCAATAGAATCCAGGAAACCTGTCTTGTTTGATTGTGGTACAGATGTCCCCATGGACTAGGATGTCAGGTGGAGGTGAAGGAGATATCCTCAGGTTAAATTTGATCGAGGAGAGGTTGAGACCTATAAGACTACAAAGAAATTGTTGTGTCTGTGAGGGGCACTTTCAGCAGCTTACCTGTTCAAAACAGGGCCTAATTCAGTACAGCTGTGAGTGACAGTATGAATGGATCAGTGATGTAGATCACTGATCTATGCCTCTTTCCCATGCATCACATGTTTTCCAAGGGGCAGCGAACGTGATCTAAACCAGATGAAAGTGAGGCATATTTGTCCTTGTAACATATTGAAGCTGCCTCCTCCACCTTCAGTGTGTGATACAGCCTCATGTTGCTCATTCTCACTGTTTGAATATGATGGATTGCCTGTCAGGCTGTCCCTGGGTTTATGTAACAATGATCCCATCATCACTAATAGAGTGAGCGACTGTGCTGCCCATTGGTTCTTCTGTTGCATAGACTGCAAACCCTTTGTGCAGTGAATTAACTCTGGACACTTTCTTGCTTACTCGCTCATTTTATTATTTTTTTTCTTTCTTGTCAATAATTTTAGCTTAAAACAGTCTGGTATCCACACTGGCAACCCATGGCCACCCTACAAGGAAAGGACCCCACTGCATCCGTGCTACAAAGGTCTAATCAGGCTGTTGCACTGCAAGACACTGCACATTGTGATATTCACTCTGCTTTACAAGGTGAGCCTTTTAACGGTTATTCATGTGGTATAAAACAGTGCTGCTGGGCATCTCAGTTTAGTCCGTGGGTTCAACTAAAAGTGCTCCTTTTTCATCATATTTAATTGGTACACCAAAAATGATTGGTTTATCCATTACTAGTGACATGTTGGACAGTATTTGTTGTAAACTGAACAGATGAAATGCATAATGAGTGGAACATTAGGCACAATGACAAAACCTCAAGAGCACTGCACTAGTTTAATATATAAAAGAGTTGTAAACAAAGCTGGAACTCTACATGGTTTCAATGTAATCTAATAGTTTGATGTTTTCTAGATATGGATGGATCATCAGAACATGTCTGAGCATGTGTTGTGCATGGTGCTGTACCTGATCGAGCTGGGCTTGGACAACCAGGTTCAGGAAAACAAGGAGGACGAGGTATGAGTGTTAGAGTTAGAACCAGTCCCCTCAGTGGAAAGACTTCCCGTGTCCTCGTGTGTTTTAAATGATCTTGTGCTCATAGGAGCCTTGCATTGAAGAGCACTGCCATGACAGCTGGTTCCCCGGCACCAATCTCCTCTCCAACCTGCACCACGTCATCAACTTTGTGAGGGTTCGGGTTCCCGAGACGGCCCCTGAAGTGAAGAGAGAGGCCCCTCCCAGCACCAGCACTGAGGCGTCTTCATATGGCCAGGTAAAAAAAATGTGCTGTGTGTCAGTGATGATTTTATACATTAGCGTTGTATTAATCCAGTGTTAGATGGAGGAAAGTTAACATCTAAAGAAGAAGACCCAGGTATTTGACGACAAAACAAATAGAACAAATTAAAGACCAGTGGTTATTTGATTTTTTTGTCAGGTGCCCTAAGACTCTTCGGTTCCAATATTACAGTATATTTGCTGGTCTTTATTGACAAGCACGAGTCTGGGAGTGATAAACACCAGATAAACATAGAGCATGCAAGGTCCATGTTACTGACAGTTTTGTTTTGATGTACTTTTGTTGTCCATTGGACTAGCACAACTTAGTAAGGCTTCATCTCCACTTCTTCATAATGAGACACAAACTGGTACATGATACTGCTTATGCTGCCATGAAAAAGCAGCTTGAAAGATACCCTGCATGACAAAGGTATGGTGAGGTCAAATAAAGGTCAAACTAAACTTTCAAGTAAATAAAAGTATTAGATAAAAAATAAAAGATCCAGCAGAGTTTGATCTGGGACATTCAGTTTTACTGCTGACATTTAGTTGACCCTAAGAAAAATCTGTGTACGGTACGAACAAAGAACAACATATTTTAAGGAGCTTAAAGTGACCATATGGAGGGTCTATAGAAGGAAATACCATGACAGAACATATTTTGGGGACCTGTGTGATGTAAAATATGGGTACAAGGTAGATGTTGAGGATGGTTGTCGGAGGCCCCCGGCTCCAGCAATCTAACACTGAAGTATCTGAGGTATTTGAGTGACACAGCTCCACCGCTCTAAAGGCTGACATGACTGGCTAGAGAAAATCATCCTAACACAGAGTCTCGCCATGATACAAACTGGCATTTAAAGAAATGGAAAACTGATCTGAGAAAATAAAAACAAGAGTGATACTCCGTAAGTGTCAGTGGGCCTATGTGTCTTGTGTGTTAAAGAGAAGTAGGAATTTTTCTAAATGCATTTCACTGAATAGAAAATAAATAAATGTGTGCACAGTTGAACAATAACAGGTTTTGTGATTTCAAGCAAAAAAAAATCACGTAGAAAAACTACAAAATGATTTTTTTTTTTCATTGCTTGAACATCAAAAACACGTTTTTATGATTTAATGGCACTCAATATTTAATTGCTGGAAAGACAATTATCAGAGAACTATCAGGATAAGTTTGATATTATTTTACACTTTTTGAGGATAAATCCACATAACACTGTTGCTTCCATCTAAATGCTGCTTTGAGGACTCATATAACACCAACTTACACAAAAGCACTGCAACTGTTTTTCTCATTTTGCTGCTCTCAGCCCTGGCATGCATATGGTTTATTCATCATCTCATTTTGTTGTTTTCCTTTCTTTCATGTCCTTTTTGTCATATCATCATTATTTGTGTTGGTTTTGCTGTACCTGCTCCACAGAACTCCAGACGTCTTACAGGGAATTGGAGAGAGGTAGCTATCTTCATCCATTTCCGTCCAAAGGCTGATGGCTTTGATGCCACCCGCAGCTTCATTTGTTGACTTTTTTTCTTTAATTTGAAAGAGTTTCTTTGCGCTTGTTTGTTTTTGTGCATCTCAGAGGGTGTCCGCCCCGGTGTGTTGTAGTCTGTGTGTAATGCCGTGCTTCAGCAGTTCCCCTCCCTCTTGACTGCTGAAACTAATTACATGTGTAATGTAGGTGTGGGTAAATGCTTTTTAACCGCATGTCAATATGATTGATGTTGCTCCGAGTGGACGACTTGATGAATGTTTATTTAACAGTGCCGCTCAGGTCCCCTCTCTCAGGTCAGGTCATGGTAATCTTTCAGTCGGCTTTTGTACTTTAACATCAGGTTGATTTGAATTTCGTCCAGTGGTGGGACTGCTGTGAGTGCTTTCAGTGACGGTGTTTGTGACCCGTCAGCTGAAATTTATAACTGCTACTTAATTTAAAGTGTATGGTGCCAGCCACACTATAGAAAGGAAGAACCTCTTCAATATATCAAAGCTTTTTAGTCTGCATGAGATGTACTCTCAGGGGAGGAAGAAAACTGATGAAGCTCTCAAGTGCAGTTTAAAATGAAGGAAATGTCGTTTAGAGGGTTTTTATATTTTTTATGTGATGGTATTTTGTAAATATAGTGGAGGATTGATACTTGTAATGTTGTTTGCTGTGAAAATTTTTGTTTGTGTGTGATTTAAGTGCAACACAGAGAGGCAGGATGACATGGATCAAGACTGGGTGTCCTGATGTTGATGTGAAGTGTTAGAAATGAAAATATTTTTTGTTTTCATTTTTCTTTGCTCTCCTAGAATCTGCGTGAAGCTCAGGTCTTCAGCCTCGTCGCTGAGCGCAGGAGGAAGTTCCAGGAGATTATCAACCGCAACAGCACTGAAGCGGCCCAGGTTGTCAGGCCCAAGAGCTCCTCAACACGCTGGGTCCCACCAGGAACTCCCCCTCAGCTGGTCACAGAGATCTTGGAGATCCGGGAGAGCATGCTGTCTCTCCTCATAAAGCTCCACCAGAAGTTGTCATCCAAGCAGAACTCTCTGTCCGCTTCCTGGCTGGAGGACATGGACACGGGTCGTCACACGCATGGAGATGGCATTACAGCCATCGAGCGCATCCTCACCAAGGCAGCCACACGCAGCTGCCAAATCAAGCGTAGCATCCAGGACATTTGTGGGAAGGTTTGTCCTCCTGTTCCACCAAAGAAGAACAGTCCAACTGACAAGAAAGCCATGGATAAAGAGGAGAGGTAACACAATCACACTTCTGTACGTCTTGTGAATTTATGTCTCTATGATACTGCTCTTTATATATTCACAATGGTTGTGCATTGATACTGTGTACATTAGGCGATCCTGAAAGGGAGTTTAGACATTACAATCTACAATCATCATATATTTTACAATTTGAAAGCTTAATTGAGATATAAATATGTAATTACATCAATGTTTTAAAGCGCTTAGTCATATGTGCCAAAATACTGGATGCAGATATAGATTTTCTGTGTTTTTTTAGTCCTTTAAAGTCTATATTTAACTTACAAAAGTGCAAAAATGGCTTGAAGTGATGATACAAAAGATGTTTATGAGGAATATATGCTTGTTTTCAATTTCTAATGAGTTGAGACAGGGACATTGCATCCTGTTGTATCACTTCTTTTAACAACACTGTAAACAATTGGAAACTAAAGAAGAGCAGTTTCTGGAGTTTTGAGAGCAAAATGTTCTACATTCTTGCCTGATACAGGATTTCCGATTCTCAACAGTTCAGGGTTTCTTTTGTTATGTTTTTAGTTTCATAATGTGCCAAGTGTTTTCAAAGGATGACACTTCTGCAACGCAGGCAGGCCAGTTTAGCACCCAGACTCCTCTACTGCTGAGCCATGCTGTTGCAGGATGTGGTTTGACATTGTCTTCTTGACATATGCTAAGTCTCCCCCTAAAAAGAGTATTGTCTGGATGGCAGCAGAAATTGTTTTATCATGGATGCTGGTTATTAAACTGTGTGCTAATAATGAGCTGAGTGGTCCCTTTCGTTCTTAGAGGACACTGGCTCACTCTACCGGAAAGAATTGGAAATTTAGATTACACAGCAGGACACAGGACAGTTTCCACTTAGTCTCAGTCCATCTTTAATGTGCTCAGGTCCAGAGAAGATGAAGGGGTTTAAGCTCATGCTTATACATGGATCCTGATTTTAAAATTTTACAGAATGTCTAGTTTTTCAAAGTATGCTAACCTCTCAAACAGCTGCAACAAATCCATGAGCATTGCAACAGAGAACATCAAAAGCACCTGAAAAGGAAGTGAAGGCTGTCCTCTCTAAATACAAAATTGTAGTAATGTTCATTTTTGAGGTGCAGAGTGGCAAGTAAAAAATATTCTGTCTCATGACAAAGGAGTTATCTGTACAGAAATAGATGATTCCTCCTCTTCAGGATAACCATATTGAAGTGGCATTGTTTTGTAAAGACAGCGTGAGTCTATGAAAATAGGGTCTAGCAAGTGAAACCTGGTGGGTTTGGGCTTTTCACCTCACATCCACCCTCTAGTCCCTGTCTCCCATTCCTCCCCCTTAATGATGATGGAACGGGCTATAACCATGTAATAATTACCTGCTTTTGAGGTTGGCTTCACCCCACAGACTAAGGTAAAGGTAGAATATCTCAAATTCACACATTCCATTGCTGTTACCAAGGCAACCATCAGGCAGCAGCGCAGCCAGCAGCAGTGAGAGGTGGGGAGCTGCTGTCCATTCCTCATGCTGGTTGCCGGCAACCCTGAAGCCATCAGTGAAAATTATTGAGCTGTGACGCTCCTGTCAGTATTTGTTTATGTCCTCTTATTAGGGACTTAATTTACAGTCAGCTCTCGCCCCACATGTCTGCAGAGAAGCACTCAACCCGCCGTGTTAGTTTAATGATCGACCTTTCTAACTCTTACAGCACGGCCATGTTTAGACACCTGCTATGTATGTAATCGTATAGATTCTGCTCCACAAATCATGGGTGATCAAAGGAGACGTGCCCTTATCAGGATACTGTAACGCCACTGTGAGCTGGACATGCAGTGTTAAACTGCTTAAACTGAGCCAAGCGCTGACAACAAGCCGTATGAAGTCCCTGTTTTTACCTCAAGATCATTTTGTCCCTCTATAGAAAAAGTGTTTTTTATGTACATTACTATATTTTACCTTCTCACACAGTTACTCTTTATTTCGGTTTTGATCTCAAGTGAATGTTACCGGGTTGTTTTAGTCAAACATGATTTGTTTTCCTGTTTTTCAGGCGTCAGAGGGCAAGAGAGAGACAGCAGAAGCTGCTGGCTGAGTTTGCCTCCAGGCAGAAGAGTTTCATGGAGACAGCCATGGATGTCGGTAAGAAAAATCTGACTGACATATTATTTGGTTTTTAAAATAATAAGGCATTATTCACAGCAGCCACTACCCAGATTTAGGGAGCAGGAATTTTCCTTCTGTTCATTGTTCAAGGGTTCATTGGCAACATAAAGGTTAAAAAGGATTGTTCCTCCCCAGGTCCAAAACAACAAATAGAAATAAGCTACCTCTTTGCAAAGTGAATTACCTTGGTGTAAAGAAATTGAGTAAAAAGATATTAACTGAACCTAATTGAAAATAATCAGGAGAAGACAGGTACATAAAAGGCAGTTCAGCCCTACTGCTCTCAAACTAAGTAATTACCCCAAACTCTAAAAATCTAATAGAAACCCAACACAGAAAATTACTAATCCAAAAGCACAATAACTACGTAATACAAAGTTTGCAGACCATTCTGGAGCCTGGGGACCAGACGAGCTGCTGCTGTCGGCTGGAAGCTGCAGAATGACTGAGAGCTCTGACTTTTTAAATGACAGGATGCTGAGTGCCTGACCAATCCAGCTCATCACTCATACAGCTCCTGCTTTCCAGCCAATCGCTGCCCTCCTGCCCACCTGCTGACTCACACACACACACAAACAGATCCATTTAACAAACCAAGCACTCGCTCCAGCACAAACACAGCATTGACAGATGCACACTGGGAATACAAAACAATACATTACAATACTGCCAAGGCCATAATGTCCACTTTTAGTCACAAAAAGAGAGTCGCAGATGCAGCCGTCAGGTCTGTACGGTCATGCAACCTTTATTGGTGTTCTTAAACTGCCGTAGTTGTAAATGAATGGCCAGCACTCAGCAGACAATTGAGCCAAGTACAGAGTGATGAAGGTAAAAGTCTTGATTAAAATATAGACAGAAAATAGAGTTGTGCAGAACCCTTCTGGATATTCATGTCTATGGTGATGGCTAAGTCTGCATATCAGTGTGGCGCTGGTTGAATGTGCTCATCAAAGTAGGTTAGCTCTGACTGTGGTGAACAACACCTTCTAAAGAGTCAAAAATAAACAATCAGACTTTTTCGGTGGACATTTTTCCGCTGTAGCTCTTTGAGAACAGCACAGCTGGCTTAAATAAACCCATCATCCGTTTGCCTTTTTCACCGAGGCAAGGTGACAGCGGGCCGAGTCCTAGCCTGTGGTCTCTGCAGGCCTGCTAGGACAAATTGAGAGAAGAGTGCTCTTGTGGGAGTGCGGGTGGCTGCTGGCTGAGGGCACATAGGATCAAAGCACTAATAGTGGGCTTGGCTCTCAGGGCCCACCCTGACACAGCATGGTTAGTGAATGAATAATGGCTGCTGAGAACAGACAGGCCTTTGTAGCAGGACTGTATGCTGACCTCTTTATACACTCTGAAAGCTGAGCAGAAACTTGAGTTCTTTAAGGTCACATCTGGATTTACATCAGCTGCACGAGAGAAAGACTTAAACTGATGAGTGAATCACTATTTCAATCCAGTGAATACAGTGTAGGTATTTTTGAGATACTCAGCCTGCATTCAGAGTTTTGGCATTACTTATAAGTGGTACAAATCTTGTGTGTATAATACTCTACTACTATCATGCTGTATGTAACGTAAATCAGTGCACCCATGTTTGTATTTGACCTCTGTTTCCTTGTACATTGTGTGTTTGTTTCTGCGCATGTGCACACACTGGTGTCTGCATGTCCCGGGTCAGCCTCAGGCTAAAATCTGTGGTTTTGACATCTACAGTAATACATCCTTCATTTCCCCAGGAACTAAGTGACCTCTCCTGAGAACATATTTTTCCCAAAAGCAATAAATCAATTTCCAACACAGCTTGACATTTCTGCACAATATCTACAGTTCAAATTGAACACAGTTCTTAACATTTAAAAGTAATTTCACCACAGTAATTAATCTCCAGTGCGCTGCTGATCATGCAGATAAGCTTGGCAAAGCCTGGATTTACCTGTGCTCCTATTTCTAATTTATGGATGTTCTGTACTTCATCACACACGTCCTAATTTGGTGTTCCTTACAAGTAATTTCTATTGTAACTGTGAAAGGACTTGATGCGAAGGAATAATTTCATTCACCAGTAATTAAAATGGAAATCATCATCGCCACAACTACTGCTGTTTCTGATGCTGCTATTGTGACTGTGGTGCTATAGCAGCTGCGCATAGTATTGAGTTATATAGATTATATTGTTTTTGCTCAATTCCCACAAGACATGGTACACAACTTTGAGCAGACTGTCTTCCACCAACACACTAACAATCCAGGCAGATTTTCTATTTTTCAAAATTGAAAATGTGTCAAACTCACAGTGCTTCAAACTCTTGACAGATAGGTCCAGTTTTAATAAAAAATGTTCAGTTTCAGGATTCTGTTACAAAAAAATCATATTTGACAGGTTATTGAATCGAATCATTTTTCAAATCACTAAAAGAGCAACTTTGAACATCAGTTTTTAACTTGCTGAGTGATCATTCAATGGGTAGAAATACTTTTAAATTCTAACTGGCAGCACTACAACAACCTTCATGGTTTCATGTTGTATTATCCGAATGTTGTCCTTGAAAAGCGTTTCAATACTGATTTCAGAGTCTCTCTTTATACAAAGAAATCTGAAACATTTTATGAAGCAAAAGATCTATGCAACCTTTGACACTCATGTGAAAACTTACAAAACTGACAAAACTTCAAAAGTCATGACTTGTTTTGTATAAATTTGAACATCCTTATTCAATGTGAACAGTTTTTAAGTCTCTGAACTTTGGAGACTAAAGAGTTTACACTGAGCAAACAAAGTCTCTCTAAGTAATTGTTCTCTACATTTAAATCCAGTTAAATTCAACCTGCAGCCTCTTCTTCACTCCCCACTCTTTCTCCTGGTTTCTCCCTCCATCCAAACACATTTCACATGGGAAGTTTTGCAGCAAACGTCTGCCTGCCAAAACCCCACAGCACTAGTTATCAGTCAACTGCAGCACAGACGCTCATGCCCACATTTACTAGCAGTGATGAAGGGATGCTGGACTCTGTCTAGCACAGCGAAACACAGCGTGGACGATACAGCAGGAGTTTCAGAACAAACCTACAAGCGATATGTTGACAGTGTTTTTTCAGATGATGAAACAGTCACAGATGTGTTTTCTTGCTTTATGTTTGACTTTGACATGTTTTGAATGTTGGTTTTGGCAGGCAGCAGCTCTCCCCTCTTTTCCAGTGCTGCTTAATGCCACTAAACCATTGTGTGGTAACCAGCACTACACTGAACCGTCCTCCCTTCACTCCTGTATAAACCCTGTAGTGACGAATCTGAAGTTTGTTAGTTCTTCCAGAGGAGCCCTTGCAAATGTATCTTGACATATTCCTCTTTCTTTTTTTTTCAATACCAGAATCCCCTGAAACCGAGGCAGCCATGGACCTGGGAGCGTCTGAGGTGATGGAGTCTGAGGTTCTTTATGACTGTGTGATCTGTGGCCAGAGTGGACCTTCCACCGAGGACAGACCCATCGGCCTTGTAGTTCTCCTTCAAGCATCTTCTGGTACTGCTTATCCCTTACATAGACTCTGACATTAATGGCCTGCACAGGATGCATCAATAGTTTTTTTGTACCATTAAACAACCACTTACCATTATGACAGTGCCAGTGGACCTCCTACTTTTTAAATCAAAACCGTTAATTATGGCACCTCTGAGCCACCGTATCTGAAAATCTGACTACAAATAGGTGGTTAACTGGTGTTGAAATTGGCTCATTTATCATTTTCTCTTTTCCAGTTCACTGAGAGAGTAGGATCACAGACTGCCATTCAAGGCAATAGTATGATTGATTAGTGATTAGTCATTTTGTGAGAGGGTTAAAAATACCATGACCCCTGCAGTAATAAATATCTCCAATGAACCAACAATGAGCTAGAGTGAGTATTTTAACAGTGCACAATTTATTTGTTTCTGAAGGGTATGTTGTTTCTAATTTATCTGATGTTCAAGTTAAAAAATCAGTTTTAACTTTGTCTGTTGGTGGAAAATTAAATTTCATCTCAATATATAATCAGTTTGTTCATTTTCAGGCAAGAATGACTGAAATCATGAAATGTAATGACTGAAATCAAGACCTCTATATTTTGGAAAGCTCGATAGACTTACCCCAGTGTCTTCCTCCACTCACTACTCTGATTGTCTTTCAGTACTTGGGCACCGCTGCAAAAGCAAAGAGGCGAAGAATCTACCCACCAGTGATGACGAACACATCTATGCTGCAGACACGTGCGGGGTGGCTCACGATGTCCGGCTTACGCTCATGCAACGGTTCTTCAAAGATGTAGGTGTCGCAGAAAATACGGACAGCTTTCTGACAAAAGAAAAAGAGGGCTGAAAGCACTTAAAAGCTCTATCAGGGATATGAGTCGTACCTTTGTGCCAAATAATAGCCCCAACCACTTCATTAGGAGGCTTTTATCCTTTGAAATCGTGACATTTAGTCCAGACTCACGGCAACCATTTGAACATTTGCATCTGGTACAGGCTCAGCCTCTCAGAACTTTTGCAATTTTTTTAACTTGTTGATGATTGATTCTAGTCATATTACTTTAGTCACTTAGGATTTTAGACACATCTCTGTGGCTGCTCTAACCTGCTAATATATGATCATGTAAAACATTGCACACATTAGTGTCAGAGGGATGATGGACTGTCTTTGTAAGCATGTTTTTATTCACAGTAGGATCCTGGATATGATCCAGTGACAGGCTAACTAAAGCTTAATGTGTTTGCTAACCAGCATATTACAAATAAACAAAAGGCCACAGTGCTAGGATGTCCTGAAGACTTTATTTGATGTGATTTTTCTCCTCTGAATTCTGCAGAGCTCCTGTCTGCAGTCCGTGTCAATAGGTTGGGATGGGGGCGTCTACGTCCAGACCTGCGGACACACTTTGCATATAGATTGCCACAAGTCTTATATGGAGTCTCTCAGGGTAGGTGAAAGCTTGACCTCATGAAATGATCTGTCATTACTCTAATTACTCCAGTGATTTGAAAGAAAAGAAATCAATACAACTTTGACAAGTGATTGTTTACGTCATTAGACAAGTTTAAAATCAAACATTTTTCAAATGAAGCTTAAAAAAGCTTTTTTTCCCTGTTTCTTATTAGAAATGTAACACCTTACCTAACAAAAGACAAAATATCAGCAAAATAATGACCACATAAATTCTTCAGGTGACTGTATTGTAGAGCAATGTTTTTTTCAGCCTTGCTGAGACTGGTCTGGAGTAAAAATTCTAGGCAAATTTTCACTTGTGTGATATTCTGCATGCTGCACATGCTTTTTAAAAGTCAGGTGACAGCTACCTCCTGTAGGTGCAAATGTATTTTTATGTCCCTCTTTCCTTCAGAATGACCAGGTCCTCCAGGGTTTCTCCGTTGACAAAGGTGAATTCACATGCCCACTGTGTCGGCAGTTTGCCAATAGTGTCCTTCCCTGCCGCCCTGGGCGGGGCACAGAGTCTGCTGCTTGGCATGCTCCCACAAACAAGAAGACCAGTGTGATTGTGAAGGAGGTGGAGGATCTTCAGGAGAAACTTGGCCTTTTCCCTGTGAGTATCACATCACACTTTCTTCATGGTTCACAGGCGTGACTGTCTGGTGGTAATGTAAACTGTGAATTTAATATTTGCATTTGCATGTTTTAACTTTGATCTCTAAGTTTTTCTTTTTTCTTTCAAAAAAAAGTTTGTCTACCAATCATTTGAACCTCATTGTGCTCTTATTTCTTTAAAGACGGAGTCTAACTTGAGCAAAGAGATGGAGTCAGTTATTAAGGACATCAAGAACACCACCCAGAAGAAATACATGGACTATGGCAAGAACCCTGGCTCCCCTGACAATGATTTCCTCTTCATGTACTCTGTGGCAAGGTGAGCAGTTTAAAAAGGATCCAGCTCATAAAACCCTCTTCAACAGTGATTGAATACTTTTTTGGCTGTGTTTTCCTGGGCAGTGTCCTCTGCTCTCTCACTGCCAAGCCTTCCTGGGATATCTTAGTGTAAGGGTAGCTGCAGCCCTCGAGCATAACTCCGATTCAGGAATGCAATTTCTGGAGAGGTTATTGAAGGGTCTACACATGTTTGTTTGACCAGGATTTATCACTGATTTAGTTTGTGATTTTTACAGACAGTCTCCGGGCACAGACAGACATCTGGATTTAGGGCAGGTTGCTTTTGAAGAGTTAATGAGTGTTTGAAGTCTTGGTGTTTTGATGGAAAACAGTGAATCTGCCATATTGAGTTTAAAGAGTTTGATGAGTCAAACTTGATTAAAGTTTCGTACACAAAGTGAAAAATTGTTCTAAAATTAAATTAAATTGTTGATGAGAGTCTTTCCTCCTAAACTATAGGTAGAACATTTCGTATAATCGACATGCTGCTGGTCTTTCTTGGAGACTGTTGTACTTCCACACTGCAGACATTTCCTTTACACTTCACCATTAAAAAGCCCACCAAATTTAGGTTTTAAATTCTGAGTTGATCCATCTGATTCGTTGTCTTTTCCAAGCAACCAGCCAGTGTCTAATATTGATGTTCCTCGCCCTTCAAACAAAGCTGGGTAACATTTAAGGTTGTTAACGCATCTGTTTTCGTTATTTCTACGTTTATATCAGATCGTCTTTCTGTGTCCTCTTCTCTGCATCATTCCACACCTTTTTTACACACCACTGACCTGTGGGAGAAATGCTGCACTACTCTTTTGTTCTCTGTTAATGTCAGCTCCTCAGCTTGAATAACAATGAGAGTCCATACAAAAAGAACATAAGTGTCCTCTGTCATTGTCAGAGTCCTACTTTGTAAAAGTTTTCCCTTGAAAAACTCCTCGATATTGAGCTGAAATTCAATACTGCAGCTGTAGCAAAAACTCTTGCACAAAAAATATAGATTTCCTCACTCCTCTTTTCAAATTTGTTCAGGGAGCTGTGAAGGATTTGTTGATTTGTTTACTTCATACTTGTTATTATAGTGTGGCACTTGTTCTGGGAGGTGTTGTGATCAGAGCGCCTCTCTGAAGCAGCGTGAGCAGGTTTGTCACTGTAGGCTGCAGTCAAGCCATATTGACCTTTGCTCTATCTTTGCGTGTTAGGTCAGACCTAGCATGGATCTATATCACCTCCTTTGACTGGTCTTTGAGGAGGATCATTGCACCATTCTTCTAGCCTGTGTTTGACTGGTTTTGAATATCACAGGGTAGGGCTGGATGATAAAACAATGATGATATCAAAAATTAATTTCCCTTATTGATATAAAACATGGTCAGTATGCTTTTCTATAGCCAGCATTCTGCCATGTTGAGTTGGACTATAAGAATAGCCAATGAAAAGGGGAGTTGCTCCGGATCCATGCCGCACTGAACCAACCATTCACTCCGCTTTGTCTTGCGCAACACCTTACCACAAAACGTCTATGGGACCTCACAGATGCAGTAGCTTATTGTATTGCAAAAAAAATGCTACCAATAAGCATTGTTAAATTTCAATTAAGAGTAATGGGGAACATTTAAGATTGGCAAGTGATTTTTTTTTATATCATGATATACATCGATATCGACTGATATAAAAAAAATATATATATTTTGATAAACTTTTTCCTATATTGCCCAGCCCTATCACAGGGTATTCTAGTGGTCTTAGACACACTGATGTACCTGTTCTATCTATAATCTAATGAGAAAGCCACAATATCATAAAACATCATAAAAAATTATTCACCTTTCAGATGTGATGTCTTCTCACTAAGATGGTCACAGTTCAGCTCAAGGCTCTAACTTTCTACTACTCCGATTCTAAAAACGCCGCCCTTTCTGCAGCATAACCAGCCAGACCTTTTGCCCACCCAGTGTCTTGAATCCCTCAGCCCTCCACCCTGAACAGAAAGATCCCCTGAGTGTGTCTGGGTGCCTGTTGTCTCTCTGAAGTTCAATGAACAGCGCAAATTGCCTGAGGAATGGAAAATTCCTTTGTCACAGGGGCACTCTTATCAGCAAAAGCCAGATGGAGCTTCACCGTGGCTGCATTATCTATGTGAAATTGCTTTTTCTCCCAGGAAACCCGAGGATTTGCCCCCACCTCCCTGGCCCATTGAAGGAAATGGCCAGTGGCAGAACGAAATCAGACCAAGATCAGTCTTATTTTAGTAATACCTATCTGTTTTCACCATCTATGCACTTAGTGAGAGGGTTTGCTTTATTTTTTCACTGTTTTGGTAGTGTGAACAAAATTAAAATTCAGGAGTAAAATGAATTTGGTTATGCGTGGGAAATGCACACTGAGGATTATGCATTAACTGTGGTTGGAAACAGCTTTTATGCTAATGGTCCAGATTGTGCAAAACCAGTCTTGGAGAGCTGTTATTTGATTCGGAATTGCTGCTGCAAAATGGGCGCACTAAATGGCAAAGTGGCTTGAGTAGGCAGCAGCTTTCTTCTCCATAATCGAAGAGGCGCAAGGAAGAGGCATAACTGAAAGCTGAATTTGATGGTGCTCAGATGTTTCTATCACCCCCACCATCCATTCTGCGACACATGCAAACTCTCTGTTTTAATGGTAATCCCATAAAACCTGAAAGTGAGATAAATAACTTCTTAGTTCACGACCTTTAGAGAGAGAAGAAATTATGGTACGATGATCAAACATAGAGATTCCGTATTTCTCTGTTATACTTATGTGAAAAACATTACAAAAATCCAGCCATCTAAATCTTAGATCTTTAATCTTACACCTTAATCTTTTCTACTACAATATTTTATTCAGGGCCCACTGACACAAGCTATTTGATCCCTGTGAGAACTGTGTCCACATATTTGTATACAGCACAAGGTCAGACACCTTCTCTTCTCAGTGGTGTTGGCTCCTGCCAGGGTTGCCCCTCGTCGCTGATTTTGTTTGGGATTTTAATGGACAGGATCTCAAGGCCCAGCAAAGAGAAAGGAGGGTCCCCATTTCGATGGCCTCAATATTCTATCTCTGCTTATTGTAGAGGTTGTGGTTCTGTCGGCTTCTTCAGGTCAGGACCTCTTGCAGACATTAGAGCAGTTGGCAACTTGAGTGTGAAGCAGCTGAGATGAGGGTTGTTTGTTTCTTTACTGGAAAACGGTGGATTGCGAGTAAAGATAAAGTGGATTGTGAGGCTAACAGGCGGATTTGCACTGCGTCAGCTATAATGCAGGCATTGCACCAGACCGTCATGGTGAAGACGGAGCTGACTCATACGGCAATGCTTCTCAGTTGCTGGTTTCTCTTTGTTCAAACTCCTACCTCTGGTCATGAGCTGTGGGAAGTGACCAAAAAGATGGCATCTACACATACAAGCAGCTGAAATGAGTTTCCTTGTAAAGGTGTTTCAAGTTGAGCTTTAGAGATGGAGCTAGGAGCTTGGACATCTGGTGGGAGCTCTGAGTAGAGCTGTTACTCCTTCACTAAAGGAGTCAGTTAGGTATTTGATAAGGATGCCTCCTGGAAGATTCCCTTTAGAGATGCTCCAGGCGTACCAAACTTGGTGGAGGGATAGACCTAGAGCTTGCTGAAGGGATAATACATCTCACCTGGCCTTGGAACACGATTGGGATCCTGCAGGAGGAGCTGGAAAACATTGCTGGGGAGGGGATGTCATGGTCAACTTGCTTAGACTGCTGCCTCTATGAATGGATGATGAATGGATAGACAGAGGGATAGATGTTCCCAGCATTTTCTAAAAACCCACCAATGAACACATTTCCCCTTAAATGTAAATCACAGACTTATCTTATCTGGTATTTCCTCATTAAAAACAAGTGTAAAAATATTTCAACCTCTCTATGATATGTATCACAGACAGCTTTAATTAAACTTTAAGGTAAAGTCTATTAAAAAGTCACATTGAACAACAGAGGTGTATTTGTGTACGTAGGTTAGTTTTATGTCGCATTTCTTGGACTATATTCACCTGATTCATACTTCTCTAAATGTTTTTTTCATCTACTCAGGACAAACCTGGAGTTGGAACTTGTGCACAGGGGAGGAAACCTGTGCTCTGGAGGAGCCAGTGCTGCTGCCAAACGCTCATGTCTCAGTGAGTACATCCTCACACACCTTTTCATCTGGGATTTCATATAGAAGAATTCCTCTACAAGTTGTATCCTGTAAGATGCTCTATTGTAACCATGTCTATGGCACATTCTAGTCAGAATTTGTTGACACCAGATCAAAGCTATGCCAAATTGAAAAAAAGGATTAGTTTTAAGCAAATAAGTAAGTTGCTCTAGACTGGAAAAGAAAAATAATTGGATGCATTTGCACAGTACCTTCCCATCGTGCTGTGTCTATCCACAATGCTTGCCATGTAACAGCGTGGACTTATTACACCGTAATAAGAGGCCACCTTTGTTTTTTTTTGTTTTGTTTTTTTGCCAGATGATGTAGCTTCATGTGGCCCCATGTCTGATGTTCTTTATGTTTAACTTGACAACTATCACACCCTGAGTTGCTGCAGTAAGCTGAGCATCATTTCCCATGAGCCCTGTGTAATAAATGTTCCGACTTGAGATCAGATTCATTTTTCTGTGTTGCAGTTGAACCGTTAAAAGGAGATACAAACGGTCGATTAGAAATGGCAGGCATGGGTAGACGCTGTCCCATGTGAGCTGTTGGGACAGGCAGGCTAAATGAAGCAGACAAATGGGTTAAGTGCTGTTTTAGTTGATTTTGTCAAAGCTGACAAGGGCAAGCTGAACATCAAGCACGGCTAATATTCATTATATTTGTTACAAGGGGTGTGACGAGACACTCGGCTCGGCTAAGAGACGAGATTTTGACACCAGTTTTGGAAAAACTTCAAAAATACAATATGCAGAACAGAACAAGTCAGTCCGTTTTCATCATCCTGTGATGAAGGTAACCAATAATGAATTTCCTCATGAATTTCCTCACTAAAAGACATACATTGTACATCAAACTAAAAACTGATTTAATATGAAAACATTGTGAAAGTGTTTGTCCAACTAAGCAGTACTCTCCTCTTGCAGAATGATCAGAGAGTAACCAGATTAACATGTAACCTGCGCTTAAAGCAGTTGGAAACATGTTGAGTGAGTTTCTGCTCTATAGATTTGTGCTGCTTGTAAAAACCATTCCCACGTCTGACATACAGTTATTGCTAAGTCAGGCTCTGTTAGGGCTGGGTGATATGGCCTCAAATCAGTATCATGATATATTGAGCGGTTCAACTCTAAGGCTAAATAGACGATACTGCCGCTCCACCCGCTACAACTTTTGAATCGTCCTCCATCTCCTCACCTGTCTTTCCCTCTTTGTTACGGACTGGATGGGGTGGAGTCACATCTCTGACATAGGACAGCGTCTTAAAGGGACATGAGACCATAGCCCACCTACACACATCCAAAACCAACTTTTATTTATTGATATTTTTGATACCAAATATATTGACACGGGCAAAATGACGTTGGTTATTGTCGTAAATTTTACTATCGGTAAATTTTCATTTTCTTGCTCAGCCTTTTGCTCTGTTAACTCTGTATCTCTTTGTTTCAGTGTTTTTCTTTCCAATGACAAGTTTTTACTCTCATTATCAACATGGATTCGAAAATATTTGCACATTTCTGAGCGTTTTCAAAACACTCTAACATGTGACCATGACATAGAAAATGAGAATACCACAGACTGACAAGATTGATGTGATTGTGTACATAAGTGAAACAATATTGGGATATTTGATCTTGGAGTTTGGTGTTACTCTTGGTTTAACTATGAAGTCTGTATACTCTGCCCGTCTTCATTTAGGGATCAGTGTGTTGTTTTCAGACACAGTTGTTGGTAAGGACGCCATCACCTGCAACATTGATGAGATGCTTTTACTTTTCTTCTACTAAGGCAGTTTGGCAGGGCCCTTCCTGCGGCACTGGACTGATTTTGATTCAGTACTGCCACTACATTGATGATATGCTGTAATCGCCGTTAAAAGTGACAAATGAACCAAATCCCTTCTTCAGGAAACAATGTAGACAGCTTATCAGCTCGCTGAGGACTATCACCGAGCTTTATTGTCATGAGATCTTTTCACACCCCTATTCCTTACTGATTAGAGTCTCAGCTTGAATCTATATTTGAGGATTTGTGGACAAAGAAAGTGATATTGCAGCATGAAGTGAATCTCAGTCTCTGGTTTTTTGTACAGGCTACATCCCCTGTTTCCTGTTTGTTTAATTATTCTGTCAAAGCTGTGGCTGCTGCAGTGAAATGGCCTGTCATCCTTGAGTGGCTCAAAAGAAATTTCACACTGGAGGTTTGCCATTTTTGAGCTACATTAACCATGTAGTCGTGCTGACAGCCAAATTTACTCAGTTGCAGTACATTAGTGTTCCTTCTTCTTTGGGTAATGGCTCTGAAGGAAAACGGCAGACGTGTGCTAACTGTGAGAGCTCTCGGGATTCCTAAGCCTGTTTCCCAGCAGGCATTTCTCTGTTTAAGTGATGAGAATATGACGGACCTCAGTGGCAAACTGCCTACAGTTAACTGCAAATATTTGAAATAATCTTGGGACTATGAGGCTGTTATGGGAGTTCAAAGCAAATTGTGATTACTTCAGTTTTGGTTGTGACAGCTGTCCTTGCTAAGTTTAAAATTTTGTGCTTTATATGGTGATATTCCCAGAGAGTACATAAATAACATTCCTATATCTATAATGAAAAGTAAGAATTGCAGAGATCTCACTGCACTGCCTCAAAAAATATTCATGCACATGCAAAGTATTTGACCCTTGATTGGCCTAAGGTTCATTTGTAAGCATGAGGTAGTTTTGTAATGGCAGCAAAGAACAATAGAAAACCATGATTTATTTGCTCCTCATGTTTCCCTATTCTACCTTATCCAGGTTTGTTGGTGGTAAGATTGGAGTGTTTGAGAGAAAAAAGGAGAGAAGGAAGAACCAGATAAGACAAATGGGATGCAGAAAAAGACTCGGCCATAACGCCCCGGTTTCTGTGGTGTGTCTTTCTTTGCCTGTGGAGGGCAGTGTTGCTCTAAGTATGGATCGTTCACACAAGTAAAATTTGCAGAGCTTATTATATGAAGCTCTTTGCTGCATTACAGCATCATAATTCCCTGTGAAACAAAATCAAACAGGATTAGAGTTTCTCTTTGGGAAAGGTTTGGTTTATACAGAAGGCCGTTGTGTTCACACTGTTCCTATGTGATTTAAATCTGGTCCTCTTGTGCAATTTGAAATTTCTGGAAGTGAAGGTCCTGGATTGAGTTCATGTGTAGAATAAGTAGGTTAATTTATTTCTGCACTAACGCGAGGGACAAGGACTTTTATTCACCTTGGAATACGTTACCTAACATCTAAAATAAGCGGGGTCAACCTGCTGCCTTTTGCCGGGCTGTGCTGCAATGTCATAAATTTAGTAACAGGTTTGCTCGAGACAAAGACAGTTCAGTCTGTGAAGTGTTCTGCTATTAAAAGCCTATGTGTGTATAATAGTCGGTGTGTTTGCAGAAGGGGGGGATCTGTCTTCATGTTCCATTACTTTCACATCGAACAGGTGTGACCTGACCAAAGAATTGCTGGAGGCTATCAAGCACCACCGTGTATCCATCTGGCCCAGCCTGGTTTTATCTGAGCCAAACCATTAGCCAGCAGTCAGTTCAAGTCAACTGCTTTCATCATTTGATCTACTCTGGGTGCTGCTGGGGCATGACAACAGACGCTGAGATAAACACAACTTGCTGGTTTGTTCATGTCAGACCTTGTGGAAAACACAACAATAATCTGTTCTGTTTGTCTCCCACTTTCAGATCAGCTGTTCCATGTGCTGGCTATGCACATGCGACTGTACAGCATCGATTCAGCTTACAACCCCTGGACAAAGCTGACTCAGGTCACTCAAAGCAAAGAGGCAGAGTGAGTGACTTTCTTTAAGTAACCCTGCTTAGAGTAAATCTATAAACCCGCTCATGCATTCCTCACTCGACATGTCTGTACGATTCCTCCCTCATGTAAACATGCAATCAAAGCAACACTTTGTCCTCTCTCTAAGCACCACCATTTTCTCCTGCCCCCATGAGCTTTTTTTTTTTTTCTTCTTCACACAAAGAGGAGCTAAAAACAGAAAAGGAGCCATGCATGGTTACCATAGATACCAATAATTGCTGCATCTGGCAAATTACCGGGCACTCCACAAAGAGCAAAGCGACCCTGTCATACTCACTGTGCTGGGTAAAACTTCACCATTACCAAAGCATACAAGCGAAGTGTATAAGCGAGGCATCTTAGCTGTCCACTTTGCATCAACTCAAATATATATTAAACCCAATCTGAAAGACATTACTGCTGTGGTTTTAAATCCTATCTATGTATCAGAACATGCTCATTTTTTTTTTTTTCTGTATGCATGTGTTAGCCCAGACAAACGAGGGGAAAAGACGCTACTGGCAGCACTTAACCCGATGAGCTTGAACAACCTTTCCTCCCTGTTAGTGTTGTAAGACAGCTTTTACACCTGTTACTAGTAAAGTGCTCACAGTCATAAAATATTCTCAGGGGAGCTATTTGGTGTTTAAAAATACTCTGTTGAGGTTTGGGAGGGAGCGCTGTCATTGACACCCCGAGGCAGTCGACCTGATCTAGTTAAATAGAACAGAGAGAGATGTTTCTACACAGATGCACAACATTGCTCTTGCGGTCCTACAAGATAAACCAAAGAGGAACGCAATACGATTTTACAGTTGGCAAATATAGTTCGTATGCAGAGGTCTATGCAGGGTTGAGAGCTTGATCCTCTGAGGCTTTCCTTCGATGCACAGAGGAATTAGCTGGTGAGTGCTTTGGTAATGGAAGGTATTATTCTTTAAGTGCAGTTCCCCTTGATGAAAACCCCTGAGGCCTTTCAAGAGCAGAGAGGAGATTGGAACCGTGCTGAATCGTCAACACAAGACATTTAAATGGAGATGGCACACAATATGAATGTGCGACCAGGACTGCATTAAGGAAGTTCACAGAATAGAGCTTTTAAGCCATGTATTTGTTGAGCTAATTTAAACAGCAGGACCTTTGCCATCACACTTTTTTAGAAGCCTTTTAAAACATTCAGCCGGCAACATTGCTGCCTTTGTCACATATCATGTAAAATCACCTGCTTTTCACACAGTTTAGCAAATGTTCTTTACAGCTTTCTTCACGCTAATCTCTGTTTATAGAGCTTAAATATAAAGTACATTCTGTAGTCTGAGGTCTGGATTTTCAGTACAGGGATTGTTCTAGTGTCTGTGGTATGTTTGCAGATTGAGGAGTACTGACCCGTCAAGTGCAGGAGAAACACTGTATGGAGAGCAAAAGCTGGCAGAATACAGTCCTGCTCTCTATGTCGCCTTGGCTCGTATCTGTGGTCATCTGGTGACAGCTAACAGATGTTTGCAACTGCAGCTCACCATCTGCTCGAAATCAAAATTTAAAATTTGTTGTGTGAGCCAGTCAGTGTTTAGATTTCCCAAACATGGTTGATTCAACCTCCATTCAGAAAACAAACTTTTGAGAGGTTTTGTCTTTCTTCTGTTGAGGACAGACCTGTCACAGTTTGTATTTTCATCCCGTTCAAATCATAATCATTGCGATGTTGCTAGCTCTGCAAATTGAGAACCTGTTAATTGCAAGTATATCACAAGGCACTCACCTCTGTGTAACTGACTATTTATTTACAATGATGATGATCACTGTTGGCTCCATTAGGTTCCAAGATTGTGTTAACACATAATGGTATGTTAATAGAAATGATCACACTTAATTTTGGAGAAGAGACAGAAGGAAACTAGTCATGTTTGAGCTGTGAAAAAAAATCTTAATATTCCAACATGAATGGAACTTCAAAAGACTGCCAGATATGAAAGAAGTGCAGACATGTAGGTTCTAATCAGGTATATGTCTAAAAAAAAAAGTAATTAGCACTATAGCTAATACTGACTGTATTTATTATGTTTGTACCCAGGACAAACTAATTTTAATTTTTTCATTTTATTTTTTTGCACAACTTAGGATACAAAATAAAACATGTTAGGTTATAATGAAACAGTGCATGGAGAGGCAAAAAGCCACAATGGTCTTATTGAAGCCTCCACCTATAATAGCCTAATATTAATATCACACCTAATATTAATATAACTTATTGCTTATTGTTGACTTTTATTTTTACCCATCATGTTCCAGTGACTTTGATGAAGAGAGGCCAGAGGTACCCATGCTGTTCCGAGACGTCCCCTCCCTCCTGATCATCTTCGTGCTAACAATGCCGCAGCCTCTGAGAAAAGGTAACGCTCCTATGTCTACATCACAGCACTATAAGAGAGTAGGGCCACTCTGCGGCTGCTCCACAAGGACAACCCCATTATCAGCAGTAATCAGGTCTGAGTGCTGCAGAGAAGCCTTCCAACGTCTCTTATCTATGCTCCACTTGCTGTTATTTGGCTGCGAGGATCAGAGAGACCACGACCCCGGTGATGGGGGGGCTGCCCCCTCTTACCGTGCCCTTCATCTGTGGCATGTTGCTACATCTCCTCCATCTTTGCCCCTCGGTAGAGAGAGGCCACCTACAGACCTGGCCAAACACCCCACGGTCATGTTCAAATGGAGACATGTCATTGCTCTCTGACGACTAAATTAGGTTGACCACTGCAATGAGATGTCTAAAGTATATATATTTGGAAGTATTCTCAGGCTTAAACAGTTATCATTAGATTTACTTCATGTTTAAGAATCCTGTTGAGGACTTTTCTTCTGCTCATGAAAAGTGAAACAGGTGAGACATGATCTCTGCTCGGGCTTCTTTTCACTCGATTGCTTTATAGTGATTGCTTCCTTTTGAGTTTTACCTTTTCATTGTGAGTACCGACACTTGTCACAGTGACCAGGACACGGAGGCTGTCAGTAGTCCTTTGCTGCTGAGGGAAACAAATTGCACTCTTTGTTTTTCTTTCCACCAAACTTGAATATCCTCCAGGCTACATTTTCCACCTGACGTACTCTGCTAATTACTTTGCACACAATTCAGTGAAGCTTTCTTTGTAGAGCTAAGATGAATAAAAAGCCTCAGTGCATCATTGCAACCCTCTTGGAGTACCTTTTTCTAAAGCTATTAATCCTTTTTTTACTTAAATATATGCTCACATATTTATGTAATTGATTTAAGTAATTAATATGTGAATCGTTCTGTCCCCACTTCTTTTTATGTCTCTTCTTGGTTTGGTTTCCCTCTGTGGAGAGCACTTTTCATGTGTGGTGAAGATGTTGTACAACCTGCAGTTCAATCAGGCTCTCGCTGCTCTCTCAACGAAGTTCACTCCAGAGGAAAGACAAGCCTGGAGCACATCTGGAGCACTCAAAAAGGTAAAGTCACAGCAAAAGAAATCAAAAATCTTTCCCTATTTCTTCATATATGTAGACCTGAGGATGTAGTTTTATGCCCTTTTTATTTAAATTGCATGTGCTCAAACATCAAGATTTTGCTTATTATTGGGTTTATAATTGTCCTTGTCACATATGTTTTCCCCTAGTTCTAATATAAAACCTTAAAATGAATTCATCTCAACAGAGGTGCCCCTCGTGTATTAAACAGCCCAGTGCAACAAAACTTCTTATAGGTGTCCTATGAGAGATATTAGACATTTGCTTGTATCCAACCAGTGTTAGTATCCTCTGATTCTCCCTCAGAGCTGGTCTACAGCAACACTAAATCATCGAGTCTATCACTTATTATTGAGATAAATTGAGCTCTTCCCAGTTTCATTCACATGATTTCCACAGTCGACATTATCGATCTTCATTATCTGGAAAAGTGCGATTGCTTGAGAGTCTGTGGCATTAATTGGCTATCTATCTCCAGTTTATTAAATCTGTATTAGTGAGTGGCTGACTGGAATGTCAAAAGACAAACAGCGTGAACCTCCCCCTGAGGGTGTTACCATCCATAATGCTACAGTGGAAGAATATCTTCGCACCGCTCTGTTATGAACAGCGGAGCAAGCTTTTCAGATGGATTTTAAATCCACACCGAGGATGGCAGCATCCATATTTGGAAGAACTGCATTGTAATTAAATAGAAGTTGTTAGAAAGGATGCTGTGTGAACAAAGATCAGAGCCCAGAGGAAGGAAATCCATGGACTTGGAAATCCTTCCCTATAAATCTATGACAAAGGACAGCAGACGAGATAAGACTGCTGTTTTATATTCCACTACCTTCAGCTTGATAAATGCATGCAGCTTTTCCTCTTTATAATATACCAGGCTAACCAGTTGATTTTTTATCGGAACACACATTCAGTAATGTCTTTACTCCTTATCAGATGGTATATGGTGGGAAAAGAGTGATTGTCTTCCACTGCATCTGCATAAGTCATTATATTCTGTGGTGCAGCATGACTTATGAGGAGGACAGGGAAAGGCTCAAGTGAAGCATGGTGATCGGCACTGTAATTTCTGACACTCAGACAGTTGAAGACCAAAATACATGAATCAGACTTTGATTTGAAGAGGAAAGTGGAGCGACTCCGGCTGAATTCTGTAATTTAACACCCATAGCATATTAAAATTTTTGTGATCATTTTTATTGACAGATTCTATAAAAGGTGTTAAATCTATTTGCCAGGATCTGGTTTACATTTGCAGTACAACTGCAGCCTTAGGAGTATTGACCACTGATGTACCAGTAAGCTTTGGCTTTTATATCTGCATGTGAGTGCAACGATAAATCTGTTAAAATATGACAAACCTGCTTGACACTGAGTCGCCAAAGCCAATCAGCGCTCCCTTACTTGATAAAAACAACCGTCCACTCGACAAACCAGCATCTAAACATTTTGTCTCCTTCTCCTTTTGAAGGCAGACCTGACAAAGCTTGTGCAGACATATCTTAAGAGGAAAAACAAGCTGCTGGTTCTCCTGCAACTGATGCAGTCATCAAAAGAGGAAGACAGAGCTTGATTACTCCTAACAGATAGAATAACAGAATAACTTTTTTCCTAGAGTCCTATATCACCCTCAGTTTATAGCTTCTTGGTTGCAAGATTGGTGTATCAGACCAGTAGATGTCATGACGTGTAAAATCTGAGATCTCATAATAATTTTTTTCTAATTATCTTTTTAACTGAAATTGTGTTCATGGAGAGAAACTCCCTGGTTTAGTTTTCTTTTAATAAGTATACAGTTGCATTTTTCCTCCAGAAAGTTTGTGGTAAAATAGTCAAGGCTTTGGAACAAAAGCATTCTCAAAATTAAACTGTAATACTGAAACAGTTCACCTCATGTTGGCATAAGCATTAAAATAACAAGCATATGTACAAGCTGAGTTTTCTTAAGGCATTTGGTATATCTGTGACAGTTTTTACATCTTATCACCATTTATGGTCTCTCTCTCTCACTCTCTCTCTCTTTGTTTTCAGTAGACGTGGCCTTTAGTCTGGCTTTGGTACAAAGCTCTGATTGAACTGTCATACTAGGTGGTCAAAGTATTTTATATAAAACACAGAACAGATGAGAGCAAGTACTGAGAGTCAGAGTTTATATCAGTGCCTAATTTGTGGATGTTTTCTTCCCAACCAATAAAAAAGGCTTTTGGAGCTCTGCATTGAAAGTCATAGGCAGGTAATACAACAGCACAGACATATACAGTATTTAAAGGAAGGTAGAAATACTCAAGGCTGAAAGTTCTCTCCTTCAGCTGAAACAGGCGATTTTTCTGCTGACCCTCAGAGCAGATTCAAGGATCTCTGTGAAGATCGTAACCTTTTTTTCTTAATACTGTATGTTGTCAACATTTTGACTTAGTGCATTTTTGGTTTTCATTCACAGAATTCTGCTAATGCAGAGAAATCTTTTGAGGCGCTGCTCAGTCATGTTATCAGCGAACTCTCCAAGGACAGGAGTGTCTACAAGGTGAACACTGAAGAAACGTCAATGGTGAGGCTCTAACGGGACTGTTAAGCACTCACAACATAACTGCCTTTAAGATGCCCCCCCCTCTCTATCTCCCCTCCACCTTATTCTTTTCTGCTCTCTTTCCAACTATGGATTGGCCATTACCCTGGGAGACAGTGGTGTAATATTTTACTAATCTCGAGGGGAGATATACATCACTGTATTATCAGTGATCTGTTGGATGCTTATTGATCAAATGCCTCTGTTGTTTCCTCTGCAGCTGATCTCCAGTGTGTGGTCCCCACAGTCAATCGAGTTCAGCCTCCAGCAGTTCTGTCTGCCCTTCCTCCGCCTTTCCTGCCTTCTGCAGCATCACCTCTACGGAGACAACCTGACTGGCTGCCCGGTATGTTTGAACATAAATGTCACTCTGCCTGCAACATCCTCGTATCTCTGAAGGAAGAGCAACAGCATTGCGGCTGATCGTATTCGAATAATCCAACATTTTTTTGCAGTGAATGACATTTTGACATCATGTTTCCACTTTTTTAAAAACCAAAATAAAATAAAAAGATCCTCACCAGCTGTTTTTTATTGTTTACTCTCAGGAGGAAGAGGAATTCTCGACCTTGGCTGTGTGCTTGGGGCTCTTACCTTCGGCCCCTCAGCCTTCAATCGTCGTGCAGAGTGCCTCATGTCTGACATGGGCGGTCAGCGCCTTTGACTTGGTGTCACAGTGGTGTGCTGAGGTTACAGGGCTCTCCCAGATGCAAGCTGAGCAATCACTGGTACGGATGTGAATGTCAGACAAGGAGATATACAGTATATGATGGGTTACTTCAAAAACCTCACAAGATCGATCTACAGATGCAGTTTTACTCCTCAATTTCTGCTCAGATATCCATTGTGATACAGTTTTTATGTTTAAACTCTCCAACAGTCCTCATGCCTTTATGAGACTTAAAAAAGAAGAAAAGGAATTATAAACAGTTAAGCTGTTTGTTTGTTTTTTTTAACTATTTTTCACATGAGATAAATAAGCTGCAAATGTATTTTTAGATTACATCTTTCTGTTAAAATATGTTAAATTTGGGAATGACTGAATAAGGTCTGCCTCTTAACCAACTCAGAGCCGATGATTTCAGAGAACGTCAGCGAGCTGTTAAATGACAGGTTACATTCTTCTTTGTGCGTTCTAGTTAAAAATAAAAAAGTTTACTTTCTCAACAATTAAACATTCAAAGCATGTCTTTTGAGCTTGATGTCCTGTAAACGATTTATGTAACTCCAGGGGATATTGACACTTTGAAATTGGTTTCAACCTTGCTTGACAAGGTCCAGAGCTGATAGTGTCTCTGAGGAGAGGGGCTGCATAACTAGCCATGTGTCTAATGTCCTCGTCATTCAGCGCTGCTGCAACCTTCGATGTTGTACATCATTTGGTGAAAAAACTTGAAATGTCTTGAATGTGAATTTATGCTGTTGATACTTTTCCCTGGGAAATAACTTTGTTTTGGTTTTATTGCGAAAGACGGGGGCGTTTTTCAAACCTTTGAATATTGAAATTAATTGATTTGAGTCAGAGTAGGTTTTGTCTCTCAGTAATTACTTTTTACAGTAATAATCTCTACATTTAGTTTACATGTGATCAGTGTTTTATGCTCGAGAGGTAGAGTTTTTGGAAGAGTTTGGGGACAAAATGTGTACACACTTTCTGACCTGAATATTCTCTATAATTCTGCTTTCTTTTCCATTAAAGGGCTTGCTTGTGCAGGACCCTCAGTGGGCAGCCCCCCGCCTTCTGCAGCTCCCAGACAACTACAACATCATCTTCCAGTACTATCACAGGAAGGCCTGCACTGCCTGCAAAAAGGTGCCAAAAGACCCTGCGCTCTGCCTCGTTTGTGGCGCCTTCGTCTGTCTCAAAGGCGTGTGCTGCAAACAGCAGGGTATCTGTGAATGTGTTTTGGTGAGTCTCTTGGTTCTTCGAGGTGAAGCTGCAGCTGTTTGACAGTGTCAGGATCAGATATTAGACATGACTTTTTTTTTTCTCATCACTTTTAGCACTCCCAGCATTGTGGTGCAGCTACAGGCATCTTTCTACTGATAAATGCCTCTGTCATCATCATCATCCGTGGACATCGTTTCTGCCTGTGGGGTTCTGTTTACCTTGATGCCCATGGAGAGGAAGACCGTGATTTACGGTACGACACACACACACACACACACACACACACACACACACACACACACACACACACACACACACACACACACACACACACACACACGACTGTATGCAAATGACACACACTATCATGTGTATGTTAGACACTTGAACAATCCTTTACTGTGTCCCAGTTCCACTTTGATTTATTCCTAAAAACTAATGTACTCTCTACATGTGTAACAACAACCATAGAATCCAGTATGAGTGGGACATCACAGCTCCTCAAAAGTGAAGCCAAAACATTTAGAGCTCCCCCAAATTACTAGCTAAAGTGAAGGTTATATAGCCGGCTTCCTCCATGTAAGTAGATGGGACATAAGTCAAACTAGAAAACTAGAATACATGTGATCTAAAGAGGAAAAAAAGGGATTTTCTGTTATTAATGATGCATTTCCACTAAGCAGTCTGACTCAGTTCAGGATGGTCGGCTGTTTTGGTGCCTTTCCCAACTTTTGATAGTGGAAATGCAAACAGTGCAAACTGTGCCAAACCAAACTGAACCCTGCTGTCATTAGTTCCTACCATGCTATGGTCACGATTTGCCGGGGGTGTTCAGTTTATAGAGTAGTTAAATCGAGTGATTTAAAGCTCTAGAAAACAACTGATCTGTTTATATTATTAGAAACAGATCTGTTCAAAGAGCCTCCTGCAGTAGCAAAGGGAAATGTCCCTCTCCTTTTGCTCATGGTTTGTTTTAAATGCTAATAGTTGTTGAACTGACTCCATAACCATGAGTCTCCGTATCAAAACAACTGAAGAAGCTTTTGCACTGAAGACTTCATCAACTGACCGGAGAGGTCTTTGGCACTTTCAATTCAAATAAATGTGTGTATAGGCTTGTGGAAGGTGCACATTGGTGTCAAGTGCACAAAGGTACACCAGTGTTGACGTGAGGGGATGTTTAGGCTTCGCTTTTGTGCAGGAAGAGATTGATTTGCTGTCAATCTTTATTCAGAGTTAATGATTTGATTATTTAGATTAAGAAGCTAATGAGCTTTAAATTCAACTTTAGAGGAAGCTCAACTGACATCTGTGTGAAATCCATTATGGGACAAAAGTAAACCTCAGCTGAATATAAAATTAGTCTGTCATAATTTATAACATTCACCATTCGCACAGTCTTTTAAATGCAAACACACAAAGTCTTCTCAGCCTCATGTATTAGGATGAAAATGCCAAATCCAAACAACTTTTTGTAGATCCTTGTCACTGCAGAGAAAATAAACACAACTCTCACTCTTTTTTTCCCCTCTGGCTTCTCTCCAGCCGTGGCAAGCCTCTCTTCTTATGTGAGGAGAGATATCGAGTGTTGGAGCAACAGTGGGTCTCACACACCTTTGATCACATCAATAAGCGTTGGGGGCCTCACTATAATGGACTCTAAGATCTTCCAAAGTCCACTGAAAACAGCAACCCATGACTGAGAAGAATTTGTTCTTTTTCTGCCTCGATCAAAATATTGAGGAACTCTCTTAACGTGATAAACACAAGCATACGGTGAGGGTTTTGCTGCCACAGCCTTGGTTTATGTGAAGTTTGGTGTACAATCATGCCTAAAGATTAACACGTGTGTGTTTAAGTGATTTGTCGTGTGGTTTTCAGCAGGGAAAAACAGAATTGGGTAACATCAAAAGTAAAAGCACAACTTTGCCCAGAAATAAAATTGGTGTGGAGCTGGCTTTTGAAGCCGTCATATTTATTGGGGGTCAAAAAAAAAGGCGAGATATCAAGTGCTGAATATCCCTGCAGAGTTTTGATTTTTGCACCATTTCTGATGATGTTAATGCATATCCCTTTTATTTATCAAAATGTGCTCTGCTGTGCTGGCATGAGTTTCAAGCTCCTGATGAGTGTGGCGATGTTATTGCAATGTGCACTCATTGTCTGCTGACGTGATGGTAGGCAGGACAAGTCCACCCATCAATACACTAGAGTTTTTTTGCAAACAAGCAAAGACTCTTTTTATGGGTCTAGTTGCAATCCATCCTCAGGAATTTTGTTTCTTTTTTTTTTGCTGTTTAAAGATACGTTTTAGATATTTAAATAAATGCTGCTGCTCATTGTTCAAGTAAGTAATTTTAACTTTTGTGAAGATTTTTTTTTTTTTTTTCTAAGGTTGTGCTTTGAGTTTACGGTAGATGGCTGGGATTGTTGACTCAAACTACTTTGATGTTTAAGGAGGTATGCGGTCAACTCATTACTCACACTACAGCTCTCACAGTCCTGCTCTATCTGCTTTTCTTTTTCCCGGTTGGCCCTGAAGACAAAACTCAAATGCCAACCCAGAGCTTCAACTGCTCACTGAAATATCCAAGGTTCATCACTCCAAGAAAATCCTGAAGCCAAGCATACAGAATTGCGTAGTATACTTTTTTAAGGAAAGGAAATGTCATTGCACAGATATGGTGTCCTGCTGCACTGGCAGAGCTGAACACTGTACGACTGCAGAAATATTTTATTAACTCTGTAAAATTTCTCCCCTGAAAATATGAAACTCAGTGAAATGTAAGGTTTTTTTTTTCCAAAAAAGAAATGCAGAAAATGTTCATCTTTCTGTGCTATGCTGTGTCAGAAAATATCCCCTTTTATTTTTTGTCCATTCTTGACTGCAGTATACAGTAAAACATTCATTGTGATGACTATCCCTCACTGACGCATCATCTAGTTGTGATTTATAGTTGCATTCCAGCATTACAAGATTATCAGACTTGAGTATCCGTCACACACTGTGCATGACATCCTTTAAGCTACTATTATTTAAGTGTCTTAGCTACTTAATTTTCTGATTATCATCTTCTTTTTCTTGAAGAGAGGAAATTTATCCAGTCGTGCCTGCAAGATTGATCTTCTTTTGAGTGGTTAGTGGCATACTGCTGATATCCCCGAAGTCTGGTTATGAAATGCTGGGCCACTGCTGTGCTGCGTTGAGGAACCGTTAAGTTAACACTTGAAAACACTTCCTCTTTGAATTCATGCATGCTGCTTTTCTGTTTACTCAGTTCTTCCTCTCTCCTTTATTTTGCAGTACCCACTTTGTAAATGACCGCAACCAAATAGCCAACAAGTAATGGGTGTAAAATTGTAACTGAAAGCTCTTGTGTGTTCTCCTGTATGACTGAAGAGAGAATACAGTACATTACTGTAGGTGCTGACTCAAACTTTCTGAGTTTGACCAGAAAGTATGACTTGGACATTTAATGCAAAATGTAACATATGTGAATAAAATATAAACACACTGATTTGAGTTGTTGTTTTGATTTATTTTCTATTCAATATTAGTCTTTGAGAGGTAGAGTCAATTACTGTAAAAGCTTATCTTTTCAAACTTCTGTTACTATGATCTCTTATGTGCTGTAAATGACACAGCAGCAGGTTTACGAAGAGGCAAGTAATACTGCACATAATGTCAACACAGGCATGCAGATATCAGACCTACCTCTATGCATACATTTACTTTAAAAGCATGAGTTAGTGTGAGGTTATAAGTCAAATAAATTATTATTGTTTGTTCAATCAATAATTTTTCCTCCCACTCACGACTCGACTTGAATTAATTGAGTAACACAAACTTTTTCCAGGCATTGTTGCCACTTTCTATTTCAGCAGACATCCACCTCAGAGTGTGTCCACCAGGGGTCTCAGTTCACTAGAGCTTAACAGATTATAACTGCTATGCAGGAATCATGTGACCTACTGAACTAAAAATATCTAGTGTCTTAAATGTCTTTGTAGTGTTAGCATAATATGTATTAAATTACAGCTAAGAAGAAATCTTGGTGTCTTTCAGTTCATGTGTGTTGGCACATGAAGCTGAAAATGCTGCAGACACGTAAAGGGAAAGGTGTTATTTGTAAACCTTTGAGGAAATACCCCAAAATACTCTTAAATACTCGTTTATTTCCGTGTGCAGCTTATCCGTCCAAGTCCACTGCTCTTTTCTGAGCACCACAGGCAAATTTTATTCCCATGTGACTGAGCATTTTGAGGGTAATTGGGTCGAAGTTTCACAAACAAGGGAGGCCCTCTTTCTAATGACCAATCACTGAACAAAGCCTCTCTTTTCTGCCAATTAGTCAAAGAGTAAAAAACGCAGTCTAGTATGGACCAGTGGAGGAGTTGTGTGCGGGTGAAACTACAGAGTTTGTGTGACAAATTTCATGCTGAGAAATGTTGGTGTTTCAGGCAGTGCTGCGGAGAGCATCACTGGACATTACCCCCTTCACCTCCTGTCCAGGTAGGTTCATGAATAGACCATTTAAAGCTGCATGAGGTGTTATTGGTCAGCTGAGAGCCTGCGGTCTGCTCAGGTGCTCATTCTGTTAATAATTAAAATGTTTCACTGAGGCAAACAGGCAAATCAGTACAGATATGCTGCTATGGAGGGTAAGATGCATGTATACTACATCAGTTGTTGGAGTCAGAGCTGTATTAAGTCTGTAAAGAATAGCTGTAGTGTAAAATATGTTTGCTGTTGATATTCACCGATGGATACAAGGCCTAACAGAAATCACCTAATGTCTCGACTCTTGTTTCTGTTTTGCAGATCTTAGAGATGGGGCTGCAGTGGCACCAAGGACAAGGTAGGATGGATTTTTCCTTTACTGAAAATAAGAGGCCTGTAATAACTGGATGACTTCTTCTGCTACTTGTGAAGTTTGATAGAAAAGGAGAAATTCCAGTTTTTAAAAACATCAACAAACACTCAATCAGAAGTTAATCGATTAATCAATAGGAAGTGATTTGGAGCCCAGGCAGTGACCCCCCCTTCAGAGTCATCATGTCTGTTTTTAATGCAGTGAGTGAGTGTTGAGATCCTTGAAGATCATAGAAATCTTTTAGTGGTTTTTCACCTTGTCCCTTTTAAGAAGAGATTTTATCGGATTTTCTGAATCTTGTAATGACATTTTTCTCGATAGATGATGAAATCCCAAAATTCTTTGCACGTATGCATTAGGGCACATTTTTCTGGAGTTGCTGAACTATTTGCTCACGCCGTCTCTAAAAGTGGTGAAATTCTTACTCTCTGTTATTGTGAGAGCTTCTCTTCAGGGCTGTTTTCATGCTTCATATTATTAGTAGCCTGTTGCAAATTCACCTAATTAATTGATAGATGTTCCTCGGGAGTTTTTGAAGGATCATCTATCAAGGTGTATATATTTTGATTCAACTGTGAATTTGTATGTTCCAACATTTCACGTTGTCTTTGCACTTTTTTCAATAGAATACAGACTTGACGTATCAGCAAAATGGAAGCCAATAGTGATGCATCACTTTGACATTAATAAGGCTGTGTTTATGTTATTTGCATTGCTGGTTTATGGCTAGGCACTTTTTTTCAACTGCTAAATCTTACATGTCAAGGCCAGTATCTGGACAGAAAGAATTCATAAAATTGATGTTATGGAAAGACTTTCTAAAGGAAAGATTTTAGACCAAATGGACTCAGTGTGTTAAACCTTCAAGGCCAGACTTGGTCTGCTTTATCAGAATAGATAAGTGAGAATTTAATGCAAGTTCCCCCTATTATCTAGCCCCCTTTTAACTAATTTGAACAAGTGTAACTCTAACTTAAAGAGAAAATATCTGGAAGACTTTAATTGCAAAAAAGATTAATCAAGTGGGCAGCATTCATTTTTTTACTATTTCTTGGTTAAAATGTGAATGAATGCATGCAAGGTTATAACAACACATGTTTGATATATATTAGAAACACTATATTATCATATAGTAGTATAAATGTGAAATGTGTAGTACTGACTGTATGAGAATAAAGATAATAGTAATGTTGATAGAAAAAACATTTTTCAGTATTGTTCATGCTAAGGCCAGAGATACATATACACTCACAAATGACAAAAAGTTAAACTGAATCGACTGCATACAAACAAGCCCCCTTTTGCCAAATCTAGCCTCAAATCTACAAACGTGATATATTTAACTGTAACCTGTGCAAAACGAACAGAACATACAAGTTTGTGTTGGTATGGTAACCAGCAGTAATTTTAAAATTCTACATCGCACATACAGTATGTAGAATTAAAATTTTGTCTGTATGGTTTGGATGTTGTTTAATGACTGAGCATCAAATTCAGTGCTCAAAGAAACTAGAGAAATAACAATTTCACCTTTTATGACTTGAGTTCTGCACAAACCTAAAGAGAGGCACTTTTCAATGAAACTCTAAGTTATAATTTTCAGGTATGTCAGAATTATGCCACAGGTTTGAAAAATCATTAAAAGTTTAAGAAAATAACTCATAAACTGAAGGTGATCGTTTCACTATCTCACAGCTTTGTTTGAAGCTCTTACAAGGAGTATTTTTATGTTTATAAAATAGACTGAAAATCATATTAATGCTTTTACAAGATGTCCGATGGCAAATAAGACCATCAGTGACAAGAGTTTAGACCATCAGTGTGAGGGGGTAGGTGTCAGCCATGCAGCTGATGAAGCAGCCCTGTTTTTACAGTCTATTGATATATTCTCATTGAACTGAAGATTTGACTTAAAACAGTCAGCAGGATGTCAAAATCAATGCCAGAGCATGTTCAGGACAAGGTTGTTTTGTCCATAGATGGCGCCAAAATTAACACAGACCAAAGTTTCTCACAGGAGCTCTAGATGGTTTAGAGTAATGAATTGGATTGGTTATTTTGATGATGATGATGATGTTCCAGTTAGTTTTTTGTTTTGTGAGTCATGCAGCTGCACTGCTAAACTTAGGAGGTTGTTGTGTAAAAAGACTTTGTGTCTGGTTATGTGAGGCTTTGGTCATTCAGGGTGAGAACAAGGGCACTGTGCTTTTGGTCTGGCTTGTGGCGAGTGGAGGTTTACTGCAAAGCCTCTTTATATCCCCTTAAAAGGGATTATAGTTCAGAGTTTTTTCCCTCCCCACAGACTTACCAAAGGGTTTACCAAGTGGAGTTCCCGCAAGGCATTTACCGCAGAGGGTGGGATTGTGTGAGTTTGATGGAAGCAGAAAATTAGATTACTCACTCTCACTTTGCTCTGTTTCTGGTGTCAAAGACGATCCTTGTGCAGCAGCTGTTCACGCCGTACAAAGCTGGTACCACCTCCAACCATCACTGAGACTTGAAATTCTGTTACTGCACATTGAAGGGTTATCTAAATTTACTGCGAACACTAAGCAACACGTAACCACTAAAAAAATACCTCCGTTTTTCACACAAAACCTGATGTTTTTGCTAAAATTAGTGGATCTTTTCTAGAAAACAATTTTGTGTCACAAAGACTCACTGACCTGCATTTAGTGCATTTAGTGCACTCAGTACAATGTCCCTTTTAATGTATGCTGACACAGGCTGGTAAACAAAGGGTAACCTGAGTGTCTCCATCTATGTCCATTGGTGTCTTGTTGGAGCAGCTGCGATGATGTGTCTCCTTTTCTTTAAAAACCTCATTTTCTATTTGCTTTGTGATAATACAGACATAAATATCTCTGACAGCAGCTCTGTTGTCGATGGAAAATTTAAACTGGATTTACAAGTATCTTTAACCCAGTCAAACAGAGATTGAAGCGTTTGTTCTTGAAGACTTTTAAGTGTCCTTACCAAGCAGCTATAAACACATCAAATCCAGGTATGGTGAGTCTTTTTTAGATCATTTTCAGTGGTATGGAGTGGGACAGCCATCCTTTATTCTCCAATATGACCAAACAAGAATCAGAAAAGAAGCTTTATTAGGAAGATAATTCTAACTTTTTTAACATGAGTATGCCTTTTTCTTAAAATGTGCTAATCCTCTTGCATCCTCTCAGTTATACTGTCTGCTGACCCCTATACCAAGTCCGAAATGTTTCTGCCTTTTAAAAAAAAATCTATATTATTTACAAAAGACCTTTTGGCAGACCCCTGGCAATTTTTGAAAAGTCAGAGTATTAGGGTTACTAATGCTGAAAAGACATCTTATTCTTGCTTGTTTGTGAAGTTAAAATGAATTTCAGGTAAACCCCTCTTGGTGATTTGCTCCCCAGTACACATCTTTGACTGTAAACTGATGAAGTGGTTCATTTTGGGAAGACTATAAGTTTTGGAAAACCAGCAGCCAAATAAGTTGAAATATCAGAGCTCTTTTGGAACATCATCTGCTGGTGCTACAGCTCTCTAATGCAGGTGTGACTGTTGAGACTTTATGAGATCCCCTGGGCTTAAGACTCACGGCAACAGCAACATCAGTGCCAACGCATTGTATTAAATTTGGAAAATCATCCTGTTTATAGTCACTTTGACTTGGGTGTGTTCTATTGTCACTGGTACATCAAGAAAAGCCAGACCCAGGATCTATTACAAACCCCTATGATGAGTCTACCTCTGGATCTTATCTAACAGATTTGCTTAATTTGAATTCTTGCCCCTCAACATACCTGCTAAAGCTTGTACTGGCTCTCTTAACATGCACACATGCTGCTTACTTACATTGTCATCCCTGGAATATAAGAAACTGGGATAACTGAAGCACAAACAGTTGGGCCAGTAACAGACAGAGGGAGGCAGCCTGCAGTCATGTGACTTAGCAACTATTGTGAACTTCCTGGTAACCCGGGTACAACCTGAGATGCCTCATATCAGCCTCCATTATGAGTGGATACATCTGCCACCTGATTACTTAACACGGCTGCAGATCAGGTTGCAGATGACTGGTGAATTATTAATCCCATTAGATTAGCATGAATTAGTGCGGAGCGTTTTGCTCTGAAGGAGAGAGGAACACTTTCACAGAAACAAACAGGTACGGATGAATTTTGCCTTTTTGATCCAAGCTTTGTTGATACTTGAAAACTCATTTTGAATAATTAATTTATGCAAAGCAATTTATCTAATTAGTTCTCTGTGTGTGACTGTGAGAGGCTTTTTATGTCCCCTTACAGTTCATTTTCTGACAGGAGATTATTTCTTTTGTATTACTTAAAACTGATAAACTGATATTAAGTTTCCTCTGACTTCAGTTTTTGAAAGCAAGCTGTTGCAGATAAGTTTACTGGGTACTGGATATGAATCCTTTTTATGTTTAAAGTCCCATTTAATCTTCTGCTGCAAATCTTTGTTAAATTGCATAAATATTTTAGAGATGATTTCTCATGCAGCAGGTAGTTTTGTACAAAAGGTTGTCTGGAAATATGATATGTCTGTTGAAAAACTGTATATAAAGGCACAGTATCTTGTCAACAGGTGACTGATAATGTTTCAAAAGCACAGTATGGGACAGGTCAGACATATCGCAAAACAACCACAGTGCAAATAGCGAGCAAGTAGGCTGTTTAATGAATATGGCAGGTGTGTGCCGCAGTATTTGCTGGCAGGTTAACATGGGTGATTAGCTTTACACAGCCAGTGATGGATTGTTAGACATGATAAAATCATACATCTAGGCAAGGGTATGTGGGCACTGACTTGTGCAGGGTGTCATAAAGTTAAGGTCTCTCAAGGAGTTAAAAGGGTTTCGGCTGTCTTCCTGCATGACAGTTTCCTCTGGGTTCAACAAAGTCTGCACAGTGTATTTGCATTATCTGTTTCGGCTTTTTGGAGTTTCAGCCTATGGAAATTTCAACAACGTAAGATAAGGACACCGTCCACTACCTGGTAACTCTTCTGTAACAGAGTTTTTTTTGTTTTTTTTTTACCATGACTCACTGATAACAAGTGCTTGACCGGTGCATGTAGCTTTCTTATCTATGGCATGCTTTTTACTGTGGAGAAGCTGCTTGTTTCTTGGGGTGCCATCATCTGGGTAAACACGATAAAATAGTTCTCTCTGTGTTCAATACCAGAGGCCTATGTCTGTCGCATGCAGGATGCAGCAAAATTTACTGAATGAAAAAAAAGTTTTTTTTAAGTGTGTCATGCACTCTGAGTTTAAAGGTATGTCTAAAGTCACTATGTTCGGATGTATCAAAAGAAAATGCATCATACTGAAATGCAAATAAAGCTTCTAGCAGACTGTACTGACACAGTCACATTTTTTTTTCCCCCTTAGACTACATCTGAATAAAGTGGTATCATCTTACATTCAGGCTTTAGGTATAGTATTAAGTGGAGCCAGCTGTGCAGTATTCAACATAATATTGTGTTTATGATATAAGCTTTAAAAACTGAACAGCATGACACTGTGACTAACTTCAAAATCCACTCATTTGTGAGACCGACAGCTTTCTGGTGATCAACTCTGTGTGTTTCTGTGACACCCAGAGGCTTTTGTACCAGAGAGAAAACTTCAGTGTATTTTCGGACAATCCAGAGTAAAAATCTGAGATAATGTGGAATTTCTGCTTTTAGGCTATGTCTGTGATCAGCTGATATGTGAGGGCCAGAGCAGCCTGAGACACACTCAGCTCAAATTATTGAAATCCAAAATATAGAACTGTTCTGATGGATTCTTCTTAGTCAGCTTATTCTAGTGTTGTCAGATCTAAGCTCTTTCTGCATACTACTACTTTAGCGCTTCATTTTAACACTTGACCATTTTGTATTTCATTCGTCTGCAAAAATTTCTCTTCAAAATAATTCAAACATTATTCTATTCCAAAGTTTAAAAACAACTTACCTTGTTTTCATAAATGTGCCAGTTTTATTTTTATAGTTTTTATTGCAACTGCTGATTTGGTCCTCAAAGTCTATTCCTAGAAATTAACTTTGAAAATGGGGCTGTCTTACTATCAGGGTCCTCTAATAGTCAGGTCAGTACAATAACTCATACCTCTGATAAGTCTAAAAGCCAGTAAAAATTAAGCATTTGGGGATGGGACCAGGGGTGGCCAATCTGATATTAAGGGTGTCAGTGATATTTCTGCTTCTCTTGGACACTCCCCTGCATCTCAGTAGGTGTTTTAGTGGCTATCTTGTGTAAGTATTGTGTAACTGTGTTATAAAAACACACATATACTAAAGGTGCTTTAGCTGGTGCCCCTACCATGTTTCCCCGAAGGACACAGTGAAGGATATCAGTCTGATCTCAGTGCTTCATATTACAGCGTCCCCTCACAAAAGCAGTACATCTATCTATTATCTTTGCTAACACGTAACCTGCATACACAACAATTCATAAATCTGGTTCGCATGCACCAAAAGGTTAAACATCATTCATGTTTTCTCACATCAGTTTTCTGATCCCCTCCTGGATAACGTCCCTCCCTCAGGGTCACTCACCCTCTCCAATGCATAACACATTTATGACGAGTGGAGCCGTCATGAGATCACACACAAACACTCCCCTCTATCATTGTTTATCTGGAATATGCGGCATTCTTTCTTCTCAAAAAAAACAGGACACATTGTATCCCCATATATCATGCTATTCTGCCTCAGCCACCTTGACACTCCATGGTTTGCATCATTGGTCATATTTTCAGCATTTGAAGACTTATAGGGTTTTTAGACCACTGTTGATCATAAGTCCTTTCAATCGCCTTATAAATGCAAATCACTTTATAACACTCCTTACATTATGATCAGTTTGTTAGAAGGTGTCATGTGGGTTCACTTCTCATTCAGGACAGCACTTGTCAAGTTAATCTCTGTCCAATCCAATTGATCCTGAGGAGATTGCACTTCTTAGCGGCTGTGGCAAGGTCCCCGTGGAGAGGGCTTATTCAGTATCTGTGTGAAACGGCACTTGTTGCCCATCCTCTTGAGGGAGCGATTGCTGTAGCTATTGGAGCCGGTGTATTATGATCACAAGAGACTCTTTAGTTGTATTTTTTCCCAGCCCCGATGAATCAGAAGAAAATAACACTTGCTATGTAAGTAGAGTGCTGTCGTCTCCACCTCCAGCTGTCTGCGCTGCTTTTTTGCTTTGATTTCTTCAGTGTTAAACCTGTTAAGTGGTTCCCTTGGCACTTATAGGCATTTCACTGGGCTGAATGGAAGGGCCTGTGGGAATTAATGTACTGCTCTGTGCTGTACATGCACATTTCCACATGGGTCTCTTTTAATTACCTGCTTCTTTATGGTGGTAACTAATTTCCCTGTAATGTGTGATCTGTTGTTGGGCTCAACATGTTTATTTCATTTAAACCATTTAGAACATTTTCTCACTTACTGTTTAACTTCTATCTACAGAGGTAACTTCATTAAGACATATTTTCATTGACTGGTTTTAATCTCAGTATTAAAACATTTCAATTTTTGTGTTTTTCTTTCAGGAGGTCATTATATGGACTGTATCCCTACAAGTCCAGCATGATTGGGATGGAAAACTTAGATGACCCATCAGATAACTGGGATATAGTGGAGACCATCGGTAAAGGAACATACGGCAAAGTCTACAGAGTGACCAACAAAAAGGACGGGAGTCAGGCTGCAGTGAAAGTGCTGGACCCGATCAATGTAAGTCACTGCAAAAGTTCAAGACCCCTACATGGTACCTAATTTGTTTTTCCATGAGTAATAGAAACCATACATGTCTGATACAATATTTGTTTATCGTACTGATAGATGTACAGAAAAATACTGCCGCTGTGTTGACTTGTGAAGAGATACTATAGATAACAAACAGCAGTATCTCATACTTTGCTCGACAGCTTGATAACTATAATTTTAAAACTTCAAAAGCTAATCTAACTTCAATTGTGAAGGACCTGGCCCCATTTTCTGCTAAATTAACACAGTAATTCCCAACTTTTTTGGCCTTTCACCCCATAACTGGAGACTAAACCTCCTTCTTATCTATCAACAAGAGTTTGGGTGGTTTAGTTTTTGTCCATGTTAAGATAATGGATGATAGATTTTTAAGTTTTCAAGGCTAAAAAATAAAAAAAATGTATAAAAAAACCCATCAAGAAATATCCCTTGAACAAAGTGCAAAAATAAGAAGTAGATTCAAATGTACAATAACGTAAAGGCAGTATTTGTAGCCATGCTAGCTGCATGGTAGTAATGTCTAATCCATCATTTATGTCAAAATATGTCCATTGCTTGATGAGTTTTTATGAAATTTGAAACAGGTATCAAAAACGCTTAAAGTAAACTTTGCATTTTGTGCTTCACTCCAGATATTAGCATCCTAAAATGATGAGCACAAGTAAGATTTTACTTTAGTGGAGTTTTTATCTTTAAAGCAACATAGTGTATAAATATTGTATCACAGTTGTCTATTCTCTATCACATTCAAAATGTAATGTTTTAACTCAATACATTTGCCAGCAGCCTCTTAATATAAACTTTAACAGTTAGTAAGCTGTAAAAATATTTACTGTTTTGGTGGCTTAGCGATATATATTTCTAACACTAACATGTATGTGTCTACCTGCACAGCAAGTTTCACTTTGTTTGTGATGGAGGTGAAATACCTCAGTGTCCGTCATTTCTTAAACACAAAAACTCATCATACTGTGACAGGAAAAGAAAATCAAACCCTGAACCCTTTGTTTTTTTCTTTATAATTATGTGACTTGTCTCAGCATACGAGCCATACAAACAGAGTAAGTTGCCCATACTTTTTCCTCTTCTACATCTTCATGCAGTTGTTTGCTCTAGTGAAATATTTCAACGTCTCCCCTCTTCATTTATTTCCTGTCATGTTGAGTCGAACAAACCCTTTTGGAAATATGTAGCTCCTGTATTGGCTTTTTTTCTCTCAGTGCATTTGTTCATTTGTCTGTCTGATAAGGACACAGTAGACTCTACATTGGCATCGTATTGCACTAGCAAGGCTTGGTCTGAAGCTGCCTGCGATTGTGTCAATGGAACAATCCCCATCCTGGCACTGCTATCCACCATGATGCTTCCCTGATGGCCAGGAAGATGAAGCTGCCTCCTCTCTCATCCTTCTCCCTGATTAGACTGCTGACACTATCACTCAGACATCCAGGAAGAGAAATTTTGCCTCTCTGACTGCAGCTCTTTCTTTCCCCTGAGATTTACTTTGATAGAAAAGCACTTCCAGAAATAGTTTAGCACCCTGGCTGTCCCTTCCTTTGTTACAGAGTTTATAACCCTGTCTTCGGGAGTCTAATTATAGCCGACCTATTGCTCGGTTTTATGCTGGAGTTTGAATTAAAACACAACGTGAAATATTAAGGCATAAATATGACTTTTATTATATCGCACTAGTTTGTGCCCTCCACTGGCACAGCTACATGTCCTATTCACTTACTTGCATTGGTTGTCTTTTTGAAGGATGTGGATGAGGAGATCGAGGCCGAGTACAACATCTTGAGGTCCCTGTCAAATCATCCAAATGTAGTTAAGTTTTACGGCATGTTCTACAAATCAGACAACTTATCAGGAGGACAGCTATGGCTGGTGCTTGAGGTGAGCCTCTTTTGTCTTTGTATTTGTGGAGTCTTGAAATATGATTTACTGTTTTTCTTTTCTTCCTAGAGGCATATTTTCTCGCATCCTAGACTCTGGAGTTTCAGAGTGAGCTACAAGTCAGTTTAAATACTCTGCTTTGACAACAGTCCAACATTACAGGGAATGCTCTTATTTAAGGTCTCACAAAAATATGAGTAACACAACCCAGCTCAGTTAACATAGGGAATAGAAACAGCTCATTTTATCCACTAAAACCCTTTCATTTTAGTATTTACATGTATTTTGTGTAGCCTTTCTTTACTTTCTGTTGTCTACACCAAGCTAATTATATTTCTGCTTTTGATGGTAAATTTCGTCTCCTCCCACAACACTGAAGTTAGTATTTATTGTGTTTAATCATTAAAAGGTCCTGATCTGAAGCTGCTATGCTAATACTTCTAGATCTAGACTAGACTATTCTAAATCGACTCCTTAAAACACATTTTTTGATTTGTAAATAAATCATTCTACTTGTGTTTATGCAAGAAAGTGGAGGTTTCACTGCTTTTTTCACCTTAAGACCACAAAGACCAGGTTCTGATCCAAAACCCCTGTTACCTCAGCTCTTAGATGTTGAATAGATTATCCTTGATAGAATAGATTAGCATTAAAACACAGTTTCAGATCAGTGAAGTGCAAGAAACGGGCTGCTTCTTCACATCCAGACCACATGAGATGAGATCCCGACTCAGGACCACAATACTTTGTAACACTTTAACATGTGGAGTGAGGGTTTCACATATCCTAAACTGTGAAGTCAATAGATTCTCTTGGACAGTCTAATCCATATCTGACAAATCTTGGTGTTTTTGGATCAGGACCTTTGTTTCATAACCATGCCTGAAACAGACAAAACGGAAGCTCCTTAATTCAACGCTTACTTTAGCTGGAAAAACAAAGAGTATTTTTGCTAAAATGACAATGGCAACCTATTTTGCTGGCGTATTGTCAATCATTTGAAAAGTCCTAGATTAATCCTTATAGTTAGCGTGGTGTTGTGGGTATTTATAATAGCTTTAAAACAGGGAGTAATCTACCCGCAAAGCTAGCACAGCACTGAGATGGCTGTATCTACATGTCAGTCTTGTTTCAGAGACTGGCTGCCTCTCTGTAACTTTGGCAAGGTGTTATTAGATGAGAAGGTAGAGTTTCATTTCTCCATTTTAGTTTATTTCTTTGACTGGTGTAGAAACATATGAATGATAATACTGTCAGTATTATGGTGTCAAACTCAAAGCACCTCAGGTAGATCAGGTAGGTCAATACCTCCCTCTAGATCAAAATCAAACAAGGTAAAAGAAATGATGGTGCAGGCGTGTGAAGAGGACGAAAAGAGAAAAGCTTTTATCAGACCTGCAGAATAAATTCAGGGTGTTTTGCTGAGAACAAGTGTTTTGCTTGTCTCAGAATTCAGCAGTTTGTGTGCATGAGGCCAAAAATGTTCAAAGCTCCTTCTGATGCTTAAGTAGCATGAAAGTGGGTCTCGAGAGTGTTAGGCAAACCACCTACATAAATGTTGATGTTATTGCTATCATGTGGGATTCTGCATTGCTTCCTCTTGCTTGTGTGTTTGTGTGGGCTTGCTTTCCACATGAATCATAATCTTGTGTGGTGAGTGATGGACGAGTCACTCCAGTTTCTCTGTCTCCCACCCAGCTGTGCAACGGCGGCTCTGTCACAGAGCTCATCAAAGGCCTGCTCATCCGAGGCCAGCGTCTGCAGGAGCCCGTTATCTCATACATCTTATGCAGTGCCCTCTTGGTAAGACGGCCCGCTGCAAAGCTGCTAATGTTAGAGGGGGAGGTGGGATGCAAACACGCAGAGAGCGTGCTGAGGATTTATTTTCAGCAGGGTGGGTTGTGTCAGGCGGTAATGAATGTCTCTCGCTGAACAGCTGTGGGAGTTCATTTCTGTAGACTGTACAGCTCAACTCTGACTGCAATCTATTCTTATTTATTCTTATGACAAATGAGAAATATTGAGATTGAGATTCATTCTGACCACTTTGTGTTTTGTTGTCCTCTAACTTTAAAGGGTCTTCAGCATTTGCACAACAACCGGATTATCCATCGTGATGTCAAAGGCAACAACATCCTTCTGACAACTGAGGGAGGAGTCAAACTGGTTGACTTTGGTAATAATCTCTGAAAGAAGCTATTTAACTTATTCAAGGATTTAATAAACACATGCATTAAGGCCTGATAATCATCTCTCAGTTTTAGTAAAGCGCATTGCTTGGTAAATTTGTTTTATTTGACTTATTTCAGGGAAGTGTCAGCAGCACACTCCCGCAGAACTGATTGTGAGAGCGAACACAAGCACAAGATAAACCATTTTACGTGCTCCAACACTGTAGTCCTACACTCACCACAACATCTTTTTATTTCATGGACCGTAGCCTTAACCCGAGGCTATTATTGCTCATTTAAATTGCGTTATTTGATCCTTTGCATATTAAAAGAAAGCTGTTATGGCAAATGACTTGGAGTCACCCCTAGGCATGTTTATGTCCTTTGTGTCATGGAGATGAAGTGGACTCATGCTGATAAAAATCTGTCCTACATAATTTCAAATGATTATAGCCCATTATTATTACGGCTTGGCAGGTTGCCACACTACATTATATGCTAGGTATTTATTGGTAGACTCTTTTATAAATTCTATTTTTATTCTTATCAAATTCAGACAAATAAAAACTAATCTTACTTATGAATTACAAGATATTATTGAATGTTATTTTCATATTTTTAAGGTGTTTCAGCTCAACTCACCAGTGCACGGCTGCGGAGGAATACATCAGTTGGGACTCCGTTTTGGATGGCACCTGAGGTCAGAGACTGTGCTGAAGTTACCACAAATTTCCCACTTTAATGGCCTCATGTTTGAGTGTTTAATGTGACAGTTTATAAATGTCAAATGTGTTAAATGTGCCACAGAGAAATAAGGAGAGAGGCTCAGTTATTCCTGTGTGACTCCCCCTTTTGTGATTGTGTATTCCCCTCCACGGGTGCCGCTCTGGAGGTCTCCTCAAGGTTAATAGCTGGGAGTCTGAGGCCCCAACCGCTTACTCTTTGGCAGAAATGAGGTGCAGTGATTGGGCCGGTAGGGAGGGACCTCAGGGGCAATTAGAATAAACTCAGCTGTAAAATGTGGTGTCAGTTATAATTATTAACTGTGGAAATGGGAGACTCACACCACTGGCAACTGAGGCAACCCACATTTCAGTGTTTAAATGGCCCATAAAAGAGATCTGTGTGTAACTCAGATTTAAGGCTGAAAGAAAGCAAGCGCTATAATTAGGACGTAAAATATAGTTTATGATCATTTTGGACCAAATACCCTTAACATACAGTATACAGACATATAAATGTATGAAAACAGTACACTGCATATAAACATATATATACTTAAATAAATATAATTTTCATACACACACAAACACACACTCACGTACAAAGAGATTGGACAACTGAAGAGAGGCAGGAAATGTAAAGAGGAGAGATGGGTAAGATATGCAATAGAGTCATTGCTGGGATCAAACCAGCAACCACAGCACAGCAATAAGGGCTACAACCTCTATATGTAAAACGCTTACATCGCTAGGTCACAGGTGCCCTGATATATAATTTCTTGCAGTTGTCATTTAAAAATGTGCTTGGTTCTTGAAAACTTGACCTTAGGTTCAGGAAAGGTCATGTTCAAGTCACTTTACTGGCTGATTTGTGTGTAAAAAAAAAACTGAATCATCATGAATCTGAATAACAATCTAAATGAGTTCTCCATAAGGTTAACACTGTGTTGTGTCACCAGGTCATTGCCTGTGAACAGCAGTATGACTACTCATACGACGCCCGTTGTGATGTGTGGTCACTTGGCATCACAGCCATCGAGCTGGCAGATGGAGATCCCCCGCTGGCTGAGATGCATCCGGTTAAAGCTCTCTTCAAGATCCCACGGTGAGTCCACTAGAGGGCACTCCTACCACACAGCTGGGGGCTGCACTCACAAGGAAACACAGATGATGATTCCCATTATGTTAGGGAAACAAAGGCAAACTGAATTTGTCAGCAGAGGGTAAAAATACCAACAATGGATTTCCTTGTAAATTAATATTTTTTCAGGACATGAAATTTTTGAAGAGTGCAGTGAAATTTCTGGTTTGATTTAAGTGTTGAGTCATTCTTGTGTTTTCAGTCTGAAAGGTTGATCAATCTTTTAATCACCAAAAAATCTGTTTGGCCTTGAAATTAATGCAGTGATTCAATCTGTAAAAATATTCACTGCTGGAGACAGTGCGTGTATGTCTAATGATCATTTGAGAGCTTAGTGGCTACACAGGGTTGACCTTTTGTTATCGGCACAATCACGCAATTATCTCTCAGTTAGGTGGAGATATGCCCTTCTGATTGCAATTTGCATTGGTGATTAGCTCCATTCACATTGAGATGAGGCTGTCACCTCCTCCCCGTCACAATGTTATCTCCTCCCTGCCAAGGCAGAGGAGGAGGAACACGGATGGCAGGAATTATGGAGCTAACGCAGCATTTCATCTGCACCAAATTCAAACAGAATTTAAAATAATTACAGGAGCGAGGCCAGAGTGCAAAAATGAATGCCACTAATGTAGAGTGAGATTTCACCCTGAAATGCACTTTATAACACGTCACCTTTCAGGTGGAGTAGATGAGGCTAAAAGATAGTCTGTTTGGTACATTTATAGAAGAGCAGCGTCAGACTACAAGAGTGGTTTCTGTCAAGTAGAGAGCACTTTACCTTAACAAATAGCAGCCATAATAACAGAGGGCATATGCATTTCTCTTATCAATGTCCAACCTTATTTTAATGGAGCTAAAATCTCAGACTATTTGTTTCTAACTGACATTCCTCGATCTCTTTTCCAATCAAAATCCATATTTCCCCTTTTGCTGGAAGTTAGGACTTGAAAAGCTCACGGTTGAATCAAAGCAAATGTGCTGAACCATGAAATGATTCTGTTAACATGTAATTTATCTCAAATATATTTTCCCACCGCTGCTGTTTGGCAGGCAAAAATCACCGGCAAATGTGTAATAAATTATGACTACAGAATGAATGATTTCCCAAATAGGGAAATGTGTTTCACCTTTTGGTGTTTAGTGGCAGCAAAGGTGATTCATGATGAAATCAAAGAGATTCATCGTTGCAGGTTTCCATGATCACAATGCTCATGATTTTTTTTTTTCTATTTAACACCTCACATACCACAAAAGCAGACACGCTTTTTCTGAGGGATTGTCCTTGGGTTTTATACGTTCTCTGAGACAAATGCAAGCACTAAAACATGCAATAAGCATTTTGATCATCCTGATATTTTACAGGTGCATGCGTTAATGTGTTTCCAAGCTAAAGGGTTCACTGTCATGTTGTTAATCTTGTGTGTTTCATCCCACTTGTCATTCCTCCTCCTCGCTGAAACACATCTAGATTGTAAACACAAACAGATGACACTCAGTTTATGAAAAAAATATGCGGCTCATGTCACACATTCACAGGCGTCATGTTTTCAGCCCACTTCTATGACAGCAACCCTTTTGTCCCTGCAGTTCCCTTTCTTTTCTTTGAATACCATTGCAAGTTTCCCTTTGTAAGGCTTAAGATTGAACAGCTGCGGGTGAGAATCAAATAAACACTCAATGCTATCAGCTCTCTGCCCTCAGGGACCAGCAGCAGATAGACATTATGTCACAGCTTTGGTTGTGCTGAAGAAAAATCTGCATGGGCGCAAATCATTCTCATCACAGCAGGCTATAAACGTTAGGAGGAGCTCTGATATCTGTCAGAGGGGACGCTGATGAGCTCCATGAATTAGGGTCACCTTGGTGTGTGGTCTGTTTGTGCTTTAAAGACATCTAATATTTCACGAGTTGTGACATCATGTGGCTCCATGCATAAGACCTCAAGTTAGATCATTCTCCATTTTTCTGTAGCCTCAGTTGTGTTAAGTCAGATCAAAGTCTTTATTTATTTGTTCATTTTTTATTTTTTAAAATAACCCCAGCATGAATGACAGATATGATGTCCATGATGAGCATGGATGAAGGTAATGGAGCATGTCAGAGGGCAAAGTTGTAAAATCATCAACTGCAAAATTAATTACAGACACTCAACACCAAGATGGTCCGTGATATTTAATACGCAGGAAGGTTAATTGCTTGCATCAGTGATCTCAATGCATTTCAGGGACAGTGTCCATGTAAAGTCAGATCAAAGCCTGTGTTAAATGTGTTGTAAAGGTTACGGGCAGATGAAAAAGGAGTCCAAGGTTGTGTTTATTCGTCCAGATCCCTGTAGATATTAGCCACATATTTAACAGTGCATAAATCTGTATGAGCAGGGTGGAAGTGATTGATGGCTTGTCAACAAAGACAACAAAGTCCCAGAGGGAGAAATCCAGATGAGTTTGCTGGTAAGAGACGGCTCATCATGGCAAAACTTGAGTTAAAGTCTGTGTAGCAGAATCATGGTGAGGGTTATCAACACAATTTGGTGTTCCTAATCTGAAGAGCTGAATATTTAAATTTAAGGTTAAAAGGACCTGAAGTTGCACCTTGCCTGTGTTGAACAATATTTGTCTTAATTGTACAACACTGTTACTGAGTAATCTGCAACCATACAGACCATGACATGCATATGGTCTGCAGTGGAGCTGTTATGTGCTCTTGTTGAGCAAGTAGACTGTCAAGTTCTGTTCAGCATGTTGGATGTTCACCATCACAGTTCAGAGTGTTAGCATGCTGACATTTGATGATCAGCGCTGAATTTAAACAGGAGCAGAGATTGCTGGAGGTGTCATAAACACTGCAGGTGAAGGAAACAGTTGAAACCAAATTTTGAAAAAAAAAAAAAAAAAAAATCTATATAATAGATTTTTGAATATAGTTTCATTGTCGAACCTGTAGCTTGTGCAAAAAGAGCCTGAGTCTTCTGAGGGTGGAAATGCTGTTTGGGTCACAGAGGGCGCAGGGTCACTTGTCATGGCTGCATAACTCACTATTAGGGGATAAGGGCACAGATTTGTTTGTGTATGTGTAGAGGATGGTCCTTCACATTATCCTTTTCATTCAGGCACAGGTTTCTTCTGTTTGTTTAAAACCGTAATGATCTTTCTACCACTCATTATGAGAACAACTGACTCAAAGGGTACTCTGTTCAAAGTGAAATCAAAATTTTATATTTGTTATTTATTGGATATTTAAGAGAATGTATATGGTAGCTTTCAAATGAGGGCTCCACCAGCTAATTAACAATGCTGATAGAAGGGCTAGACTTACTCTAAGGCTAATTATTGAACATGTGCATTCATATGCTTTGCATGTATATATGGATCCTTGTTTTTCTGGAAACTTCAAGCAGACTTATTTCTCTGCATTCCTTCATTTATCAGCTACAGCTGAACAAGTTACTTCTAATTTGACATTTTTGTGCATCCAGTGATTTTTTCTCTCATAAAACAGCCTCTAAAATTCAGCCAGCATTAAGGAACCTTGTGTCTTTTGTTTTCATCTATCAAAGTTTATATTACAAAAGACTGACATCAGCATGGACCTTTTTATTTTAGATCTCCCATCATCAGGATCTGGTGTAGTCTTGACCCCTTACAGGAGATCATTGTCTGGTTGGATGATTCTCCGATCGTGAGTCTTCATCTCTGATGCTCTGATGCTTTTGTTTAAGTGCTGTGCAGCATTCAGCAATGTGGCCAACAAAGATTTGATATATGGAGAAGCATTTCTCCCTTTCCATGCATGTATGCTCAAAGAAGTGCTGGTTCTGTGACTGCAGTGATGGATGAGTAAAATTAAAAGCAGAGGGTCTGTTTGCCAAGTAGGTCTTTATTTTGGACTCTTGCAGTTATTCTCTGTTGAGGCTGCTGTGTTTCTACCTTTAGGAAAACTCTCACATTGTTATTGTTGTAACAGCGGTCATGAATTTTCAGTGCAGTTTTGATTCATTTGCTCAACCTCTATTCTAAATTAACATCATTAGCATTACCCTCTTTATTCGCCAAGATTTCTTTTGATTTAAGTTGACCACACGGCACGTTTCTAAGCATGTGACCTCTGACAATTCTGATTTAAATGTAGCAGTAAAGAATTTCCTGTATGAGAGGTTAAATTTTTTAACTCCTACAGGAAAAATGCAGGATTATAAATTCTGCATAAGAAGAATTGTACTCGTATATTTCAGTTGGCCTGATTTTTGTCTTCCTTCATGGCTTAGTTACAGTCATCAAGTGCTGTTGACACCTCTGAGATTTTGCCTCAATCCACTCTGAGGAGCATCTGACAGTAAACGCTCAGCCTGGACCTAGATTTGAATAAGCCATTTGTGTTTACAATATGAGCCAGCACTCTCACAAATACTGAAAGAGAAAAAAAAAACTGAATTTGCAAAGCACAATGAGCACACTTGACAGTGTTATCAGCCGTGCGCTGTGATATTGACTTTGTAATGTATAAGCAGTATGGTACGACATCAAGGCGAGAACGTGTCTTCAGGCTCATATTAGAGGTTGCATTGAAGCAGTCAGTTACTGGCTTTGATCTACACTTTAGAAAGGATTGCCTGCCTGAATCCTTATCAAAGACTCGACTAAGTTAAGGCTGTGGAAAATGACAGATTTTTTTAACCCTGGCGCCCTCTCCCTCCCCCCCTAAAAAAATGATATGTGTAAGAAAAATGTCAAAAATTCTGTCATTTGCTGTGCAGCTCCAGCTACATCTTGTTTGTTTGTGATTATCAAAATACAACCAATTTCATTCTTAAATTCAAATTTTTGTGTCATTTCCCTCTTTTACACCTGAAATCTCATTCTGCTGTCATGTGACCGAACTAATTACCAAGGTTCATAAATGCAGAGACCTGGTCTTTCCCTGTTTGCACGACATTTACAAAAAGCTCACAGCTGTGAAGATGACTGTTCTCAGGTCAGTAACGGCCTTGTCTTCTTATCCAGACCTGCCTCCTGTCATCGTTCTCACTTGAAAAGTATTAGCCTTATTATAGATGGCCTCCGTAAATGCTGCTGACAGAGGTATAACTAGCTCCCATAACTTTTGGCTCCCAATGGCAGATGCTTGCTGCCAGACAGTGGAGGGGCTGTTGTCATTTGTCACTTTTTTCCTCGGCTGCCACAGACCTGGACCCCAACCAGCTCATCCTCTGACCAAAAAACTCTCACAGGAGTCTGACGGTCATACTCAGCCTGCCAGATCAGTCAGGCAGGAGACAAGCCCAAAGCTTTTGAATTGTAAATGATGGTCATGATGGGATTTGAATGCTTTCTATGAAGTCACTTTTTTGCTGACATTTGTGTGTGTGTGATTTTTGTTTCAGGAATCCATCACCTACATTACGAAGTCCAGAGCAGTGGTGCAGGAGTTTTAGCCATTTCATCGGCCAGTAAGTGTCCTCTAATGTCAGTCTGTCAACCTTTGTCCTCAGTCTGTACTAATGCTCTTCTGAAAGGGTTTATTTTCCTTAAGGTTGTTAAGTAGACAGCCATACTGTAATTCTCCAAAGATCGCCTGACCTGGTGCATTTTTTTCTTGACTCTGTTGTTTGCTTTGTTGATGAATAAAAACAGGATATCTCAGGTGCAGATATGAGGTAAAGTTTAAGAGTTTAGGGATGGCGCTGGGGGAAAAATGTGCATTCTCATTTACAGGGTTATGCAATTCAATCCTAAAATTCATTTTAATGCAGTGAGATGAACTTAATTGTTTTGCGTTAACTCTCACTCAGATTCACATCGCTTGCTTGGTATCATTAGATAAAAAGCTATACAGAAAATTAACAAAAAAATTAAGTAAAAGACAGTAAAATATACAGGGACACACTAATTTTGAAAGCAGATATGTCTCTGCATTACAGTAGGCGTGAATGTTCATTTAAACACTGTGGGAAGTGAAATTGATATTTTACAGCTCAACTCTATCAACCCCCTCGTCTTTCTCTTCATCCACTTTCATTTGTGTAAATCTGCCAGGGAAGAACAAACTAATTCAACTGAGTTATCAGTTCTATCTGAGGCCCAGATAACTTATCATTTCCTCCACTGTGCAGAGCTAATAATGTGTGAGTGTGGGTGGGTGGGTGTGGGTGGGTGGGGGGAGGTCTTGTAATGGTTGTTGAGAATATACAGCCTTAATATCACCACACAGAGGTGTGTGAGTCTGAACCATAATGAGAAAATAAAATTCAATTTGTTCAGTGAACTATTTGTGTAGGCTGGTTCCCGGCTAACATTTATATTTGAGGTCAGCGTTGAAATGCAATAACTGAAAGGGAGTAATTGAAAAAACAAACAGACCGTCTGCCTTTAAGGACTTTTTGTGTCTGTGGGGTTATTGATTAGTCAGGGCAGAGACGAGGCATATTACCTCACCAACACAGGTTGTTGTGATGTTAGTTGTTATCATGTTTACCAGTGTAATTGCAGTGGTTTTTATTGGATATTTTTAGGATTGCAGCTCTTTAATTTTGGTTAATGGATTGTTTGATATCGTATCAGGAATAATCTCCATGAACAAAAGCCCAGAGGAGTTCAATGTAGGGAGTCTTGACAATGTTATCAAGCTTTGCAGGCTGGTTGTCCAGCCTTTTCAGCCCTGTCAGGCCTGTATGTGTGTGTGTGTGTGTGTGTGTGTGTGTGTGTGTGTGTGTGTGTGTGTGTGTGTGTGTGTGTGTGTGTGTGTGTGTGTGTGTGTGTGTGTGTGTGTGTGTGTGAGTGTGTGCAGGGGCAGCTGAGGTGGTAGGAAAGGGAGGGATATTTTCTAGGATAATAAATCCATCACCGGTGTCTGCACTTGTGCAGCCAAAGAACTGACTCCTGTGACAAAGTGGCTGCCGTTCAGCATCCCAGCAGCACAGCCGTGCTAATAGCAGCAACCTCTGCTTAATGTCCTGGCGCTAATGAATTCATAGAATTAACTTTCAGCGCCGAACAAACTGATAAAAGAAACAGAAATTCACTTAGATTAGGTAGTAGGAATTAGATTGGTGTTTTTCTCCTATCTTTCCTCTGCTTGCAATTGTTGGTTTGCACACACACACGCGCACACACACACACACACACACTCACACACACATCAGATGTTCAAAGCCTTTAGCTGAACAGGTAATTGAACAAGACAAATTTGGATTATTGATGGATGCATCGCTGAGCTCAGGTGGGGAGTTCAAGCCTTCTTATTTCATAGTTTTGGTCTCACAATTAATCAAAACTGTCAGAAACAAAAGCAAAGTTTTCTTTTGGGTTTTCTCTGCTCTGCTGTCAGTATTTTCTAGTTGTTATATCAAAGCAAACCGATACCAGGACAGTATCACAAAGAAACATGGTCTGCTGGCAAACACTGAACCTGTCAGATAGCACTGCTATTGCAAGGCTTGTTGTGAATCGGGGGCCATGGTGATCGTGAGCATGTGATACTCGGACAGAGAGGGACAGATTAGTGACCCAGACAGAGAAACACATGCTGCTGTGAGCATCTATCAGTACTGATCCCAGAATTCGCTGTCCACCATGTTCAGGTGATTGCAGTTTTTCCCAGGCTTTTTAAATTAATGTATAGATATGAAAATACAGAGTAACTTTGAGGCTTTGGTTTGTGTGGCGCCCAATGTTTTCTTTCCATTTTTCTGATTGTTAGGTGTCTGATAAAGGATTTTGAGGCACGCCCGTCTGTGACCCACCTCCTGGAGCATCCCTTCATCAAGCAGGCCCACGGCAAAGATGTGGCTCTCCAGCAGCAGTTGGCTGTTCTCATTCAGGAGCAGCAAGAACTGGGCTGCAAAACCAGAACCAAGTGAGTAACCACCACCAGACTGACGTGAGTTTACGCCTTCAAACTGCTCTGACACATTAATGTTTTTTGATGCTTCATTTGTGAGCTGCCATTGGTGATTTCTGTTGCAGCAGCTCAGTATTAACTTTGCAGTGATATCGTTCATCCCCAGTAGGGGGCAGGGTCTCATTTCCTTTCACTAGCTATGGTGGAGATGGTGATGAGCCTCAGTAATGGACATTACAGTATGTGATTAAAGAGAAGTTAGGGGAGTGTGACTAATTCAGAAGGAGTGATCGTGCTGACTAACCTTAGATTAATAAATGCCATTTAGGCCAGTGGATGTGCAAACCATTCTTTAAGAGAGTCTTTAGCACAGAGTACATCTCCACCCATGTGATCAAACTAATGATGGAGTAAATATTCCCTTAAAGTTTGATTTACATCTGAAAAAAGGGGAACATTTCAACTCCACGCTCTCCGTTTATGAGTGAAATAAACAGGGCAGCCTCTGTAAAGGTTCCCTATAATCTATATGGATAAAAGTGTAGAGACACTCAGGGACAGAGTGTGTTTTATAAGATTTTTTCCAAAAATGTGTCATAATGAATAACTCACAAATACTCTCACTGCAATGCATGACAGATCAGAAAGCCAGAAAGCTCTTATTTACCAAGAAATACTGACTATGGCTGTGTTTAATCTTCATTAAAAAGGAGTTCGCTGAACCTGCCCTTGACAGAGAGTGTTGATGTTATGCCAGCTCTGTTTACTCCAGAGAGTGTGCAGAGTCTGAGCCTGATCCCGAATTCCTGTCCACAGTGAGAGTGGATAATGGGATTAGGAGCTTGTAGGGCGAGAACTGGGCTTGCCTGGTTGAGTCTCTCATGCCACAGATCAGCACACAATGACTCCAGATAAGAATAAAGACATAGGGAACTTAAAAGTAGCCGCCGTAGGTGGAATAGGGTGGTTTAGTTCAAAGAAGGACAGAGGTAGAGGCTAGAGGTCTTGAGTCCTCCTCTGAAGGGACATGATGAAGAATTCTCACTTTAGAGAAACCACAAACAGGATTGAATATGAGGCTTTAATACTGTGGTTTTGCATTTACACTATATTCAGAATACATAATGAAAACAGAAGCAGAGCTCCTTACCTGAAGCTTGAATATTTTCATCATTTTATGATTGATTATTTATCATCATAGAATATAGATCTATCTTGAGAATGAGATTTTATTGTTCTGCAGTTTGAGGATTGAGAAAGCCACCACAAGAATTTTTCAAAAGCTTGAATTTATAAGGCCATTTTTTTTTTCCTTTTACGTCCTTGTAGCAGCCATGAAAGACCAAAACTCACAATTTTTAAGTCCACCAGTCTGAGCTGCTCTCTTACTACCCTACTTTATTTCAGTACTGCCAAGCCAGATGCTTTTCTATTTGAACATCCCAAACTGTAATCTTTAAAAGCATTCTGTTAGTGTGAAAAGTCGTAACTTGTGCAATTTTGGTGGACTATTTTCAGCTGAGGTTCATACACAAAATAGCACTCAGGAAACTGATGAAATATTATCCAGTTGAATATTTATGATAATAGGGGAGGCCTCTGCATCACTCAGCTAAAACTGTAATCTACATCAAGTTTGCTCAGATTTTCATTTTCTTAATGTTGTTTGATATTGATTTTTTTTTCTTAAAGAGAATTTTATTGATATTTTGGTATATGAAAAATATTGTAAGAAAAAATTAATGCTCTTTTACAGTGTGACCCTGACTATACCACAAAAAGTATATATAAGATATTTGTTTACACACATTCAACTGTATATGTAACCAAAACATATGTGAGAGGGTAGCTGATGTTTGTCTGTATTTATCACGTACAGGGTCAGTGTTAGAGGAAAACTTGGCTAGTTTCACATTGGATCATTGGAAGAGATGGACGACTTTAAATTTAATAATTTTGTGTCTTGGACAAATTGAGTAAAAATCTCTCCTATCTAAACTTCCATCCAAGTCACATCAGTAAGTTGTGTTCCCAATTCCTCTTATTGTTGGTTTTCACAGAGGCCAAGGGCAACCAATTTTTTTTTTAGTTTAGTATCCCAGTGGACCTCTTGGAACCTTGTATAGGTTCAAACTGAAGTCCATAAGAGGTCTTGAAGGTTTTGATGGATAAAAAGGATACTGATCCAAAAATGTGAATCTGTGAATATCTAAAGAAATGAGAGCAGGTAGTAGTAAACTTGAACATTACTTCATGGAAGGGTTCAAAAGGTTTCCATATAAACAAATCATTTATGATAGTGACTTCATTTGCCCCCAAGTTCAAGGCCCTGTCTGTACTCATCAAGAGAGAGGTTTGTGTAATAGGAGCATGAACTGAAAGCCCAGATCCTGAAAAGGTTCAGAGTTTACCTAGATACCGGTTCAGGCAGAGGATGCATTGAACCTTGCATTTTATCATAACACTATTTATCCAAAGGCAAACAGTGTTTATCAAAGAAATGCTAGTATAGGCGGAATAAATTTAAACCAAATAAGCATCACTCCTGAGCATGGCATGATTTGTTTACCCACAGTTACTCTTAACATTAAATTAAAGTTCACTCAGCTTAATTTTTTATCCATAAATGTTTCAGAGAACCAAAAGATTGACCATCAGCTTATTGGAAAACACGTTTACACTGCATTTCTGGGCAATAATGCTTCCCTTTTTTAAGCTACAGCCATGTATTGTCAATAAAAACTAGCATTAAGTGAGCGTTTCATAAGAAGTCAAAACAAATGTTCATGATAATCTGCTTTAAAAAACTGATTCAACCTGATCTAAGTGAATATATTCAACCACAGGAAGGTCAGGTTGATGTTAGTTCAGTTCTCAGTGGGATTTAATGATAATACCACATGTGAGGACAGTCATAAACCTTATCATTTCGATTTGATAGAAATGGCTGATTTTCAAATGCACAGTGGAGCCAACAGAGCGTATTTACTCACATGTATAGACTCATATAGCTGTAGCCACTCACAGGCGCAGCTCTTTTATGCTCTCTTTCACACACTCTCTGCTGTCCCCTGAGGATTTCCACAGTCCCTTAGAGCCAGCTGGCTCAGTGCTGACCTCTGCCCACTGGGGCTCATTGGAGAGTGATAGGTCAAAACACAGATGAAGTGCAATCTCAGCCTGTGATAATGGGAGATGTGTCCCCTGGGAGAGCTCAAAGGGTTTCACACAAACCTTGGAAGTGACTGGGTCTTACATCCACACAGTCAAACCACTGTTTCTCATTGTGTGGTCACTTTACAGCTTTCTCATGCATTATCATGCCCTTGGCTTTTATATAGGCACGACCGGATCAATACTCGTAAAACCCTCATAATAGAGAGCTGTCCTGATGATGATCTGGTAAATCTGGAGTTCTTAGATGAGGTAAGATTTTATATGTTTATCTCATCAAGAATCGATCGCTGTATGGTTCAGTGTTCTCGAAGCTTTATGTGGTTTTTTTTTTTCTTTGCAGGAGAAAATAATCAGCCACCTCCAGAAGAGGTATGATGAGCTGCAGGTGTACACTTATGTCGGTGATATCCTCATTGCTCTCAATCCTTTTCAGAATCTCAGCATCTACTCTCCTCAGGTTGGTTATGGAGCAGTCACTTTCACTATCACAGGTCTTTCTGAATCACAATGGCAGTAATGAGTGATTTATCATCATGTAGACCACTGGCCTAAACCTGACCTACATTTACAACATTTAAAATAATATGACCCTCACACACTCTTAAATTAAGACATCTTTCATATTTAGAAGTGATAGAAGCAGGAAAACAAGTCCATCAAGACTGAAGAGCTTTTTCAAAAACTTTATGCAAATGAAAAAGGTCCTAGAAAGTGCCTTTCAGTGATTTTATGATCCTCTCACTCTTTTCTCCGACCCCTGAAATTTCTTTGTTTTTCGCTAAAGGCAACAACAAACTGCAGAATGCAATTTGATTAAAATATTTACGAGCTTTTCAAGAATTTTTAAAACTTGATCCCAAACTTAATCCATAATCAGGTTAGGTGAGGTTTTGTTAAGAATTTTGTTCCTGACCAAATATCGGCCAAATTCATGTCATTCCCTTTAGCATAAACTGAAGTTGTTTGTGTATGTGTTTAGTATTAACAAATGTTAACATGATTAAATGCTAAATTAGATCGGTGAAAATTTGAAATGATGTGGTAAACACAAAAATAAGACCAGGTTGATGGTTTTATCTGCACAGATCTGAGCATGTATTGTGTACGCATTTGTCTTTCCTCAGTTCTCTAAGCTGTACCATGGTGTGAAGCGGGCTGACAACCCCCCACATATCTTTGCTACTGCAGATGCAGCCTACCAAAGCATGGTGGCATTCTGCAAAGACCAGGTATTCCTAGACAGAGAAGTAATTTAATGTGCTGCAAATACAACCCTGTCATAGCAAAACTTAAAAAAACAAGAGGTAAATCAGAAAGAGATTTATTTAGTTACAACACATTGATGTAAGTTAGTTTAGTAAGGAAGAATGCATTTGATAAGTAATATGTGAATCTTTATTGTGTGATTGTCAGTAGGTGCTTTTGTCTCCTTTTGTTTCAGTGTATCATAATCAGTGGGGAGAGCGGTGCGGGGAAAACAGAGAGCGCTCATTTGATCGTTCAACATCTTACCTTCTTGGGAAAGGTATCATGGCAATTTTCTAATTCCGTCTCACTTATTGAAATACATTAATATGTTTGCTTAATAAACTTCCACAAGCTATCATAAAATATTATTGTGGTTAATTAAAGAAACATATACTGTTATGATACTTAAGGCAAACAATCGGACTCTGCGAGAGAAGATCCTGCAGGTGAACCCCCTTGTAGAGGCCTTTGGAAACGCCTGCACGGCTATAAATGACAACTCCAGCCGCTTTGGGAAATACTTGGAGATGAAGTTCACTCCCACTGGAGCTGTCATCGGGGCCAAGATATCTGAATACTTACTGGAGAAGTCGAGGGTCATCAAACAGGCGACGTAGGTGCTGCTCACACATGTTGTGATTATCGTTTCCTTGGTAACACCTCAAATAATCCTGTTTGTCTCTTTTCAGGGGGGAGAAAAACTTCCACATATTTTATTACATTTATGCCGGACTTTACCATCAAGACAAGCTGAAGACTTACAGACTCCCAGACAAGACTCCTCCCAGGTTAACATAGCGGCTTGATTTGGACATAGTCAAAGTGATTGTAGGCTAACACTGTGTTAATTAACATAATGTTGATCTGCAGGTACATTGACAGTCAGCACTGCAAAGTGGTGCAAGACATAGTCTCTGTGAAGCTTTACAAGGAGCAGTTTGATGCAATCCAGGAGGGCTTCAGAAACATTGGCTTTACAGAAGAGGTACTTTAACTCTTGATCAGATAATTAATATAGAAGAAAATCTGCTTAAAGAGTGTTAATTTTTGTTGTTTCTTTATTCTCTGCAAAGGAAGTCAACTCTGTTTACAAGATTCTCTCAGCCATTTTGAACACTGGCAACATTGAATTTGCTTCCATCACCTCTCAACACCAGACTGATAAGAGTGAAGTGCCTAACTCAGAGGCCTTAGAGAACGGTGAGAGATATTAGTGCAGTGTGTGTTGTAATACTCAGAAATACTTCTCTTTAAGCCCAAGAAACAGGTAGCTCTAATGGTCTCCCTGGGGATTTTTTTATTTGTGGTTTAGGTGAGATTTTAAAAAAGCAGGCTATTTTATGTTTTATTCCCTCTATGGGTGATGATTTAAGGACTGCACGGTTGAGTGAAATGCTCTCCATCTCTGCGGGAGAAGGATTTTTTTAAAGAATAAAACCTTTAACAGACACATTTTCTCAGGACTCTGCGTTGTATTTTTTTATTGTTCATGTTTTTCTATTAGTAACAAAGGGAAGTGCATTTCAGGTGTCAGTAAGCTTTTGTTGGAACTTTAATTCTGCATACCAAATGAGCTTTTCAGCCATATTTGGTGAACCAGAAAAAAGGGGGAAAATTTCCACAAGCAGTGGAAGGTATAATATATACAAGCAGAGATCTTCTTTCCATTTACATAACAAATGTAAAGAAGCACAGACACCCAGAGTCAAAGATTGTCTCTGCTTATTTTTATGCTAATGATAAAAACAGATGAGCTCTTGATTATCACACTGATTAACTGTCTCTTCTTTTCTCTCAGCTGCGTCTCTCCTCAGCATCGGCCCAGAGGAGCTGCAGGAGGCACTGACCTCCCAGTGTGTGGTCACCAGGGGCGAGACCATCATCCGCACCAACACGGTGGACAAAGCCGTCGACGTCCGAGATGCCATGTCCAAGGCCTTGTACGGCCGCCTCTTCAGCTGGATAGTCAACCGCATCAACTCCCTGCTGCAACCTGACATGAATATCTGGTGAGTGTGCACTGGTGACGAACATCGGTGTGGACATTTGCTGTTACTCTTTCTTCTTCAATTATAGTTTTTACCGAGCTCTGATGACCTTTGTGGAAGTCTGTGGAGGTAGATGCAAACATGCAGAGGAGAATATCAATGGGGAAGCACAAGACAAGCAAAAGAAGAGCGAAAAAAAAAAAGTTTTAATAAATTTTTGATAGAGAGTTGCGTGCAGAGAAAATAATATTCAGATGATTAAAAAGACTTCAGAGAGACTGCAAAGAGGCTGTTCATTGATCCGAAAGAATTCCTTCATAAATATGAGCGTTGACTGTCAAGGAGTTGTCTCTCAGAGATGTACAAAAGCCAGAGTTCCTGTCTTGAGTCCAGTCATCTCTGCTGTTTCCTTATTGCCATTAATAACCCAGTAGCACAGACTAAAGGTGACCTCTGCATACTGCGGGTTATGACTGATGATGAGAAGTAGCAGGCAGCTTCAAGCTCCGAATATTAAACGCAGGGTGTTCATGCTGTGTTGTAAAAACGAGAATTGTTTGTGCAGATATTGAAAACAACTGGAGGTTAAATCAATATAGGCTGAGATAAAACTATCCAAGCAGCTCAGACTTTTTGAAAGCTGATGTTTTCTGTGGCAGTCCGGACCAGATTCTGTTTTTGGGTTGAACTAGGATTATCATTAAAGTTTTATCAATTAATATGGCTGCTTGGGATTTGCTCAGCGCTCGTTCCGTAGAAGAATAAGTTTGTTTGTCCCCTTTTTCCTCCTTTGAAGTGCCGCAGAGAGTGGCATGAATGTGGGAATCCTGGACATCTTTGGATTTGAAAACTTCACAAAGAATTCCTTTGAGCAACTGTGCATCAACATCGCAAACGAGCAGATCCAGTTTTACTTCAACCAGCACATATTCGCCCTGGAACAGGTGGGTCTGACACATGGCAGAGGGTTACTAACACTTCATCATGTTAACCATGTCACTGTAATTTACACGGAATCAATGCCTCTTCAAAATGAGCCATTAAAAAATAAGGAAAAACAAATTTCCCTTAAAGTAAAAGCAGTCCTCATATCATTTTTATGTTTTCAGTGCAGAAGAAGATGCTCGGTTAATTTGCTTTCAGCCCGGTTATGATGTGTGAGGATTGTTGATACTGTTGTGGAGCACTAAATGAATCTCTTAATTGATTTAATGAAGTTGTTTACCCTGAAGTGAAAGCAGGCTTTATTTTCCTTGATGGAAACAGATAGACATTAATCAAGAAGCATTTTACCTTTTAGTCCATGTTAACTTTGCATCTGAAAGGGAAAAAAATGAACCTGCTTTACATTTAAAAAGCATAAATGAACAGAAGACACTGAATAAAATACAAGCACGATCAACTATTGAGACAGGATTCATACATAGACTCGAATAATACCTCCTGCTTGTTCATTTACATTCTCCAGCACCCTCCACTATGAGAGCTGTAATTGAAAGCTACATTTACCCCTTACATATTAATTACAGTGCTAATAATTGGAAATGAGGCCTTTAAGCCTGTTGAAAAGTTTCTCCCCCATAAACAAGTGAGAGCTGCCCCTGATGAAGAGCTGCAGCTTGGTAGATAGGGATTTTTATGTGGTGTCGATGTCTCGAGTCCCGCTGCACAAAAAGACTGATTATTCTGAGTTAATGACTTAAACATGAGGACGGTTTAGATCCATTGGTTACACTTTATTAGTAAAATATATATTTAAAACAAGTTTTTGATCTGAAATTAAATAGATGCAATAATATGATTTGACTGTGGGTTATTTGCAAAGTGAAATAAATTATGAATAAGTAAGTGGCTCTATTTGTTAGTTCAGAGCTGCTCTGTTTTATGAATTCAGTAAAAAGACTCTATTATGCTGGAAACTTCACTCACAGACACACACAGCTGACTGCAGCTGTGTGTGTCTGTTGATTAGGAGCTCTTTTCCCTACACACACATACACACACAAATCATATTTAGCCAAGATTTTTTTAATTGGGTCATTTAGAGAAATCATGAACTAGATTATGCTGCTTTCACTGGTTTGAATTAGTTGGAATATCAAAGCGAGGGAGTGGATGCAAGCCTGGTGGAGTACGAAGACAACAGGCCCATCCTGGACATGTTCCTGCAGAAGCCCATGGGTCTGCTGTCCCTGCTGGATGAGGAGAGCCGCTTCCCTCAGGCCACTGACCAGACCTTAGTGGGTAAGACTCGAGCTGCTCTTTTGAATCACACAGTCTGTTTACTTAAACAGCTTAACAAATATTTCCTCTCTTCATTTCTTACCGTCCAGATAAATTTGAAGACAATCTGCGCTGCAAGTACTTCTGGATACCTAAACGTGTGGAGCTGTGTTTTGGGATTCAGCATTATGCAGGAAAAGTATGAAATGATATATTGTGATGATAAATTGAGTGACTGGCTGCTTTTTTAGTGTCATGAGAGGGTGATACAGAAGTGTTTTAGACCCCTGAGAGGAGTTTATGTCTGGTTAGGGAGCAGACTTAAATGAACAGTGCTGTTTTTTATGACCTACTAAAAGAAAATATGGACTGACAGTATCTGTGTAGCAGTATTTAATGTCTCTGACCACTCTGTGGGGGTTGGTGCGCTGAAAGAAGAATCTCTGCTTTTTTTCTTTTTCCACAGAAAATATTTACAGCCAATGATGAATTTAATAGAAAGCAAGACAAGATTTTTGGACAGATTGCAAAAATTAAACACGGACAAAATTAGCAAAGATGTCAGAGGGACTGCTTTGTAGGAGGCGTTAAAATTGATATGAGAGTTCCTCCTAGAGGCTGTAAGTTACTGGTTCTTGATAAATAAATTATCATTAGTTTGGTTGATGGGCTTTTTTAACAGAATAGCAAAATCAAATAACAAAGGCGTGTAAGACAACAAAGATTTTCCCCTCACAGCGTGTTTTAAAGCGGCTATTCTGAGCACTCGCTGAACACATGTTAAAGGCCTGTGTATGATGTTGATCTAATCAGCCTATATTATATTCTAGTGAAGGTCACTTGGGCTTTATTTCCTGACCCTTTACTAGAGGGACACACTTATGAGATGAGCTGCTGTAAATGTTAACTTTGTGCGTGTGTGCTTTGTGTTCTTATGACAGGTTATGTACAACGTGAATGGATTTTTAGAGAAGAACAGAGACACTCTTCCTGCGGACATCGTTGTGGTCCTGAGAACATCAGAGAACAAACTTCTGCAGCAGCTGTTCTCCAGCCCTTTAACCAAAACAGGTACACCATCATCTAGACCTTCATGAAACACAGAGAGATGCAGAACATTTCAGCCTCCAACAGGCAGATTATATTACAGCTAACCACAATGGGAATGGAAATGGAAACTTTTCTTTTAGACAAACTATTGTTAACAATGCCAGGTTCTCACTGTATTACTCTGTGAATTGTGCTGGTGTCGACTGCTTCCATAAATGTTCAGGTAAGTGGGTTTCTTAAAGACGCGGCTCACAGGCATCTCCTGGTCCCCCCTTCATTTCAAGCCTCTGTGTGCCGTGCTTGGATAAATCTGCAGTCTCCATTATCTCTTGAGAGGCTCAGCTCTCTGCACGGCGCTCTGTTTTTATTTTCACTAAGCTGTCCCTCTTGGTTTCCCACTGCTGAATGCTATCTACAGATTGTGGGTGCAGTGGGATATTTTTATGATAAGGTTCCTAAATACCCAGGGGATGAAGAAACTGTATTTAGAGAACACAAAAGCAACTCTTCCCACCTCTTTTCTGTTGGCTAAATGAAGGTGGAGTAATGTGCTCGTCATTAGCTCCGGCTGAGGCCTCTTGGTCAACTGACTTAGCTGAAATGCTAATAGATGTGTTAAATTATCTGATTCCCACTTCCTACTTTATTTCTGCTAAGCCACATTATGTGATCCACATCCTTTTGAGGGACCTGTAAATGCTTGCTTTCAGTCCCAGTAGCATTAAAAGAGGTTTCAATTCACAAAAGACACCTTAGCCGAGAGTGGAGTAGAAGTATGTGAAATGTGTCTGTAAACTGCAACAGCAGGGCGAGCACCAGGGAGCCTTCAGCCACTTTGCTTCTACAATTAACAGCTTTGAAGGAGTACTCTCTACACCACAGTTTCATTGAGCTCTTTATTTCACTGCGCAGAGGCCCTTAATAGATACTATGATGTGTTGTAATGTTTACAGCTTTAGACTTAACGTTATTTAGGTCTAAAAGCTTTTTTATTTCCTGCATTTCTGTCTGTTCTAACAGTCAGACTGCAGGGTGAAGTTAATGTGCAGATTTTGTTTCACATGTTCTTGTTTTTTTTTATCCTAAGTAGTGTTACCAAAGCTTGCATGCCTGTTTGCATGTTAATTCAAAGGCAGAGTAACCCCAATATGCCGGTTGTAGACTCTGTTTTCTTTAAAGTTGGAGGTCAAATTTTCTTATTGCAATTTGGTAAAACTGTAGATCATCTTGTTTGATAAAAAACCATGACACAGTGCACCCCCAGCTTATCATTCTAGTGAAGATGAAGTGCTGTTTAAAGTGAGATACAGTATAGCATAAGAAAATTATGGATCTATTCTCCAGGGTAGAATTTGCGGGGGATTTAATTTGCATTTTATTTCACATTAAAGATTCACTGTTATCTGTGAAATTACCATTATCAGAGGGAATCAGATGGAAATCTGTTTTACACCAGGGTGGCTTTACACTCTGGGTCGTCTGCTCACAGTGTCACCACTAGGGGACACCCTCGTAGACCTACAGCCTGACACTGTCACAGAGGTAAAATAATGGATCTAGGATGTGCTTGTTAACAAATCAACTGTTACCAGAAACAATTTCTTTTTAATTAGACAATCTGCAGAATAATGTTATAGTTAATTTAAATAAATCATGCTCACAGTCTGCATAAATGAAACATTTCCATGGACGACACATTCACCAAAAAAAAAAAGAAAAAACAGATGTAATGGTCTGAGTTTTTGTTGCAGTTCGGGTCTGAAGGATACCAGGAAACCAAAGGCCCCAGAAAGTAAAAAGCTCCCAGGGCAGTGAATAGCAAGGCCACTTGAGCCCTCAGAATGTGGCTCCTTGAGGCTTGGACATGTGGTGGTGTTTTGTCAGAGGAAATGGGATGTATTTGCATAGACAAATTCATCAGAGCCGGTGCCTTTCCCAGATCATGGGGATCACCATGTTTGAATTGGCTTGGCTCAGTATGGCCTGCCAGGGCCTGGGCAGCCTGCGATCACAGTATGGGTCTCTGCGGCTGTGTGGCTGCAGGGCTGTCTGGCCTTGCCTCTTGTAGCAAAGAACATCTGCACACACACCACCTCCAGACCGCCAGTTCTTTGTGACGGAAAAATGAAACAGGACTTCCAAAGTGGTGTCTGTTTCATGAAGATTTCACTGCGTTCATTGTCTCTACATATTTATGACCTTTTCTTTTTTTATTCAAAAACCACATTTATCTTAAGGGGGGTTTATCACTTTATTATATTTGATCAATGAAGAGGGAAAAATCACTGGTTTGAGAAGACTTGCACTGAATTTTTGTGATTTGTTTCCCATTTTGAATTTTCAGAGAGCACAGCAGCTGAAAAATTCAGAGAAGACAAAATTTATGTAGATTATTTCACTGCATCTTACACGAACCAGCTATAACATAATGAAAACCTGGGTACTCTAATGCAGTCCTCCAAACATTTGTTTTTATTCACATGATCAGACATGATCAGTATTTAATACTAAAGAGGTAATGGGTGGTGGTGGTGTGCTAGAGAATGTTAAATTGACATTTGTTTCTTATATTTTGTCTACTTCATCAGCAAACATGGAGGGAGGGTCAAAATTTTAGGAACACCTTTCAATACAATGCATATTGATGCAACACCTATTTAAGCTTTGATAATTCATTCAAGCATCAGTTATCACCAGTCTGACCATGTCAGCAAACACTGACAGTGCTGAAGCAGAATTTGAGGTAGAGCTGTTGTGTTGGGTTGCTGTAGACTACCTGTGTGTTCATAATGTTGATGTCCAGGCTGCTGCATGTATGTATGGAGATACTGCTACCATTTCTGTACCCCTCTAATTAGGTTTAGGAGTTTCAGTATTACTTGAATGAAGGATTTGATTTCTTAATAACTGTGTGCTAGTCCCCTTTTAAATCTGTATTAAGGTTAATTGTACCACAATGCATCCAGTGATATTAGCCCTTAAGCTCCTCAGTGTCTTGGGCCCAGGATGTTTTGTGAGGTTCAAAGTTTTTGGGTCTTTTATCTTCAAAAAGTGCTGTTGTTGTGTTAAATCTGAAAACCGTGTCAGTTATTGTTCTCCTGTGAGAAGTCAGGGGTTATAAGGTCAAGTCCTTCATGTATGGCGAGCAATTTACATCTTTTTTTATCTTCACGTGGCGCCGCAGTAGCAGTCCTCCGAGTCTCCCTTCATGTTCAGAGATCCTCCTGTGTTGACGTGACAGGCTTCTCCCTGCGATATGACACATTTGGCTCTTTGTTCTCCCCCAATAGAAGTTTTTTCTTTTTTTATCCCAGTGGGCAAACGGCACACTTTCTCCACTACACTTTCACTCTTACACTCTCTCTCTCCCAGAAGAGACACTCACTAAGTAATACTTTTGTTCAGTTTCTCTCCTAATCGCCGTATTGGAGAATGTTTTGAGTCAGCAGTGGGGTTTTTGACAGGGACCCGCACTTCAATAGCAAGGAGCCTGCTCTCCTAAGTCACATGGTACAACATCCTTTGATAAATGCAACACTGTGTTGTGTCACTAAAAGCCAATTACACCGTGCTTTTTATGATTGATCTGCTCTGACAGTAGTGGATGGCATTTAAATCAACAGCCCCCGGAGCCATCTCTAGGCATAAACGGTGGTGGTTATGGAGGGGTGGGGTGGGTGGCGGGGGGTTATGGGTGCTTTAATCTCATTTGCTTGGTTGCTGAGTTGAGTTTCTAGATCACATGTTTTTGAAAAAGAGAGCGGGAGAGCGGCAGAGATATCCAGCAAGCGTCTGCTCACTCAGCTCGGGGAAGGCTGCTCTCTCTTACAACTTTGATTGTCCCCCGTGTCGACAGCTCGATCCACAGCTTCTGAAGTACAAGGCGCACACTGGCACTCATAAAAGCATGTAGGGAGGTGTCATATTGAACGCAGGATTGCTTTTTAATCCCAAGCACATTGACTATTCTTGTCAATAGAGCCCCAATACAACTGCCAGCTTGAGCTTTTTTTTTCCTACAGGATTCTTGCTGGGCTTAATTTTCAAAGTGAACGCACAGATGCCAAGGAAGGCTTTTTCTCCTCTGCCCCCCTCCTCCACTTCCCTTCCCCACACACTGCACTGCCTCTCTCTGTGTTTGTCCTGGAAGTCCATGCCAAGAGCAACATGCGTGAAGCAGAAACGATCAGTGGGAAGCTCCTCCACCGCCTGTTTCACGAGACTGACTGACCTGATGGGAAACATTCCCCTAACCTGCTCTTCTCGGTTAATTATGAATCTTTTTTATCTGAAAACTCTTTTTCTTTGTTTTGTTTTCATCAAAAATCTATTTGAGGGCGATGTCAGAAGAAAAAAATGGCCTCCAGCTGTAGCTAAAAAACACATGTGGCCCTTTTCTTGAACTGACTTCACTGTCAAAGAACAAATCTTGCTGCTCGACTCTGTGGTTTGAATAATTACAGCCCACATCATTAAACATGTTCCCCACTGTATCTAAATTAGTGGGTCTTCTTTCAGGCCGGACATCACAGGTGTTCCCTTGGTTTTATGTCTCCGGAGGCAGAAATCTTTGAGGATACTGACTATTAACCCGTGCTCTAATCATGTAGTCAGGAGGGGATATGAAACCCGCCAGAAGAATGAATTAATACGACCCGCCAAGGAATACACGGAGAAAAGCAGCGAGTGTCCATTTGCAAGGCTTAGGTACAACTGTCATAGTCTCTCTCATCGCGGCGCAGCCCCTTCATCTCCCCCTTGATGGTGTCATAGAAGTGAGAGGCGTGAAAGCACAGTGACACTCCACGAGCCCGTTCCACTCGCAGCTGCTAATTCATCATGACAAATGTGCTCAGATGATCTGGCCCAGCAGCGCTAATGGGGAGAGGAGAGAGCGCACTTCATTTGCACAAGACCCACTCCAATTAATCCATCCAGCTTTACTTTGGGCTAATTGGAGCGGGGCCCTCCCTGCCTGTGTGCTGCTAATATACCCGACACAGTTTAACAGCTCCTGTTCTCAAAGATCATACTTTTTTTGTGTGTGCTCATTTCTTATTTTGTTTACATCGTGCCAAAGGGGCGTTGGAGGTTGTAAAATCTATGCTTGTGATCCTAAACACACAAACCGGCTTGCAAACGCGTGTTCATAAAGAGCAATTAACTGCTCATATTTTAATGTTAGCATATTTTCCACTTTCCTTTCTTCAGTTTCTAGTTCCCGATTTAGACCCTGTGGATCTTCCTCCAAAGACATTTTCAACAAGAATAAAAGTGCATATTTTAATGTGACAAAATATCTGGATTGGAGTGTTTTTACCAAGTGCTAAATGTCTAAATGGCAGTTTAAATGAAAAGATAAATAAATAAAAGTTAGCAGATAACTGTCAAACGCAGCATCCTCACTAGCTTAAAAGACGGTTTGATTTCTTTTGAAGTGTTCTCCCATCATATGTCCCATCATATGTTTTGTGTGTGTGTGTGTGTGACTGTGTGTGTGTGTGTGTGTGTGTGTGTGTGTGTGTGTGCGTGCGTGCATGCGTGTGTGTGTGTGTGTGTTTGCCCATGAGACACCACATTGCTTTGGCTCGCAGCAAAACCTTTGGCACAAGTGAGGCATTCTTTGTCTAAAGTTAGAAGAGGCCTGGCTCCTAATTAATCCATCATAAATTGATTTTGATCTCTCTCAGTACTTGATTGATGCTTCTAATGCACGTTTGATGGTTCAGAGTCCTCTAAAAAAAAAAAACAGTCACTGATCCAGTGTTTGAGGTTTGGGTTTCTTGTCAGACTATGTCCTTAGAAACTGACACGAGTTCTGAAATTTTACAGCAGAAGCCGCCTTCATATTTGCATTTTCAAAGTTCCTCTGCGTGCAGGAGAAAATCTAGAACAATTGTGGCCCTGTCACTTTGGCTTTATCTTAAAAACTTACAAAGGTTTTCCTCCTTGCAGTACACGGCTGCTTGGGTAATGCTGCCTCCTGTGTCTGCAGACGTATTTTTCTAAAGGTGTGTGTGGCACATCTGTGCAGCTATTGTTTATTCATGGAGTAAACCCTTTGAAATGTGTTAAGATACTTCCCACTCATTATAAAAATCCTGCCACCCATGGATTAGGACTTTGATGTCACCAATCCTGCTTCAAAGGCTTCTTTCACTGCTATTAATCACAGTTTAGCCTCTGAAGATATAGCCAGAGAAAACATTTGGACATCTTGTGCAGAAACTTTGAAATGTTCAGACTGTCTTGCATATGCTATGTTCATATTCTTTCCGCTGTGTGTGGGGCTGTTGGACTGCTGTGCACACAGCTGTACTCCTGAGTCCATGGGATTCAGCTCAGATCCAGGCTTCTTAGCAGTCTAATGCTGTGCTGCAGTATGAAGACTTTTGTTACCGTAGTGCATCTGCTCCTTTGTTTTCTGCATCCAGTACATTGCATTGAAAGGTAGAGAAAAAGGATTCACTGTGTCTCCATGTTTGAAGGTTGATCTTTTTTTTTTTTAATCCCCTTCTCTTCACTCAGCTTTAAAATCTTTCCCTCAGCATCAAATATGCTTTTACATAACTTTCTATGAGTGGAGTTTAATTGCTGATACGAGTTTTGGTTTCAGCCCTTGTTGCAGCCTAAAATTTGGCCAGTCAGTGCAGTGATCTGGTTTCTCAACCTCTCAAAAATATCAGCAGATGTTTGGTATATTATCAAGAAACAATAAGATATATCAAAGCCCATATTATTTCGATGTCAAAAATGGTGGTCATGGTTTACAAAAGTTAGCTCTATCAAACAACAAAGCTGTGGAGATGAGGCCGTAGTCTTTCTACCTGGTAATCAGCATCAGTCTGTCAGTAAAATTTGCCATGCTTCTAGATGTGCCTTACAGTGCATGACTCTGGGCCCCCACCACCTACTCACCCACCCACTCAACCACCCCCCTGACAGTTGTAAGCTGTAAACATATTGCTGTAAAAAAAGGGGGAATTTTAGTATGAGCTCTGATGTGGTTTCTTGCAGTTCCTCAAGTGGACACCTGAGGAACTGCAGTTTTTCGCACTTCTGCGTCTTCATTTTAGAGGACCCCCATGGTAGTGGAGTTCCAGAAGTGACAGCAGCCTTTGTGGACAGCCACTTACCAAACACAAAATATATATGTTTGCAGTTAGTCTGTCCTGTGCTACTATAGAAACTTGGAGTTACAAGATGGTGGCCTCTGTAGATGTAGACCCGCTGTAATGAAGATATGATAGGCTTACATTAAATTAACAAAATTATTTTTCTGTCAGGTGAAATTACACTCATTAAATCATTCAGTTACTTACACTTGTAGTCTATTTGTACCAAGTCTGTTTTACTAAGTGCCACTAAATATGCCACACTTTCCTGTTAATCTGGCAAAATGTCAACAATCTGTTTTTCCATTAATAATATGTACCTTTTTTGACGCCTCTGTCATTAAAAGAATATGATGTAGTGCTCAAAGTCTCATAAGTAGGATTGATATTCTATCCATTAGTTATCCTTAACCAATACACAGCCTTTGTCAGCATGGGTGCTTGTGTGTCAGACATTTAAGTTTTAGGTATGGGTTTCCCAAAGGAAGCATTCTTGGACACATGTCTTTTTGTTGCACATGGCTCTTCTTGCATTTTAAAGTTGTAGTACTTGTTTATAAGGTCTTAACCTTGTTCCTTTATATAGTAAAAGTCTTTAGGCTATTGCGTAAGACCAGTAATTTTTGCTCTTTAAATCTTCATCTTGTTTGGCATACATGCAGAAGCAGTGGTGAAAGCATTCTGTTTATATGCCCCCAAACTCTGGAGTTTACTGTTCCTCAATATCAAAATGGCCCTTTTCTTAATTCTAATAGAAAAAAAAAATCTAACTTTAGAACTGATATAAGTTTAAAGTCTTGGTCAAAGCTTTTATCATTTTCAAAGCCTTTTCTCTCTTATCCATTTTGTCTTTTTTGACCCTTAAATTGTTTTATTAAATTTTTTCTGAAATCATTGTTTTTTATTTGTTATCTGTTGTCATTAGTTACTGTTTTTGTTCTTAATCTGTATTTTTTTCCTACATGTCGCACTATTGAGCTTTGTGATTGTATGAAAGGAACAGAAATATGTTTTAATTGAGTGAAGTACCAAGAAATAAGAGAGATATTTTAATATCTCTGCTCATGACAAATTCATGTTTGTGGTTCTGAACAGGGAATCTTGCAACCTCCAGAGCCAGGGTCACGGCTGCCTCCAGATCTCTGCCTCCTCAGCTCAGTTCAGGACGGACAAAGGTGAGAATTCTGCTCCTTTTTGCAAATCACCTGAGAACAAACATAATGTTTTTTATGAGTAGCTCACAGGCATTGCACCATAAGAAACCTAGTAAAAACTTGTGCTGCGAAGCATGGCCACATTAATTGACTACCACTGTTATGTTTGCTGTCTTGCTTGTGGTGATGCAGCATCGCCATCTGGCATTTGGTATCTACGGCATAAAAGTTTTTAGGACTTACAAACTGTTGTTGTTGTGTTAATGGGCAATCTTGTATTATAAAATTGTTTCTAGGTCCTTACAAAAAGGACAGCTTTCACAAACTTTGTGAGAGGCCATGATAGTTTTCTTCAGTACAAAAGCTCATATTCATCATATTCATATTTAGGATCTTTTTTTAAGGTTTTCTACAAACTTCTTTGCCGTATAAATGAACAGTATCTTTTCTAATAACAGTGGCTCTCTTATTTTCTAACCTCTGCATTCACTCTCCAAAAGTTTCTTTCACTGCATCTATTTTACTCAACTTAAAGGGTTAATCATAATGTCTATGAGATATAAAACTTAAAATTATTTTGCCCATTTCAAAAATATATTGGATTGGTAAAACTGAATAAATTACATTATAATCTAAAGTGGAAAAAAATAACCCTTTAAAGGTGACTCTCTTGTCTATCTACTTTTCTCCTCTTTTATTTCCACGTCATTTGCCAACATTTGCTGTACTCAAAGTCACCCAAATACCTTTTGAAGGTAAGCCTTGTTTGAATTTTCAAATTGTCTTTGAAAATTCATAAAAATCAACTGGTTAGTGAATAATCTGAGTTATACTTGTATTTGAGCTGATTTTCCACTAACTCTGAATCCCGTGCAGCTCCTCTAATCAAAACATCAATCGTTGTCTGGCTTTGGAAAAATGTTAATGTTTGAATATAAGCTGTTTTCTCACTCAGTCACAAAAGCCTCAATGTAAACAAATGCTCTTTGATGCATCTTTTCAGATTATGGAATAACATAATGTGGGACTCAATGCAGGCTTAAATAACTGTGGAAATGATCTGTTCTACTTTCTTGAACTTCCCCTAAGCACCTACTCAGTTATTCTCCTACAAGAAAGGCTGTCTTAATAACAACTCTGTGTGATTGATGTAATATGTATGCCGTCATGTTCTCAATCAGAGTTGGGGGAAAAGTTGACAGAAACTGACTATCATAAAAAGTTAGTAGTTGGACCAGAGTAAAGTAGTGTGATGGTTGTTAGAATAGTTAACTGTTTGTACTTTTTGTGATCTGCGTTCAGGCTTGTGTCAAAGCATTTGATTCCTCCCTTCATGTTTCTTGTAACTCAGAGAACATTTGACTTACCTTTCCTTTTCTGCTCTGGGACAAAATAAAATTTTAAGGTATGCACTTTTCTTCATAGACTTCCTATAAAAAAACCATTGCATCATTAACTTTGATGAAGCCATGAACTGCGAGGGCCATTAGAAAGCTCATATTGTGTCCTCGTTAATCCGTCGTCGTCAGGATGACTGTCTGCTTGGTGACGGCTAGTCTCATTACTCAGAATGCTCTGCAATTTTCTCATGCCCCTCAGCAGTGCAGAATTATTCTCTAGATTGTTAGTTTTAAGTGTTTATGGGGTTCTGTTTTACGGACGGCACAGTTAGTACAGCTGTGTATCCCCGACTGGCCCATTTAGAGAAAGGAGACCTGCTGTAATAACACCTTTATCTCCACTAAGCCCACAGAGTACGGCAGGTTGTGCATAAACGGCATCCCATTGCAATCTGCTGCCTTCACAGTTCTTTCTTTGGCTGGAGTCTGGTCTGCTCTTTAATGCTGCTTGCTTATTCAGTTTGTTTGTGCTCAGGTGGACACCATGGAGATGATGCGCCACCCAGGAGAAACCACAAGCATGAGGAGGCAGACTGTAGCCTCCTATTTCCGTGTAGGTGTTTCCTCTTTTGCGCATACCTGTCTACCTGTCTGACCACGACAAACTGTTTGAATATGATCTTAACTTATCTGTTCAACTTTGATATGATAATTTTATTGCCAAATTATGACTTCAGTTCAGGTGCATCTCAACAATATTTCAAGCATTTTTATGTTAAAATTTAAGCTCAAAAGAAAAAAAAAACATCTCTAAAAATTCTAATTAGAGTAAAAAAAAACATAATTTTTGGAATCTATGAATTTATAGTCAGGGACGTCCTTGTTTGGAACAGAAAACACAAACATAACATAAAAAACTCATCATATTGGACTAGTTCATAAAAGTGTTCTTTGGCTTAATGTCAAATTGCAGTAAATAAGAAAAAGTTTAGATTGACCAAGAGCTGTATGTGGAAAATGGTGTTCCTCTTTAAACAAAAAATAGACTGAGGAGGCCAGCTCTCACTTTCAGAAGAACCCTGATGATGGTGCGTGTCAGGGAAATAAAATAGCACATGGTTAAAAATAATGAATGTATGAATTATTGACCTTAGTTGCATCTGTCAGTCTAGTTCAGTTTGTATAACTACAATCATTGGGAGACTGCTGAGTTTGCAGTTGTCCAGAAGACAATCACTGACACCCTCCACAAAGGTTAGCGACAGAGGGTCAAACGCTGGCCGTTTGCAGACTGCTGTATAGAAGCATATGGAAAGTTGACTGGAAGGGAAAAGTGTGTCAAGAAAAAGTGCAGAAGGAAAAGGGATGATTGGGAAAGTTGTCAAGAAGAGCCTCACAAGGAGGTGGACTGAGGCTGGTGACAGCACATCAAGAACCACCATTCACATCCAACTTTAGGAAAGGGAATACAAACACACAGCATTTCTAACTTCAAGCCACTCATGAACCGGAAATGTTAGAAGCGTCTTGTTTGGGCTGAGAAGAAAAAGGAGTAGACTGCTGGTCAGTGGTCCAGATACCTCTTTCCAAATCAAAGTCAATTTTGCAGAGGCTTAGAGTCCAAGGCGTTTGAAGTCCAGTGTGAAGTTTTGGGGTGCCATGTCATCTGCTTTTGTGAGTCCACTGTATTTTGTCAACCCATCCATTTACTTGGACATTTTAAAGTACTTAATGCTTCCATCTGCTAATAAGCTTCATGACAATGCAAATTTACACTTAAGCACCTGCTCTCTGTGCCTAAACGACTACCGACTGGTTTACAGACCACTGAGGTCAGGCTGATCATCCTCATGCTGCACTGCGCTGATGCAGTAATTTTACAAAAGGAGCTCCAACAGAGTATTGAAAGTAAAAATCAACACACTTTTCAGAAATCTGGCATTGTTGTGTTTTTTTAAATGTCATTTTTATTGACTTTGAGAGCTCCTCAATAATCAGAGGTAATGGATTTCAAGTTTTTGTGAGCTGCAAGCCATAATCATCAAATATAAAAGCAAAATGGTTTAAAATATTTTACTTGACATGTAATAAACACAGAATGTTTGAAGGTTAACCAAAAAATACAAGAGGAAAAAATGTCAAAATCTTCTGATTTGTTAAAATGCACCTGAACATATAAATGTCACCACCTTACTGTAGAATCTATCAAAATATGAACTCAAATCATCACAATGTATGAAACAAAGTGCTCATATATTTATTCATGCTTCAAATCCAGCTTTAAAGCTTTTTAAAAGATCTAAAGGAATATGTCAGTATTTTTGAAATGGGGTTGTATGAGTTACATTTCATAAGTGTACAAGCCACAGTGAATGCCACCCAGTCCTGAACCTTAATAAGAAACTGGTGGGGAAACCAGCATGCAAACAGGGCTGCAGTTTTCTGTAGATAGTGTCAAGTCTTGCATTTACACTCTACTGAATTATTTTTGCCATCAGAAATTTGTTTTTGCAGTTTTTCCATTATGACTTGTGTCTATATTCATGACATGTAACACAAACAACCCTACTTTAAAAATACTGACATTTTTTTTAAATAGTTTTCCTTTTTTATTGTTTAAATTTAAAAAGATAAAGCAATAGGTTTATTGGCAGCTCCAAAAATGTGATGTAACCTGCTGTGTTTACCTCCTCTAACACCAAAGAAAATTGCTGAAATCCTCAATAGAAATAATTTCTACTCTTCCTACCTCCACCAGCAGTTTTGGATATGCTGATCTAATTAAACCCTTTTATTATAATAGTGAATTTTTGATTTAGTGAAATCCCAATTTCTTTGTTATTAATTCCATCAGTGGAACAACATCATAGCTGACGATGTTGCTTTTTGTCTGTATTGTTTAATCAGACATAACTCTCACTTCCTGGTGATTAATGCTTGAATAAATCTCCGGTGCTTTCTCAGTAATAATTTGCTGCTCATGAAACTCAACACTTCCTAAAGGTTTATAAAAAGGAAATGACTATTTTTCATGAGCCACTTCAGGGGTTGTAATGTGAAAAACACTGAAGACATGATGAGTGTGCATTGTCAGTAAAATACTGTAAGTACAGGATAACAGAGCTATGTGCAGACTGGAACAGCTAAAGTAAATAAACACTGATTTTAAATTTCCTGGGAGACAAAATAATCTTCATAGAAGAACAATCTGTGTTTCCTGGATTGGACACGAGCATTAGTTAGTACATATTAGATAAAAAGTTTGAACTTTTCATGGATAATATTACAAAATAAAAAAGTTACTCTGAGTGAAGTCATGACATGATAACTGCTTACTGTGTTTCAGTCTGTCCCTGTGTTTATATTCTTGTATAATTGCATGTGTGTGCAGTTTTCTCTCATGGACCTGCTGTCTAAGATGGTGGTGGGTAAGCCACACTTTGTGCGCTGCATCAAACCCAACGATGACAGGCAGGCGCTCCGCTTCTGTAAGGAGAGGGTGATGGTACAGCTGCGCTACACGGGGATCCTGGAGACTGTGAGCATCAGACGGCAAGGCTACTCCCACCGCATCCTGTTTGAAGAGTTTGTCAACAGGTAAGAGCTGCGTCCAGACACGCAGCACCCACACACAACAGCAGCACACACATGCTGAGCACCAACACAACCCCAGAGATAAGGCAGAACAAGTGAGTCGTGCTCTTCATCACACAAAAACACGGGTTCTTTAATTAGACAGGGGTACGAGTTGAGCAAAGCACAAGGCTGACTAATTGGCAGTCATTAGTGATAGTGCTAGACTAAATCCTACAGCTCTCTTAGCTGGGTGGAAACTCTAGTCTGGAAAATGTGGACACAATTCAAACAGGGAGGAACTGTGATTAACAGGGGTGATGCATTTTAATGGTTTTCTTTTTACTATTCATAAAGAGTTTGTTCTTAAACTTGGTGACCTGGAAAAGCTCAGATGTGGTCTCTACATGTCCCCTTGGATTAGATTAAAGCAAAATTAAATCAGGATTTCATCATTAGGAGGACTTTATGTAAGGATGTTGTTTTTGTTTCTAAAAATGTGGGACAGGATAAGATAAATGTTAATAAGTGTTACACACTTCTGTTCAAATGTTGGACCACAAATTTACAAAGTGTAGACCAACACATCCCCAGCTCTGTTAGGGGAAAACACACATACGCAGAGGAGTCTGTGGGAAAATGCAAGGAAACTTATGTTTGATTAGTTCTCCTTTGAAAAATACTCCAGCCACCTCTAATGTGGAGACTTGAAGATGATATAAAATTTAATTAAATTTAGCTTGTGGCCTGTAGGAAGGAAAGCTTTAGAGACGACTGGTTAGTCTCACTGCTTTAGGCGAGATTGAAAAATTATGCTTCATTTTTGTGACCTAAAACTTTGGATGACCACTTTTTATTTTTTTTATGTGAATGTCCTAAATTTTTAGAGTTTTACTATCATCAAACCGACATAAACCTGACCTGTGATTTTACTGTTTACTCCACAATAGCTGTGCTCAAAGTGTGTGAATGAGACGGAGTATTAGCACTAAGACTACGTTTAAACCTCACTTTTGAATCCATATCATCCTACCTAAGCCAGGCAGAAGTCATACAGACAGACCTGAACGGCTAAACTGCACCTTGAGTGAAAACTGATTTAAATTTGTGCTCTCATATCAAAGGCTCGTCTGATGTTACCAAGCAGTGCTTTGTATTTACCATCAAAGAAATAACAGGTATCAACAGGAATTAGAATGAAAGGCTGTAGACCGAGGCGGGGAGGCGAGTTCAAAGAAGTTTTTCTTCTTCTTGTTGTTGTTCTTTTTTGACCAACTCCAGAACACAAGAGATGAACCAGTCGTTTTGGAGCCTTGATGTCCCTGAGCAAACATTTAGAGCCACTTTGGTCAGATGCTGGTATTTTGTAAACTACAACAAGAGGATCAGTGGACGGATCCAGACATTGTCAGCGATAAACATGCAGCGCAGAGCTGATGAACACTGATAGGCCCAGGCTGATGGGCATTTTCTGTGGCCACTGAAATAAGAGACGATGATTCATTCAAAAGGCCTCCAACAAAGAGCCTCTGTTGAAGACTCATGTCTCATTTTCCTGCTCAGACTTAGCAGGCCACCTTCCAGCTGTGGTGATGTTTCCAGTAGTTATGTGATCAAAGAGTCTAGTCTCCCCTTTTGACTGTTGAAAATAAATCACCAAATTAATCGATTCAACTTCTGTAACAACAAATCAGAGCAAGGATTGCCTCATGACTCTCTACCTATAAGGCAGCTTTATCTGTAATCCCTATTTTTACACTGAAGCCAGCTGAGTTTCTTTACAGAGTAATGGTGCTGAATAAAAGGTGCTGATATAGGTAGGTAGGTAAGAGACTTCAAAACTCAATAAAATGACAAACGTGAATGATTTTGCCAAAACAAAAAAATGTGACTTTAGTGAAAACGAGGGACCGTTATGAGCAATGCCAGACTCTAAGATACTCAACATTACTCCACTGTGAGCCAGCACTTGGTACAAAAAAACTTCCTTTAATGGGCAGAAACCTCGAGTAGGACCGCACTCGCTGGCAGGCAGCCATCTGCTGCAACGGGCCGGGCCAAGAAATGAAACTGACGTTAGTAACTGAAAATAGGGAGGGTTTTTTGTGTGGTTTTGTTGTTGAATCCAACCCGAATACTTGCAGATTATCTCCATAAAATCACCTTCATACAGTTTTTTGTTGTTGTTGTTATTTATAGTTTATAGAGCAGATTGATCTGAAAGAATATTTGATACATGTGGCCAAAAGAGTCACATAAAAGTCGAGATTTGAGTCGATTCAGCTGTGAGAGGACGAGTCTATGAAGAACTGTTGCTCCATGACACATGGTGACCAAGTTTAATCAACACAGAACGGACTGTCTTAAGCCTGGCAGAGATTTTTAAAGTACATTTGCCTTTTTAAAGCTTTGGTGCTTCTTAATTTACAGAATTTATGAGGTGCTGGTAGATGAATATTAAAAATATTTTGGCAGAGGCAGGTTAGCCTTCCTCTCTATTGCCAGTCTGTGTGTACTGAGTTAAGCTAGTAGGCAGCCTTTTTAAATATAAACATTCATAAAAAGACAGGTATTTATCTTCCTTAATTATTTTATCATAGTTTGGTGCATTTAAATGGCATCAGGACTGGATTTTTAAACCAGTTTTCCCATTCAGTACATGTAGATTTATGAAAGATCAACAAAAATTAGACCATTCACACTTCAAAAGTCATCCTGGAATTGTAAACAGATGACTTAAAAAAAATATATTAAATAATTTCAAAGCTTTCATTCTTTGATCTAATAATTATCTCATTGTTTTACCTTTATTTTCTCTGATAGATATTACTACCTTGCATTTCGGGCTCACAAGATGCCTGAGACCAGCAAAGAGAACGCTGTTGCCATTCTGAAGCGGGCCAAACTGGAAGGCTGGGTCCTGGGTACGACAAAGGTAATCTGAAAGTAACACTGTGAAACAAAACAGAAAAGAAATCTATAATTTTTTTATTTTTTTTTAACCATAAAGTTAAACTCATACCAACAATTTCTGTGTCAAATGAAAAGGTCAGTCAACCTCTTTAAATGGTAGAGCAGACACACAGAGACTTTCTAACCTGGCCTAAACATGCTTTCAGGTTTTTCTCAAGTACTATCATGTGGAGCACCTGAACCTGCTGCTGAGGGAGGTGATCGCTCGAGTGGTGGTAATGCAGGCTTACACTAAAGGCTGGCTGGGTGCCCGTCGATACCGAAAAGAAAAGGAGAAGAGAAACCGCAGCGCCGTCGTCATCCAGTCAGGTATACTGGTATCAACTTTACAGCATAAAAAAAAGACTCTTTAATAAGTTAACAATGCAAACACATGTAAACTAATGCAAAGGTACAGACTTGATGTGAATCTGACCACTGCCTCCTTAATGACCTCTAATCTATTGTGTGCTTGTGAGTCTTCATAAAAGAGATGAGTTTGATAACCACAGCTTGACCTACGTGGGTTAAGAGCAATGCTTCAGAGCAGACAATAAAACCACAGAGAGTTCAAAGGGATCCATCCCTCTGCCACCTGGTTTAGCAGTGTTTTGAAGTGGGATCTTGTGTAGTATGTGCAGTCTATTTTGTTTCACAGAGGCAGGTCAGCAATCTCTTGCACACAGACCTAGACTCTCTCACTCTCTCTCTCTCTCTCTCTCTCCCACACATACACACACACACACACACACACATACACACTGTCTCTTTCTCTCTCTGTAGCCTGGAGGGGCCATGTTGCCCGGCAGAACCTCAAGCAAATAAAAAAGGAGCGGGAAGAGGCCGCTATTCGAATTCAGTCAGGTAAAGAAATGTTCACATTTTTTCCTCTGAAGTTATATATTCAAGTGCCGACCACTGGAATTTCTCATGTCGCCCCGTGTCCGGTGGATATATGCACCACTTTTTTTTTAGCCTTTTTCAAAAGGAGAGGGGAGAAAGGCCTGAAAACCTTACATCTTTGTGAAACACCTTTTTGATCTTGATGAGTGGCCCACGAAACAGTAATAATTAATTAATAATGCATAAAGAGAAGCTTTTGAAAGTTTGGGCAGCATTTGGTCCCCATGTTTCAGAAGAACAGTGCATACTGAGATCCTTTTTTCCTTTCATCTCTTTCCCAGTAAAGGCAAGAGAGGGGCTTATCCCTTCTGTTTCCTCACGACTTCCTCTCTCAAATTCCTGGCCTATTACACAGCTCTCACATACCAGAAACAAGATGCCTTTTTATACTGTCAACCTTTTCATCTGAAATGTAAATTAATTCTTACTCAGTGTGCCTTGACGAAGATCAAAGTGGGCACATTAACCTTCCCGGGTCCCCCCCTCCCTCCCTCCTCCTCCCCCTCCTCCTTGGAGCCTCTCACTGGAGGACAGGGGAGGGTGCCAAAAGGGGCAGGAGAGAGGAGGGCAGGGGGAGGAGATTTGGCATTGTTTCCCCTGGCTCTCCTATGGGCTGCCCTCATCTGGCACACGGAGCATCTCAGTCGCCTGCACACCTTGTGTAAATGTCCTCCATTAAACCCTTGTAAATAACGCTGCAGAATGGGTAAACATGGTTCTGGTGTGAGGAAAGCCTCTCTGTGTATGCTGTCTTTCTTTTTAGAGAAGTGTGTTTGTGTGTGGCCGCCGGGGTTCAGGAAGAGAGGTGGGTGGGGGGGCCCTGAACCTGACATAAGTGGGGCCTCAGCCCCCCGGCGGAGCACTCCAGCACATTCACATTGTGTGTTCTCTGCAGCTTATAGCCTTTGAGGTGGGCTGCATTTGCATTCTGAAAATAAACAGATGCCTTTCAAATGTATGAGCCTGGTGGCTTCTCAGATCTCAGCAGGGCCTGGGGGACATGCTCACCATCGATCAGATTAGACCATGCAAAATAGAACCATGGCTCAACAATGTACTTGAGCTTTCTTTTCCTGCGCATATAATTTTACAAGAAAAACACAAAGCCCGTTGACGGAGTAAGTCAGCAGGCTGCATTTACCGTCCATCTGAGCCCAGTATGTCTCAATAATCACACAATGTTTCCTCTCTGCTGCACCGCTCTCTTTATAAAGATGCCAAACACATTTTCACTTCCCTCAAAGCAAATAAAGTGTAATTGTTAAAGGCTGTTTAAGGACTTCAATTCTTTTGTATTGCAATCACATTAAGTAACTGCCTCTCCAAACTACAGTATATGTTTGTTGTCTGAATGGAAATAGTTTTCTGTCCATATAATAGGATGTCTGACATTCTTATCCTGTGCAGTCTACAGAGGCCATCGAGTGCGCCGGGACTGTGGACCCCAGAGGCACAGATGTCACCCTGAGGCAGGAGGAAAGACCACCAAGGAGGAACATACAGGGTGAGCTTTGACATCTCTTGTCCTTCACTTTGAAAGAACACTTTCCTCCGGTTTGATTTTCATTTTTCCTCAATAGCTTTCTTTGCACAGTTGAAAAATTGCTCCAAATATGACCCAAACCACAAGAGCTAACTTCTAGAGCATGCCCGTCACTCATTTTGAGCCCTTCTGGACATTTTTTCTCGCCCTGTTATGTTCTGTTGTTGCAAGCAGGAGAGAGAGCTCCTCCCAAAGCACCACCTCTTTTGTTTTATAAATGTAATAAATATCTTTCCACCAAGATACCACACTTGTCTGACCACAAATGGGGTTGGGCGCTGCACTGGTCTCCAGATGTACAGGCTGAAGACTTTGTGTTTATTCAGCATATGGGCAGGCCGGTCATTAAGAAAGTATGTGCAAAGCAGGAAAGCAGCCCCTGACTGAACGGCAGCACACGTGGTGGCTTTCAGCTCAGTTTTTTAGCTGCTCTTTGCACCACAGCTTGCACAAACTTTCATCTCACATATTGAAACGTCTCTCCGTCAAAGTATCCTGAATGATTTGTTTATGTGCGGCAGGATTAGAGGAGAGCACCATTAGATAATAATAATGACAAATATGTTGAGTTGCATCACACAGCAGTGCACGTCTCTCTCTCTCTGGATTTCGCATGTATAAGAAATCAAAAACCTTGGGTGACTTTTGGTCAAAGCTGAGCATCTCTCTCCAGACTCAAACTCCAAAATACTGGATTTACACATCAGAAAATGTTATGCTTGTTGTATACTCGAACCGAGCGGAGCCCCATCTGGGATTTTTCTCTCGGTGTTTACAATCATATTCCTTGGTGAGAAAAACTTCAAACCTCCACTTAACAATTCTGTTTAATCAGTGCTGGAATCTCTCCATATAGATTTATTTTGACATGATCTGGCCCATTTTCCTCCTGTAAGATCTATGTTCTCACCTACATGCTGTTCTTTTCCCTTTTGATATCACTCCTCTCTGCCACGCATGAATACTGCGTTTGCATCCAAACAGCAAGAGCCTCCAGTTGCATCACAAAATCCACGCTGGAAGAGATTTTGTTTTTCGAGACTCAAATACATCACTACAACTGGCATGCAGCATTGTGTTTGCAGATGCTGTCTCTTTTGGTATTTGTTTTTTTAATAATTCAAAAGTGTGTGATCACAAAGAACACTATCTCTTTCTTGTTCTGCGCAAATGGCGTTATCATAAAAACAGAGCTGTTTTACTATGAAACGAGCAGGCAAATACCTCTATTAATTCTCACTTAAAAAGACACCGAGGTTTCATGTTGTTTTGAAAATGCCTCTTACTTTTACAGGTCTAACATCCCAAACAGCAAAGGAACAGACAAGGATCACAAACACAGAGCAAATGTAAGTAACAGAATATCAATGAGCGTTTTCTAATGCCTGACTGTAGACGTGTATGTAAAATGCAGCTCCTCTACAAAGCAGCTTTAACCCAGATTATTCTTTGGGAATTTTTGTGAGTCCTTGAGACAAAAGAGTTCTCTTGCTCCAACCTCCATCTCAGCGGAGAAGACAGGGTGGTACAGGGAACGAGAGAATCAAAAGGCTGGAAATTCACGGCTGAGAATAAATGCTCGCTCTTCCCTGAGGTGATTTGTCTTTGCGCTCCTCTTTCTACAGATGTTAGACCCCTTTTTTAGTAAAGACCTGAGGTTCTTTGGTAGCACTTTGATATCCTGCTCGGATTCAATATGTGAAATAGAAGAGCCACTCCGTGACTTGGAGCACATCACAGTCTTTGAAGTCTGATCCAATTTTTGCTGCTCACCATTTGATGTTGAAAGGATGAAATGAGGAAAATGTACAGTTTTTGCCAGTAACTCTGCTGAGCATATGTAAGATTAAAAAAGCAAAATCCTTTGGAGGATGTACTTAGAAATGTTAAGCAGATTAATACTTTCCTATAGCTCTTTTATTCAAAGATAAAATTAAATATGAGAGGAAGTCTGTATGAGCTGTTTTTCAGCCTCACAATTAAGTCAGTGTGGTGCTGTTTGCTAGGAGGTAGGGCTAGCAAAGGGGGATATGCAATTGCATTAGCATTTGATTAACATTGCAAAGCACATTAATGGGTTTGAGTTATATGAGTGCCAAATTGTAAATTGTAAATAAATGAATACAGCCTCGACATGACTAAATTGAAAAAAACACACATTAAGGGGCTTGCTTTAACTTGTGTCTGTTTATCAGCTGCTTTCATTGACATTGCTCTTCTGGCTGTGTTTTTTTTACGCCTCTTCTTTCAAGGTTGGGCCCGACAGCCGAGACAGACAACTGAAAGACATCAAGAGAGACAAAGGCAGAGCAGAAGACAGTGTAACCAAGCCTCACAGGGAGACAGCTAGACTGCGAGACATGCAGTGTAAACAAGGTAAGCCCGAGCACAGAGCTGGCGGGTGCAGGTAATTACACAAAGAGACAGCAGAAATCCCGCTTTAATGGATAAAGTGCCATTTTTAATACAGGGCCCCTTTCAACCTTTCATCCCAGCCAATCCTTTGCTGCCATTCTTGGTTGACAGCAGAAAGAGAGGAGCATTATGGGTGATCATTTCTGAGGTATTTTAATAACCCAGGTCAGCTCATCATAAATGTCTCGTGGCAAGTGGGGGGGCTTTTTCGAAGTGGCATGAGCACTTCAAAGCTTTCGTTCTCCCGCGCAGCGAGTCCTTCACTAAGGATCTCATCAATGACTCTAATAGACCTGCACAGTAACGGTGACAAGAAAACACACAAACCCTGATTTGTTGAACATATGTTTGGTTTGCTTTTTGCCCCAGGCGATGAATTACATTAATTCCTGCTGCCTTGAAGGCTGAGTGGGTGGCTGTGCAGGGGGTCTCTGATTACGGCCGTCACCACTGAGGTAGCCTGGGTAATGGGGGCCCGGCCCTTCATTAATGTTATTAGAGGGGTATGAGGTAGGAGACGGAGGTGAAATAGCGTTTAGCGGCGCGGCTGAGAGATTACGGGGATTAGACATGATAATGTAACACAGACAGGGCTCTCTAGCGAGCCCGGGATTAGTGTCAGCACGCCACAGCAGGTCTGGGTTAGATAGCGGCTAATTCGGTAATGCTGCATACAGGTGACCCTCGCTCCCAGGCATCACTGCTGCTGAAGGGAGGCAGTGTTTGATGAATTCATAATGTCTGGGTGATTTTGGAGAGAAATGCTGCAGTCAATGTCAGTTTGAGGGTTTTGTTACCCAAACAATTATTTGTTTTCCTTCAAAGCTGACAGTTATTTTTATCACAGAGTTACTTTTTTAATGCGAAACCCAGATACTCTGAAGGGTTAGCGAAAGCCCCCCACCCCCCACCCCAGACTCCTTTAACTCAAACGTAGTTTAATTGATTTAATTGCAATAGCATTGCAATATATCTTACTTTGGATTGTATAGCACCAATCACTACTGTTTTTGGTTAACAACCCCTTAGAGCTCTTTTCAGTCTGAAATAAACTGATGTTGACTATGATGTCTCTTTGTGTCTTAAAACAGTAAATTAGACCATTAGCCTAAAGACTGACTATCGCTGTTACATTATTTTTAATGCCTGAAACCCTGCAGAAACAGCCTTTCCTTACATTTTCCACAGCAAAGACTCTCACAGCTGATTCAATAAAAAGAAAGTAGGATAAGGCCACCATCTTTATCTGCCATGTCTCAGTAAGCGATCATACAGGATGCATCAAATTTGTATTGACTGGAGATTTTGATCATAAAAACTTGACAAACTGAGTGTGATACTCATGAACCCCAAGGCTTTTTGTCCTCAAAAGCCACCATTGCTTCAGCAACAAGAGAGGTGAGGGAATGTATTAACCTCAAATCAAACTGCTGGACATCACTGTATATTCCTGTTTCTCACACCTTGAGGTTTTCAGCAATGTCCACTAAAGGCTCATTCTTAATTATGGTTTTAATGTGAAAATAAGGATGTGTTGTTTATTTGTTCAACTTGAAAGATTTCTACAGCCATAGAGTATTTTGACAAGAACCATGTCTAAAATGCAGAAAAAGCCAAAGTGGTTTGCTCTCCTAGATATACTTTGGTTTAAATAAAGTGGAACATTTTTTATGTTTGTAGTAGTTATCTGATACAGGTCCAACTTTCTTTACAAGGAGGGGATTTTATGCAGCTGTCAGTTATCTCTGGTGTCACAGGCAGGTTAGACTTAAATGGTGGGAAACGCAAACTTAAACTTACTTTAAATGGTTTGTTTATCATATTAAGATCATTTATTCAGTAAGTCAAACTCTCATACCAATACTTATTGTAGGTGCATGAATTTGTCAGTCTCTCTTGGAAGATAATCCTGAGGTGGCTGAATAAAATTTTAGAGATTTGACAGGAAAGTGTGGAATATTAATCAATTTTTCAAATTTTAGAGCCTATATTGTGAATCATTCCTTTTTACTCACAGTTCAGCATGCTGCAACTTCTTTTGTCAGTTGTTTCATCAATAACAACTGACCATTTGTTCAGCAGGGTCAGCCTCCATATCCTGCAGGAACACTTAGGGTAAGTGGGTCTAACAGAGGCTACTTTCGTGCTCTGGCAGTGCTCCCCCTTGTTTACGATGCTGTGCCAGAAATTCACATAACTTTTTCCTTTTTTAAATAGTAACGTATCTGATTCCAAACATAGAGACACAAAGAATGCAACAAACTCCTATCATGCATCTGTGTTTGCACGAAGGAGAGTTAGCTAAAGTGATGAGCATTTGTACACCGCCTCTCTCTGTTTTTAAGGTTTTTTTGTGAGTCAGCTCAATTGTGTGATGAAACTTGCAGAAAAGTTGCTCTTTGATTTATCAAAGTTGTTCTATTGTTGTTCTACCCTAAACCCTTGCTCCAAACTTTACACTTAGTCGGGTTTCCTAATTTTTTCATAGACTATGACGTCTCAGTTGGCCTCTTCACAGTAGCTGGGACACTTGAGCCCTGCCTGAGCTGAAAACAGTTCAAATACTGACAGGTTGACTGGAGTTGTAGAGGCCAATACAGGATTGAGAGCCTGAGTGTTTATTTGATTATGTCGCTCAGGCACTGTGAAAAACAGCGACATTGATATTCTGAGTTTTACAGCTGATTCTATTTTTATTGCCAAATTCAGTGATTCTATCCGTGTTTTCAGCCCCAGGCTCTGTGGAGCCTCAAGCACATGTGACATTTCAGTTTTATTCCTTTTAAGCGTCCTGACATAAATTTCCTCATTTTCCACGGGCCTTACTGTCACTCCACTTACCACACAGATTCTCAGGTATTCATCTTTGCCTCTTTTTCCTGCCTGGTTTATGTTCCAAAGTCTGCTCATGGCTCCAACATCTTTCAGGAAACCCCATTTGAATTTGTTGAAGGAGGCCATGGTAGCTCAGGCACCCAGGGCACACTTTGATCCCTGCAGATCTGAGGGCCTTTTTTTCCCTCCTAGGTTGAGCGAGTGGTGGAAGCCTTGCCCTGCCAGATGTTTGGAGACCAGGCTCCTTCCTGTGTCTCATCCTGCTGTCGCCTCTGGTGATCGCATCGCTTTCTCTCGAGCTGGGGCTCGACCTGGAGTGTTTCAGGACACCGGCAGAGAAAAAAAAACAGAAAATTAGCCGTGGAAATCAGATTACCCCACCCCTCCAGAACCTTACACACACTCTTGCACCCTGCTCCCATTAATGCCGAAACACTGGGGCATGACCTGGAACCCCTCGACTGGTTTGACGGACGTTGGGTCTTTTCTGTGATTTTACAAAGCCCTATGTTGGAAGTTGACACACTTGCCCATTTGTGCTCTTATGTGAAACAAAGCAGGTGGATGATGTAGATAAATGTCTGTTTCACTGCATAAGTGACACCATCATGGACAACTGTTCCCCTGCTTTATCCACATCCACGGTGTTGCATTTTTTAGTGGAAAGAAATCATTGAAGCACTTTTTAAAAGACTCCAGGCGCTCTCAGATGCCTTCAGCTTCAACCTTTGATTCCTTACTTTTTTTTCCGGTTAAAAACTTACAAATAGGTTGTGTTGTCATCTAAGCTGTGCATTCAGCACGTAGCCACCTCTCGTCACCTGTCTCCCGAGCCTGAATATTAACACAACATGTTTGGAAATGAGTCATAGAGACGTGCGTAGAAAGAAAGCCTTTTTGCGAGGAAGCGGGCAGATATGATCAGAGTGCTGCTTATGCTCCTCAGCGTGGTAAACAGGATGGTGTTGAGGATCAGTCAGAGCTGACTTTATGGTTTGTGAAAGCTGAGCTACTTATGTTAACAGGCTTTTTGAAGATTAGAGTTGTGGTAAACATACATGTCAAGAGAGAGACAGTGATAAAATGGAGCCACAACACAGAGAGCAATTACTGCAGCGCCTCAGAAAGATGGTTAACCTGCTTGTTTGAAGGATGAGAGGGGAGAAAAATGAAAAGGGCAGCGGAGAAAAGTTCATGTTGACTTATTGGTTCTAGTTATGTCCCCTCAGTGCATAGCACAGTACAGTCAATAAGAATTGATTTTGTTTGTCGCCCTGAGCTCTTTCTGCGCTTTATAGCTACAGCTGGAGGAGCTCGTTGGGAATGTGGACGCTGTTTTACCCACACTGAGGTCAAACCCTCCCTCAACACATCATCTCACTTTCCTCTTCTCCCTCAGCTCTTAAACGTCTTTCCACATGTCCTCCCACAAGGTTTCCTGCCACCAGGTGCGGCTCCGCAACCCACCACCACCACTAACACAACCGCCATCACCAGAGTAGCAGCCGCATCACCATATCAACATGCATCTGCCCGACAAATGATCCACCCTCTCCATGTTCTGGAGACAAATACGCTCCCACCCTCTTTGCTGTCTCTCAGTTGTTTGATTGATCTGTCTGTCTCCACATATCTCAGCGTCTCGAGCGGATGCCTTCAGTTTTAGGCAAATTACAGGCTCGACGTAGCGGCAGCAGAGATTTGGAAGGGATAGGAAAGACTCAACTTAACGGAAGGAGTTGCCTCTGTCTGACGCTACCTACGTAATCCTCTTAATGTCAGTGGGAGTAGTTAACAGGATGTACTTCCAAACTACTCATCATCACAATTCCAGCAGAATAATCTCCTCAGACATAAAATCAAGGTGGAAACGATACTCCGAGCTCTCTGTAATTTTGCACATGTGGATTGACTCATCTGATGAAGTTAAGCAAAGTTTTTGCAGCGATAAAACATTATCATCAGTAACTTACAGAGAAATCACTCTTTAAGATATTCCACTAATCAGAAGACAGCTCGATGAAATTGCATATTTAATCTATTTTTGGCCTGGTTTCTCCCCGCTGCTTACTTTTTCTTCATCCTGTTAGGTCACAGTTATAAATTACCTTTATTATGTTTCTGACAAATGACAGACTCCACAAAGTTCAGGGATGTTTTTTTCTTCACACAAACATTTCTTTAGGAGTCAAAGTTCCAAATCTGCTGTCAGAAGAAATGATTGATTTCAGTGTGAAAAATTGGTCGTAAGTAACAACATCCTCTGCCTGCATTAGTGAAAACAGATGCAGGAACTACTCTTTTTCAGCATTATCTGCAGGACGTGACCAATTTTGGCTTATGATTTAAAGCTCATGAGTCGCTGGTAAAGTATGATGTCCAAAACGACGAGAGCTGTAATAAATCTCCAAAAAGTTCTGGGAATCCTCTTCAGCTTCAGATATCTGTTTAGAGTCTTTGTTTGCAACAAAGAGCTAATGTCTGTGTTAATGTGCGCACATGCACGTGTGTGTCTGTGTTTATGTAGCTGAGTGTGTGTGTGTGTGTGTGTGTGTGTGTGTGTGTGTGTGTGTGTGTGTGTGTGTGTGTGTGTGTGTGTGTGTGTGTGTGTGTGTGTTAGAGAGAGGAGGCGGTTGTGAGGTAAAGAGAGGGGTCTGGGTTGCACATGCCTCATTTAGACATCAAAGGCCCCTGCTGATGATTTTTCCTTATAATCCATGCCTTTTGGTGCCTCTGCTCCCTCCATCTGAATAAACAAAGCCCGAGTGGTTCTCTGTGGTCTGGGAAAAGTCAGGTGATTGCAGCACGTGATTTGGGAAGGAAATCGATACATCTTTAATTTATTCCACTAAAAATCCCTTTTAGCAGCTCTTTTATGTTGTTTTCTGAGGAGCACTCTGATTTTCAAGGGATTTCAAAGCGGTATTTAAAGCTGTAATACGAGTCATCTGCTGCTCTTTGAAAATGAAAGGAATACCTATCTCGAAAAGAACTCCAGCCCGTTTTATCTCAAGAAGCAAACATGTACAATATGTAAGTCTCACACCAAGAGAAGCAAACCCTGCTTGGCTCCCTTTTGATACGGAGGAATCAATATTGCATGAATCGCACTGCCTCTGTATTCCCAATCGACCATTATGCCTCCCCTCCCCAAACAGCGCACATTACCCACCATCATTTAGCAAACCCCTGGTGTGAGCCACTGTCTGACCCCTTCCCGGCTCTGCCTGCCCATGTCCAAGCCTCACTCTCATGCCAGGAGCCAGTTTGGCAGCCTCCTGGCCTGTAATATATCTGCAGGAGCAGCATTCCTCTGGGGCTGGCCTGGATCAAATGGCAGTGATTTCCCAAACAGAGGCACAGAGATGGGAGGCCTGACCCATCCTCTGATCTGCTACTTGCTCTAATCGCTGCAGGTCAGTGGATAAATGGTGGTTCTCAACCCCCCTGTGTCATGTTAAGGCTCCAGATCTGCAGCCGTACATCCAGCAGTTGAGCCATTTCAGGAAAACATGAGGTTATCTGAGCCACAGTCGCAATTTTATTTACAGATGTTTATTTATTTATTTTGTTTACCCATCTACAGTTTAATATTTTTCTGGACTTCATATCAAACACAGTATAAATCACAAGTAAATCTGGTGTCGACAGTTAAACAGCTTTAATAATGCACCAGAAAGACTGTCATAGTTCTGAGCTCTTTGATTCTTTTGTCACCAGTCAGTCAGATAAAACTGGACTTTTCAGAAACCTATCGCCTATATAAAAAAGTCTACCATTATTCTGGTGTCTGTCTGAAAGACATTGTTCTTTTAGCTGAGTGCTATCATAAGCATGCTTAAAGGTCAACAAAAACAATGCTCACTTTCTGATGTTTACCTGCTCTAATTTCTTAAAAATTTACCGTATTTGTTTGTATTTCTATGTGAATGTGTTGGAGGGTGAAGTTCTGCAAGAATTCAAACCAAAGTGTAAAATAAATTCATTATTTAAAGTTCATAGAAGTTTTAGTGTGAACCTAAGTGGAGATGATTGCCACTAACATGAGGTAAAGTGATGTAGACCAGAAATTTTAACTCATGTGCTCACATCAGCCTGCCGAGAGGATTTTAGTCCGACCAAAGATAAAACTGTTCACCAGATCATTCACTCTTTTGGTACCGCTCATCAAACTCTTCAGCCGTTACTGTATCAGTCAGTAATCTCAGGTGTTTGTCAAACTAAGATTGCAAAAATATAGTGCAAAATCAAAATATAGTCTAAAACTTTTTCCAATTATAGTGTATGTAAGGTGGACGTTAGTGTTTGGGTTGAAGTTTTTCAAAAATGAGCGGCAGAGCTGACCCAGTTTATAGCCTAGCCTCAATGTTGGTTCTTCAGCAAAGAAAAAAGGGGCCAAGCTGACTGGGACCCCCTGTGGATAATACAACTACTATTGACAAGTAACTTATACAACCCTCCTTCAAAAAGACCGAACTATCTCTTTATTGTAGTTATCTGAAGATGAGTACATTTACCAGAGCCGGTGAGTTTGGTCATGTTTGTGGGGGTTTGCAGACACAGTCAGTTGGGATCTAAACCAGAGCTCCTAAATTTGGCGGATTTATTCATTTCTAATCCTTCACTTGATGCTTGAGTGAAATTGTTCCCTTGACAACAAACCAAAGTAATGAAAACAGATTTATCAGCAGTGAATGGAGTTCAGCGTCTGCAGTCACTGTTTTATACTTTCTTAAGGTTAACATTAGGCATAAACAGACTCTGACTCTTTTTTACGATGTGATTACATTTTGTTGCTCCCTTCAAGAGCATTTGGCTTCATTATATGTGATTATGAGCTTTGATGCGTTTTCAGGGGAATAAAACATTGGCTTATCAATTTCATTTTGTGCATCATTAATAAAAGAGCCCCGTCCTACATAGAGATATTCTGTAAGTACAGTGTAAGGTGTGCTGGAAATATTTCTTTACTAATGCTTGCTGGTCCGTGCTTTTTACCACACATGTCATGAAGTAACATAGATCATTGTTTTAAAGCTCAGCAGCAACACTGTACACTTCGATTTGTCAAGTTTAACTGCCCTGATGCAGCTAAACCAAGTTATATGTTTAAAGAAACACACACAGCAGTTTTTATTCACAGTTGTACTCCTCAGTACATGAGATCCATCCAAAATATCCTTAATATAATCAGGGGTGACAAGGATTCGCAGTGGACGGTTTGCCCCTCTGAGGCACAGAGAGATAAGATTCACAGTAAAAGTTGGCTAATATCTCAGACCTGACAGGAACTCTCTGGGCATTTACAAAGTGTGACTTTAGTAAACCTGTGCTGGTTTGAATAACATCAAGAAAAGCCGAGGAAAGATGGAGGGGTGGAAAGAGGCGTGGGGTGAGGGGGGCCCCGCTCTTTGATGTATAGGATTGAGATGTGATGAGGTCTGTTCAAAGTGAGTACAAAGTAGTGTTAAGATGGAAAAAGCAAATGCAGCTTTAGTCAGGGTAGAGAAGCCAAGGCAGCAAGAGATGATGAAGAAATGTCCTGTCTCACCCCAAACGTAGGCAAAGAAGATGAAACGTTATCTGACATTAAATATAGATGCTTCCTTGTAAAGGTGTCTCGGCTTTAAAAATCCACTTTTGAAACCTATAAATTTTAAAACTCAGTGTGTGCACTAGCAGAAAAACATAATCAGCCATCATATTGTCTCAGGTTTGAATATTTAAGTAACACTCACACACTTTATTAAGACATTTATAACATATCCTTTTTCAGGGGGAATTGAATAATTAATTCTGTTTGGAGAAATCAGGAAAACATCTTTACTATCTGCCAAAGACTCTGACATCAACTGAAACAACAACAGAGAAACAACAAGCAGTACTCAGCGTGAGGATAAGGATGTGCAGATAATTTCATACTGTGATTGAATCACATTTGTGTCTTTGTTTCTGTCGACAGATGAGGAAAGAGTAGAGAGTAAACATCTGAATCTGCCATTCTGCAGATCAGCTGAGTCAGTGTTTGAATTTCATCAGGTTCCTGTGTGAGTGCAGAAACGGGAAATGCACTTTTTACAAGACAGCTAATGGTTATTATTTGATTTGAAGGGCCAGTGAATTGCCATTAGACCTTTCTATAAAAACCTCTCTTTTGCTTGTTGAGAGTTTGCTAAGAAGAATATCACTCTTACCTCTGTATACTAAAATATACATTTCAAACAAGCAGAGTTTTTAGCTCAGCGTGAAGTGGGATCAGCTGGGCCGGATGGGTTTTAAGACAAAAGAAACCAACACTAGTATCTTTGATGACTACTGAATTAAGGTTAAACTTATTTTTCAATCAATTACAAAAATGAGTTGAAAAAACATTCATATTCATCAAGGAAAAAGCCAAAATAGAGTACACTTTTATGTTAGCTTACACTGTTTTTGCTCCTTTTTCTCCTGTCTAATCTTGACGCAAAGTTAAGGTAACCTGCCAATGGTTATATGTTTATATTTAGAGTAGAGCTGTTAACATTGACCTGTGGTTAAGGTCTGAATTTACACTTTTCTCTCATCACATACCACTATAGCATACCGTAAATTAAGCCTTCTGTTGGCACCATGATGGAAATAACAACAGCACTGCAGTTTTGAGTGGCACATTTCACTCCTCAATTTCTTAGTTGGGCCATGAGTAAAATGTACTTAGTGTTAAACAACAATGAAATATCAGCAAAATATTTCAAGTTGGAGCCACTACCTCCACACTAAGCACAAAGGTGCAGCTAATCAGACTGATGTCAGTGAGCAACAGTAATACAAAAGCTGGCAGAGCCAGAATTTGGAGCGTGTGAATCGCCACAAACCTGTGGATAAAATAAAATCAAAGAAGTTCACTTCAGCGCTTGTTAAATGTGTGGCAACTGACAGCAGACCAATCAGTACTTAGGAAGACCGGTGTCCTTGGGTTGGCATGACCTTAAAGCTCCCTCCTACCTTGAAGCCATCGTTTCAAACCTCACCAATGTGACAGTGAAGCATTTATTTCAATGATAAAAAAGTAAATCAAGATCAGAAAGTGCATTTCATTTTATTGATTTGAGTCCCAAACCAAGACTTTGTGAAGAATTGCAAAATGAAAAAAAAAAAAAAATTTAAGTAAGATAATAAAATTTAAAACAAGCCATTAATCACAACAAAAAATGTTTGACAGCTGTTGTTTGAAAACCAGATAATACAGTAATGTCACATTATATTACATCATGCTTGTTTAGCCTTCAGCTCACTGTGTTGTACTCTGTTGTGGTTCTCCTTTTCAGTTATTGATTGTTTCAGCTGCATTAGAACTTATACTATGTGACTCTGATTTATTTTGCCAGATACTGGACTCCAAAATTACACTAATACCAGAGAGATGTCTTATTTTAAAGACTGAAATAACTTTGAAACACAACCATCTGAACAGCTTTCTACAACCCCCTCTGTTAAACTCTACATAGGAGACAAGAGTCCAGCCTCAGCTTCTAGACTCCTCCCAATTAGACTAATGTTTGCAATATAAAAAAGAAATACAGTTCCTCCGCTCTGAATGAACAAAATGATCTGATCTTTCAGATTTTGAATTACTTTGTGCATGCTGTGTTTTCACATCTCGCTAATCTTGTTATAATTTATTCATCTTTTAGGGAAATGATACTTATTTGTTTTTGGAGATGTTGCATTGTTATTGATGTGGTTAAAATTACAATTTTGGGGGGAGTTAGTACATCATTACAGTAAGTCTCTAATTTTCATAAACACACAAATGTTTTTGTCCAAAAAAAAGGAAACTAATTGTGTAATTTTCAGAAATAGCCGCAGCTATCTGGTTAGTCATAACTGGCACTTCATCAACTTTTTTTTTTGAAGTTTTGTAAGATCTGGTTTAATCCTGGGTGTAAACAGAAGGAGCATAATTTTCTCTCTTTTAAGAGGTTTCGGTCTCAGTAGGCTGAGATGTATCCAGACTCACCCCTCCCATTGAAACAGTTTAAAGATCTGAGCTGTTGTCTTCCATGCACCTGTGAGGAGAGTTATAATTACATGTGATTCACATGTGCAGATTTATGTAATGTTAAACTGTTATTGAGTCAGCTCGTTGATGAAACTGCACTACCTTAATCTCAAATAAAGTAAATTTTGAATGTTTCTGCCTCTTAATCTCATGAAGGTGCAGGTTACAGAAACAGTCCGGGGCAGAAACCGTTAACTGCCGCTGTCATCGCCGTCAGGATCATGTTGGTGCTTCTTGTTGTTGTTTTGTTTGGTTGGATCACTGCCCTCATTTTTCTCTGTTGCAGGTCCAGTGATGAAGCTGCAGCAGAGAACTCCTCGCCGGCGGGGCCAGCAGCCCAAGCTGCTCAACAGCCCTGAAGACAGCCTGTACTACAACCAGCTAAATGTGAGTTCAAAGTGCCGATAAAGGCCTTTGTCTGACTTTGGTTCCACATGATAATACAATTAAACCTACCTGTGCCAGACCCTGGAGCCCCACCCCCACGCTTCTCTGCCTCTTGTCTTGAACATGTGCTTATGCTCTTTATCTGTTGCTTTCATGTCAGGATGTCTGCCTTCACGGTGAATAATTGATGTGGTTTATCAAAGCTGAGCAAGATGCATGCTTCATCAGACTCACTTGAGCCCTTTGATCAGAAAAAATTATGCTGTGACTTCTGATATTATCAGCATCTGCTCGCATTCAACACAAAATCACTTTGAATTAAAAATTAATGACTCTCTGCTCATCTTTTGACTGTGTGCTCTTGGCCCTTTCCTCAGAGAACCATGGATTACCAGGGGAGCAAGAGGAAGCCGAGAAAACTTGGGTAAATAACTGCTTTCCTACTTACAGCGGCTCTAAACAGAGCAGGCCCTTTGTGGAATAGGAGAATCCAGAAATGGAGTTGTTTTCTTACAATGTAAATGGAGAGACGAAAATAACAGGCTTTTATGAGTGCTTGCTCTGCGTCATTAGAGAGGGGGTTACTTATAAAGGCTTTGTCAGCATGCTAATTTTAATTGTTGAAGGTCTGACTTGTATTTGTTCTATAAATGACATCCTGCTGCACATCAGAAAGCTTAAGAAACCACTTCATCGCTGCATCTGCAAATATTATTTTGATTCTTAAAAGTCTGCTTCTCCCCATCAAGCCTGCTCAGTATCCCAGTTTCTTCTCACTCGTCTTCTCTCCCATCCCAGTCAAATCAAAGTGCTGGATGGAGAGGATGAGTACTACAAATTACTGTCAACTGTGGACTCCATCCCCGAGGAAGTACGCGACCGCCCCCCCTCCCACCCTTTCTAGCGGGCCTCTTGTCAGTCAGAGCTGAGCCTTACAACCATGTCAACCGGTAAGACAGACACTGCAGACATGTAGACAGACACTCCAAAGAACATGCTCAGAGTTGGATGTGCTGGGATATGTGGGGCAAGCAGAAGCAGTGCAGAATAAGCAACCTGTACATGTGATGCCCTGAGCTCTTCTTCCAGACAGAGTTAACAGAAACACATTTCTCACATTATCACAACAGTTCTATACAAGCATGATTAATGCTTGTTTGAGGTTGGGCTACATTGTTTAACTTCTATTGTCCTGCAGTTCGACAATGCTGCCACTCAATGTGTCCAAACAAGAACGCTATTGTACCACTTGTGCACCAATTTTCAGATTATTTACCAGCTCCTCTGCCAAATGGGGCAGATGTTACATTAATGAATAAATGAATGATGATAGAGGCACTACAAAGGGTACATCATCACTGTATGTGAGGGTTTCATTAATAAAAACATTTTTGCAAAGTCACTTAGCATCATTCATAGTTTACATGTTGTTGCATCAGCTGTTTAGTCTCTATGCCAGGGATGCAGTGAACAAATATTTCTCTACGTAGCCATTTTTGTTTCATTGATTAAATTTTTGGTCTACGTAACATTAAAAATGACATAAGTGTCTCCTCTGGTGTAGTCTATTTCAACGTATAAATAGTTCAAGTTAAATTCTAAGAAAAAAAAGAACTACTCTTAAATAGTTTCAGTTTTGTTCCACATCTAGGCCCCTCATCTTTCAGGCATCTCATGTTTAACATCTACTCACTCTTTAACATCACATCTATTGTCTGAGATAGATCCAGAGACAAATCCTCATGAAACCCCAAACTCTCAGTGCGAGTTCTCCCTCAGCGAGCCGCCTGCAGTTCGAGGGGCTTTGTGCTGTCTGAGAGCTGGAATCACCGCACATAGCCTCACAGACGCAGAGCTAGACCTCACTTTGAATTTCACCCTAAATACAGGAATTTTCTTTTAAGATGTGAAGTGTCGGAAATGCAGGGCTGGCGAGTTGATTTGTGGAGCTTTTTTTTTTCTTTTCAATTTGCATATCATTTACTGCATCTCCCTTTGTTGACACCCGAGGGCCTGCGAGGAGATTTTGATCTTAATAGGAAGAGTAGGGTGGTATGACTGAGGAGCTCATCCTCCTTATACTCAGCGGGGAAAACATTAGAGCTCTGCCTAGATAGCGAGACTGGCTGCACTTAAGTTCAGGTTCACAGAGATCCTGGTGGGTTTAAAGAGGCCCAAGAGCTCATCAGATCCCAGCGCTCAGGACCAAGGAGGTCAGACTCAGGTCCAGACTCTGTGGACTGGCTCATCACCTATATATTAATGGTTACATAGTCTACCTTTTTAAGCGTGCAAAATAAAAAACATCTTTGTGATATTTAATGTAACTAAAACAAGGTGCAAGGGAAATTTAAAATGATTCCTAGTCCTCTGTTTTAACACATGACTACTACAAAGCTTGTTGTGGACATGTTACACTTCCTTAAAAGTAATAAAACCTCTGAATGTAGCTATCCAACAGTTTTTAAAACTCCATTACAAGTCAAAGTCCTGCAAATCTGTCTGAAATCAAGTGAAAGTACAACTTCATGAGAAGAAAATTAAAATTTAAAGCAGAATTTTATGCTAAAAATGAAACGATCAGTCCTGCGTGATTGTCTACTCATTATTTTATTATTTTTACAGATGCATGGATGCTTTTGCAGCATTATGACCCATCTAGTCAAGTTGGAGCTACTGTAACGTAATTTATCACTGGATTTACTCAGTATTAATTGATTATATTATAAAAGTCATTTATTAAGCATAGAATAAGATCAATTGTAAAGATACTATAGTAATCACAGCTATTAGTTAAGTGTGAAAAAGTGTATATTGTGGTACTGTAGTGAAGTGAAGGTATAGAGTTAAAAGTAAAATGGAAATAAAAAGGTAGTGTACCTGAATATTTAACCAACAAACACTACAAACACGAGAAAAGCCATTATTCTAGAACGTTTGAAAACAGCACTCAGAAAATTTGCTTTTTGACATTTTTTCATGTCACTACAGCTGGGTTTTCTGAGGTTTGGTTCAACCCCATCTGTAGCTGCTTTCTCTCCGAGAATACAAAATAATAATGAGAGAAATCAGCTGTTTTCATGATCAAATAAGCTCACATAATTAAGCTACATCTCCTATAAAGCTCTATTTTATACCATATGTTTTCATATTGAACTCTGCAAAAAAAATTCAAAGAGTAATAGCCGCGACCAGTGGCAGTGTTATAATGTGGTGTCACAGTTAGTTCAGAAGCATTTCACCTCCGGTCGTAGCCACAGATCCTGCCATAATTAAAATCCTGGTTGTGCATTACTCCCTTGCTGGGATAGTTGGCTCCTCTGAAGAGCTGTCTGAAATAGGTCACCCCAGCACCCTGTAGTGCATCTTAAAAGTACACTGAATCAATTAAGTGTGATCATGCTCCCTTGATTATTTTGGCCCTGTTTTTTTTTCATGGAGAGGAATTTCAAATAGGCTCACTAGTTTGAATAACAAGGTTGGACTGTGGTGACAAATGGTTCCAGAGTGGGTGTTTCTTCCCCTGTTTTTCTCTGCCAAATTAACTCCCTGGCTGATTGCCTGCTTTAGCATATGAGAGGAGGTGAGCGGAGGTGTGTACATAATTGCCTTGGTTAGCTGATTATGTGTTGCAAAAGGCAAATGTTATGAAATCCTGTCGTCATGAATGAATCAATGCTTGTGGGTTTGTTGGACTTCTAGGTTTGCAGGCTGGATACTAACTTCCTTCAGTGCGATGGCGGTTTCTCTAAGCCTGACACCTGTGTTTTCTTTAATACGTCTCTGTAAATCCAGCTCCCTCTTGTTTTTCCTCATTAAATCTGACAACATCTGGTGCACCAGAGAGGACTGCTTTAATGTGGCTAACGTTACTGCTGCTGTTATTCTTGCCATTTTAGCTATTTGCTTCATGTGCAGCACTTTCATTAGGCGGCCCCCAAACACTGTTATCAAAGTTTAAAACCACCCTTATGAAAATCAGCCGAGCTGCAGCCTTAACAAATGATGAAAAGCTTTTATTTTCCAAAGAAAATACTTACCTTTTCACCTAATAGTGATGTCTCACTTCAAAGAGCGAGCACGATTAGGCCAACATTGTCCTGTTTCTATATCCTTTGAGTTCAAAGGGAGGGTTTGAATACCTGCATTTCATGGGAAGCCTTTTCAAATACTGTTTTAATGCAGTTTATGTGCTTTTGGAATCCAGATGTGTCAGTTTTCCACCACAGTGGGAATGTATCACGGTATTTGATTGCACTCAAAGCTTAGGAGCAAAAGAATTAACTCCTAGGTTTGTTTTATAGTAGTTTTTGTTCCCACCAACTTCAGAAACTGAGAACAAAGCCATCTTTAATAGTTACAGAGTTAGCATTGTGCCGCTTTTTGACAGCTAATGATTGGTGCCAAAGGAAGCAGTAGACGTGAGCATCACCCACATGTCATGAGTGCGCTGAGAGCTCTGCGTAAAAGGACGCTACGCAAAGACAGAGTTAATAAAAAGAAACTGGTCAAGCCGGCGAGGGACAGAGAGAGTGAGAGGCACAGAGGAAGGAGGAGATAAAAGAGTCTGTTGAGTACATACATCAAAGGTCTCTTAATGACAAGGGATGCCATTAGGGTTACAGTGGCTTTTGTTTCTGCTTCCTAACACCTGCAGTTTGTTGAGGGCGCTTCATGCTCTGTTTTGTTGTCAACATTTGCATGAATATAAAATGCATGCAAGAGGTGATAAGAGTTTGTTCTCAGCTGCTGATCTTAGTGCTGACCAAATGTTTTGGTCAGAATTGCGGCTTCCTTTCATTTGCAAAACAGAGATGTGAAGGAAAAGGAGAAAATGCCTTAAATGGTACAATAGAAACAGTATGGAGAAACTGTTATCCTGTACAGCATGAAATTTATTGACTTAAAAGTTTTCCCGGTGCCTCCGGTGTTGGATGGGATTCGACAAATCAGAGCGTGAAATTGTGATTAGCCTTTCTCAGTTTGTAGACCGAGCGGGGCACCAGCAGACTTGGCATGGCCAAAGGTGTAACCTGTTTTGTTTTGCCCGGTGCTTCTTTCCCAGATGGTAGGACCAGCTGCCATTGAATAAACCCTGGACCGGTAACAGCGTGAGAATTACCACGGCCTTGTTTCAGTTTGGGATGTGTTTCAGAAAGCTTGTCTTTTTGTCACTGCCAGGAGGAGCAGGGGTGATCCACCTGGTGTTAGACCGAAAACTGTAAGAAAGTAACGTCTAGTTGGTGTCTTATAATTCATCCAAAAGGTAACGGGATATGTGAAGGGTATTTCCAAAGTCCTCTGATTAGATCATTTTCTCATCTCGGGATTTTTCCCATTTCTCCTTTTTGATATCTTAAATTTGTTTGATATTGATGCAAATATCACAAATTTTAGGGCACAACAGATTCAGATTGTCTTGATTTAGATATGTAGCAGTCAGTTTGAGTATAGAAACACAATATTTTACATGTTATCTAAAGAGATTGAGGTCAGTCTTTCCACATTTTTGTAGTATTAGGTGAATTCTTTTGTTGAAATATTAACAGAATATAAGACAATCAAAAAACACCTTTTATCCCAGTACAACTTGACACTTTTCCTTGTGTTAAAAACATTTGAATCAGAAATATGTAAATAGCATTCCCAAATGTTTTATGACTATTTAATTTCCTTCTATTTATCTGTTTTTACTGAAGCAAGAGCCAACACCTTGTTGTGAACAGTTGGAGTGTTTGTGTACGCCAGTAGTTCAAATTTCCCCAAATTACATCATTTTGTACCAAAATTTGTAAGAAGCATGCAGCAGCTCTCGCTTAAATGCTTTGGAGCAATAACACCTGGAAAGGAGTCAATAAAGTTAACTTTTTAAAATGTTAATAAATAGGAAAACTAAACCACCTGTTCCTAAAAGCTCCAACAGTCTGAACGTTTATGGATAGTTTCCTCCATGGCTCTGCAGTATAAACGATGATTAAATAATGAGGTTGTTTTATTCTATTTTTCTTGGTCGAGCACTGCAGGCTGTAAGCTCACACATCATCATAGAAGGGGAGAGTTTCCCTCTTTAGGGCTGGATTATTGCAGTCAGGGTGGGCTTAGAGAAGGTAAAATGACCTGTCCCGCCTTACTTGACCCCAGGCCAACCCTGCACACTGCCAAGGCTTTGCTCTTTGCCCTTGGGTATGCAGAGATCCCCAGCTTCATACACTCGGAAGAGAGGGGGAGAAAAAAATTGTATCACATTGCAGGGAAAATTAGTGAGACCAAAGTTGGAGTTTCTGTGTGTTGGGGGCTGCGAACAATGGCAGCTTTCTGTCAGACAGCAACTTCAAAGGTCTGCTGAGTGACTGCTCTGAGTTATACTTTGTTGTAGATCACTGAGGAAATTCACAGATGTTTTCTCATACGAGACACCATTATAGCGGCTCAAGTACCCAGTAGCCTCAAGCGTCTTTCCCTCTCTCCCCCCTTTCTCGCTCTCTCTCTCTCTCCCTCTCCCACACACTCAAGCGCACTCTCACTCTCACACATGCACTCCCCACCCCTCCCAACATCACCCCCCTCCAACTCTCTGATATCTGTTGTATGAGACAGATGTGGAACCTGTTTTCTCTCTGACTGTCCGAAGAATATGGAAAGTTAAAAAGAGGTTCTTGTCGTGTCAGATCTGCAGCCCTCACTGTCAGAGTGTCAAAATTTCAAGAAGACATTCAGCTCTGCTTTCTAAGAATCATTTAGTCTTGATATAATAAGAGGAAAAATCCTCAGCCAAAAAGGATCAGTGATGATGAAGATAATTTCAGTGCTGCATGAGTGAATGCTCTTCTTCTCTCTCCTATGCAGATTGCCTTCTTCACCTTTGAACTGGACCTGAACCAAAACAAACCCACCACCTTCATCTATTGTACATTTTTATTTATTTCTAGTACGCTGTGTTTTATATGACTCAAATAAATCTGTTTAAACAACTGACTTTTGGTTTATGTTATTCTCACATTTCCTCACTGGTTACTCTGTTGTATTTCATCATAAAGGCAATAAATAACTAAAAAAAACATGATTTACCCACAATGGCAGCATTATATCCATGACTATTAAGTTTAATCTTAATTTGGATTTGTACCTTTATTATTTATGCTGCAGCTACAAAACACAATTTTGAATTTGTCTGAACAGACTACACACCCAAATCATAATGAAACACAATCTATCATAATTACATATTGCAAGTTAAAAAGCAAATACAGCACTAATTAGCTAAAAACATTATTCTATGGGCAACTTTTACAAGACAGTCACCTGTTGAGCAACTTTAAAATGTTTAGTATTCTTTAAACTCTGGTTTTAATCAACCCAGAAGCATGAACCAAAACCTGGAGAACACCACCCTGATCAGCAGTATTTACCTTTTTGCAGACTCCAAGCTTTTTCTTGCTTTTTATAACAGCTTCAACTTGAATTTCCTGCCAAAAATTGTACTTTTAAGTTTGTGTCCTCTAACCATTACAAGACTGTATCTTCTGTTGAAGATATTCTGCAGCTCCATACACATCTTCACCTCATACCAGTATTTCTGCTTAAAGCTTTAAAAAACTGTGTGTAATACACGGCCTGTGCAGACTGATTCCATGTTCAGACTGGTGGGAGTACAGGTAAAAAAAAACTGTTGCAGTGGGGGCTCCTCCAAGTTAGTTTCTCCATCAAATGCCACAGGAAAAAAGAAATCTTTTAGCCAAAACTGCTGCAGAGGTGACCCTGTAAAACTTGAAGCATGGCCAAAAGAAGGTAAAGGTTTGGAGCCAGTAAATTACCTCGGGGATTGGACATTGTGTGGAGCCCACAGTCATGAATTTCTTACAAACTATATCAAAGTCCTGCTCAGCCAAATCCATCCCTCAGCTGGAGTCCCATTGAGATGCATTAAAATGTAAGAAGTTGCTTTTGGGGCTGAACCGAGTATCTCAAAGGAAGATATCAATAATTTTTCAACGCTGATGGTTCACAAAATTCATGCAGTTGTCACATATGGCTGAAATTTTCCCTTGCATGGCATGACAGCCCACATGTAAAGCTGGTTTATGAGGAAATCCACCTTAAATCAGAATTAATGTCTGCTATTTCTGCTATCCACATACGGCGGCTGCTGTTTTGGATCCTAGAAAATTCAGGATTCAGTTTTAGGGTGGATTCTCCCTTTACTTTAACAGTCATCTGCTCTGACAGTGAGCAGATTACAACATTTGACATTTATCTGACATTTAAACCTGGGAGCAAAAAAATTTAGCTGAAAGCATATTTCTGCTTAAAAACAAACTTTTGAGAGTCTGCTGTAAAAATGTTTACAGGACTGATGTTGGAGCCGGTCAGCGATGGAGATGGTAACAACCAGCTAACAGATTTTACACTCATCAGTCACTCTTTATTTAGTGTCCACTTGTTCTATGGGAAAAGACTCTTTTTTTTCACTCTATTATAAAGGAATAACTACAGATCATGTTATAACTTCTAAATCACTGTAACACAAATAATCAATTAATGATTCACAAATGCTTTTAGATTTAGTTATTAAAAATCAGTTCTTGTTGCCTTTTGCTTTTGCTGCTGTATGTGATCTTCCAAAATAAAAGCCCCCTGATGACTGATCGACATACTGCAGATTTAAAATATACCAGTAGTGAGAAAACAGGCAGTATGTTTAAATATTTCACTCGGATTTGTGGCTTAATTGTTACAGCAACAATAAAGACAAACACCCTTTAAAGAATATTACACAACCTGGCAACCCCAAAGTTTTTCTTACAGATCTATAAGCCATTGTGCTGTTTATGACCCTCTTTTCACCTGTTTTGGATTGTTTTGGCACAAATCCTTTCATGCAGAATTTGAACCATGGACACAAATGTAATATATGAGCGGTGATGAACAGATTTATAATGGCAAATGAACCTTTGATGAATCTTTTTCATTGATAAGAACTGATTTGTGGTTGCCAGGTTGTGACAAAGTTCTTTTGTGGATGTTTACTTCTCATTCATAAATATGATAATGGTGTTACTACATGCTCTATGGTTTCTCACTTTCTAAAACACCTCGTTTGAAATGTGCCCACAAGTCACGATTTAAATGTTGATTTGTTTTATTTTCTTAGAGGAGGATATACCTTTGCAATTTTCATTAATACCCCTTCCTCAGAGTTTCTGATTAAATATTTTAAAGCATTAGTTCCTCCTTTATAGGTGATACTTAGTGATATATAACTTTTAAAGAGTTTATAAAGTGGCCCCATCAAACCATGATAAAAAAAAATCTTCCACCCACTTATTCAGAGGTTTCAGACATGTGACTTCTTTAAGACGATTTTCCTACAAACTGGTGTAGGTGTTACTTATTAAAGAGCTACTTTAACAGTACACACACATACTCACTCACAAACAGCAGATTTAATAAACTTTGCTCATAATTCAAATCATCAACCTTGATGTTTTCTGCATACTTTCTATTAAGTATGTAGAATAAATTTAATTTCCACTGCCATCATAACTTGATGTAAACAAGGTTAATCTCCTCAGTTTTTTCCCAGTCCACAGTGTGCCTGCCCCACTCCAGTAGCCAGTTTTTGTAGTTTAACATGGCTCCACTTCAGCCCAGCAGGACTCCCCCTTTCCCTCATGACTGTGTGTAAAGCCGTGGGAGAGGACTGGGAACATTAATCCCTTCAAAGGAACAGATCTAATTCAAAATCTGCCGCTCCAAACTAGTTGAGAGGACAGTGATTGTTTCTGCAGGGAAGCCAGATAAAGATCAGAGGGTTGATATTGAAAACTGCAACTTCCATTTCGGCTGCTCTGCTGCAAAAGTTTGGATATTATCTTATGAAAGCTGCATACTTTTAGCTTAATATTCTGGGACAAAAGAGACAAAATATGATATTTTTTGCAAGTTTAGCCTTTGTTGTAAACTTTTCCTACATTGTAAATTCCTCAGTTTAATTAGGATGCCTCAGCCCAAGAGAGACAGCCTTTTTCTGGATCTTTTTGGTCTTGCATAGTGACATGTGTACGAGGAAACATAATTGAGACATCACCATTTGCAAGTGCTGCTTTTGTCACCTGACTTAAAACAGGTTTCCCTTTAGTGTCATGTTAAGTAACATGGTTAATTTGAGTTTTCTGCAGGGAATTTACCCTCAGGCTCCAGAAGCTTGCTTTTTAGATGCTCAACAAAGAGAAAGAGGAAAAATAGAAGTGAGCTTTCTGATAAAACAAATGAGTGAAGAAGAAATACTTATTTAAATAATTCAGAGAGGGCATAATTAAGCGTTTAATGCCATGTTGTAGTTCAAAGACACAACAAAGAAATTTTAATTCAAATTAGAAATGTAAAAGAGTCGCAGATTGTGCAGAGATGAGAACTTTGTGTTGAGTCACTTGATTTGGTCTCTTTCCTCCATCAAACAGTCTCTTGGAGATCTCCAGAGATAACAATGTCACATTGTCACATAGGGTTCTGCTACAAATCCTTAATTACAAAAAGAGGATCAGATGACTACAGCATCCAATACCGGGGTCTCCAGGCGGCGTGGGGGTCTTTGATCAAGAAAATCCAATTATTTGTGTATATACATTTCCCACATAGTGATTACTTCATTAATTGTCCCGCCTTTATCTCCTCCCTTCCCATCCCCCCTAATAATCAGCTCCTTTATCCAGACCAACAAACACACCATAGGAGCTTTGTGGATTCAAAGGATTTGCTTTCCCCTCTCAAAGAGCCGCTATTCTTTGATGATTGGGCAGCGGCAAACTTCAAAGTAATAAATCTTATTTCTGACTGGCTGGCGGCCCACCAAAGTCCTTATCAAATTCTAAGAAGTGATCCCTCACTCTTCAGATAGACCAAGGAGATCTCAGAGAGAGGAAGCAGCGAGGAGCGAAGACCTGCTCGACACCATATTTTACTGCGAATGTTCACATTTATCTGAATTAGCGCTGTTATTTTTTATTTGCTTTCATCGAGAGGGAGGAGGACGTCTACCATGGCAGCAGTGGCTGTACTGCGGAATGAAACACTCCAGGCTTTTCTCCAGGTTTGTGCGCAAGTTTCTGTTTACTTTATACGACTTTAATAACTTGTGAACTCACTCATCCGAGTTGATTTACGGCTCGGTTACGAGTCTGTAAGATAGAAAAAATAAAAGCCACACTACTTTGATGGTCCAGTGTCATATAATTTAATTACTTACGTTAATTGTTTCCGTATAAATGACTTCTTCTGCAACATTATGCCAACTTTATGTCACACCACGATTCACGCTACAGGCTCAATTTGGAGCAGGTTTCATCCAAAATAGTTAGACTTCCTTTTTATTGTATGCCGGAATATTAAGGCGTTGTTCAGCCTCGCGTTTTGCCTCATAAAGCGTGTTAAACAATGATTTTAATTCAGAAAATGTGTGTCTCGGTTATCCAGGATCGCACTCCAAACTCCTCTCCAGAGAACTGTAAACACTCTCCGCTGGCTCTCCTGGCAGCAACTTGTAACCGGATCGGGCACCACCACGGATCCAACCCCACAGATTTCCTTCAGGTTCCTTACGACCCCACTCTGGGCTCCCCTTCGCGCTTATTTCACCCGTGGACTAACGAGGGGAATCCACAGAGCAGCCTGGCCAGCAACTCTACTTTCGGACTATCCTCTAAGCCCCAGCTGTCTGCGCACATCCAGAGCTCCTTCAGCTCGCACCACGAACTGCCCCTCACCCCTCCTGCGGACCCATCGTACCCCTATGACTTCTCCCCCGTGAAGATGCTACCTTGCTCCATGCAGTCTCTGCAGTCTACCTGCCCTCCCACCTACGTCCCCGCTGTGAGTTACGCAGCACCAACTCCCATCCCGACCGCGATGCCAAGTTTTGTCACGGGACCCTCCGGCCTCGTGCACCACCAGCAGCAGAGACAGTTGTCCCCGAATCCTGGAGAGGATATCCCGTGGTGGAGTCTCCAGCAGGGGAATCATGTCAGCCACTCTTCCTCTCTCGGTCCTCATCGCTTCCAGCTACAGAGGGGCTTGGTTCTTGGACATACGGACTTTGCGCAATACCAAACGCAAATCGCAGCTCTGCTGCACACAAAGTCTCCTCTCGCGACTGCGCGGCGGTGCAGGAGGTGCAGGTGTCCGAACTGCCAGTCCTCCACGTCCAGCGACGAGCCTGGGAAGAAGAAGCAACACATCTGTCACATACCTGGCTGCGGGAAAGTTTATGGGAAAACTTCACACCTTAAAGCGCACCTGAGGTGGCACTCGGGGGAGCGGCCGTTTGTGTGCAACTGGCTCTTCTGTGGCAAAAGTTTCACCAGGTCGGACGAGCTGCAGAGACACCTGAGGACTCACACGGGGGAGAAGCGCTTTGTGTGCCCGGACTGCTGTAAGAGGTTCATGAGGAGTGACCACTTGGCAAAACATGTGAAAACGCACCAGAACAAAAAAAGCAAGTGCCACGACAAGACACTCGACCACGTGAAAAGGGAGGACACGAGGAATATGTTGTAACACACCTTGTAGTCGTTGAAAACAGTAGAAATCACTCTAGTGCAATACAGTCAGTCCTTCATTAGTACACAGTGAGCTGCATTTTTTTAATATTTCTTTTATTTTGTTGGTTGATTTCTTAAACTCTGACAATAGTTTCTAACATTTCTGGTCTATGTAGCACATTTGTGTATAAATATGAAAAGTTTCATAAGTTAATTTGGGACCATGGAGAAGTTTAAGTCATGAGTTTGAATTCACTGTCTATATCATATCAAGAAGACAAGTTTTCAACTTGTGTTTTGATCATTGTCTTCGGTGGAAGATTTCACTCCCCTGTAAATTATATTTAATAGCTTTTGTTGAATGAAAGTGTCCGTTTTTGCTCCATAAGGGGTGTTTTTAAGCATGCTCTTGAAAAGATCTGCTATTGTTGATATGACCCAAATACTGTGTGAGAATAAAGATTATAACATTTTCCTCAACTTGGAACAATTTATGTGAAATCATTTAGTTGTATGATTGTTATGACAGCCAGGTTTAATTTACAAGGCACTACATGTAAAGACTTATGGTTATTAGGCTCTGTGTTGTGTGAACTGTCAAAGATTTATGAAGTTAAACTCAGTTCATCTTTTTGTTCAGTCTTGTTTTGTCAAGTTTTTTAAGCGATCAGGAGGAAAATGTAGTAACATTTCGTTTCCAGCTGTTGGCGGTAGACAAAAATGTGTAACTTACCCAGAGTTGAGCCTCATTTGATATTTTGGCTTGACTGAGGATGAAAAATGTCTGCATGTGTTTTTATCCTGATTTTACCTGACCTCTTTCATGCTGTTGTTGTTAACCGTTGTCATAGGTCAGATTCAAAAAGTGAAGACATGACAGAAGCTGGGCGAGGTCGTTTTTGAGATATTCAGAAATTATTAGATATGTATTTGAAAAAATACAGCACAATTTCAGATAGTCAGTTATTGCTAATTCAGTTCTGAATTACATGCGCCACTTAAGCAAAAACTGACAAGAGGTCAGCGAACCCCCTTTATCATAGTTACACCTGAGCTCAAGGGCGAGTAATTTAAGCAAAATTGTATTTAACAACAATTTGTTTATTATCTGGGCTGTAAAGTTAACATTTAAAAATATGCATTTTAAATTGGTGAGATTGTAAAAGAGTTCTGATAAATTAGCATGTCACCAGATAGTGTGGAAAATATCCTAGCGGATGTCATTTATCCTGCTCAGAAGAATGCTGATAAAATGCAATAGTGTACTCTTAATATATGTTGTCTGTTCTGCACTTAGTTTATGCATTTACATTCACCTCCAAGATCTCTGCACAGTAGGCCGAGGCAACATTCATTAGCAGGAAAATAATCTGCCTTTTAATTAAAAAAAAAAAAAAAAAAAACGACATTTCTGTTCAGCAGGTTGAATTTAATGTCTCACCTGCAAGACTGTTTTTTTTAACCTGGACAGCTGAAGGCAATTCAGTTTTTGGACAAAACTAAAAAGACAGTAGTGCAAGCAGAGCACATCTGTAGTTTGTAAAGAAGCTGCAGCAATCTCCACACTTTACTGTTAAAACAAAAAGAAAAACAGACTTAAAAAGAAAAATTAAGACTTTGCAGCACAATATGGAAAAGCTGCACTTTAGTGTACCTTGCATACTAACATTGTCTTGTACCATCAATCACGGCTCTTTCTTCAGGAGCCCCCACTTTAAAGTGCATTAAACTCACTTCCAGCTCAGTATTTTCTGCTGTGCTTCTTTCAGTTTTCCCATCATTGCTAAAAAAGACCAGTAAAGATGCACCCTAATTTACAACCTTAAAGCAAATTGATCTTGCCAATATCCACTAAATCTGACCTAATACATCATAATCCAAACTGCAAATTGAGGGTTCCAGTGAGCGTACACAGAGAGAGCGTTACTTTTTCCAGCAGTCACACAGTTGTCCTGTTAGTCTTATGAGGAATCACTGGAGATGTCAGCATGAAGAAAACAACCCGATGCCATTCAGTGTTTTGTGAATCTTTAGTTTTCTACCTCAACAGCGCCCCCTTTTGTAAGTTGGCTCAGTGATCAACAGAGCGGGCAGACTTTGTTCTGTGAAGGTCCATTCTTCAAAAACAAGTTCATTTGAAACAGGGGAAATGTTTCTCTCCTTCAACGCCTTGTTTTTTTTTTTCATCTTCTTTGTCCATGAATGTTCAGCTGGTTGGATCAGTTTGTCGTTGCTGTTGTTCTCAGGCTTTACTCGACTAATATAATTATTTTGGGGGTTTTCTAATAAGATTGCAGATGGGTTTACTGAAATTTAAGATCAGGTTTAGTTTATTAAATAGCCTGACTTCAGTGGGGGACTCAAAGGTGCAGCAGTGTGACTTAGATTTGATTTATCTAAATTTACTTGACCTACCCTTACAAAAAGCAATTTTGAACCTACTCATACCCAAACTGACCTCTGCCTGATTAAACAAGCCTAACTAAACACTTAATGAAATAAATAAAAGCCCCAGATGTAAGCGCCACGCCTCATCGTTTTAACGCTACCTCTCTTACAATAAAAGTCGTACTCTGGACCTTCTGCTGCAGTGTTATATCATGTGTTTCCTACTAAATTATTTTGTTATATGAACCATTATTCCAGGTCATACGATACTTGTATAAAGCCTTGTTGTTCTTGATTTGTATGCTCAGCAGTCAGTTTGCAAGAAGAACCGTATGAGAACAGTTTCACATAATTTCGAGTACGAACAAATGGTGTGACCACAAAAAGGGGCCAGAGGGAAAAACCCAGAGTGGTACACTGAGATGTAACCATTTAAAGGTTTAATTCTCAATCCAAATTGTATGATCCTATTACAAAATGGTCTATGGAAGGATAATTTGAATGCACCGGCCTGCACAAAAGCGACGTTGAGCTCTGATTTCCGTCTTTGTGAGAAACAGTCACTTTCCTTAAACACTGCAGGGAGCCATGATTCTTAATTGGTGATAGAAAGGATATCATGTGTTTAGGCTTAAGTCTATTTCCTGAAAATGAATGAAAGGTTTAAAAGCTTCAAACATTTATATTTGAAGCTGGCACATTAATATATTGAATATCTATGGTCTTATAAGAAAAGCATCAATTGTATTATAGGCATAAGAACCGTTTTAGATTTTATGCTCATTTCTGATGATCTCTTTCTGCGTGCCACTCCCTTTAAAGTAATGCATCTTTTATATTGTAAGCTATAATTAACTGCCATGGATGATTTTAATTGTTTATATCCTGTTCATAATTCCATGTACAAGCAGAGTGTGAACAGTTTTTTTTAATCACATTATGATACAGTTGTGTTTGACTGTATTATTTGAGTAATGTGACATCAATCAGCATGATCACATTTTCAACTTAAGCGTCACTATTGTTAGCTAAAAAAAATTGTTTCTTACGACCCTTTGATTTTTTTTTTACACAACTATTCCCCTTCAACTTACACACAACAATGAAACTTTCAGAGTAAAATTGAATTTAAATTTTACAAGTTTGGGTAAATAATTCAACAGTTACATACTGTATACTGTAACTGTCAAGGTTGGTGGGCGGGGTTAACCCAGCCTTGCTGCTCTAAAGACCGATTTAAATTTGGTTATTTTAAGTGTGTCAACAGTTGGTCATAATTACCAAAAGATGTTTAACAGTAAAACCATATGTTATAAATATATAATTTTTACTGTTGAACTTAGTGTTACCTGTTTATTAGTCAGTGTATATTCATCCCCATGGTCACTTTGGCTCTACTGATGAAGACCATCAGATGTCGCTCAAGGAGGATTTTCAGGTAACCTTTTTAAACATTTTCTGTCCCCAAACTCATCAATGGCCTCTGCTCACCATGTCTACATTAGTTTTGAATACATAAGCCAAACAGCTTGTTTATGAATTATCTTTATACCTTTTGAAACAGCTAAGATATGCCCTAAGGTTTGATTGTCTGTAATCAAGTATCATTAAACATAATTGCAGCTTTCTTACTCTGTTATCAATCATTCATTAAGTGAGATGAATCACATTCAGTTTTAAACTAAAACAGTTAACAAACACTCTAAACTGACTACATATGTATACTGTTGTAGTAAAAAGAGTGTTTTCTGCTTATTCTCACTGCGAAACAGTAACAGAAGTCTGTGTCAAACTTACTGTATATGTTTTATTTCCACATTTCTGGTGTAAAAAAATTAATAATTCAAATGATCAATTCCATGTCCCAGTGCAGTTATCTGTGCTTTATGGTTGAGGTTCAGTCAGAAATAGGACAGACTCTGTCATTACAAATGATCAGAAGTCTTGTTGCAGTGGATTGCAGAAGCAATTCATGCTGAATAGCTGACAGTAAGTGGCATGACCAAAACCCCTGAAGTCAACAGCTTTGCCCTTCTCTATGGAGAGAAGTTATGCACTGCCAACCTGGTTGGTCTGCACATGTTAAAAACATATAATGGAAAATTAAAAGTTCATATAGTTAAATAGAGAAGAAAAGATTTGAGTTTTTAGTACAAGCTTAAAATAATTTTTTTTTCAAAAGAGGTTGGCCCAGCTTGGACAGTGGCTTCTGCTGGGATGGCATGAGGTAAGTGAGCACACATTTGAATAAATATCACTAATTTACCTTTCTGTCCACACAGAGCCGGCCCAAGGCATAAGCGAACTAAACGCCTGCTTAGGGCCCCATGACCAATAGGGGGCCCATAAGAGCAATCGATCCCTCTGTGTCCCCTACGCCAATGGCCAGACCAGTTCGAATGCTCGATTTGTGCCCTTTTAAACAGTATGTACAGCAGCATATATACCGCTATTAACAGCAGCACGTTTGTCAGGTGCAACGCGACCTTCGTTACCAACACGTACTGGCAGTTTCTTCAATAAACTGCCAATGCCTGATATAATGGTATATTTTAATACATCACGATGGGAAGTTTACCCAGTAAACTTTCTAACAAAGGTTGGAATAAAGATGGACTGGCAGCAGTTTGTGACTCCGAGGAATAACAGGTGAATAACAACCCGCTGTCAGCTTTACATTTGCACTGTGTAGATTCACTATTGACAAAAATATGACCAGTTACCGCCTATGTAGCTGAGTTTATCCAATAAACTGCCAATGCCTGACACAGTGATATTTTGTGCTGTCAACACAATGTTAAAGAGATTTGTGAAGGTGTGTCAATGATCAGCAATCAATATTATTGGCAGAAATAGAGGGCCCCAAATTTTGCTCAGGGCCCCATTGAGGCTTGGGCCGGCTCTGTGTCTACAGCAGTCATATCTATTTCAACTATGACACTTAATGATTGTACACGTAATACAAAAAAGCGGCAATATTTTTATCCTCTCAACTTGATTCTTTAGGGACTCAAAACAAAAATGTTTGTCCAAAGTCACAATTTCAAGTCCTTAAAAACTGTGAGAAAACTCCAGAACGCTGTCTCCCTGTAATGATGGCAACATTTTATAGGATTATTTTACAACTTGAAGTACCAACTAAAGAAGGTGTGCTGCATTCAAATGCATGAGCAGCAAGTAGCAGCCTGCTTGGACACAGCCCTGAAAGTTGAAGTCCTTCCACTGATAAAGCAAACAGCCAATCATTATTTAGGATTTTGGCGAATCAGATGTCAAAGGGGACCATGCCACCCTTTGCCACCTCTCTGGGCACACCCCTGCTGGCAGCAATCTATGAAAGTCCAGATTAGATGCGGCTCTGTTTGAAATAAATCTAAAGCAATTTCTTATATCTGTCTACTTGACCAGCAAATTTTTTCTCATCAACCCAAAAAGCTAAATTTCAGAGGGAAACACTACAGGGCTCAGGGCAGGGTATGAACTTATGGGTGATTATCACATCAGACTGTGATACTGATAAGTTTTGAGAGTTTCCCATCTTTACAGAACAGCTAAGATTGTTCCTGAAATTTAACTAATTACTGTAACTCTGATGAAAAGTGCCCCCTTACCCTAAAGAGGACTACCAATAGACATTGCTGCTTTTACCTAACAAAGATATTTGCTTCATTTATGTGGATGTCCAATTTGTTTAGATGGTAAAATTGTCCAAGTGAAGCAACAAATTCCAGCAAAGTGCTATTTTGGCAGAAAAAGCTGAGTGCAGCCAGTGCCAGCATTTCCGAAGATCCAGTACTTTGGCAGTCGCTGCCAGATGACAATGGTACCTGAAGAACATTTTGCAGCTGCTCAGAGCTGGGCCTCTGAACAAAAAAGAAAACCCTTGTAATGTAACATAATCAAGATGGCCTCATCTGAATCTCATCCCATCTTCAAAGCATCAACATCAGAAGGATGAAAAGCTAAATGTCCCTGTTGTATCATAGTTTATTTAATGTACATGTGTTACTTTACCTTGCACAAAGATGTCATTCTCACCATTTTATGAGAACATGCAGATTTACATTTTATTCTTAAATAATTCCTCTGATTGTAATTAGCCATTTGAAGTCATTTACATTTTTATGAGAAAATTAAAGGATTGTAGTTTTGCATATTTTAATTGGCTTTCAGAGGAAAAGGGGGTATTGGGTAGTGGAACCATAAAAATGGTCAATTGGATTTAAACACTGACTTTCTATATGTGGTCATATAAAAGTGTCGTGATAAAAAGTAATTTCATGCCAGTTCTGATTAAAATGTCGACTTTTGAATGGAGAAAAATGAGTAGGAGGTCAGCAGTCAGTTTCACGCTGAGCTCTTTGTTCTATACATCAGTGCACATTGATTTAAGTGAAGTTAAAACAAAATATTTTTACAAAACAGGTTTGAGTCTCTTAACTCAAGACTCAAAGATGTCAGTGTGTTTAGATGCGGATCACACTTTATAGAATTAGCCAATCATAGTAATAAACTCAGTTATACGATGCAGTGAAGGTACTTAAACCAGCTTCTCCACTGTTAATGATTTTACCCTGAGAAATTGTGGTCTAACCTTGTTTCAATGCTGTCCTTGACCGTCTTTGAGATTAAACAAGTCATATTTGTTGAGAGGATCTGCCAGACAGGATTTGGTGAACTTTACATCGGAGCTCAGAGCTTCTACTTCCCAGTTCCATGTGCCTCTGGGCCACTACTGCCTGATGCCAAAGAGTCTCAGAGACCTTACTCTCTTGGTTCCCCCTTTCCTATCCACACCAACATTCTGTCATCGGACCTGCAAGCCTTTTCTACCTGACCACTGCCTGGACTTCTGGCCCAATTTATCTATACTCGCTCAGCATCAGCAGGTATGGATGACCCTCCTTTCTTAGCCAAAGTGGTTTACTTAAGCTCTTGCTCTACCTGTGTTCCTACACAGGGTGTGCATGATGACAGTCTGCTAGAATTGTGGTAGAAGTACCTGTAGCTAGTGCATGTTGCATGCTGCTTGTTACTGTGTGCTTACAGCTATCGCCGCCAGCTAGCCTCTTATGTGGGTGAAAAGAGGAGCCAAGTGTATAAGCCTCCACCTGCTGGTACACAGTGTTTCCACCATCAAGACTCCTGCGATGCCTCCTCATTGCCACACACGGTAACTGTGTCCTTGTGGACCCAGGCTAAACTGGAGGGAATCCCAGAGCAGCAGTGGGCCCCAGGTGAAGCGAGGCATGCTGGCCCATCAGTGTGTGGACACGCCCTGGCATCCATCAACCACTGCCCCATCTATGGGTCAAATAGTACCCCCGTCCTCGCATCCTTGTGGGTATCCTCTGAAATGGAAAAGGCTAAGGGAGCAAACCCTGACTGAAAACCCTGCTTGAACTCCGTCGGGCAGTTCAGTGTGTGTAGCACTGCTCTGGCAACTCCTGCAGCCAAACTGATGCCAAATTTATTGGTTTACAATTCCATTGGATCACACCAGCAAGGCAGAGAGGGGGGCCCTGCTGCTTGGACAGCGCAGGGTCTCCATACATCTTGCCCAGGCCTCTTGTGCCCTGGAGAACACCTGCACAACACCGGAGGTAAGCGGTTACCGGTTTCAAGTTCTTCCTTATTTGGGGTAGAGATGATGCATCTCACTGGACAGCTAACGCCCGCCTCAAGCTGGGCAGCCCCCAGCCAATTAGGTGCTGTCCTGCCACAGCCTGCCTGCTTTATTGGGTGCATGAAGTTAAGGGATTTCATCCTGACAAGTGGGCTGTAAACTTATGCACCAAACAATTAAAGCGAAGACTCCAGCATTATGTCTGGGATGCTAGAACATCAGGACTATGACTCCCAGACAAACTGACAAAATGCTTGCCCTAAATGATGCCTGCAAAACTGCAGTCATTAACAACGAGCTCCTGAAGCAACAAATAGACATCTGTACCCTTCAGGAAACCTGACTCCTCTCATCAGGCTCACTGAGAGAAAAGCAGAACACCTTTTTCTGGCAGGGGAAGCCTCCTGGAGAAACCAGGGAATATGGAGTCAGCTTCACAGTCAAGAACACCCTACTGGGAGCAATAGTACCACCCAGAGAATCTTAACCCTCTGCCTGAACACAACCATAGGCCCTGTACACCTGGTGAATGTGTATGCACCAACACAGCTTCAAGAAAAAAATGACTCATTTTATGAGGAACTTGGGGCAACCGCAAAAAAAATTCTCCAAAAAGGCTAGCTATACCTACTTGTGTGGTGACTTTAATGCAAGAGTTGGCACAGACCATGTCTCTTGGCCAGCGTGCTTGGGCCACCATGACACCAGTTCGATGGCTCCACATCAGATTCCTTCTGAATCTGCCGTGGTGTCAAGCAGGGATGTGTGCTAGCACCTACCATGTTTGGGATCTTCTTCTCCATCTTCCTGTGCCAAGCAGTTGGCACAGCAATTGAGGGAGTCTACCTTCACACAAGGACAGTGAGAAATTATTCAACCTTGACCGTCTGAATGCCAAAACAAAGGTCAGGCAACTTGTCATCAGGGAAATGCTATTTGCGGATGATCCAACAGTGGGACAAGACAATGGGACAGGGCAAAGAAAATCCCCCCTCTATCACTATCAACAACTATACAATGGAAGCTGTAAATACCTTCACCTACCTTAGGTCCACCTTTACTGACAACCTGTCACTCAATGCTGAGCTCAGTGGTTGCATCGGTAAAGCTGCCTCAACTTTTGGGAAGCTCACAAACAGAGTATGGAACAATGGAAAACTCACTGTCCATACCAAGGTGCAAGTGAACAGAGCCTGTGTCATCAGCACACTCCTGTATGGTAGCAAGTCCTGGACCCTTTATTCCCACCAAGAGTGATGGCTAAACAGCGTCTATCTCATAGACTGCATATACTGTTGACAACTTGGATCCACCTTCCACCAGTTTACGGATTTGAAGCTGAAAAGCTCTCAGTACTCCCACTTCCTGAAACCAACAGCATGCAGTAGCGTTGTGCGCACTCCACCACTCGCGCAATAGCACTGTACGCTTTCGGCAGGAGAGTCACTGAGAGTCGCTGTGATGACGCTTGGCTCAAACAGTGCATCGCCCATGCAATCTTTGTACGCCCATAGGCTGTGTCAAGTGTCAATCATAGAAAATGCGAACCCCCTAATAACTTTCAAAAATGGAGCTGTACAGAAAAAAGAGGACTTGAGCACAAACCAGTCTTACAATAACTACATGTCAACAGCACAAGCAGGGGGGAGAAAAATGTACATTCTGAGTAATACATTTCTAAAGTTTGTCCACAGCTCCATAAAGATAGCTACAGGAGGCGGAATTTATGACCTATACCGCTGCCTGTCACTAGAGTGTGCTGTTCTCAGGGTGGCTTCACCCAGCAAGGAGGCAGATGGTGTCTGTTCTATATACAGTCTATGGTCTATCTCCGCTGGCCTAGGCGTTTACTGGGCATCACCTGGAGGGGCTACATCACCAATACAGCAGTCCTGGAGAGAGCACAACTTCCCAGTATGTACTCTCTACTGAGACAGCAATATCTCTGATGGCTGGGCCATGTCAGACAAATGGACGATGGACGGCTCCCAAAGGAAATCCTCTTTGCAGAACTGTCATCTGTTCTGGCAAAAGACAAATTGGCCAACCTCATCTGCGCTATAAAGATGTATGCAAGCAAGACCTAAAGTCCTTCAACATCTGCCTTTACACCTGGGAAGAGACCGCTCAAGACCACACTCAATGGCAGCAAACACTCCGTAGTGGGCTGCTCACCCACGAAACCCCCTCAGCCCAACAACACGAAGAAAAGACGAGAAGGAGAAAGCAACAACAACAACAACAACAGGCAAATACCACACCAAAAGTATCATTGGGACCCACCTTCAAGTGTGACATTTGCAGCCGAGTCTGCCTCTCATACATCGGGCTTCTTAGCCACAGAAGATACTAAGCCAAAACCTAGCTCCCTGGCACAAGAAATCTATGGTCTTCTGAGACTGCAATGCCAATGATGCTCTACCTCAAACCTTACTTACTGTCTCTACTAATGTCCAGGCAGAGCACCAGTTAATAGCTGGCAAATGCTCCTGCAGAGCTGAAGAAACAGTCTCTTGTTCATGCTGAGACACTGTCCTCAGATCCTGTGAAGCTGCAGCAGCTTTTTTTTTTGTATCTGTTGAGTTGCAGCAATCAAAGCCTGATACTGTGGTTCAGCAGCAGCAGCAGGAAACTCATTTTTTGGAGGAGCTACCAGAGTCATTTCTAGTTCCTGATGCGGAGCTGCAGCAAAACACTTGTAGCTGCTGTGTGCAGCAGTCCCCTGAAGCTTTCTCTAGTTTTCCAAACATCCAAGCTTCAGGCACCTAGTATTATAGCAGCCTTCTGACCTCCTGCTTGGCCCTCCTCTGGTCTGCCCTTCTTGCACTGACCTCCAGCCTGATCAGGACAAAGACCATAGCAGTCTTGTCTGGTCCTACAGGACCACCAGGGCTTTCCATCTGATTGATCTCCACCTCTTGGCCTGTATGGTGGACCTTCTGCACTTGTTAAGAATGGCTTGGATCATCCGCCTTGGAGTGAAAAAGCAACATTCACTTGATGCAAACATCAATAATCTCATGCCAGAACCACTTTGAATACAGATAAACTCAGATGAGTGTGAGATAAGTAAAACAGACAAGTGCTATTGATCAGGTGATTTAGCCAGACATTGTTCACCAAAGTGGTCACTTTGACTCATCATATGACTTTACGTGTGCAGTGGAAGCAGTGCTTAACATTTTACTTGGGGGGTGCATGAATGGCAGCTCCTCTTAAGTTGTGAATACGGCCCTGAAAATGGCACAGATGATGAATACTGATGTTACCACCGATTCACCTGCTTGAACAAGATCAAACTGGAGTTTTCAGATATTGCAGCAGCTCATCCTTGATGCTGATTTCTCAGCACTGTGTGAACAGTCAAACATCATATGCCTTCGTCTTTTCTCAGCAGGTGACTCTTTGCCCGAGGCTAAGCTTTTGAATGGGTGTCTATAGACTCATTTTAGGAAAATAACTTCTCAAACTAATGTCTGACATCTCTCATATGAAGAGTTCTTAAACTTTGAGCAGTTTGTCCGGGCCAGTTTTCAATGAAAGTCTGTATTTGTTTCTTAAAATAAAATAAGATGTTCCTTTATTAGTCCCACGGGGGGAATTTCAAAATAACAGCAGCATAGCATAGATACAAAAAGTGGAAAAGGCTGAATGATGAAAAAGCTAGCAGATGAAATAGACATGACGTTTCAGAAATTTTCACTGACAGGAACCTGACCAGGTACAGCAGGGAGATTGTTTTAATGTCTTCCTACAGCTTATTCACTCCTTGGCAATTCAGTCAAACTCAGATGTTAACGTCAGACTTTACTGTCGGCTCAATCACTGTTACAAACACAAATCCAGTAAGAGCCTCCTCCTCCTCCTCCTCTCACTCTTCCTCTCACTCTGTATGTTTGGAGAATGCCCCATCTTGTGGACACTTTCATATGGATGTTAGTAAAAGGGAAGCACATACTGTTTTTTCCCCTATCACCTTTTGTTGTTGTTTTTTACACTCCCTTAAAACATCAAATCTTTTGTGTCACTGTCACTTTCACTGCTGCATGTTTTGTTTAAAGGACTTGTAGCTTTCAAATAGATGTCTAAAAAGGAGAAGTGCACTTATTAAGAGTACTGACCCAAAGATGGAATGTTGTCATATTAGAAATAGCGCTACCCAGATTTTTGGCCATTCTTTTCTTCATTAGTTTCAGCTTTATGGATTTTTTTCTATTTCCCATAAATCTGTGTAACTTTAAGGCTAATAACTGGAAACTGGAGTCAAATCTCTGGTATCTAGTATTAAATATTTTGCCAAAAGGGAACAGTTTTCAAAAATTTAATTTTCCATTGCACATTAAAACAGATCAGTATTAGATATTTTTGACAAATTTTACCTTCCTACTTATCTAATGAAATAAAATACCTATTCATATATGGAGATATATAGGAGTTATATAGCACTCTAAAAAAAAGGCTTAATTTCAGATACATCCCTGTTTACTTCATTCATCTGCAGCAGCCTGTGAAAGAATGAGCAGATGTGGAGCTGTCCAGTGCTGTAACACTTAACTCTCAACACTGTCTGTCTGTGTTTGTTTTCTGTATACCAATAATGTCAGGACATGGCCTTCAGTCAAATTCATGATCCAGATGATGACAAATCTCCTGGGGAAATGTGAGCGATTACTTGTGATTGGTTGTCTTGTGTGTGTTCACTTACGTACCTGCGTCCCTCTGTGATGGTGACGTGTTCTAGATAAATGGTTGGGGGTTTATAATTAGCCTCGTGAAGTATTTCTGGACTGGCCCATTTGTGCTGTGCGCCTTCAGGAGCCATTCTTGGTTTCTCACTGCCACCTTGTGGATTTGAGTTTTCCCTCCACTGACAAATGTCATGATCTGTTACGTCTTCACCATCCAAAAACCATCTTGTCTGCACAAAAAAGGCGGAAAAACAAGATGCATAATACTGATTGGATGAGTACAGATCTAATTTTGAAAGTTTGTAAACATTTTTATCAGTCTTGGTTTTAAGTGCAAAGGACGTAAAATCACTCATGGGATTGGAAAGGGGAAAATAATAAATAAAAGCAATTAGGGGGACAATTAAGCTCGTGATTGGGGCTTTTTTTCTCCACTGTTGTCCTCTTGTTTTTTTCCACAAGAACAAAACCCATCTTTCGATCTCTCCCCCTCCCCTCTTTGGTCCTGATCCCTCCTCACGTAATGTGTTGCTCATCGCATCAAACTTCAAGTCCATGTTCGTGACCGGGATTCCAATCAGTGCTATAAAGATCTAGGGACAATCAACACTTCCAAAAAAATAAAAGTCTCAGTTTTAGGGGCCGAAAGCGGCGACATTCAGTCAGAGCTGCCAGACTGGCTACAGACGGGCTCTGCTCCACAGATGTGCAGCACCGGTGAAGGTATACCAGCACTCACAGTGACTCATGGGTGCGCAATGATAATAAATAGACAAGGCTCGCTTTAAATATCAGCAAATCAAGCCTTCTGTAACCAAAGCAAGGTCACCTTGTGTGGGATCTAGCGGAGAACTGAAGCTCAGGTCTGATCCTCATTCTGCTTTTTCTTCTGACTGGACTAGCGCAGCGGTCTCTGCTTCTGGGATTAGTTGGTGGAAAAAAAATATTTTTTCCTTTTGGATTTAACCTGTTTATCTGGATTCACACACACTGAAAAGGTAAGTCCTCTTTTATTTTATCTTTTTAATTTTTATTTTAGGTTTTGGTACGTCTGAACTATACGAAGTCCTCTTTATTATGATTTGAGATGCTCTAACAGGTGTTTTATCCGTTTTTTTTTCTCTTTGGAAAACAGCAAGCTTAAGTGGCACAGCTGGCATTGGGTTGCGTGTGAACTGCATGAGTGTGTAAACTATTTTCTTCTGCAGATGCAAATGTCTCCAAGAAAAAACTCGTTTAACACCCAAATGGCAGAAAAAGGCTTACATTTGACTCTTTAACCTGCATCATAGCCATGCATTCAACAATTACCTTGAGATGTTTGTAAAGCGAAAACCAAAGGACTGTCCACCAAACAGGCCAAATTATGAAAGTATGAAAAAATAACTATAATTTGCAATCTAAAGGCTGTTATTTACATCTTTCCTATTTGCGCATACCTTTCCTCTAAAAAATAATTTGTGAGCCAGGTTTAGTAATCTGTTTTTGGCATTAGAAATTAATGATGAGAATTCAACGATAAGGATGATAAACATGCAGCTGGGATTTAGCTGGTTACCATCATCCATCCTCAGAAACATCTAGACATGGGGCTGAAATAATGGGCTCCTGTCAGAGGCTATTTCGTAGTTAAAGTGGGGCTCTGGTGGATTTAGTTTTCTGCCCGTGAGCTTACTGAACTCGCTATGAATTAAATGTTAACTTGTAGGACAGCCCGTGTCCTTGTCTACAGGTCTGTGTCGCCAACTTGAGCATCTCTTTTGGTGTTAGAGAGCAGGACGTGCATGTTTAAAACGCTCTCTGGGTCTCTCTTTCTCCCAGCAGTGTGCCCTTTTCTCATCTTGAATTGTATTAAGAGGGGTTTTGGGGGCATTCAAGGGGAAAAAGAGGTGCCAGGCTTTCTGAGGTGAAGACTTTGGCACAGGGTCTCGGGAGTGATGGCGGCGTCTGCACCCTCCTCCTCATCTGGCGGCGAACCGGATCCAAACTCGACAAATTTACGACCACCGGGCTCAAGTAGGTCCATCACAGATATAATGCTATTTCACGTGTGCTATTTACTTTGTGGGCTATGCCATTAATCATTTCTATCGAGGGGCGAGAGGGGGGAGTGAAGGAGAGAGAGGGAGAGAAAAAGAGAGAGGGGGGGAAAGAAAATCCGCTGCCATTTGAAGACGCTTCCTTTGCCACAAATCACGGCTGTTTCATTCAGCATCACAGACCTCCCGGCTGCTGCTGCTGCTGACAGACGAATCTGCTGTCAGAGCTGCTGTCCTCTGCCAACACTGACAGATATGAGCCCGAGGCTAACCATGGGAAAGATTACTGCACTGTTATTATTATTATTATTATTATTATTATTATTATTATTATTATTAATATTGTTGTTGTTGTTGTTGTTGTTGTTGTTGTTGTTGTTGTTGTTGTTATTGTGTATTTTTTTTTTTTTTTACTATTTTCTCTTTTATGTGTGCTGACTGTAGCCTACTCTGGTTGAATAAAGTGCCTGCAAGGGAAAAAAAATCAAATTGCCCCTGAAGTGGCTTTTAATTCAGCCATGTTAAATTGCTCCTAATGGCACACTTAAGCATTGTAGCCTTCAGGAAGGGGAGCAGGGGCGCTGTAGAAAGCCATCCATTCATTGTCTGCCTGCAGGAAAATAAAAAGGCTGATTTGCCCCTTTGAATGGAGGTTTTGAATCATGTGACAGGTGTAGATGTGTGTTCCTGGCGGCAGAAACATGCACATATCAGTGAATTTTGCTTTGGAAAATTGCATGCCTTATCGGTCTTTTTTCCCTGAAATTACTTCACCTTGTCAGTCCATGTTTACCAAATAAAAACAGTGGTTTTATGTTGTTAGGCCCATGCAGATACAGCATAACATGCCTCCAGACTGCACCTTTGCAAATGTAGCTTTCCTAATAGTCTGGTGTGAACGCCTTTCGTCAGCACAGCTGCTCTGGTTCCTTTCCTCCTTGTCTTTTTTATAGCTGTTTGTCCTCTCTTTTGTTGTTTCTTTGTTAGCCTTTTCTCTCCCTCTCAAAAAAGAAAATCACTGAACGCTGAGTATCAGTGCGACCAATGAGCTGAGCAGGGCAATGATTTATCTAATGATCCAAAGCAAAGGGTTAAATTGGGATGTGGGGAATGATTCTGCCCCCCTATCACCACCCTCGCCTCCTCCTCCTCCTCTTCCTCTCCCTCCTCCCCTAAATTGCTGCTTTTGAGAATCTCGTTTTTATATTGCCCCCCCCCCTCCTCCCTGTGGCTGTGAGCCCTTGATAACGCAGTAATTCTCTATCTGTCAGCGGCCAGCCGCTTCATGTCCACTGACGCAGACGTTTCAAACCAGCATCTTTTCACTCAATTAGATCTTTAGGCTGCATGGCGTGGATCCAAACGGCTAATTAATTTTAAGTCCTGGTCCGGGTCATGCACGGTGAGGAAATAGGCTAATCCACATGTTCGTGTAAAAATCCTGGGAGTCTCATTCTAGTTATTTTTGTTTCAGTATCACTCGACCCCACATGTCTCCTCTTCTCGATATCAAATCGAGCAGAATAAAAATGAGCCCATGTGATCGGTTTCTTTTTCTTCTGTGAGGCCTAACTGTTTTCTGAAATTATTCCAGGCTATGATGCTTGGTGCGGGGTTGCTCATGGATGTACCAGAAAATTAGGAATGAAAATATGTGGTAAGTTTCTATTTTTCTATATTTTTAATGCACTTTGACAATAAAACTACTTTTTTAAGAGAGGTATGGTCGCCATGGTTTTTATGCTCATAGCATGACTTCAGGCTGCACGGCCTGCGTCGTTTTCCCTGTGGCTCACTGGATGATTACATGGGTTTCGAGCCATAGAGTTAGAAAGGTCACCCAAAGAAAGAGGACCCACTGAATTTACCAACATTATTTAGGCCTTTAAATTACCATCACAAATGAGGGTATTTATTCATAGTTAAATTTATTTTTTAAAAGAGGAAATAAAGGCGCTATCAAGCAATTTTTACCCATGACCTGCAGCTGATATAATAAAGAGGAGACTGTGCAGGATAGATTTTTCGATTTCCCAACAGTCTATATCTGTCTCAGTCTGCACTAACCAAAGACGGACTGACATCTTCCATACTGGTGAATGTCACGCGCCAGTGCGCAGCGCAATTTCCAGGTATTTTTGACCCACACGTTCTGCTGGTTTCATTAAAGACGTTTAATTAATCAGAAACATAAAAACCTGCAGGACATATACTGTTGGGGGAGAGCACGAAAACAAACCTGCATTTTGGTTGGCTCGTTATAAAGGGGGGCAGCAGCATGTTGCACAAATTTCTCCAACCAGTGAGTTTTTGTCAGATTTATGCCAGGATGAAACTCCCCACAAAAGGTGGCTTTACTGATAAATTCACTCCTCAGTGAAATGAGCACTCAGCCATGCCACACTGTTCTGGGCTAACTGTGCTGTTGGCTGTGCATACCATCGGAGGAGCTGTTGTAAGAATTTACAGCCGCTACATGACAACGATTTGTTTATGCCTGAGTGGAGTTTGATGCTGATGTCACTGGGCCCCTACAGCCCACAGAGCCCTCCGCCCATAAATAGGAGTCCCCGCGCAGGGCAGGGTGGCACCCTTTACTCAGAGAGAGAGAGAGAGAGAGAGAGAGAGTCAGACAGACATGGAATAGGAGAGTTATAAGAACAGGCCTGGTAAAATAAAGGGGGGCAGAGAACGCTGCAGCATCCACAATGTACGGAAATTGTAATCACCCCACGGAATCTTCTTCTTCCTGTAAACGTTTAGGATTTTTGCAGAAGAACAACAGTTTGGAGGAGAGGAGCAGGATTATGAGTTCTCTCAAGGAGCGCACAGCCAAGAACCTGCTGTCCTGTGATAACAGCGGCGGAGAGGCGCGTTTCAGGCGCACAGAGACCGACTTCTCCAACCTGTATGCCAGAGGTGGGCACGTGCGATTTTTATACTTTAAAGTTAAAATGTTGAGATGTGTTAAAATGAGATGTGAGCGCAAAACCAAATAGTATGTAGATTTTTTAAAAAGCGAACTGTGACAAATGAATAAAGTGATGAATCTATGGCTCTAAAGCTTAAAAAAATAGTTCTTCCACGGATTTCCTTAAATGCATTTATTGCACATTGTGGGAATTGATTCTTAAGTTTTCCTTCTAGTTTTACGTGTTTTATGTGGAATATGTGCTGTTTACGGTGTTTGTTTACAGTCTGTTACCGTGAGCTGTTTTCACCAATCTTTTCCATGTTCTTCGTTGTTTATCTTACATACTTAGTTAAAGGGTGGAGATAGTTTAACCTACAAGAAGCTGAAAAAAATACTCTCTGGCACGACCATAGTGCGTGAAATCGTATCATACTAAATCTCATTGTATTTTATTGTATTGAATCCTGTTGTATTTTTTATATCGTATCATGTAGTATTTTATCGTATCAAATATAAAAGATCATATCATATCACATCATATATCACATCATATTATATCATATCATAGGGTATGGTACTATTTCTTAGTGTATCAAAGTATATTTTATTGTATTGTACCAAACGTATTGTATCCAGTCTTATTAAGCTGTACCAAATCTTGTTTCATACACTATCATATCATATTGGTCTGTATAATATCCTATTGTATCATATAGTGTTTTATGGTATCATACTTAATGCCACTGTAATGTATAGTATTATATCATATGGAAATGTACAGTGTTGTATTATATTGTAGTGCATAGTTATCGTATCTTTTGATATCATACCGAGCCATATCGTATTGTATCGCAGCTAGTAGTCAGCATGAACATCTGAAGCAAGGTGAGAAAATCAAAGTTTAAATGTGTACACTCAGAAAAATTATTAACAGGAGTGCAATCCTTGCATTCAGGCCACCAAGCATCAATGCAAACAAACATCAATTTAATAGATATGTTTGATTTTGCAGATCTGTTGCCCGCTAAAAATGGAGAGGAGCAAACCATGCAGTTCCTGCTTGAGGTTGTGGAAATCTTGACCAATTATGTCCGGAAGACCTTTGATAGATCCACCAAGGTCCTGGACTTTCACCACCCTCACCAGCTGCTGGAGGGCATGGAGGGCTTCAACCTGGAGCTATCTGACCAGCCTGAGTCCCTGGAGCAAATCCTGGTGGACTGTAGGGATACCCTGAAGTACGGAGTGAGGACAGGTAGGAACAAAGAGGCCTAGAGGAGCACTGCGGTCTGCTGTGATCAATAACTCTCATTAGATTACATGCCAGAGTAATGATTACAGATAAGCAATTTTCTTCCTCAGATTCCCACATAATTCATTGTCTTCTTGGGGATTATATTGCTCTGTTGTCTTTTTATCAATTGCAGGACACCCCAGGTTCTTTAACCAGCTGTCCACTGGATTAGACATTGTTGGTTTGGCCGGAGAGTGGCTTACCTCCACAGCCAACACTAACATGTAAGTACTGATCCAGTGTCATTGATTAGTTAACATTTTGATTAACAGTCTCACTCCAAAAATGCAGCCAATGACTTATATTGAAGCAATAAGGCACAGAAGGCTATGAGGTCTATTTCATTCTCTCTCTTTTTGTACTGATTGTTTTTAAATGGCCCCTGGAGGATTGAGGCTTTGGAATGGAGTAAAAATTCTAGTGGATACATTAATAAGCCTCTCCGGCAAAATAACCCTAATAGTTTGTCAGTCAAGCAGGGAAATGAAAATCACAAAAGGCAAGGCCTTTTTTGACCCCCACACCCCACCCCCCCAACAGTATTGTCTGTGTTGGCCCTGCACTCAGGCTGTGGTCACATCATTCAGCCCTGCAGGCAAACCAAATTGCGTATTGATTCACATTCACAGTTTACATGCTGTCTTTGTTTCATCTAATGCTACTTCCTGTGACATAACAATGGCAGGGGGGGATTTAGCATGCCCCACACCATCTGTACACATTATCAACAGCTATGACTTGGACCCAGTTTTTCCATCGCGACAAATCATGTGTTGTTTTTCACAACTCTGCAGTTTGCATGAACAATGTGTGTAAACAGCTAATACAGAGTGGGATTTGTTAAACCCCTGTCTCTCATGCAGGAAGTAATCTTTGACAATGATTAATTTAATTACTTTTTGTGTTGTAAGCTTGAATTCTGAGATATTGGTTTAGGTTGCCAACCTTCACTGGTGTACACTATTATGTAAAAGAGGAACTGGCTGATTTTCAAAGCTCCACTGCCAGTGTGCACTAAAATATTGGTTTTCCATGGTAGACATTACAATACAGTCGATAACATTTCAGTGTCAGATATACATCTAAGTACCAAACAAACATAAAAAAATTGTCAAAAAATGTGGTTACAATTGGGGGGAAAATGAGAAAAACAGCCCAACAAAAGGTTTGCGAGTGAAATAGGTCTATTAGTAGTTAATGGATGATTTTCTGATGCTTTATAGATCAGTTCAAATCCATTAATAGAGACAAATTACGGGCTGCTGGGGTGTGACATTAGGGCCAGTTACCATCTGAAAAAGCCATTTTCAGAACTTTGTAATTAACAAGTTGTTGAGCAGTTATTATTATCAATAACTGCATAATTTCCAAAGACAAAGCATGAAGTTAAGATAAGAGATCTTACTTATTCTTTTTGGCTTATAATTTATCTATAAAGAATTGGTTGTAAAGCATTAAATTATGATTTTAAAAAGTCTTCATACAGAGTCCCTTGTTAGAAAACAGTACTCTAATGTCACATTTGGAGTTTATGAAGAGAAAGTGTCTGAGAAAAGAGTATGATAATAACATTGCTATTGAATTCAAATTCAGATTTTTAGTGTAATTATGAAATCTTTATTCTCACATTTTCACCAAAGCCTTATATCTCTCTGCCAAATCAAGCACAGTCTGTCTGAATAACTTACTGTACTCAGCTTGTTTTCTGCTGCTCTCTCCAGCGAGGATGACTTGAACCAAAGGGTGGAGGTTGCTTACATACTTGCAATTTACCTTTATTAATTACTCCATCAGCCCTAATTACCCCTGGCAGATATTGACTTACACTAATAGACTGACAATCACATGAAGGTGTTGCATAATCACAATGACTGAGTGTTGTCTGCATGAGTGAATGTGTTGAAATGAATTTGTGACATCTGCGGTGTGGCATCTGACTTGTTTATTTTTTCCCTTCCATACATAATGTCTGTGTGTGTGTGTGTGTGCGTGTGTGTGCATGTGTGTGTATACTAAAGATGCTGAGGGGCACAATGTGACATTCTTTAATGTCTCACTGATTCATTTATGGTCTGTGCATGAAGAAACAGATTCTTATGTAATTAGAAGAACATTGGCCTGGAGAAGATGGATGAGGCCGCCTGTGCTTTAACTTCAAATTTACTTTCTTTGAGGCAGAGTTTTTTTTTTCTCCATGTACTTAAGCCATGCAGGAAAAAACTATAGACTCAAGCAGATAAAACTCAAATTAACACCCTTAATAAGAAAAGCACAGGCCCCTCAGGACACTTATTAGCTTGTTAATGTTCAGATTTTTCCACTCAGTACCTTGACTGCTGCTATTAGGTCAATATGACATTTCTTGCTCATTTCCTGCAAAGACACATCCTCCTTTGCCTGTATCATTGAGCCTCAAACTACAAGGTACTCTCTGAGTCATTTCATAGCAGCAAGAGGCTGTTTCTAAATCAGCAAGATGGCATCCTCACCGAGGTGTGACTATGTATAGAGCACTGAATCTGCTCTATTTGTATTAAGAGAGCAGCGTGCCCACTAAAAAAGCAATTAGAGGATACAATTGCATGCTGTTAAATCTCAGTCTGCTTCATATCGATCCCATCAGTATGTATGTTAAACAGTTATCACTTAAATTAAACTGTAAGGAGAAAACAACTTTATGTCCCACTGTGTCATTAACACACCACCAAATACAGACATAAAGACAAGGTTCGTGTGTTCAGACTGTTGATTTCTTTTGTTGTTGCCTTCAGGTTTACCTATGAGATCGCACCTGTCTTTGTACTTATGGAGCAGCTGACGCTGAAGAAGATGAGAGAGATCATCGGCTGGCGTGATGGAGAGGGTGATGGAATATTTTCCCCAGGTGAGAAAACATCCATCTCTTTTTATTTTTACTTTATCTAGTCTAGCTTAGCTAATTACATTGGACCCTTAGTATTTTCAAAGTTCCCAGTCACTGAAGCCATCCTACCACAGTGAGGAGGTATTTTTGCCTTTAGATTGCATGCAGCATAACTAAAAAGCATCATACAATAGAAATATGTGGGTATGGTGCACTACCTCCATCATGTGTATAACTGCAGGTTTTTATTTTCCACAGGAGGAGCAATCTCCAACATGTACAGTGTCATGATAGCAAGATACAAGTTCTTCCCTGAAGTCAAGACCAAAGGCATGGCCGCAGCACCCCGGCTGATCCTCTTCACGTCAGAGCATGTAAATTCAACACCACCTTTGTATCTCTCCACTATTTAATGCTCATTGAACCACTTTTGGCTCCAGGTTTGAGTGTACTCTTCGTTCTGTGACTAATCAACCTGTGTCCTCACAGAGCCATTATTCAATCAAGAAAGCCAGTGCGGCCCTGGGCTTCGGGACGGAGAACCTGATCCTTCTGAACACAGATGAGAGGTTTGCTTTGCGCTTAAAATACGTTAAAAAAAACATTCAGGGGAGAGAAGAAATATTTGGACGTCTTACTCCTGTGTGTCTGCTTGTTTCCCAGAGGAAGAGTCATTCCTGCAGATTTGGAGGCCAAAGTAATAGAAGCCAAGCAAAAGGTGAATGTCCAAAACAATGACTCAGACATTGTACCCTCTTACTTACTTACCTGTTTGTTCCTATTAGTGACTCTGTATACTAAGAAACACTGCTCTAGGCTGTGAAGTGTACTTGCTGCCAACTTAAACACTGATGCGAGCCAGAGCAGCGAGGTTATTTCTGTGAGGTTAATGCTTCAGTCTCCTGACATGCGATTCTCAGCTGCTCTAAAGTGCCTCTCCTGAAGCTATGTCTTCAAAGGTAAAGTGATGAGCAGGCTGAAAGAAATGACAAAGAAGTAAGTTCAGACTGAGAGAAAGCCTTATTGGGATGTCTTTTTGCCAATCTCGTCATTTTTTGCATTTAGAGAGAGGATCAACACATCTTGAACCCACTCTCTAATGCCTTTTTCCAATGCTTTTAATTTCTAGGGGTATGTTCCCATGTTTGTTAATGCAACCGCTGGAACCACCGTCTACGGAGCTTTCGACCCCATCAATGAAATTGCAGACATCTGTGAGAAGTACAACATGTGGCTGCATGTGGACGTAAGAGAGCATTTAATTTCCTCAGTTTAGTAATATCAGATGTGCATGTTCGCGCCATGTTAAGATACTGTGATATTAACGTCTTTAATGAATGTGTTGTTTTCTGTGCAGGGCGCATGGGGAGGAGGTTTGCTCATGTCCAGGAAACACAGACACAAGCTGAATGGAGTAGAGAGGTAAAAGAACATGATTTATTAACATATAAATGACATAAATGAACTACAGGAACTCCTGGTTATTAAAGGGGGATAACACTAGTTTGTACCTCCATATTAAATTCACTTATTACGCAAAACTGTTGATATGCCAAATTTAATGATAGCATCAGGGTTATTTTGGCATGAGCTTGGAGTGGAGTCAGAGGAATAAACCCAGTGTAAAGCTCAGAGTATTGAGTTTGATGGGCATTTGAAGGAGATGGATGGAATCGAACACTGAATTATGGACTCATTGTTCTGTGGGCTGGACACATACCCAGGACTTAAAAGTAAGGGTACCCTGGGCTCTTGCACTTAGATTTTGACATAAAAAATGAGTGCATGTGTTTTTTATTGAAAATCTTTACTGTGTATTTTATATCTCTTCATGAGATAGCATAGTAAAGCATGCAGTAGATAAATGACTAAGATTATGGAGTGTCAGGGTGCTGATTTAGCCCTGTGGTTAGGCGTGCACCCCAGAGGCTGTAGTCCTTGTTGCAGTAGTTGCTGGTAAAACCCCTGTCCCCAGTCCTTTGCTGCATGTCATTCCCTGCTCTCTACTTCCCACCCTTTGTGTCTCTCTTCAGTGTTTCTATCTAATAAAGGCAAAAATATTTTAAAAATCCTAAAAATAAAACAAATGAGGGAAGAGTAAATTCATAACCTGGTGTTCAACAGGGTCCTTGCCAAAGGAGGACCCAAATCCTGATTGACAAATGACACCAAATTGGTGGAGTCCACTTTAAAAATCAGGGCAAAATTGGCCAAAGATGTGTAATCCAAGCAGCAGCGTATGGTATTGAAAATAAACTAAAAAGTTCACTTAAGGCTGGCTGCAAAAGCCATGGAATCTCCTGCACGTCAAAATGCCAATTACTAAAACAGAAATAAATGTTGACACCACAAAACCAAAAATGGTTTTGGTCTATGCAGCTCATTTCCATCTATGCACTGTGCAGGGGAGGGTTTTTTATGACTTATCCATCCACACAGTACAAAGGCTTAGAGTCATACATAAATAAGTGCAATATGGGGCACAGCTGAGTTGACTGACAGGTGGGTGTATTTTTGCTGTTTCGACTAAAAGCCTGCCTCAGCTCTGCCTGGGTTCGAGGTTGACCAAAGTTAGGTTGAGTCAGCATTTACAACATGGTGAGTGCTGTCAGTGGGCTTCAAAATGCCTTTTCAGAAACAGAGGGGAGATGTGACAGAGACTACGCCCATGATTTATAGTCTGTGATGTGATCGTCTTGAACACTACCACAGATTTCTCACAAAAATGTATATGCTTTATTCCTAAATTGTTAGATTGCCAATTCAGTTTCTAGATTTGATATCACACACACTCACAGAGCTGTGTTCACTGTTTCAATATCTGTGCAGGGCCAACTCAGTCACCTGGAACCCTCATAAAATGATGGGAGTGCCTCTGCAGTGCTCTGCCATTCTGGTCAGAGAGAGGGTGAGACTGTGCTGCCTGCTGCACAAATCCATGCACATAGTGACGCTGACAACCGTTTTCTGTTGGTGTTCATAAAAAATTCTCTACTCCCCCACCACGACTCTTTCCTCTGTAGGGGTTACTGCAAGGCTGCAACTCTATGTGTGCTGGATACCTCTTCCAGCCTGATAAACAGTATGACGTCACATATGACACGGGTGACAAGGCCATACAGTGTGGACGCCATGTGGACATCTTCAAGTTCTGGCTCATGTGGAAAGCAAAGGTGTGTTAAAACTGTCATATTTGTTATAAGACCTTTATTTTGGACCTTCAAACCAAATCTGGGATATCATGTCAGCTCAGCCATGTTGACTCTTTTTGTTATTCACTCTGTCTTAAAGGGAACGGTGGGATTTGAACAGCATATTGACAAGTGCCTGGATCTGTCAGCATACCTCTACAATAAAATAAAAAACAGAGAAGGTTATGAGATGGTCTTCAATGGAGAGGTGAGGACATTTTTTCAAAGACTTTCTGTTTTTTACTTCAGCATACTGAGGTGTCAGATGATTATAAAGCAGCTGTACTGCAGACTAAATATCTGTTAGTCTTCTGTGAATACACACAACAACACAACTCGGTTTAGAGATTGATTGCATCAATTTGCATTGGTGACAGCATGACAGGGAAAGGCCAAAATTACAGACAGCAGTTTTTTATTAGCACTCATTACAAATGTTGTTCTCATTTTCTGTTATCAGCCGCAGCACTCAAATGTGTGTTTCTGGTATCTTCCACCGAGCCTGCGTGGCCTGCCTGACAGCAAGGAGAGGCGGGAGAGGTTGCACAAGGTAATGACATGTCAGTCTGCTCCTATAGAAACATTTTTATTTCCCCAGCTCACACGGCGCTTCAAAATGGAGGTGATTCATTCATTAACATCATGGTCTGCCGTGCACAAGTATGCTCAACTGTATTTTTTCTGTAAAAGGTTGCGCCAAAGATCAAAGCAATGATGATGGAGTCAGGGACGACAATGGTGGGCTACCAGCCACAAGGAGACAAGGTCAACTTCTTCCGCATGGTCATCTCCAACCCTGCAGCTACCCGGTCAGACATCGACTTCCTGATAGAGGAGATTGAACGTCTTGGTAATGACCTGTAAGAGGCCACAGCTAAATCTTTTCCTTACAAACACCTGTCTTGTGGGACTCTGGAAAGCCTTCAGCTCACAGGTCCTTTTTGGCAGCGCACAACAAAAAATAAATCCTGCGTGTTTCTTATTTTCGCCCTCTGCCTTTAGCAGTGATGACATTTATTCAAACAAGTTTGCACACACGGTCATCTGAGTAAAAGGATACGAGTCAAAACTTGAGAGAATTATCAAGCACACTGGTATTCTGACTATTCCCATTTATAAAAATACAATAAACTCATATTATGCCAATTATGTGTAATTACCCTTCATGGGAACATGAGGCTGCAAGAAAAGCTGCACACTTGAATGATTCCTCCTTTACAAAAGTGTCATTTTACTATTTTATTTCATAAAGATCAGCTTTAAAAACACAATGCAAACAAGATCTTTTTCACAATCAACAGAGCACAATGTAGAAAACCATATGGCATCGACACAAACGATATTAATGTAAAATATATATAAATTTATGATGTACTGACTGTTGGTGCTTCATGTCGTCTATGTAATTATTGAGCCTGATGCACCGCCACATTGTACCCTGGCTTTTCTTTTCTTTGATATTACATAAGTGGAAATATTTAACACAGAGCTGTACCTGAATGCTGTGTTTTTAGAGATCTTTGTGTAGATTGTGTATAGTATTGTTACATTGCCTTTGTGCCAAATGTGTCATAGTTTTACAGTGAGAAAATCCTATATGTAAATGGACAATACCTTATAGTATGTGATAGATGAATCACTTTATTTGTAACCAGAGGTTATAATTGTGAATAGGTTACCTGCTGTCCATTTGTAATGTATTCTCTTTCCTATTTGGAAACTGTATTATATCACAATGTTTTCAATGATGTTCAAGTCTTTTGGTGTATTTGTGAACCAAAGAGGGTCAAGTTGCATTAGTTATATAAGAACATTTAACTCGCCGCCCTTAACTTTTGTGCAATCTATGTTGTGTAACTGTGCAATGTCGATGTGATTCACTGACTAAATGGTGTCACGACACAAGCGGGAGGGAGGACTGGCGGTGCAGCTCCTGCTGCTGGTGCATTATCAGTGATTTAAGAGCACAATGCTAGAGCAGCTTTTATTCTATGGACATATGATTGTCTGAGTGTTAAGTGAAGTAAAACTTTAATATGCAAAATTAGTTTGTCTTAATGAACTCTATAGGCACACTCTTCTGTTGGAAAAAAATATCTAAGAAACTGGCTTTATTGATTGCTAAGAAATGAGCTCGATAAATGAAGTCCTCATTTTTTGCTGCTGTGTTAAGATTTCTTTATTGAACAATTGTACATTCCTGAATTAGTGGGATGGATATTCCCTTGTTAAATTTAATGTAGGCACTTTAACTTCATTCCATCATTTGCAGAGTATCACTATTGTAACTACAACACTAATAAAGACAAAATCTGAACAACAACCGTGGGCACATTTTTTACAGTGTGTGTGCAAGCACAAATGAGCAAATAAAAATATCTGTCAAACAACAATGAACTTTGTTTAGATGAGTTAAGTTTTAATTTTTTTTTCATATCTTGTGATCTTACAGAAGCCTTGTTAGAGCCCAATAAGTAATAATGACTCAAATGTAATTTAAAAAATGTAATAAAACCTGAAGTGTAATAACTGGTTGATAATGTAACAAGATGCTGAGCCAAAAACATACTAACTCTTTCCCCAAAATGTAGCAACTTTTTACTTGTTTATCATTTTTATTACATTTCTGGTCAACACTTTTGTTACACTATTAACAAATTATTACATTTCAGGCTTTATTACACTTAAAAAAAAAAACATTTTGGGTAATTGTTACAAATCAGCCTTTAACAAGTCTGTTAGCAGAAATTTAATGTAAAGGTAAGCCTTATATTTGCCACATACTGGGTATGTGCAGAAGAATGCAAAAATGATCTTTGGCATAGTTATAATGTCAAATTGGGAATTTTTTAACTAAAGAAATTCCTCTGAAGCAATTTGTTATATCCAACACTATATTGTTACTTTAGGGTCAATAAGACATCAGAGTGGTTACATATATGAATAAAATTCCCTGAAATACAAAAAGAAACTGTCAGCATATTTCATTTTGGAGAGGTTGTGCTGCCTTCAAGGAGCTTTTAAGATTTATTATAGTCACAAAGTTCAAATGAAACACAGAGATCATTTACACCTGAGGTTAATGACAACCAAAACAGATCTTACGGTATTTAAAATAGTCCAATTAAAGTAATTGCCCATATACATCTGCATAAAAAGGAAAAAGTCAAGTAAAAAGAAACTAACCAGAGACATCTTTTGTGTGTTCTGTGAGCTGCTGAAAAGATCCTGGGGTCACCAGGAGTCTGTCTCCAGTCCTCACTGTTCATCCCTCACCTTGATAGACTGGCCGGGTGTTTAAAGGTGTGTAGGAGTTGACAGTAAAGAGATAAGTAACCTGTCACCGTTCAGTTATCTGACCTTCACACAAACATATATAAAATAAGCATAATACAAGTAGAAAGACTCACAGTAAGACAGGTTAATTAACCATTTTTGGCCTGATATTGTCCGTATAAAACTCTTTACATCCTCTCCATCCACCTGGCAGTCACAGACACTGGCCAGATTAATCACCCTGCAGGGACTTTTTTATTAGCTGATCATCTCACAGCTGAGGTTTCACGAGTCCCTCCTGCCAATTCCTCCACTCCTCTCATTACTCACACTTTTTAGATATTTATCATAAAAGGCGTTAGACTGTGCTCTCTTCACTATTTTTTTTTTCTGGGGGGCCTATTTGGAGGCTCTGCCTGGCTGCGTTTTATTTCGACACAGCCATTGAGGGACTGGCTGTTTCTCTCCTCCCATCCTCCACCAGGCAGAAGCTGCTGCTGCTGCTGCTGCTGCTGCTGCTGCTGCTTTGTTTCATGCTTCAGTGCAACGATCATTACAGAGCCAGAGTCTCTGCTGCTGAGTGAAGTTACAGGGAACAAAGGATTCAAGGAATAACTCCCGGTATAACGACGTAATAGAAATAACACTTGACATTATGCCAAATCTGAAAGAAGAGATATAGAGGAAGAGCTAGATTATGCTTTTTTCGTCATGGCTCTCAGCGTAGCTCTGCAGAAAGGGTAATGACGTGGCTAATTTGGAAGCAGGTGCTGGAGAAATTCACAATGATTGAATGCAAATTAAACGAGGCCCATCCTGCAGGAACAGCCTGCAAAATAAGAATAACCAAATCACCAAACCAATCACTTCATTGATATGTTAGTCAGTCTGTTAATGCATTACAAATTATTTAAAAAATACAAAAATGATTTCAAAAATATTTGATTATTGGCTCATGATGGTATAAACATTTCACAGCTGTTTTTGGCTTAGTTATTAATAAAGTTTTTAAGTGGGTTGGACTTTAAAAAATATATGCATGTAAAAGGTAAAGAAGAATCAGATTTGTGGTTGATGAAAACTATCAAATTGTATTTAATCACAAAATTGTGTTCATAACAAGCATATGCAAAGACTTACATGAAGTAAAAGAGAGTTGATTGTTGATTCGTTCAACATAGAATAGAAACATGTCTGTAGATGATTCATAAAATATATGTGTTTTAACATTATTATCAAAAAAACTTCCTCTTAGACATATTACCCAACAACTAAAGACAGAAATAAGATCTGATTTGCTTTTAATTGGGAAAAAAAACTTGTAAAGAATTAGACCATTATCCTTGTTTCAAACAGTGTAACTTTAAGAATTTTTCTTATTTCCTATTACTAACAAGTCAGGTCTTAATTTTGGCTTGGGATATTTCAGGACTTCTCAGGTAATGTGGCTAAAATTAGGTCGGAACTGGCTTTTTTTTCTCATTTGAAATAAAATTTTAAAAAATTGCTTAGTTTTGAATTTCTGCAAAACATCAATATTTTTAGGTCTGAGTTTTCTGACTTTACATCCCATTGCAACAATTCTGTTTTTGCAGTGTAGTGTCTGGGTGTGGGTGTGGGTTGCCTCTGAACACCAGACTGTGAAATGTCTGTCTCTGCGCTGGTCTCTTCACCCTTCATTTCACACCTGGCACACACACACACACCTGACAGAAACACACACGCACTCACACGCCTCACCCTCATTGGGAAACTGCAAATGAAACAAGGACCATTTCATTTACTGGGCTCATTGCTTCTCTCTGCCTGCTTGTATGCTAATTGTTTTCCTCTTAATAACTTGATTTTGTTTGGTTGTTTGTAGATATTCTTGTGTCAAAGTGTCCTCTCATGCACATATGGTTCACACACCACTTCGTTATGTTACTCCTCTTTCTTAAACACCCATGAATCTTGTCAGTGGTTTCACTGATGTGCCAAATATATCTGCCTCCCCCGGGAATCACTGCCACATTAGCTTCCTGATAGAAACTGATGGTCCCATTGTGCAAAGCAAGTTTAATAAGACGACAATGTTGATGATGATGATGATGATGATGGGGATGATGATGGGGATGATGATGGGGATGGCGGTGGAGGGTGACTTGTCTTCCCTACTCTTATCCACCTACTGTTGATAAGATACATGCAGCTTCAGCCGCAGTTTGGCTTAAGACCCCCCTTTTCAAAACCTTTTCAGCCTTATTCACGTGATCCACAGCCAAACACAGGCAGCCTTTTTGCCCTCATACTTTAAAAGGAAGGTCAATAATTATGTGTTTTTGTGTCACAGCAATTTGTTCTTAAACTTGTTCTTAAATTCAAGCAAAATTAGAAGGCATTGCGTGACATTAAAAAACAGTGATAACAGAATCAATTGCAGCACCTCGGGGCCCCCCGACTCCTAAAGTAATTATAATAGGTTACACTTATCTAAATAGCCTCCTCTTATTGACTGTGTGTCCACGGCTTGATTAATCTTGGCAGAAAGTAAATTTCAAGCAGGAGATTAATAGTGCAGGGACTGTAACTTGCCTGTCTCCTTAGCTGGGGAGTGTAAACCTAATGTGGCGCTTGTTAAAGTTGAAAGGCTGCTATAGTAAATGTCTCTGTTGGACGTTTTCTAAAGGAAAAAAGCACAAGGCCAGGAGCAATTACACTGCAGCTCAGAAAGCCGCTGAGTGGTGATTGCTATCATCCGTGCTAAATGAACAGAACAACCTCCACCAGGGCATGACAGTAATCCAGAGCTCTTGTGTTTTGTTTACAGTCTTTGTTTTGTCATTTTTTTCCTCTTCTGTATGGGAACTGCAGGTGAGGACAGGAAACATGTGTCCACCGCAGCTGAAATTAATATAATGGAAACAATAATAACGGCATGATTGCTGCTTATGCTGGTGTTTGTCTCTGCCGCTCCATCATCTTAACAGAGGCTTGTCTAATTCACTCAGCTTTTATCTGTACCTCCCAGCCCCACGGGGTACATTATGTCAGCATCGAGCGATTATTTACGACACAAACCCTTCATCATGGAGCAATAACACCCCACAGAGGTCTGACATTAAGCATCCTACCTGATAATTCAACTTATGATGTTTGAGCTGCTTTGCTTATTGTTTATAAATGTATGGCGTTAAAGGTGACACCACCAAAGACGTACAGAACAATCTCTACCTCCTCAGACTGGTTCAGATATCTGAACTAAAGCTCTGTGTTTGCAGGTGTGGTTATAAATTCCTCGGAGGGCTGAAGACGTATAAATCTGAGAGATCTATCCACACCAGTGATCGCAGAGTTTTAAGGCGTCAGCAAGCCTCTGCTGAAACACAGAGTTTATTTATTTGCTTCTGGAAAGAGCAAGTCTCATCATGTGGAGTATATTTCTCAATGGTAGTAAACAATGGGTGTGACACACTGTTACAGGAAGAAACAATGATTGATTACAGTCAAGATTTGTGAGACTTTCTTATTAGGACTGTTTCTTACAGTGTTTTTTTTTAGTCAATTAAATATTAGAGAATAGTGAAAATGTTGTCTTTTCTTTTTTAGTGTTCTTATATAATGTAATATTAATTTCTTTAGGTATGATAATTAAAATCACCTTGTTATGATCGTTTTAACTTCTATAAATGTTCTCTCTGATATAGTTTGCAGTTTTTGCTCTAGGTATAATCCTGTGAGCTTCAGCTTGTGCTTAAGGCTGTTTCTCTTATTGTGTAACATGGATTGGGAATCATAATTCATAACCAGTTTTGGTTGTACCCTGTATGTAATGCCTAGCTGACCCTTGCCCAGTAAAAATGATATAAAGGTTATATAGAAATTTCCCTTAAAGTATCTCAAAGATATTTTGTTCAGATTTTGTTCATCCATGTTCAGATGCAGAAGCATTAAACTTGCTATACTTATTTGAGTATTTTTGCTTAAGATTAACATGAAGAATATCTCAAAAATTAATATTTATTGCTCCATGGTTAAACAGCTTTAAAAAGGCTTTTGAAGCAGGAAAGTACTTCTGGCTGCACCCTAAATGTATGATAATTTTAACTCAAAGAGAGACCAAAATAAACTGAAAGGATGAAGATGAAAGTCAGGTATTATGACTCTTTGCTTCTCGTACAAAAATTCAAAGTGAAAGCATAAAAAAAAAAAGAAGGAAAATCTGCTTAAAGATGATAACCTGTATGACACTCTGGAAACCACTCATTGTATTTTCTATACTTATTTGTATATTTCTGTGACTTAGACACAATGGTGTGGTATGGACATCTGTCACCAGCTTTTACTCTGGATTTGCCGACAGTTTCTCTTGGGTTGATCTCTTCGTAGTAGACGATATCCCACTTCAGCGTTTTCTTTTTTGTTATGTCGAAAGGCAGATCAATTATCTGAATTTCAAGCATGTTTAAGCTTTCACTTCTCCATTACACTGTCAAATTATCATAAATTAGTCACTGTTCACACTGGGAAGCAGGAGGCAAAGTTTAAAAAATATTGCCTACCATCATTCTTCTTAGATGATAATTTGAATCTCATTTTTGTTTGTATAACAGTGTCAGGAGCATAATCTTCTTGTTTAAATGTATCACACCAGGTCCGATCTGAATCATGTATATATATAAACTACATCAAATCAGAATGAGCTTCAGTAGACATGTAGCCTGACAGATAACTGATGATTGATGTGGAGCATCAAATTCAGGGTGAGTTTATTTCGAATTATTTGATAAGAGCTGCTGCACAACAGAGATATCAAAAACATGTACATTAATTTACTCCACCATCCCATCTCCTTTAAAGCACTGATAACATCCATCATTATCACTGTGTGATCAGGGACATTATATTCTCTTATACATTCTCTGATTGAGGTTACATGAGCAGAACAACAAGGTACCTGAATAAAACAGAATGTTTAAAAAGAAGCTGAGGTCTTTAAGGTCAAGTGTCTTCACTTGAGTTTGTGGGGAAGGAGGTAGAAAATTCTTCCGAATGAACAGGTGAGTTTATGTAAAACCTGAAATGATGCTGTGGTTTTGTGTGTTTGGTAAGAGTGTATGTACAGAAAAAGCCCAGCAGATGGTGCTGTCTAGCTTCATAACAAGTCAACATGGAACACAGTGGTAACAGACGCTGTAATTACAGATATGAGTTATCCACTCAATATAGTAATTTTTGAGATACACTAAGTCAACATTAAAAGAATTGATCTTAAATTCTAATGGACTTAAATTTTTTTGTGTTTCATGGTATTCATGTTTTGAATAAGACCGCATCTGCTTAGTTGTGTTGCAGAGCAAAAGGGCTTTTACGGGTTGCTTTTTCTTTATCAACGCTATACTTTTGTGTTCTGTAGACAAGATTTGAGATTTTTAAATAAAGGTTTGATATGCTAAAAGTTATTTTTATTTACAAAATTAATTCCTTTGTAATAACCTTTTCGATGCAGTGTCAATAGTTTGGCTTTGATAAGCCTTTGTTTATTGCTCTTTGGTCACTCCTGCTCACAATCCTAATTTTTTCAATCAACGAGACACTGAAATTACCACAAGAATGGCCATTTTCTATTCAACTATAGGGGATAACCTGGTGTAGGTGAAAAGAGTCAGGGGTAGGGCTGAAATAGACTTCAAGACTTGATTAACAGAGATCAAATTTCAACTTTTAAATAATCAAATAAAAGGTTGAAAAAGGGACTATAGAAAACTGCAAACAACCATTTAAGCAGGCTTTTCCACGCACTGCAGGTATAGAATTTAACTAACAAGACTTAACAAGAGCAAAGCACACAATTTCTCAGCTTTAGCAATATTTGAATCTCTCATTATACCAGTGGTCATGAATGCACTGCTGATAGATTTGCACCTGTTCACACTGCATGTATTTGGCATATACTTTGCGCATCTTTGTAAACTGAGCAGCTGAAGTACAGAGACTCGTGTTAAATCCTAGAGTCTGTGCCCAGTTCTTCTGCCTCTGAATATGTGATCATTGCATGCAGTTACCATTATCAGTGATCATTTACACAACTGTCTTACTGCAGCTATTTGTACTGTTATGTTTAAATGTTTTGCTCATTATTACTGTTTCATATCAGCATATAATACATTCATACCTAGCAAATGTTACCAATCAGCCAAATTCTTTTCCCATTAGGAGTTATGTTGCAATGATGGACTTCAGTCATTTTCTCTTGACTATCACAGCACAAGAAAAAATAAACTGTAAAAAGTCTTTTGAGACTCTTATCTATTTAAAACTGTGTTGACCACAGCCCAACAGCACACTAAAAATATGCCAAGCATGCAGCTTTGAGCCACAAACACCTGCATGTTAAAGAGTGACGTCACCTCTCAACAACCCTAAACTTTACCTAGAATTCTACACATGCTTTCAAAAAACTTGATTTTGACTAATTTTTGTTATCAATTAACTTTGATTTTTTTTTTTTCTTGTTTTTGAACTTTTACTCCATTCTAATATTCAATTCGGACTTAATAATTAAATGTTATTTGTTTTCTGTTTCACCTTTATTCTCGACATTGAAACTTTTTCTCTGGAAATGCTCAGGCTAATGACAAGAATTCACTTCTCTTTTTTTTATATATATATCTATCTTAATACTCATCTGTACATGATTTAAAACAACATTTCTTTATTTGCTTTTGCTTTATGCAAGTCTTGATATGACTAATTTTAATCTTACCCCTGGCTAAAATCTTGAGAAAAGAATAGAAATCACTTTATGACAGTAAACATGAAAACATTGAATTAAAAAATTATGGATGATAACTCATGAAATGCAGCTTTTAAACAGGAGTAAGACATTTAAATACGAACTAATTTTACTGCATTAAATAAAAAGGAAAAGCTCTATTCAAGTACAGCTCATAAATAGTTAAAATAACATGTAAGCCCTACCTGTCTGTCACTGATGATGCTCCACAGCGGAAGTGCTGGAAACCAGGAACCGCAGGAGCCACACCGCACTGAGCGGACATGACCTGGAGGAGAACACCGGCATCTGCAGCTAACTAACACAGCTAGCACCTCTGAGGGACACATTAAGGGGGGAAACATGGGAGGTTCTCAGAGTGTGGAGATACCAGGTGGAGGAACTGAGGGGTACCACGTCCTCAGGGTAAGAGCAGCCGGACTGCATCATCCGTGTCCCCGTGTAGACTGCGGGGTGGAGCTGCAGAGACGCGAGCTAACCTCCTGGTTTACTGCTTCTCGTAGTTAAACTGATATGAATTTGTAGTCATTCTTTATGGAAAGTAGTCTGATATAGCAAGTGTCGGACTGGCATCGCTATTTTTCAGCCATGTACAAATAGGCGCAAAGATAGCGCGAGCGTTTAATGAGCGCTCGTGCTGCAGTGGTGTTAGTAAAGTAGCGTAGTGGTGACACTGCACTGGTTTGGATGTGATATTATTGACCCGTGAGCCTCCTAACGTTTAAGTGCTCGTGCAGTAAAGTCATATAACAGCTATTTTAAGTTTTATAGAAGAACTGTTTGCTTTGCCGATGTGTTAAAGTATTCAAAACACGTGCAGTCGTTGCAAAGTATCAGGATATGCTAAGTAGTTTATGCCAGAATAACCGGTGTGGTTACTGTTACGCGTAATAAAGAAGAAGGGTGTGTACCTTTACTGAAAAGTGCATCAAACAGTGATAAGCTCACTTGTAATGTTACTGTTCCTATCTTGAATGTGTAGCAATCAAGACAACCCTGGGTGTGAAACTCACACATTCCTCACAGGAAAGCTTCCTCATCTGGTCCCAGGACACAGGATATAAATCTTTCCAGACTCGTTTGCACTTTCAGGTTACCTAAATGACCCGACCGGAGGTTGACTAAACCTCTGACTCTTCACGATTGGTCGATTCGGAGAACAGAGACAGAGTTTTTATTACCTTTCAAACTGACTCCATTGCTGACCATCTAAATAAACATAAACGTCTCAACCCAGATCTCCCATTTGAGATTTACCTTCTTAAAGTGTGTGAACATACGGACCCCAGGATAAGGGGGGACACTGACCTCCAGACCTCGGTCGTAAAACCCTGCTCAACCACACACTGATAAAGACTACATTCCTTTGGTGAAAGAATACATATGACTGACCCTGACAATTTATGCATTCAGCAATGTACTAATCTGTCTAATCATGAAATTTGTGTTAAAATGAAATGTTTCCCGTTTTTCTATGTGCTCCAGAAGCCAAGTTATCACTCTGACAGAATAAATCCTTTATTCTTTAGTTTCTTTAGACCAACAGCTTTTCAGACTGTTTCATGAACTTTTAAGAGTTAAATTTATTGACTCTTGTACTAATCTGTCTTTCATGATTAGACAGATTAGTACATTGCTGAATGCATAAGATGTCATTATCAGTCATTTGTATTCTTTCACCAAAGGAATGTACACTCACCGGCCACTTTATTAGGTACACCTGTCCAACTGCTCGTTAACACTTAATTTCTAATCAGCCAATCACATGGCGGCAACTTAGTGCATTTAGGCATGTAGACATGGTCAAGACAATCTCCTGCAGTTCAAACCGAGCATCAGTATGGGGAAGAAAGGTGATTTGAGTGACTTTGAACGTGGCATGGTTGTTGGTGCCAGAAGGGCTGGTCTGAGTATTTCAGAAACTGCTGATCTACTGGGATTTTCACGCACAACCATCTCTAGGGTTTACAGAGAATGGTCCGAAAAAGAAAAAATATCCAGTGAGCGGCAGTTCTGTGGGCGGAAATGCCTTGTTGATGCCAGAGGTCAGAGGAGAATGGCCAGACTGGTTCGAGCTGATAGAAAGGCAACAGTGACTCAAATAACCACCCGTTACAACCAAGGTAGGCAGAAGAGCATCTCTGAACGCACAGTACGTCGAACTTTGAGGCAGATGGGCTGATTCTGCTGCGACATTCGGATGGTAGGGTCAGAATTTGGCGTCAACAACATGAAAGCATGGATCCATCCTGCCTTGTATGAACGGTTCAGGCTGGTGGTGGTGGTGTCATGGTGTGGGGAATATTTTCTTGGCACTCTTTGGGCCCCTTGGTACCAATTAAGCATCGTTGCAACGCCACAGCCTACCTGAGTATTGTTGCTGACCATGTCCATCCCTTTATGACCACAATGTACCCAACTTCTGATGGCTACTGTCAGCAGGATAATGCGCCATGTCATAAAGCTGGAATCATCTCAGACTGGTTTCTTGAACATGACAATGAGTTCACTGTACTCAAATGGCCTCCACAGTCACCAGATCTCAATCCAATAGAGCATCTTTGGGATGTGGTGGAACGGGAGATTCGCATCATGGATGTGCAGCCGACAAATCTGCGGCAACTGTGTGATGCCATCATGTCAATATGGACCAAGCTCTCTGAGGAATGCTTCCAGCACCTTGTTGAATCTATGCCACGAAGAATTGAGGCAGTTCTGAAGGCAAAAGGGGGTCCAACCCGTTACTAGCATGGTGTACCTAATAAAGTGGCCGGTGAGTGTAGTCTTTATCAGTGTATGGTCGAGCAGGGTTTTAAGACCGAGGTCTGGAGGTCAGTGTCCCCCCTTATCCTGGGGTCCGTATGTTCACACACTTTAAGAAGGTAAATCTCAAATGGGAGATCTGGGTTGAGACGTTAATGTTTATTTAGATGGTCAGCAAATGGAGTCAGTTTGAAAGGTAATAAAAACTCTGTCTCTGTTCTCCGAATCGACCAATCGTGAAGAGTCAGAGGTTTAGTCAACCTCAGGTTGGGTCACTTAGGTAACCTGAAAGTGCAAACATGTCTGGAAAGATTTATATCCTGTGTCCTGGGACCAGATAAGGAAACTTTCCTGTGAGGAATGTGTGAGTTTCACACCCAGGGTTGTCTTGATTGCTACAGTCCCCCCTTCGTCACGGTGGTCCTGTCCATGAAGCATCGGGACGACGAGTAGACAACCATGAAGCAGCAGCAGCAGCAGGTGTATGCAAATAGGACTGATGCGTCTCATCATCACTATGTTAATCACTAGTACTGCTTTGAGATAAAATTAAGCATGCATTAAGCTATCAAATAAAATCGTCTAGTTGTTAGACTTTTCTCAGTTAACTATTGGTAGACTAATGTGAAAGAAAATCTCCTAATTTTGAGATTTAGAAAAGCACTATTTAGTGTGAATGCTAACTGGATCTAAAGCTATAGCTGTTTTTCATGCTTGCTGGAGAAGTCTGAAAGTCCAATTTCAGTTTCAAAAATGGTTAAGACTTAGGTGGAAAAGAAATGTCTGCTAAAGACATATTAACCATCTGTGTATGAGCATAGTCAACCTGAATCACAAACATCAAAAGTTTACTGCACAGAGTTTCTCTTAAACTTTGTCTGTTAAACTTGGGGATGATGCTCTTATCGGTTTGACTAATTATCTGCTGTTGAGTCTGACATTTGTCAATCTGAGTCTAAATGACAGAAATTTCAGGTTTTTAATCTGTTCATGGGATATTTGACAGTTGACAAGCTGACCATATTGACAGAGGAGAGACAAATGCTAACAAAGAAAGCAGCAACTGGGATTGCAGTCATCAATGTATCACCACAGCATTTGGATATCTTATTGGAGTCATTTAGCTTTGGCTGAGTGACTTCTGCTTTCGCAGGACTCACGCCTTCATGACTCCAGAGTGTGTTAATCTCAGTGGTTAGCTGAGTAGTCATGTTTATTCACCTTCAAAGTGGATGAAACCGATTGAGGTGGATAATAAGATCGTCGTTTCTGAGAGTGTGATTTACTCTGATTCTGCCAGTCATTCACCCCCCTTTGGCGGTGTTGATGGTTTTTCCTTTGTCTGGGATAAAACCCACCGTGACGGGAGTCTGAATAACAACAGTTGGTCTCAAAGTTTACCTGGCATTGGTCTGTGTCAGACCCGGGCCTTGGTGTGTAACTTTGACCTTTGTGAGTTTGTTGAGGTCGGAAAGGTTTTGGAGGCCTGGTTAACCACTCATTTGGAGGCTTATCGGAGCCTGAAAATACACAGTCTGAAGCTTCGTTCAGCTCCATGGGCAGTGATTTTGTCTCCATAGCCAAGAGAGTAACGGGCTCTGCTTTCTTAGCCAAAGTTTGTCGTTGTTTGGCAAAACCTTTTACAGCAAGTTCACGAAGCTGTCGGCTAGTCAAAGTGTTTGGACAAGCTAAGACGCCAAGGTGATGACTGGTGGTAGGGTGGAGGTTCTGGACGAACAGCGTTTTGAAGTTCAAGTCCTCCTCCATTTCTGGTTCATTTCGGAAACCAAAGTAAGCTTCGCGTAAGCGGTTGTAATACTGTTGGGGAGATTCTGATCTCCCTTGTTTAATAGACAGAGCAGCAGAAAGGCCTGTCGGGGTCAAATGATCAGAAAACTTCGATTAATGCTTGGCAGAGCAAGTCATAATTATTTCTGACATGATAAGGCTGTCGTTCAAGGAAACTGCTAACCTCTCGACTTGACGTTGCCTTAATAAGGTAGATTTTGTCATCAATGGTTGCACCTGGAAATTTCCGCAGGTAAAAGTCAATGTCTTTCAAGTAGGTGCAGGTGTCAGTAGCACCTTGGTGCTCAGGTTCAAAGCGTGCTATGTTGCGAGCAATTTTGTCAAGATCCCTGTCTAAAGGGAGATGGTAAGAAGCCAGCATGAGGAGGAGAGTAGGACTCTTGGCTTAAGGATGACCTCTCAGGGTCAAGCAGGGTCCTGTCATGATGCTGAGAGAGATACTTAAGAGTTGGTTTGGAAGGAAGTGATGGCGTTCTCTCAGGAGGCTGATCACCTATCATTTCTTCAAGAAAAGTCTGCTCCATGCGTTCTCTTTGGGCTCGACCTGACTGGAGGGAGCATTGTAACTCTCTTTGGGCATCTTCAAGCTCTTTGTCTGTCTTTTCTCGCTGTTCTTGACAAAGAATTAACTGTCTTTGAGCTATCTGGAGCTGGTGCTGTAAGGTAGAAGTTTGTTTCTCCTTACTTTCAAGAGCTTCAGCATGCACTTTGACCAGTGCTTTCAAAGCTTTTACATCTTCTGTTGCTTGCTCTAGCAGGGATTCTGACTGTATCAGATCCTCTGTGGTCTTAGCAAGCTGCTTATTGGCTTTGTCAAGTTCTTTCTCTCTTTGGTTAAGAGTTTCATCAAGTCTTTCAATCTTGTCTTTGAGATCAAGATTTCCTTCATGACTTATCAGTGAGGGGAGCTTTGACGCTTCACATCTGGCACTGTGTTTTTCTAAAACACTTAGAGACTTCTGAGTCTCTACTAGCATCTTTTTCAGAGTGCTGTTTTCTTCCTTTTGTGTCTTTATCTTTGCTAAGGCGCATTCCAATAAATAGTCTTTATACTCAAGCTGAGAAGACATCACAACAGACATGCGTCTAGTGAGCTCTTTGTCACGAAGTGTCGTGGTTAAGGCTGTTTCCAGTAGGTCAGCCATTGCATCCTCCGGATTGGAGGGTTTGGCCTTTTGAATCTTAGTCATGTACTGAGGTATCAGCTGACTAGTCAAGTTTGCCAACACTGTGGTTATGTCCCTCAGGGGGTCTCCCTGGCTGGACTCTTTCGTGTTAGGCATGTTTGGTTTTGGTAAAGAGGTGCAGGTGGTTGGTTGATGAGTTTGAGTTGACTTGAAATGAAAGGAAGAAGCAAAGTATCAAATTAAGTGCTTGATAAAGAGGAAGAGCCTATCTGAGTAGATATCTAATGGAGAGAAAAATAACAAAGTTAAATTCATTTCAATGAAAATTGAAATAAAACAAGTTTGTCTCCGTGTTGCAGAGATCAGCAAAGCTTAAATAAACTGCCTGATGCAGTTGGATGAATTTGAAAAATCAACGAAATTGTCAATTTAAGGAATTAACTCTGAAGTTAATTCACAAATTGCAGTAAATCCAAAGGTTCGAATACCAAATCTATCTGGAATGTTAAAATAAATTTCAAATATTAATTAATTTGTTCATTAATTAATTCATCTTATGAGGAGGGTTAATACATTCATGTATTATAGGGAACAGTAAAACTGCTCAATGGTGTGATAAGTAACAACAAGATCAGGTGATTGATTCAAGGAGTTACTTCATCAATACATTATGGAGGCTCTTATAACAAAGATAAAAATCAAAAATCATTGATCAATGATTTAGAATAAGCACATCAAACTTTATCAACCAAGTCAATCACTTGAATTATGTCTGTAGAGTGTTACACACTGACTACAGGGAGGCAGTACAGCTGGCTGATACTGCAGGCAGGTGATAACAGTGTTAGCTCAATACCAAAAGCAACCATGTGGGGCAGTATGGAGTTGGGAGAACTGCACAAGCTCAACACAAGTGGAGAAGAAGAAGGAAAGAGGAAACAGTCATCCAACTAGCCTCTTGTGGTTTTCGTGGTGTTGGGAAGTCTGAAGGAAGGGGCCTTTAGGCTCTGCCTCCTTGAAGGGCCTTATCTGCTTAAGGCCAAATGGTCAGTCTCTCCACTGACAACAAAGGGTTAACATTTCACAGCAGGCTGCCCTCAAACATAGAACTTTACACAATCTGCTCAGGCAGATTAGTTCAATAAAATCATTTACAGGAACAAGAATCAAAGTGACAAATCCCTCAACAGCAGATTCAACTGCAGACTTTAAAATCACAAATGCGGCGATTTTTGAACACAAATTTTGTCTGAATTCAATCAAACAACAACCTCCCACTGTTACAGTGGTTTCCTGTGACAGGTAGCTAATCTGTCAGGGGAAAGGAGGAAATCTGAATCCCATATAGTTACTAGAACCTCGTAGCAGACTACAGAGACTTCAGGGGCTTGAAACCACAGCTCGGAGCATCGCGAACACTTGGTTCAGCCAAAGGCCTTAAATACAAGCGTACGGCGACGCAACAATCGTGCACTTAAATATTGGACAGTCTAGACAGAGCAGAGAGTCAGTCTCACTGCCACTCAGAACAACATTTCACGCTGTCCAGCTCAAACACAGACTACAGGCATGTAGTACAAAAGTGTGTGAAACACAGAGCATAAAGGTTTTATGCATAGATCAGGAAAACATCAGAACTTAGTCAAGCAACTTCAGCAAGCATAGCATTGATTGTGATTAAGTCTAAAATAGCCTGGAAATAAGTTTCTCTCATCAATTTGGAAGGCTAAGTTTTAGGTTGTCTGTTAGTATCCAGAAGTTTTGTTTGAAATGCCTCACACGGGGCACCAAAATATATGTAGCGATTTGAAATGGGCCTCACAAGGCCGCACCAAAATAATACTGTAGCGATTGTAATTTATAATAAATGTCTGAAGATTAATAATCTCAAATTATGACATTTATGCACTCGTTGAAAGGGGCACCACCCACCCTTAATGGTGGGAAAATAAAGAAAACAAAAGTTTAATTCAGAAATCAAACATCAAGTCAGTTTTAATTAATCAGTCTCATATCTTAAGCCGAAATTCTCATTTCAGGGACTCCGCTTCTGGAAGAACACTAACAGACATAAAACTTAGAAAAATTATGATCTGTTTATTACAGGATAAATGATGGTACAACATACATGCAATAAATGATGATAAGATAATGAGGATAAAATAATAGGTGAATAAATAAAGATTCTGAGTCAGGCTAGGAGCACTAAAGTTAATGATAGTGAGTGAATATGCGCTAACATATTAACCTACACTAACTTTGATGTCGAGATAAACTCGGATGTGGATTTGGAGGAATCTAAGATCACCAGAATAAGTGGATATCTGAGTTATGAACGCATGACACAGCACCAGCCCTCTTTGGAGCTCTGGAGGTTTGCATACTTAAGTGAGACTGGTCCTTGGAGAAGATGGAGCAGGTTCCGAAGGTCCGGGGCTACTGGCGGTTCGAGCGGTTCAGCTCAGAAGACGACTGAAGTCAGCCGAAGGATGAGCCAGGAGTTGCAGCACTCGGGCCCGAAGCAAAGCCAGCGCCTGTGGATCCTGTGGATGCTCGTTTGGGTACTTCTTTGGTCTCACTCAAAAACTCAAAAGAGGATGACCTGGGCCTGCTGGGTTGCGTTCAGAGGTGACTTTGAATCACGCAGATCACTCAGATAAACGAGGCTCGAAGAGTAGAGAAAACTTTCAAAAATGGCTTCGCGAAATTAAAGAAAAATCAATCAAAGGCTTAATCTTGAATTGCTATGCGCACAAAAAGTTGAAGTTTCAAAACTTGAACTAAGACGATGTTAAAGAAAAATCATTTATCCTGTAATAAACAGATCATTATTTTCCAAGTTCTTGCCTGTTAGTGTTCTTCCAGAAGTGGAGTCCCTGAAATGAGAATTTCGACTTAAGATATGAGACTGATTAATTAAAACTGACTTGATGTTTGATTTCTGAATTAAACTTTTGTTTTCTTTATTTTCCCACCAGTGAGGCTCATTTCAAATCGCTACAAATGGTATTAATTATGTGAATTGTGCAGGTGATTGTTCTGGTTGAAAATGCCCATGAAAAATATTGCCCATATATACAAATAAACTGTTTTGGTATGGACCACAGACTGAAACCCTCTGAATTTACAGTAAAATATTACACTTATTTAACAGTAAAAAACAGTGATTCAAGTTCAGAGAACCCCAGACTTAACAGATTAGTAGTGGCATCAATGGTGAGTTTATGAAGGATGTACTGGACAACAGTGTTCATGTAAAGCTCTTTTATGTTCTATTACACAGCACAATCTCTAGCCTCACTTTAGGTTGTCAGTGTAGCCAAACTATGCAGATGTTAAATGCAGAATAAACAGAGTACTCACAGTTTGTACAGCAAATGTTGACATTTAAACTATTACTTTACACCTATTTCAGCTCTGTAAAAACTTGACCTAAATCGTCAGTGCTTGTGAAGAGTACAATTGTGAAGCTAATTGTAAAAACTCTTGCCCCATATCAGACATTTGCTGAATACCTTTATTGTGTTGAGGTAATGAATCAGCTGTGGCTCTGATTTTTATGATGGGTAATGATTTGATGCTTATAACACTAAACTTTTGTGTATAGGTTTAAAATCAACTACTGGTCTCTTCACGTTGTCCCCAGTTTGCTGCTCAGGGTTCAAATGAGTGATAGTCAGTGTCCTTCCATGCATCCGGTTGACACATCACTGCTTTGTGTTTTTCACTCTTCTGTATGAACTCAAGAGAAATGAGAGAAACTTCTGGAGAACAGCAGGTTCTAAACTTCTCAATTAACCCTGGTATCAAAATCTTTCCTCAGACAAAGTTATTCAGGTTGTTTTTTGCTCCGTTCTAATATGTAGTTTGTAGTTTAAAGTGAACCCTTTGACTGAGTCTACATACTCAGGTGCTGAAAGTTCTTTTCTCATGACTAGCTGACTAAATATTTGCATAAAGGAGCAGGTGAACTGCTGTACACAATGGAGCATACAGAAGATAATGCCAACCCCTGATTGTGATGGTTACAGTTTACAGAGTTGCAACAGAATTTAAAGTTTTCTTGTTCTTATCCTCTTAGCTACACATCAAATAAAGGATTTCTGTGGCATATTGGCCTCTTGTCTTATCTTTATAACGTTGTGATTACAGGTGCAGGAGAATTCCCCAGGTCACCGTGCAGGACTTGAGCCATTCTTTGATTTCATCATTTCCATCAGTGACACTCGTCTGGTAAGTTTACTTGAATGGCAACATTAAACTTGCTGCAGCCACTGAACCTGCTCCAGTAGATCTCAAACATCATATGTTGTTAATTATGTTAATGATTTGATCTTGCATAGAACAAGGACAACGACACACTAAAAGAGCTGCTGAAGATGAATGTGGAGAGGCCTGTTCAAATGCTGCTGTACAGCAGCAAGACCCTGGAAGTGAGAGAGACCACCGTCACACCCAGCAATATGTGGGGTGGGCAGGGACTCCTGGGAGTCAGCATTCGTTTCTGCAGCTTTGAAGGAGCCAATGAAAATGTCTGGCATGTCCTGGTGAGTGTTGACTCAGTGGGAGGATTGGGACATGGACACTGTTTAGAGATCATATATGATTTTCAGTGGTGAAAGAAGTTTTCATATCATTGTGAAAGTTTTTTTCTTTCTAAATTACTACTTAGGAGTAGCAAAATATAAATAATAATGATGGAAGTTGGTGAGAGATAGAGAAGTACAGTAAATGAGACGTAACAAAGGCTGACATATTAAAGTTTACATCTTCACAGTCTGCATCACCTTGTAAGACTGAAAAAAACATGTTTGGTTCCAGGAAGTGGAGCCAAACTCACCAGCAGCCCTGGCTGGTTTGAGGGCTCACACAGACTACATCATTGGAGCAGACATGGTCATGAGCGAGGTACCATCTTTGTAGATAAGTCCCTAAGTCTGCCTTACAGATGGCAACAGGTCCACCTTCAGTTTGTCTCTGCTTTTCCGACAGAGTGAAGATCTGTTCTCTATCGTTGAGACCTATGAGGGGAAAGAGCTGAAGCTTTATGTTTACAACACAGACACAGACAACTGCAGAGAAGTGCTCATCACTCCAAACTGTGACTGGGGTGGAGAGGGCAGGTACAGCAGCGTGGAAACCATGAAATCTTGATATGATCTTGTTTGTTTTCAGTTTTGAAAATGCCAGCCCTTAGAAAGAGTATTTGAGTATTCGCTGACCCACAAGTTTTGATACATGACTAAAGATTTATAAAAGTAATCACAGATAGCAAAGATCATCAATAGAAGCTCGCTGTCTTTCTGTGTCTACTAAAATGATTGGTAGTTCATCACAACTTTTGAACTGGGATCACTAGTTAATTGTTTTGTTTGTTTTTGCATTTTTTTGCACTTAAGTTGTATTTTCATAAAATGCAACGTTGTTAGGATTGCTGCTTTAAATGCAATTACTGCCTTTTTCTTTCATTCACAGTAGTACATTAGAATTAAGTTTGAAAAGTAGACAAACTTTTTTACTTATTGGCCTTTGTCTAAATGCAAATATCTTAATACGTGTAAGTGGGGTTGCTGGTTTAGCTCACTTGGTACAGCAGGTGCTCCATATACAGAGGCTATAATCCTCTTCACTCATCTTTCAGCCTTTACCTCTCACAGTGCTCCTCTATCTGTGTGCTTTCAGTCTAGGATGTGGGATCGGTTATGGCTACCTGCACAGGATACCAACAGTGCCGTTTACGAAGGGAAAGAGAGTCAGTTTCCCCTCGAGGACCCCCAATGAACCAGCTCCTCCATCTAAAGATGGTTTTACAGAGGTACACCACCAATCACAAAAACACACTTCCACCTGCATAAGGAAAAAAAAAAGTCTGTTTCAGGTTTCACTCATGAAGTGATTTTGCCCCCAGGTCCATCTCTCTGCTGTTGTCCCAACTGTTCCAGTTGCTGTTTCTTCTTCTTCTCCTGAATCGACTGGGTTAGAGCAGTCTCTCAGTGGATTGTCTGTCAACTCTGACCTAACCTCGGTTGTTAGCAGTCTACAGACAGGTAAACTGTTATTTCAATAAAGCTGAAAAATGTGTTAAATTTTGTATTTCCGTTTAGACTCAGAGATGTGCTCAAACCAAAACACCTTGAAAATAACTAATCAAATTTGTTTCAGGAGCTCCTCCTCTTCCACCGCTTTCACAAGCCCCCTCCTCACATAGTGCTCCCCCAGCTGCTGCCCCAATCCCAGGTTAGTAATAGTTAGTTTTTACTGCTGGTCCTCTGAGAGACAAAATTATACATTACCCTGTTAACCCAGCTTTGTCTAACTCAGGTTTAATGCCCTTACCTGGAAGCCTTCCACCTCTTCCTGTCATTCCAAATCTTAATTTCGTTTTGCCTGAGATGAACCATGTGCTACCACCTGGAGCAACTGGATTACAACATGCAGGTATTGTTTTGATTTCTAAAGTACTTATGACTATTCTTGAAAGATCTGGTGTTACTTTTCCTGCTGCCAGAAGATCATTTTAGTTTTTTATCGTGCAGCATATAAAAAAATGTGTGCAATTTGTGAATATTAAATCAAAATTAGGTGGTTTTCTTTCAAGCATTGCTCATTCGAAATGTGTGGTTGTGAGAGTAGACACCTCTAGATAGAGGGTTACAGTTTTTCTGTGATTTGCTCTACAGGTGGTCCACCCCTCGCCCTGCATGGTGGGGTACCTGGTTTAACTTTGCCCCCATCAGACTACATTCTTCCCCCCATCACTGCAAATGCTGCTCCTGCTGTTACAGAAGATATCACATCTCTCTCCACCACGACCCACACGAGTAATTCACTGACCAGTGTCCCCATCTCATCATCAACAACCACCAGTGAATCCATAAATATCACAATGACAGCAGACTCCTCTTAGCAGAGAGATCACTAAGTTGCCATCAACCTCTGAAGTCTTAACTCAGAAGAGCCAGTTTATTAAGCTGCACGGCTACACTGACATTTTTTCCGTATGATGTTGGCATTTTAAAAGCTACTTTGCTGCTCTTTTCACACGCAGCAAACCAAAGTTTTCTCGTGAATGTGTGACCATGTGCTGCTTTCCTACATCTTAGGTAAAGTTTAATTCAGCAGACTTCAAACATACACTAGGTTGAGACGTGTGCAGGGTTGTAGTTTACTTTTAAAGTGTAAGCTTGCATCTTTTATTTTATCTGCTAAAGAGCCATTGAAAAGTTCGAGTTGGATTTGCTTTTTTGAACTACTGCTACATTTCCTTCAACTGGGTGAGTGAATGCCCTAATTTTATCCATTAAAAGTGAGAGCCAGTTTGGGGCAATCTGCAGATTTTTCTAGGAGAAGAAATGACCTGATGTTGTTGTAGTTATTGTTCAGATGGAGGCTGTATTTGTATTAACACATTTACTAAGAAATACATTATAATGCAGCTTGGTCTCTAAATATCAAAAGGAACAAAAAAAAGTACTGTGGCACCTCTACAGTAGCCTTTGAGTAGCTCTGTAAACTACTTGAGGTCAGGGGTCAAGACAGGTTGTGCCACTGGGTATTGGCTTTTGAGGAAGCAGGTGTTCTTTGTGAATCATTGTAGGCATTAAAACTATTATCAGGTTATGGTTTTGTACAAAAATATTTGTAAATTTCCTTGATTAAACCACTGTATTTTATTTATCTTAGCTTGTTTTGTTTTTATTGCACAACTTCAAAATGATTTTGCTGTCCACATCCTCCTCACTACTTGTTTCAACACAATACCAAACACAGCCAATGGGTGTCAGTATAATGTCAGAAAAAGAGACAATTGCTGAAAAGGTTGCACCTTACATTTTCATGGTATTACCAGGTGATTTCTACCAGTTCTTCACTTCAGAATAAACAGGCTTGTATTTTCTTTCGCACCATTCAACTGTGAGAGCAAAGTGTTTCCTGGCATTTATTATTCAGTCTGAGCAGAACTGCACAATTTGAAGCCCCAGAGGAACATACAGCCCTTGAAAAAGTAAGAGCGTCAAAGCAGCATAATGAAACAATCCAGGAAACTATTTGAACATGGGGAAATTTTAACTTTGTACATGTTACTGCTGCAGTTCAAATTTTGAAAATTCACCTGTACAGCATATACACTTTCCAATTTATGTTAATTAATATTCCTGCATAGGATTTTATACATTGTCATTTTTCTACATTTGGTTACTTTGTGCATTAAACTTAAGTATGCTGCCCCACCCTACATCACTAGTTGCCACTTGTATGCTACACATTACATTCTCATGGCTACGTAACTCAATTTAAAGCCTAACACTTGTGAAAAACAAAACATTTATCCAAATCAATAGTGAAATCTTTGTAGTTCTACATAACTGCCCTCTCCTCACAGTAAATTAACGTCTAGCAGCTGAATCATTTGCACCCTGGCAGGACCATGTTATTCATCTAAACAGCCGGCTGCCATGTCTCCCCTCGGCCCTTTAAGGCTTTATCCTTCTGCAACATCAGAGCAGAGTGTCCAGTCACATTTTCTTCAAGGTACTTTGTCAGTTTCAGTGCTTCTGTCGGACCCTCGAAGGACCCTTTCACCCATGTCCTTTTAAAAAAAACATCCTTTCACTGTCCCTCTATTGATCAAGCCCTGGTGATCAAGACAAAGCCTGACACAGGTCAGGGGAGACTCAGCTCTGATCTCCTCCCCAGTGTCCTGCTCCTCCTGTTTCTGACTGTTCCTTCTCCCATGAGCTTGAGGTTTAAGCAGGCACAGGAAGCCACTTGGTCAGTTTGCCTTTTTCTTTTCTTTTTTTTGCCATCACAGTACAAGGCTGTCAGTATGAGATGATACTGGACGAGGCGAGTCCTGAGCCAGCAGCACTCATCTGCAGGTTTCCAGAAGAGCTAGATCTCCGCATGTGAGGGAGCAGGTAGGGGTCACTTCCCATTTGGTGAACGTCAACCCTGTCTTCCTTCCTGTATGCCAGGCACCGTCTTATGAAGGCCTGGAGGAGAGAGGGGTTGTATGAACAAGTGCTTGTCAATAGAGCTGTAAGATTCCTTATAACGCAACTTTTAATATGCATGGAGGTTCATCTACCTTTGCTTCATTGCTAGAAACAGGCTTGACTGGGAACTGGACATCAGTAGCTTTCAGTATGGTGTTCTCCTGCAGAATGTCCTGTTGTGACTGATTGTGGCCAAAAGGCTAAAAAAGGAGAAGGCAGTGCTTAATAATAGTTCAATAAATAACCAAAAATGGCTGGAGTCCTTCCTTCCTTCCTTACCTTCCTTCCGTAAAGACACTGAAAAAAGATGACACCCACAGACCACACGTCTACCTTGTTGGAGATCTTTGGAGGCTCTTTTCCAACCACAAAACATTCAGGGGGCAGATACCTGAGGGGAAAAAAGCTGTTAGGTTTCAAGAGCTGCATGTTGTTTCAGCATTTCAGCACCAAATGCTACTTCACTGTAATTTTACAGTTTGTGTTTGTGTGAGGACTAGCTGTATGTTTATGTGGATGTTTTTTTTCCTCACCAATAGGTCCCTGCACCCTGCGAGGTCAAATCCATCCCATCGACGCCATAGTTGTCGTCATCCATGATCTTGGACAAACCAAAGTCGGTGATTTTGATTTCTCCACAGGCTGTACCATCCACCAACAGGATATTGCCTTGAAATCAACATAAAGTAGGTTACTACAGGAGAAGCACAGGAGCACCATCACTTGGACATGAAACTTGTTCAAAAGGGCATGTTTACCTGGCTTAAGGTCGTAGTGGATAATGGGAGGTTTGATTTCATTCAGGTATTTTAGTGCGTTTACTATCTGCATGACTATGGACCGTGCCTCCTTCTCGGACATTAGCTTATGCTGCTTCAAGTAGAAATCTAAGTCGTTGCCTTCGCAGTACTCCATGACAGTGCAAAACCTGTTGAATAGGAAGAGGAGACTTACTCAGAGTTATGGTCCACATCTAACAGAAACTAAACAAAAGAGGAGGAACCAGGAAGAACTCATCAGTATACGAACGTGTCTGTGTCCAGTGAGAAGTAGTCGTACAGCTTCACGATTCGGGGGTGGTCCAGCTCTTTGTGTATTCTGTACTCTCGACATGCATGCCTGTGGAGAGGAAGAGGGTAATTATGCCTCTTTTAGCAACTAAAGCATGAAGGTGCAGGTGCTACATTCTGCAGTGACAGCTCTGCAAGGGGGCTTATGGGGAGGAATAACAATACGCTGGGATAAGGGACACCAGAGCAGCATGTCTTCTATACTGCAGGGAATGTTACATATTTAAACATGAGCAGACATACTTGTGGTAGTTCTCCTTCTTCTCTTCTCGCCAGTTTTTGTTGAGTTGGTGGATCTTCACAGCAGCATATCGTTGTTCAATCAAGTCAAAAGCCTGTAAAAAAATACACACACTGAGTTGGCTTATATTTGAAAAACAAAACTTGGAAAAGGTGCAACTTTATTTATTGCCGTACCTTGTAAACTTCACTAAAGCCCCCTCTTCCTAGAAGGTGTAGGAGCAGATATCGTTCATTCAACGTTGGGTGATCTTTAAACCTTTGGATGAGATTAACAGAGAGAACAGAACAGGAAAGTCTGTTTTATTTAGCTGGCAGATACATATTATTACACCACTGCAGTTTAGGATATTCGCCCTAGTGTACACGTTCTACTGTCAATGCAGACAGAGTTGAAGAAACGGATTCAGACTCACTGCGAGCTGTCCTCGTTATTTATTCTCTTCAGCTCCCGAATGTGAAGGTTGCGTACTCTCTCCAGACGCTCCAGCTCCGCCTGGATCTCAGCTTCTTCCTATAAATGATTCAAGCACACAAACACACAAACGCACACAAGGAACTTCAGAGTGACGGCTACAAAGAGAGGAGCTCATCAAAACTCACTTGCACACAGCTGACTAGTTCTGTATCAAATATTTACGGATGACTCGGTACAGAATCTGTCAGATGCTGCTTGTGATGCTTATTCATCAAGAAAACAATGAGTACATCAAATAACTAAAGGCTCATCCCATCAAAAGATGTACAAAAGAAACAGTGTTTCAACTGGAGAATCAATGTTCAATTATCTAAATAATAAAGAGATTAAATAATTCAGTCCCTCCAATTAGGGCTGACCTCTAAACTGTGCAAGTGCTCTTTACCCTTTTGGAAATCGAGGCCTGGATTAATTGGTTGACTTTTGAAATTAATTACATGAATCAAAGGTTCAGTGCAGCACAGAAAGACAATTTCCCACCCAAGAAATAAAAATGATTCAATAAATTGCAGCTGTAGATTCAGCTCTGTGCAAACCTTCTTGAGATGTCCGAGCCGCAGTTTGAAGATCTCTTCCTGTTCATGGTACTCTGCTAGTGTCAGCCTTTCCACAATGAGAGAGAGAGAAAAAGTGTTGGTTTTGGTCACAGCATCTCCATGTTGATTTAGTTTCTCCTCTGTAACCCTGTTGGACTTACAGCTGAGGTAGGCTGGGTTTTAGAAAGGGATCACTCTCTGCTCCGTTCACTGCCTTGGTTTTGCGTTGCTTTGGTTCTGAGTTTGTGGTTGGTGCTTGGGAGTTGGTGGAGGACGGAGGTTTCCTCTTGGCTAGAAGTTTTCTCTGTCTCTCAATGTCTTCTCTCTGTTGGTTTATCCACTCTTGCTGTCTGCATACAGAAACAAGCAGATTAGTAGAGAGCATTTAATTTTGTTTTTGTGATAGACAGTATCATTACTTTGAGTGAAAAATATACAAAAGCCTGAGGTGAAATTGTGCATTTCCAACACAACAAACAAAGATTAAGTTATTCGATAAAGTTGACTCTGTGCTTTACTACTCCAAAAATTAAAACGAGTTGACAAGTCTGCACCTCTAAAGTTTATGAAAATTGTTCCCCCATTACTACTGTGTCCCAGATTTTTCTTTTGTTTTTCCCCAAGTATAGGTGACGAAGTATGAGCTAAAACTATGATTCAAATGTAAAGTGAAAGACTCATGTGGGCTTTTACTAAAAAACAGCAACATGAAATTGACATGATAAATGAGAGACAGTCTCCCTTAGAGCCTCTTACTTCACTAGGTTTTGGAAGGCATAACCATCAGTCCACTGCTCTGTGAATGAGGCTCCATGTCTCACTGTAGTGAAATGTCCTAAACGAAGTCGATCCTGCATGCTTTTCTCCCGACAAGCCTGCTTCTCCTGGGTGCTCTGAAGAGGAATACAAAACAATAAATTGCATGAGGATTTGCAGACGCACAAAAATGTATATCAATGCACAAAGGGTGAAGAAAATGATTTACCTTTTCTATGAGCAACTTCTTGCTCATGGTGATGCATTTATTCAAGCGTTCCTTGTACTTTTCAAGTAATTTTTGTTGTTCATCTATCTGTCTCCTGAGATCACAGTTTGCCTACAGAGCAGAAAAACAAAACATATGAGGAGGCTACACACACTTTATCACTCTCTTACTTTGCCAAAGGCTGTTTCATTTGTTTTGTAGAGTCGAAGGAGAGTGATAACCCAACAATGTGCAGATTTTTGTCCTTACCCTTAGTAGATCATCTATTCTGCCCTCCTTCTTCTCAAGGTCTAGATTCTTAGTGCTTTCAAGGGCAGCCAGTTTCAGCACTGTAAGGTCAGTCTAGAGTGTAAAACAACAACAAAAGTTGTTTTAAACCTTCAATCTCAAAACATATTTGAGAGTGATCATGGCGAGCCTGTGTTTTCTGAAATATCTGCAATCCCCTCACCTGAACAAATTTGGCTGCTTGTTGCTTTGGATGCGTCATGTGGTCCCCAAAAGACAGACTAGTAGGAGATGAGCTATTTTGTCTAACCTGTGGCAGGATGGAGAGCACTTCTTTGACAGGGCTGCAGCAAATGGAACGGCAAAAAATGCTTTGAGTGCAAATGGTGGCATAACTTACAGCTGTGCCCTGAGCGGAGTGGGAATGTGAGTTCTGGGGCGAACGAATCACTGGTGGGAGACCTCTCACAGGACTGGAGCCATTTCCTCCCTGGAACTAAAAATTCATTAATCAACACTGGATAACAGCAGACCTCAGAGAGAGTGCCTTACTGTTATCTTAGGGGACAACTGATCAAGACTTAAAAATTAACATCAATTAATTCAGCATCAAACTGCAAACTCACATCAAAGTAATCGCTGATCTTGGGTCCGCGCACAGTTGATTTCCCTGATGAAGGGGAAAAGGAGAAAAGGGGTTCAGTAATCTATTAAATTTGTGAAGACACACTGGAGAACAAAGTGGATATATACCCAGTTCAACACAGGGACACTCACCTTGGCTGCTCTCTGACTGGATATCAGGTTTCCTTTTTCGGCCTCTGGTTTCAGACTGTTTTTTCTCTGGGGTCTGAAAGTTTATTTAACAATATTTTAAACATCAATTGCTGTACTAGATTTTCTGTACCAACACTGAATCAAATGGCCATTTATAATTTGAAAGACTCTCGCCTTAACGACAACAGACTCTGCTTATAATTCTTGTCACAGGTATCACTGCACTTTCTTTACCGAAGCCTGTGAAGGCCTTCTTTTTTTAGGATAACTTTTATTCTATGTTCTCTGACACTTACCGAGTACGCTGGAGAGCTGCCTCTTTTCACATCCGACCCCTTGCAAAGTGAGAAAGAAATGTTTTTCAATTACAGATAGATGCGTGTTGTCTTACTGTCCATTCTTTTTGCCAAAGCACAGTCTATTTCTAATAAAATGTGCTGTTATACATTTTTGATATATGTGCGTCTGAAAAGGAAAAAGGACAGAGCACAGACGATAAGAGAGGCTGTAGCAATCACAAGTGTGAAACGGCATTAACAAGCTCACTGCTGGCTAAAGAGTGACATCATTTGGTATCATGATAAAACATTAGGCCAAGTCATAACATTAAATATATAAAGGCTTAAAAAAGCTGAATGGTATTTTGGATCTGCAGCCTGTGCTATCATGTAGCCTAAGCCCGGATCCATTTTTTATTAATAGCACAATGTAAAAACACTCCTCTTCAAGTGAAAGTCTGGCATTAAAGCGTGCGACTTACCATCTGAATGCAGTCAAAGCTCTTAAAAGTGAACTAGGAAATTGATGCATCATCCTTTTCTTTATTATTGTTACTTATGATTTTTGTGGATATTATCAAAGTTTTTTTTTTTTCCCGTTGTCAATGGCCCTTATTTTTATTTTAGCTGTTTAAATTGTTCAGACCGTAAAAGTTTTAGAGATTTTACAATTCTGTACTTAAGATTTTAAATGTCTGTCCTTTTATACATATGATGCAGACATCAAATCATGTGCAGTCATTTTTCACTAATGATGATCTCAAGGTCACCCAAGTTAAAAACAAAACACCAATGTAAAGATAAATAGATACATGTGTTGTTATCGTCTGTACCTCTGATTCCTTGTCACTGGAGGACCCCAGACTTCCAAAACTATGATTTGAACATTCATTGTTGGTCAAACCCTAAAAAAAGAAAAACATGTCTAGGTAAGACCTGTATGGCTCCTCAATGAGTGTTTTCACTGGAGAATTTTCAGCACTTACTTCACTTCATATTTACTTACTTTGGTTCCCCCACTTGTGCTGCCAGTACTGCCCCCTGTGCTGCCGCTGACCCCACCCATGAAGCGGGCCTCCAGCAGCTCTTGTCTGCGGGGGTCCAGGCTGTGCAGCTCCTCCATGGTGCCTGCAAGGGTAAGCCACATTTCAGACCGTGTGTCAAGTATTCAAAGATCAGCTTAACTGCAACCTTTCAATACCCACTCAAGAGCAGGTGTCACAGCAGATAGAGGAGTTATGCTAAATGCAACATATCCTGACAGGTGATTCAAAGTCCAGACCACAATATCAGACAAGACCAAATTTATGCCCCATCCCCAGTGGCAGGACAGGTTTCACTCTACATCTGTGCAGCGCTGAGGGGATGAGCAGGCTTTTCATTGCGTTACTCTTGTTACCCAAACCAGATCTAGTACTGGCAGCTTTATATCACCTATTCAAAAGAATTACAGAGTGAACAAAATAGTAACTGCTGCTGGAAAGGCAAAATTGACGTTGATAAGAAACCAGCATTTCTGTGCAACTGACATTATTGTCCTTTGAGTCCGAGAGCAATGTTTCGACTGCAAGGCATTGATGAATAATGCGCTGCTGTGGGACTGTTATGTGAGCTCCCTTGGTTTCAGTGTTGCTGCACTCTCAGAGGGATCTGCTCACTAAAGCTGTGATAGAATGAAGCGCCCATTTTGACTCTGTATTCGAGGAAAAGGGAGAATATTGAAATAATAATTTTATCAACGCAAATAATAAAATAACAGATACAAACAGAACTGAAGTGAGGGTCAAATTTAGGTTAAAATGATGGATTTTGCACCGAATGTTGACATAATAAATATCAGCATGTATTTAAAACCAAAAGAAGAGTCAATCAAGACAGCAGCATGTGCCGTTTATCTTCAGTTTAAAAGAAATATTGCAACAGACCAGCAGACTTAAGATACACTAAAGAATGGGTAAATCACAAAATACCATCCAATGCTAGTTTTGACAATGATTAAATGAGGCGGGGGCACAGAGGTCCCAGCTTCCTGGGCATGTATAGAGGTCAAGCCTCACACAGGCAGCCTGGGTTCAATTCCGGCCTTGGGCCTCCTTCTTGCATGTTGCAAGAACAACAAATAAAAACCTAAAGACACATATTAGAAAACAATGAAACCAATCTAATACTGTAATAAAATCTATTGGAGGATTAGTTCATTCGAAGCAGCTGTTATTCAGTCACAGTGTCCAGATACGTCAGGCAGAAGACATTCATAACCCTCACTCTTCGAAATATAGCTAGAAGTTCGACAAGGCAATGACATGCTAATGGTCAAATGAGCAGTTTATCAGCCCCACAAATACAAACTACTGAGGCAGAGGGCAGATTATCAGGCTGGAGTTAATGTATTACTGTCAGGATTACTAAGTCTGGAGACATCTATTTATTTCAAAACAACCACAGGCAGCAAAAGATGAAAAGTCATCTAACTGTAGTTATTCATCATACTTGGATGTTTTTGGATGATACAGGGGGCAGGAGGAGTACAGAACAGAACCCTTCACTTCAGCTGGCATACAGAACAGAACATTCTCATGATTGTTGCGTGAGCTACAGTCATCAAGAGAAAAGAACCTTATAAAAATGTCAGATTCATTCTTAGCAGCAATTAACTTGATGAGGGACAGGGACAAAGATAAAAAAAAATTGTGGTGTTGTCCAAAAAGGAACAAAAGAGTTATGTTAGTACATCAAAGCACCTCCAATCAATCAGTATTAACCACAGAAAAAAAGGCAGCTAGTTTCAATTATTAGTTTGCCATCAGCAGTTAAATGGGCCAAGCACAGACCTGTTCTTAGCTGTACCTCACAGTATTAAAACTTTAACCAGATATTGATCTAAAGGCAATACAAGATGATGAAATAAACTGCAGAGAAAAGAAAGAAGCACCTAAAAGTTTCAAGGAAATTCAGGAGTTAAATAATTTGGCTGTTTGACAGATGTTTCCACCAATAACTTGTTAAACTGTGATATAACTTTAAGATTGCTTTCTCTGAAAACTAAATGAGCTGTTTAATATTCAGAAATGACTAAACATTACATTTATGAGGTGTGTGCAAGTGGATTAGACTTAAAACAGTACTGGTGTAGGTGACTTACTCTACCTTACCTCATACTAGTAAAGGAAGTCACATTTTTAGATATTTGACAGGAAAATAAACTTTTCCTGTGTCACCTCATGATCACTAGCAACGGTCTTTACCCTTTGAAAGATAGTGTGGGTTGAAATAAAAGTAAACCGTAGAGACCTGAATAACACTTGTAAAGAAGATTTATTTCCTCTCCTTGAGCAACTTAGAGACAATGAAGTGGGCTTGTCAGACTCATTATTAGTCTGTAACTTAGACTCAATTTCACAGTCTTTAGCAGGCATCAATCTTGTAACTACAAATCTGTGATTGTTGGCCTAACATTGGAAAAAAACTATGCATTTACAGAGAGAACATACGGCGGCACTCTATATGTGGTATTTAGATTATCAATCACAAAAACTAACAAACCAAAAGCCTTACTTCCTGTCCAAGCTATACAAAGGAAAGAATGACTTGATAAAACTTTTTTCCCCACTGAGTTTAGTTTAAGAAGGGCTAAAATGCCTATTGTCTTCAACATCAACACAGTTATGTTCATTAGAAGCAGTTGTTATTGTTACAAGTCTATGACTTCACATATTAAAACAATCATCTCTATGGGAAGCCTCAACTTTAAACATCCCCTACTACTGACATGGGGACAATAACTCACACAGAATGATCACAACAGCTCCACAAAACACACACCATCAGCAAAGTGGTGTTTCTCATGGATTTCCCTTTGTTTCTCATTTGAAGGCCACAGTGCATGACTATTATCTATATTCAAGCCCCTGCAAGAACAAGTGGTTGAACCCTTACAACCCTTGCTGTGGATGTCATTTTAACTCTGTGCTGCTCAGCAGTGACCACCTGTTTATGGCAGACACATGGACATTTTTTAAAGAATCCCTTGCATAAAAATGTCAAGCATCACTTCCATATAGGGCTACACACTGGCAAAGCTTTAAAAACTCAGACAAATGTCCCAATTTTGTTAAACTTGTCATGCTGATGTAGGCAGCTACCACTAAATAATGTCAATCACTGCATGCAAACGCTGACAATGCACATGGAGAAGCTACATCAATGTCCCAAGATATGTTTAAGTCTTTCATCACAAACTGCTGATTGTGCAAGAAGATGTGATATACACAATAACTGCACTAGCTTAGACAAAATACTCAATATCAGCAAATTTGATAGCGTTTCTTTAGCCTGCTGGCTGTGTCCTGAGAGCTTTCATTTTAGTGAGGCATGTGGCACTTCAGGCACTCTTTTCTCCAAGTTAGTAAAACCAGAGGGTCAAACAAGGCTACCTTCAATCCCATGCAGTGACAACAATAGCAAAAGCCTTTCTTGTGGACCACAACTACGAGTTATGTCACACAAATAGACCGACATTTAATGTCTTTATCCGAACCGTTAGAGGGATGGTTTACCCCAGTTTCATTCATACTGTAGCTAATACTTCTAGAAATACAAAACTCACAAAGAACTGCTCAAATCTCACTTGTGCAATGTCGGCTAGCAATCCAGCCAAATACAGATAACATGATCAAAAAAAGCTTATTGTGTTTTCTAATGCAACGTTATATTCACGTCTAACAGTAGTTTGACAAGTGTTTGCTAATAACGTCAGCGTGCTTTAAGACAGATGCACCGACCACAGTAGCAACCGTTTCAGCTCTGATCGAGGTTTATCGCAAACATGCACATATTTGTCTTTAGGTTAATGCACTGGCCTGGGCACACAGAGACGGTCCTGTGTCCTCCGTGCTGCTGCTAGCTAGCCAAACAGGCTTCGCTGACTTTGGATCTGATGGGTTACTGTATCGTTAGCTAGCGAGCAGCTTTCGCCACCAAGATTTGCTCGGTCGTTTTCCAACGTTTGTCTTTTGTTGAGCACTAAACGGACAAAACGACCACGCAGAAGAGATATACGCGGCTTAAAATGTTTCACGATACCTTCCTGGGCCTTCACCACTGCCGTGGTATGTTGCTGAAAACACAGTCCGTGTTGGGGACGTGGAGAGCTGGGACCAAAGATGGCGTCCCCTCCAAACTTCCACTACTTTGGACACTCATCAAGCTACTTTTCGTGTGTTGGCACTGCCGCGCACACGGTTTACCCTTCACACGGACTGTGAATTTCACCGACTGATATACCACAGCTTCTTTTACAGGGGTGCAATGACTAAGACTTGGTGAAACCGTCTAATTGTTGTCTCTTTTAGGGCACAAACCTCTTCACACCTCAGCAGTACGTCCTGACTCCAGGGCCACCTCTCCGTCTTCAAGTGGTTGCCTATGAAACGTCACGCATCGTGTGCAAAACTCTTATCGCGAGGGTGATACTTGTTTTCTTCACGTCAATGACCACATGGAGAGAAAAAAACACATTCATTTAAAAGCTCAAATCACACCTGAAGAAAAAATATCTCACAACACTGTGTATGAGTGGAAACTATGACTGTCAAAACTTTTTTGGGTGAAAATCTACAGCAGGTCATGGCCGTTTTCTTTGGTAAGGTACACAATTTAAACAATTTCAAACAAAAAAATGAATTTGGCAAACTAAAAAATGTTGTCAGAGAATTCCACATTTTAACTAAATTTTTTTTCTAAAGGGTTATCAAGATAAAAAAACAAACAAACAAAAAAACAAACAAAAAAAAAAAAAATAGGGGAGAGGGGGTAAGATGAACCATTTTTCATATTTCGGATCACTACATCAAGGCAATCATAGTTTTGTCTCTAACTAGTGTATCTGCATATTTTTCAAGATGTTGTGCATCCCTGCAAACCAACAGAATAAGTGTAAACATAATTGTCTTGATAATATAGCATTCCCCCCCCCCCCCTAAAAAACAGTCACTTCTTGATAATTAAATGTGTATTTTAATCTATTATATGCTATTCAACTGGTACAATAGTTCTTTTTATTATTATTGCATATAACTGTTAAAAAGCTGTTTTGTAAAAAGTCATTTTAACATGAGAATGTCTTTAAGTGATTCAGAACATTCACAGCTGTATACTTGAAAAGAAAAAGTAACACATTTCAACAATCTGAAGTGAAACTCTGATCCTCTCATCAGACTCCTTTACTTTCTCAGTTGTTCCACTGGCTCAACTTTCCCCTGAACTACTATTATGACTTCATTAGTCCTCTATGCTAAAATGGTGGACTTTTATGTTAGGTTTTTGACCTCATGTTGTAGCTCATAGATAACACAATTGATGTATAAAACAAATTTAAAATGATCTTTTTTGGTCTGAACACATGTGCTTCTAACCTTCACAGACTCCATGAATTGATGCCCATCTCCTAAATATTTGGTCACATGATCAATTTCTGTTACTATTTCCAAGCAACAGGGGGTGGCTCAACTTAACTTTTGGCTCAATTTACCCCACTCTCCCCTACTTTGTGATCCCAGATGGTGAGTATAAACTTTAGTATTTTAGAGTTAAAAATCTCTGTACAGATAAAGAAAACCACCATTCAACTTGGAATTTTAAATATCTCACAGTACACAGCAGTGAAAAGGCTTGTTCCCTGTGTGCACACTGAGATACCAAAGTATATAGTATCAGTCCATTCAGACATTCATATTTGGATTGAAAAACACCTTGTGACACTAAGTTTGTTGAAAAAATATTGTTCAAGTTTATTACATACACTTTTGTTATTTTACATTCACTGATGATACAAAAAGAGAACATTTTTATGGCTCAAATGTAAATAAATAAAAGCATAAAAAGGCCATATAAGCTCAGAGTGAGTTATACATGGTTGGTTTTGAAGATGGTGATGGGGGATTCAGATGTCACTTCCTGTACTTGCTCTGCATCCAAACACGACGCATCATCACTTTTTTTCTCCTGTTCACTTGGAGACGTTTGTCCTCCAGATTCTGGACAACTTCCAGTCCAGCCTTAGAAAATATATCATGAACCTCTTCTGTAAAAATAATCATTATTTTGTTAATACATATGCAGACCAAAAGAAGGCAAGAACTTAATCCAGCATGTCAACAAACCTATACACTAAACTCAAAAATCCCTATAAATTCTGACACCTTAAATTGTAAATACCAAAGACAGGATCCATTGGAAGTCAGGGTCCTGTGGGCAGTTTTTTTATTCCATATGGGAAAAATACAGGTTTTATGTCTGAGAAGTACCTTTGGTAAAAAAGTATACACATGTTCCATCTCCACGTGTGTAGAAATTCTCTGATAGGCACCGTCCTGAAGATGGAAAGAAGAGTTTTAGAATTGAATTTAAGCTGTCAGGAAACATTACAGCTAAAATAAAGTGTTACAGCGAATGAGTAAAAGCAGCTAAATGACTTCATTCAAAAGTGAACACCTCACCTTTCTTAAATCTTAGCTGTGAGAAGTCATGTCTCCCGTAGTCACGAAAGAGAAATATCCCGCCATGTTTCAGGTATGAGGATAGTCGATTCACAACTCCTTGAATTCTGAGAATGAAACATAAAAAGAAATTTAAGGACAGGACAGAGGCTCATGAAGATATGAGCAAACATCAACAAAACATTAATGGAGATACATCAATTCTCACCTAAAGATCAAATAACAGAGCTAAACAAAAATAGCTCTTCTAGCAGGGTTTCGAACATCATGTGCATGCTTGTATATGCTGTGCTGCTATTTTACAGCTCACATTTTGTGGCTTTTAATGTCCAATAATTGAGACTTGTTCTAAAATTTAAAAATATTCAGCAGTTTTGGTTGTTCTTGTTTACTTCTTTCAGGGATAAGCACTCTGAAGGAGTCATGCTAGGCTCTAGGCACTTTGCAACAGCATTTTTCACTTGATTGAAAGGTTTTCAACCCAAACAATTAATCAGTTAAGTGAAACAGGATAATAACCTGATTAATCCATCATATAAATGATTATTAGTTGTAAATTTATACAAGGTACTATCAGTTCAAAACTCCACCTCTGCCAACTACAGGAGTAATAACATCTTATTACTTAAGATCCATTTCCCTGACAAAACACAGACACTTCTACTTTAGCAAAACTAACTTTCAGTGAAGGACCCCTGGGGTAGTGGAGGGTGGGGGGTCTGGCAGGTAAGAAATGACATCAAGCTGTCCTTTGTCTAGTGACCTTCACCTACCGGTCTGGATGAATGGAGGAGAGGACAAAGACGGCCAGAATAACATCCAGGCTCTGAGGAGGGAAAGGAAAGGAGGCTGTCTCCTCACAGATGTCATGAACAAAAGCATGACACACAGACTCATTGTAGTCTTGATGGCTCTGGTAAAAGGGAAAAAAAGTTGCAAGTTTCTAATTGGTAGCTAAGGTAGAGGTGACGTTTTTAGTTCAGTCTTTGTATTTCACCCATCTTTTACATTCACTGGTACCAAAATACCTTGGTTTCCTTTTGTGATTTTACCTCTCATCTCTGTCTTTTATGAGTGTATTTTGTCAGGAAAATTACTTGACAAAGTCTTATCAGCCTCCAAGATTCAACCAAAATCAAAATTAGTTTCACATATTTTTAGAGGTGACTCTTAAAGTAAAAAGCTAAGGATAATAAACAGTCATATCCTGTGCAAATATGTCGTCTTAAAATCCCTGATGTATATTTACCTCTTTGGTCTATGCCACAGTTCCTTCAAAGTGAGCCATTTGGACAGATCACATCTAAATTAAGTCCATACTCTGAACAGTTCACGTGAAAGTGGACTTAATCATAATCTGATGTCCACATAATTACATCAGGTACTGAGATACATCCCTGTCAGTATTGCAAGGGTGTTATACAGACCAAGTTGTTTTCAATGAGAACTGATATTAGTCATTATTTCTTTAAACAAATGTATAAAAAGTGATATGTAATATAAAATGCTCTATGACAAAAGCCCACCTTCACCAGCTGAATGGCACATGTGGAGAAGTCGCAGCAGTATAAGAAAGCATCCCTGTCTCTGTGAAACACAACAGACAGTTTAACAAAGAGCTGTGTGATGAAGCCAGTTTCTCTCATTTCAAATGCTGCTGAACATAAAATTTATATGATAAAAATGTTTAGGTTTGTTTAATATGTGTGTTTAACAGGATGGGGCAGGTTTACTAGAGATATGCCATCTATAACTCTTTCCCTTGTCAATAAAATTCCAACGAAAGGCAATTCTATTTGTGGCAAAATGCAGTTTCCTGCTAATTTGGGGGCACTATAAACATTAAAACTGGGAAGAAAATCTGTGTGTTTCCAAAAAGATATGTTCTATGATACAGGCTGCACAGAATATTGAAATTTGAACCTTATTTTCACTGAGGAAAATTATAAAATAAATAGTGCATTTATAGATGTAAAAAAATGTACTTACTTTATGGAATCAACTATGGGAAATACACTGTTCCCCACCCCACATCCAACCTGGAAAGAACGAGATACATTTAGTTGTGGTGAATAATGATAAAGCAATTTTGTTAAAGCTTCTTCCTAATACATTTAGACACAGCTTTATATTAGTACAACAAAAAAAGAGAGAAAAACCTCCAGGATCCTGAAGGAAGCATGCTGGCCAGGAAAAACTGTCTTGTTTTTTTCTGTGGGCGCTCCCCAGCAGGATTCCTTATGATTAGATGTTTCTGTTCTATGATGGTTTGTGGGGCTTTCGTGATGCTGGTGTTTGGTCTCGGTGTCTGTGCTTGACCCAGTAGAATGTGGGTTTGCTGTTTGCTGATCATCCGAATGCCTGCTTGTCATTTGGTCCTTTACATCTGGGGGATGCAATTCTGGGAATTCTAAGAACAGCCACTTGCGATCTTTGAAGAACTTTTCCTGATGTGTCTCATAAAACTCATTCCAGTATCGGGAGGCCTCTGTTTTGAATTTGCCTGTGTGGAGGAGATATATGATTTATGTATTATACTGTCATTACAAGAAACTCCATTTGGAGTAGTAACTTGCCTTGTTCTGTTTGAGGAATTTGTACACAGGAATTTTCTTCTGCCTTCTGTCGTGCGTTTTCTTTATCCTCCTCTGTCCATTGTACATGATCCCTAGTGTATAAAGCAAAACACAACTCCCAAACTGTATCCAAGAAAAGACAGTATAAATCTATGACATATCAATGTTACATTAAGAGTCCAAATCTGGGACACCTACACTCTAACTCCTATCTCCTTAAAATGCATATGGCAAGTGAGACATTAGAGAAGATATCTGACCACATGTTGTGCTTGAAGGTATCATCAGGATTTGTCAGAATCCTTGAACCCAGAGGAGCTGAGGGTCTTCCTCCTGTGCTCTTAAGTCTCCAAGACAGTCTGCTGAAAACTTTGGCCAGTTTGGCCACAGAGAAGAGCTGCGCCTTATGCATTTGCTCTGTAAAAATGAAAGAAACAGCTGAATACAGTTTATGGGACTGATGGTAGCTGTGGGTGATTATTGATGTAGAATAGTCAATTCAATCCAAGAAATCATTTTCATTGTCACAAACATTTTAATATTTTTGCCTGATAAAATGTGTTTTAATACCAGGAACACTTCCAATTAAATATATATTAATTCATGCAACTAAATTAAAATGACCAGAAAACTACAACAAGAAACATGCAATGCAATGATGATAACTGAGGTCAATGATTTTGTACAATTAAGTAAACCTCATGACCTTTCCAACCACTTGTTTTACCACCTACCACAAACTTATACTGTGTGTTCAAACACCTAATCTTTTTGTACAGTAGATATACAAAGTTCAATACATACCACAATGCAAGATTCAGAGGGAAAATATAAATCAGTGTATCTTAGCCCACATCTGGAATATCTACATTTCAATTTTAAAATGCAGCCAAAACACAAGTTATTTGGAATATAATACATTTCAGTCTGTGTATATAAGGTGTTTGTGAAGAGCTGGGAGAAGCCTCAATAAATTATCCAAGTCTATTACACCCAGTCTTTTTTGATGGGATTATGAGAAATGATTAAAGGACATGCATATAGAGAAACTCGATGTTGGGGGATGTTTTCTACACTGTACAAACAGCCGAAGGGGGGCGCTAATGCTCCGTGCTGACCGCTTCGCGCCCTGAATGCTGCACTAGAGGAAGACGGTCATAGAAAACTACAATAATGCAGCAGGACAGTTCAGCTAGCACGGACTGAAAATTAGCACCGCACATGTCAAGGTTTTCCACCATTTGCGGTTTGACTGCTGTGTTTGTTTTGTACTCCCGGACAACTCTCAAATCCAGCTGATGCTGCGTCATGTGAAAAAAGTGCGACTTCGAACGATTTCAGGAGATGTGGAGGTGCTAACAGCAGTAAGCTGTGAACTTTCAGAGCTGACTAAAGCTCACCTTAAATCCAGGAAGGTGGTTCATTGGTCAGGAGAAAATGGAGGTTCTCTCCTAACGTTTCGACACCACCAAGGAGAAAAACCTATCGCCCTTACCTGGCTTTGGCAGTGGTCTTGGGGTCAGCTCAGGTACTGGTCCGTTGTCATGCGTCTACAGTAGATCTCCTCCTGCAGTAACAAAAACCACCTGATGATGGCGCCTCACCAGGGGAAAAGAGCTGTTAACACTGCTGAGATGTTAAACAGGAGAAGTAGAGGAATCAAGGATGCTGGCACTATCCTAAGACACAATATGAAGGTCCTCAGAACTGTTCTGCTGAAGGTAAAACAGAAGCTAGAAGGTATTTATCAAATCACTTTGAACTCTGATAATGTAAACTTACTGTACATTTCACCCACCCACTGTATTTTATATTGTAGGACAACAGAGAGTTTGGTAAAGTCTGGAGTAAGGCTTCAAAATCCACAATAATGTATGAGAATGGAAAAATCTACTTTGAAAATTACCAGAAGTGCTACAGCTGGTGAGTTTGAGGAATCAGCCTTTTATTGCCATCAGTCTATGACACACCTGCAACACGAAACTACTACAAGACATACTCAACATTGAAGCATGAAGTTCTGTGTGATTGAAACAACATTGGAAGCAAAGCAAGTGCAGAAGAAATTCAGGATGACTGTATAAAAGGTTCTGATTCATACCCACCATAAGTGAAAATCTTCTTGTTTCAGTGTTCATTCACAGGTCCATCTTCTCTACAACCTGCCCAAGAGGTCCAAATCAGAGAAATTTGAAGATGCCCTGCTGTGTCAGAGCTCACTTGTAAGTAAATCAAAGTAGAAAAACTTTTTGATCAAAGCCCACAGTGACAAATTCAGACTGTAATTTAAATTTCCTTTTCAACAGGACAAAACATTACCCTCCCGCTCTGATCACAAGCCCAGTCTCTTGACGCTGACGGCCAATAACTGGCTATATCGTCTCTCACCTGAAACTGGAGAAGTACTGCAAAAGATTTACCTTTCTCCCAGCCATAAGTTCAGGTGTTGTCTAGCTCTGAGTTCTCTGTTCTTTGAATTAATATTAATTTTCAGCTTATTTCAACGCTTTTAACCTGTCTCCATGTTGTTTTTGCAGGTATCTTAGCTGGGATGTTAACCAAGAGACGTTTTATATCAAATCAGTTCAAAACAAAGAAACATCTCTTGCAAGACAGGTATTAATAGTGGCACCTTTTCCTATTAAAGAAAATTAGAGCACAAGACTTTTCTGTACTGCACCTAATAACTTATGGCTTACATCAGTGTAATGTAAATGTTTACGTAAGTTTGTTGTTCCAGGAGATTTCAATGATCTGAGGAAGAGAAGACAGAATAATATTGTTTTTTATTCACAGGCAGGTATAACTCAGAATGTTGTATTGCATCTGGCCATCTTTTGTGTTTTCCCCTTGGAGATTGTTGGCATTTTTGAGATCAATAAAAAGGTATTAAGATTTGTTTGGAGTTTATTGAGATTTTCAAATCTGTCTCTAAAAATGTTGCAGTATTGTTAAAGTGAAGATGTTATTCTTTCAGATATTTGGAAATGGTGTTACAGACGTTGTCATGTCTCAGGGTGTCCTTGTGGTGTCTCAGAGTAACAAGGCAGTGAAGCTGTATAGCTTTGAGCACATCCTCAAAAAGGTTTGTGTACATTTTTGGTCCATAAAGACTGTCCTGCACCATGGTGAACAAACTGTACATTTGAGTTAAAGCTGTTGGAGGCATATTCAGGAAAAGGCCCAAATCTGTTTGAATGTTCTCTTATTTTCATTATCTTACTGTTATTGCTCATTTTCCTCTTGTATCTCAGTGTGTTATGAATATTTTCTTTGTTTTTAGCATTTGGAAGAAAAGTTAATACTTGGAAAACAGAGTGCACTTCTTGGGGGCAAAACAGTGGGAGAAGCTCCATTTGGTATCCCAGTCAATATCCAGATCACAGGTGAATCTGCGATTTCTCTGTGTTTAAGTTTGTTGTAGGCTTATTTGAACCACTGTGAGCAGGAGTGTTTTTCCCTCACAAAGATTTTTCTTATTTTACAGACACTCCTCAGGTGCTTTTCGAGGTATCATGCTCTTCTAATGGGATTCAGATTGGAGGCTACCCATGGCATTACATCTACACACCACCACATAAAAACCACAAGGGGACTCACCATATCTGTTCACTCAAGGATGGCACTATGGTTTGAAAACCTCTCTGACCTTACACTATGGCGTGTAGTTTATATTTTTTTATTATATAAAGATTACATATCTGACTGTTTTCCTGTAAAATATAATATTGCCAATCTTATCATACGGTGGACTCAATAACCACCCAAATGGCCAGAGCCTGTTGAAAGTGTCAGATAAAAAGAGGCCACAGATGTTTGTGACAGTCTTTATTTTAAGCTGCTGGACAGAGCAGGAGCAAACCAAACCGACAGTCCATGTTCAAAACAGCACACAACAATCCAGGGTTACTTTTGTAACACTTTTTGGTGAATATGTTGCACAAGCTACTTAATTTCCTCAAGATTTTGTATCTTTTACGGCACTGTTTACTCATATTTGTCGCAACAGACATCTGTCGGCAACCAAAGCTGCAAAACAAACACAGCAGGGAGAACTTTTAATTGGACTTGGAATTGAATAACGAAACCACAGTTCCTCTTATCTTTTTTATTAGTGCTTTTTTCCCACAGCGGTGTGTTTGTGAGCTGTTGAATGTTCGCAGACTTTGAGGGACACATGCAGTGATGTGTCAGAAAGATAAATTGAATTTGGATGTGCTGTGGGATAAAATTTATGTGCTAATTTGTTTTACCAGGCAACAAATGGGATTCAAAACATGAACTGCTGCTCTTTAGAGAGTGATGGGATCTTTTTCCATCCTGATGATTCAGGAAGAATCATCCACATCGGACCAATCACCATAAAGTGAGTTCTTTTGTCCAACCGTCTGTTTCTTACAAAGTGAAGAAAATGTAAAAGAAAAAGCAGCTACTTAAACGTGGATCAAGTGAAAGGCATTAGGGTGACTCACATTTTGTTGGTTGAATCTCCTTTTTGTCATCATCCATGGAACATTAGGAGCAACATGATATAGTGTAATCTGTACAAATCAAGTCTCAGATTGTCCATCCTTTTTTTTTTAACTTAAAGCCATTAACTAGCAATGAATTAACAAGTTTGATGTTGAAAATCTGTTTCTTTTACATTCTTCAACAACCATCACAGACTTTTAGTTAGACTTCAAGAAAAGCAGCTGCACGCAAGAGTAGATCGTTTTAACTCAATACTTCAGTACTTAATCCAATGGAGCAGCATGTCCATCTGGAATAAGAAATTAAACAGTTTGACACCAGACCTTGAGGAGCATTATTTCAAAACACTGAACCCCAAATATGTTATCAGTTAGTGTCTATCAGAATCACATTTTTCCTAGCACACTGAATTATTAGATTTCTGTTGATGGGTGTATAATTTTGTCAATATACAACCATACAAAGAGGTGTTTTCTCCCAAATAAATGACCTGTGGATAAAAATCGGTTAAATTGTAAAGTAAAGTAGCATCATGCCAAAATGCTCATGTTTCTCTGGTTTGAATGGCATAGTTTAAGATGAGAGGGTTGTGATACCTGGAAAGTAGTTGAGAAATATTTTTAGTACATCAGAGAGCCGATTCCTTCTTGAATACTCTGAAAATTGTGAGGTTGACAGGTAAAACAGGACAATCTGCCTTGTTGATGGAGAGACGTGTGTGATGCCCAACGATAACTGGATAGCTGAGGCTTCATGTAAAATGGCCAATCTGCATCAGCTGAGCAGATTTTGAGTTGGTAAAGTCCTGGTGATGTGAAAAGTGGAGATTAAAGATGCCAAAACAATGAATCCCTGAGACACTCTTCTTGGAAAATAGGATTTAAACCTTAAATCATGTTTGTTTTTTTAATTATTTTTTATCACCTTCTCACATATGTTAACAATATCTTGTACTCTGATTTCATGAACACAGCGTGAATCTTTTGTTTCTAAATCATGATATAATTACATCTGGAAATCTCCCACAAGGTGATTTTTTTCTTTGCTTTCAGTGTCCTCAAAATCTTGGGTGAACTCAACAGCGGTTTGCCATCAGAGGTTCTTTTGGGTTTTTCAATAAAAACCCATCGAAACATCAATGTAAGTGTTTGATTTATCATCTAGAAATATCACTCTTTGTCATGTAACCACTCAGTGTATAATGTGTATTTTGTGTTTACCACGGCTTTACTTACAAGGTTTTCTGTCTTAAAATTTAACACATCTGCTTCTGTCAGCCTACCTCACAGACCGTTGTCACATCATCGGGTCGCACAGTGAAGAAAAGATTTCATCAGCTGGATGATGATCCAGAGCAAGAGGTGGAACACTGATTATTCAAAAATCACATCTACAACAAAAAAAACTTCACATGCTTTTAGTCTGAAAAGTTAAAGACTCACAAACTACGACTGAATTATAAAGTTAAACTGAGTAAATATAAATGGAAGTATATTTTCTTTGAAATGAAACACTACATAGTTTTCAGGTTATTTCTCTTTGAGTTGCCAATAGAAATTCAAAAAGATCAAATCTTGTGATTAATTGATCCAATAATATGTATTTTCTTAATTGTAGCCTGACAAATCCAGGTTCAATTTCTTTTCTTTGGACCTCCATGTTTGCCACAAAACTCTAATGAGCAACAGTTATTGTGGGACCCACAACCTTTTTCATTCTATGCCATGAACATCAACATTGATTTATTTGGAGATGGTCCCACAATCACGACCCCCCTCTCCAAATATACCAAATGCGGATACTTTACGACTAAGGATAAAGTCAGTTTTTATTTTAGTCCATTTGTGTCACTGCTCTCTTTTGTTGGTTATCAAGAGATTTTTTTAAAAATACAGCTTTCCAGTTACAGAGTATCTTTATCTTTAATATGTCTTTGTATTTCTGAATATGATGAGTTTCATGGGAGCATCCATCCTTTAAAGTTATTCAAAGAGTATAAATATCTATAGCTAGCATAAACATTGCTCTATATACCTACATCCCCTCACGGCTTATGTGATAAAGATTCTAAGTAGTTGTATTTTCACAGACTTTCCGCACGGTGGAATATGAGGATGAGCTGGACCTTCTGGCTGTAGTGGTAACTAATGGTGAGGAGGGAGAAGGTAGAGCCAGCATCCGTCTCCATGACAACCTGAGTGGGGAGTTACTGCGCACAGTAAATCTCGATGAACCATGGGATGAAGTGAGTGACTTGACATGATTGTTCAAACATTTAAGTGTAAGTCTGTGAGCACATTCTCAGGTGTGGTCTTCTCTCTCTTTTTTTTTTTTCAGACTTATCGACATGAGCTGTTCTTCGACAAAGACACGATAGTTCATACTGAACAAAAGAACGCCAACTTCTGCTGCCATGTATACAAACTCAAGGCCACCAGAGAATAGTGTCTCAAAAGTGACTTATTTTTGCTGAGATTGAGTTGTTATGTTTCCAGTTTTTCGTACTGTAAAACTTTTTACATCCTCACCATCTTGGATTTCTGTCATTCAAACCACACCTAATGAAACTTGTACCCATTTTAATTATGAGGCTTTGTGGAGGAATTTTGTGGGCCAGGTAACATAACTACAAACCTTTTTCTTTTTTTCTATTAAGAATAAATGTGATATATTTTTTCAAGTTACACTCTTTCCCCCAGTGAGTCCCTCGCCTACCAACATTTGAAAGTTATTTGGACATGTCAAACTGTGCTGACGTAGATTGGGATACTCTGGTGTGTTTTTTTTTTTTTTTTTATTCAGCTGGTGTAAGGCTGCCTTATTCACTTGATCTATCAAACACTATAGGTAAAGTATATCAGAGGGCTTTAGAGCTGATTTCTCAGCTTCCTGTTGTGTTGAGGTTCAATTTTATAGATGCTTGTCTTCAAAATTTCACATAATTATGTTTGTTTTACAGAAGAGATTTGTATATCTGATTAAATCAAAACCTCATCCTGATGAGGTAGTGGCCTATTTCACATTGGTGATTTTCCAACAGTGCTTTACCATGGACAACAAATGGCAGCAGTGTCTTTACAAACAATTGTTGCCCGGAAATCCCTGACCGATTAGGGCAAGGTTGCAGTTCACCTCATTTTAATTCACAAATTGAAAAGAAAGAGATGTCTTCTGCTTATATGTGTAAAAAAAATGTGCAAAGATTTGACATTTGGCTGTACAGTTTAATACTCTGTTACTTTAAAGTCAAAACCTGCCAAATTCAAGTGTGCTAAAATTGAAACCCCAAAAAGAAAAAACAGCTGTCACAATGAAATGAACAATAACAGCAAGAAAGATATCCAGTATTAAATGGAAATCTGCAAGTAAAACAGGAGTTTTACCCGACAGACATAAACCCTATGATAACAGCTTATATCACAACCTCTTGTGAGAAACTTTGAGCAGGTTTTCTGTCCATTTTGTGTCTTTTCCTGTCTACTTACCAGCTGCACACCTTAAACCAAAACTGTGTGAGTTCTGCTAGAAATAAAGGCCATATTTGACACTGTCTTCCATCTTTTAGGAAAAAACACATATTTTTCTCCGTTTTGTAATGACGAAAGTTACAAAACGCCTTTTCTCTGGATCATGTGACCTGGTCCGCCTCTCTCAAGCCCCCACATAAAATTGTTGTAGTTGTGGTGACTGCTGCTTCAGATTGCTCACTCTCTCGCTGCTGCCCAAGTAAACCTTGACAGCAATGGAGAATTACAAACAGTTCGTGGTAGCTCTGTCTGCCGCCGCAGCAGCCGGGCTTGTCACCATTGTATTCGTGCTGAGGTGGGTCCTTTACTACAGAGAAGGTTTAGCCTGGGATGGAGGGCTAGCCGAATTCAACTGGCATCCGGTCTTACATCTGGCCGGCTTCATTTTCTTGAATGGAGCAGGTGAGAGGGGTCTTTTCTCTTAAGACATTTTATAGCGGATAAAATCATGAAGACACATAAGCTGCTAATGATAAACTTTTAGGATGCGCACGAAATGAATACTTAAATCCATACTAAGAAACTTACTTTACGCTAGGAACTCATAGCTTCTTAAGATAAAACATCTTTACACATGGCATGTTGAATCTACCATAGGGCTGGGCGATATGGGAAAAAGTTTATCACAATATATATTTTTGATATCAATATATCACAATTGAAAATTTTAATTCAACAGTGCTTATTGGTAGCATGTCTTTTCCAATACAATAAGCTACTGCATCTGTGAGGTCTTTGTGTCTCTTTGATGTTTTGTCGTAAGGCGGTGCGCTAGAGAAAGAGGACTGAATAGTCGGCTGTTTCAGCCGCACAGGAGGTAGCACTCATTTTCTTTTTTTCTCACTGACAGTGCTGTCTGCTTCACGTGTTATAGTGCTATGGTTGCGTGTTGCTGCAGCCTGCTACTTTGCAGTTGTTTACTACTTGGTTCTTCAGCACATGATTGGTTCGGTGCGAAGCGGACCCGGAGCAACTCCTGTTTTCATTTGCTAATTGTCTAGCCTACAATACATTTTTTTAATCTGAAAAGTTTTGTGTAATCTTAAAAAAACGATTTAATTAATTACACCTTTTATACCAAACTTCACAAATTGCTTAACTGACCCTGTGTCACCCTGTGTTGCAGCCATCATTGTCTTCAGACTCCCCTGGACCTGGCAGTGCAGCAAAGTAACAATGAAGTTCATCCATGCAGGCTTAAACTTGGCAGCATTCATTTGTGCTATCATTTCTTCAGTGGCAGTTTTTGACTTTCACAATGCTGCCAAAATCCCCAACATGTACAGTCTGCACAGCTGGGTGGGCCTGGTAGCCATTTCACTGTTCTGTCTGCAGGTACATAGATCAGCACTTGAAAGAAGCTTCTAGTGTGACTTAGTTGTCATGTTACAATGCTTTTTGTTATACGCAGTACAAAATTAAGTTTTTGTCAGCATTACAAGCCTGTTTTTATCGTAGAATAGACATAAACAACTTTAACCTCTTGCATCTGTGTCTCTTCTGAAACTTGAAACCACAGTGAGCAGCAGTCTTGATAAGCAAGCACAATGGAGTAAATGTTTTTTCTCCTCCTTCAATGGGCAGATTGTTCTTTCAATCGGCATCTTCTTGGTGCCATTTACACCAGTATCCTGGAGAGCAGCACTTATGCCCCTCCATGTGTTTGTTGGACATTCACTCTTTGGCAGTACTATAGCTGTGGCACTCATGGGCATAACAGAAAAACTGATTTTTGGCCTGTAAGTATAAAAAAATGAGTAAATGTCAGTAGTAGCTGATGTCGTCACACGTTATAACTGTTAATGTAACCATTGTTTTTTTTTTGCTTCGTCATCAAGGAGCGACCCAAAGTATAAGGATTCTCCCCCTGAGGCGGTTTTTGTGAATGCCATGGGAGTGCTTGTTGTGGCCTATGGTGTCGCAATCCTCTGGATTTCCACTCGACCGTCTTGGAAACGTCCCAATGACCAGGTTTTGCATGTTCTGAATTCCAGTGCAGGAGCTGAGGTCAAAACCAAAATGGGTCCCTCTCTGTCTCGGCTTTCTGATTAAACTGAAGCTGAGGGCCGTGCAGATGTCAGGAGGAGGGGCAACAAATTAGATGACTAGACTAACTGATTATAAAGAGCTGATTTAAAAAGTATGAGAATGTGTAACCAAACTGCACGACACAGAAAATATTAAAGATTTATATATCTCCATGTGCTGATCTTCCATACACAACTTAATCTCTTTGCACCTTAAAGTATTTGTTGTTGTCTGCGCTTTAGGCTAGTCTGCTGTTACATTTTATATAATAAGCACATGCAAATAAAGTAAGGTACTTTATAGAAAATAGGACAACAATGCTGGTATACACCGTTTATAAAATGTCCAAATGTCTGTCTTATCCTGATGTATTTGTATTCTCATTTCTTATATTTTATAAATGAAAAAAAAATGCTCAGAAGTAAATGTGAAAGAATAAACATTTGTAACAACTGACTTTTATATTGTGTTCCCTGAATCCTTTAATGTTGTAACGACTTTCTGCAGATAATGGGAGAACAATCAGTAGAGATTGTGAGCTCTGCTGTATGGTTAAGTTTTCAATCAATCAATCAAATTTATTTATATAGCACCAATTCACAATAGTTGTCATCTCAAGACGCTTTTAAAAGAACAAGAGCAGGTCTAGACCATGCTCATAGTTAGATGAATTATCAAGACCCAACCTAAGATGAAGTAGAGCAGACAAATTCACAATATAGCCTGAACCGTTCACTTGGTTATACAAGCATGAAATTTGGTACATATACTCTTCAAACCCCACTCTTTTCAAAAATAACGATAGCCACGCAAAATTCAAAGATGGCGGCCTCAAAATCCAAGATGTCCGCCCAAAAATGTGGTTTTTCCTTTATAACTCAAAATGCCTTGATTTTAAGCCCCATAAATATATTGAAGTTGAATATAAATGTGGGTATTGCGGACATTTTGGTACCTAGTACATCTCTGTATCTATTACGGTGATACAGCATATAGATACTTGTGCAAAATTGGGAGAGTAAGAAATTCGTAACACCGATTGTTGTTACATGCATATGGTTATATGAAAATATCATTTTCATTATCTGTTATTTTCATTAGGGTTATAACATGAAATTTGAAAACCAAGATGGTGTCCAAGATGGCTGCCATTGCCTTGAAGTAATCCGATCTTCGTGACTATGAAACAATAACTTTTGGCGTGCACATATTTTTGGTCTATGCATCCAATGGGGCCATTGCAGTACAGAATTTAGATTTTAGTATGGGAGGTGGAAGGGGTGGTTGTTGGACATTTCGAAGACATTTGTTTCGCTTCAAGGGCAAATACTCTCTGGCTACTTGCGGGGGAGGCCACGTGGAGGCTGTCTTCTTCTCCCCCTTTTTTTTTTTTTTTTTGCTTTTTTAAATAAAATCTCTTCTATCACTTGGGTTTCAACCATATACTAAACTATTGGATACCGTGCAAACCGATCACTAGGGAATGCACTCAACTCACTTGCAGTGTTTTTTGAAAACCTTATACCCATACCTAATACTATACTAAAATTCAGAAGTTGTTACACCTCACAGTTGCAACTGCACAGAGCTGTACACATGAGACCCAATTTGTAGCACTTGCACCTGCCACAACAGCCAGATTTACAGCCACATTTGGTGAGCTGTTCACATGACTTGGCTATTGGAGAGTTGGCTGTCCAGAAGACCTGCCATTCCTCACCAACCTTTTTCCATCCCCAGTCCGCAGGGTCCTCTGCTTCTGGCTGACACTGGGTTGCCTGGGCCCACACACAACCAGCCTGATAGGCAGCACGCCTGGTGTGTTGTAGTAGAGCTGCTCTGGTTGGTGGGATAGACTCATAGGGCCTCTGCTTTCTGGCAAACAAGTCAAGTCTGGCCTCATCCACAGTAGTAGCTGTGCTGGATCTGTCATACATGAGAATGACAAACTTCTCAAGCACCTCTATGTCACAGTCCTCTACTGTGGGAGGGTAATTACCCAGTTTGGCAAATACAGGCAAGGCTTCTGGACATATGTCCCATGTCTGCCAAGCTGTTTTCTTGCCTTTGTTGCGGAAGGCAGACACGGTGTCACATCCTGTAAAGGCATGGAAGAAGAGCATGCCTTTGACCTTCTCCTGGCCAACATGCTGAAATATGTCATGCACACTGATCCAGCGCAGAGTCTGACCTTGCCCAAATGCAAGCCACATATGCTGTAAGCCAGCCTCTTGGAGACCGCCAAATACACTTAGTGCTAAGATCAGAACATCTGTGTCATTTGCCTTGATCATGAGGGATTGGCTACCATGGTCAGTAGCATGTTTTGTGTGCACAAAGATGCGGCTGTCCGCTTCCTCGTGAGAGCACTTATCCAGTCCATCAAGACAAGTTGCATGAGTGCTGAGGACAGCAGGTCCCTTTGTGACAATGATGGTATTTGGGGCAAACATTTGTGCAACCTTGTCGGCAAGAAAGTGGTACAACTCTGTTTTGTTTTCATTTTGCCTCAGGAAGTTATGCCAGTTAGATGGCATGGCGTTCTTATTTGATACCTTGCGTCTTCCCCCCTGGCCACGTTTGGACCTGGTCTCAGCTTTAAGGCTTGATGTATTGTACACATCAAAGACTAGATGTGTCATTGTGTACTTGTTGGAGTACATGTAGATCACAGGTAAGAAGTCGAGAGCTGCATAGTCCTCAAAAGTCCTGGATCTTTTTGGTGGCAGGGTGTGGACCAAAGCTGACCCATCTACAATGAGAACGTCTGCCTCAGGTTCCTTGTCAACTGGTGCGACATAATTCTCAAGGATAGAGGTCAGCTGAGACTTCTGGCAAGTGTTCAATTTTCCACCTTTGCTCAATGAAACAGGGAAGGACTGGTTCTCATGGTGAAAGAACTCCTGGAGGTCACACTCTTGGCTCTGACAAGAGATGAAAAGCTTTGAGAACAGCTGACAGTCCTCCTTGAGAAGTTTCTGCTTTGAGGGTTCAGCAGAAGAAGAGTCCTGTCTGAAGAAATCAGACTTGTTCTTCTTGATTGGCTCATAGAAAAAGGACGGATTGTTTTCCAGGGCCTGTGAAAACTCCAGAAATTTTGCCTGACCTCTCTGCAAGTGAGACTGCAGAAGTTCTGCAGAGTCAGGGTGAGCAATATCTTTGGTGTCAAGCGAATACAGGTCTTTACTGTCTTCCTGGAATGGGTTGCCGAGGTCTTTTAGAGTTTGGGACAATTTATCAACCCTCCTCTTGAAGGTTTTCTGTGCCTGTGAAGTTTGCTCATGGTGGCTTCTGTGCTCACTGGGCTCTTTGGTTTGTGCCTCCATTTCATATTGGGACACCAAACAACTGACCTCAGGACCAGCTACCATCCATCTCCTAAGTGCGGATGGGTCTTCAGTAAGCCCGATGGCACCACCATCACCCTTGATGATGGCATTTGCCTGCTCGTGAGCTTGATCAAGGGCAAGGGCAGAGAAATCCCTGTTGGTTTTATGGACAACAAAGTTGCCATTCTGGAACTCTTTAGCCAGTTCTGGGTGTGTGTTCTCTAGAGTGAGCATGTCTCTGAGATGGATAGGGAGCCACAGTGCATAGTGGGTGTTGTTGTTGGCAAAGAAATATGGTATTAATTCACTCAGTGCCTGGCAATAGAGAGCAAAGTTGGACTCACGGAAGGACCTGATGAGCATGAAGATGACTAGCTCCATAGACAGCACCATGTGCCAGAAGTGGAACTGTGGACTTTGCTCTTTGCGAATTTCACACCACTCCTCAAAGCTCAATGTATCATCAGTGGTATCTGCTCTATCTGCACAGCTGTCATTATATGCAGATTTAAGGAGCTTGTAGAGACTGCAGGCTGTGACCTGATGCATTTGCCTCGTCTTGGTCACACTTGCAGCTGATAGAAGGGATTCTGCAGTGCCCGAGGATGCTACATCTGCCTCCACCAAGGCCCCAGTCCAACCACTGTTGCAGAGAAGTGTGCCCAGGGACTTCAGGGCTGCCATCTCAATATTGAGACCACCAAATATGACAAGGTACTTGTCTTCTCCATATTGTTCAGGCCATTGCCACTGCACCTGCTTTGCCAGGGCATAGATTGGCTGGTCAGCTGTGATAACAGGAACCTGGCCACGGTTGAGATTTGCCACGACATCATGCACTTTCTCCATCACATGCTTGACAGTAGCAATGGAATGAGCTTGGTCCCGTAGCAGAGGAAGTAATGCAGTAACGCTTACTTCAAACTCTGGACTTCTCTTCATTGATGCATGGTGTGCTGACCATGTCAGGTTTACGGCACCATCAATTTCCTCAGTCACCATGACCTTCTCTAGCCACTGGTACTCAAGTGCGATTTGGGTCCCAAAGTCATCTGAATGTGGCTTAGGTATCAGACATTTTGGTGGAAGGGGATTCTTTGTTTTAAAGGATGCAGGGAGGATATTTGTGTATGTGTCAGGCAGTTCTGGGACTGACCTGACTTTCTTAGGTCCAAAACTGATTTTCTGTCGCTCCTGCCCCTGGTTCTCCTTAGTGGGATGCTGGATCACAGAGATGCTTGTCCCATGGAATGATGATGTAGCAGTTGTTGCAGATGGGTTATGATCAATGTTGTCCATCACTGCAGTGGTGAACAACCCCTTACGCAGCACTGGTGGACAGACCACACCCTCTTCAACATACCTACTCACTGTAGCATCCCCCAACTGGGCTGAAATCTCCAGCACCCTGTCATATGAGATGCTGAGACCATGCTCATTCATCAATTCTACGAGGCTTCTCTTTCTTGTTTTTGCAAAGACAGATAGCCCCATGTAGATTGGAAACAGGGTTTCTCTGTCCTTGGAATGCCTTTGGAATGCAACTCCTTCTTTATATCGAGAGTAGCAGTTGTACTGTAGTAGTTGGGCAATAGCCTGGTCTGACTTTGAAGCTCCAAATCTCAGCTGTGATTTGATATCTGCTCCGTGTTCAACCATACTGATGAACTGAAGAAGAAGGGGAGGTGTGGCATTTTGAATAGAACCTTCTGGTAATGTGCCATTAAAACTAGAATGATGATCTAGTATGTTTTTCCTTAAAATCTTTGCTGCTTTGGTAATAAGGAGTGCTTGTGAATATGCAGAAGACTGTGAAAGTGCTGTACCCACATCTTTATGAAAAGTAAGCATCACACTTCTTCCCATTTTATACGACTCAAGTTCTGGAATTTCTTCTAGCAATCTCTCTTTTAATCTTGTGGAGTTGACAGCTGGTGAGTCAACGCCTAGTTGCTCCAGACGCTGTTGGTACATACGGCTCATATCTGCAAGGAGAAATCTGGTTGGACTTTCCGAATGGATGCTTGTTTCAACAATGTATGTGACTAGTTCTGAGAGAACTAGTGGGTAAATTTCCTGCTCATGCTTAGTAGCACTTGCACATTGCCCAAGTTTCTTCAGGTGGGACTTTTCCCTGTTATAGAGAGTAACTAGACAGGCAGAGTGGTACTTGAGCTCCTGGGCAATGGCATCTCCACCACTCAATTTAGCAAGAAGCTTACCATCATTAAGTGTATGTGCACATTCGTGCAACCTCTGGTTCACCTTCATTGTCATAACCTGCCTGAGATCAGATGCAGGTGCTATTTTCTCACAGAAAATGCAGGCTTCAACATCACAGCTTTTTCGCCGCTGCTTTGTACTAACATCCTCAGGCTCACTGCTGGAACCAGCAGATCTGCGTTTCCTTGCCCGATCCAATTTGGTGTTGTTAAACAACAGCCGACAGCTGAGGTGGTATTTAGCCTGATTTCGTCTTAAAGTAGCATCAATACCACCACCTTCATCCAGCCTTACTGGATCCAGGATCAATGGCATTTCCTGCATTTGATGAAACAAAGGTATGTTTGTAGCCAGCATGGCATAGCCATCATTTTCAAGGGTGTAACGAGTTGGAGGTGCCATGAGGTTTGTGTCTGTTCTGTCTTTTTGACAAAGACAGCATTTAGACCAATCAGTTTGTTTTTTTGTAAACATGGAATCTGCCATTTTGGGTTTTGATTAAGGCCGAGGGGTTATCCTTTTACCACATTAATCAAATAACACACATTCCTGTATGGGATACAACTAGGTTCAGTTTATTTTCGGGTAAACCTACACCTAGCCCGATCATTCATCCAGTGCCATTTAAGTCCCGTGTGATCTGTACACCATCTGGGTAACTGAAGCCCCGTTACCCTTGGCTCGGCTCTCCCGCGCTGGCACACCCTGTCAAATCAGGTGCGGCTACCTAACTATATCTACTAACTACCGACCATGGTTTACTAGCTAATGGATATGGGGCTGTTAGACAGCATTTGGGACACTAAACCAAACTATACTACAACTATACTACAGTCTAATAAAGCATTAGTTGTGACTGCAGGTCGTATATATACTGTAGATTAGCTGACACTGAACCCCATGCTGAGTTACACAGCAGTGATATCACCAGTGTGCCCTGGTTGTGTGCTGATATTCACTCTATTATATCTGCAAGCTTGTACTGTTTCTGTACTGCAATGGCCCCATTGGATGCATAGACCAAAAATATGTGCACGACAAAAGTTATTGCTTCATAGTCACGAAGATCGGATTACTTCAAGGCAATGGCAGCCATCTTGGACACCATCTTGGTTTTCAAATTTCATGTTATAACCCTAATGAAAGTAACAGATAATGAAAATGATATTTTCATATAACCATATGCATGTAACAACAATCGGTGTTACGAATTTCTTACTCTCCCAATTTTGTATAAGTATCTATGTGCTGTATCTCAAGAACCGTAATAGATACAGAGATTTACTAGGTACCATGTCCGCAAAATGTCCGCAATACCCAACTTTATATTCAACTTCAATATATTTATGGGGCTTAAAATCAAGGCATTTTGAGTTATAAAGGAAAAACCACATTTTTGGGCGGACATCTTGGATTTTGAGGCCGCCATCTTTGAATTTTGCGTGGCTAACGTTATTTTTCAAAAGAGTGGGGTTTGAAGAGTATATGTACCAAATTTCATGCTTGTATAACAAAGTGAACAATTATCTCCTTATCTGCTCTACTAATGGGATTTGGCCCATATCATCTAACATGAGTAACAGTGGCAAGAAAAAACTTCTTTTTAACATGCAAAAACTTTGGGAAGGACCAGACTCATGCCAGACAGCCACCAAGCCGCTGCTGGGTTGGGGAGGAATACATAGAGATAGGGGGAGGAGAGAGAGATTGAGTAAGGGAGAGAGACAGGGAACAGCAGCATTAAAACAACAGCAACAACAACTCATGTAATGGTGAAACAAAATGAATTCAGTTTACAGGGTTAGGATAGGACGTTTTCATATTCATCATTAGTTCTCTGAGTTCCATTGACTATCATGACCTCTGTATTATGAGCTTTCGTCGACTGAGTCTGCCCCCACCATGACCTCAGATGACAGCAGTGCGGCCACGTCAAAGCGAAATAGTCTGGTTTGGCTCTGCCCGGCACCCGTAGGTAAGTTTGCCCGATTGTTTTGGCTGTGTGTTCATTAGAGGCATTTGCTGTCAGGTCCACAACCTGATTCAAGGTTTGTAATCTGTACGCCTATGTCAAGTTAACTGTGGCGTCGCGCACTTGTACTATGTATTTGTATTTGTCACTTATTTTGTAGTGAAAACACAGAAAGTCGAGTTATATTTTGCGGACTGCAAACCTGAAAGCGCATGACAGCACTGCGGACCTCTGCAGCTAACAAATAAAGCTACCGCTTCGTATATCTGGACAAATATTGGGGGTTTAATTCTCTAATGACATTTTAAGTCACGTTTTTTGACTCTATGACGTCCTTTCATCATCTTACTATTCGTGCTTTTCGGAGTGTGTTAAAATGTGTGTTTGTTTGACAACCAGGAAGGCTAAGCTAGCTGTCGCCTGTTAAAACAAGGAAGGCTAATGCTGACTGAGGCCGAATTGATCCCAAATTACCTCATTCTCTGTGAAACTGTGTTGTGGCAATGCCTAGTAATTTGTGTCTCTATCAATTTGAAACACTTATAAACACGTTTCTTGTACACCCACATGTACGAGTGACTATAACGGGTGGGATAACTGAATGCTAAGCTAACCGGGTGTAACGCAAGCTGCAGGGTGGGGCTCTGTTAGCCAGCTGACTATGAGTGAACAGCCTCAATGATAAAGTGTTCAGTCTGTTGTAACGCAGTGCAAATATTGAGGGATTAATCTCGTAATTATACGTGCCTGAATCACTCGGTTAAGGAGAAGAGAGCCAGCAGTCTTAGTTGTGCTAATCGACTCGAACATGTGCTGGAAAAGTCCTCATCTCCGAGTGTCTAAGTGGTGCTGAAGCTGAGAGCATCAGTTTCAGGGCCCATTCAAACACAGGCGTCTTTAATCAGCATTTATTTTCAAAATATAAATACTTAAGTTGTAAAAGTGTTTTGTGCAACATAATAATATTAATCTTGATTTGATCGTTCGCAGTGGTGTGACCATGTCTTCCAAAAGTGAACTGAAAGCGGAGCTTGAGCGGAAGAAGCAGCGCCTGTTACAGATCAGAGAGGAGAAGAAAATCAAGGAGGAGGAGCGCAGGAAGAAGGAGGTATGTTTGGAGGAAATAATCAGATATCCACTGATATTGAACGCAAAAGTTGAAACAAGGCATACATGTATCCATATCCAACATTGAGTGTAAATTTGACTAGAAACTTAAGTATCTGTTCAAATGCCAGTTAATTCCCTTCATTTGGTTTATTGAAGTTTTTAGTTGTCTTTTGTTGTTGTTGTCTACATACTATTTAACACAATTATTAAGAACCACTGGTTGCATTTGAATCAAATGACAGACCACCCTCATTAAGTTATCCACCAAAACTACAGAAGGTTGGCATGTTGATCTGAAAAAGGTAGTGTTGTTTAATAATTCATCACTAACTGGTGTGTAACCGTTTGATGATCAATTCTTTTCTTTTGTTCACTTAAATAAGCTCTACAGATGATGTGCAGTTTAGGATGTGTAGTAATAACATCTATTTTTGGGCTGGGCGATATGGGAGAAAGTTTATCAGGATATATTTTCTTCATATCAATCAATATCGATATATCACTATATAAAAAGGGAAATTTAACAGTGCTTATTGGTAGCATGTCTTTTGTAAAACGATAAGCTACTGCATCTGTGAGGTCTTTGTGTCTCTTCGACACTTTATCATAGGGCGTTACGCTAGAGAAAGCGGACTGAATGGTCGGCTGTTTGGCTGCACAGGTGCCATGGGCTCCTTACTCTGCTCAGGGTTTTTAACCTTTTGCATTGCGCGTGCTCTGCTGCGTAGCACTGCTTCAGGTAGTGAAAAGATTTGAGGTATTCCCCGACTTTGTGAGAACATGTATTTGACATAATTTGCAGTGCACATTACTCTGCTTCATGTCCGACCTCAAAAAACCAAAATACCTCCACACCACCAACGTTTTCATGCCAGTGTTGTAGACGATGTCATCATCTTTTGAGCCTTCGTCTGCATTTCTGCCGGGGTAGCACTCATTTTCTTTTTTTCTCACTGACAGTGCTGTCAGCTTCACGTGTTAAAGTGCTATGGTTGCGTGTAGCTGCAGCCTGCTACTATGCAGTTGTTTACTACTTGGTTCTAATTCAACTCCCCTTTTCATAAGCTATTCGTATAGTCTACCAAAACATGGCAGAATGCCGGCTATCAAAAAGCATACTGGCCATGTTTTATATTGATATTGAGGGAAATTAATTTTCGATATATTGTTATCGTTTTACCGTCCAGCCCTACTACTCACTATATCACACATAATCCATCGTGGTTTAGAGTTTGTAGATTTTAACCAGTCACATCTGCATGAACATCAGGGCAATCTAAAGCTATCTGATAAGACAGCTCTACCTTAAATTCTACTCTTACCAAACTTCACCATTTTCAGTTCTGTTGACCTGGTCATACAGATGATAACTGCTCTGTGAGTTAATTGCTGAAGTTGCTGTGGGTGGTAGTGGTGTATTTTATACATTGTACTTGAAGGTCTTCCTCATATTTGCTTCAGATGTAGTTAGTATCTTCCAATAACACACTCCAGCAGCACACCACCACCACTCACTACACCTTTAATAATGAAAGTACAACAGCCTCTCTGTGCAACAATGTTAAAAACTGAACATTAAGGAGATTTCAGAGCTGTTGTATTGAATTGCATTAGATTGCCCAGGTGTTTATGGTGTTATGACTGGTTGTTGTACTTCAGATTATTGATTAGACCAGTCAAATTTAAGCTAGTAAGAGTAAAATTATTTGAAGAGTTTTTTGGTTGTTGGTGAAAGTAAGGGAGCATTTTGATGTATGAGCAAACAAAATACTATTCCAGTTCAGTTCTTTGTTTACACTTGTGTAATATCTGATGAAGTCAAATTCAGAACTACAAACAAAAATCTTGTAATAAGACAGTTAAAAGTAGACTTGATGCAAACCAGTCTCAAATTCATTACACTGTCTGTACAAAATACAACTGTCCAAATACAGTAAATAAAGGGGAAATTTACTTGTTTCTCTTTCCACTCAATTATAAGCTACACAGCAATGATATATGCTTGCAGAGCAGCAAAGAAGAACGTTATGTGGATTATCACGTAACGATTGTAGACAAAAACTGTATTGAATATGTGGAGAATGCAAAGTGCACAGGGGCACCAGAATAAGGTGTCTTGTGCAATTTAAAGGCTGTTTTAAGAAGTTTTAAGAAGAATATAACTAGTATGGAAACCTATTTATGATAGGTCATGTAAAAAAAAAAAGTCATGTTTCTGTGGCTTTATCCTGCAGAGTTATCATGGCAGGAGTCTTTGGGAGCCAAAGCGCCCATTATATATTACCTTTCAACTTGTTTTGGGGTTAGGATCCTTTCGTGCTCTGAGCCAGACCTTAAAACAACAACAACAACACACAAATCAGATTCATGAAGGCCCCTAATGTTCTCTCAAATGAAGACGTATACATTTTTTTCCACACTTATGTCATGGAGGTACTCTATATTGACCAGGATTCAGGGTTTAAGGAGCGAAATAAAGTAAATGGTGCACAAACCTCTCTTACTTTAAGTGCTGTACATTTAATTGTTTATTAGGAATATTTAATATTTGAGTTAATGACTGATACATGTCTGTCCTTTCAGGCTGACCAATTGAAAGAATCTGCACTCCATCAAGATGATTCAGACCTGGAGAGAAAAAGACGTGAGACTGAGGCCTATTTACAGAGCATGGGCTTAGCCACAGATATTCCTGTTGGTAAGTGACTCACATACACTGTAAATGTAAAAATAGAGTAAAACATACACTGTTCACACATTTTTATATAATCTGTTTATTCAGCTGACTATTTACAGACACCAAAAACAGAGCTGTTGCGTGTCTGCAGGTCTTTCTCTTTATTAATTCGTTGTATTAGTATTCGACCTGGCAGTCTTTGTACAAAGGTACTATTCGATTCTTTTATTTGTCTCCTTGGGTCGTCCCTTTGCGTCTTAGCTCCTTCTGTGGTTGAAAAGGCAGATGTGAGGAGGAGTCACAAATGTCTTAAAAAAGCTTTTTCAAAAGCTTTCGGTTTATTTAACATTTAGATAGATATCTTCATTATTGAACAGTCTCACAAACTTTTGTTCATCAAGGTATAAATCCTCAAACAGGAACTGGGGCCTTTTATTTGCTTTTACCGCAGAGGGTACCACAAATTGCAGAGCAGAGCAAATAGGTTCTATGTTTGCTAGTGTTGTTTGCAAACATTTAACTGAGCCATTATGCATTTTTTTTTTTTTTACAAAATAATCCTTTTTCTATGCAAACGAGCCTTCCTGCAAAAAAACTCTCAATTAATAAACGCTAGTGCTAAAAGCCATGTGCACTTAGAGTGCAATTAAGTCAGTTTTATCAACGGAGCTTGAATATTTACATGTGCCATCATGCTGTCTTCATTAATAAAGGTAATGATGATGTAGATATGATATAGATCTATACATTAAGTCTGTTCATATTTCTTTGACATTGCTATTTTGATGATAATCAGGGGTTAAATCACTCTAAGGCTGTATGTGACTCAACCTGCCACACATACAGGCTGTTCATGGTCTGATGGATTGTTCATTTATTCAAATATATATATTTTTTATCCAAACAATGTGCTTTTTTCCTGCTTGCACCTGGAAGTAAGATGAATATGATGAAAGAGATGATGGATATCTGTCATAAACTGACAGCTCAGTAAAATTTGAAGGACTATCCCTCTGCATCCAGCTCATTATATAGAATTAAGCGCAGTCAGTATGAGAATATATGGAGTGCAGCTCTGATCAGCAGTATGTGGAGATGCTGACAGCTAATCTAAGTCATAATGCAACACAAAACCAGAGCAAACTGCACAAAGATGGCCTGTGATTTAGTATCCCCCAAATCTGTTGTCGTTATAAAAGACCATACACTGGTGTGTAATTATTGTAAGTCTACTGGGACTTCATTCACTCTTGAGGACCATGATCCCGATCACAATAAAGAACCTGGGCTGCGAATTAAAGACGAATCCTGATCTGAGGATTCATAGTCACTGGTCTGTGGTATTGTTACAGTTATTGATTTCAATAATTGAATCTTCCTGTAGCTTTTTTAAACCTGCATTTATGGGAGCAGCTGAATAAAGCACCTGAGAGCTGTGTAAATATGTGTATATTACTTTGTCAAAGCGTTCAAACTGTTAAATATTCGTCAGATCAGTGCTGTGAAGGTTATGTGTTATAGGTTTAGTCAACAGGTCATCACGTTTAGTCAAAACATGTTAATCAACAATATATCTATACAATATAATTCAATTATTGATCTGACAATGTTTCATCCTCTTAACACTAACGCCGCTGCTCTCTTTGCTCTGCCCCCATCTGGGATGATTCAGAGTTGACCATTACTACAAAACTTTCTGCTGACTACGGTCTAACTATGATCTGTAAAGTATCTCCAGACTGGGCTAAATTAACATTTTGATATGGAGCTGTTATGACATGAGCAGCAAACCGTAAAATTCAATTTGAAAACTGATGTTGCCCCAGTGGCCGGTTGTGTCTTTGTCACTGAGGTGGCAGAAAAAAAGGAAAATTTATGAATGAAAATGAGGGACATGCATGGAGGCAGAAGAGATTTGGACCCACGATGCATTAGTGTGGATTAGTGGCCAAGTTAACACTGTTTCTCCAGACCAGCTCAGCCTGTCTGAGTGCATTGTTGGTATTTTGGTTGACAGATTAGACGCTCAATGGGGTAAAATATCCCGGGTATTAAATGTCTCACCGCCCACCTTCAAATTTTAAGTCCTGCCATCGTCTCATTATTGCAAAGAAAGCACAAGACTCATCCAAGTTAATTGATCACAGATGCAATTGTAGGCCATTGTCTTCTTGTCTTCGTCATGGAGAACCATGTTGATGAACATGCACCACCCTAATTTTGGTCCATGACATTAACGCTGGTATCAATACAGTCCTTTTATTATTAGGCTATTAATTTTGTTGGACAGGGTTTATGTATTTTGACCAGGTCCTCAAATTTTTACTTATATTTTTACTGCACATACATTGTAGAATTGTATTTTACTGGCCTTCTTAGTCATCTGACCACAGACCAGTTTGCAACCTGTATGATTCTGTAAAAATCTGATCTCTGGCAAAAAGCTGACCAACAAGTAAGAGTTTCTTAAATTCAGTTTGTTCAGTTTGAACATTTCTAGATTTAAAAAAGAATCTTTAAGCAGTCAAAACATCACCCTTTAAAATTATAAATGTGCTCTATGTAAAAAAAATCTTCTAACAGAAGGGTCACATGGTCTGTAATTTACCTCCCTGAAGTGCTTTCAGGCTTGAAAAAAACAATATAGAAACAGTCGCCCTGTTTGTTGGTATTTTTGACTTTTTAGGCCACAAAGAGGCGCCAGTGTTTATTTCAGTCAGTCCACACAGGAGCTTTAAAAACTCACTATTGCTGCAGTTTGGTCACTAAATTAAGGTAATGACTAACTGATTGGAAATTAGAAATAAAACTCAGTACTCTACTGGGTTTTTTTCAGGGCATTTTGCTGAAAGGGTCTTGCACAAATAACCTGAAAACCATTACTTTGTATTTGGTGGACTTCAAAAGATTTTCATGAACACGTGTGATTTAAAAAGGAAAGAAGTAGTAAAATAATCCCAGTAGAGAATGAGGTTTGCAGAATAAATTCAGCGAGTGTCTAGCAGAGCACTTTCATGTTATTACCAGCAGGTGGCAGAAGAGGTCCACAGGAACATTTCCACATGCAGGTTACAAACAAACTGAAAACAGGCGCTAAAACAGATGTTTTCTGTCTGTTTCCTCTCACTGAATTCATTTTAATGTTTATATCCCAGTGATAAAATCAGTGTTATTGTGTTGTTTTACTGTGTTTTATAGTATGTACTGAGCTTCAGTTTATTATGACAGATTTGTGAATTTGTAACCTGTTTGCCCACTGCTGTCAAAGCTTAATTCACTCCTGTTCATGTGTTCAAGACGTCTGATCAGGAAAACAAACATTGTTGCTTTTCATTCTGAGCTGTAAGAAGCTCTGTGTATGGTAACAGATGACTTTGTCTGTTTGACCACGTAGCCCCTCCTCCCACGTCTCCTACAACCAAATCTGCGGGCACCCCAAGTGAGGCCGGGAGCCAGGACTCGGATGGAGCTGTGGGACCCAGGTACACACACACACACACACACACACACACACACACACACACACACACACACACACACACACACCGACTGAAGCAACACTCAGGCTGTTATTCCACCTGAGGAAGTAACGTTTAAATACCTGATATCAATCAAAACATGTATGCCACTGTGAAGCTAATACCAGCACATGCTTCCAGGGCTTTTTGGTCAGTATTTTATTACAACAACATTAATAATGTGCTTTGAAAAACATTTGTGTTTTTTCCATTACTTTCAACTCCATAAAAAAAAGTTATGGAGCGACTTCAAGCATGTTCTTATCAAGAACAACTGAGCTAAAGTCTTTAATAAGTCTCATACTATTAAAGTGAATGATGACGGGTTCATGCCATCAAACTGCATGTTTATTTAATTTGTGTGCTGTTGAATTAGGACGATCTTAAATTAACAATAAAACAGCAGGCTGCTGTGGTGCCTGGGGGACTTCTTAACCCCTAATTAGAGCCCCTTTCCTGGGCTGAAACTCAAGCTCCCCTAGTGTCCCATCAGGCCCAGGGAGCTGTTCCCCCTACGTGTTGACTCATTTCCCTCACCAGCATGGCCATTTCCTACACACATGGAGGTCATGTTTTCTCCCTGAGGGTCCTCTCTCCCTCCCTCCCTCTCTTGTCGACACAACACTCAGTGCCTTTGGTGTGACACAGTTCAGATTTTGCAGACCTGCAGGCTGCACATCATGCCAATCTGAGAGCCTGTGCATCTATGCATTTTAAGCAGAAAAGCTCTTTCATGTCTCAGCTTTGTGTCTACAGACTCGAGCTCAATATGCACTGTTGAATGTTAGAGAAATTCCAGTCTGAAGTGAGTTCTAATAACATGTACAGATTTGTTACCTAGGATTAATTCAGCATGTTGTGTGCCATGATGCTATCTTTATCTCCTCTCCTCATTTGTGCTTGCTTGTCTCTCTCACTAATGCTGCCTTGTTGCTGTGACACTAACCAGGACTCTGCACTGGGACTCTGATCCGTCCACTCTTCAACTTCACTCTGATTCTGAGCTGGGGTACTGGACACTCTCTTCTCTCCTTTTCTGGTCATTTTCCCTTCTCTCAATCTACGGCATGATTACTGTGCTTTCAAAGTCATGATTCTGCTAACGCAATCCAGAAGAAGAGTCAACTAGTGCATGCAAACGACAACAGCTTTTAATAAATTCACAATGGGTGTTGAACTAATCAGGAATCTTTGCCATCCCATGAAACACTCATTTACTGACATTGATCAGCACCAGATTCCTCTTCCACAGAGGCTCCAAAAAACAAATGAGAATCGTAACACTAGAAGACTGTTTTGCTTGTTTTTATTTCTTGTTACAAATGTTTTTACTTTGTAGTTTTAGCAGCTTGTGCAAAGTTTGAGTCATTTTGTGTTTTTAGGCGGGCGACACCTAAACTGGGAATGGCCAAAATCACACAGGTGGACTTCCCACCACGTGAGACTGTGTCCTACACAAAAGAAACCCAGACACCTGTCATGACGCTGCAGAAAGAAGGTAATTCTTACATAACGTAACCTCAAAAAAACAGACTAACACGAGTTAACCTTGTTGTGTGACTGAACATGTGGGTTCTTCAAAAAAGATAAAAAAAAAAGTCATGGTTTGCTTCACAACTTCTAAAGAATTATGCAAAACAAAAGCATCCAAAGGCTGTTCTTGAATGTACGAGTGGCTGACCGGAAGTGATCAGCAAGTCAGGAGATCTGATTGGAGATGAAAGGAGAGAGGGGAAAAAAAGAGGCCCAGGAAACACAAGAAGCTGAAAGAGATATTAAATTCAGACAAGCCCTGCTCCTCTGATCCTCACCACCAACCCTGCTCTGGGAAAATTAATGAGCAGGATGAGAAGACCAGTGACAGGAAGGAGAAAGCGATTCAGGAGGGAGATATGAAGCTCTGCGACTGCATACGACTGCTCTCTGCGAGTGAAGCATGTCGATATGTATGTAATTGCTGCTCTGGAGCTTTCATGTGGCCAGCCGAGGAGAATACTTGGACCGCTACTAGCCTCCACATGTTGAACAGATGTTTGATAAAATATGCAATATTTGTGGGTGTGCTGTTTGTTCCTGGTTGATTTATGTAATGATAGATGGCGTATTATGCGCTTGACTTAATCCCTGATTAGAACTTTTTGTTTTCCGTTCTGATTTTTGTTTTTATTAGACAGATCTGTCAGAACTGTAACTACTGGATGGAACGAGCCCCGCTTTCCAGGCTGTTGGCTCCATTTGTTTGCCTCAGCTGACACATCTCTTTAAGAATTTTGAAAGCCTGGTTAGGATTTTAAACAGTATGCTGATTGGTGGTTGTTGTCCCACCAGGTGATGTGTAGAAAATTCAGATGTGGCATGCAGCAGGAATGAGATCAAATTGTGTGATTTTGTGGAAAGACTACGAGCAGAACTAGTGAAGGATGAAGAGCGTCCCTCTGTTTGTAGTTGCTCTTTACTCCTGACTCTCCTGGGCATTGTAAAACTGTGTTAAACAATGATGGTTTCTGCCAGCTGTTCAACACCACCACCCCCCCTCCCTCTCTGCCACTATGTAATCATTTCATCAACTTCCCCTCACTTCCCTGTCTTCTCCCTTCAACGAGCAGCCACATAACAAAACACACTCGGTGACATTGTGCATTTTCACACCATCACTTCTGGCACTCGATGAGGCGGCATCCCCTTCCCCAGCTCGTTTCCTTCGGCGCATTTTTGATGCGTGGGGCAGCGTCAGGCCTGTTCTTTGATTGAGCGATTTATCATGTTGTCAGAAAGAGGCAACGGCGCAGCACTCTCAAGGTCAGCGGGCGGTGGCTTTCAAGGGATTCAGCTGCTGCACACTGAGGGTTTCCTCGGAGTCTGCTGGACATCTTGAAGATAGGAGGGAAATATTTTAACACTGCCTGCCCTGTTGACATCAACAAAACCCTGGTCTGTGGAGCAGAACACATCTATGCTTGTTATCAGTGGAGCATTATTGCTTCACCCTACTCAACTAGAAACAGGCTGGGGGTCCGTATATTAAAGATAATACAGGTACATGTATTCAGTGAAATCAAAAGTCCATTATCTGTATGAGCAAAGTAGATAAAGCTTTTATATTTGTGATAGGTGATTGTCTTACACTGGATTAAAATGGATGCCGTAAGTGGTCGCTGACTGTGAAGTCAAAAGATGTAGCCTAGAGCTCCCCCTACTGACTGGGGCTGCTGTGCAGGTCATAAACCCCGCCTACCCCATGTTAACAGATGGACTGTAGATCACGCTATAAAATTGAGATATTCATCATATGATTTTTTTTTTCTCAAACTCACTCTTATTGTGTTTATTTGTGTCCAAGATTTCATGTTTCCTTAGGAATTTAGTTTTTATTACTTATTTGAAAACTGCAGGTTTCTGCAGAAACAAGGAGGAGTAACAAGAGAAAACATTGCAAAAACCAACACAAGAGTCCATCGCCCTCAGTGTCAGTTTCAAATCAACACAAGGATTTTACAGTGACCTGAGAGACCTTCAAAGTTTTATGAGTATTTTTAGTGCATGTTTTAGTCAGTACAAAAGATGTGACGTCAGTCCTGCAGCCATGGCAGCCAGGTCACCTCTGTGCCTTATCAAAGCAGCCTCTTGACTTCACATCTCTGAAAAGGTAGAAATGAAGGCATATTTCTGGATAGAGTCAAAGGTGAATATAGTGTAAAATAACAGTGCAGAAGGCTGGAGTAACAGTCAGAGAAGAACAGTCATAAGAAGTGGACTGCATACCTCGCTCTAAATGTCTCGATCGATGGGATACGTTCCCCTGCTGCCACCTGTTGGGTGATGGTGTGTAATAAGTTTGGGGTGCATTACTCCTGTGCCCCAAGTCGCTCTCTTGTTTGGGTTTGTTTGGCGGGGTTGTCACACAGTGTCAGGCTGGAGACATTCATTACTTTACACGTGGATGCAACATTTTTATTGCTGAATTTACAGTTGACTCACTGTGTAATATTTACCTCACCCTTTGAAACACTCATATGATCCAAGTCCGGTTTTGAAGTCCTACTCAGTGAAGATCTGACTTTAGTGTTGCAAAATTTGGTAGCCCTAGCTTAGCTTACAATGAAGCATCCTCCCAGATGTCTTAAGCAGCCCTTGAAGACAAAGGGAGAATTAAGATGCATTTTTAAATAATAGAAGTAGCACTATCCCCACCGTAGTTTTAGCCGTAATTTCAGGGTTAGGGTCTTCAGATTGATGAATATCTGTGCCCCTGCTACAGTATTCCCAGATTGCAGCAGTAGGTAATATGCAGCATCAGTATGCACTCTTTAACAAGAGGCTGTAATTATGGAATAAGATATTGTTAGAGGTAGGGGTGGTGTGTGTGTGTGTGCGGGTGGAGTGGTTGGTCTGGTGCAGTGTTTAAAAAGGCTTGTCAGGATTATGAGTGTGTGGAGCAGTGCGGTAAATCTAATATTTAATTGAATGTGATTGTTTTAATCGCTCTGAATTCAGAGGCAGGTCAAAACTTTTAATCACAAAAGCCCTTTAATGGCCTTCTTTTGTGGAGTGCCACTTGTAATTGTGGCCAGCTTTTATGCACTTGATGATTAGTACTGTTAAATATCTATTGTATCCACCTCCCCCTGTAATACTGTAGCTAATTTCCAACAGAAAGTCTGCTGTAATGTCTTTTTTTACCTAGGATTGGATATTTAGAGGTAAAAATTTTTATTGTATCTGCGGTGGATGTTTGGTCTGGTTTTAGATTTCTGCCTTTGGTTGGCTTATCAGTGATCTCTCAACCTCAGTGTCATTGGAGACGTGTAACCATGTCAAGAAAACAATAGAGTCCCGCGTCACAGATGACCAAGTCTTGAACAGTGATATCAGATTGACAGCCAGCTGATATCTTTGTTTTTATTTGCCTTGTAGCAGTTTTTCCTTTTGCTCCTCTTTGACACACAATCACAAACGTTTTACTGCTCGGAAAAAAAGGTTGATCTTGGTTTTTGAAGTGCATTCTGCTAACTGGATCTCGAGGTTTTGAGAAACTAGAAGTAGTAGCGGACGTGTTCCTGTGCCTGTGTAGTGGCGGGTTGATGTTCTGTGGGTCGTTGCGGGGCTTTCATACAGCCGATAAAAAAAAAAACCCTTGTGCACGCGCTGGAGTCAGACCTCTTTTCGTTTGAATGTATAGAAAATGGGGGACACCTGCAGTGGAGGGCAAAGGTCACCTAGTTTTGAACTTTTATATCGCCGTGTTTGCATTAATATATTGTCCACTGACTAAGACCTGTGATTAACCCCACCCCCCACCCCCCACACCCCCAAAAGCTTTTATTTCTTAAGCGGTTAAAAGCCATAATTGGGCCTGCTTTCAGAGGAGGTGTCAGTGTATAGGACATCGCTGATCCGGGTGAATTCTGTTAAATGCAACTCTCCCCTCCCTCCCCACTTCCTCCACCGCCCACCCTGGCTAGGCACTACTACTACCCCCTCTACACATCCACAGCGGGGTCACCAGGATCACTAGCTTTTCTCCAAATGGCCATTTTGGCTGGCAGGTGCATTATACCCTTTATTTTCAGATTGTCTATCCGCTCCTAATGCCTGGCAGGTTGATTGCTCTGGCTGCCTCACCAGGCAGAGGGCTGACGAGCACGGCTGGGACTATCTGAAAGACAGTGATTACTGTTTTCCTTTAAGCCTGATTGAGGCCCTTGAAAGGAAAGATTTTAACCTTGTCCTGTTGGCTGCAGAGTATGGCCGCACATTGAAATGGCTCGTGTCATCAACCCGGTTTTAGTAAACTCATCAGTGCACCCAATAACCCTCTTCCCCAAACCTCCATCTGAGAAAGGGGATAAATCACTTTATGGACAAAGTGACAGATGACATTATCATTTAGATTATCTCAGTAGGAAGGAAATTCTGGCGTGCTGTGCTGTCATCTTAGATTAACTATAAGACTTATACCAAGATAAACGTCTGTAGGAACCAGGCGAGTATTTTTCCTCGGCTCATCCTGAATCTGTTTTGTCTCGCTTTTGCTATTATGCTTTACATTGAAAGCACGGTCTATATACTGTCTCGGAGATGTGTTTTGAAGAAGAAAAAAAAAAGAAAGCGTTTATCTCCTCCGAGGTAGCACCGGTGTGCTGTTTGCCAGCTGGTCTGGCCTGTATTTTGTTGTACATTCTCTGAGGTTGAATAGGAGTTGCAGGACCTCCTGCTAAGACGGTAATTGCTCGGGCTCGCTGTTCAGGGAGAAGCTTGTCTCGGGGCAGCCAGGCGGAAAACCTCTGTGCCATCCCCATGCCACCTTTGAAGAGCACAAGACAATCCCGGCATCGCCATCTGCTTTTGCACCATGCCGTCATCTGGTCAGACCAATGGGATGGGGCCAGGGGCAGCTGCTCCAACACCCCTCTGCCCCGCTGCCTGTGGCCTAGAAGGGGTTCAACCTGCCACTGTGTCACAGAGGAAGCAGCTACACTGACAGCTCGACTCACTATTGAAACGCTGCGGTCTCATTAACAGTTGGGAAAGACAGGGGTCCCTATGACAACAAGACCCCCGCTGTGCTGTGTCCCTTTAACACAAATGACAAACTTCCCTGCTTTAGAGGAGCAGGTTCTTTTGAAAGGCGACATTGTTGCTGACAAACCAAACAAATGGAAAGCAGAGATACAGAATCAGTCTTTGGCAGTGCACATAATCACCGGGGTGGAGCTTTTATTGCCGAGAGAAAATAATGGAGATGGAGGATGTAGTGACCAAAAGGTACGAGGCGTTGTAATGAGGCATGGCTGTTTTGTTGTGTGAAAGTTGTCTCTTTTGATGAGATTTAATGCCGTTTACATTTGAAAGTTTGACTGAATGTTTATCATGAGAAACGAGGAAATGGAAAACAATGATTAAATGCTGTACATCTGCTGTTTACATCAAACTCTGTCTACACTCATTGTTTAACATAACTCATACTCTTCAATTAACAGAAGAAGAAGAGGAGGAAGAAGCTGCGCCTCCACAGCCAGTTATCGAGACTCAGACTGAGAAACTGGACCAGAAAGAGGATGAGGAAGGTACGCAGTCGCCATGAATGATACTTGAATGAGATGAAGCTGTGTCAGTCTCTGTAAGGGTTTTATGAAAGTCAGTGCACGTTACATAGAGCGGCACAGGACTTACCATTGAAGACCCATACTTAATTTTGTCGGTTTATTATTTTCCTCCCTATAGCGCCCCCTCATGAGCTGACAGAGGAGGAAAAACTCCAGATCCTGCACTCTGAGGAGTTTGTGAACTTCTTTGACCACAGCACGCGCATCATTGAGCGGGCTCTCTCCGAGCACGTGGACATCTTTTTTGACTACAGCGGTCGTGACCTGGAGGAGAAGGACGGGTAATAATTGGACAACTTGTGTTTCTTCTTCTCCTTTCTTTTTTTTTTGGACTTGTAATTGGTTTGTGGAGAGGTGTTGGTATTGATTTGTGGTGCTTTATCTTCCACAGTGAAATCCAGGCTGGAGCAAAACTCTCTCTAAACAGACAGTTCATGGATGAGCGCTGGTCTAAGCACCGCGTCGTCACCTGCCTGGACTGGTCCCCACAGGTCCTTCTCTTTTTGTGACTTTCAGTAACCAAACCAACAGATGAACACATTTCCAGAGCTGCATATAGACTTGTTCGCAGTTTGTCAATCATGATGAATTTGTGCCTTTTGAACTGCGTCATAATTGTTGTTAATTGGCTGTTGAAACAACTTAGCTTTTCACAGCCATAATGCTTTATGATTAGCTAGCTGGAGTTTGACAGCGTTTACAATCATCCACAAGTCCCTCAGGAAAAGTTAGTTATGCCCCACACAGATTGTCACTTAGTCAGAGGCCGTAATGATTTGTTTCCTCTGGTGTCTGAGGTCATTGAATGCATTATTCTGCAATGACTTCTGGCAGTAATTTAACAGCAACTCTTGGCTAACAGTGTTTACTCTCTCAGAGCATTAACCATACCGCTGTGATTTGAAATAATGAAATTCTCAAACTGTAAATCTTACACCAAGCATCAGTAGCAGCAGAGGTTAATGGTTTGTTTACGTCTGGGTTGTATTTCTGAAGAATCTATCATGCCTGTTTTTTTCAACAAGAGCTTTTAATTAGTTTAATTTTTAGATTTTCAATGAGCTCCTCTGTTTGACTCTTTATGCTTTTGGTTAAAATTACCAAAGGGGAATTAGATGGAAGTGACCAAAGTTTGTTGGGGGGTAGGGCAAATTAAACGGGCCATAAATCTTGAGGAAAGACTTACTCATTCTTTCAGGCATTCAGCCGCACCACACAGGGCAGGCGAGGTTTGTCCACATGGAGCCAAGCCTGAGGCGCATGTCTGCCTCCTCTCTCATATTCATGTGGCGTTTTTTCTTTTTCTGTCACCAGTATCCTGAACTCCTGGTCGCCTCGTACAACAACAACGAGGAGGCTCCTCATGAGCCAGACGGCGTAGCCTTGGTGTGGAACATGAAGTACAAGAAGGCTACGCCGGAGTACGTCTTCCACTGTCAGGTATGAAAAGTCTCTTAAGCTCCACATACACGTCCTCACCGGTAGCCTCCTCTAAGGCAAGCATAGAAAACCGCCAACCAAACAGCCTTTGTTGGCTCGCCCTCTCTACTCCCCTCACCCTCTTGCTTTCACTAACATCGTGAGTTCACCGTACTGGCATCTACCTCCACCACATCCATCCACAAACACATGTTCGTGAGGCGCCGTAGAAGACCTGTGGTGCAGGAGTCGAATGGAATCCAGGCTCTGCTGCAGGATTAAGTGTGTGGGGCAGGGCTGGTTATCATGTGCATCCAAACAAGGACCCTGTGTTCAGACGAGCAGTGCAGCTCCTCCGCTCTGCCCGGCCTTATTATAATGCCTGCCCCGAGGCTCCGTCACCAAGACAAGTTGAGTAGAACCACATGTTTCTGACTCCAGAGCGGATGTGGATGCAGGCGTATTGCTCAGATGAATAAAACTGAACAGAAGTGTGAATGCAGTTTTCTCTGAGCCTCCCAGTCAGCCCATAATGAGATTTTCTTAAACCATGCGTCACCCTTTTTTTGTCGAGAAAATCCAGTTTGGAAAAATTACGGTGGTACAAGTGTGATAGGTGAAGTGATGAGAGCAAGTAGGCCACCCAAAAACCAAAGCGAGGTAATGAAATACATGAATCAAGTCATGGTCCAAGTCAGATTATATAATAATGCTGTTAACAAGCCGAGAAGGTTTGTTTTTTTTCCCTGTCGAAAACTGTGCCGTGAGTGCTGAAAGATTCATACAGAAAAAAGAAACATGCTCAGAACAGTTTGACCGTATAACTTTGAGACGAAGCAAGAAAACCACTTCACCGTTGAGGTTATTTTTCATATTTCAGGAGATCCTGGTGTAAAACTTAGTCGACTTTTCTTGATGCAGGACAGTTGTGTGTTCCAGTTTGCCCCTGTCGCTCTGACAGTCTTTACTAAATATGTTTGCACTGCCCTGGCTTGCAGTTGCTTTTAAATCTCAGTATCAAAACACAGTTTGTGGCCCTCTGTAGGAATCTTTTTAAAAGAGTTGATTTTACAGGAACTGTTGCCGATCAAGAACGACATGTGAGCGTGCATACAAGTGAAAACGCCAACAAGCCCGTGTTTGAGACTGAATACATCGTCAGGTCCTCATTCCAAAAATAAAAACAAAAAAAAGCAGTCAATGTTGGAGTCCAAGTTGAGTCAGAAGTCCTGAAAATCAGCATTAGAGTCAGTCTCAAGTTAAACAACACTGGTGATTGAATAACTTTTCCTCTGAAATCAGGAGGGGTTCTTTTTAAAATTGAAATATCCTGTCTGCCAGCTCTACTCACTATCTTGATGCACCTCTGTGCCTCTCTGAGTAACCCTGCCAGTGCAGCCTTGTTTATCCGAGTAGATCTTTGGTCTTTAAAGTGAACTCTAGGGATGGGCAATAAATTATCGTTCACAATATATCGTCAGAAAAATCCTCCATGATAAATATTTGCCATTTTATGATGAATATGATAAATGCAAGTTGATGACGTAAGCGTGACCGACGGACTCACAGCCCACACAGAGCAGAATAACAAACAAACAAACATGGCTGAAGGTGATGAAGAAGACGCTTCTGAGCAGCTCATTACTGAACGAGGCTCCACATGAGGGATTTCCTTCAAGACATCGGACAGTGGATCTGCTGCTGTTCACTCTGTGCAATAAGAGTTCTCTACAAATGTTGAAAATGTTTTCACATTTGAGACTTATTTGATGTCATTAGTTTTCTCTATAACCCACAACTCAAACTTGTGGTTAAGTACCTTATTTGACTACTCCATCTGGTGTTCTCAGGACAAAATGAGTCAAAAATATAGATTGGAATTCTAATATTTTTTATCGAGGCGTTTATTGCTAGAATGGCAAATCTTACTGTGGTAAGTTTTTTAACCCATATCGCTCATCCCTAGTGAACCCTCATCTTGATTCTATGGGATGTAAGAACCTGTATCCTCTCTTTTTTTTTCTCACAGTCTGCTGTTATGTCGGCCGCTTTCGCCAAGTTCCACCCAAACGTTGTGGTGGGGGGCACCTACTCAGGGCAGATTGTTCTGTGGGACAACAGGAGCAACAAGAGGACCCCTGTACAGAGGACCCCCCTGTCAGCTGCAGCACATACGGTACAGAAGCAGACAGACGCAGTGGGCTTGTAGTCTATTTTCACCAACAGAAAAGTAAGATTTCCTCTCGTGTCTCTTTGCAGCACCCAGTGTACTGTGTGAATGTGGTCGGCACCCAGAATGCCAACAACCTGATCAGCATCTCCACGGACGGCAAGATGTGCTCGTGGAGTCTGGACATGCTCTCTCAGCCACAGGTAACACCCGTTTATTAGACTGTGAGTGTCAGTGAGGCGAGATTACACAAACACTCCAAGATTTAAGATTGACCCGTAAACTTTAATAGCTGTGTTCACATCTTACAGAGCAGTGTGGAGCATATTTCCTCCATGTTGTGTCCTCTCTGTCTCTTCACTGTCACATTCCACACACTTCCTGTCCCTCCTGTTCACGGTAAATGTCAAACATTTCGGCCGGGCTCTTTCTTTTTAGCATTCCAGCTTCCCTTCGATTTATTTTCTCTTCAACTCATTTTTCACTTTCCAGGAAATTAACTTTGCTAGCTGTGTCATTTCAAGCGAGCTGCCAAGACCTCAATGTCAAAACTTGCATTTTTTATAAAGTGCTAGTTGAATTTGGATTATGCATTAATAAACTGTCAAGTGATTTTTATAGGTTGTGTTTGGCAGTGTGTGTGTTAGCATTAAGCCTGAGCAGGGAGCTTGTTAAAGGATGTTGTTCCACTGTCTCCCCCCCTCTGCAGGACAGCATGGAGCTGGTTTTCAAGCAGTCCAAGGCCGTAGCTGTCACCTCCATGTCTTTCCCTCTCGGAGATGTCAACAATTTTGTGGTGGGCAGCGAGGACGGTTCTGTCTACATGTCATGTCGTCATGGAAGGTGCGTTCACAAGCGGCCCCAGTTCCACCGGCATCCCTCCTCCCCCCCGAACACGGCCAGGAAACTGAGGCGGCTTGTCAGGGCCCACCTAGCACCAAGTGTCAAATAAATATAGCCCACTCACTTCCCAGCGCAACGCAAATCCAACACTTGATCTCCCGCTGTTTGAGGTTTCACTCCTGCCCAGTCATCCTGTTTTTCTTTTCCGCTTGTCAGTTGTGTTTGTAAAGGTCGCTCAACATAAACAGGGCACACATGCAGGGGAAACAAATCATTTTTTCCTCCTCTATTTTTTCTCTCTCTCCTCCTCTCTTTAGTACGTTTCAGTGGGTGAGAGAGTGTGTTTACAGTCAGTCGTCCCAGGGAGAATTAAAAACTACATTTCATCCTACAATGTTCTCATTTTAAAAAACCTGGAGCCTCCTCATACAGCGGGTTGAATCAGAGCTGCCAGTGAGCAGCGTGTTAACTGCAGGCCCTGCAGTCTGCCTGTAAGACTGCACAGAGGGGAGAGACGCGAGGTTTAGCAGTGCAGAATCACCTCTGTAATTGGGGGAATAATTTTCCAGCTCATTGACGATGGTATGATACTTCTCATCACAGTTAATAATGCATAAGCATCACTCACGCTGAGTATTTACCTCTCTGCGTTAATTATCAGAGCCTCAGTTCGGTAACAGATCTGCAACATGTGGTTGAGGGTTGCAGGCACTTTTTCTAGCCTGCAGGTGATCATGTGACATCTGAAGTAAGAGAGAAATGTGAACATGTCCAGAAGGGGTTGGCTCTTATACCCTGAGAAAACCGATGGGTGCAAACTGCTTTGAAATAAACACAACATTATTTTCACAGAAATATGTATATCAAAATGTTTTATCATGAATTTAGGCAAAGACTTGATTATCAGGGTACAGATGAAAATACAGGATGACTTCACTCATGCTGACAGTAAATGGGTCAATCTGAGTTACATCATTATCACTTCTTCCATGTACTCCACAGCAAAGCGGGCATTAGTGAGATGTTCGAGGGCCACCAGGGGCCCATCACAGGGATCCACTGCCACACAGCTCCAGGGCCCCTGGACTTCTCCCACCTGTTCGTGACCTCCTCTTTCGACTGGACTGTCAAGCTGTGGAGCACCAAGGTACCAGCAAATCCAGGCTACATATGTTAATGTCCCTGAAGCCCCCAGGATTGATGGAAATGTTTTTAATGAATTCTGTGTCAGCGTTTTGTGCATCTACTAAGTTCCATACAACTCGGTGTCAGCTCCTTTTTAACCGCAGTGAAGCTCAGGGTGATAATTTACCTTTATGTTGATATCATTGTCAGATACTGTTGTTAAATCCCTGTAACAATATAAGTCCCTACAAAGATCTGGCTCCTTTGTGGAATTTAAAAGAAGGCAATTATGACAGAAATAAGGAGCCAACAGATCAAGCTTTGTAACAATGACAGGATTTATAGAACCTTCTGCTGCTTTTGGATTATTGTCTTAGCTTAAACATCTGCAATCTGCTCTACATTCAAACACCCCTGTCCTTAAATGTCTGTTCCAGCTGATTATCTATGCAATGATTACTGTCTCGAGGTCAAGTTTTGCTAATTAACATTAAACACTTACAGCTGATTAAAATTGCTTTTGCCTTTAACTGATGGTATAGAAAATTAAAAAAGAAAAACACTTTTTTCAAGTGTGAAGTTTAAACTTAAAAACTTTGAAAGTTTTACAATTCATCGAGGACAGGACATGAGAAGCTTTACTACATTTGTCCAATACTCATTAAGATTCTTCGACTCCTGACTTGTTGAGTTCTGTTTGGTAGTAAGCTGCTGTTTTTAGAGGTGTAACCGCCGTACTTCTTGAACTCATATTTCTGATGGATGGTTAATCAGATCATGAAGCAATATTTACACCAATACCCAATGCTTCCTCCTTTCTTTATTTCTGTTTGCAGAACAACAAGCCGCTCTACTCATTTGAGGATAACTCCGATTACGTGTACGATGTCATGTGGTCTCCCACTCACCCCACGCTTTTTGCTTGTGTCGATGGAGTCGGCCATCTCGACCTGTGGAACCTCAACAACGACACCGAGGTATCACTGCTCTCAAACATTCTCACATCTGTTCCAAGTGTTTTACTTCACAATGCCAAATAAAACACTGCAGAGAATATTTATGAGTTATTTTTGTGTGTCATTTTTAAGGTTCCGACCGCCAGTGTCACCGTAGATGGAAACCCCGCCCTCAACAGGGTCAGATGGGCCCACTCAGGCAGGGAAATCGCCGTGGGAGACTCAGATGGACGAGTCCTTGTGTACGATGTTGGAGAGGTGCGCAGCCATGACTCAGCTTTTTGACTGTTCTGTACTTTCATGAGGTAATTGTTCACAATGCCATTACTCCCTCATGTCGCTGAAATGTGCGTCTGTTGTACGTCTACCTTCACAGCAAACTGCTGTTCCACGAAACGACGAGTGGACCCGCTTCGTGCGCACGCTTGCAGAGATCAACGAGAACAGAGACGACGCAGAGGAACTGGCGGCTCAGCGCCTGGCTGCCTGATCGACACGGCGTGCGTGAGATGTTTAAGGGACCAGTGGTGTGCTCGTTATTCTCAGCCTCATTTTGTGAGAATAAAAAAATGATGTGGCGACGTCATGACAGAGGAAATAATCCAACTTTTGATGAAAGAGAAGTGAGGACATCTTCAGCCCCTCCTTCCCCCCTTCCCTTAAAAAAAACTCAGCTCACTGTAGTAGCTGGAGCCTCTTTTTTTGTAGAGAGATAGAAGTAACAGGGCTGTAACCTCAAACACTAACAGGAAGCCATATTTACAAACACGAACAGGTCGTCCTTTCTCCAACCAGATGCCTTAAACTTTCATTTCACCTTGATTGTAAAACCCATCCAGTCTTCTTTTGGGCATTTTAACACTTTTGCCTTATTTGTCGTTGAGTTTTTAACCCACGTTGGTGCTTCACTCCACACACATTCATGGTAAACACTCAGCTGAGCTCAGTTTCTACCAAAGTTGTAATAAAGCAATCACGTCTGGAAACACCGTGGAATGTAGAGTTACGTTCACTGTAGCCCTCGTTTCATCCTCGTTTGTAAATGACTATATACTGAATTGCCGTCATCCAAATATCTTTCTACTACTGTATAGATCAGTTCTCTACCAGTTCTCAGTAGACAAAGCAGCTGGTTAGATTTGGGATAGCTGGGATACAATTAATGCCTGATGATCATGTATGCTGTAATTGGTCAGTGATTTCCACGTCTGTACGTGAAACAGAGATCGTCTGTTTCCTGAAGAATCTCAAAGCTTGGTGTTGAAACTGGGAATGTACTTTTCACACAGAAGCAACAGTTTAAATGATTTATTTCAATAAAATACAATAAATACATTTAAATTATTTCCCCGAGTCCCTGGTTTTGATTTCAAAATGAACACTTTTGAAAACATCTGTACATCCTCGTGTCTTTTGAACTTTAACTTGACACATGCACACCGAAGCGATCGCACACCAGAAAAAGCAGTAACAATCCTTTATAAGGCCATAATGTCCCTCTGTGGAGAAGTACAATGTGTACAATAAAGTAGTGCAAAGAAAGCTATGCAAAGAAAAACGGAAAGCCAAACTCATGCAGCATCCATAGTAAGACAATCACCCAAAACGGTTGTATCGCAAAGTGGTTGAGTTAAATGCTTTAGGAGGAAACATGACTGTGATAGCATGCAGCCCTCTCAGGCACCACGAGACGCTTTTATGAAGGCTGCGGCTCACTTTTGGCCTCCGCTGGTTTGATTGTCGCCTCGCCAGAAGGCTTGAACTTTGGCAGATGCAGACCAAACTTTCGCTCCACGCCGGCAAAGGTTGCAGCAGCCAGACGGTAGCCGCCTACGTGGTCTGCAGTCACAGAGGGAAGGTCCTCAAGGGTCGGTTTGGGAGTGGGCTCAGAACCTGCTGGACGACTGATGAAAGAGAGTCCGATCAGAGGTTGGGGGTGTTGCTTTACTTCAGCTGAAGGTATTTTGAGTTTTAAAGGGGTTTGAAGTACTTACTGTCCTCCAAAGTCAACGTAGAACCATCTCTGCAGCAGCTCATAGGTCACCAGGGTTACACCGAACTGGGGGGAAGATCTGAAGACGCGAGCTAATGGGGAAGAGTTTGACGATATGGGATTTAGTTTTGCTGTAACAAACACACAGAGCCTCCTTTCCGTAGACATCAAACCACATACAAAACTGTTGCATATGTATGGACAGTCTGTACATTTACCTCCTGCCCCCTTCCAAAATGCTCTGAAACCTTCTTCCTTAAGGATCTTCCTGAAGCAGTCGATGACTCCGGTGTATGTGGTCTGGCCTGCTCGGGCCGCCACCTGGAGCCTGGTCTTGATGACATCAGCAGGGGTCACGAGCGAAGCCGCTGGTACACCTTAGGAGACAATTCACAACAGACGTAATGAAGCTCAGACTGTGTTCAGATCTGTGCTGCAGCATCATGCAGGCTTTAAAATGGGTGTAGATGTAAAGTGCAGTCGATGAAAGTGCTGCATACATTTACAGCTCGTGTCTTTTTTTAATTTTCTTTGAAGCAGAAAATGTGACAAATCTGCCAATTAAATCACGTGATGTTTAACTTTTCAAAGATGTTTCATACCTGCAATCGCTCCAGCGGTGAGCAGCTGAAGGGCCCCCAGTCTGCCGTCATCGTCTGCCAGTTTGGACTTGGTGTGGGCATACACAGGGAAGTAGATGGCAGAGAAGGGGATGTCACGCAAGAAGCAAGCTTTGGCCCCCTACACACACACACACACACAAAAAAAAGAACAGTTAAAGGATATACATCATAAACAGCAGAGGCCGGTCTCAGGATAAATTGACCCGGGAGCTGTCTGTTCAAATCTACTGGGGGGTTTAGTGTTGACGATCGAGCCATGGAGCCCCAGGCAGAGCTCTACCCTTAAAAAAGAGATCCATCACACACACGCACATACACAGGGCCGCCATGGATGGTGGTTTGTTGGCTTCCTCTGCCAAGAGAGTTTAACGTTTTTCCTCCTTTAACAAGCCACACACTGTCTGCTCCTCATTAAAATATGGAGTATGAACACACGCGTGGAGCTGTAAGTAAAGCCACAAGGACCTGGAAGCAGCAGTAGCCAAGCGTAATGCCTGACTAATTTGCTGTCAGTTGTTGACCGTGACTTCCTTTACAAGTTTAACAATGTTGGAGAAAAACGGCAAACGCTCAGAAAAAGAAGTGTTTAATGTTTAAATTCACGATCCTGATCTTCATTATGTCCGTGCAAAAACACAGCAGTGTTTCATCTGCCCAACATTACGGCCAAAACAAACCCATCATATGGTTACATACAGGAGAGTGAGGTCAGAACATTTACCATACTACTACCACACTACAAGGGTTATGACAGTGTTGCTGTTTATCAAGTCTAGAGGGATTTTTGTTCTCTGTGTTTCATTAACAGATAATCAGACAACAGGATTTACCATTTCCACTGCTGAGGCGATACTGTTTTAAAAGTTGTTTGTTTGGCAGCAGGTTCACTGAAAACTTCTGACCTGGATTTCAATGATCTTGGTAAAAGTTTGAGGTGTGGTTCAGTAAAGCACCGATCTAACTTTGGACTGTCATCTCACAAACATGCAATATTTAAACAAAATGTAACACTGGTGTCAAAACTCAAGCGCACCAAAGACACATTACACATTAACAGTTTTCACTTTAACTGTAGCATAAAAAAGTTTCCACTGATGACTTTATTTTCGTATATTTTTATTAATATGTTTGTGCTTCTACTGTCAACAAATGTATGATAAGTCTGTACAATCTTTCAGTTTATGAGTAATTAAAGCTCCAGTTAGGAACTTTCTGTTTGTGCAGATTTTGGCGCCTCCTGTGGACAAGGTTATAACACTTGTCTCATTTCTGGTTTGTCCTCATGTGCAAGCAGCGTTCTCTGACTAATACTGTCAAACCGCCGTCTGTCATCGTTAAAGTGCATCGCTCATTGTGAACTTGCTGAAAATGTAAAAAGGCTCTTTGCGCTGTCAATCACTTGGTTTGACTCCTTCCTCCTTGCAGCTGTTAAAGGCACTGAAAATTACAACTTACAAAGAGTCGGTCTTGGTGCTGATGGTCTTGTATGCTATTTGAGGTCATAGAGAGGCATCAGTGTTGATTTGAGTCTGTGTTATGACTCCTCACAGGAGCTTTAAACCTGTTTATTTCAATGATGCAATAAAAATACAACAAAAATGATTCAAACAATAAAACCTGGAGAGTGGTACTTCATTTCATGAGCTCCCACTTAAGTTCTAGTATGAGGTTATTTTGCTCGAGAGTGTTTTGCGCTGATACAAAAGAACATACATACATGTCAAGTTGATCTTCAATGGAAATAAAATTATTGAACCACTAATTTTAAAAATGTTTCTAATATAATATTTGAAACCTGACCGTGAGATTTTCCATCAACGTTTGTCATTTTCAAAATTAAAGTGAAAGTACTTTTGACTTAAAATCATGAGTAAAGGCATCCATGTTTGATCAATTCTACAGACTTTGTATTTAGTTGAGAGAAATGCGAGACATATAGAAAAGTACATGCCGACCCTAGTGAACAGTATGTTTTTAGTATTGTTTCTGAGGAACATAAGAGAACTTTCATTGTCCTTGTGTGTCTGTGAGCAGAGGTTGCTGCTGCTGCAGACGTCATGGAGCTGCAGAGGTGCTGACCTACCTTGTAGAGGCCAAAGAAGCCCAGGTCTCTCACAACAGTCAGGGCACTGACCCGGGGGCCTGTGGTGATCTCTCCAGCCACCTGCAGACGGATCTTAACAATCTCCAGAGGGTTGGTGAAAATCACCTGGGAACCTCCGGCCTGCAGAGGAGGAGAAACAGGAGAAAGAAAACTGTTGAAGAGAGGTTTCAAAAGCACAAATGTGTTTTTGTTCAGAGCCGAATGAAGGCTGAGCTTTTTGTAATGGTGTGTAAGCATTGCTCATAAGTAGGAACTTTTAAATCACCTCAGTAAACTTCTGCACAAAGACACTTTTTTCCTGCTGATCTGACTCTGTCTAGTAAAAGCACGGCCCTGATAGAGGAGGCATTGATAGGAGAACCATGAGGGTCAGAGCAGAGCTGGCGTCGGGTGAGTAGAAGCCCCGGCTCATGGTCGGGAATCTCTGACCCTAGTAGCGGCCCTCTGCCCCCTCGTCTCCCCCCGAGGCACCCCCTGTGGCAGGGTGAGCGGCCCAGCCTGGCCTCTCCCCGCACACTTCCCAGATTCACCCCCTATTCCCAGGGGAGAGCACTGAATCACCCGGGCGGCTTGGGGTACGGACAGGCAATGCCCTGAAGGCTCAGCACCCTCTGACTCAGGCACATTTATCACCCGCCCCAAATCAAATCAGGCCCCAGGATGGCTGCTTGTGACATTCAGGGCAGGGGTCTTATCTGTAAACATCCGAGCAAAGGGCTAAAAAAAGCTCTGGCACATTTAGTCATTTTCAAAGTGGAGGGGGAATATCCGCTGCTCTGAAGACGGATGCACTCCCTCTCTTTTATCTTCCTCAGTTCTCCTCTATGATGGATGCCACCATTTAACAAACTGTCACTTTATCAGACTTAGAGCATCTTATACAATCATATTAACATTTGAGTCCTTACAAACAGGTCAAACATGGAGTTTTTTCTCAGGTGTCAAACCCATCCGACCAATGTCCTGTGTGCAGACCTGCATTGCAACTGTGCCTCGGGTGTGTACCACACTGTCAAACTCAATCACCCTGAGCTAGACCCAGCTTCATCCAGGACCCTCCAGGGCCTCTTCCTACAATTACTCCCTGACAGGGGGGCATGACCCCGCAGACCCTGGTCCTCTGTGAGCAACCTGCTGGCTCCGCTACGAGGCCTGCTGTTACATTTCAGCACAGGCAGCAGAAAGGCAGAGTGAAGAAATCACATTCATACATATTCTCGTCACTGAAAAGATGTTTTCAAATCCAAATTTAGGTCCAAACAGAAAAAAGTGGAACTGAATGTTGTCGAATTATTGTAGCAAACTCTACTAACAATACTTACAGGCTCAGAACTGACGCACAGGTGGTGTCTAGACTGTCATAAGTTGGAGCTGGGCCACTGATCAAACTTTTGCACTGAACAAGGCAGGACTGAAAATGTGCTTTTAGAAGACCATGCCACCTGAGTTGTAGCTAAATAAAAATTACGTGAATTCAATTGCCTCAAATTAATACTACATTATGATTCTACTCCACTTCAGTAATTAAGCCAAATTTGTATTTTTTAGTCTACTGCACTGTTCTGATTGTTCCAGATACAATTTCACTTCCACATAAAGACAGAGATCATAAAAGTTCAATCTACTTAGATTTAGATCAACTAGAGATCCAGTATGAAATCAGAGTATTAAGAGTTCTATAGAACCTGGTTCTGTGAGTACATTTTTGTTGTTTAAATTGACTAAAATTTAATTACTCATACTCAAATATAGGATTGGAATACTTGGTCAACCCTCATCTACAGTCATTTGATATCTTTTCCTGTGAGGAGACAGCTGTCTAGACCTTCAGGTACTAAAGTTTGCTTTGTATCGACAAAAATTCTTAATATTTTCACTTCTGTTGTATTTACTGATGAATTAATACTTTTCCCTCCTTAAAATCTGCATAAAAGAGACTCACGCAGTACCAACCTGGGTCCACTTAACGAAAGACGACAGTGTCCAGTATTTAACCTTTTGAATGACTTCTTGTGTATTTATGTCCCACATTTTTCTGTCTCTAAGGTGGCCCTTTACTAAGTTTTGGGTTCATCTGCAGCTCGAATTTTAAAGTATCTCTGAAGTGATGCTTACACATCCACCAGCGAGAATCTCTGCAGCCAGAGGGATGGTATCATCTTCTGTGGTGAACTTGTCTCTGACAAAATCATTCATCTGAAAAAAAAGAAAGACAGAAAGAAAGAAAGAAAGAGAGTGAGAAATGAAGGAAAAAAGGCAGATGAGACACAATCCTGATCCTGATAGCAGGGCATTAATGTTAACTTGTGGTTGCTGTTGCAACTTGATTGCGAAGAGTGCATTTCTCCTACATTCTGTGCATGTTTTTCATTCACAGTGAATCAGCCAGAGCAACTTTTTGAGCACTCTTAGCTCCACAGTGGAATGACTTGCCGTGAGTTTGATAGCTTTCTCCGGGGCAACGCCGATGAGCTGCGGGAGGAGACCTGCAAAATATTATTCATAGATACCATTAGAATACCTGACAGAGAGAGAGACAAAGTCTGGCTCGAAATGAATGCACATTTTTTATCTCTGTGGAATGAATACATGCACTGACAGCCAGGATAATGTAAGCCACAGGGTTCTTGTGAGCGTAAAACAAACCCATAAATATTTACAGATGTGCCTGATACATCTGATGCACCAAAAACACAAAGGTCCCATTGAAATTGAAGAAAAAAAGGCAAAAATATGACACTGCTGGTGCTTATGGGATCAGCATTGTCAAGACCCTGATCTACTGTTGGTAGGGAACAGAGAGAGCTGTGTGGTCACGGACAAGATCAGGGAACAGGCGGGGGTGGGTGCTATGGTGGCGATAACCACCATACTGTTTCACCGCTTGTCCTTCATCAAGCCAGATAAACTTCTGAAGGAGCTGCTGAGTGACTGCTGCTGGTATGTGGCCAGAAAAACAGCCGAGCGTGTCTGTCTCAGAGTCAATCACCCTCTTATCATGTGCAAAAGAGGAGGAAAGGAGGCCGATCCGAGCTGCAGTGGTGGAGGCAGCAGTAGATGGCAGTCTTGACTTCGTTCATATGAGCAGCCTCAGGGGAGAAGTGTTGTATATCACAAGCCTTCAGCACCATTATCACTCTGAGTACAGAGCCAGATCAGACACCGCTGCCACTACATGACTCTGCTGGTCATTTTCCTCATAGAGCTCTCCCAGGAGTCCAGATAATGAAAACTCGACCCCTGGGTGCTGTTTTATTCACCGCTGAACAGGGAGGGCAAAGGTTTCTGGTATCAATTAGCAAGCCATGCTGCTGATATTAGCACGCTGACAAATCCTAATGCTTTCCCATCAGATGGTTTGTTTTGCACGACACCCGCATGCTTTCCCGCACGCAGGTTTGAGAGTCTTTCAGTGTGCTGTGAAATGCACAGAAGGATTACCTCTGTAGAAGCCGAAGAAGCCCTCGTAACGCAACACTTTCTTCGCACAGTCGAAGCTGTTCTTGTACATCAGCTCTCCTACAAAGGAGCCTGTGGAGCGCTGGTTCTGCATACGCGTCTTCACCAGGTCGATGGGGTACACGGCTGTGGCACCAGTGGCTGAAAAAACACAGATTTGTCACTAGCTGAAACCTTTGCTTTGTTTCATCTATTCGCAGTGTTTCCCAACCTTGTATTACACCCACACATCAGGTCATAGATGTATTTGTTCTGGTGGTTGAACACATGAGGATTTGGATTAGAGCTGTCATAATATCAGATTTTCACCTCAGGGTTATGGTGTCCTTACAATATTAACATGATGACAATGATATATGTGCTATTCTTAAAAAATTTGAAATTCGAAACAGCACAGTGAGTAAAAATAGGCAAAGGTAACAAAAAGGTTCATTCCACCTTTTTTAAGAATACATAAAAATTTTTGGCATGCTCCTACTTTGTTTTTTTTTCCTACATTTACAAGTATAAGCTAGTTCCAGTCAATCATAAGATACAAAACCGAACAGAAACAGTAAGAAAGTCTATATATTCAATTAACCAGTAATTCAAAGAGGCAAAAAAGGCAATATAGCTTTTGGATTTACAAAAAAAACCATGAAATTTCAGGTTTTAGAAGAGCTGCTTCAAGTCAGTTCACACAGTCTGCTGCTTCTTCGTCTCTGTACCTTTTTCTGACGTGTGGTAACCAGTTAAGGACCTCAGCTATGAACCTACAGAATTACCATTTGCTTATTTTTTAGCACTATATCAATATTTGATTATGTAACAAAGACGATTATTGTCAATTCTGGACTAATTTGAATTAAATGAAAGATTTTATGTAAGATAGTGCATAAAAGAAGGCCTATAATAAGGTCATAGCTGAAGATTTTCTTACTTCGGCTGATTAGGAGCCCAAAATCATTTCAGTTTTTTTGCGTAAATATAGACTTGAGGGGACAAACACATATTTAAAAATCTCAGTTTTTAATTCACCAGTTGTGTCAGCTGAGAACATTCAAGTTTGTCATTCACTTGTTGACTTGTTGACGTCTTGTTGCGTTCAACTGTTGACGTCTTACATGAATCATTCGTTCGATGATGAATGTTTGGAGATTTAGTTGAAAGATTGCTGAAATAATCCTGGCTGTGTTTGCGTAAGAAAAACGGTGATTAAGATGTGATGAAGTACAAAGTGTGGTAACTGTAGGAACTGTTTGTGGAGCAGCAAGTTTCTGTCAGCTTCACTCTGACATGTCTCGGCTAACATCAAAGACTGCAGCGACTACGGCTCAGTCAAACATGCAAACAGCTCAGTCAGCACTGAGGCCGTGTGAGAAACAGCTCATTAACGCCTCAGAGAGATGGCGGTTTCAGGAAAAGACTCATGTTATACATGCGGTTTTATGACCCTGGGTGAATTGGCCACCGATGAAATGTCTGTGTGCGTGTGTGTGAGTGTGTGTGCGTGTTAGGGAGAGTTAACACACAGAAGAGATGAGTGTGCGCTGCTATCTTAGGGTCAGTATATCAGAGGTTTCTTGTATCCGATTCTTTGGGTGTAATTAGACGGAGATTCCAGAGAGTGCGGTTCCGGAAGATTTGTGTCATTCCAAAGCTCTGACTGCAACGACAGCCTGGAGCCACTGGTGGCACGGCAGCACAATGCCGGGGCCTCACATCACAACCTCCTTCTCCCCCGCAGCACAATGGCCAGCCTCGGGGCCCTCAGTGGCGCGCCAGTTAGGCCAGCTAAGGTTACCCCTCAGTTTTGCCGCAGACATGTCACTCACCTCCTGCGATTGAGCCCAGAGTAAACCTGTAGGCAGACTCTGCAGCCTGGAGCCAGATGGGACGAGACTTTTCGTGCTGAGCGTGCTGTGGAGGAGAAAAAGACACCGGCGGTCAAATGAATCTGGGGAAAGACGTGGGGGGATGAGAACACTAAGCATGACTCGGCTCCATATCAAACTATAGTGAACCAGATATATTGAGGACAGGAATATGTTATGGAGAACTCAACAGCGGAGGAAGGAGATGGAGTGCAGACATGTCATATAGAGTCTGATTCATCATAACCTGTATTAAATGTCACAGACAGACGGACTGAGCTCATATATGAGTGTGTGGACTTATACACACATGCCGTACTTGATGTAGCCTTCAAAGTAAAAGTCCTCTTTTATTTTTACAACAAAGTTGAACTTATCAGCTTGATCAGTAGTTTGGTGTTTGATGTTGAAAGTGGAGCCCCTTTGTTTTCACAGCGGTGCGGGGCAGCAGATTAGCCCCACAAGCCTTTTCCATGTTCAGATAAGTATCTACATGAATATCACAGTCCGAGTGAGACTTTGAAAGCATGTGTGTGTGTGTTTGTGTGTGTGTGGACTGAGGGGGTGAGTAACTTCTCCCAAACCAGATGAGGAGGCCAGATCACCCTTTTCCTTCGCCCAGATGCTTCCACCGAGGGCTTGTGCGCTAACAAGATTGAGGTCTTGATCAAAGGGTTTAAACAATTAGCCCACTTCCACTACAGGGCAGGATTGAGAATCGCAGAATCCCCCGAAAGGAATCAAATTCCAGACCTCTGAGCCTGAATCCCAGGAGCATGAGTGACCCGAAAGCTCTGACCACAGCCTGATACAGATATATGTCATCCGGTGGAGGCAGGCAGGCAGGAACTATTTTGTTCTCCTACATCCACCTTGACTCCTACTCCCCTGCTGCCATTAGCAGACTTTGCTAAAGGCTCCTGAAACTCCCGGAGCCCCACACTGATAAAAGCCTCTTATTAGCTTCTCAGATGTGTGATTGCAGCTGATGTGTATGTGATGTGCAGCTATACTGAATGAAATAAGGGAGAGCCTTTCATAAAGGGGAGCAACGCAACAATCCATTCCTCCTCTATAACTATAATTGGTGTACTTTTATCTAGGAGTTTAAGTAATGCACTTCACAAGGGAAGAAAAACATGGGCACTCGGCTAATTCAGCCGCTGAGCATTCTGCCTTTTTGGCTCCTGTCTGAGGAGGAAGCGGAGGTAGAAGAGAAGAAGGCTTTGATAAAAGGCATGAGGATGTGGGGTGTATTAGAGGAGTCATCAGGATACCTGTCTCTGGGCCTCTGCTAGGTGGTATGGCATGGCTCCTTCCTCCAGCGGGGCTATCCTCTCAATGTCTGCGTGGTTCAGCCGCCTTAATGCACAACAGCAGGGGAGGGAGGGATTTAGGCCAGGAAAAAGCAAAGCGCCCAGCATCTACTGCGAGCAACATTCAGTGATGTAAGTTTTTCCACTGAACTTTTTTACGGGCATATAACTCTAAGTTACTGTAAGTTTCATTTAAGCTTATATAAACAACAGACAAACAAAGCTGGATGAGAGCCCCGTGGCCCAAAAACTCAATGAAAGTGTTTTGTTTCTTCATTTCTGAGACACAAAAATTCCCCACTGCTGGCCTGACGGATCATAAAGTCTGTTTCCATGTTTTATGTTTGTCTTGTAAATCGGCCAGTGGAGCCACTGTTGTTGAACTTAATGAGCAGTAACTTTAACTTTACAGGCAGTAAACAAACCAGTAACATTTTTATTCCATTCAGGATGGAATAGAAAATCACACAGCTTTATGTGGAGGCTATGAATGCACTGAAGTGGATTCGAGCAAACACTTACATGGTTTGTGCATACAGCAAAGTGCAGAGCCAAGCTAACGCTTCATTCCCAATGAGGAGGGCTAATTTCACTTTATTAATTTTTTACTCTTTTTTTTTTCTTTTAATCTAACAGCTTTACATCTACCCTCTTATATCATACATCATTGTTTCCTCTTTTTCAGAAGCTACACCATGTATCTGACTTTTCATACACTAAAATATACAAAGAGAACAAAATGCATTTGAAAGGAACTCAAATTAAATCATATCTGTTCAAAATATTATTGTGATGCATTTCTATGTGGTGAGGAACACAGTTTTACTATTTACTGTCAAATATCACTTATAAATTCAAACAATGAAACCATAATTAAGTCAGTTTACATGATAAAACACCATCCGGCTAACATGGGGGTATAAGATAATTTTATCCTCACTGGATAATCTTTTATTTCCTTGATTTTAACAAGTATGATAATTTTTTAGGGCCACTAGGGGGCAGCAGTGCAGCAGCATCCTTCATCTACTGTCAAACTTTTAGCTCCATTCTGGTCTCAACCATCTCCAAAGGAAATATCTGCCTTTTCTTCAGTTGCTACAACTTTACAAGATAAGAAACTATTTATTTTGTTAGCTGTGTTATGTTAAGCGAGATAATCCCTTTGTAATGTGGTTCTAACGAGCTGCAAATTCTGGTGGTCAAATGAAGCCATAAACTGCAGTTCCTTCAGTGTCCACTAAAGGCTGTCTCAAAAATTTACAGCTGTTGGGAGGAGTTTTTGCCTGGTTATGAACAGACTCGAAAGAAAATGATCGTGAAATGATTTTTAGTTTCTGTCTCTATAAGTCGCATTTTTGTTACAACTGCACTGGGCGGTTTATTTCAGAGTCTAAGAGTTTGAAGTATAGCTGCACTGCTGGTTTGATTGACAGGATGGTGCATACAGGTTGTTGTTGCCCCAACTCCACCTTTCTTTTTGTGTCTAGATTTAAAAAACATTAGTCAGAGTTAGCATTTCCAAAATGGTAGCTGCCGTCTTTTGCCTTCAGTGTACGTCCAAAAACAGTCGGTGACGTGACTAAAACAAGGTCCATTTTTATATTGTCAGTGGTTTTCATGCACATTTCAGGTTACTCTACAAAAGCCGAAAAATCATAGTGTCGAAAAATCAATTTAAATGTTTGATGGTCCTTTAACTCTTGTCTTTTTCTACACAATTTAATAACTAATGTAAAAATACAGTTTTGTTGATGTAGACTGATAATGGCCGGTGTGTATTTACAGAAAAAAAAAAACTGTTTTAGATTCTTTTAGAGTCTTACCCAGAGTGAGTGTGGAGACCAACAAGCTGGTACAAGATGTCAATCTCCATTGGAGTGATCTGACCAAACTTATTCGCAGCATGGACAAACTCCTCTAAAAAACAACAGAGACAAGAAAAGATCAAATAATGCAAAACTTCAGTCTTTGATGGCCTCAACGCACTCAACTCAGACAAAAAGCTGAGAGGTTCGACATGTATTTACAACTGCAGTACTTGCAAATACTCTTTTTTGTTTGCCTTTGTGTTATTGTGTTCCCTTTATTGTTGAGATCACAAAAAGAAAATGTAAAACTCTTAAATCAGTTCTGTTTGTGCTTTATCTGCTTACCCAGGAGTGCACTAAACTGAGCATGCAATCTCCCAGCAGCAGCCAGCATCACTCTTTTATACGTGCTTTATATTCAGTTCTTTACCGCTGCCTGCTGAGAAGCTCCATTACCATCAGGTGGTCTTTCTCAAAGGAAACCTAATGGTGGTTGTTAAGAGAGGGGAAAAGAGTTCCTTATTCACTTCTTCCACAAAGACCTTCCTGTCAGGTCTGAGTGTTGCAACCTTCGGTCACAAGCCTGCCTCACTGATCTGGAGTGCTGCAATGATATAGTTTTCTGTGACAGACACCTGACATGTTAGTGTTTGCTTTTGCTTTAACATCTGATATATAGTCATATCTATTACAAAAATCTATTCTATATTTCTTAAATATCTATAAATTGTATTTTATAAAACATATAAATATATATTATAAACATTTTTTTATGTCCCTAAGGGGGCCTTCCCAAAAGGATCAATAAAGTTTTATCCAGTCTAATCTAATGTTTGGTTGCACATGTGACAAGAACTATTTGCAAATACTACAGGGAAGACCACACAGAGAAAGCAGAGGATTGGTGTACAGTTTAGTTCTCCTTGAAACACATTCAGGGGCAAAAGTGACGGATGGTACAGCTACACAAGTCCACATACTGTATATGAGGGGATCTGCTGAGCAGGTTCAAAATCTTCATTTACCTGAAAATTCTGGCGCTACAGTAAATGTTTCCATGAGTTTACTCTGTCAAAACATAAAGCATCATCTCAAAGCACATAATGCACACGTGATTAATTTCAGTGATGTCATTGTGAGGATCTGAGGTGTACCTTTAGTAACAAGTGTGTCCCTGTAAGTGCCCGCAAGGGTGCTGTAAACCTTGCGGACCAGCTCCATGTTGTTGAGGAGGGCGTTGAAGGCGTTGAAGTAGGAGAAGCTCACCATGTGGGAGGTGCTGCCTCCTGCAGCCTGCAGAAAGATGAAGTTTGTCATTTCTCTTGTGAAGGGAAACTTTTGTCTCAATCTTGCTGTTTTCTCCTGTATCCTTTGGGTTTCATTAGAAGTAATTGTTTGCAGGATCCTAACCCTTCACTTGTTAACTTAAGAAAATTCCTCTTGGGCCACTAAAAGGCATCAGAGCAACATTAGCATTAATTTTAAGTCAAATATTCCCTCTCTTTGCTCTGATTTTGGTCACAACTGACTCACATAAGAAATATTTGGCTTTTTTTTAATTAAGAAAATAGAACAACATTTTTATGTTTTAATTTTCCTCATAAATTTGAAAAGTACACAAACCTAAACCTAACACTGGAGCCCCAGTGTTTGATTTCACACTGTGTTAGTGCATTGTGGAAGCTTTAGAGGACCTACATATAAACAAACAGCAGACGCTTCACATCCACACACAAAGTACTGTTTCACCCTGTCTACTCCAACATGACTCGCTGCCATTTTTCCCCAACTACTGCACTCTGTTACAAACTGCAAACTAAGTTTAAGAGGAATAAAATCTGTGTAAATGTTAGCAAGACCTTCTAACTTGTAAATTTAGAATATGACCTGATACTTGCTAAAGAAGTAAGAGCCATGTGTTGTAAATCAATTTAAAGGCATATAAATATTGATATCAGCCACTTAAAATAGTTAAGGGTGCTTTAAAACGATTCTGAACTTACTGAAACCAGGTTCTCCTCTACAAACGGAGTCAGCATGTGGTGTCTGATGGTGGCCATGATGTCACTGAAGTCCAAGGCAGTGATGGATCCAGTTTTTTTCTTGTCATTCTGTGCAAACGCCTGGCGGGCATGCTCCAACTGCAGCTCCTGCACCAACACACACACACACACACACACACACACACACACACACACACACACACACACACACACACACACACACACACACACAGACAGGAGGTCAAACTGTTGGCTGACAAAAAAACAAAGAATGTGTTCCTGTGATGAGGAGCATCACATTACAGGGAACCTTTGGAGGGTAAAAGTATAATAATATCAGCGTTGTACAGATGTGAAAGTCATCGGATGTGACAGTGTCAGACACCGGCTTTTGTAATCACCACTGTTCCTCCAGAGACTAATGAAAACCATGTCTGGATGAAGTCTGATCTCGGAGTAGAGCTGGGTGGTTGGTAGAAGGACCAGCAGGTGTGTCTGCAGGAAGATGATTCAATATGACAACCATGCAATCAGATGTGGATGCAGGGGGAAGCTGACCTGGGGTCAACGTCTGCTGTCAAGGCTCATCGCATAGAACCAGAAGATCACAGAGAGACTTCACCACAATATCCAGCTGCTTCTTTATCTTTACACTTTTCCCCTTGATAACCTAATCAGTCAACTCTTTCTGTGGATTAATTCTCTCTATATTTGCAGTTAAAAACCTGAGGTGGTGTGTTGATGTCCCACAAACATTAAACTTTCAAAGCCTGCTACAAATGCTCTACCTTGTCTGTACTCACTTAAGGTTCAAATCAAAAACTGCACAAACCACAAGGTGGCAAAGCCAAAACAAACTCCACACAGATCTGCATTTGTGTGTATTTTGAGTAAAACTCGTTTGAAAGAGCTAAGATATGCTTGGACATGACAGGAAAAAAAAACACAAAAATAATGATAGATGAAATAAAATCCTGCTCACACGAGGCCTCGGTGAAGCCCCAGTCTAGTATGATAAACCACAGACTGCTCTGAAGGATCCCACACCACAGCACAGCTTGTCTGATCCTCAGACCACCCAGCTTCTGCCCCAGACCTCAGCCCCCAACTCCAAACCAGGTTCCACCCTGACCGAACTGCTGCTGCTGCTGCTCAATAAACAGCACAGAGGTCTAAGTGCGATTCATGCAAGCAGCAGTAAAGCACAACAACAACTCTAAGTGACTTAATGGCACTCTGGGCTACCACGCAAACCACATGACATAAACACTAAAGATGCAACTCCTCACCACAGCTCCATTATCTTAAGAGATTATATAGGCATGTTGTTCACCTCACATCATTTCCAGTCGTGGGAGAAAAAGGCTTCACTGCAGGAGGAAGGTGATCATTAAGAATTTTTCAAAAAGCATGCAGGAGTCTGTCTGTCTGTCTGTATGTATGTACTGTATTTACTGTATGTATGTATGTACGTATGTCTGTATGTATTCATGTTTGTCCTGCTGCATTTGCACTAAGAAATGTTAATCTCTTTTTTCTTTAGAGTGACTGAGCAATATATTTACACTGTATCCTATCATCCAGAGACATTTCAAAAGAAGGCCATGCAGCTTTTGAAGTCAGATTTAGCAAAGTCCAGGGCAACACTGGCCAAGAGGTTAAAGCCTGCGCTTGCTGTGTGGAGGCTACAGTCCTTGTCACGCCGATCGCTGGGTAGATTTCCATTCCCCTGGTGTGGTACATGCCATTCCCCCTCTCTCTCTCTCCCCACATTTCCTGCTTCTCTAATGCTGCCCTGTCACTGATGGCACAAGCTAAAAAAAAACAATCAAAAAACAAAAATAGCACAGATTTCCAGACAATGAAAAAAGGCACCCATACTAAGATTTGTTAAGTCACCATTGTCTGCTTTGACTCCCTTAGTCTCAGATAAAGTCAGTCCTAAACGGGGATCACATATATGTCACCAAGAAATGTAAAAGTGTGCATAGACAGTAGGATTTGAAGGAGAGGACCCACTATAAAAGGCATTAAAAAAGCATACAGCTGTAGCGTCACAATGCTAAATGTGAAACACAAGCTTTTGAAGGTTAAGGACAGCTGTTGTGATTCAGCCACTATGTCAGGTGAAGTGCTGCAGCATATTAGGTCGTTATATTCTGTTTTAAAGAGACACTGCATTAAAGCATAAGTCCAGCACTTTTACATACACTAAACATGACTCTTGTTGCTACTCTTCTAACTAATGAATATCTGGGTATAGAAATTAATGTAAAGCTAGAGGCAGAAGCAATTTAGCTAACAGAGCATATAAAAGTATTCACAGGAGGATTTTGAGGACCTAAAAATGACAAATACTGCAGATTTTTTACTTGTTTTATATACGTTTTCAACAAATCAGATAAAGCTGGTGTTGCAATATACAACTTTTCGAGTAAGAAATATGCAGATTGATTTCTGTAAATTATTATTTTTCTCTACCTAAAACAATTTTGAGATGTTTTCCCTTTAACCCACAAACCTTAGGCAGGGTCATCAATTACATGGCACTTCACACCACAGCAAATGTTCAATTTACAACAGTAAATGTTTTGCAAAAGCTACATTTTATTAAACTACAAATGACTTATCAACTTAATAATTAAGTAAAAAGTTAGCTGGTGACTTTAAAGGTGCTGCTCAGTAGATTTTTTTCTTTTACCTTTGACAGATTGAAACAAACTGTTCCCCTTGTTTACAGTCTGTATTTACATAAATGTATACCTGCAAGAACTGGGTGAACTCTGTGTAGCTGAGGTTCTTGTTTCTTTCATGGCCGAAGTGTAGCCTGATGAACTCACAGTCCCAGTTGAAGGGAATGTGATGATGAACTGTGGTCTGGCTGAAGATGTCACGCACATTCTCTGGAAGAGTGAGGCACGAGTGAGCAATAAAAAGAGAAACCACCAAAAAAAACATGAAATGTTCATCTCACATCCTCACTCTACTTGTAGAGAAACTTGTTAAAGTAGGGGAAGGAGTCCATTTGGATGTGGGAGCTGAATAGGCTGTCTGACAGTCTTGCTCTCTCACATTTTGAGGGTTTGAGTCTGTCAGGAAATACTCTGTATAAGCACCGCTCTCAATTTTAGTCCCCTTTATGGAGGCCCATTGCACAGACAGCAAAGAAGTAGATTCTTTGTAAGACTCTGCATCTCTTGGTTATAATGTGATGTTTCAGAAAGCTCACTTCCTGTCCTAAGATGAGACTTGAGAGAGGACCTGCTAACATATTAAATACATAAAAATGTGAAAGGAAACCTCTGCATTAATTGAGTGCTAATTTTTTGGTAAGACGGCTCATCAATTGTACAGCTATATGCACCTTCAACCCCCTAATCTCTCCATCATCAACAGTTTGTATTGTTTAAACATATGTTTTCTAGCAGGAAGATACTGCTAATGCTGACCCAAATTAACTTCTACTACGACTGCTATCACTATTATTGCTACCACTATCCCTATTTACTACAACATTACAACTACAAGAATAACGCTCCCTGAATACCTTCAACTATTTTCATGAATTAAATAAACGTTTAGTTAATACCATGTTTAAACTACTGTAGGTACATTGTTTTATGGATTGTTACCTGCAGTAAATATAAGATCCGCTCACTTAAGTATGATGTCAGTTTGCCCCGTGTACATACCAAATGAGATGTTTCCTGTGCCAGTCTTGTCAAACAACTGAAAGGCCACTATGAACAGAGCGTCAGGGGCACACAGAACCGACTCGAAGGCCAGAAACTCTTGGTAAGAGATCAGTCTGTTTGGACAAGAAAAAGAGAGTGCTGCTTACAAAAAAAAACATATATGTATCAGTATCTTTGACAAAACTCATGCCTGTTAGACAGCAAGTTCATGCAGTGATATAGAACTAAACCTATTTTTAGAAAAGGTTTTGATGTTAAATTGTGGCCTTGGAACTAGAATTCAGACATATTTTTGCCAACAAGGTCTATTTAGTGGCTGTTTTGGAGTTTCTAGTTTTACAACATGATCTCCATTAGCACTGATTTGTCGCAGAAATTTTCATTTTTCCTGACTTATTAAAAACATCTTGGCCTTGATGTCATAAAGCTGAGCTCAACAGTTTATTATTGCACTAAGTAATACATAACTACCATCTGCTATCATTAGTAATAAGAGATTAGAATCGATACAAGGAATATCTATTCAGGCCAGCTAGAGAAGAAGCACCTCATGTGGCTTTGAAAGGATTTTTGAGCTCTATTTTAGCCGTCAATGAGACATAGTGGGCCTCTTTCTGCTGTGCACTCTTTTTACCGCAACCACAACCAGGTAGTTCGGTGATTATTCAGCTTATCTTATCAGTGGACTTAAATTGATCCGCTGAGAGTGTAAAATTGACTTATAATGACACTCTGCAAACACCACTGAGATTAATCATTAATGGTCTATTTGGCATCTGCTCGAGTTTGCTCTGCTCCATATTCAGTGAAGCAGTGCAAACTACTGAGTATAACAGGTAACAAGAACTGGAAAGAGAAATCATAAAACTGGATTTTAAAGCCATTGTGAGAATTTATTATTGAATTAAAAAACAGGCTGAAATTTAAAACTGATACTTCTTTATAGCCCTTAAAGGTAAAAAAAACATCATCAAGGAGATTGATTATGTCTTTATAGTTATTTTAGTGTCTTTGAACACTGCTGTGTAGTAGGTGTCAGATACCTTGCAAAAACAGCCTTTTTTATACACACAGAGCAAAGATTTACACTGAGTGGTATTCTTAACTGATTAAAGACAGCAAGATGAGGCTTTTTTGTAATAGATATTGTACTTATATTTGGAAAGACAAGATTTGAAAACATGGGAGGCAAAATTGACCCACACTCAATGTTCCTCACAGGAGCTTTAAAGTCTCTGTTAAACAATGATGACCACCAGAACAAACAAAAACTGTTAAGGATATAAAGACATAAATAGGAAAACCTATCAGTAACCTTGCATCATGTATTGTAGTTACTCACCCATCTTTAGTGGTATCAGCCACCCCAGCTATCAGCTCCACTGTTTTAGGATTATGCTGCGGTTGTGTATGCAGACCCAGGTAACTCTGGACAAAGTCCCGGGGGGTCATGTAATGCTCCCCATCCTCCACCACGCTGGCATACTACAGAGGACACACAGGCAGAGCTGTGACCAGTATGAACATTCACTATTGTACAGCTCAACATGTGCAGATTCAGATTAGGACAGGATCGAGTTTCTATTGTCAGTAAAGAGTGACTGAATGCAATGAGGGGAAAAAACAACCAGTAGGTGGTGAATCAAGAATGTTTTTTTTCTCAGTCAATCTGCATCTCTTTTCTTTGTGACTGTAGGTGATAATGCGCAGGTTTCTATACTTACACATACTGCTTTCAATTTACAACACAGTGCATACAATGCTTTGCATGAACTTTGCATGACTACATATATCAAAAAGCTGCAGTGGCTTTGCATACTGTTCTCCTTTTGACTTTATAAAATGCAACTAAATACATGACTGAACTTCAAAAAGAAAACATCAGACATAATGACATTTACAGCTTTTAAAGGAACAAGTCCTTCTTATAGTAACTTTGTCCGTGATTCCTGTCTAGTGTCTTAGTTAGTGCTGTTGACAGAGGAACAGTGTTAGAGTATTTATTTATTTATTTTGGGAAGTAGTTTTCAAAGCCAAGCTCTTGGGTTCAGGTACACGGTGTTCACAGTCACACAATAACACACATTCATAACCTTGAAGCTGCCCATTACAGTCTGCTGGCCATTGAGTTGTTAGACTGGACCATTTTTGGGTTTGGGACTGTGAAGAAGGGCGCTTCCTTCAGTTAGACATTTCAGGCACAGTTTTGTACAATAACTATTTAAAGTGACATCTTATCAACTCCATGGAAAAATGTACTCTGGCGGGAACCACTGACTTAATCAATAACTATCATACTTGTAAGTGTTACGTTGAGACCGTGTGTGACATAACTGAAGCAAAATATGCATCTCTAAAGCAGCCCTCTGCTAAACCTGAGACCCCTGTCTGGTTTTAAGATGTAAGGTCATTTTTAGAGGCAGGATTGGGTTTCCAGTTGGAACAGAGATAGCTCAGGAAACACAAGCACTGCATGAACTGGTAACAGAAAGGCCACACTCATGGCTCTGAGCCAAGCTGGGGTACAGCAGGCATGAGATAAACAGAGCATGAGTGTGGGAGGAGACTTTCACGCCGAATGTTTTCAGGGCTACAATTCACCGCACTCTGCTGAATTAATGTTTTAAGGGAAAATATTAATTCCAAGCAATTTATTGCCACATTACTCCAGCATGTGATTGTGTATCCATTCACGCTCACAGTAGGCATCAAGTAGTTCTTAATCAAATTATACAGGCAGTCAGAATGAGCTTCCAGTAATTAACTCTTCCACCTGAGTATGCATTACAAATTACTCAGCCCTCTTATGGCAAGAGTCAAGAGCGGTGGAGGGACTATAAGGCGAGTTGAAACTCAACAGACTTCTTTTGGGAAACAAGTTTACACTCCAAACAAGTATTGTGGTGGTAAATAAACCTGCACACTGGCGGCAGGAGTTTCTCAGGTTGAAGGGTACAGCGGGCAAAGCTAATGATCATTTTCAATGTCATGTTAAAGAGCGAAAACCCATGCAATACATTTTGAGACATAGCGAAGGAAGCAGATCCAAAATTAGTCAAAGCATTTCTGTGACCTTTATTCAACTATGCATCTTAAAGTAAACCACACAGACACTTCCTCCAAACTGCAGCATGCTAATACACTTGTTGCTCTTCATTTTCTGAATCAAACTGTGTGTTGACTCCAAATGTTTGTGGGTGACAGTCTTACCTTCAGAAAAATTGCCTTCAAGTCATGGGGGTCCGCTCTCCTCGTTGCTTGCACCTAAAACACACAATTTGCAGTTTGCAAAAAAAAAAAGAAAAAAGAAAAAGAAAAAAAAGTTCAGTCTATTTATCATGAAGGTGCCAACAATGAAAAAAACAGACTTTTTAAGGCAGTGAATCACTAAGCCTGAAGTTGTCAGTCTCTGTTTAGCTTTGATTTACACGGACTCAGATCACTCTCAGACAGTAAAAGGCACCATGCATAGGAAAATAACCGCACTTTCTATCAAATATAAGCGACTTCAAGCCAAATGTCCCTTAAATGACACATGCAACAGAGGAAAGAAATTACAGTTGTCTCTGTGAGGCCGGCAGAGATGCGCCTAAGAACAGATGCAGAAATAAACGAGAGGGGGTCCCTGCGCTGCGTTTAAGACAAGAGCTTTAAACCCACGCGTCCGCACAGACATGCTGTCCTCCGAGTCCGGCAGCGGTAAACTCGGGACCGCTTTGCTGCCTTTAAAAATTAATATCTGCTAAGAAATATTGACGGAGTCACCTTGACCGCCATGCTGGGTGTGACGTCAGCTGCAGTGGACTAGCGCAGGCGCTGGGCACCGAGATCACAGCAGGCATGACAGGACACCACAGGTCTGAGACACGCGTGTATATTTAGCAAAGTGTTGTCCCCGAACTGCTCTCACTGTCCGCGAAGGAAGGAGTCCGGAGAGGGATGCTCCGGTACAGAGAGGACCCCGAACAGCAGATGTGTTACAGCGTTTCCTGTCTGTCTGTCGGGTCAACCCAGGACACGACTCACTGAGTCTACAGACTGTGGACGTGAACGCCCCATGGAGCATTTTTCACTTTTCCACTTAAGAGACTGTCACAGAGAGGAACCAGGAATTTTCTTAACCCTTGAACACGTGAATTGGTTGCACCTAATAGGGGCGTTTCCTCTCGAGACTCCTGCACCCCACTGTTATAACTATGACATAAACCCACTAAGAATCTCAGTTCTCCACAGCCGCATACATACAGATGTTTGTTGTACAGGTCAATTACAAGTGTTTTGAGTGGCATCTGAAACGTCTGCATTGACTTTAGATACACCTACATTTTATGCATAAACAGACTCACCTGTCATAAAATACTGATCACATTTACTAAAACACAGATCACATTCTCAACATTATGGCAAGATAGCGCTGTTTCAGTAAGCCTGTTGAGCTCAAGCTGTGAAATATAATCCCCTACCCCCTAGATTCAGTCATCTCTGCTCGTATTCACTGTTTGGGGTGTTGCAACATCTGATTTCTCATGTTCAAAAAACTATTGTAAATATGTCATATATGGTCACTTTTAAAAAAGTATGGAAATATGGACAGTTGTGAGGTTATTTACAAAATTGGGGATGGCCTGGTCCAAATAGTGTCGTATAAATGTCATAACCTGATGCTCTAACAATTTCCAGAGCTCAAACCATTATAATACATCTCCAATCCAATCCGTTTTATTTATATAGCACATTTTAAAAAACATTGAAGTTTGCCAAAGTGCTGCACAATAAAATGTAAAAGAGCAAACACTACAGAAAACATCACGAGTAATTAAATAAAAGCAGGTTAAAAAAAAAAAACATTTAAAAATGAAATAAAAACACAGAAGCATAAAAGACATTTAAGAGGTCAGAGATGTACTGTGGTGCTGATCTGTATAAAGATTTAAACACAAACAGTAACATTTTTACATGAATTCTAAAATGAATGGATGCCAGAGTTGGGGTGATGTGATCATGTGATCATGTTTTCGTTTACCTGTTAAAAAACGGGTGTACCCAGTGGTACATCTATCACTAGGATACTGCTACAGAGCTGTATCAAACATATCTAAGCCAATAATGCAGAAAGTGTGTAGCCAGCGGTTGTCTCTACCAAGACTGTTTACCACAGCAACACTATATTCTCTTTCCTCTGGTGCGCGGTCTTCTCATTGCCTACATTTGCAGAGATAAAGTCTAAAAACTGTAGTTTGAAGTTCAGAGATCAAGCAGCATGTATTGGCTCCATGCAGACACAATTTGTCACCTAAGAATTGTAAAAGGTATGGTATTGTTCAGAAAAGGGATAATCTAGTGCTGACAGTGAAGCAAAGGTAGAATTATAGTGGCTTAAACATGACAGGGTAGGTCATTCATTGGTGCACCTGCAGGACAGAATAGCTGAGGCTGAGATGGTAGCACAGCATTGCACTGCTCAGAGGGATGTTCAGAATTGTACCTTTACCCAGACAGTCAGTTTCGGTTTATTTTACTGCACTGTGATTGACTTGCAGTTCACTTCACTTGCTTCATCAAATCATGGACAAATGAGCAAACGTATATCCTCAGTTTGGCAGGTTTTCTGTTTGGATTTTTTCTTGTGGTATTTTGTGTGTTTGTGTGTGTGTGTGTGTGTGTGTGTGTGTGTGTGTGTGTGTGTGTGTGTGTGTGTGTGTGTGAGTGTGTGTGTGTGTGTGTGTGTGTGGGGGGGGTAACAACAACAACAACAATAATAAAATTAATAGTAATAATAATAATAATCACTAAAATGGTTAACTTTACAACATACAGCAGTTTTAAGGAAAAATTGTAATACACTGGAGATTAACAAAGAGCACTAAAAATACCTACGTTCGTTTTAAGGCTCACTTTTTCTTACTTGATCATGAAGCCTACTTTTCTACAACTGCACTTCGTCCCTTGCTTTAAGACTGAATGTTCAGTAAAGTATAATGGTTGTTAATTCGATGCTTCTTTAAAGACAGGACAAAACAAATAGATATATAAGTGTCTTTAAACCTCCTTAAATACTGTCTCAGGAAGATAAATCTCAGAGGTGTCTTTTATCAGCAGATACCACTGTAGACAAAATGCTTTAGCCATGAGAAAATATCGATTGACTGATATGATTAATAATGTAAATCCAGTGTCAGAGGATAGTCTTGTTGTCTCTTACATATAGAAAAGTATATCATTTCTTCTTTTATGGCTGTTTTTATAGACTAAATCGCCCTTTTTAAACAGATTGGGCTGTTTAAAACTTATGTTAACTAATTATCTGACAGCTGAACGCCCTAAAAACTATCAGTCGGAAAAGCTGGTTTAAAAATTAAATTTCAAATTCAAACTTACCATAGGTGCCATTTAATTCAAGATTCAGTCCGACTTTTTTTTAAATCATTTTAGAAATGTCATGACAAATGTCTGTACACTCTGTTGTAATCATAAAAAAAATAATCGACGCCTCTGACAAAAAAATCACTTCCTGTTTCTACACGGACCCGGAAGTTGTCCTGATTCCGCGGGTCTTTTGGGACAACACAGCTCCTCACAACACTGTGCAGAAATGGCGGGTAAGTGGCCTAGTAGTTTAAGGCGCTCATTCTTCTGTCTTTGTTTTAATGCATGTCCGTCAGTGGATATGTTTGACTAAGCTTATAACCGGAGGGAGTCGTATATTTTCGTGCATTCTGTTTGAAATGTGGTGAGCTCGGCTAACGGTAACAGCAGCAGCGGGGGCCTCTGTGCTAGCTGGAGCAGCATGCTATCAGGCTGTCAGTGAGGCTCTGCCGTCTGCCTGAAAGCACTACCAGGTTTAAGAGGGTCTCCCTGCAGTCACAGGAGGGTTGTTTTGCTCACGTTTCGGTCTGTTTACACACTGATTTAGTCTTCAATATCACGTTTGATAGTTAGAGAAGAGTCACTTGAATTTTTACACTTTCTTTCAGGCTAGAGGGGAACAATATAAAGCACTCGAAATGAGGCTGGGAGGGTGGGATTAAAAACAAACACAATATCAGTGTGATCTGTGTGTTTCTACAGGAGTAAACACCATGGAGAAGAAGCTTGCTGAGTACAAGTGTGACACCAATGAAGCTATATGCTTGAAGCTGGGTAAGTTTGTTACTCATCTTTATTTGAATATCCCAAGCTGATGTTTATAAAATTTGATATACGTGCTCTGAGAGTATTTTGTTCATTAACTATTTGTTAAATTAAATGCACCTGTCATGTTTTCTTCCCAGTTCGCTTCCCTGAAGATGTTGAAGATGACAGCACCACATTTCACCCTGAGTACAGCCACCAGCTTTTTGGAGATGAGTGAGTAGTTTGCCTGCAATTGTTATTTTATTTTTCATTTGTTTAAGAGAGGAGAACTTGCAAAGCTTTTCCTGTATAGTCCAAAATAAAAAAACACACAGGAGCCACTCTGTTTTGACCAACAGAGCACTTATGGGGGTAAAAATTGTGTGTTTGCAGCAGCTCCTTGTTTATGCTGCTACCTGAAACTGTATTTAATGAGGAGTCTAATATGACCATTGTGTGTAACCAGAGGTTAGAAAAAGACGGATAAGTAACCTTAAGCAAAGAAATTTCAAATGTGAAGGAGCAGGGGCGCCGCTGGCCAAGTGGTCTGTGCAGAGTTATGTCTCAAACCTCCAGGCTGGATTTGCTCGCAGCCTGTGGCTCCTTTCCCATATGTTACTCCCCGCTTTCTCTCCTTGTTTCCCTCTCTGTCTGCTGTCCTGTCCTCTTTAAATCAAGGCAAATCACCCAAATATAAATCGTTAGAAAGCAAGATGTGCTGGTTCATAAGCGTTCCTTATTTCTAGCAAAAAGTTTCAATTTATTTCTAGGTCTTGTCTGCTTCTGGTGTTTAAGATAACAGACTACATGATCATAGTTTCTGCTTGATGGATTTATCTTGTTGGGTACTGCTTAAAAACCATAACACTTGAATGACAGTAGCTACAACTATTGGCCAACAAACTAGTTCACACCATTCACTGGTTGTAACTAATTATTGATATCAGATCAGATGTCAGATACTCCATAATAGGAAATAAACATTAACTGATGAACTTTAAGAAGCATGCAGGGCTTTTCACCAAACATTTGGAGTAGCCAGCCAGTGGGGAAAAAAGGTGTCAGCTAGGGAAATATTGGTGTCTAACACTTAATACCTGATATTAAACATTAAAAAAAAAATTATGCCACAAAGAAATCATGAATATTTTCCTGCATGAGTCGCACGTTGTGGTAAGACTATCTGTTAAACAGTGACTGGCAGAGTGAGAGCTGTCTGATCTGAGCAGCTCTTTTCTTATTGAGGGGGCTTCATTGATCTGCTGTATGAATATTAGAGGGGAAAGAAACAGTAAATGGCAATGATGTCTGTTTCAATGATTTATATGCTACTGTGCCACAAATGTCACTGTAGTAATCTGCAAGGAACATGAAAAGGAGGAAAATAATTCTAAGATAATAACCACCTACTATCTATGTATTGTAATTAATGAAGGTATTTAAGGGATTTTTTTAAAATCATAAAAGCAGTAAACGTGTGTGAGAATAGTATTGGGGAAATTGAGAAATGCTCAGTCTGCAGGCATCACTTAGATGTCACTGCTGTATTCTGGTCTATCTGAAGCAGATTGTAAAAAAACAAACCCTCCCTGTGCAGAAAAAAATTACTGTTCTTGTCTTTAACAGTTTTGGTCCAATCTGTCCCTTAACTAAGTTTTGTATTAAAAACCAGAGCACCTCCTCCTTCTCCTCCATCAGCACAGACACATAGCATGCAGGGGTGGGACTAACACTGACAGGCAGGTATGTGGTCACAGCTTGTTGTTTGAAACGTTTCATTAAAATCAAAAGAGAAAGTAGTAAGGCATAATTAGGGGAGTAGTCAGCTGATTTGCTGACAGCTGGTACCTCTAGAAACCCCTGGTTCATAGTTTTCAATCCTTTCTGTAATATTATGGAACTTAAAGGAATAGTTAGTCATTTTTGAAAAATAAGCCTTTGTGGTTTGTGTCTAAGAATGAGTTGAAAGGAGGAGGAGTTATGGTAATCCTTATTTAGCACAAAAACTGGAGTAAGCCATCCTTTATTTACCATGAGGATGACTCATGAAAGGCATATATGTCAAAGGGTTTAACTGCCAAACAAATATCTTGCTAAAACAACTCATTGTAGATTTGGAGGAGGGGAAAGTGCTCACTGGGAGGACATTTACCACTGGGCACTAAGTGAAGTCACTTTTAGATAATGGGCTCAGATTTTTTTCACAAAGATATCGTTTAAAAGTGAAATTTCCTCTAAAAACAACTGTCATTCCTACTGTTTCAGTAAGTTGTGGAGATGTTTTCAGGTGTATTTGGGACATTTAATTACAAATGCTTCTGTTCTCTATGCCAAACTACGCAAACCACGTCAATCCACGTGTTTGATGCTGAGATTTTTCATTCTGTTGCTGTTAAGAAAATTGATGTACAGTTCCAAAATCTTCCTACTTGTGGCCCCATCTATCATAAACACATAACGCCTTAATAGAACAAATGTAGGCAGGCCTGGTAAAGGGAGGGCTTTGATTTGTAGCCATATGAATAGAAATATTCTTTAAAAAAAAGAGCTGGCGCCTCTGTCAACTATTGATCCCACTGAGGACTGGATTAAAGCTGCCAGACAGAGCAAGCCAATACTTTACATTTTTGTTTCCAGGTGGATTTTTAACCTGAATTCTTTCCAATACGAGTCTCGCCCTCAGATAATTACGTTGCCAAATCAGATACGCAAAGTTGAAAATTGTGAAAGTCTGTCAAATTTTATCTTCACATTTTTATTAAAAACAACAAAAATCTATCAAGAGTCACATTAACAGACCAAGATGACGCAAAAAAAAAAAACGGTTTTGCTGTTGAGCCAGAGCTTGCTGCATTTTTTGCAGTGACACCTGTGTCTGTGTGTAGGCCTAACTAGCACGTCGTTACGCTCTAAATTGCTTTTCCCAATTAGTCAAAACTAGGATTGGTTGTTTTTGCACTTGCTGCAATCAACTCAAAGGGAACTCAGTAATTGGGGCATTAATTATTTCAGCAAGCGTAATTGCTGGTAAAGCTCAATCACACAGTTGCATAATGATGAAATCTATTTTGCCATAAACTGCAAGTGGTGTTGTGGTGTAAGGAACAATGCAACACAGTGCAATAAGTGGCCAGACCAACTGTAAGCTTCATTATTCGCTCCAGGTGTATATAGATTTAATTAAAAGAAATAATCAATCATTTGTTATTGTCCCCTTGTTAGTTTATCCTGAACTGCATACCCAACATAACACAGCTGCTGTATTGTTCTCAGCTTGCAGATTCTGATGTAGTTTTTAAAAGCCTTACTTAGATGTTTTGTTTTTTTCTGTCTCTGTCTTCAGTGAGGTTGCTTTTGGATACAAAGGTCTTCAGATACAGCTCTTCTACACAGCAGGGAACCTGGGCACCGTCTTCAAAGTGAAATATGCCTCCAAAGTCACTGAAATGTTTGATTGTGTAGAGGTAAGAAATGCATCACATCATTTCTTTTTTTTGTTCGTGATGAAATGTGTCTACCAGGGTCTAACATGCCTAAGAATCAAAGTGCTATCACATCACCTCATGCTGAAATGTAACATCATGTATTGATTATATTTTAAAGAGTGGTCCGTATGGATTTGCAGTGACAATCATTCATTGATTTAACAACATATGTAGCCTCTTTGTGTGTAAGAACATGACTCTTTGTTAAAAGAGTAGTAGATTATTAATATCATAAGTCAAATATCCTAGGGGTTCACTAGATATTGGCCCTTGCCCATTACCAGGGCGAATAATCAGCATTTGGCCAATTACCTGCTGTCTGTTTGCACTCACCACTCTGTCATACTTTATGTCCCACCCACAACACCATCTGATTGGCTGGACTAGGTTTTGGTTAATTCTTAACTCCTGCAAATTATGTTTCAGTTTTGAGTGTAACATATAAAAAAGCATTAAACTAAAAGTTTGTGTTGGAATTTTGCGAATATTTTTTTAATTTTTGCAGTAAAAATTCATTTCAGCTCCAAGTATTAGTTATCAGTCTCGTGAACTGCCAATCGTTTTTATTGTTATTGGCTCTGAAATTAGTATCACTTAACCCCCAGAACATCTGGCACCTAAAAAATAAAAATAAAAAACAAATCAATGCTTAATAGTAAGTAGGCAGGAGAATATTATTAGTATGTTTCAAACAGCACATTTTTCATTTCATATAGACAGATTAGAGCCTTCACTCTGCAGCATGCCTCACATTGATCTAACATGCTGGAGTAAGTTATGTTGATAATATACTAACTCATTTTACACTAACACCAGGTTACAGAAAATAAAGTTTTTGGAGTCTCCCTGTCATGTATGTGTCTGGCCCTTTCTCTGGTCTGCAGGTGACTGTAGATGCAAATGACCTCAACACTGTTGTACATTTACTGTAGATATAGTCCAGAGTGATCATTTCTGCAGCATTGTGTGCGTGTCTTTGCACAAACCTTCCAGTTTTTTAATGTGAATTTAGCAACTAGATTTTTATAAATAAGATTGTTTTCTTAAAGCTTTACACCTGAAATCACTCCTCAATAGGCATGTGCCGATATGAAAAATTTGATATTATGATATAGGTGGCCCAAAATATCACCATTCACAATATTATCACGATATTAGCGCATTGCTTTTCACGTTATTAAAAATGGCAAAAAGCTGCAAAATCACTTCTCTGTGCACAGCATGACATGCACAAACAATATGAGCAAGAGGCAGCTAACGCGACGTTGGGAGCATTAGCTTTTTGGAGCTAAACTTAGCAGAAACGTCACTAATGTTGTCAATAATAAGCAGTAGAGTAGACCAAACTTGTTTTGGTCATGTTGTTTTTACCTTGATTTGGGCTAAAGATGCTGGATGGTGTTCATGTAGGTGGGCACGCAGGTTTGAAGTGTTAGACAACGGTGCTTCAACTTCTTTACGGCATAACCTGCAGATTGGTGTCATGTTTACCTGCTCTGTCTGTTTTGTGAAGCTGTAAAATGTTCATACTGCCAACGAAACCTTTTTAATAGGAGAATACAGCCGAGGCGTTTCGTCATTCTCAGTCTCCGACTGTTCTTCGTCTGGTGTTATGCCATTGAATGCAACCCTGCTGTTGAATGCACCCCTGACGGGAGCGTGGTTGAAAGTACATAACAAGGCGAAATAATCCAAGTTTTCCTCACCGTTGGGTGGATTCAAAAGCGTGTGCCTTTAATAATTTCAATCAGACTATTCAGATAAGCCGAAAACAATGGTCCTCTGATTCGGAATATTCGCTGTCCTTAAAATATAATGCTCTCTACCTTAACAGCTTACTGTACAGTTTATGTACACAAGTACATTTCTATATGTGCATTTTTGGGACACATAAAAACAGAACGAAAGTTCGCTGCTCCATTTGACATGTTGTCATGATCCAATACTTGTGTTTTTTCAAATATCAGACTAATGAGGGGATGGGATGCATTGTAGACACACTCCAACAGTGCTTTGGGTGGCCGCAATGCATTGTGGGTGGCCACGCATTTTGTTGTAAAATTTCTTCATTTTCTCTTTTAATGTTTCTGTTTTTGTTTGGCTGGTATTAATGTACTTAATTCAAGAGTTTGTTTTGGATTTGGGACTAGGTTGCTAAGTACTCTGCTTTGCTCGCCTCCGCTGAGTGTCGCTGCCACTCGTCTTTAAATTATAATTTTGGAACGATTATTACAGTACCTTACGATTTCATCATCGCAGCTGTTTAATATCGCGATTAAATCATATATCGGCACATCCCTACTCCTCGATATGAAAGACAAACTGAAACAACCTGTTCATCAAAGAGTGATTCATGTGTATTTTATTTATCAAGCCAAGACATTTCAGTGGTGGGTAGTTTGGGGTTTAATTCTTGCCAAAACTAATGGGAGATACAAGACTGACAGCAGCAACTCCTGCTGCCCTTACACAGCTACCACACGTCCTGTGTGAAGCCGACACTAAACACCAATTTATTAGGTGTCCTGAAACAGAAACCAGGTGTGTTTTAGTTTTTCCAAGTATAAAACATGGATGCAGCCTCAGTGATGTCACCAGTTGGTTTCTGAAGCCACTGAATGATGGCACCATGTTGAAAATGCTGACTGTGAACCTTGATACAGGCAGAGAGGTGGAGTTGGGACGAGCTTTTCTGGAAAACTGTTGCACAAAAGGCCTTTCCGTCAGTCAACTTAGCCACGCCCCCAATGACGAAAATTTGCTTTTGAGTTGGGACTTTATGGAGATTCGTTGACTTTTGTTCACTGTCTTCAGGTGGACACTCAAGGAACTGCAGTTATTTTGCATCTTTTGATTTTACACAAGTCTGATACAAGCATGTCTTAGAAAGAGTTAAGTGGAGAATGCACTTTAGTGCTGCAGTAACTCATGTCCAAAAAACACATATATGACAAAGTTAAGTAGCAAAAAAGTTTGCGTACAAATACTGCAAAATAAACAATTAAAGATTGTTAACTGACCATAGCAGCCTAAAAAAACAGTCAAATTTCAGTGAAGCCTGTGGGGTCTTTGAAGGAGACACAGGGAGTGACTACTGATAACATACTGTTAATATAAACTGAAAATTTCCATATCAGCAGAAAAAAGACAAAGTCCTTCATGAGGCCTGTGATAACAGCCTCATGCTGAATGTCAACATCAAAACAATTGATTAAATTTACAGTCAAATAGGAAAACTTCCACTGCACCCCAAGCCAATGACACACTCTATGAACGGCTGTTAACTAGACTAGGTTAGTTTAATGTGTCATCTGATAGAGCAGTCAGCTGTTATTGGATAAGTTCTGTGGTTGCTGTAATTATCAGCCTGTACTTCCCTGACGTTGTTTTGCATTTTAAATATTTTGTCTACCCTATAAAATTCCAGGTATTAACAGATACTATTTCTTACTTTTACGTTGAGTCTTTTCTGACAGTGTTTGATGGATTATTGAGAAAATGTAAAAGATCCCTCAAAACAACAGGTGGGCTGCGAGAGATAAACCATTTGTTTGATTGAAGAGTTGCTCTGAAATTGACAACAGTATTAAAGGAGCCTTCGGACTGAGAAAGCCTTGAGGGTGGTCTTACTTTGGATTTGGGGAAGTATGCCAATCAGTGCATCATCCAGCACTATAAATAAAAAGTCAACACTGCAGTACGTTACGGTGTCTCAGCTGTTTTTGGAGTGACATGAACTGGTTCAGACTACATTGCTGAATGATTTTGACAAAAAACAGTGATGTACTCATGGACACAACGGAATATTAGCTATTAGTGTTTTCCAATCAAATTAGAGACTGTGTAACTTTCATTGAAAGTTAAGATAATACAAGCTAGGTTACAGGGGTGCAAATTCAACCGGCTTTTATTATCATAACAACTTATATAGAAAAGAATTCATAACACCAGGCATATATATATACAAGTACAACAGTAAGCCCCCTAAAGGTCTGTCGCTGAGCAAATCAAAGTAACATAGATAAATATTGGACAGCTTGACTGAGAGGAGGCCTCCATTTATTGTATGACATTGTTTGGTTGGAGGGATGTGCAATCAATTATTCTCTAAGGGGAGCAGATAGACCTGTTATGCTCTTTGTGCACTTTTGGTACCTTAGTGTTGTTTCCTGACTCACTAAAGTAACTCTGAGCCTCTGTGGGAGGTGACATTATTCCTGTATAAGATCTCCTGTTTTGTTAGACATAATCTCGGCCCACTGCGGCCCCCTGTGCCGGTACACTAATCCTTCTCCTCCCTGTCGGAAGAGGAGGATTTTAAAAGGTTCTGTACATGCGGTCTAACATGAGGTATTGATTTTAGAGGTTTATGTGATTGAATCAGCAGGAGGAGTAATGTGACACGGCTGGAAATCTTGTACATATTTTTCGGGGATGAATTGCAGCTCAAGGCATTCACAATCCGAAAGGTTTGGGTTGAACATCTGTGAACTGCTCTGCTATAGGTAAAGACTGATCTACACAGAACTAATGACATGCAAGTTAGTTTCACTGTCCATTTAGAGAGTGAAACTCATTATCATGTCTTTACTTACTTCTTGATGTTAAAATGTATATATTAACAGGCTGTGTTTGGACATAAACAGACAGTTAAATGAAATTTTTGTTCTAGCAGTGCATTTTCTAAGACCGCACCAAAGGTCACTGTCAGCTTTGAATATTTCCTAGAGCTTTCAGTGCATCAAATGCATTAAATGAACATGAGAATAAGCCAGGGCCCCTCTAAGGTCAGATGATTGAACTCTGGGACATCTGTCCTATGTAGAAACAGCAGGGACTCCTTGTCTGGACCATGAGGCCTTTAACTGGTGCGACTGGGAGCTGTGGTATAGCTTGTGAACTATCCAGGAGTTCTGAGGATGTACTCGAATTATAAATAACCCGTGTGACAGCGATGGGTCCGTCCAACTGTGCTTTCATCTCTGCCAACATGGCAACCAGTTCACAGTTTTAACCCAAAGAGAGCCATTAGACTTTTTTGGAAGATAGCATGAAGCTGATATTCAAACCAAAATGTGACGGCTGCTGGCTCGGTGTCTGCGTGCGTGCACCGCTACTTAGTGTGCGGCGTTGACCCCTGAGTGTTCACCTTGTTAAGGGTTTGAGTGCAGCTGGTGTAGCGGTAGAGAGCAGCAGAGTTCAGGCTGCTCTCTGAAGAGTGTTTGTCTCTGAGTGCATGTGGACGGCCGGGGTGCGGTGCAGCTGGTGAGAGAAGAGGGAGCAGAGAGTAGGGACGAGGGGAGGCAGAGATGGAGTTTATGCAGCTGCCATGTTAATACAAGACTGTCATCATGAAAAAAAATCTCCTCCTTTACTTTTTACACCAGCCAAAAACACCCAAATGCTGGTTTTCTCACCGACCAAAAAAAAAAAAAAAGAAAACTGATGTTTGTGCCAGATCTTTTGTGCTTATGAGCTGGAAATGTTCTTCTAGGTGCGGGTAAATGCATCTGTCAGATGGAGAAGTGAATCTAGTGTGTAAATATGCCTTAACTTAATATTTAAGCTCCAACTTGGTGAATTATTCTCAAATAGATAAATAAGATGGATGGATATCAGATGTAAGAACATGTTTGGAGTAGATTTAACAGATAAAATAATACCAACACAACAAATTAGCTAGTTTTTACCTCTTTTGTGCTCATTGTTAGAAATCAAAGACATTAACAAAATATTCTAAAGGTACCTTGTTAAGTTATATTCATGCCAAACTAAGGCATCTATTCTGGACGGCTGTGCAATTTAGTGTCTAGTATGTAGGAGAGTGCCTGGGACAAAGGGACGTGTTTGTCCATGGCCCTTTAAGTGTGCTCCTTGTTCCTTAGAAATGTGGATGAACAATTACAATGGTTAAGAGGCATTCAGCTGCAGGTGCATTACTTCCAGTTAGATATTAGCTGATGTCTGAAAGGGTGGGGAATTAGCAGCATGTTGTATTAGCCTTTTGTGGTGCATTTTGCTCAGACCTTCTTCATTTCCCAGTTTTCAATGCTGAGCAGCAAGGGTCTCTCTGCTGAAATAATGCCCATCACACATGTAAATGGTGTGAAAGGGCTGCTTAGCAAAGTGTTCTCATGTCAATCCTTGTGGAAATGGATACAATGCAAACATTACAGCTGAACTAACCACAGGTTGCACAGAGTAAAAAGTCCAAGGGTAGGGCCCCTTTGTCTCCGGGGCTCTTTGAAAATGCGGGGGCCAAATTCATTTGATTGGGTTCACTTGGCAGGATTAGAGGAGAGGCCTCTATTATGGATGACCAAAGGTTTGTTAAGTTGAGATCAATTCATAAGATTTAATTTCCCAGTGAGAAGCAGAAATGCGTTTTATTGTGGCAACTTCATCACATATTCATGGTTTAACATAAGTAGTAAATGTACTGATTTAAGTGGTCTTTTCACCGGAAAGAGAGGGGGGTGAGGGGTGCTGCTGTGGTCTCTGCTCAGCTGACAGTTTTAATTGCCTAATGGTTTTCTTTTCATCAGCACAACACATGTATGCTTCCAGCTTTAATTTGAGCGTTTTTGCCCTTTTCCACAAGCTTACAATTTTCCCTCTTCTCTAGGAGCAAGAATTCTTGGAAAATGTAACCAGCGTGAAAAACACACATGTATTTAAGGAAATCCCCGACTGCTGGCACTTATCAAAACAAGTCTTTAAACTTTGCTGTATTGCTTTTACAAGACGACTGAATTCGTTACACTTTTGTGTCATCCAGTCTGATGATGTCGAAGGAAAGATCCGGGAAATCATTCCTGCTGGGTTCACCTGCAACAGTGACGACTTCATCTCACTGCTGGAGAAGGAGGCCAATTTCAAGCCCTTTGGCACCCTGCTTCACACGTACACAGTCCACAGCGAGGAGGCTGGAGAACTCACTTACCAGATTCACAAGGTACAAACATCACCCACTGCCTCAGAGGGGCAATCCAGGAAGCTCTGTCATGCTTTTCACTTTATTTTTGTCACTTGTTAACAGTTTTTTGTCTTCCTGTGTTTTAATGAGAGGCTGAGATTCAGCCCTAAACTCTATCAGACATTCATTTTAGCTGTATTTTCCCCCCAGGCCGATATCACCTGCCCGGGATTCCAAGAGTACCACGAGCGCCTGCAGACTTTCCTCATGTGGTTCATAGAGACTGCCAGCTTCATCGATGCAGACGACGATCGCTGGGACTTCTTTCTTGTGTGAGTGCCCCTCTTAATTGACATCAAACCCCCCTCACTACCACCGCCGTCCACGCCCACCCCAACCCTAAAGCCTTTATTGTGTCATTGAAAAACAAAGCCCGCCTTTGTGGCTCCTGCGACCAATTACCAGGCCAGTTTGATTATATTTCCCCCCTATTGGAGAATTGTTGATCAGGCAAGAGCTTCCTTTGTGCCCAAAGCCCTTTTCAAAATTTTCAGGGGCAAGAGCTGAATTGAATACTGTTGTCTTTTGAAACACTGAACAATGTCTTAACAGTAAAAAGAGCCTCTGCCAGTGTTTTCTTTACCCTGGCAACTATTAAAACTGACAATGGGCAAAATGGACTGAAGTGATTTTGAGGACTTTAGTCCCTCCTCCAACCCCTTCTCTTCCTCTAAGTTGCAGTACTCCAATTAAGTGCATAATGTATTCAGGTTGTAGCAGGTGTACCAATCGGGGCCTGGCTGCTCTAACATGCTCACGTCGGGGAAGGGAGGGCCGGTTGAAGAGTGGGCATGAGAACAGAGGGGCTAAAATGGACACTGCATGGGAGTGTGCCTGTAATTGACCTGTTTGCCTTTGTGTTTATCTGCAGATTTGAAAAGTACAATAAAGATGGGGAGACTCTCTACGCAACTGTTGGCTACATGACAGTTTATAATTACTACGTGTACCCAGACAAAACCCGACCACGTGTAAGGTAATTGCCGGGGCAGCGCGTGCCTTCCCATTCTTTTGTATGAAAAAAAAGGAGTGGAAAATTATACATTTCTTTATCCTCTTTCCAAAGAGCCCAAATTATGGGCTTATATAGCCAACCATTCATCCCGATTTTGTTTCATTACCAAACTGGGATGATCCATATCTGAAAACAACTTTATAGATAAGCTTTTGATGTGGTTTGAGAAGTTACAATGATGACTCAGAATTACACTTCTGCTTTGAATCCGAGAGAATTTCAGGATTTCTACTCAAAAGTGTTTTGTGACTTAATTTTGAACAACAGTTTCCTCTTTGGCTCTGTGGCTTTGCATGAATCTCTTCACCTTGATTAAACAGCCAAATGCTGATCCTGCCACCGTTCCAAGGAGAGGGTCATGGAGCTCAGCTTCTGGAGGCTGTTCATAGGTTTTACTGCAGCCTGCCCAAAGTGCAAGACATCACAGGTGAGCATGTGGATTCATTTTATGTATCTTTATGGATTAAAAATGAGTTAAATTTGATTTAAGTTCCCTGTGTTGCGCACAAACAGTTTCAATTATTTTTCTCTTCGGTTGGTGGATCCATGGGGGTGAGTTAATTTGGAGAGCTGGCATGAATACCAGAATGTGCTGCAGCTCTATTGAAACTAGTTGTTGCTTTGCATAGAGATAGAGGATGAATACTAAAGAGGCTCCCTATTTTCCCTTTGAGAGAGGAATCCGTTACAGAGAACAAGTGAATGTTCAGCATTTGTAGGGGCTGAATGTTCCTCCTTACGGGCCTCAGGTCTCAAGTAAAACATTGTCACTTTTTTACGTAGGTTTTTGAGGGAGTGTAAAATAGACATGGCATTATTAAGCTAATGAAAAAAGTTCTCAACCAAAGGCTCCCTGCTTGTCTCATCTAAAACACACTATGCTTGAATACAACATTAACAACCTCATCACATGTATCAGAATTGTTGCAGATGATTTGAAAACTACAAACTCTCACTTTGTTGTGCTTTGTTTACAGCTGAGGATCCCTCTGAGAACTACGTGAAGTTGAGAGACTACGTGCTGGTCAAGCTTTGTCAAGGCCTCCCTTCCTTTGCTACAGACAAGCTTCACCTCGGCTTCTCCCCTGACATGGTCAAAGAGGCTCAGGACAAGCTCAAAATAAACAAGGTGTAGTATGACACTGCAGTTAGTGTGTTAAATCACAGCTTTGTCTCTAAATTACAGGAAAACCTCACAGTGACATTTTCATATTCCATGAGATCATTAACTAACAGCCCAAACCCCTTTTCCATAAATAGACAACAAAAATGATCATGCTCAAAATTTTGAAATTATGTTTGATATTATTTCTGACACCTGATTTCTTAGTAGTTCCTAGTTCGATTCTGATTGGTCAAAATCCCTTGGCAACCGTCATTTATTCCGAATAGGGATGGCGAAGTAAATGACAACCTGAGCACATTTCTCTAATATTAACTGTTTATGATTTCACTTCCTGTTGACAATGTGGGGAAAAAAGTTGCCTTGCTGATAGCAGATACTGACAGACACCAAGAAAAGTATTTCTGATGTTTTTGTCAATTTCTTGGGAGAGTAAAATATTTCATTTGATGGTTGGTGGCCAACCAGTAACCAGCAGAAAAAAGAGGAGACACAGTGAGAATAGAGAGGGATATTGAAGATGAAAAGAAGATAGATATAGTTTGCCAGTAGTTATGTGAAATAGAATCCTAATGGGGTGAGACAAGTCCTGATGGTGAGTGCAAGGGTCCTGTCTACCCTGAAAGACAAAAGTTACCTAATCAGTTTAGATTTATTTATCTTTTTAGTCCGGTTATTTATTCATTGACAATAGTAAACTTAATGCTCATGCTGTCTCTTAAAGAAGTTCTTAAAGTTTGTGGAATAAAGTGAAATTTATCTTTATGCATTAATATGATATCCAAAAGCAAACAAGGCCATCAGAGACAAGATAAGATGAGAACAGTTTTATTTATCCCTGGGGGGAAATTCGATATGATAGATTATTATATTGTAATTTTTAATGTCTAAAACCAGTAGTAGGGGGTATGTGGGGGTATGCCCTGTTTTTACAACGTCCACATTAAGTATTCATGATAAATGATACATTTGACTGTCCAAAGTAGCATTCAGAGAGGAAAAGATAATTAAAGTTTGTGTTCTCCAGAGGGGGGTGTCAAACATGACCCAAACTGAGAGTTCCTCACAGGAGCTTTAAACAGCTTCAACACAAAGACCCGAGCTTTTGGCTTTACACCAAAACAGAGCGTCAAGTCTGTGAGTCTTATGGGTTTGCAAAATAAAAGACCAATGTTTGACCCAGTCTTTTGCAGGTACTGGCCCTCACTTACTATTTCAGATGCAAAGATTGAAAGTTGTAAACCATCATTTTATTTAACTCTGAACTTTGTGGAACTCTTTATTTTCTTTAGCATGATGATATTCTCCCACTGTTTTTAGCAGTTTTATAAAATAAGAAGTTTGGGAAAAAGTAGACTATTTCTACAGGTAATGTAACTTTATGAAAACACACACACTAAAAGAACTGTATGTTAGTAGCTTTGACAGTTGTCGTGATTTACAGGTTTTATTAAAAATGAAAACATCTTTTTATTTGTAACTTTCACCCTCCCTTGCTCCCCAGTGTTGTCTGTAAAGTGCTGTTGTTTTTACAAGTTAATTGTAGGATCTAAACCTTGAAAACTTTTGATAATAGCCTGCTTGGAGACCTAATTTGCCTTTTGTGGTTTAAAAACGAACATATTCTCTGAGGTTTTATTTAGCTAGTTGATCTTGAAACATATAAAAAGATGTCTGATTTATCACAGGCCCTGAACAACTCACCACTGTTCATGCTATTGTGCTGTAAAGTGTGACAAATGCTCCTAAAAGCTGGTGTTTTGTTAAGTTCAGAAAATGTTGGGGTGAAAAAATCACTATTCAATTTTGTTTTTGCTCTTACAGAAACATGCAAGACGAGTGTATGAAATTCTGCGTCTGAGAGCGACAGACATGAGTGATGAAGAGAAAGTGAGAGAGTACCGTCTGGAGGTGAAGAAGAGGCTATTTGGACCCTACAGGGTGAGCTATGAATCGTCATCGCAGCGCTGCGGTCGTGTGCTTTACATGTCTGTGTGGAGTGGGTCAAAAAGTGGATGCAGAATGGCATCCTGAGCCAAAGATTTTCTGCTGTATTCAGATATAAAACTGAACATTAACTTGTCTCTGTTACTGTCAAACAGAAATCCAGTGTGCAGTCTTCCACCTTTTGTCAGCATAACAGTGAAATTTCACAGTGTAGGAAGCAAAGTGGCCCGTGAGCGGCACACTTGATCGGTTTAGAGCTTCACATTGTCCCTGTTTATTATGTTACCTTTTTAAAACAGCAGAAGAATTGATCTTCAGTCCCGCGAAAATTGATAGATTACTAGAACCGTATTGTTGCAGCCACAATAGGGCGCACCAGGCGTCTGTGGTTCTGCTGCTGCTGGAGCTTTTTGCTATTCAGACACATGTCATTAGTCAGTATTTGCATTTCTTTGGGAGAAATAATTTTCATGAAACTGTGTGAAGCACTTTGTCAAAAAGCTGCTACTATTCAGAGTTCTGTCGCGTGCTTTTTAAAATTCATCTGCAGAACTGAGCAATTTTATAGAACCTTTTGATTTTCTCGTACTTTCATATCTCCCTTTTGCTTCAGTTTCAGTTGAGCGAACAAACAGAATCAGTGCAGCTTCTCTAATTGCATTGTACCAGGCCTGACAGTCCAAACACCCGGAGTAGATCTATATGCACCAACATAAAAAAAAAACCTACATCCTGTTTGCTTGTGACATTTTATGCCCGAGCCGCTCACCGAGGCTTTGCATACCAGCTATTAGAGAATTTTCTGTCAGCAGGGTAACCACATGTCTGGAAAAAAAAGCCATAATCTGACGTGGAAAAGACCTATGTGGTGAGGCGAGGAGCAGGGATTCCTTGAGAGAGTGGCAGAGGAAGATCTGGTGGCCAGATGCAGAGTGGTTTTCCTTCCCTGAGGAGATTTAACATGTAGTTAGCTGAATGGCAGAAGCCCCTGCGCCGTGAATGTGAGGGGGATTATAAGTTTCTGCTCTTACCCTCAATTCCCCGGTGACCATGTCTGCGTTTATGTACGTGCTGGATTTTTTAAGCAGCTGAGTTGACTAAGTCAATGTGTGCTTTGTTTGCCTGTGAAAAACCTCCAGGCTCTCTGATTCCTTTTCAAGTATTGCATCACTGTACAATAAGGTAGACCATCTAGAGCTCTTTGAAGAAGTTCTTGGGGGGTGGTAAAACAGAATAAATTCATTTTGATGGCCCTGTGTGACCTTCAAAAGCAAACAAAAGCCAAAAATATGACAATCGACTGTTTCTTTAGATTAATTTGTACTGTCTGAAACTTTCAGCTGGGGGGGAGGTGTCAGTCATGCTACAGAAAAATAGTTTTTTTATTAAGAGAAGATTTATAATGAAAGATACATTTAAGCGTTGAAATAAAACAGTGAGATTTTTTATGGAAAAAAAACTGCTTTCGTGTTTACAGGACAAAATCTGCAAAGACTTAATAGGTACTAATGTGTCCTCAAAAGTTAACACATCACTGGAACTTTAAAGATGATCAGGAATCTGTTTTCTATGACCCACCCCCAATTTCCACCACATCCAGAACGGCTCCGATCCGGAGTGGCAGCGATTTTTGCTGTCTGCCAATTTGTGAGGCGAATTCGAGAACTCACACTCCACAGAGGAGAAAATCCACCTCCACATAGTGTTTTATTTTGAAAAGAAGCCAGATGTTTTATTTTGTGTCTTTGCCCGACTTCCTTTCCAGCACGGACTAATCTGTGCTGAATTTATGCAGCATGCTAGGCATCCAGAAAAAATAGAACTCTTGCAATCGGCTGTGGAGTCCGCTGATCGGCAGAGGAACGGAAAGAAGCTAGTGGAAATTGACATATTAACTTGAATTGTTACGATCAGTTGCGGTCGGCGGATACGGCTTTTCCATAGCCGTTTCGGTTGCGGTGGAAATCGGGGGTTGGACTCTTTCATGTTTACTTTTACTTTGGGTAACATCTCTGTCTGGTTAAATTGTCTCAAAGAAATCCTTCTCATAGACACAGCATTTGGACTAGCTTTTTAACATCCCTGTGCCTGTTTGTGCTGTCGATGTCCTGCAGAAGAATCAGAGGGAGCTGGCGAAGATGAAGAAGTGTCTGAGGCCGGAGGAGCTGGTGTCCCACATGGGTCAGATGGACACTCAGACGCAGCACGAGGAACTGGAGAAGAGCTATCAGGTTGTCGTTGAAGACTACAGGAGAATCATCGAGAGGCTTGCTTCACAGGCCTGAATTGGACACTGAGCCCACTCTCTCAATAACACAGGCGGTCTTCCCTGTTTGTACAAAGTTCACATCACCACAGACTTTAGCTGCAACCAAGAAGAAACTCTCCTGATGTAACAAAGTCACTGTTTAATAGAAGAGTGTTTCAGGTTTATTGTGGCTGAGGCAGATGTATGGGTGATGAGTTTCCGTTTATGAACTTGTCTGTTTCCCAGCTGATCTTTCTGCAGTAGAGAGGAGGATGTCGCAGCTGGGGGGTAAGACTTCTTTCTGTTCCATGTCTTTGTGTGAGATAAACTGATGTGTAAAATTTCACAGGTGATAGGAGGTCCACTGCCCTGCAGAGAAACCCCGCTTCTGCTCCATCATAGACATTTTTTAAAGATCTTTTGTCTAAACGATTCCCGGTGTGTTTTGAAGCACTTCATACAGACAATAAAATTGGTTTTGTATATTGCTCCGATGGTTTGATTCTTACTGTAGATAAACAAAACAAATAAATCTTCACAATTCATTCACTTTAGATGTTCAGGATTTTATTTTAATATTGAAAAACACAAACTTTTGTTTAATTTGGGCACATGTTTCATACATAATACAAAGATGAAAAAACAAAAGAAAGTGGGAGTAAAATAATCGGTGTCTCGTTTGTTCTTTGGTTATTGTGTTTCAAAACCAAATTTAAAAAAAATGTATTTTTTTATTTGGTTTTGAAACAGAATAACCAAAAAACTATAAAATCTATAAAAACACAGGAAATGAATTCAGGGAGGCCAACTGGTCTACTCTTAAACAGACTAATGGACTGAGTTCTTTGGTCTATTGGTCTGTCCTGGTACTAGCAAGTTATTTATCCCCTTTAAAACCTTTATTTGCAAGTAATTGAAAATTGTGCAGACAAGATAACAGAGCTGAAAAATGTTATTGTTTTATAAAGTTTGTGCTCTTTAGATGAACGCCACAAAAATGTCTCAAAAATTTTCAGACAAGGACAACAAACACTGAAAAAGTTGTTTAAAACTACAAAAACAACGGAGGGATTATCTCCTGATTTATTTACAACATGCTGGTAACATTACTTTGTCTAAAAATGCAGAATGCAAAATTAAAAGATCCAAGCGACAAGTCTCATTGTGGAGCCATGACATTAGACAACACGTGGTGCAGCCTAGTCATACTGACGGCTTGAAATTTCATTATATGGTTGACCTTCAAGGGAACCACAATGAGGTTTGACATTTGGGAACCATGAGTATACAAAAATATCCATAAAACAGTCATTGAACTATTTCTGTACCAGCCTCAGTCGCGTTTCTGCCAAACAGAGTTTATTTTTACTTAATTCTCCACCAGTTTGCTCAGAGAAGTGTCAGTGTGTCCTGGAAGCAACTGTTGAGGCATCTTTATTGGCTTGTTAACAAGCCGCTCCTTCTGGGTTCTTTTTCTCGACCACTGATGATTTTTTTTTATGACAGGTTAACGTCAAAAATGGGTGCACTGTTTTAAATTCTTTAATTTGACTTTGAAACTGACGTTGAAACTTTGGATGTTATCCTAATTGAATCAGGCCAAGTTTCCATTATTTCATGAAGGGGCAGTAAATCAAACAGTTTGATCATATCATTTTATTACAAACTTTTGCTAAATTTACACCTCTCTTTTCGATGTACCTCTAGAAGTAATTATTGTTGAACTTCTAGAGAAGTTCGTATTTTTGTTGCATATGTGGATATTTTTATCCCCTCCTGCTGAAACTCATAGATATATGAAGTGAAATTCCAAAGACATCATATGTTGAATAAAAGGATGAATTAAAGGCCTACATGAGGGCTACTAAATGAAGGGTACAATCTGTAGATATTCAGGGTAATCCTGGACTATAGATCCCTAATAGCCTGATTCAAGTCTTTTCCAGTAGGTGTTTCATATATTTCAGTCATTTCATGGATGTAATTTTGTCGGGCTCTCCCCTCTTGTGGCTAATGCAACTTCTGATTGCTGCTGATGTTGAGTGTTACACTAATGAGTATTATGCTTTTCAATTGAAAACCTTTGTGCCACTGTGCTGCCCCCGCTTATGTAGATCACTGTGATGAATACCCATCATACTTTATGATACTTTAGCACATTGTCACTAAATGAAGGCTGCCAGGTCAATTTTCAATTTTTCCCCCTCTCCACATGAAACAAGACAAAACCTTGGAACTCTTCACATCTCTAATTCAGATTGATTGAATCCACTCGTGGCCACAAGGGGCCTCATCTCACTGTAGTTCTCCAATGTGAGTGCACATTTCACACCGCACCGCTCCAGCTCAGTCATCAGACCAGCTAAAAAAGGGAAGTGGCATTGTCGCTTAGTAAGCACATGAGTTTATGTGCTGTCTTATGAAATGAGACTTTAGTACATGACTGCGTAACAGAGCTGCGTAAACATCGGGCTTCATGTATCTACTGCAGCAGGATTACAAACCAGAGTGGATGTGGATTGTTTGGACAGTCTGCAGGCCTCTGTTTGGTTGTCAGAGAACCGTCAGAAAACTGTGAAACCCCCTTTTGCGCCTTCAGACCACACAGTTTAGTTTACAGAAGCCTAATTATACCCCACCCACTACACACACACACAAAACACACACCAAGTCTGACCTGGACCTCCATGTCCCATTGCACCTGTCTACAAATACACTTTCAGATCCACTAAAACACACTCAAAAATATGTTTCTTATATATTTGTGTCTGAAGCTGCTCTTTTTAGATGCTTTAGAGTTATATATGTTATAAAACTGCTCAAGTTGTCAGGTTTACATGCATGTACGTATATATAAAGCATCTTCATAAAGGCAATGTAGTGCAAAATATTCAGCATGTCTATTTTGGCTTTTTTCCCCCTGTGCAGTCGATCAGCCATTCACATGCGGTGAATTGAAGTCTAAAGAAGGCAGTGCACTTTCTTCTGCAGTTGAGGCTATTACAGTGGTTCCAGCAGTGGGCCCTCAGACGCTGTGCCTTTGTAGCTGGGACACAGTCTGTCTATTATGTTGTTTCAGAGTGGAGATGTGGGAGGTTGATTTATGTCTCAAACTGTCATCGGTTTCAATCTCCTCTCTCTCACTTTTCATTTTCCGCAGAAAAAAAAAATGAGGAAAAACTTCTATTAATGTTTCCTCTCTTTTCCAGTATCATGTTTGAGCATCGTGCAAATAATTGTTACGTTAAAGCAGGCGGAGAGGATTAATGCTATTATTCTGTGAAGTGACAATAACAGTATCATGCTCCACTTGAATATTTGGTTTCACCTGTTGGCATTTCTGCTACTGTTACATTACGGCGCCTCCACATCTCTCCACTGAGGCAGACAGTCAGGGAGTTTTGGACCAGAGCCCAGCTGTACTGAGAGACCTGATGAATATGATACCTGTGTGGAGGAGCTCCAGCATCTTCGCCCCCAGGTTCCCAGGAGAGAGCCAGGCAGGAAAGTAAAAAGTAAGAACCCCCCACCACACCTCCGACTACCTCACCCTCCCACCAGCGCTGCTTTTCTTATCGTGTTCCCCTGTCTTTTGTGCTCTGCAGTTACCCTCATACCCCCGAGGCTACTGAGCCCCCTCTTCAGCGTCAGTGAACCTGGCCCAGTCCCTTTTCTCTGCTAAATGAGTCCTCTTTAAGATAATGTTTGATGCGCTGACAGCCAGGACCAAAACAGTGTAAAAGAAACCGAGTTTGACATCTTTTAATTGTGCGTCAGAAAAAGCAGAGATTGTGGTTCCTTGGACTGCTTTCAGATCATGCTGCTGATATGGTAATTTGCTCAGTTGAAGGCTGTGGTGAAAGTGATGGTGTTGATGGTTTGGAAGAAGTCCCTTGAGTCCAGTCTGCTTGTTCCCCTCTCTTTAAACATGTCATGACTCCTCTCATATGCACGGTTAAAAGGCGTGTCAGTCAACAACCTTTAGTGTCAGTAAATATAAAAAAAAGAGGAAACAATCAGAGAGGATTCAGTCTTTAATATCTCATGAACAGGGAAAGGTCTGCATGATATGAATGATCATGCTCGTGTTTTGTTAACTAATTTCATCGACATTCAATGAGGGCTTGTCATTATGATTGCAAGTGTTGGTTAAGTTATTTTAGATAATGAAACAGGGAGACTGGAGCATGTTTTTAGTCTGGATCTTTATTCCTGTGACGTATAAATAGAACAGTGTACATGAAGCATTGGGTTTTATATCTTGATTGACAGTGAAGGAACAGCAGCATGACAAGATTTATTTTGGTACTAAGTGATGGATGTTTGTAGAAATAGTTCTTAGACAATGCTGCTTATTGGAAACTTCAGTTTATTTTGTCTTTTTTACACTCCCTCTTTCTTCCTTTCTGTTGGGCTTTTTTAATCGCCTTGAATAACCTTTTACTTTTGGAGGCATCACACTTGATCATACTGGAACCTGCTGTTTCATCTGGTTTCCATTTACACCAAAATATGACACAACAACATCTACCAGGAAGTTAGGCTGTTTGCTGAAAAGCTGCGGAGAGCTAATATCCAAAGTGTGCTTTAAATAAAAATGAGCCGGGTTATTATTAAATGGAAGTGCAGGAAATATTCATGTGTCAATGTACTGCACAGCATGGATTTTTTCATTGTGAACTTAGAAACTAACAGAAAACATTAACAGTGGGCTTTTTGTTTTGATCTGCACATGAATGGCCTCCTTGATTTGCTGACTCTCCTTGTACTGCCTGCCCTGCCTGTGTATTAATCTCTTAAATGAGCCGTGCTGTGGAGTTGGATGAACATGTGGTGCTTTTCTAGATGTAGTTTTCTAATTAAAACTGTCCCATTAGTCTGTAATTGGGGCTATCTGAGGCTGGGATGGGGCTGTCGGGGAGGGGAGCGAGAAGTCAGACTGAGATGGTATCGGGGTCGAGGAGACAGGAAGCCTCTGGGTAATCTTGTCAGGTTGGAGATTGGGGCCGCGATCGAGCCAGCCGGACTGAACTGTACTTGGCTGATGCTGCTGAACTGTAACTTCAGAGAAAACGTGCTGATCTCCTCGTGTTTTTGTTTCCACAGGAGCCTGGATTTCACCTTGATCGTCACATGTTGGAAGTCTTTTAAGTACCACAAAGTAGGACAATGTAATTAATCACAATTATATAGTTATCACAATTTACTCATTCACAATTAAAACATGGAAAAAGTCTGAACTTATCCCAAGAAATACAAAGAATGATTTGATGTAAAGAATCAATGCTGTGTCAGGGCGAGCAGGTTTGTTTTTGTGCTGGTATCCCCTATTCCTCATAAAACCAGCGCACTTTGGTGTTTTCTGTTCTTAGTATCCAGACAAAAACTCAGTGTCAGCTTTTTTTGTAATCTCAGCTGCTGCACCCACAGTCCTCTCAGCTGAAAATACTCCAACTTTTGAAAAACTTTAGGCCATTTCAAGTTTGAGCCACGTCATACAAAAAGGCAGGATTTCTCACATCAACTTTGTGAACAACAATAACTGGAAAAGAACCAAGTAGATTCATTGGTACACCCAGTTCTGGTAATTTTCAGCTCTAAAGCTACAACACTGTTCCTTTTAGTTGTATTTTAGGCTTTCTTTGCAACAAGAAAATGTCCTGAAAAAAAAGCTAAGATATCAAGCGAACAAAACAGTAATCATTGACTTGAGTCACTCACTAAGGAAGCAAACCTGCTGTAAGAGAACTTTCATATCTCAGAAACAGTGTTGTATTCTTATCAGCGCAAATGGTTGGGGCAGTATGCGTGGTAATGTAGTTTGTTACCGATAACTCTCAATCCTGAAAGAGAAGGGCAAAGCCATCAGTCAAATAAAAAACATTATCCAGCAGAAGTGCCAACAGAGAAGGAACATCATCCATTTTTATGACAATCTATTGAAGCAATACATGCAGGGAACAAAAACGTGATTCCTCTGACTGACTTAAAACCAGAAGCATAAGTCATTAAAAAGAATTAAATGAATCCAAACCAAGAGTATTCCCACCTCTTAAAGTGACAGACATCATGCTGGTAAAGGTTTTTTGGACCTACAACAGAATGAGGAATTCTCTGTAAATGCTAACAGTACACATGAATCAGGGACAGCGAGAAGACTGCTGTTGAATTACACACATGCCAATCACAATACGATAAAATAACACTCCCAGGACCCCTGGTAGGGAAAGCTGCAGAACTCTCACAGTGTTTTTCCCGCCCAAGCGAAGCTTTCTGAGTAAACAGGAATGCTCACACACAGACACACAGTGACATTTGCCAGATGCTCGGTGCTAATTAGGGCCAAGTATTCCCCCTCATAGGGAGCGTGTGAGAAGCCATAAGTACACCACCGGCTGACCTGTAGACCTGACTGGGGCGGAGCTTTGTGATGTAGTCTGAACATTTGAACAGAGCACACCTTGGATTTTCTTTTAATCAGTGCAGGGCTTCCCACTGAGCATTCTTGGTCTGAAAGAGGTCTAATAGATGTCTAAATGTAGCCTAGACGACTGATTCTAAAATCAGGCTACCACAGGTCTATAAATGAAAGTTTTTTAGACTTCTAAATTTAGACTAAGTCTAAATCTGGGCTATATCTATACTACACTGTATATTGCTAAATGCCTATCATAATTATTTTGATTAAATACTTGGAGATCAGTCATGCAACTCACAGGTGCTTTTTGAAATGAATAGTTATGGGTTAAAGTGCAACGTCTACATTATGTCCAAAAATATACAGACTCTAGATGGTTGAAAAAAAAAACTAGACGTCTAATAGCCATCTATTGCTCAGTAGGTTAGTTACCTCAGTTTCCAAACAGGGAGAAGCAAAAGTCAAGTTTTCTTTCATTGTTTAACATTTTGAGACATAAATATATATATGTTAATTTTGAACCAGATAAACTATTTTAAGTGTGTATTTCTGTAAAACTGGACAGTGAAGAATCTCCCATAAGATGCAGACACAAATATCTCTCAGCCACTCTCTATCATTAAATCGTCCTATGTAGGTGATTCCATAAGAACTAAGACGTTGTAGCTAAGCTAGATATGCTTCCTCTTAAAATAAAAACCCAGCTCCGCAGCAGCCTACCGCCTGTCGCACGGGAGCAGGAGCAGCCAATCAGGAGCATGAGATGGCACACCCAATTTGCATACAAGATAGGTTAAAAAAACTCACGGCATACACACCACACGAACACCGGGCAGCCAGACCAGAGAAAACACACAAAACAATATACAGTAATTGAATATTACAATCAGTAAATCATTCATCACTTACCAGTGAGCCTGAGAGGTCACAAGACATGTCCCTTTACCCTGCATTATCTCCCCTTTTGCACCCCCAAAATAGAGCTAGTTCAGGAGCTAAGCAGGAAGTGAGAGCTCCAAAAGCGCCCTCCTCACCCTACTCTCCCAGGCTGCAGCATGGCGAGGTGTCCTGGCTCCTGTCCAGGTTTAGGTGCAGTGATGGGGAAGGTCACGGTTTGCGTCTGACCCCCGGGCCTGCATCTTGGATTTTGTTATTATTAGTGCTACGTGCCCCCAGGCGGGTGAGTGGTCTCCATACCGGGAGGAACTGGTGAGCTCTGGAGAAGCTCTGGACCTGGAGAACAGCTGTGCAGGTTAGAGGCTGCTGGGGCCCCCACAGTCCCCGGGGAGCACCGCTGCACCGGCCCTCCAGGAGGTACAACTGTTTTTTTATACTTTTCAGACTCCCTGCACCACTTCATAGACATCTGTACTGTGGGACCGAGGCATCTAAGTATTTACTTCATCTAATTTACAGGGGATGTGGGGTTGTGCGCTATAACACAAAGCTTACAACCCCATGATGAGAAATAAGGCTTGTTAAAATAATGAAAACAATCTTGGGAATGTCTTAGGTACGGCCTAAATGTGGTGTAGAGGCCAGCAAGTATAGCAGTCAATGCACTGAGCTGCCAGCAGGAGTAAACTGGCAGTTTTAGAGCAGCAAAGTATACTGATTTCAGGCACCAAATTCTGTGTAGATGTCAGCACTGACAGTGAGGTGCTGGGACAAAATGTAACATTAGTTTAAGGTAGCGACATGTCACCAATGTGTTTTTTTATGATTTAAAATCAACAGAACCACCATAGAAACCCCGAGTGTTGCTGTTTGTACTGCACCAGGGGTGTTATTGTACCACTGTACAAACACTACTGTGGAAATATTGAAAGTTAATTAATTTATGACCACTCTTGATTAACATCAGATTTTTGCAAGATTGCTTTGAGTGCTTTGTTAGCTAACTTTTAACCCCCAAATCATGTCTTTATATACCTCAGAGGTTTTCATTTATCATCCATCCAAACCTGCTTGATGACCTGTGCTGAAAATGTTAAGCTTCCCAAAGGGATATCTGAGTTTATTTTTAAGTTGTCACAGGTGCCTGTTAGTATCTGAGCCGTCTGGAATCATCAAAAGTATTTATGAATGTATCTCTGTGTTTTAAAAACACCGTATAACGTCTCTGCCTTTGCCATTAGTTGCTTTGTGAATGAACTGCAGCCAGAGGAGGCAAAGGGTATTCAAAAGCCCACCTTACCTCTCTCTACCATTTTAATTCTGCCTATTCTTGGCAGTTCTGGAGGGGAGGGGGGCTTTTAACTGTGTAAATAGCTCTGGAAATTGCGTGTGGCCTTTGACTGTCTCTGTAATTGCGAGACTCTTGCAGTATTTTGCTTGGCAGTCTGAGAGGTTAACCCCTGAGGGCTTGGGGCCTGGAGCTCTTCGTCTGACTGGCAGAGGGCTCCTCAAAGCTCCACTTGTTCACCTCCCAGCCTGGGCAGCTCTAAGCTGCCGCTGATCCTCTTCTGGACAAGAGAGAGAGAGAGAGAGGGAGGCTAGTGCATTCATCAGTGGCTGAGATGCTGCAGGGCAAAGCTTGAAGTGTTACAGGGCCAATAAGATACACCGAGTTCTGCTTGGTAGCACCTGGGCAGTCAGTAGCGCTCCTAGCTTTGTCACCTCTAACAGAGAGCACCAGAAAGACACTCAGATTTAGCTGCAATCAGATTATACTCATGTTGCTGCAGTATGTGGTCAATCACTTCTCCAACATTTTTTACTGTATTCACAGGAAAGATTTGATAGCCTCTGTTCCTGAAAGGAGCGCTGTGCACATGGATGTTTAGAGTTTGTTCGATCAAAATGCTTTTTACGCTGTTCACCCTTTCCCTCTGAATGTTAGCTAATTTCAGTGTCATTAATCAGCAACCAAGAAAAAAAGGAAATATAGTAGCCATACGTAAGATTAAAACAACTTTTTCATTATAATTCATTTGATAAGGTTTAGCATTCAACACTGCATCATAGTGTTATACAATACAACAGCAATAACTTGGAGTTTATGCCTAGCTAGTTTGCACCAATTCCTGGCCCAAAGTAAGACTTGCTGGCTGACAGTAATGTGCTGAGAATGCTGATTATGAACAGATTTTCAATAATTAGTGCAGTACATCATTTCACCAGTCTTGGACTATCAATCCTACACCCTTTAAATTGTACAAATTACACTTGGCAGCTCTGAAAACAAAGAGAAATACAGACAAGAAAAAGAGCAATAATCAAAAATGTCACGAAATTGTCTTCATCCTCGAAATTAAACCTGTTTTACATCATCTTCTATTGTTTTAAATCTTCTCTATCTCAGAAGCATTCAGGGTTGAATGTGGGACTTGGTACTTTCTAACCTGTTTCTCGTGATGGATTTTGTTGCTGTTTGAAATGGTCTGTTAAGATGCAGCCTCGTGTTGAGTCACAGCAGAAAACTGCAGAGAAAAGACAACATTCGCAGTTTCCTTCTTGGATTCCCACATTGTTCGTGCCAGCTCTGCTCCCCCTCGGCCTCCAGAGCGACTCGCTATGCCCCAGACAAAAGTACACAGGCAGAAAAGAAATATCAAGGCACAAAAGCTCTTTATGTAATGCTGTCAAGCTGCATTGATTTTTTTTCCACAGTATATTTGACAGACAACATAAAATCGTTGCTTCATGTCATGTCAGGCTAGGCCGGGGAGATTGCATCGCCTCTGCCAGTATCACTCAGTTCTTTAGTAGAAATGTTTCTTGGACGAGGTATTGTGCAGAGAAGTTGACTGAGTAATTCATTTGTGCGGCTCTGAACCACAGCCTGCTCTGAACATGTTTGTTGCCTTAACACAGCAGAAAGTATGCGACACTCAACCTCAAATCTAAGTAAGTTTTGTGACCAAACTTTGTCCCCTGACCAGAAGGCAGCTTAGAGTGCAGTATCTGTGAGGCCTGTGTCTGACAGTGGATAGATGGATTCAAGGACTGCTGAAAGAACGTGGTGCTGGTTTGTCTCTGGATTTTAGTGAAGGATCAGCAGCTGTGCAATCAGACCCGACTCTGACCCAACCTGTCCGGACGTTCCTCTACACCCTTCATCATGTTCATGTGTCACGCACACGCTGATGAACCGCTGGTCGCGTGCAACCTTGGAGCTCGCCTGACCTGCAGTCTGATTTAGTGAGGACATGCCACAACTGAAGGTACATTCAGGGGATATAGTACTTTATTGTTTGGCTTTTTCCATCCATCAGGGCTTTATTTAAACAACTACTGACTTATTGTTCACCTGTGGCCACTGTGTATTAAACAGACAGAATCAAAAGGCATAATTAAAACACAGTTTAGAACTGCTTCAAGGTCGTTTAATTGAGTATTTATATACAATGCCGGCTTTTAGTTCCACTCCTTTACATTTTACAGTGAAAAAAGCTGAGCCCCTCATTCCTCTGCACTTAGATATCCGGCAGCAGGTTCTTTGTTCCTCCTAAAACATGTTGTAAAAATGAAACATAATGCTTATTGATAGAATTAAAATCATTGCTGTAGCCTAAATCCTGTACAATACTGAAATTGTCTATTTAGCAGACCAGTCTAAACATGTCCAAGTTAAAAAGAAAAGAAGGAAACACAAGGGTAAATGTTGTATAGTGCGTCTATAGTCATAAGCTAGTTTAGCACACTTATTTATTTTGCTTTCTGATCGGCTATTTCTTTTCAACACAGAACAGTTTCTCATCTTTTTTTTTTTTTGCTCCATTTTTAGATCAAATTTAACATGTGGGTTTCGGATCACTCTTAAGTTGTACAAGAGTCAAGAAGGAAACAAAGAGAGAGGCTTAAGTCTTTGACAAATATGTAATGCAGCACTTTCACTCTTAACTCTTTGACACATCTTGTCTACTTTTCAAGGCAAAGGATCCAAGCACTTATCCAGCCCAGCCATCTGATAGAAAACCACGTTATCTGATGACATTGTGAAGCCGATGTGGTGACTGACTGAGCAGAATGTGGCACAATAGAAGAGGGAGCCAGTGTTAGACATGTGGATGCTCTGCGGTCGCTGTTGAGAACACTAAGCTCTGTATTTGCACTCCTCTTGCTGTGGCTAACAGCCTCTCCAGCCCAGGTTAGGAGTGGGGCTCCCTGCAGCTGCTGTCTCCGAGGCTGATTAGCGTGGTGATGAGCGAATGAGGGCCGGGGGGGACAGCGCACACACACTCTGAAAGGGTTAAGCAGCCGGTTAGGGAGGAGACCTGCTCTGTGTCCAGGATGTTGAGTGCTGCGGTGCGATGGTGTGCTGTTACACTGCATGAGGCCTCGGCTCCACTTGGGTTCTGATTGGGCCTGTAAGATCACAGCAACCTCCCCTCCTCCCTCTCTCTCTCTGCCAGCCCCCCTCCTCCCTGAGGGTTTCTCTCTCCACATCCTCCCTGCTGATTATCACCACTGCCAGAGCTGACTCTTGCACTCCAGCTGCTGTCCACACTCTAGCTCTGGGGCTAATTTAACCAGGCTGCATGGAGGTAGAAAACTTTCTCACAGCCACTACACAGCGAAGCTCCTCTCAGGCTTTAGCTGGTTGCTCTCTGCAGAAACTTCCATCAAGCTGCTGCTGCTCGATATATAAAAAAAACTGCTGTTGTAATGTGACATGCCTTCCTATCAAGGCCCCCCTTTCCCTTGCAGCGCATTTAAACAATATCCAGAGCTACAAATGATCTGAACAAGGTCAGAGTCCTCTTTACTTGGAGGTAGTTCATCAGCATAAAGCAGACAGCTGAGGTTTCCCTGCAGTTCAACATGTGTTTCTCTCTGCAGGTGTTTCCTCTGAGCAAAGTCAGGGCAGGGTGCTGCCTACACTGTCCAAAAGGTGACTCTCAACAGTCCTCTCTAATATGAGACTTAGCCTTTAAGCTCCTAATATAAAACATGCGCACAAGATCTCACACTGGCTACTGTATATCAAAGCATTGTGTGTTTCTTTTTCAATACAACCCTGAATAACAAAAGGTTGGAAAATCAATGCCTCGTGGACTTCTTTTTCTAAGCTGGCTGAGGCTTGAAAAGCGAGTTTGAGTTGCTATTTTTGCATTAGGGTATTTCAAGTTATTGTTATTTGATACAAGCAAAAGGCTGAATAATTCACACAAGCATTGTCATAAGACAGAGCCGTGAAAAACACCTATTTGACTTTGCAGGGCTGCAAGGGAGAAAAACATAGTGATTGACCTGTCAAACAAGTGGCTTTAGAGCAGGACAAAAGAGGTGAATCTCAGAGAGAGACAGGAATCACAATGAAGCGTTGCCTTAAGAATTCAGTCTAAATTTAAAATGCGAGGGATAAAACCTGACTCATTTAATTCAAAAACTAAATATCTAAAAAAGAGATTTCACTCTGAAAATGCTGTTTATATCATTTCTATTCTGGTTTTAATACTTGTATAACTCCATGTGATGTTAATAAACTGTACGCACACTACAAACATTAGTGCTATTCTCCACTGGGGCAAATATCCTTATCCTGGACACATGCCAGTACCCTTGGGAGTAAAGCCCTGCCTTACTCATGGGCCCGTGCCAGAACAGAATTATGTGAGTGATGATGGGGAGAGTCCTCTGTCAGCCCGTGGGGCTCCAGTGTCTCTCTGCAGGGCCGTCCTGGGTCTCACAATTGGACGGAAAGGGCAAGACGCTGCTGCACAATCTCTGTATATCCCCCACCGTGTTAAATGGGGGCATTGTGACTGCAGACCTGCTCTCATCTTCATGTACTTTTTTCCTCCTCCTCCTCCCTGTACATAATGATTCCAGACTATGTGACGACAGGCATTGTATCCAACCACATAGAAATTAAAGATGTAGATCTGAGTCAGAGGCAGCTGCTGGACTCTCTGTGCGTTGTTATGGCATCCCATCTAGCTATGCCGTAGGTGTGTGAGATAAAAATTTGCGGATATGTGCATAATGAATATGAAATCACTCTTACAAATCCGAATCTGTGTGTGGTCTCTCAAACATCAAACCAGGTGGGAACAATTGATTAAATCAAATTTCTGCCCAGGGCAAGAATTCAATTATGGTATTAGAGCTGTAATCTAATGCATTTGTTCCTTCACATGCAGAACAGTGTTACATAATTGTGGTTATGATATATCTATTATACCAATGACTATAATTTAAGTTAGTCATGTAATTTTAGACATTTAAGGAGGCGATGCAGAGTGAAAGATTTGTAATATCAGCGCTGTAATAAGATCAGTGGATGTGCATTTTCTGAGCAGGTGGTTACACATTAAATAAGAGACGACACAGAAACCAACCTGCATCATTTATTAAGACTGAACTAGATAACACATAATACTTTGAAAGTTTCTTCTCCTCCGCAGAAATTTCCCTCCATCAGTGAACAATGCAGCCACACCAGACCTGTCAGGTATTTAATCTCCTGTAACCGTTTTATCCGGGGAATCCCCCCCTCTGTCATTTATGAAGGGCGGTTGAGAAATCAAACCCAGGAGCAGTGTTTGCTGGCAGAGCAGTTATGATAAGATCTATCTTTTGATTTTTTTAATTCAGAAGTAGAATACTCGGGGAGAATACACACGACCACCTGTGATCAACAGCATCCTGAGACAAACCCTTAAAGGTATAGATAATGTGTTATTTTGAATTCAGTGTACAGTATACAGATACTGTTTAATTTATGTGCTTAGGCAGAAATAGTGTTGTTTAAATACACAATTTATTTTCAGTATTTGTCATGATGATCTCTAAAACTTGTGTGGAAAAGTACCCACTCTGATATTTTGACTTTTATTTCTGTTTAAACCAATAGTTCACACGTTTTGCAGCTGCAGTGTGAGGATGAATTCAACACGTTGTTCAGCTTTGGCTTTTTTTCCGCAAAGTTGAACTGACCACAGAGATAACATCTGAAGTCTCAGCAGGCAATTAAAAAGTAATTAGCTTAAACTGTGGGTAATTTTGTGTTGTCTACTACTTTTCCGTGTTTATTTTGAGCGGGCTTTCTTGGAAACTCCCATTTTTTAATTGCATTGAAAGCTTATTTTGGATATTTTTTCTTTTAACCAGTCACTACTCTGCAAAAAGCTGGAGATGCTATCAACAATGAAGTCAGTGTGGCTATTTCTGCTTTGCACACAGACACATGTACTCTGATCTGGTGCATGAATAAATAACTAACATAGGTCAAGCTTTGATCCTTGGACATAACCTCTTGGATTGCCACAAGAGGCAGGAAAACCAGTAGATTGAAAATGAGGAATGCGTCAAGGGGAGTGCTGTTTACTTGTGGCAGCACGGGCAGCTGGTTAGCCACCCCCTCTGCCATTTTTACACCCCCTCCCTCGCTTTTCAATTCCAGCCAGACCCCAGGCTCAGCCGCTAACAGGGGGCTGGAATATTGTGCACTGGGGATCAATGTGGCCCTGAGTGAAATGTCAACCGCGGCCCTGCGATGTGTCAGGCTGTGAGGGAGTTGTAATGGCTATTGATCCACTGTGCGCTTAATGCAGAGCTGCCCCGCCACAGTGCAAGCCAGCTGCAGAACACAGATATATGTATGAGATGAGCTAAAACGGAGAAAATAGAAAAGAAAGAGCCCACAGTTTTGTCCCCCTCCTCACATCCCTCCCTCTCTGGCTGCAGATTGATCTTCCTCTTCCTGCTGATTCTAACTGGGGTCTGTCATTATCTTACTCTGTCATTAGGGGCTCCATTGACAGCCTTGGCCTGTCTGTGTCACTCTATTGAGACAGCAACACTTTTCCCATGCAGTGTTCCCTACATTTATTAAAATCTCTGACAGCCTTGTCTTTGCTTTCTCCATAGATGGCTGAGCTTCAGGCAGCGGTGCAGCGGTGAAATTGGAAGACGAGGCTCTCTGTCCCTGGCTTGTAATATCTGTGAGGTACAGCTGTAGGTCAGACTGGTTTACATCAGACTGTCGGCTCTGGAGAACAAAATCAGAGCGACTCAGTCAGACGGTATCAGTCCGTCTGTTATCGTTGAGGAATCTACTTTGTTCTTATAGCTTTGAAATGTGTGTACAATCATGCTGTCACTGATAAAATTTAGTTTGTTCAGGACAGCAAAATAAGGGGCAGTGTTAAAATTATGAGCTGCATCTTGTCTCTATATTCATTTTCAATATCTATATCAACACAAAGCTAATATGGAGAACGAGCCATTTTCGAGGAACAGAGATTTTTTATGAATTATTGAATGGTGATGATACCCTATTTTCTCATTGAACAAGCTCAGACACAAAAAACATCAAGCAATACTTAATATATAGAATAATGTTTAAGAGCTAGCTCTGAAAATAGACAATTTCTAATTGATATGTCCTTCTTCATTATGACCAATACTTACTCCATTCGTACTGCTAGATTGAGGCATAACTTTAGACCAAAGACGGTTTTAACCTGAGGGCATCTTGACTCATTGGGCCACTTGTACTCTGAAGTAGGAATAGTGTTTTCTTTTTTTGTAAAAATACGGTCAAATCCTTTTTTGGTCAGTGATAAGATGCATAAAAGATCTTCATATCATTACCAAGCTTGAAATCTTTATCTGAAGTGAAGCAGCTCCATTTTCTTTTATCTTGACCACCATGCATCTTAGTTTAACTAAAAGGAGTTTCAAAATGTTTCTGGAAAGAGACAGATTTTTTTCTTTGTGAACTTTGTGAAAGATGAATAAAAAATATCAAATTTCTCTGCAGAGGGCTTTAAATTAGTGCAACATGTGCCAGCCAAGAGAGAGGCATAATTTCTAAATAAAAAATGACAGTAAACATCCTTTGGTGTTAAAGAGTTATACCAAAAAATCTTTTGCAGGGTGAGAGGCTGAAAATTAAGTTCCCCTTATCTAACAAGCAAAACTAGTTTACCCCCTTTTATCACTTTAAAATTATTATCTTAACTTTGAAAATGTTTTCAAACATTCTAATATGTTATTCAGTCAGATCTATTTGTTTTATCATCAATCATAAGAGCAGAGTTTTTCAGATGGCACACCAGAAAATCAGACATCACAGTAGACTTAGCTCGAGCCAAGGCTTTGACAAACCAGAGATGAGCATGTTTTTAATGACCTGTTCCGTGGATATTCTCATATGTGACCCTCCTCTCTGCTGATTAATTTTTCCACACTCTTTTGCCACCATCAAATTTAATAAATCTGTTTCTTAAATTGAATTTGTGCCCAAATATTACAGCTGCTACAACCAATTAGATTTAAGGGGGCAATTTGGTTTGAAGCTGAAGTGACTGTGTAGTTAAAATAAAGTGTAATTCAATGTGAGTGAAAGTGAAAACGGCAGATTAAAGGGCCTTTAGGAAGCAGCCCAAACACCTTTGTTCAGAGTCTCTACATAGCTAAATATTTGTGATCATATGATTATTGCTCTGTTGTATTCCCTGCTCACTGACTCACTGTGGAGACTTGACAACTTGAAAACATTTCTTGAAGCTGTCAGGAAGTGCACAGTGGGGTGCACTGCATTGAGATCGGTGTTTTGTGTGTATGTGCATGCGTACTGGTGTGTGTTTGTGCAAAAAGCAATGCTGAGTATAGGGCTTGTGCTTGGACCGAGCTGCTCCTCCGTGTTACAGGAGGCACAATCAGGTAGGACCAGGGGGTCTCCGGCTGTCTTGGCCCCCATAACACACGAGGCTGCTCAATGGGACGGAAGTTATTGGGGGGTTGGGGGGTGAAGCTGATGACATGGTGTGTGACAGAGACTCATCATTTGAGTGTGATACAAGTATTTGAGCTGCAAGGCTGTAATGCTGCTCGGCTTGTCTGGAGAGATTTATTCCAGATTGCAGGGGCCGAAGGGTCAGTGGCCCAACATGTGGGAGGTTTCTCAAGAAAAAAAACACACTTGTGGACATAGTGAAATGTGTGTGGAGGGAGAGTAGAGAGAAATATGAGTCAAATCTATATTTTTTTAGAGCATTGCTGGTTAGAAACACTCTAACAACACGATCCAAAGAGTTAATTCAGTGTTTGCTTTCGTGTATATGTTTATGGTGGGCACCCCTCGAATGTAATCTATTTCTGTACGCACAAAACTTGAATTCACTGCACAACTCAGGGGGAAATAAGCGTTTTTTTGTTTCTTCTTCCAGCAAGGAAGAAGAAATGTTTAATCCAACACCAACTGTGAGGGGAAAAGTAATGCATATCTCACTATCTCGCCTGTCTCCCAGCCAGTCGAAATTGAAATTTTAATGCATTTCAGAGTTTTCCTCCTGAATGGAGACGCTGATAGACACTGGGATGTCATATTTACAGTATGAACACCCAGGGTTTAATGCACTCCATAATACTGCCATCTCCCAAGTTCTAACCCCGAACAAAACATGTTCTGCTCTTGAACATAAAGGAAAAAAGGGCGAGGAACAAAATTATTCCTCAAACTGTCTATCAAGCTTCTGCATTCATGGCAAAGTCTAGAGGGCATGTCAGTCCTCCTGCCTCTGAGAGAGGTAATTATCCTTTTCCTGTCAGAGAACAACAAATGATAGCCAGCTATGGGGGTGCATTTTCAGGAGCTGAAATTTGTCAATTGGAAGGAGAAGGAGGTTTAATTTTCTGGCAGCTGCATATCTACTTTTATCATGCGTTTTTTTTTTTTTCACCGGCCATTTGTTGTGTGTTTTTTCCTTTTCACATGCACAGGGGTAGTGCTCTTTTTTCATATCTACGAGCCTCTAAGTGTGTATTTATGTGCCCTGCATTAACATACCTATTTATAGTCCTACACTTTCTTACAGTCATCTTTTTTTTTCTGTTGTGACCATTTCACAGATCATATATTGTCCAAGTAATTTCCCTTTCAGCATCTGTGTTTTTTACCTTTCAGAGAAAGCAGTGAATGGAGGGAAAATTATCACAATTACTCATATAATTGAGCCGTCTTTGTAGCAAGTGCAGCTTCAGTAGCCCCCTTTTTTCCATCAGCCAAAATGGTTTCATTATATGGGTTTTTCATATTCCCTGACACGGGGCTCTGCTGAGGGCCTGGCGCGTGGATGAGATGCAGGATGAACAGAGCGAATCATTAAGGTCACAGTAGGAATAATTATCCCAGCTATGGAAAGAGCATCTACAGCCTTTATTCTCCCCCCACAGCACAAATGCAGCGTCCATGGCTTAGAACTTTGTCACAAATGGAGCTTCCACCTTCTACTTATACAAAAGAAGAGAGAGGGGGAGAGCAAGACTTGTATCAACATGACAATTTTCCATCATTAAGACTAATGACAGGCACAGACTGTGGGGATCAAGGGGAGCACAAAAAAGAGAGGCACATTCAGGTGTTGGCTGAGTGCTGACCTCCTTCCTGTCTTTGTTGGAGACTTAACTCTTAACAAAAACTAAAAAGGGGGTTTCAGACTAAAGGCGCAGTGGCAGCTGAACGTCAAGCAGCCCGGCTCTCCATGGG